GTCGTCGTCGACGCGTCCGGTGTTCAGCAGGGCTCGCCAGAGCATGCGCGGAGGGTACACGAGGCTGGGCGTGACGCGTCACAGGGCCGAGACCGCGCGAGGAGGAAGGGGGCAGGGAGGAAAAGTCGACCTCTGCGAGATCATTGCTCTATCTCCATTCGGCAGGCTTTGAGCCGCTCCCAAAGTAGCGCGCCTTGTCCGCGCGTGGGCTACTCACTCGGTCCCGCCAAAATCCCGCCGCGCACGTAGTGACACGTGTTGGAGTCACTGTCGACATGTCGTGCCGTTGGGAGGGGTAGGCCCGCGCTATGGATGTCTGCGGCTCAACTCGCCAAGGCAAGTTGACGAGTCGGCCTCGAGCGTGGCGCGGCCTCCGTCGTCACGCATCAGACTTCCGTCGGGTTAATTGCGTAATTGTGCGCCGAGATCGTCGCGGCTGGATGTGTGATTGAGCCGGAAATCGGAAGTAGACGAGCGGGGAGGAGAACTAACGGGTGAAGTATCTGTAGAGTTTGCAGGTCGGACGACGTGTCTCGTGCCGGATATCAATGTCGATATGCTGGGAAAAGTACTCGAGAAGCCCGCGGGTGATGCAGAAGCCGGTGACGTGGACATTCGGGACGGGGGATCTTGAGGCAGCGGGGACAGGCGTTTTGCACAGAAAGCGGGGGCGGATTCAGTCGCACTCCAAGCGTCATAATCAGATTCCATAGTACTAACTCTACACAGGGGTATACTTATCTGGTCAGTAGAGGTGTCGGATATTGTAGTTTTCACTCACGAGATGCGACGCCACATGCTCGGTTCACCCATGCGAACGGCGTGTAGGTCAATCCTAGGGTATAAAAGCGTTCTAAAGATCTGGGGTGTGGTATTAGCACGTTCCTCCGCCGACATCCGTCAATGAGACTTTGCGAAGCACGCGCCGCCGCATCTCCATCTATCTATACGTCCTCTCCTACAAGTTCAGGCTCAAGGTCTTGAACTTTTCAAGGCCTCGGTCTCGCCCTCAGCTTCTCATAGTACGCCTTTTACCCCTTCTCAAAAGTGCTTACATCCCCTGAACTCTTCGTCGACATATAATGGGGGGTAGGTGCCGTGGGCTCAGGATCCCACCGCGCGTCGTCATAGGCACTGTTCGTGATTTCGAGAGATCGCAAGGTGAGCTAAACATCGTACTCGACGGATGAGAGGTCCCACATGCGACGAATTGCGCGCCGCGGACGAACTCGCGGGGGACGTGGTGGATGTATGGGAAACGAAAAGCTCCCGCGGGTGAAGCGCGGTCGGCAGTTGCCGAGGACCGGGTTGGCGGGGCGGGCGCCGGGCGCCTATCTGGGCGCTGGTTGTCTCCGACCGCCATCTCCGTCCCGCGAGCGCCCTGACTATTGTTCTCGGGAGGCGCGTCAGAGGGTGAGGTGGAGATCTGGGATATGGCTGTCTACGCGCGCTTCGGATGAAATGGGATCGTGTCTTCATCTCTCGACTGCAGCAAGAAACCCACGAGTCAAGGAATTAGCAAAAGCGGGTGATATAGACGACGAAGGTAGGTGCTGGGGAGACTATTGTTCTCGATCTGGTAGGTGCTCAGGGTCTGCGGGCGGTCTCGGCGCACGTTCTCCGCGCCGCGGCCCGCATCGAATTGACGACTTGTTGCTCTCCGCCCGCCCTCATCTCCCGTATTTCCCCATGTTCCGCCGTCGCACCCAGACGCCGCGATCCACGTTCTCCGACAACGGAGTACATCGTGCCCTTGCTTCTGACCTTGTGCCGATCATTTTTCTGCCGCGGCGCGTGGAATTCTGGACCTGCGCGGGGCCGCCGCGCCGATTTGCTCATGGTGCGTTCTCTCTCGTGCGATATTTGCGGTTCCACAAGCTTGCTCTCCCACGTCGATGCCCCTCTCGAAACAGAATGCCGCACTTGTCGTCGCCAGCGCTCTAAATTGATATCGCACAAGTGCCCTAGGCGATGAGTATACAGAAATCCGTCCGCCGAGCGGGCTAATACGGTATGTGTTCGCATTCTGAATGCGTTCCTAGTGATGCTAACAGCCATTCAGGCCTTTCTTCCTCTGCTCACGCCACGTACGACGCTCACGCTCACGACGCGCTCGAAGCGCCGAAGCAACAGAATTTCGTCCGGCGAGCGGGTAAATAAGGTGCGTGTCACGTTCCAGCTGCTTTACCGGCGCTCACATCCGTCTGTAGACATCGCTGCTGCGGGCCTAGCCTCTGCGTCGCTGTCTCGTCGCTCTGAAGGCCTTCTTGCTGCTCACTCGCACCCTCCCGCCACTCCCCGTATTTCTAGAGCTCGCCCGAGCCTGATTTACTCGCGAAGCGTTGAAGCAATGAATCTCCGTCCGCCGAGCGGGTAGATACGGTGCGTGGGCTGTTTCTCAAATGTTAGGAAGACGCTTACGATGATCCAGAGTGCTTGCAAAGTTCCAGAGCACCCCGCCAAGCGCTGAAGCAACGTATCGCCGTCCGGTGTGCGGCGCTTCAAGCCCTTGCTCCGCTGTCCTGCCCGTCGTCTCCATTGAGGTATCTGGACGCGTTCAACAACAGTTCCCGATGCCTTCAGAGCCACTTTCCGCCGCTTTCTCCCGTCCTTCCCTGTGCCTTCGACACCGACACCTTTGATTATACTTCCCGGCGATTTCTCCCTTCCATCTAGTCGCCTTCCACATGCTTCCATCTTCGCCTGACCCACCCAAGTCGAGCGCGACCACCCCAAGCGTTGAGGCGACCTATCTCCGGCTGCCGAGCGGCTTAATACCATCCCTTTGATTCTAAATCAACTGTCGTCAGTTCTCCACAAGTCCACAAGCCCCCCAAGCGTCCTCAAGTCTCCCAAACGTCCCCAAATCCCTCCGAGTGTCCCTCAGTCCCTCGAGCGCCGCCCGAGCCCTGAAACAATGTATCGACCCCCAGCGAGCAAGGCTATCGTTTCTGTACTTCCCATCCTCACTTCTGCTCCCTTTGCTCGTCCTGTGGTCCTGCGCTCTCCTGCTCCCTTCACATGAGCTCGTACTTATACTCCTGCTCGCCCTCCTTATCTTGTGTTTATGTACTCGCTCTCGCTGTCTTGCTCGACTCCTCTATACCTTGTTATAATTCTTGCCTTCTTGTTGTATTCATTGCTGTCTTGCGTATCTCATCGAGCTCGTCTCATCAACTCAAAGGCTGTCTTGTCAAGCTCGTCTCATCTCGCCAGCCCCTCAATTCGAGTCTCGCCACTTCTCTCCCCATCAACGTGTCAGGGTTTCCTAGTCTCGACTCATCTTCCGCATCTCGCCACTCCCGAGTCTCGCCAGGTCCTTTGACGGGCTATGCTCACCAACTCGTCTTCTTGACAGTGTCTGCTCAACAGTCTACTCACCTTCTTAACAGCGTCCTCATCTTCTCATCACCATCCAGCTCACCATCCAACCTTGCTCATTGTGCTCGTCATGCTCATCTCATGCTCGTCTTGCTTGCAACCTCAAGCTCGTCTTGCTCGCCATCCTTACTCCCTGCACTCTCGCTCGACTCACTGCTTGCGCTCGAGATTTGGATGCTCACGAGTAAGGTAGTGTAGCTTGTACCTAGTGTCAGTGCAAAGCACCCTCATATATATATCCCGACGGCTCGTACGAGACTGGAGAATGAGATCACGGCGAGACGGCAAGCCACGGTGAGGCGGGACTGGCCCTTGACTGGCCCGTGCCTCGGGCGGGTGTTCCGGTGTGATGTACGTATACGGATGGGATCCGTTGGCCTCGACGAGTCGCGAGATCACTAACGTAGCCGACGGTTAGTAGGGATTTAGCTTGGCAGGTGGGAGTGACAGGGAGTGTAAAATCGGTAGGAGGGGAGTGAGGGTGGGCAGCCACTCGAGCACTTGTAGAACACTAGTACCGACCACACCCTACCACCTCCAGCTTACCCGACGTCGAACGAGGCACGGCGACGACCAGCACAATTTATACAAGCCGGATGTCACGCTTTCGAGAGTTGCTGAGGGCACCTAAAATCAGGGAGTGCAGGAATTGGTCAGTCGAGCTACAAATCGTCTTGCATTCACGGGTAGTACACATCCCGGGCAGTCCGAGGACGGAAATCGAAAGGAGTCAAAAATCGCGTTCAACAGCGATGGCACACGTCGTTTCTCGAATTCTCGCTCGAAAAGGAAACGTCGCGGTTCAAGTCGGCGTGTGACGTGACGACCGCCAAGGGAGGGGTGCGGGAGGGACGCGGGAGGGCCTGCGGGAGTCGCCGGCGGTCGACGGACGGACAACACCACGCCACCGTCCAGCCCGCGCCAGCGACACGCACATAAGAGCAGGAGCAGACGCAGGCGGAAAGCGCACAGCCACCCGCCCGCGGATCCCATGACGCGCGCCGCGCGCCGCCGTCAAGCGCACACCCTCGGTCCCGACTCCCGACACGTCAAGCGACCGGCGAGGGCATCGGAGAGGAGCAGCCTGGTGACCAGCCCCTCTTTGCTGAGGAAAGCGAGGTAAGAGGGACCGTGCTACCGGTCTAGGAGAGGAGCAAGACGCGTGGTGATTGAATGGAGTGGGAGAATGATCAAGGGTCGCGCTAGATCACTCCTTCCTCACGACGGGCGTGCATCTGCTCGCTCCTTCCCTCTCACAGCCGCTGGACCGTCTACCCCGTAAGTGCTTCACGCAGAATACCTCGCACATACTGATCTCTCTTAGGGAGGTCCCCTTGAAGGTCGCAGCCGCCATCCATCCTTGAACCATCGCTGTTCTCCACCTTCACTCGTTACTTTGTATGCAGCATTGACCTGCGCTCTCTCCTTTGCATATCCCCCTCCCTTGTCCTGCACGGCCCAGGACTATTGTGATAATGGCAAACATGCGCATGGACGCAATGAGCATACGCGACAGCGGTAACGAATATCTCGTCGAGATGGCCACCCTGCAGAATGGCAATTACGACGTGTGCGTACTCATTGCTTCATGATACTCCCTCTAAACTTACACTGCGTAGCTCGTACATGGTCCCCCTCAAGGTCGGCACGCCTCCTCAGACGGTCTACGTCCAGGTCGACACCGGTTCCTCTGATCTGTGGCTCGCCTCCCCTTCCTGCCAGACCTCCGCTTGCAAGTCCTCAGGGCACACCTACGACCCCTCATCATCATCCTCCGCCCAGACAACTTCCGCGGACTTCTCCATCTCCTACCTGCAGGGCCAAGTCTCCGGCGATGTCGTCAAAGACACGGTTCGCATCGGCCCCGCGTCGATCAACGCCCAGGCGCTCGCTGCGGCGTCAAACGTCACGAACGAGCCTCTTGGGGACGAGTTCAACGGCGTGCTGGGTCTCGCGCTGCCGGACAACTCCCTCATCGCGTCCAAGGACGGCGGCGGGGATGCGGTCACGAAGGGGCTCTTCGGCGCGGATGGTGCTCCGGGAAACAAGTTCATCGGGATGCTGCTGGGGCGCCCGGGGAGCGATCGCTACCCCTCCCTCCTCGGCCTCGGTACGCATCCCTCGCCCGAGCAACTGCGTCTGCCAGACGGCAAGGACGTCGAGTCCTCGCTCTCCTACCTCGGCTTATCCTCAGATGAATCCGGAGAACTCCTCTTCAAGGTGCAGCTCGCGGGCATCGACGCGCACCCATCTACCGTCCAAGGCCCCGATGCGGGGACAAACCAGAACAACCTGACAGCGGACACCGCGCTCCTCGGCGCGCCCCTCCGCGCCGTCTTCGACTCCGGCGTCCCGCTCATCCTCACCACCTCCACCATCGCGAACGCCGTGTACGGCGCCGTCGGCGTCGGGCCCGGCAGCGACGGCGTGTACTACCTCCCCTGCGCGACGCCGCTCAACCTCACCTTCACGCTCGCGGAGTCGGGCAGCAACGACTCGCCGCGGATCGCCGTGCCCCTGCACCCGAGCGACATGGTGATCGACGGCGGCGGCGGCGGGCGGGGCGCGGGGACCGGGTCGTGCATGGGCGCGATACAAGCGGTCGCGGACCTGGATAGTTCGTCGAGTAATGGCGCGGGCGTCGATATCGTGCTCGGCACGCCGTTCATGCGCAACGTTTACAGCGTGCTCGCGTACGAGAACCCGGATGCGTGGCATGGCCAGCGCAAGCGCGCAGGTCCATCTGACTGGCGGCGCGATGTGCCCACCTCGGACTGGCGTCGCGGCGTGCCCACATCCGACTTCCGTCGAGGCGTACCCACCTCTGACTTCCGTCGTGGAGTACCCGTATCTGACTTCCGACGTGGTGTGCCCGTATCGGACTTCCGCCGCGATGTGCCCACGTCGGACTGGCGTCGTGGCGGTCCCTCTGACTGGCGGCGCACCGAAGCCGGCGAGCGCCTCGCGGACTGGCGTCGTGGTGGACCTTCGGACTGGCGTCGTGGCGGACCGTCCGACTGGCGTCGCGCTGGCGACGAGGGCGACCTTCGATTACGACGCCGACACCGCCGTGCTGACCAGCATGAGCGCTCGTCGCCCCACCCTCGCTCCTCGCCCAATCTGGCGCGCGCGTCCTCCGACACGCCCTTCCTCGGCATCATCCCGCTCACCGACCCTTCGTGGGCAGCGGTCGAGTTCGAGGCGGTGAATGTCAAAGGCATGGCCTACCCCGACCCCGACGCGGCTGATTCTGGGGACCTGAACGCAGTGGGAGCGGCGAGTGGTGATGGCGGCGGACTCGCGCTTGGAGTGAAGATCTTCCTGGGCATCCTCGGTGAGTATGGATTTAGAAATGCAGTGCATTGTACTGAATTGCCATCGATAGGTTTCTTCATCCTTTGCGCCCTGCTCCTTGGAGGACGCTTCTTCTACATGCGTCGCAAGGCGCAGAAAGCGACGCCCGCAGAAAAGGCCGCCGAGGAGGCGAAAGAGACGCGTATGTTCATCGCTTTGTGTTACGACATCTTGCTTAACTTCTATCTCCAGAACGCATCGAAAGCTGGAGGTCGTCCGCGGAGCTGATCAAGGACAAGCAACAGTTCCAGGACATCAACGGTGTTCGCCTGGACTGAATGTCTCTCGGTCAGTACGCGCCGCATTATAAGTCCCTCGCAAGTACTGAAGTGTTTCCTCTTTGATGTGCGCCAGACTCACGCTGACTCCCGCGCTCCGCTTCGTGATTGAGACGGTGGGATTGTAGAAAATCGGCTGTGCAACCTGGTATGGGCGCTGCTCCCGTGAGCTACAACGTGATGAGCATACCCGAAGCCTGGTCGCGTATCGGCCAGGCTTCATTGTTGTACTGTAGATTATCTCTGGACTTTACTTCGCTACTCGAGGACTTTTATACAATCTGGACGCTTTGCGATGGAGGAAGATTGACTTTGACCGTGTGATTGCTTTCCGATCGGGCTCCGGACGACCTTCGAACCCAAAAGTCGGCGGAGGATAGACCTTCACCTCGGTCCGACCAGTCATAGCTGCGATACCGGCCCGACGGGACCTTCCACCACTTCCGAGAGACGTTTGAGGACATCATGGAGATCGCGTAAGCTGACACCCATCTCTTCGGGCGCCTTCCAAGGCTCTGAGCCCGGGGGAGGATCTACGAGCGTATATTTTCCTTGGCACGCTCGCCCCCCCATGTCCTTGACTCTGATAGACTACGAGGCTAGCGAGGGCACCGCCAATCCCCCTCGGGGACAATAACTGTGACGAGGCAGTGCCTGACGCAAAAGCGCCGGCACGCGGGGTGCAGGCCGTGGAATCAGATGCGAAGTCAGCGACTTCCCGTCATTTCAATTTCTTGGCATCGCCGTAATTTCCCTCTACTTCCTTTCCCTTTTATTTCTCCTTCTTCGTCCATCTCCAGGCATTCGCCATGCCCTCCTTCTCCCGCGCGTTCAACGCGCGCCGTCTCGCCTGGATCGCTGCCCCCACTCTCCTCGCCATCACCTGGTTCGCGCGCCACCGCATCTACATCGCCTACTGTCTCGCCTACACCTACTTTGCGTTCACCTTCCTCCCGACGGCGGTCATCGGTGAGGGGGATGGCTTCGACCTCCTCGCCGTGCGCCCCCCGCCCGACGCGCCCGAGATTGTCCCCCGCATCCTGCACCAGGTTCGCCTGGGGAACATCGAGATGCGCGAGAAGTGGATCGCCGGTCGCCAGTCTTGCCTCGACGCTCACCAGGGGCGCAACTGGACGTTCATCATGTGGGAGGACGAGAACGCGGACGCGTTCGTGAAGGAGAACTACCCGGACCTCTTTGACATGTACCGCGGCTACGGACAGGGTGCGCCCGTCCTCCCCCTTAACACGTTCCCCGCTCACCATGCCCCCTACCCCGCAGAAATCCAGCGCTCGAACGTCATCCGGTACCTCATCCTGAACAAAATGGGCGGCATCTACCTCGACCTGGACGTCAAGTGCAAGGTCCCCCTCGACCCGTTCCTCACGCAGTCCTGGTTGTCCCCGCCAGGCCTCCCGACGGGTATCAACAACGCGTTCCTCACCTCCACACCGGGGAACCCGTTCCTAGGCTTTGTGATCGAGCGGCTGCAAGCCTATGATCTCAACTGGATCTCGCTCTACGCGACGGACATGTGCGTTGTTCCTGGGCTTTGGTCGCGGTCTCGAGCGCGCGTGCTTACCCGCTTACCAGGTTCTCTGCTGGCTGTCACTTCATCTCAACGATGCACGCCCTATACCCACAACGCGACCAGCTCAAGGTTCTCCCCGAGGGTTACAAGCTTGGCGGCATCAGCAATAACCACATCTTCGAGCATTTCGGTGCAGGGTACGTCGTCTTCTTCTTCACGATGACCACCTGCGAAGAACGCGTGACGTCCTACGCGCGAAAATCGTCATTCTGGCAGAGATCCGCGGCGGAGGCGGTGGGCGGACTGCGGTTGACTTCGCCCGGAGTTCGATGCAGTCCGACTACGCGCATGTCGCTGCCGTATCGCTGCCTATGATGAACTAGCCGACTAGGCGCACCCTGCTCAGCGCGCCTCCTCGTTTCGAACGCAGCGTCTAGCAGGACGAGGCGCTCGACAGGACCCTGACGGGAGGGCGGTCTGACGGAGACCATAGAGTTTTCATCAAACCCTCTTGACACGCCTTCGTCTACCTTCCATCCTCTTCACAAAACCCCCTCTTACCCCGCCTGACCACTTCCTCGACCATGTTCGACCTTTTGATCACGTCCTAACTGCTCGACAGATCCTGGCACCGCGCCGACGCCGCTGCCATCAAGATTGTCGGCAACGTCGTCGAATGGATCCTGCGCATCATCCGCTGGACGTGGCGGCCCATCCTCGCCATCGGCGTGCTCGTGTGCGGCGGCGTTGCTGCCCAATCACTGTGCGCTGCCGCCTTTGCTGCCCATGAGCGCAGGCGCGCGGCGTACGGGGCGCTGCCGTGGGATGAGGAGCACGCGCTGACGCCGCGCTCTTCGTCGCCGCCGAGCCCGACACGGAGCTCGCCAGCGGGGGAGAAGGTCTGGTGAGCGCGTGACTGGTGGGGTGCGCGTCTTACATGTCAGTGCGCACCTCACATGTCCGTGCACGTCTTACATGTCGATGCGCGCCTCACATGACGGGCTGGATGTTTCGCGGAGTATGGTGTTGTTGCAGAAGGGGAGGGGTGTAGGAGGGGCAGGTGCTCCGTATGAGCGGGGCACCCGCGCCTGCCTGCATCTGTTGGGGAGACACGACTATGTGACACGCGGCGCGTACGACCGGCTTATGATCTTGAGAGCGGCGACTCGTGTATCATGGATCCATGGATCGCCGATTCGTGTATCATGCATCATCTGTATATACCTGCGCGGGGGCTGCTGCGCGTCACTAATACCAGGCGGCGGGCTGATGAAGAGGGTCTCATGCGCATTGGCGACTTGGACGCAGTTGTGCACAAGTCGCAAGCGTATGGGCACTTTGGTGTAATTCCTATTCGCTGCTCTTATGTCAGTGTAATCATCGCATCCATTGTAATTATTCCTGTCCTGTCGTTATCTTATTACAGTCTATTGCTTTTGGCATCCAGCTCTTCCGAGAGGCCCGAACGTCAGGGATGCCCTCCTGCGTATGCTGGTGTGGTCGCGCGAGCCGCTCAATGGTAGCGTGTTGTTCGACTTGTCGTGAGGCCCCAAGATAATTTGCTCTCTCCTCTCGTAGCCTCCATTGACTACTTCTGACAAGGCTCGATTTCCTCAGCAGACGACGGGAAGAACCAAGCTATAAGGCTGCTTTGATAGTCGAACTCAACCGTGACAACCGCGTGCCGTCACGTCACTCCGGCTTTCCGGTGCGAAATTTGGCGTCCTTCCGCGCGCCGGTCGACTCCACGTCCCCTCTTCCTTTCGCTCAGTCACCATGTCTCGCGCCTTCACCTCCGTCTTGCGCCCTCAGGTCCGGAACTTCTCGACCTCCCGTCTCGTCTTGAATGCCGCAGGCGGTAGCAAGCCGTATGTATTCCTCCTCACGAAGGCAAAGGATCGAGGCTGACTTCGCCGTCGTACAGGGCGCCCAATGTCTTCGTACGTGCATTGAGTACAGCGGAAGTGTACTGAAAACTTATGCAAGCACCCAGTTTGACGTGACGGTCGACGACAAAGCTGCCGGGCGCATCACGTTCAAGCTGTACGACGACGTCGTGCCCAAGACGGCGCAGAACTTCCGCGAGCTGGCGACGGGGAAGCACGGCTTTGGCTACGCGGGGAGCATCTTCCACCGCATTATCCCTGCGGTGCGGACGCTACGCTTTGCTCTCCGGGCGCTTGCTGACATCGCGCGTATGCAGTTCATGATCCAGGGCGGCGACTTCACGAACTTCAACGGCACGGGCGGCAAGTCCATCTACGGCGCGAAGTTCAATGGTGCGTGAACTTTTCGGACATGCTGGAACTCTGGCTGATGCTTTGACTAGACGAGAACTTCAAGATCAAGCACACGCGCCCTGGTCTGCTTTCCATGGCGAACGCTGGCCCGAACACCAACGGCTCGCAGGTGCGTTTCCCCTGCATCCGTCTTCTTGCTTCCTTCGTTCTTCGCTGCTCACGCAGCTCCCAGTTTTTCATCACCACTGTGCCTACTCCCTGGCTCGACGGTCGCCACGTCGTCTTCGGCGAGGTCGTTGAGGGTAAGCGATACTCGTCGCCTTTCCATGACTATCTCTGACTTTGTTCTCAGGCATGGACGTCGTCAAGGACATCGAGAGCAAGGGCTCCAACAGCGGCACGCCGCAGGCTCGCGTCGCCATCAGCGCCAGTGGCGAGGCCTAAGCCCGCCCTCGTTCTGTAGGCGTCGTCGCCAAAAGGCTCGCCATGTAGTACTTTACCGTGGTGTAATGACCAGTAATCACGACTCGCTGCTCTTAGGGTGCGCCTCAACTGAGCAGGTACGCTGAGAGGCTCGATCTGTGAGCTCATGTGAGTCCGTCCCGCCTGAGCGTTGGAGGGAAGTCAGTAGATAGGGGCCGGCCCGGCCCTCCGTCTGTGCGCTCGGGAATAAAGACGAGTATGCTGGTTTGTTCTGGACCATCTTGACTTTTCGTACGAGCTATGTCGACCGCAGACAATTCAGAGCGTGCCGCCAAGCGCCAGCGCACTGAGGACCCGCCTGAACTCTCCGCGGCAAAACGCCATGGCAAGCACTGGTGCCGCGACGGCTCAGTCGTGCTTCATGTCGAGGATACTCTCTTTCGCGTCCATCAGTCGGTATGCGACGGTGACTGCGCTTGAAGAGACATACTGACGTGTCGTAGACTCTGGAAAGGCTCTCCGAAGCCTTCAAGGATCTATTCACCGTCCCTCCACCCGAGGGTGAAGCCCTTTTGGACGGGTGCCCCCTCGTTCGTTTGGAGGGCGACTCCAGTGCAGATTGGGAAACTCTTCTTGATGCAATATACGACCCAATCTAGTGCGCCAGGCCAATCTAATGAGCGCGTTGTAGAATACTGATCACTCTGCAGCTTCGTGACGCTAGAGGTTGACATTCATAATTCGGTCGACACCAGCATCCCCACTACTCTGAGGCTCCTTCGTCTGGCGACCAAGTACCGCATCATCGCCTTCAGGAAGACTTGCATAAACCTGCTGTCTGTAGACTTCCACTCTGATCGTCTCTTCAAAGTGAGAGATCCGCCACCTCCTCCGCAGAACATCGTTCTCGTCATGATCGTCGCGCACGAGACGAATGCCTTGACGCTGCTGCCTTGCGCGTATCTCCTTTGCGTCACGGAACTGGATGAGAATGAGATATTCACGGATGTCACTCTGCCAGCGGTGCTGAAGGTCAACCTGTACCACGGCATTCTCGGCATCCTGGACGCGCTGAGAAAGGATGTCTTCCCGTATGCCCACGGCCTCGCAGTGGTCGAAAACTGTGAACGTTTCGTCAAGTGCAGCATATCTGCGTTGTTTCAGCCCTATTTTCATAATCCTCATTCTCCCTGCTACATATTCGCCGACAATCTCGATTCTCGGGAGGCTTGCAGGACCATATGCGATGTGTGCTACAAGCGCGTGTCTACGACTTTCTACGAGGGGCGACAGAAGACCTGGGAGCGTCTACCGGAGATCTTTGGCCTGGGAAAAGACTGGGACGAGCTACGACGCATCCAAGATTACGATAGCACACCCGACCCGTACGTGTCCATGCGTTGTTTGCCTTGCAAACCGCGTCGCTAACTCCCTGCAGATGACGATCAATGATGGCTGGCGGCGGAGCTTTTTGGTGGCGGCGAGATATATCAAGCACTGTATGCATTGTCGTCGCGATCTATTATCGACTTCATACTAGTGGAATGCACTTGTGATCATATTGGGGGATGCCAATATTTTCCTCTTGCATTCAGATTCTCATAGTTCCCGGATGCACACAGCGGTGCCGAAGCTAAGTCTGAGTCGCTGGGCGATCGCGCCTTCAGGAGGGTCAATGCGCTACATCAATACGGTGCGATGGCCATGACTGTTTGGTCTCCCGGATATGAGTCGGCCCCGCGACGGTCTTCCTCTCCCCATCTCACTCTCACTCCTCCCCGAGAAGACGAAGCATGGTTGCACCCTCTATTCACGCGATTGCTGAGCGCCACGATAAGTACTGGCTCCACGACGGCTCCGTCATACTGCACGTCGAGGATACGCTTCTTCCGCGTGCATCAGTCGGTGAGTGAGGGCGCCTGAAGCGTGCGACGACGTGCTGATGCTTTGCAGGCCCTGGAGCGAGTATCCGAGAGTTCCAAGGGTCTGTTGTCGATCACCTAGACACCATCCGCGACGGATACGCTGTTGTTTGTCTGGAAGATGATTTCTGTCAGGATCACGAGCTGCCCGCCATCCACATTGCGTGGTTCATCGTGTTTTCCAAGATGTCGAATGCAGGCCCAAGGGTATCTGGTCCGCGATTAGATCCGTCATGCGGTAAGCGTCATTTTCGATGGTGTGGCTCTACCTTCATATATACTTCATCGTGGCTGGGTGACTGTCGATGGCATGGAGAGGCGAAGGACTGAACCAGGGTATGCATTCAGACAGCATCAGACAAAGACAGTATACAGGTCACAGGTGGCCATCAGGTATCATAGTTCTGCATCTGCCGAAGATCGTCCCAGCTTTTTCCAAGGTCAAATATCGACGGTGTTGCCTCCCACATCTTCTGCTCTCCTTCGGTGACCTCTTCCAACACCGTCTCATAGCACGTTTGGCACAGATGCGATTGCAAGTCGGAGTGTTTGACTCTGTCTTTGTGAGTTTCGCCATCTGCAACCCAATACAACTCATCCGCGTCATCGCCGTACCATGGTAGCAGGTAAGTTGGCAGTGTGCACGAGGCAGTGCAAGCCACCGAGCGCCTGAATTGGTCCACAGAGTGATAGACTTCAGTTCGCTGCATGCGTACGAGCTGCAATATCCCGTGAAGGATCCTGATCTTGTCCTCAGCGCCGAGTTTTTCGCTGTGGACGATGTGTCTTGGTTCACGCATGCACGAGATGTAGAGGAAGGCGAACGGCAGTAGGGTTGGTGCGTTGCTTTCTCGGGCCAGCTTAATGATATCGTACGTCGAATCAAGCATGGGCGCGTCGAGGGGGGAGATCTCGAAGTGGTTACGATTGGGAAAATGCGTGCTGAGAGTCTTGAGGGACTTCTCGCGATGCGTTGGCATACGGTATTTGGTCGCCAGTCGAAGGACGGCGGATACCGCGCGCAGCTTAGTATCGTCAAGTCTTTTGTCGGCGAGGTTGCAGTATCTGACCAAGGGAGGATGGGATCGGTCATTTTTGGGGAAATGTAGGCGATGATAGCACATACGAGATGGCATCATAGAGCGAGTCTAGCATAAGGACCCAATCCTCACAGCGATCGCCCGTCAAGCGCACGACGTGGCATCCATCCAGCATGTGATTCCCATCAGGCTGCGAAGCGGTCGACATATCCCGGAAAACCTCAGAGTGGACTTCCAGAAGCTGAAGTTCACATATGAGTCGATTGCCAAGTTTAGGATCATCGTTTTGGACGCACCGTCTGGTGAACGCGAAAGAGCACATTTTCGACATGTAACACAATCGAGCCGTCGCGATACCAGTGCTTACTGTGCCGTACAGCTTTGGATGGAGGCATCGAAGCGTCTAAGTCATCCGTGCGAGCGCGTTTACCTGGCGGGGGGCAGCTCGCCATGACGGGCGTGATCAAGGAAATAGGCGCCTGTCGGAGAACCGGGCCGCGCTCCTAAAGCAGCCTTCGGCGCTTAAGTGAAAGCCGTCCGCTGCTTGCTTCTGTCATCCATCATGGCAGACGACGACTCGTCTTTACCTTTCAAGCGCCGAAGAACAGGGGAATTGGACTCCCCGAGCAACACGGTCTTGCCGCGGAGGCATGCCACGCGATTATCAGAAGTTGAACATAACATGTGCAGTTGTACCTCTCCATGTTCAGCGTGAAGCGATTTGAGGAAGGAGCTACGGTCCATATATGGTGTACAAATCTGTATACCATGATCTTCGTGAGGAAGAAACTGTTTACGCCTTGGCCAGGACATCCTTGATCACCGCCTCGCTCGTCTCCCACAACTCCTTCGCCAGCTCCTCGTTCTTCAACAGACCGTCCTCAGGCGCAACTTCCTTGAAAGGCATGATAAAGGCACCATTGAGATTGGCCGCTTCCGGTGCCGCGGCAGCCCACACCGGCGCCAGCGCGCCCTCTTCGACGGATAGGACCTGCGCAGGAGCTCCACCGGACGCCTCGAGCATCGGGCGCGTGCCATCGGTCACAATCTCGCCGGGAGGCACGGCGAGGGAGACCAGGTAAGGCGCACGGCGCTGTAGCTCTTTTGCAGTCAGGGCGTTTGCGAGCTTGCTGAGGGCTGAGGAGTTGAGGATGAGTGGGGGTTTGGGGTACAGCAATCGAAGGTGACGTACAATAGCGCTGGAAGTTGGCAAAGAACCCATCGGGGCTGCCCATATCCGCATTCAGGTCATCGACCGAGCGGAAGCGTACGGTAGGTGGGAGCCACTTGATTGACGCCGCTGATACCTAATGAGAAAGGGGACAGACGATTAGCAGCAAACATGCGCAGTCCGAAGAGAGACCTACAAAGACAGCACGAGGAGCGTCGGACCCTTGCTGGGAAGTCTTCTCGAACAGCGGCAAAAGCTTAGTAGTGAGGAGGAAGGGGGCGAGGTGACTGTATCCAGTTCAGCGCCTGACGATTTTGAGGTGCTGCCAACGTACTTGGTCGTCATTGACACGGACAAGTCGTACTCGTTCTTGTCCAGCGGCCGCGCGAGTCTTCAAGAAACCATCAGCATCGACTTCACCAATATCGGACGGACAACACTTTTACTCACAAAGCAGCGTTGTTGACCAATATATCCAATCGACTCTCCTTGTCAAGAAGCGCATCGGCCGCGCGCTCGACCTGTTTCAGGTCGCCCAAGTCCGCCACAAAGGAACCCAATTGCTCGGGCTTGAGCGACGGATTCGTCTTCAACAGCGTTTCGATGGCAGAGTTCGCCTTAGCCTCAGAGCGGGCGCCGATATAAACCTTGGCGCCCTTCCGTGCGAGATGCTGGGCGACCTGGTAGCCGATGCTTCCAGGGGAGCTGACGAGGGATGCGTCGGGAGGCTGAAAGAAAGAATGAGGGTGGCTTGCTCACTTCGCTCCAGTTACAAGGGCGACCTTGCCAGAGAGGTCAGGGATGATGGAGAGGTCGTATTTCTAGGTGAACACGGTGAGCGACCTGCGTCGTAGAAGGCTCATGTGAGAGCTCACCTCGCCGCGCGGCGTGAACATGTCTTCAGGCTTGATGTTGAATACTTCGGAGGCCATGCTGATGCGGGGGCGGAGGCGGATAGTAGAGGGGAATGGATGGGACGCGGAGAGCAAGTGTGGTTCAGTGACCACTCCAGCGTCGGCTACTGGCCTTTATATCCAGACAAAGTGGGTCACATTTCGAGCATCTTCCTCGTAAGCTCTGATTAACAATGGGGGCTCTGTGGGTCTGCCGTGTGGTCTCTATTGCACGTTCCCCGTTCGAAGATGCTCGGCCGGCGCTTGCCGAGACGATTGTCCAGTGCCATCGGGATATGCGTCATCTTCGAGAAAGGCGAGTTCATAGAGCCAGATGATTCAGAATGACGTCGGCGGGCATATGGGGGACGTAGAAAGGGTGAGGCAGTTCGATTGTCTGAGATGCATGACGACCAAGTTCAAGAGCAGGTCGGCGCGGTTTGCCCCTATCCGAGGCTACTCCTACTTCTCACGATGACTTTCGGACATTGCCGAATATCCGCTCTTGCTCTCAACTATCATGATGTCCTTTCCTACGGTTGCTTCTGCCTCAGCCTTGGATTTCGTAGCAGGTTCATGACCTTAAGCTCAACAAATACTTAGATTGCCGGCTCTGCACCGCTTTTCTGAAATGTCTAATTCTCGGTTGCTTCACGACGATGTTCAAGACAGTCCCCTATTCCCTGGCTTTAGTATAAGAAGAGGGCACTCTTTTCTGTCCTCACACCTCATACAAAGCCATCACCTCGCCATCTGTAACCCGGAACGTCAACTCACACAACAATGGACAACTCATTCTATTCGCCTTTCGAGTACGACAGATTCCGCTTCGAAGCCCTCCTCGCATGCGGCAGCTTTGGCAGCGTCTACCGCGCCGTCGACACCTACCGCAACAACGAGCTGGTAGCCATCAAGGTGCAGAAGAAGCCTGAGGCTCGCTTTCACGTCGCTCAGCGTCAGCAAGAGGAGACTTGCATCCACGCCGCTCTCTACGGCCACCCCAACATCGTCTCGCTCTGGGGCGCCTACGAGACGCCCGGCGGCGTCTACCATCACATGGACCTCTCAGACGGTATCGACCTGCACGACGCGCTGAAGCAGAAGATCTTTGCGGACCGCCCGGGACTTCTCAAGCGCGGCTTCGGCCAGATCATCAGCGCGCTGGCGTACATGCACGGCAAGCGCTTCTACCACCGCGACATCAAGCCTGAGAACATTCTCCTCTCCGCCGACCTCCGCACTTGGCGTCTATGCGACTTCGGCCTCGCTACCCCCGACGACTGGACTCGCGGCAAGGGCGCGGGCAGTGGCTTCTACCGCAGTCCCGAAAGCCTTGTCGGGGAGTACGACAACGGTCCCGCGGACGTGTGGTCTCTCGGGATGACCCTCCTGTACCTCGTCACCGGACGCAAACCTTGGGCGAAGGCGACGCCCGACGACAAGCTGTACAGCCTTTTCCTCGAATCTGGTCCCAAGTTCTTCCTCGTACTGGGCGACATGACGGCGGAGTTCTTCCAGTTTATACGCCGATTCTTCGAGCTCGACCCGAAGAAGCGTATAACGCTGCGCGAGGCGGCGCGCGACCTCAAAGCGCTCAGTCTGGATGCCTTTCGTCCTGGGCAGGACATCGACTACGACTCGATTCCAGCGTATCGTGTCGATCCTTCACCTACCAGCGCCCTCGAGGTGGACGGAGAGGACCAAATGTTGTCTTCGCTCCCGATGCTCTCCGTGACCTCCTCGTCCACCGGCAGTATGGAGTCCTGCCCACGTACACCGAGGAGCACTCCTTACCGCTTGCCGCCGGACAGAAAACAGTACACATATATTAACGACGCCAGTCGACCGCGCCTCTGCACCGAATCGGTCTATCCAGGTGCGTCATCATCTCACTCCCCTAATGACTTTCACTGATTCTTTCATAGCCTTCTGAATGGCGCTCGTCTATCGTATGCCGCTTTCGCGTTATTCTGATAAGGGCCTTCACAGCCTAACTCCTTATTGCCGGACATTTACCATACTCATATGATACCCCTGCGCTTACCTACTCCAATGAAATGTCTTCAAAACCCTCTTAATCATCGCTCTGTGTCCTCTGCCAATCCCTGGCCAACGTATCGCTGTGACTTAGGGTACGTCTTGTGCGCCCACAAGCGCCCATCGATATTCATGATGTGACACGTTACGTCGTGACACTGCCTTTTTCCCGCGCCGCATGTTGACTTTGCACGGGATCTCCACGCCGTGCAGGATACCTCTCTCTCCGACCTTCCATATACATACTGACCCCCTCCCCAACTATGCCACCCGTTTCCATGTCTATGAGCCTGCCCACGTCAGAGGCGCACCTTTTGGCTTTCACGTTCGCGCTATCGTACGTGGGCTCCCTATACGTGGTCAAAGAGGGCCGGCTGCGTTTTGCTACTGGCAGTTCTCCAGGTAAGTCGTGGCAAAGTCGAGGGGAATATTGACCTATGCGAACCTCTTCAGAGATTCAAAAGCGCGGCCGTGACGACCCCGAGGTCATTCGCACGCGACTGCGGGCAGTCACCTTCTCGAGCATCTTCTCTATCCTGCTCTTGTTGTACATCTGCAGCATGGTAAGTGCTCTACTTCCATCTCCCACTAACCCTAACCTTCTGTGAAGGACGTGCTCAAATGGCGCGAACTCCTCGGCTTCGCTCTCCCCTTGCCACCTGTTTCTAGTTTCTTGTCTGCGTCGCCAGTCGGCGTCATCTCAAGCGTCTTTCGTTTCTACCTTCCGTATCTCTTGATACCAATCCTGTACACCGGGCCAATCTACGTGATATACCTGCGCAAGAGGCTGCCATATCAAGCGTATTCTCCGGGGTTGCTGGCGAGCTTGAAAGGCGCCGTGGGCAATGCTGTGGGCGTCAGGAATTACGTGGTGGTAAGCGTCGTAAGCCGAACACCGTATTCGAGATACTGACTACTATAGGCGCCTATCACGGAAGAGATAGTCTTCCGCGCATGCATTGTCGCTGTATATACTCTATGCGGGGCCGCGCGATGGAAGATCGTATGGGGGTCCCCTCTTTGGTTCGGCATGGGTAAGTCTCCTCTATCATCAGGCCTTCATGATCTCATCAACTCTCCCAGCGCACCTTCATCACGCCTGGGAGGCGTACAACAACCTAGGAAAAACATACAGTGCCTTGCAGCAAGCGTTGGCGCAGACAGGTTTGGCGACCTCCGCCCTCTCCGCTCAGAGCTCATTCATTTCTAGCCTTCCAATTCACCTACACCACACTCTTCGGCGCCTACTGCGTCGACATATTCCTCATCTCCGGAAACATCCTCGCGCCCGTGAGCGCCCATATTGCGGCAAACTTCATGGGGATGCCGATGTTTGGGTACGAGAAGAGGATGTTACCGCACTATCGGAGGAGTGAGTTGCGCGTGGTCATTAAACGAGGTCGGCTGCTAACGTCTTTTGAAGGCATCACGGCTATGTACTACCTGGGCATCGTTCTTTTCACCGCTGGGATGGTCGTCGCTCGCAGATAGTGGCACCGTACTGCCCTTAGGGCTATCGGCGGCACGATCGACAACGGATGTACGCGCTCTCATCCCATGCACCTAAGGACATTGTATATCTCGCCTGTTGTACATGTACATCGAAGGCTGCGTGCGATACCCTCTCACTATCAACGCCCAAGGTATTCGCGTGATGATGCATTGTCTGTATGCATTCAGCTCGGCCCCCAGCATTCGCCGTGCTCGCCCAAGTAACCCTAGAGCTTGAGACCGACGGTCTTCGCTATTGTACACCGCAAGCAACGACCGGTATGTTTCTATGATTGTAGAATCAAGACGTGAGATACAAGCAATCCGGATTCCATGCCATGCTACAGGTGCGTATAAATACTACGAATAAATAAGTCCATCATCGCCGCCACCTATCCTCCGCGCCCAAAGATCCCGCATAGCCGTGCACATATCCTCCGTACCCGATGGAGGCTTGATCAATGCGAACGCGAGATCATCATCGTCCAAGCCCGGCGCTCCCTTCGCAGACCCCTCGCCATCCTCGACCGAACCCTGCCCGAACTCTTCGCACATAGACTCAAATACGCGCATCATCGCGTTTTCTTTTACGGCCCTCCCTGCAGACCGAGCTTCCGACTTCGCCGGCTGCACGGCGACGCGCTCGATCAATGGAGGTAAGCGCGCGGGGAAGAGCTCCAGGGTCGACCCTGCAGGCTCATCATCGAGCGGGTGCGGGTCGCGCAGCTCGCACATCGCCTGCTGGAGCTCGCGGGCGAAGGCGGGGGCACCTGAGACGCCGTCGACGCGCAGGACGCGCAGATCGGGGCACGCCGTCTCGATCCCGCCGAGTTGCAGGAGCCCATGCGGGTTACGATGACCGGAGAGGTGCAGTCGTTGCAGGCGGGGAAGTCGGGTATGCGCATCGGATGGGAAGGGGTATAGGCCGTGCACGGTGAGCTCCTCAAGGTGGGGGAAGGGTATCCGGAAGGCAGTATGGGCGAGCAGGGTCGCGCTGGAGAGCAAGCTGCTGCAATGTATGGAGAGCGTCTCGAGCGACGGGCCCGTGAAGCTCAGAACGCGCGCTATAGATTCCTGCACGTGTTGCGATCGCGGGCGGTGCGTGGGGGAGGTATGACGATCGGAGATGAATAGGTGCTTGACCCCTCTTCGCAGGGCGCCGTCTTCGCCTTCGAGCTTCTCCGCGAAGTCGATGATGCGCTCCGCCGAAGATAGCGACACGGATGTGTGGATGAGGTGGTGCGCGAGGGAGCGGTAGTAGTGGGAGACGCTGGCCAATGCGCGGATGGTGCGCCCGTCGTCCACAGAGGACGCGAGCTGGCAGATGTAGAGGTGCAGCTCGGTCGGGCAGGCGTCCATGGTGAATATGAGTGTTCTGCGCGCTCGATGGGTTGTGTCGTTGACGAGGGGAGGTTGCAGGATGTCCCAGACGACCTAGAGGCATGACCAAATTAACAATGGCGACCCTATTGCGACCTATTGCGACATTTGGCGCGACGATGCGGTCACGTGAAGATCATCGTCGCGATTACGAAGTTCGACTTGCTCGAAGTCGAACAAGTTGAAGGGCAAGGGAGGACGACGAATGGACGTTCCGCATGGCGGAAAGTACGGGGACATGGTGGGAAGAGACAAGGGCTGGGAAATACTCACGGGTGACGTGACCGAGATCCGATCGCTGATGAACGTGGCAGCGACGTGCAGCGGGGACTGCTGGCGGGGGCGGGGGCGTCGACGAGCTCCCCGTCCCCCGCACCTTATATCTGGCTCGAAATGGGAATTGCGTAGGCCGATCAGCCTTTGCTCCGGCCCAGAATAGCCTGGGGCCTGAGAACTGTGAGGCCGCACGCGATGTGGCAGCCATTCCACCGCACGTATGGTGAGCGGCGCTTCGGAATCAGCCAGAGGTTATTCAGCTTTTCCAAATGCGCACGCATGACGGACGGGAGGTATGATGTAGCAGCGTCTGCGACTTTGGGAGGAAGCGGAAGCATGGAAGTCCCGTTGGGTACCGCAAACGTTGGAAGCAAGCATGTTCGGCATTCACCGAAGGAAATCAACCTGGAGTTTCGATGCCAGGCGTGCCACCAAAGACCCTAGTATGAGCAGGCTTAGCGGCAGATAGTAGATAATGGAGCAATCTGCGAGACTTTGCGATGGTACAGGTGCAGTTGATTGCGCACGAGTTAACGCAGAAGCACTCTCGCACACCTTCAAGCCGCTTGACTTTCCTATCCTAGACCCTCACACATGCGATACTGATAGCAGTCAAGCTCAGTCCCTGACTCGCCAAAGGGCCTCAGGGAGTATAAATAAAGAAGACGCACGCCTATGAGAGCCATTGGCAGGACCTACGTGTCGGAGTGGGGCGCCTTGCCACGAATGCGCTGGCTTCCCATGAAGGGCATGTCGACGCGGCTGCCTGTTTCCCTTGACGCGCGTTAAGTAACAGAAAGCTTTCAGGGTGATACTGCACTTGTGTGTCAGCGAAAGGACGCGCGTCGAACCTCCATGTGCTACTTTATGGCAATTGCCACATAAGATGCCACGCGTACCTGATACCAGCTCGGGATGAAGCCTACACAGGTGGATGCAGTTCTGGCCCTAAGATACGCCTCCAGCCGCACAAAATAGGCCTTTCGACGACTGTAAAATAGGCGGAAATTGGACAGGTGGGCGGAAGAAACTGAAATATTGATTCCTGGATTCGCCGCACCCGACGCCGCAGACCAGAAAGTCAAGATAGCCTCACCCGACATGAAGCGTCAAACATGACGGATCGCCAGCAAATACACGCGTCTGATCCCTGCGAGCGCTGAGGAGCATGCTCTGCCGCAGCCGAGCGTCATTGGCGCCGCCGCTGGCGACTCAGGGTAGAATATTATTTGCGCCGCACGTCTAGCGCGCCCGCGATGGGAACCTGACCATTAATTCCATAAGCCCAGGGGAAACGTTGCACGAAAGGGTGGGGCGTATCTAGCTTCCTGGCGAAGCCAATTCGCTATGCGAAGGAAATTCCAGAGCGAGCAGAACGATTCGGCATGATAGGCCGTCTTGCATGCACGAGGAGGTACAGAACCATATGGAGCGCTAGACGTGGCTAACATCTGTGCGCTGGAGAGAGGGTATTGCGCGAGCAGTTCCCGCTCTCCAGCGCCTATCAACGCGGGCTACAGTGCAATTGTCCCAAGACGGATATAGCCTGCAGGGACGCGTAAGCTCGAGCGTGGGTGAAGTAGTGCGCGATTGGAAGATTGGATGATAGGCGTACCTTCATATAGTAGGGTGCCGAGTCAGATGTCGGAGAACGCCGTCGGGTGGCACCTTTTCTGCATGATCATTGAAGTGGAATGATGAGTCCAAAGACGGAAGAAGGAGCGACAGAATAGAAGCCAGCCTTCCGAAAGACTTTGAGTCCCATAGAGTGATGCCTTTGCTTCGAAGAGCATTTGGTTTTGTGGCAAACAACCGACTGAACTCGTTGTGACTTGAATGACGCTCGTCGACGGATTGAGTCTATGAGTGCAGTTGACTGAGCCATAGTCTCCAAAGCACTGAGAACACGTAGAGAACGTCTCCTACAAATTAGCGGAGCAGAGTCTAGTGCCAGCGAGGCGATCGGTCACACAGAAGATTGCCGCGTCAGCAGTTTGTCAATATAAATACGCTGATTCACCTATATAGTCGATGTATCTGCTCAGTTTTCAATTATATGTTCAGCACTCCCAAAGCTTCTGAGGACGGTAAGGTCCGTAAGTCGTCGAAAGTCGTGAACGTCGTCGGCACCCGGAGAACATTGTTTCGTAGCTGAGACGCGCCTGAGGTCGAGCACAATCATCGCAGAGCACACGGGTAGCCATTTTCTTCTGCAAACATTCTCTGTGAGCAATTCGTGTCAGAGGGGTTCCGGGGACATGGTGGTGGCAGGACAGCACGTTTTCGAGACAGTGACAGTGAGCAGGTGAGTCACGGGCCGCGTGGCGCCCGGCGAAAAGCGAGCACAGCCACGGCGCACTCCTTATTTCCAACCTTCACTGCACCTTTTCTGGCGTGAATGGCGCCAATACAAAGCCCGCTCTGATATCTGCTACGAGCGTTGGCGCGTCCCGTCCTGGTATCGGCGCCATGAGCCGAGCATCCGCAGTCCATCTGCAGCTCTCGGGATCCGACTGACACTGGCGCCAGTCTAGTGATCGTGAAACCGACGAACGATACCCATGGGTTCCCACAAGTGTTCGCGACGACCGCCCAAGCGCGCAGTAGCGCCCGCTCGGTAACGCTCGAAGCGGTAGACGCCACAAGTTGTTTTAGTCAGCGAGCAACGTGACGTCGCCCCGAGATGCGATATCTAATCGCTGAATCGCTTCTTACCAGAGTCCATCATCTTCAGCTGTCATCTCTCTCGAACTTCCCGTTTATTTGACCAGCATGTTCAGCCAAGACCTTCCCCCCTTCCGCCCGCGCACGCCTCAGTTCGTCCAGCCCCCGCATCCGGAATGGAAGTACGGGACGCCGGTGTCTGCGACTGAAGAAGGCAAGAGATGGTTGGAGGGCATTGACGAACCCGATGCGTTCAAGGAGATCGACCCGGCGACAACTGCACCTAGGTATGTATACATCTCTTGAAGCGTCATCCATGTTTGCTAACCTTCTACAGGGACTTGTACAACGTCATGAAGAGCGGCGTCGTACCGCGTCCCATCGCCTTCGTCTCGACCACTTCGTCCGATGGTGTTGACAATTTGGCGCCTTTCAGGTATAGTCTACTTCATCCTTCCCATACCTCTCCCGTTCTAACCCAAAAATTAGCTTCTTCAACGTGGCCACCGGCGCGGTCGCCTTCTCTATCTCCGAGGGGGAGCGCACGAAGGATACGCTCGCGAACATCAAGTTCGAGCGCGGGTTCGTCGTCAACTTGATCAGTGAACCGTGGCTCGTGAATGCGCATGCGGCGGCGATCCCGGCGCCGCCGGGTGTGAGCGAGTGGGGCTTCTCGGGGCTGACGAAGATGCCTAGTGTGAGTTTTGGGCGTGATAGCTTTGTGTACGCGCACCAGGTGCTCATAAACTTTGCTCTCTAGAAAGTCGTGAAAGCTCCGCGAGTCAAGGAGAGCGCGTTTGCCATGGAGTGCGAGGTTAGTCGGTCATCGCTGGGGTCTCATCGCTCTCTGACCCTCTGCGAGTTTCTACATCAATACGAAGTCCACGACCCGCGGACTGGTAAACTCTTCTACACGCACGTACTTGGCGAAGTCAAGTAAGTGGCGCAACATCTTCTCCTTCATCGCTGCATTGCATCTCTATCCCTGCACCTCTGCGTCCCTGCACGACCAAGAGCTTAACATTCATTCCCTGCCCACAGATACATCCACGTCCGCCGCGCCGTCCTCAACGAGAAAGGTGCCGTCGACGTGCAGAAGTACAAGCCCGTTGCGCGCATGGGCGATATCTCGTACGGCACCATCGGCGACGTATACCGCATGCCGGCGCCGTCGTGGGAGGAGGTGGAGCCGCTTCTGCCGGATGAGTTGAAGAAGGATCGGCGGTCGTAAGGTATCAAGGATGTAGCTGAGTTCCCCATCGTAGAGGTGAGTGAGACCTACTTCGCCCGCCCTTGAGCCGACCACATTTGGCAGTTGCTATAGAGGTTCAAATGTGTATGGTTCGTATCGCGCAATCCCATAGTCTTAGACCCCAGGCACGCAGAGGATTGTGATGGAAGGCGCTTTGGCCCTTGCGGCAGAATGGTGTGTGTACAAGATCGAACTCAAGAACTCCGTACGGGATCAATGACCTACTTACTGATTGCTCTGCACCCGTCTCCGATGTGTAGCTGCCACGGCCTCATGTGGGAGTACAGCGGCTATCTATGTGTTGAGCGGACCCTACCGATATCCGCACGCCAAGATCGACGCTGACCTATCCTACGCCCGTGACCTGTTAACTGCGTCAGAGAGGTATAAAGAACCAGGCTATCCGTTATGCGAACGTCCTTCCTCCGCCGAGAACCATGGCGGCTCCTGCTCTCCCTGCGTACCCGTGGCGCACACCCAAATTCTTCCAGGTGCCGGACCCGGAGTGGCACTTTGGAAGACCGGTGACAGCGACGGAAGAGGGCAAGAAGTGGATGCAGGGCGCTGACGGGGAGGACGCCTTCAAGGGCATGGACGCTACGACGGTTCCTCGCCGGTAGGCGTATAGCTCGTGTGCGTCCCTCTGATATTGACGCCTTGCAGAGACCTCTACCAGCTCATGAAGAGCGGAATTGTACCCCGGCCAATCGCTTTCGTGTCGACAACCTCGGCGGACGGAATCGATAACATTGCGCCCTTCAGGTAGGCGCGCGTCCGATATCTGCTCCGTAGCGCTGACCCATCTTCCAGCTCGCTGAACTTCGTGACTGGAGTGGTGTCGTTCTTCGTGCAGTCAGGTGATAATGGACCGTCGGACACGTTGAATAATCTTCGTACAGGGCACGGCTTCGTCGTCAGCGTCATCAGCGAGCCGTGGGTCACGCAGGCGTGCGTGACGGGCCTGAACGCGCCCCCAGGTATCAGTGAATGGGCGCTTTCTGGTCTCACCAAGATCGCGAGCGTGAGGGAAATCTTATGTATGCGGGAATTGCATGATAGCTGATTGTACCGCAGAGGACCGTGACGCCTCCGCGTGTCAAGGAAAGTGCCTTCTCGATGGAGTGCGAGGTATGCATGACTTCTTCATGCAGTTTATGTGTATATGTCTTTATCGCGCTTCCTCAGCTTATGCACACACATGAAATACGCGACGCGCAGAGCGGCGACCTCGAGTATACACATGTGCTCGGTCGAGTGAAGTGAGTGCACTCGATCGTGCTTGTCATCACAAGTGCAAACTGATCCCTTCTCTCCAGGTATATCCATGTCCGCCGGGACGTCCTGACCGAGCGCGGCGTTGTCGACATCCAGAAGCTCAAGCCCGTCGCACATATTGGTGACATCTCGTACTGTACAATAGGCGACGTCTTCCGCATGCGTCCCTCGACATGGGCAGAAGTCGAGCCATTCATTCCGGATGAGATGAAGAGAGATGCGAGGGGTGCGTAGATCATTGGTACTATCGGGTCTCCGCGACGTCGTTCTAGGAGGGGAGACGCTGCTGCAGATGCATAGGATGGGCTGCTTGAACATTGTTTGTCGAGGTGAGTGAACTCGTCAGCGGGGTGGCTCCTTCGCAAGCTGACTTGTCGAGTTTAGCAGCATGTATTCTGAGATAGATCTTTCTTATTGTCAGCCGCGAAATAGAGCTCTGTCTGGGTATCTTGCATCATGAGCGACGCGACTTTGTGGCAGTCATCCGGCGCTCGTCGACTGCTGGGCAGCGGGCATGGCCCCGTGGAGGACCTCCGACTATTATTGCCTCAAACGGAACCTATCCGCGCCAAAATTGGTGCCGCTAGGGGCTATTTATTGGCCGGTGACTCATTTTGACGGCATACGAGGGAGGTATATAAAGGAGGGGGTTGTCGCTCAGACATCCCGACCGCTGATCAGCCATATCGCTCGCAGACTTCGACTCACTCGCCACTCAGACTCCATCGTTTCCTCTACTCAAGCGTTCCCTAGAATCATGTCGAACCAGCTCCCCGCGTACCCCTGGCACACTCCCCAGTTCGTTCAGGTGCCGGACCCGGAGTGGAAGTATGGGAAGCCTATCACGGCGACCGAAGAAGGCAAGAAATGGATGGAGGGCGTCGACGAGGAGGATGCTTTCAATAGCGTAGATCCAGCTACGTATCCTCATCGGTAAGCGCGTTCCTCTAAACCGTATAACTTTTGTGCTGACATCTCATCAGCGACCTCTACCAACTCATGAAGAGCGCCATCGTTCCTCGGCCCATCGCCTTCGTGTCAACGACCTCCGCAGATGGGATCGATAACATCGCCCCCTTCAGGTGTGTTTCTTTCCTCCTCGTCGACGTACCGCCAGTCGCTAATTCTTTTGTTCTGTAGCTCCCTGAACTTCGTCACCGGCGTGGTGTCGTTCTTCATACAGCAAGGTGATCACGGTCCATCGGATACTCTGACCAACATTCGTACAGGCAATGGCTTCGTCGTCAGCATCATCAGCGAGCCGTGGATCGCGAACGCGCACGCGGCGGGCCTCACCGCTCCCCCGGGCGTTAGCGAGTGGGGCTTCACTGGACTCACCAAGGTGGCCAGCGTGAGTACTTTTGCTTGTGTAGGTGCTTTACGACGACTGACTGCTTAACAGAAGAACGTGAAACCCCCGCGCGTCAAGGAAAGCGCTTTCTCGATGGAGTGTGAGGTGCGTTCCTCTTCTGCTCCGCGCATCTCCAACCACGCCATACTCATCGTTCTTTTCAGCTCATGCATACCCACGAGATCTGCGACCTGCACACCGGGGCAGTTCAGTACACGCACGTGCTGGGACGGGTGAGGTGAGTCTATCCGCCCGCATCGACCTCAAATTTCAACTAACCTCCTCCCCCCAGCTGCATCCACGTCCGCCGTAATGTCCTCACGGAGCGCGGCGTGGTTGACATTCAGAAGCTCAAGCCCGTCGCACGCATAGGCGATATCTCGTACTGTACCATCGGCGACATCTTCCGAATGCGCGCCCCGTCTTGGGAGGAGGCCGAGCCGCTGATCCCGGAGGAGTTGAAGAGAGATGCGAAGGGAGCGCAGTAGGATACTGTAGAATAGCAATGCTGATGTTTAGGTAGACAGTTTCCGTTCAATAGATTGTCGGCTCCTATTTCTCCACTGCGTATCCGGTACATGAAATCAAAAAATATCACAATGGAGCCACCGTCCAGCAGCAGCTTCCTCGCCACGCTAGTGCTGCTCAAACGAAGTACTCCGCATCGACCCAGTTCGCGTAGTCGCTGCCCACCGCCGTCGAGATCGAGTACGACTCGCTGCTGAGCTCGGTGGCGAATGAAGGGCGCGAGATGGAGGAGATGCCGCTGCCGGTGGTGGCGTAGTCGGCGAAGGTGACGTGCCCGGTGCGCTCGTCGCCTTCGTTCCAGATGGACCAGAGGGCGGGGTTGATCTTGGCTGTGGATGCGAGGGTTAGCGATGGGGTTAGTGAAGAGGGGAAGGAGAGGCTATGCGTACCTTGAACGTCGGTGTTCATGAAGATGACCTTCGCATACTCTGCGAAACCGGAGCCCTGAGATGAAAGAGAATCAGAGAGAAGTAATCAGCGTACCTCTCCAAGGACGACCAAGGTAGAAGTTGCCCTCCGTGTTGGAGTCGGCACCATCGGCGAGAACAATTGTGTTCTTGTTGAAGACGTCTGGCATGAAAAGACAGCGTCAGAGAGCACATACAAGCCCATACTTAGCGCCTACTTACAGCTGCCGTCATCATCGGACTGCCTTCCATGAGCGGTGATCCAGCCCTTGCCGCTTACAGCTGCAACCAGTCAGCCCATCCCATTCGAGCACAAGGGACTCCAAGACGAACCAAGCGTGTTCCCGCCGAAGTATGCCTGAGCTTGCTGACCGAAGATGAAGTCTGTTGCGCCCTAACCCGTGGTCAGTATCAACTCTTCGCGAGCCACCTGGCGATCACATGAAGCGCACCTCGATGTAGCTCTTCAGGTAGACCTGCGTGCCAACGTTCTACGCAGCTGTCAGGAACAGCCCAAAAAGTCGGACGATGAGCTTACCGCGAGCAGCGTATCCTGGTACCCGTACAAGCCACACCCGTAGAATCCCACTTGGCTACCATACTGACTGACAGCGATAGCCTGCGAGCCCTTGCCGTACGAATTGACGATGTCAATGTTGTAGATGGCGACATTATCACTGTGTACGCGCAAGGTGCCACTCGCGTCGTTGGACCCCGCCGCGCTTGCGTCGAGGCTGTTCGTGATAGTGACCTTGTTACCCTTGTAGTCCGACGTGTCTTCGGTCTCGCCGTAGATCTGCGAAACGCATTTCAAGTGAGCGAGAAGGTGGATGTAACAGGGTAGGAGGGTAGGAAGCGAAGGAAGCACGCGAACTCACGGTAAGCGCGCCATTCCTCTCGATGTACACCTGCTCGTTGTAGGTGCCGCCGTAGATGAAGATCACGGCATCCTCAGAGTCGCCGAGCGAGTCCACCGCAGCCTGGATGGTCGAGTAGTCGTCCGGAACAACCACGGCGCCCGAGGGCGGGTCCGTCCGCGACGCGGCGAGGACAAAGGAACATGGAAAGAGACTAACCGAAGCGAAGGGAAGGAGCCGCATGACTGGAAGGGCGTGAAGGATAGTAACAGGAAGGATAGGACGGAAGGAAGACAAACGGTGCACCTTGGCGCCTGGATCCGTGCTTATAAGCTTGTTCCCGGATATACCACGGGTATGTGCGTCACCTGCCGACGGCGGGCGAGCAGGCTTTAATGAAGGTGCCTGGCAACGAAGCCCGCGGGCCGCTCTGGGCCGCTGCGCGCTGCCATGGTCGACGTGCAAGGAGCGAGAAGTCGGCGAGGGGCGCATGAGCGACCGCGAGCAGCTGAGGGGTGCGCGCATGGCCGGAGAAACGACAGCAGCCGGTGAAGGGAGACGGGCTGAGCATGCTGCAGCCTTGCGCGATGGGGTCAGCTGGTAAGACGGTGTACTATACAACGGACCGCTGTGTAGAGTATGCTCGACATGTCGATGAGAGTCTGGGAGTGTGGCGCGTCGTCTACCTCATGCCATGATCTTGTCCGATGACTTGGCAGGCGGGCAAGCGGCAGCCTGATTCAAACCTAGTCAATCTGAACGTAGAATCAAGAGGTGAAAGGTGTGACAGACGGTATAAAGGAGGTGACAAACTCACCTGCGATAGTGCGTAAACCTTGGAACCATGAGTATGTTGTCCACGTCGCAAAACGAAGAGTCGTGTTATCAGAGATTTCCTACAATTACGTAGTGGCACAGTATCGTAGAGCTAAGATACATCGTCGAAATCCAATCAGTAATGCATGAAGACACTATCATTACGAGCGCGATGGTACTCCACCTGTAGCCCAGATATATGCTGCTCATCTCGTTCTGTATCACATCCATAGACGCGCACGCGCTGTAGTGCAGCGAGGGAAACATCTGCAAGACCGTCCAGTAACGCTTCGAGCGATGCGCCAACCTTGGTGTTCCCCGCGTGACCCTTAAAATTCCCGGCGCCACAGTTGGACTTCCCTGTGGGGCGAAATTCGATACCCTCCGCCTTCGCCAGCGCCTCCTTGCAGGCACGAATTGAGCTCAGAAGCCGCTCGCCATCCGAGGGATCCAGAGACACGCCGAGCGTTTTCAACGTGGGCGCGAGTAGGAGTAGGGAGGGAAGTTTGGGTAGCATGTCCACGCTACAGCGAAGCTCGCTAAGCGAGCTGCAATCACCCGAAGAGCTACAGCGCGAGCGGTCGAGGAACGAGGCGATTGCAGGCAGAGACTGCGCCTCGTTCGGCACCTCGAGCACCTCGAGACCGGGCGCGACAAGCAAGCGGAGGTGCGCGGTGTGACTTACGCGCAGAGCGCGCAGGTGCGGAAGCTCGATGGGCTCGCCGTGCGCGTCGTCTACGACTTGCCCGACGAGCTCGCACGTCTCCACGTTCGCCAGACGATGCAAGACGGACACCCCATCGACGACCACAGGGCCCGAGTACGCCGTCAACTGTCCCCATGGCGTCGCGTAGGAGCACACGAACGGGAAGGGTGAATGCAGTGCGACGCTTCGCAGGCGCGGCGCGGGAAGGATGTATGCGAGCTCCTCCTTCTCCGTATGGCTGTTATGCACACATAGGTGCTCTAGCATCGGCATCCCACCCGTCGCGCCATGCGCCTCGAGGAACGCCCCGAAGCGAAACACGTCCGCGTCGACGCAGCGCCAGCGTCGGTGGTGCGCGCAGAGGATGGCATGCGCGTCCGCGAGCGCCCCGGTATGCGAGGGGAGCCAGAGGCGGAGGTCGAGAGGGAGGTTGGCGGAGTAAGCAATTATGCGGCGTGTGGTGAGGGGGTTGGCGGGCTGCGTGCGCGAGTAGCTGGCGTCGATGGAGGTCCAGAGACGGCGGTCTGCAGCGGCGACTGCGCGCCATCGACTGCATACGGCGGTCAGGATGACGACCGGGTCGCGGGGATGAGGTCGGACGCCGCGGGCGGGGGAGTTCTGGAGGACGTGGCGGAATATCTCCGACAGTAGTTCGTTGGGTAGGGTCTGAATCGGCGCGATCTGCGCAGGGCGAGCTCTACTGAAGCACTCGCGCTGAGCAGTAACCTCGGCCACGTGGGCTGAATTAGCAGTAGTGCGTCCAGCGCTTCGGAGATCGCTGACGTCCAATGAGCCCTCGAGCGATTTTTGGCAGATGGCCGCGCAGCCGTGTAGTGATCGTTTGTCGCCCGGCCAAGCACCCAGTGGGAAAGGATGTGCGTATCGACCTTTGACGTCTATTGGTTGCAAGGGAATAGGAAGGTCTTTGCGATCGCCGAGTTTACGCTCTGGTAGATGAGAGGATAACTGATGGTATCGTCAGGCCATACCAAGATTGACTGGGGCGGACTTACGTGGTCCCTCTGTGCACCTAGAACGATAGATTGCAGACGCATCGCAGGATTGCCTCAAAGGCAGGTTTACTGAAGGAGAACCTAAAGGAATAGGACGGATTAGTGGCGACAGACACTGACCTATATACTCACCGGCATGTTCGCACGCCCGGCGCCCACGATGCCGGAGAACTACGTCAGTCGCAGCTACACTATGGCGCACGACGTGCGCGCCCGTCGCGCTCGCCGCCAGCTGCTTCGAGGGCTGAAGTCTGAGCACGGCAAAATGCGGATATTAACGGGATATGACCTGTGTTGAGGCCACGCTCCGGTCGCAGATCATGCACGATGCACCAGGCTCGCAGCGATGATGACATAGCAGACTTAAGCGCGCTTCGAGGAGCGAGGGGCCCGTTCGGCGACGGGAGACTTGAGGTCTGGTGCCCAAGGAGGGCTATGCCGACGAACCGTCTTGCGTCGGCCTCGCGGCCGTTCGGGAACTTGAATCTCCCTGTGTATGCGCATGACGTGAGCAGGACATTGCATGTTGAGCTCTAACTTTGCATTCGACGACATAGGCTGTGACCAAGGACATGCTATAGGGCACGCGCTTATGAGAGCCCAGAACGAGGAGACGATCATTGTTGACACCTGTTAGGCTCTGACTGATGTGGTTCTGTTTGCCCCACGCCACATATTCATACCGCTCTCTTGTTCCCTTCATTACGCGGACTTGTACTGTCTCCGACATATCTTCCTCTTGATATCCATATTTCTAAGAGAGAGCAGATTCTGCCACGCCCGGTGTCTTTTTGTGCACGTAGCCTCGCAGGGCAACAGGACCCGAAATTCGAACCTCCACCACGTCGGACCGCGCTTAGAAGAAATTTCCACGGTAGACGATGAGAGACCTGTAATTTGATCCATTAGAGTATCATACCAAGACACAGGACGTCAGTTCCAATGGGCTGAGGTCCGTCGTTCGTCGGCAGTGGACTCCGACGGTCGAATTCGCACATGGAAGCAAGCGCCGCTAAACCTCAAGCGGAACAGGATCTCAGGTATGAACACGGTCAACCGCTCTTGAGTCAGAATCAGTCTTGTTCACGCGGATCAGCCAGATCAAGACCTTCGTCACAAACACATCTCACCGCTGGCTCAGGCCGCAGGCCCATGCAAGTGATGGTCATAAACCGCGCTGGCTGTGCCATTCCGGGTCGGACGTATAAAGAAGTTGAGTCCTCAATAGCGTGTACCGCCCAGCTCAGATCCTCGCGCCTCAAACCGAGCATGCCATCCGACATACGCACCGAGGAGGTATTCCGCTTCTTCCCAGGAGAACAGGAAGGCTTGCCCCTCAGCGCATTTGCCCGCATCAACATCAAACGCTATTCACGAGAAGGGGCCATCTTCCACGAGTGGCTCCGCGTCTTTCTTGCCCCGATCTTGGCCCAGCTCGACCAGCCCGTCGAGGATCTCGTAGCCGATTTCGAGCACACGCGCGCCGTCCTCCGCTTCTCGCAAGAGTTCCTCAGCTTCCGCAGGGTGGTCCTGACCCAGTTCCGCCTCCCGAAGAGTCTCGTCGATAACTTTGACGAGCACGAGGGCTTGACCGTCGAGGGTGTGGGGCGCTTCTATCTGGCGTACTACCGGGCGCACGAGGCGCGCAAGTCGCCGGCGGAAGAGGACTCGCACCATGGCGCTGCCGGTCCGTCGCCCGCCTTCCAACGTCTCATCGAGAACTGGTTTGTCTCATCAGGCCTGAGCATGGCCACTGTGCGTGAGCAATTCGTCGGCGAGGCCTTCGCGGGTATGCTGCGCGCGCTCGCGCCCCGTCATGTGATAGAACAAGCCGAAGGCGAGCGCTACTGGGGGCTTTTCAAGAGGGGGCTGGCGAGATATCTTCAGGTGGATGATCAGGACTGGGTGAGTGGATCAGCGTTATATTGCTCCTGCCCTCAACGGTCTCTAATCCTTTCTCTCGTACAGGCAAACTTCCGTGAATTCGGGGAGTGGCATTTCCGCTTCCTCTTCGTCCACAACCTCCTCGACCGCAAGTCTCCTCGGGCGACGCTCGAGTCGCTTCGCCCAATCCGCGATCCCGTCACGTTGGGTGGAGCTTTGGCAGTCGGCCCGGTGAGTTCTGGGACAACATACAACTCGGGACGCACCACTGACTGACCTCTTCCCGCACAGCCGCATACTCAGAATACCTTGTCACGCAAGAGGCGCGCGGTATTGCTGGCGGAGACGGTGATCACGCTACTATACCACGTCCTCCACGTATCGGACGATCGCTCGGATGCCGCCGCCGAGCTGGCGATATGCGTCTTTGCGGGGATGCGTCATTTCATATGAGCGGTAGCATAGGCATTCGTATGGACGGTAGCAGATGCATTCGTATGAGCGGTAGCGTAGGCAGCATTCGAATAGAAGAATGGTAGTATAATCATCGCCTATAGCAAAATGTCAGAACTTGAGCGTCGTGGCCAGGTGGTAACAGCGCACGAATATCGTAGTGAATGGGATTGGTCCTAGTAGATATTTGTAGAATTGGGGATGGGAGGCAGTGCGCGCAGCGAAAACCGCTTTTGTTGTCCACCTGGGTCCATTGCACGCTTTGTTGTCAATTCTTGGTCGTCTTTCGTTTGCCACGGTAGGGCGGATGCATTCATCAGATTGATGTGTTGACCGTCACGGACAGCAGCCTGAGCGCTTAGACGACTACCGAAAGCAATTGTCAGTTCAAGTTACGATGCTTCCTACTCAATCGCCCCGAAACTAGGTCGACAAGAATTCGCTGGCCGGCCTGCGAATGCTTATGACCGCGGCATCAAAAAACATGCACGTTGTTGTTTGTAGCGTTGATCATAAACACGGACCACCGCCGGATTTGGCGCCCGGACATAGCGAAGAATGGACATACGCCTCGAATGCCATAATCTTATAAGACGAGACGTTGAGCTTTCCTGAATATCTCCATAAGCCACAATTCTCTCCGACAAAGAGTCCGACCCGCTCACCATGCCCGCTCTCATTCGCTCCGAAGCCTCCACCAGCCCATGCAACGAGTTCCGGTCCTTCAGGCTGAGCTTCGAAGCTAAGGAGAATGCGCGCAAGTACGGCAAGGACTCCGGCCTCTTTATTCAGTGGTTCTGCGCCTTAGTCCAGCCCTGCGCCGAGTGGCTCCTGCACCCGCGAAACTTCAAGTTCAGCGACAACGAAGTGCGCGAGGTGCTGGTCTTCTCCCAAGAGTGGCTCGCCCTCCTCGACTTTAGCAAGGAGTTTGCATTGAGAACCGAGGAGCAGCGGGAAGTGTTGTATGGGTACAAGTGCGACATTCCAGCGGCGCTTGGCGGGTACTGGGGAGCTTTCCATGCCGCGTGGGAACTGTGCCCAGAGCGTCGTGTCAAGGACTCGCCGTACAACTTTTCGAAGCTCGACATCCGGGCGCTCGGCTACGTGCGGAAGTGGTTCAACGACGCGGGATTGCCGCTGAGCGACATGTGCCAGATGTTCGAGGATTTGCCGTCGGAGGTCATACAAGAGCGGTACCAGTATCTCTTCGACACCAAGGGTCGGAAAAACGAGCCGGATACGAGACGGTACTGGAGCATATTCCTCGCGGGCTTGGCGAGATGTCTGGTACGGGAAAGCCTGAACATGGTGAGTGGGATTTTTGAACCCAAGTGCGAGGACGTTGCTCACCGAGCCCATTATAGTCCGGTCACAAACCGTATGAGCGGCAGGAGCGCTTCCGGGTCTTTGTTCCCATCGCGCGCGAGCGTCTCAGCTGGCTGGAGTGTATCAAGGATCCTGTTACTTTCGGAGGAGCGATGGCTTTGAAGGAGGTGCGTCGATGATTCCGTACGGGGGACTGGTCAATCCCGTATTCGTACATGAGACTAACCTCATCATTCAGCCCGCCACGTTCCACAACGGCTCTCCCTCGGATCGAGAGGCGTACATCGTCAGGAACATGCTGGCGATATGCAGCTACGTGCTCACGGACTTGTGTATGGCGGAGTCTTCGGCGGAGCAGGCGATTTGTATGTTCATTGAGACGCATCGTCCAAAAAATTAGTACCGTAGAAGATCATACTCATTGTCCAATGCCTGAAGAACATCAACCTGAGAGAGAAGTGGGAATACACGAAGCCATAGATTGATCGCAACACCCCAGCGTAGATTACTTGACTGTCAGCAAGCCGAGCACGAGCACACCTGTGATACAGATACCAAAGGGACCTATATCTTTGGGTTTGCTATAATGACCAACACGTTTGTACCAGATTCACTGAGAAAGCCCGAGGCAAGGCGATGGATGTTGGCTTCAAGCGCGAACGGCAATTGCCGAGCTGCGGCTCGCAAAACCCGGCCCGTCGGCGCCCGCGCGTTCGATTCTTGCTTCTGACCATTCCCTTGCGCAACTCGCTGCATCCCGCTCGGCTCTTGTGCTTATCTGCTTCGGCATAGCCTCTGTGACTTCTTCTCCTTCTCTAAGCCGTTCCAGTCCTTATTCGAAAATAGCCATCCTCAGGAAATCGACAAACATGGCGTGGCGAAATGCAACTCGAGGGCTACCTGCGATGGCGCTGTTGCGCGAAACCTCCTTTCAGTCGCTCGAGATAGCAAAAGGCGAGCTTGTTGCACCTTTCTCACCAATGTCTTCGACGGTTCTGATGATAGCGCGCGATTGCTGCTTGGCTCGTCTCGTTCGATTGGTGCGCTCCTCGACAGTTCCCATGCCTTTCCAGCTACCTACACAATCACCTCTCGCCTCGCCGAGTCGAAAGTAAACTTCTCTGTGTCGCGATCACAAAGTGGTCAATACCAGCGTTGATCTGCGATATCAGTTCTCTGGTTTGTGCGCCTCTTGATACGAGCGCCATTGTGGTCACAGTTTGCCCAGTATGAAGGCTTTTCGCGGTACGCGTCGGAGTTCATCTACGTGCTATGCCTCTCTATAAGCGTTATATAGGGGAAGCGCGTCCTGGAAGCTGCTAATTTTTCATGTCCATCCTCACACGCCCCGAGGATGTCTTCTCCCTTTTCCCCTGCCAGGCGCACCCTTCTCAGTCGGCCATACTGAGCGCGGAAGCATTCGCTGACCTCGATATCTTCGGCCGTGGTCACGCCATTATCAACGAGTGGTTCCGCGCCTGGATTGAGCCCGCGGTCCAGGATATCCAGGCGCCCGTTCGGGGCGACGCCGTGACATTTCAGCGCACGGCGGAACTACTCAATTTCATGCAGCACTTCCTGCAGTTCCGCACCGTCGCCCTTCGCCAGCTCGCGATGACGCAGGCTGACATCGATCACTTCCGCGCGCGCGAGGCAGCGCTGCTCGACCAACTTGGGTCGTACTGGGCGGTTTTCTATCACCTCTTGGAGAGGGCTACTCTCCCGATTCCTAGCGCCCTGGACAGGACTGCCAAGCGTTCTCTCAAGACTCAGACCGAGTACAGAAACAGCCTTGTCGCCGAATGGTTCTTCGACGTCGGGCTGGATCTGGATGCTACTAAGGGTGTTTTCGATCGCGACGCATTCCAGGATCTCAAGCGCAAGGTCTCGAGGCACTACAGCACCGACCGAACCGTCGGAGGATGGGACAAGAGGCGCTTTTGGTTTATCTTCTCGACCGGGCTCACGAAGTTCATCACTATGGGCGAAAAGTACTGGGTCAGTAAGACGACGCCTACATAGCTTTTTCCCCTCGCGCTGAACTGAGATATCTCCAGAATTACCTCGTCGGCTTCGACGGGTGGACGTCGCGCTTCACGTTGTTCAATAGGGCTTTGATGCACGAGGGCCCTCTCGATGCGGTGATTCCTTCTCTGCGTTGCATTCACGACCCTATCACGTTGGGTGGCGCGTTTGCGGTCGGAGCGGTGAGTGATGCTGTTCGCGAGCCCTTCAATTTTCTGACGCGTGGTCGTATAGGGCCATAGATCTAACGAGCTGTCGAAGGAGGTCCGCTCGCAGTGCCTTGGGAGAACTATGGTTCTCATCATCGCCCATTCCCTTCGTGCTCTTTCCGAGGGGTTGAATTCTTGCGCAGTGCAGGCAGTTTCCGCCTTTTTTGCGATGAGTCGCCCTGGTCTCTTCGGTTCACTTGAGTAGATTGGGATGTCCCCCAGGCAACCTGCCCTTCAATTGGGCAGACGAAGGCGATTTGTGCCCATCTGAACGTGTCACCGGTATTTTGTGGCGACTATTCTCTCTGCAATCTGATGAACGGATTTTTCAATCTTATACGAGGATATCGCATTATGAGGCAGCTCTCGATGCCGCACGCTCCGGTAACAAACGCTCTGAAAACTGGGTAAGTGATTGCGGGTCCAGAAGCCGGCGGCAAATCCCGAAGGATGGCTGGCGGTGGCCGAATATCCATCACGTGTTCGAGCCTGACCTCCGCACACATCCGACATCGTATGCACTTTGGCTCGCTACACAAAGATGAACAAAACACGGAATATTTCTCTCGGGTATATCATTCCAGGCCTGCTCTTCGATGCAATGACCTCATTGGTCCTGCGAGGAGGTTTTTGTTGTCTGCCACACTTACCATCCCATCGAGCTCGTCGAGCGAGAGGCGGCACAGGTCGCTTTCTGCTCCCTCCGGCTCCAGATTCTGTTCCCTCCGGAGTCTGAAGCTCTGCTTCGCGTCCCGTGCTGCTACTCTCGGGAAGTCCATCACTGCTCGCCAACAAACGCGCACAAGCCTCATATGCGCCATTCATCCTCCGACCGCCCTTCGGTGTCTGCATGCGACAAACCTTTGCGTTCTCATCACTGTAGCACATTCATGGCCGATATCTCCGGGACGCCTGCTGCTCCGGATGTCGTAGCATGCATGCCCGACTCCAAGGGAGTTTTTGTTCGGGTTGTGAGTCTCCGACGTCGACCTTTGACCGTCATCCGTCGGGCTCAGCAGGGGCCTGTCAAGCAGATGCCAAGGCTTTACAATATACGAGGACCCATTCAAGACACGAGGAACTCTCTCATACGCGACAAGATGAAGCCCCGACGAGCTTTGTGAAGGCATGCAACATGGTGTGTATGTTTCTTCTATGTTTTGTCCTCCGCATGGATTGCGGTTATATATTGGGAGCGCGATTGTACAACTCACCCATCCTCAGCCCAGCGCACCTCATCACCCATCGCAGCACGATGTCGTACAATCTCGTCCAACCCGTCGCCGCCTTCTGCACACTCCCTATGCAACCGCACCCGACGGTGCCAGTAGCGCTCGACGCTGCTGCCTCCGCCGCGGTTATGGACGCCTGGAAACCAGCGCTGAGATACCGGGCGGATTTTGCCCTGAAGCCATCCGGAAAGCTCAGTCCAGTCGTCTACAGCCCCACGAACACTATATACTGCCTCATCGCCGCTAAAACTCACGAAAACTTTATCACCGCGGCGCGCGACTTCCTCCTCCCTCGCGTCGACGGCAGACACTACACCCCCGCCGACCGCGCGAACTTGTCGCGCTTTGCCGACATCGTGCTCTACTTCGCCGACTGCGCCGGCATCTACTGGGAGATGGCCTTCAACAACGGGGAGACTTGGACGGACGGCGGCGAGACGGCGCTGGAGACCTCGCAGTACTTCAAAGACTACGTGTCGGGGCGGTGGGCTGAAGATATCGAGCGATTCTTCCGTGCGCGGGGCCTCGATGCGCGCGCTGTGCAGGGCGCGCTCACGGCCTGCGTGCCTGCCGGCCAGGATAGCCAGCTGTACCAGGATATTTTCTACTCTGGCGTGGTACGCGCGCTTAGGAGTCCGCAGCCCGAATATGTGAGTCCGCGTGCAAGATGGGCGCTCCCGCCTCCCCGCCTCCCCGCCTCCCCGCCTCCCCGCCTGCCTGCCTCCTCGCCCCCCACCTTCGCTTGCCCTCCATCCCTCTCATCTGACTCTTGACCTCGCAGAAACACATCCAGAACCACCCTTACACGCACACGCGCTTCACGTTCTTCAGTGCGCTGCTGAGAGACAGTTCCTCGAACCTGCGATCCGCCGCTCTCCAGCGCATCCGCGACCCCGTCACGCTTGGTGGTGCTTTCGGCGCGCGCGCGGTACGTTGTGGTTTTTCATTTGATTAGATGCGCTAGCTGACGTTGTATTTTTTTTGCTTCCCGCGTTCTGCGTGTCTCTCGCGTTTTGCTTTGTCTCTGGCGTTTTGCTTTGTCTCTCGCGTTTTGCTTTGTCTCTCGCGTTTTGCTTTGTCTCTCGCGGTCTGCGTGTCTCTCGCGTTTTACTCCCTCACCTGCATCCCCAAACCATTCACTCCACCCATCCACAGCCCTACAGAAGCACGAATATCGACGCCAACACTCGCGCAAACTATCTCATGCGGGACGTCACCGCCATCATCCGGTATGCCCTCGAAGATCTACCGCAGCCTTTGGGCGCGACTCTCCCCGAGCCTTCTGAGCGCAGGGCAGAGCAGGCGATCGCGACGTACCTCGGCATGCCGAGGCTATAGAGTCCAAACCACTGTGAGGCAGACTCTATACTGCTGTAAGGCAGAATCTACACCGGTGGAGTCTGACGGACAGCGGTATGTCGTAGCCCACGTCGCAGAGGGCGATTCTTGTGACAGTAGTAGTCTTTATTAGTTTAGTGTTAGGGATCCGATCTTATTCTGAGCTACTTATCCGGATCGCATCCACTGGCCATCGCCCACTGGATGTCACTCGACGCGCGCGACGGCAAGAAAGTAGGACAATCTCAGACCTAGGGTCGCTCCCTTACTCTGCCTAGTAGGGTCCGTGTCGAGGGCGAGGCGGCGCATCGATGAGGGAAGAACAGCGAAAGGCGTTCAATGCACTATGTAGTAAGCTTCCATCGGAGTGACAAAGCCTTCACCCGTGCTTTCTTCCATCGTCGCACCCTTTTTTCCGTCCGCCCTCTTCTCTCATCTCCAACAGACTCGCGTTCGAGAGAGAGGCTGCGCTTGCGCAAGAGGCGGCGGTCACGCACAGAGGGACGGCAGGGACGCACCAAGCGCAGATTGCGGCGGAGGAGGAGAGAAGGACATGGAAATGTGGCGTGGAGAGAGTAAAGCGCGAAGTGCGCGGAAGAGCGCAATAGCGTGCTCGGAAGAGCGCAATAGCGTGCTCGGAAGAGCGCAATAGCGTGCGCAGAAGAGCGCGGTAGCAGCGTACAGAAGAGCGCGAACAAGACGCCGCGCGGACGATGCGGTTGGCTCTGGGGGTTTCGACAGCAATCGAAGGAGAGCTTCGACAGCAATCGAAGGAGAGCTTGAAAGCAATGGAAGGGGAGGTTCGAAACCAAGCAGAGGAGCGAGCCAAACATCTGTCGTCCGGGAAGCTAACCATCCCCGACGAACCATGTCAGTGCAACGGTCCAGCTCATGACCGTCGGAATTAAGAGCACGTTCTCGCGCACCACGCGCCGCGTCGGTCCCGCGCGTACTTACGCACGATCATGTGATGGGTTGAACTTCGACGCGTTCTCCTTTGATTGGGCTTCTGCACACAGTCCCTGATCACCCCTTCGTCCCGAATCTCAGCTTCTTTGTGTCACGATTCTCAGATTCCCTTCGTCCCGAATCTCAGGTACCCCTTCGCCCCGTCTCTCTCGCGAACGAGCGGAAGACCAAACGATTGATTCGACGAAATCCAGTGATGATGTACATGATGCGCCACTCCCTCCACTCCCCTCACCCACTCGCCCCCCACCCGCGCCTACAACCCCTTCACTCCCTCCTCGCGCCTACAACCCCACTCTTCCCCTTCACCCACTCTTCCCCCACGCCTTCCCCTTCACCCCCTTCACCCACTCTCCCCCTTCTCTCCCACCCCACGCCCCCCAATATAAAAAAACCACAAACCACCCTCCCTCACGTCCTCCACCTCCCCCTCCCCATCCACTCTCACCCCTGCCACTCCTTCCAAACTCCACCCCTCAACCTACGTCCTCCAAATCCTCAACAACCGCCCCTCCGTCACGATCCGCGTCCTGCACAGCGGGCACTCGCGCGTCGAGCGCATGATGAGCGACGCGCAGGGGGCGCAGAGCGCGAGGTGGCTGGGGGTGGGGGGTGGTTAGTGGGTTGTGTGAGGGGGTTTAAAATTTGAGGAAGGGGGGGCAAGCGTAAGCGAGCAGAAGTGGGGTGGGTGGGTTAGTGGGTGGGTTAGTGGGTTAGTGGGTGGGTCAGTGGGTAGAGGGGGGTTGGACAAGGAAGGGGCGAGGGGGGGGAGGGGGAAGTACAAGGAGGGGAGGGGGGTGGTTTGGTAGAGGGTAAGGGTGGTTAGTAAGTTGGTAAAGGGGGAAAGAAGAGGGAGGGGGTGGATGGGAGGGGGGGGCGGCGGCGGAGGGAAGGGGGTATAAGAGGAGGAGGGGTAAGGGTTGGAGTGGGCGAAGAGATGAGGCGAGGGGCGAGGGCATGAGGGCGAAGAGGAAACGGCAACGAGATGACAGTGAAGACAGAGGGGGAGAGATAACAGAGACGGCAGCTCGCACTCACCCGCAGTCCACGATCGCCAGCACCGCGTCCTCGTCCTGGCACACGACGCACAGCCCGGGGCGGTCCGCGTATGAGGTGGCCGCCGACGTCCGGCCCGAGGAGGTGGCCGCCGACGTCCGGCCCGCGTAGGAGGTCGCGGGGGAGGGTCTGGCTGCTGAGGCGGAGGGTTTAGGTGGCGACGAGGAAGAGGGATTCGGTGATGAAGGGGCAGGAGGCGGCGAGGAAGAGGGATTCGGTGGTGACGTCGTTGCCGGCGGAGGCACCGAGTCCGCCACGGACATGGGAGGCACCGAAGCAGGCGGCCCGTAGTCGGCAGGCGCCGCGCTGCCCTCCGCTGCTTCCTCCCGTCGCGGCGAGGGCGCCCTCGGTTCTTCCGGCGCCGTGGAAGCCGTCGGATGCACATTATCGTACGCCTCCCACTCCCCCCTCTCCGCCGCCTCCTGCATCTCCCTCACCTCCCTCGCCCGCCGCTCCTCCCCAACCAGCGCTTTCACCTTCAAGACTAGGTCGGCTTTCTCCAGAACTTGGCCCAGCGGGACGTGGTTCGTGCGGAGGATCTGGGAAGGGGGGAGGGGGTTAGCGCTCGCGCGGGAATTGGCGAATGATGTTAGCGCTCGCGCGGGAATGGACGCGGAAAATGGGGCGAAAAAAAAGAACCCAAAAAACACGCACCCCTTTCAGGTTGTGTACCGACAGCTTGTTGATGTCATCTTCTGGCATGTCTACGAGTTCTTCGAGTGTCGGAGGTGGCGGTGGCGTGGGCGGGCGCGTGGTTTGCGGTGGGGGCGGGGGTGGTCTTTGCGAGGGGCCTGGCAAGGAAGGTCAGCAATGGCGGGACGGAGGAAGGTCAGTTATACAATAGCGTGAACGAGGGTAAGGAAGGTCAGTAATGGCGGACGATGGTGCCCCCGACCGCGTAGGGAGCGAGCAGAAGAGGGGGCGCAGAGCAGAAGAGGGTGCGCAGAGCAGAAGAGGGGGCGCAGAGAAGGAGCACGAAAGACGAAGGGGGAAGGGAGCACGAAAGACGAACGGGCGCGCACGCGAAAGACGAACGGGCGCGCGCGAAAGACGAAGAACAACAAAACGTACCTCCTCCTCCCCTCTCCGACGTACCTCCGCCACCTGATCGTTGTGAGGGTCCACCCGGCCTCGACTGCGGCGGCGGCGGGTGCGGCGGTCTCTGCCCCGCTTGTGGTGGTGCGCCGGGCGGTGGGGCGTATTGTTGATATTGGGGGGCGTACCCTTGTTGGTATCCACCACCTGGCGACGGCTGGTACGGAGGTCTTGAACCCGTAGAGTCCTGAGATCTCGAACCCGTAGGGGGAGGCGGCCCATCCGGCGCCAAATCCGGCCTCGCGAACTCGGGTCGTGTCTCGCGCGGCGGCTGCGCGGGGGGTGGCGGTCCTTTGGGATGGTCAGTATAGTCGTGACAGAAACGAGGGGTGTCAGTGGGGATGAACGTATTTTGGGAGGGAGGAGGTGGGCATAGTCAATAACGACACAAACTCCATACTCACCCTCCGCCCGCGTACTAAACAACCCCCGCGGCTTCGCATTATCGGGATGCTTCGGGACCGAGTGCCGGCGGTAGAAGCGCTGGGGAGGGCGTGTTAGCGTGCTGTGGGAAGGGTGTGGAGGGAGAGGAGGGGGGTGAGGAGGGGTAGGGGTGAGAGGGGGGGAAGGGGCAAAGGGAGAAGGGGTAGGGAGGGGAAGAGGAAAAGAGGCGAGGGGTTAGGGAGCGGCGAGGGGGAAGAGGAGGACGTCAGAAGCGCTTCTGAGCCCGGAATCCTCATGGGAGGGGGTGGGCGTGTGCGGGGAGGTGTGAGACTGGGCGAGGGGGGGGGTGCGGCGAAGGGGGGAGGGGTTAGGGGGAGAAGGGGACGGGAGAAGGGGAGGAGGGTGGGAGAAGGGGTGAGGGGTAAGGAGGGGTGAGGGGTAAGGAGGGGTGAGGGGGGTTAGGGGTGAGGGGGAGAGGAGTAGTGGAGAAGGGGAAGGGAGAAGGGAGAAGGAGGTGAGACTGGGCGAGGGGGGAGAGGGATGAGACTGGGCGAGGGGGGAGGGATGAGGGTTAGGAGGTGGATGGGGGGGAGGGTGGGAGGTGAGGTTGGTGGGAGAAGGAGGGAGCAAGGCGAAGGAGAAGGGGAGGGGTGAGGGGAAAGGGGAGGTGGGAAGGGGGGGAAGGAGAAGCAAAAAGAAGGGACGCGAGAGAGAAGGGGGGTGCGAAAACGACCAGGAGGGACGGGGCGCAAAAGACGGCACACGGAAATACAAGGAGCGCCCACGCACCTCGTTCTCGAGCGGGAGGCAGCCGTTTTGGCCCTAGAGTGGAGGGGGATGTTAGCGAGTGTCAAAGGAGGGTATGGGAAAAGGAGAGGGAGGGAAGGGGGAGGGGAGGAGGAGAGGGAAGAGCGAAAGAGGGATGGAGGACTAGGGGGAGTCAGTGATCGTGTGAAGGGGTCGGCGGGCGAGTGAAGGGACGGGGGACCGTCATCCAAAAAACGCTCGCCCCTCTCTATTCCCCCCTCCCCCCTCCACTCCACCACCGCCCTCAACTCCCTCTTCTTTCGCCCCTCTCTCCCCCACCCAACCACCCCACCCAAACTCCCCAAAAAACCCCGCACTCTCGCACTGAACAACCCACATTCTCCCACTCACCCTCACCCCCACCACAGCCCTCACCATCTCCTCCTTCTCGACGGCCAGCTGCGCGGCGCGGATGCCGTAGGCGGTGACGTAGCCTGGGTAGGGGGATTGTGAGTAAGGGGCGGGTTTGTGTGTTAGTTAAAGGGGGAGGGGTTAGTAAGGGGCGGATGAACAAGTGAGTAAGGGGAAGGTGACTAAACGGGCGGCTTTCATTCATCGCTCCGCGAAGCGATGGTGTGTGTGTGGGGGGGGGGGGTGGTTCGTTGGTGTTTTCCAATTTGTTACGAGTGCGCAAAGACAAGGACAATGACAAGTAAAGCACGATAATGTTAGTTTACAAAAAAGGAGCACAAAACTCACGCTTCAACTTCGCGAGCGGCATCTGTCGGAGGGAGGAGGGCGGGGTGGCGGTTACTGGGGGGGGGACGTCAGTGAGGGGTGGGGGGAGCGCGTTCGCAAGGACGCAAGCGCGTTCGAAGAAAGTACGCAATCGCGTTCGAAGAAAGTACGCAAGCGCGTTCGAACGAAGGCTCTATGTAAGGCAAGGGCGGGAGGGCGAAGAAGAGAGGGGGGCGAAGAAGATTGGGGGGAAGGGGAAGGGGGGCAGAGGAGGAGATGTGGGAGAGAGATGTGGAGTGGGATGTGCGAACGAGGCGACGCCAAGCGCGACCAAAACAACGTCGGGTGCGTGCGACCAAACCAACGTCGGGCAAGGGGGAGAATCAAACAACGTCGGGCGAGGGGCGGCGGTCCATCCCCCTCCTTCCATCCCCCTTCGTCAACCAGATCAAACCATCACAGAAAACTCACTATTCAGCATCTCGATGCAGAACGCGCACACGGGGGCGGGGTCGTAGCCCGCGTTGGTGCCGGATCTGGGGTGGGTGGGTGAGTTAGGGATTCGCGCGTAAGTTCGGGATTCGCGCGTAAGTCAGCGAGCTCTCCTTCGTCTAGGTCTAGATAGGTGGGAAGGGAGGAGGGAGGGAGAGAAAGAGGGATGAGGGAGAAGGGAGGGAAAGGAAGGAGGCGCGCCATGAGAAGACGACGGAAGGACACCCCCTCACGTAGCAGAACGCCCACGCGCCCCTCCACGCCCAACAGCACGCGCGCCCCTTCCCCCCACACAAAAAAAACCAACCACGCACCTCGTCTCCCTGGGCATCAACGCTTGATAGTCGGAGCAGGAGTGGCAGTAGGAGTAGCCGCAGTGGTTGCAGCGGCGGGCGCGGGTGAAGATGATGTTGAATTCCTGGGGGAGGAGGATAGGGGAGGTGGAAGAGGATAGGCGGAGGGTGTGGGAGGGGGGATGGGAGGAGGGGGGTAGGGGGGATGGGCGAGCAGGAGGATGGTGGTGGTGGGAAGAGGGTGGAGAGGATGAGCGGGTGGGGGAAGTGTGGCGCGGGAAGTGAGTGGGGGGTGTGGCGATGGGGATGAGGGAAAGGGGAAGAGGATCGGAAGCGCGGGAGAGGGTATCAGAGGCGCGGGGAAGAGGATGAAAGGCGGGCGAGAGCGAGAAACAAAGGTCAGTCAAGGCTGGGCGACGAGAAAGGGAGGTGGACGCACCTTGTTACATTTCCTGCACGCGATCTCGGCGCGGCCTGTGTCGCTGGGCGGGGGCGGGGGCCCGCTGAGGAGCGGCATGCCGCGCGGGGGGTTCATGGTGGGCGAGGGTTTGTGTGGCGCGTTGAAGGGGGGCGGTTGAGAGTGGTGGTGGTGGAAGATGAGGGATGGCGGGTAGTGTGGCGGTGGTTGAAGGAAGTACGCTGGAGGTGCCGATCGCAGGGCTACTTGAGTGATGTTGAACGCGATAGTGAGAGGAGGGTTGGGCGCCCGCACGATGGTCGCGAGTGGCTGCCAATGGAGTAGCGATGAAGAGGCGCGTCGAGTGAGATGTGTGCGTGTAGATGGTGATGATGTGTGGCGTGTAGACGGCGATGAGCGCGTAGGGCGCAGGTTGCGATCTCTGAATCTAGGCTGACGATGTTTGGCGCGGCGCGTCCCTGTGTGCCGCAGCGGTCAAGAAGCGCACCACACTCTACGACGCCCAGCAGCGGAGGAGAAGAGCAAGGCAGTCGTCAGAAGGCACGGTCACTGTCAGCGCCGATGAGGCGGCCCTGCTGACTCAGACAATTGACGGCAAGCACGCCAAGAGCGGGGGTTCGGTCCGGGGTTGCGAGCCTCGTGTGCTGATGGAATCGGGCAGCTTGCTTCCCGCCATGTCGGTGCCGCCCTGGACCTTCTCTTCCCGACCTGCCAAACGCCCGGCGGCCACCCAGTCTGGTCTGACAGACCACAGTCAAGCATACGCCTGCCGCTTGTCGTGTTGGCTTGGAGCCGCGGTCATCTGCGATGTGCGCTCTTGTAAGCGCCCATCCCATGCCAATTGCCCGATCGTGCCCCATCCTGCCGTTACTCCACGCGCTTCCGAGAACAGTCCTTTAGACGTGCAGATCGACGTATATGCTCCTCGTTGGCATTATCACTTCACGCTCGTCCGGGTGTGTCGTCCCTCGTCGTTACTTACCTTCAGCTTTCCTTCTCCTCCTTTCCCCGCCCCTCACAATCTCATACTCCCCCCCTCGCATCCTCATACTCCCCGCCTCGCATTCTCATATTCCTCCCCCACCTCTTCTTCGACTCCCTTTACTTCGTATGTCCTGTCCTCCACTTCATCAGTTCTCACTTCCACTCTATCCTCCCATTTCCGTATCTTTTCTCGCACCCTTCCCCGCTTTTCTAATCCCCAACCCCCTTTTCTCCTTGCCTGCATTACCAATCCCATTCCTCCTTCCCCGCTTTTCCGATCCCCACTCCTCCTTCACCACCTCGCCACCTCTGCATACCCATCCCTCGTCCTATCGCACCTTCATAACTCATCTCTACAGCCAGGCCCAGCGGAGCGATTAGTCCCGCTAATACACTCCCAAGCGATCCACGCTAATACGCTCCCAGGGCATCCTCGCTGATACCCCCCCCCCCCCCAAGCGATCCTCGTCGTTGCGCTCCTGTGAGATCCTCGTGTGCGCTCCCCGTGGGCAGGAGGGAGCAGGAGGGAGTCGCTATGAGTGACGCTATGGGGCAATGGGCGTGAGATCTTCAAAGAGAACATGAGACCTTCATTTCCCTTCCTCCTCCCATTCCCCTTCCTTCCTCTCTTCCGCCCTCCCTTCCTACCCTCTCTGTCCTAGGGTCGTTATGGGGGACGCTATGGGGGAATGGGAGTGAGATCTTCAAAGGGGGCGTGAGACCCTCAAGTCCCTTCCTCTTCTCTCCTCCCTCCCTTCCTCTTCTCTTCTCTCTCCTCCCTCCCTTCCTCTTCTCTTCTCCCTCCCCCCTCCCCTTCCTCTTCTCTTCTCCCTCCCCCCTCCCTTCCTCTTCTCTCCTCTTTCCCTTCCCTTCCTTTGTCGTCTCTTCCCTCCTTCCTCCTCTCTCTCCGCCCTCCCTTCCTCTCCACCGCTACTCTCATCCGCGCGATGGGCGTGTGGTGCCTCTGTCCTGTCCTGTCCTGTCCTGTCCTGTCCTCTTGTCCTGTTATAAATCTGACGCCTTGAGCTACCTCTCCCGCGTCGTACGCATCGGGCTACCTTCCGCGTCGCACGCATCGGGCTATCCTGTCCTCCCGCATCGTACGCATCGGGCTGTTCAGCGGAAGGGGGCCACGTCATCCTATTTTTCTTCCTGCCCCCAACCTTCTTCCCCCCCAACCTTCTCGCCACCCCCACCCTTCTCACCACCACCCTTACCGCGGTCAGGCCCCTCCCGCGCGCTAGCCACCACCCTTCTCACCACCCTTGCCAGCGCCACCACCGAGCGCGGCCAGGCTCATCCCCGCATCTTCGCCAGTGGACTGCTGATGTGGGAGTCCGAGCGCGGGGGGCCGATGTAGGGACCGCACAGTGCGATTCTGAGGGAGGAAGGGAGGGGGGCCGGCCAATCAAGGGACCGCGGGTGGCCGATGTAGGGAGCCTGAGCGCGGGGGCGGATGTGGGGAAAGCGGGCGGGAGGGGATTGGTGGATGAGGGGGGGAGGAAGGTGAGGTGAGCCGGGGAAGGGTAGGGTGAGGGGGCCATATCCTATCGGAGGGTGGGACGCGCGGCTTCTACCAGAAGGGGGGAATGCGCGCCATTCGACCGCGAAGACGCGCGCGTCCGCCGCCTGCGAAGGCGAGTGCACTCGAGCGGGGCGAGCAGTCGCTCGTCACGCGTCGGAGGGGGTGCTCCTGTACATGTCGAGGAAGGGCGCTGGTCGAGTTGATGAAGGGTGCCGCTCGACCCGCGAGCGAATATGCTGCTCCGTCAGGCAGTCGCTTTGTTACCTTGTCAGGGTGCCGCTTTTTTTACCCCGTCAGGGAGCCGCTTTTTTTACCCCGTCAGGGAGCCGCTACTCGACCTCACTCAGTCGGCTCATTGCTATTCACATTCTGTTGCCAACAATCGCTGTTGTTAGCGCTCTCGCTGTCGTCGACGCTCCCTCCACCCATCCTCTCGCTGATGTCGACGCCCCCCCCCCTCCCCTTCTCGCTATTGTCCACATTCCCCCTCCCTTCTCGCTGATGCCGACGCTCCCTCAACCCATCCTGTCGCCGTCGTCGTCGGCCCCCCCTCTAGCTATTGTCGGTGCTCTACCCTCCTGGCTGTTGTCGGGGCTCCGCCCTCTTGCTGGCGCTCTCCCCCCATGAACGACCTTGATTTCTCCCGCGGAGAAAAGGGGCGGCGCATTCGTATCAGGGTGGCGCATGCAGATCAAGGAGGGAGTGCCGACGCGGACCTCGGCCGCACGAGGGGGGTATCCCGTCGACTCGAGGAGGATATTTCGTCGACTCGAGGAGGGTGACCCGTCGACTCGAGGAGGGTGACCCGTCGACTCGAGGAGGGTATCCCGTCGACTCGAGGAGGGTATCCCGTCGAGTCGAGGCGGAGGAGAGGCTGGATCTGAGGCCGGGGTGTGTACGGGCGGAGGAAGGGATGTGTACGGGCGAAGGATGGGGCGTGGGCGGGCGGAGAAGGAGGTCCGGACCTCGACAGAGGGGCGTGCTCGACTTGGAGGAGACGGCTACGACCCTTGAAGGCTTTAAGGAGAAGGCTACGGCCCTTTAAGGAAAAGGCTACGACCCTTTGAGGAGACAACTACGACCTTTAAAAGAGACAAGTCCAACCCTTTCAGGAGGCGGCTACGACCCTTTTTCAGAGAAGGCTCTGACCCGGGAGACGCGCCCGACTCGGGAGACGACGCGCCCGACTCGGGGGACGACGCGCGCGACCTCACCATCGCTCCTGTCCCCAGACGGTCCGAGAGCTGGATGCTTGACTGGGATGAGAGGCGGGCGGTGCTCGACTGGGAAGGGAGGCGGGCGGTGCTCGACTGGGATGGGAGGCGGGTGGTGCTCGACCGGGAAGGGAGGCGGGTGGTGCTCGACTGGGAGGGGAGGCGGGCGGTGCTCGACCGGGAAGGGAGATGCACAGTGCTTGACTAAGAAAGGAAGCGGACGGGTTGGACGCGAGAGGTCGACCGCGTCTGCAAAGCAGACCTGAGAGGTCGACCTTATCGGCACGACAGACCTCAGACAAACAAAGGACGGTCGTCGTTGATCGGCACGGACGCGTGGACGCTGTAGACCAGCACGGACGCCCGGACGCTGTTGCACGGGAAGGGACGCGGGCGAAGTGGGCGGCATCTGAGGAGGTGGGCGGCGTCTGAGGAGGTGGGCGGCGTCCGAGGAGGTGGGCGGCGTCCGAGGAGGCGGCCGGGGCCAGCTCGACGTCGTCGTCATCGTCATGGAAGCCCTGACCGGAACTGCCGCCACTCCTGGCCTGAACTTCCGCCACTCGCGCGGCCTACGAGCGGCTACGCTGGTCCCGGGAAGGCGCGCTTCTGGCTCGAGGGGACTGAGGACGAGGCGCGAGGGGACCCGAGAAGGAGGCGCGAGGGTCACGGTACGAGTCGTGCTCGCCCAATCGCGGGGAATGGCGCTGGAAGCTGCATGCTTGCTCGGTGAAGCATGGTCCAGAGAACTGAGGGGGTGCGACGAACATGCGGACGAAGGGAGCGACCGATTCCATGGGCAGACGCACCGGCTCGTCTGCGCTGCGTAATACTAACTCAGAAGCACCTGGGGTGGCGCGTCGGGGGATTTCGAGATGTCGGGAGCTTCGCGAGCCAAGCAGCGGATGTGGCGGGCGCGTCGGGACCGAGAGGAGCTTCGAGATCGCGCACGGGTTCGCAGGCGGTCCTTGTGCCGCCGAGTATACCTCGCGCCTGGCGCGCCATTCGGGATCCCTGCTATCCGCGCCTGGTGCGCAGCCATTTTTTGTGCTCGATTTCGACGACGTCTCGCCTCTTTCTCTGCCGATGGGTTCTACTCGAGCACGATCTCTCTGGCCTTCACCCCGCCTTCGTCAACCTGGTCCCAACATTCATTGCTGAAACTTCATTGGGGAAGGGACGTACCCGTCGATGAAGGCGCCCGTCAGACTCTGGACGCATACGCTGCTGTTGGGTGGACAAGTCTACTGCTGCTGCTGCTGCTGGAACGATAGACCCCCCAAGACGGAGCGGTCGGGTCTCGGGGCTTGGGCACGCGCTTTGTGCAAGAGGCAGCAACCCCTGCGTCGTCGTCAGGTCAAGCCCGCAAAGCACCGTCGCAGTGAACCCTCGCGCTGTCCGACCTCACGTAAAGACTACGCGATGCAACGGGGAGCCGTTGCCCTTGCCATCCCGCCCTTGCTCGGTTTTAGAAGCGGACGGATCGAGGTGCGTATTGCGAACTCACGTGAAGCGGATGCCCCTTGACCTTGAACGAAGCTCGAGCAGGGACCGACCCGCCGCAGGAGGTGCCGTACTCTACCCACGAGAGAGCAAAGGTGCTCTATCCGAGGGATGGACGTGCATGTCGGAGGAATGCAGATCAGAGCTCAGATGGAGAGGGAGGGCCTATCACGCCAGTTCGCGCCGACAACTGCATTGCCAGCTTTGCGCGAATTCTAACAGCGCGCACAGCCCTTCTGCAGGAATCGTACAGCCACCCAGGCACTGGTTGTCAATGCTGCGCACATGAGCAAAGCGGTACTTACCTGCGTAGTATCTGCGCCGGCCTGTGTCTCGGCCGAGCGTTGGGCGCTACTGCTTGACTTCGGAGACGACTGCTAGTGGGCATGGAGGTGACACTGCTGCAGTGCATCATCGTATCACGATCTGCATAGTTGGTGATATCCCGCCCGGCCAGCGTGATGAACTGGCTGCGGATCATATCTAACCCCCCTCTAGGTGCGATGCTGTAGGTGTACTAGCATCTGCGGGATTTCTTTGAGTAATATGTATGAGCTTCGTGCAGTTTGTATCATAGCGCCGCTGTATCCCCTCGTACATGTCAGTCACAGAAGCCGACGCCGGCTGCACTGGGCTCAGTGCTTTGAAGTCATGATTTTCATGAGCGAATTCGTGGGCGAGGGCTATGGCATTTGTGGCGTATAAAGGAGCTCTCCTTCTCGATGCTACGACCAGCGTCGGATTCGCTTTCTCGTGATGTCCCACAGCACACAAAGGTCAGTTGTCAGGTTCATGCTCATTGCTTCTGCGACGAAGCTTACCCCAGCGCTATGTAGGTACCCCACCTCTCTCCAGCGTGAGAGGATGGATTCGTGGACGCACTGGCCGATTGACACGAATGTTGAGCTCCCGTGTGGTACGCTGCGCACTTGAAGACGACGCGGAGGACTAACACACATACCAGCGTCTTCGTCTTTGGACTCTCGATTCGCAAGCAGCGCCCTCGAGGCTCCGTATGAGTGGGGGAACGTAGCGTGCGCGGGCTCAGAGTCGTTGATTCCTTCCACGAGAGGGGACGGGATGGGACCCACGCTTTTCGAAGCATCAGTCATCGGTGGTACTGGTCAAGCAGAATTCCGACTCGCCAACCTTCCACAAGATCATATGTGGGACGACATGCAGCATCCAGCACATCCTGTCAGCAGGCCCCATTACCTCGCAGCGAACTTGGGACTAGCTATGGGCGGACATGGTCTGGCGAGTGTCGATACCCGCGCGTCGGTCAGCCCTCGCGCTGACCATGCGCTGGCCGGCCCTCGCGTCGGCCACGATCCAGACGGCCCACGCGATGTCGTAGGCTCAGAGAAGCGGGACATCGCGCACGACCGTCGCCGCCGCCGCCACAATGCCCCCAAGTATCGGTGTCCTTGTGGCAAGTGGCTGTCGAAGAAGAGCGGCTATGAGGGTACGTCCTTTGCGCCAGGCCTCCCTCAGTGACCTGACCGAGCGCAGACCACCTTCGCCGTCACGAGAACAAGCGCAAGTTTGCGTGTCGCCGCTGTTCCTCCCGGTTCAACACCAAGCGGGACCGCCAGAGGCACCAGAGCAGATGCCGCGCATAAGGAGCCTGAGGGAGATAACACCCTAGTGGGTGCATAGACCGCCTAGTTACTTAAATACTATTAGATTAATCTGGAAAAAGACGAGAAACTGATGTAATTTGTTTCCTAGCATATTTGTTCCATGCACGCACCAGCGACATCTCCACTCGCTGGAGAATACTGTATATTGACAGAGCAACTTTGCCGGTCCGCAACAGCAGGCGCGTCCGGTTGAGCATGATTGACATCATGGGACATTCGTATTGATGCCAAATTGAAGTGGTTGCGTCGCTAATTTTCGCTCACGTTCATCGTTCCCCTCGCTTTGGAGGCCGCGCTCGGGCCATTAGTGCGAGATGTGGTCGAAGACAAGGGCCGAGTATCCGTGGCGGATAGCGCAGACTTATTGATCGAGTAAATGCGGCCATACGCAACGATATTCCTATCGGCGGAGGTGCGGCGATCGTTGAGGGCTGGGAGTGCGCCCTGAGCGCGACGCTAAGCGAGATCAGGTCCAGGCCACGCACAAGCCTCCTGCATGTCCAAAGCCAGCTATCGGCGAGGGCAGTAGGACGACAGCTTGGTAAACAGGATTCTCGAGGTTGATTCCGCCAGTGACTTGGGACGCGTGTGTTACAGGACCCGAACCGAGTACGACGATCAGCCAGATGGCTCCCCACTGTTGCTCGACGAGTCTATTTGTGAAGGAAGGTAGACAGTTTGGCCAACAATAGCAGAGGGCGCCCGCTGAGCCAATTCCGCGAATAGTGGCCTCTGGCAGCGAGAAGTCAAGATGCACTCAGTCCTCGTACTCGACGCGCATTCGAGGTGGCATTTCGGTGCGTCCTCTACACCTCCCGTCGTATTTCCAGCTCGAGTAAATCGTGGCCCTGGATAAGAGGATGGACGTGGGCAGAAGGAAGATTCGAAGCCAGCGTCCGGCCAGATCCGGCTAGCCACGGCCCACCGGCATTTGCCGTCAGCATAATGCAGCGTCGACGATTGCCCTCATTGAGATGAGTAGACTTTGGCCCCGAACGGAAGAGCGATACGGGGAAGAATCAAGAGTAGATGCTGATTTGACCAGGGGAAGGTAAGAAGATTGGACACGTCTGTTGAGCTCGGATTCCTGGTCCTCGTGCCGTACTTCAATGTTGGTGCTCACAAATCTACCTGCTCGATACGATACTCAAAAGCTACACGACTACAGCCTCGACATGCCGAGGTACGTCGCGATCGCCTGCTCTGCCCTGCGCTCAGAAGGCTCGCGGAACCCCGCGACCAAAGGCTGTGGTAGATCCTCGAGGGCATAGCGGATAATGGCGGTGACGTCCCGCACGAGAAAGCTCGCCCTGGTTTTGGCATCGATGGTCGTGCTCCTGTAGGGCTGTGGAAGGTGGAGTGCATGGCGCGCGGGAGCGGGTGAAGGAGTAGAACGCGAGACAAACAGGGCGCGAGAGACGAGCAAAACACGCTAGAGACAAGCGGAACGCGGGAAGAAAAAAAGAGGACAACGTCAGCAAGCGTATCTGATCAAATGAAAAACCACAACGTACCGCGTGCGCGCCAAAAGCACCGCCAAGCGTGACGGGGTCGCGGATACGCTGAAGAGCGGCAGATCGCAGGTCCGCGGAACTATCTCTCAGCAGCGCGCTGAAGAAGGTGAAGCGCGTGTACAGATAAGGGTGGTTCTGGATGTGTTTCTGCGAGGTCAAGAGTCAGATGGGAGTGATGGAGGGCAGGCGAAGGTGGGGAGGCGGGGAGGCGGGGAGGCGGGGAGGCGGGAGCGCCCATCTTGCACGCGGACTCACATATTCGGGCTGCCGACTCCTAAGCGCGCGTACCACGCCAGAGTAGAAGATATCCTGGTACAGCCGGCTGTCCCGGCTGGCGTGCATGCAGGCCGCGAGTGCGCGCTGCACATCGCGCGCATCGAGGCCCCAAGCACGGAAGAATCGCTCGATTCTTCCAGCCGACCGCCCCGACACGTAGTCTTTGAAGAACTGCGAGGTCTCCAGCGCCGTCTCGCCGCCGTCCGTCCAAGTCTCCCCGTCGTTGAAGGCCATCTCCCAGTACAGTCCGGCGCGCTTGGCGAAGTAGAGAACGATGTCGGCGAAGCATGCGAAGTTCGCGCGTTCGGCGGGGTCGCCACGGTGGTCGCTGCCGTCGATGTCAGGGAGCAAATATTGGCGTGCGGCGGTGGAAAAATTCTGGAAGTTTTTCCCAAGGATGAGGCAGTAGACGGTGTTCGTGTTGCCGTAGACATCTTCGTTGATTTCTCATTGGGGCGTCAGGAGGATCTCGGCCTTTCTCTTCAGCGTGAGCTCCCAAGCGCTCATAACTGCGGCGGCGGTGGCCGCGTCAAGTGCTACTGGCGGTGTCGGGTGCGGGTGGCCGGGGAGTTGGACGAGATTGTACGACATCGTGCTGTGATGGGAGATGAGGTGCGCTGGGCTGAGTATGGTGAGTTGTACGATCGCGCTCCGAATATATAACCACAATTCATGCGATGGACAAAAGATGGAGTTGGCATATGCACCATCATGTTGTTCGTCGTGCGGCTGTTTTGTTACTTGGTCAGGACGTCTAACTCGCCTTTCATGAATGGATGAGCAAGATATGTTGAGGAATGTTTGTCGGCATCTTCACCCATTCATGTACCTGCATAGCAACATTAGCGAGAATGGCGGGTGTCTGTTAGCGCCGGACACTCGGGGCAGCAAAGAGCAGCATTCATCATCCACAAAGTACGTACCAGAGGTCCGTCAGTCCCGACGAGCACCCTCAAATCATGACAAGCAAAAGACGCCCCGCTAAGACCACAGCGTGGAAATGAACGCATGAACTCAAGTGAGGACCGGACGGTGAAGGGAGGACCGCTGAGTTTCGACCGAAGCAGCAACATAGCTGTCCGTAGAGAGACGCACATAGCCAAGTCACCTGATAAGAGCTGGCTGAGGAACTAGAGTGAGTCGAAAGCGCATCGTGCCGCGGCCGCGGCCACTTGCTCAGTGTGCATGGGCCTGATCGGCGCGAGAAACAAAAAAGCGCTTCAAGCAAGCAAAGGGGTCTTCATCGACAAAAGTGGTCTGTAACGCTTCAAGATCGCGAAAGCTCCTGGCAAAGAGAGGCTGAGCTGTGAGACTACTGGCAAAGAGTGAAGGAGCGTACGATGTGGGAGGAGGCAAGGTTCGAACGTGTGGGAGTATTTGGTTGTCCTAAGCGAACCACGTGTTCGGAATTTGCCGTAGTGTTTTACTTCCGACCTTCACGACCCCGGAAGCGTACGCTGGGCTCTCGCAAGATCAAGCGCGCGTAAAGTCGATTTGAATACCAGTGGGCGAATAGCTAACATTTGGATAGGCCGGCGTCCCCTGTGGCTGATGCACGGACTGTGGCCTCGAAATGGCCGCTCGGTGGCAGTTGCAAGACGATTTTCCATTGGGTCTCTGTAGGCATCGTATATTTTTCGACGAGCGACTACTTGGAGAAAACGCACTATAGCTGCTCGGACACAGTAAGGAATGCAGCAATTGCCTGCTCCCCCGTGCGCTCCGACGGGTATACAAGTCATGGAGGGCGAGGCTGATGATGCGCATGGGGTTTGATGTGAAGGCCTGTTCGAGTCTCCGTCGCGTGGTTGAGTTGCTTGTAGATCTGCATAGGAGGAAACAATCAGAACGAAGAAACAGCGCACCTGACCACATGTACCCCGAAGGCGTCACCCAGGGTGACGGGATCGCTGATGTTCTGCCGGGCGTTGCCCTGCATCTGCGCGTCCTTGAGGTCGTGCAGCGACTCGTTGAAGAGCTCGAATCGCCGCGCCTATCCCTCGTGCACGACCATCTGTGAGCACGACCTCGTCAGGAATGCGGGCGCGGACGCAGACGGGCAGGAGAGACGCACATACTCGTTCCTCCTCACGAACGCGCGCGTGATGCCGGAGGAGGATCTCCCAGAAGTACTGCGTGTCCGCGCCCGGGAACGTCCCCAGCGCGAGGGCGTGCTGCACAGCGTCCATGGACTGGCCCATGTCGATGAGCCACGGCGCCAGGCGCGCAAGGTAGTCCGGGTGAGCGAACTTGCGGTGGTAGAACAATTCCGAGAACGGCATATTCACGTCCTCCGCCACCGCCTCGCGCTCAAGCCAAAAGGGCATCCAGAAGCGCATGAGAAGGAACAGAGACGATTGGTGCGGCGCGTCTGGCTACGCGATGCCGAAGTTATGCAGAGACTCCGCCGCGCTAAGCGCTACGCGGATGGGCGCGGTGCTGGTCGGGTCGCTGGAGTAGTACATGATTTGACTGGGCAGCTGGGGGGGCCGGGCAGACCGGATGGCGCGCTCGAGGCTGTATTGCTGCAATTCGCAGGCGCGGACGACCAGCTCGTCAGGATCGAGCATTGGTCGAGCGGGAAACGCGCAAAAAGCCGCCGGCGTGTGCGCGCAGGACATTTGAGGCGACAGAGTGCATGGACCTCGAAGGCAGAACAAAGTCCCTTCGGCAGAATCAGAGAAGGTTTTGCATTGAAGAGTGTTATTTCTGGGTGTTGCATCCTGGCTCTGTCGAGGAGATACCAGCTGGCCTAGCTGCGCACGATGCGGGTGGAAGCAAAGTGTGGGAATTGTCCGTCCTGATTCGGCGACGCACATGCTCGGCATTTGCCGTCAGTGTTTTGATTCCGACCTCCACGACACGGGACGTTTGAATGGGATAGCCAGGCTCTCGCAAGAATTCTCGTATGGAAAATACTCTATGTTCTCACAATAAAGCTGCGCTCTTGATTTCTGGAAGAACGCGACAGGCATATGCTCTCCCCTCCCCCGCAGGGCTTACTTCACCGCAAAGTATCATGAAGGCCTCTATCGTTCTTCCTCTGCTGATACTGGCCGTTTGAATTCATGAACAGGAACTTCTGGGGCTGGTTACCTTGGGCGCACCTCTCACCCTCATAGCGCCTTCCTCCTCGCCTCTCACGCGCGCCCTCCACACTCTCGTGGTCCTCTCTCTCTACCTCACCCCTCCCCAACTCTTTCTTCCACCCCTCCCACAGGATCTGGACGCCATCAAAGGGCGGGGGGAGGGGGAGGGGGGAGGGGGAGGGGGGAGGGGGAGCCTCAGGATGCAGAGGGATGCAGAGGGAGGCGAGTAGTAACCCCAGAGGGGAGGCACGATTTACTCTGAGGGTCGAGCCGCTCGACCTTGAAGGCGGAGGCGCATTTGACCCCGACGGGGCGGCGGTTGACCCCCGAGAGGAGCCACTATCGACGTCGACGGCGGGAGCGCAGTCGGTCTCGAGGGTGGTTGCTGTCGAGCTCGACGACATAGTTTCGGCGGACGTCAAGGGCGGAGGCGCAGTCGGCCATGAGGGGGTTTTCACGAACGATGCGAGGGGAGTTTACACTCGATCTCTGTGGTGGCGGAGCGCTCGATCGAAGGACCCCACCCAAGGGGGGCGGCCGCGTCAGGCTCAGGATGAGCCGTGCTAAGCGACGGGGGCGCGGCGCCATCCTGCTGGGGGAGCGGCGCCCAATTCTGCTTGAGCAGCGGCGCGCTATTTTACCCGGTCGATCACGGCGGGGCAGTAGGGTGGATCTCGCGCTCGACACAAGGGCTAGCAGGTACATGCTTCCTGACCTCAAGGGAAGGTTCGTGCGCTCGAGCTTGAGGGAAGCCAGTGATACGGCGCAGGCTTTGAGGTAATGTAGCAGCGAAATAATGAAGGCAACGAAGATCGCTGCAAGTCACTGGCGGCATACACTCAATGCCAGGTCTTCGTTGATGCGCTGCGGAAGCCTCGGACCTTCTGTCGACGCATCGGACCTTTCGTCAACGCGGTGGGCCTCTGGTCGGCATGACAGAATTTTCGCTGGCACAATGGACCTTCCGGTGGCACGGGACCTTCTGTTGGCGCCAAGAGCCCGGTGATATCTGACGCGCTGCTGATAGAAGATACACTCACGAGCCGGCTGGCTTGTACAAGTGTGTCTGTGAGCTACAGTAGTACGTACGCGGGTGATTGGACGTAGTAGATGACTATCACTGACGAGTACAGGGTCCGCACTCGCTATCTATACCGATGGGGGGCATTCATTGGACCGATACGACGAGAAAGGGCACTCTCATGTCAGGCTCCGTTCCGGGCGGCTTTCCGACAATGAAGAGAGCCTTCAAAACTCAAGGAGGGGTCAAGCACTTCCATTCCTGCAGCCCATACTTCCCTATTCTTTCATCATCATGTCCTTGGCAAGCGCGTACGCGTGTGGCGAGAGTAGCTCAGGAAACGAGGTGCAGGTGGCACAAAGGAGACGCTCCTTCCCGCTGCCAGGTTCGTTTGCCACTGATTCCACCTCGTCCTTCGGAGGTTTCGCCGTGCGCACAACTTTCGATGCCGACTGAATTGGACTGGATCGGGGAAATGACGACCGCGTCGTTGACGGTGTCATCTTTGCCCTTCATGTGCGTGTCGCGGGAGTCGATTCATTTCCTGAGTGGTGGTGCCCCCCGTGTTGTCGCACGTTCCCTGACATGCGCTTGGAGATCGTTAATAGCCAGTGTCGTCGGTGCGTTATTAATGACTGATCGCCGTCGTATTCCCTGTCCTATGTCGCACTTACCATCCGCTATCCACAATAGGTCCTCATTCGGCAATTTCTGCATTACATAAATGTCGCACCCTTGGCGCGCGGCGTTGCTGCAGGACTTCGCGAGTCCGCATCGCGGTGACAATGACAAGCACGTCCTTCCACTTCACTCAATGGAGACTGCGATGACCGTTCTGCAATAGCCGTTTGAGCCATACTGTTTCACCGCCATCCGAGAAAATCACAGTCTCGCGTGTACGATGGCTTCACCGTCTTGCGAGTCACGCCGACTTCAAGCTGCTACCAAGGGTTGCCCCCCAGGACCACTCCTTCCCGATCCCGTAAATTCGTGACTGAGATCTCAGAGACAATCACACGCGCTTTATAGATAGCCTTTGATGGCCGGAGGGCGGGTAGCCGACGAGCGGGGCCTGAAGGGAGTGCTAGAACGAGTGTGACCTGTCAGACAGTAGCCTCAGGCGTCCGTGCTCGTGTCTAAGGATGTAAAGGACGGTTCATGCTACTGCGGCGCCTACTACCCTATGGTAAGCGATGCCATAATCTGACGCCTTCGCCTGAGTACCGATTCATCTTAGCCACATCAACAGACAAAGAGCTGTGGATGGCCGCATGGAAAGGCGTCTCTTTGAGAGCAGACAAATGCATCGCGTGATGGTCTCGCGACGCCTTTTCGCCTCAAGAACACGTGATGGTGCTGAACTTAGACCACCATGAGCGTCCTTCCAGCGAACGCACACACTTTCATACGAGAAGAGTCTCTGACCTTCAGCGCATAGAGCCCGATATGAACATCGTCGGTCAGTGAATTATATGCATGAGCTCATGGGGTGTCTACCGTAGATGTGCGTACGTCCCCCACATAGCCATCGGGAATGTATGCGATGTTGTGAGCATAAAAGGGAGCCAGTCTCGTCATCTTTGTCACCTCACAAGGCTCTGTTTCTGCTCACTCTCGCTCCTCTTGACACCCTCCTCATTGTTCATACACCCACATCGGAAGAAACCGCGTACATACCTTGAATTATATGAGCATGCTGTGTGCAAACCATCTCGATTCATCGATCGAATGTGGCATACCCACATATAGTTTCTGGCATAATAATAGCCTTGGAGCAGCATTTCCTCCAGGTATGTTTTGGCATGCTCTTCTCACTATTTGAACGGCCAATTGAACGTGTTCTGATGTTTCCAGGATATGGGTATACCCCTTCGACAGCGAGCCCGACGTGGGCCCAGGGCGCGCTTCATGACGGGCTCCTGCTCGACGACCCCGCCTTCCGTGCCGTCCAGTACCAGGACCTAGAGGGCGCTGTCATCCTGTATCCGACATCTGATCTCCCTGTCGCTCGCTCGGTCGTAGGCTCGGAGAAGCGAGACATAGCTCATGCCCTCCGGCGCGCGTGCGTGCCCCAGCACGAGTGTAGCTGGTGCGGGAAGAGGTTCACCAGGAAGCTCAACCGCAATGGTGCGTGGTTCCTTGTGCCCGTGCCTCCTTCGCACATTAATCGTCTGCGCAGAACATATCCTCCGACACGAGAATCAGCTTACCTTCTCCTGCAATGTCGCCGGGTGCACGCAGCGCGTCAACACGCGAAGCGACCTCAGAGGTCACCGAAGGAGATGCCACGACCGAGGCGCGGCCGAGGCGCAGGCAGAATAATACGACGGGGCACGTCGGCGAATGTGGTGGATGGCGACAGAGGCGTGCAGTTGAGTATGAGGGGCAGCGCTTCAGTCACCCACGCGATGTTGCGCAGCTCATGGGCAGGGCAAGGATATAGACTGTAGCGTGATTCTTGATGATGTAGACATATATTGCATCGGCATAGGAAGACGCAGAGAGGCAAACGAGTGTCGTGAGCTAAGCCGAGGTGCCAGCGTTCGTGATAGGGTCTGCCGGTGACATACGTGACGTCGGGTGAAGGCCGTGAGCACTGAGGTTCAGGTATTGAGCCCAAGACCATACGACGACGTGACGCAGGTCGCATCATAGGTACTGAGTACATGGGAGGAGAAGAAGTAAGGTTCGTACACGCGGGCCGACGCCGCCTCGACTGTATTTCGGCTTTTGCCGCCGGCTTCTCAGCATCTACTTGCCTCAAGTCTTACCTTCATGACGTCGTCGACTGCACCGCCCAACACTGACTTGCTCCTTGGTCCCTGATAATTCTCATATACCTACCTATGAAAGCCGATCTCCATCTTCTCCCGTTCATTGACAGTATGCGAACGCCGAACGCGCATTCCGCAGCCCGCGAAGCTTACTTACCGGCCTTCTTAGCGGCATCTAATCCTGACGTCCTCATGGAAAGCAGTATAATCCTTGATCATCGCATGTTGAGGTTCATAGAACAGCATGAAGTTACGTGTCGGGCGCCAACTTTGAATGAAACGTAGACAATGAATAGAGGGTAGAACGTCTGCCTCGTCGAGGTTTGTCCGTGAATGTTGACGAGCGCCGGGTCGGCATTTTGTGGGGGGATCCGTTCAGCGGACGGGCACGTAGGACGGTACAGACAGATCTTAAAGGTTGTATCGACTAATCGCGAGAAAGGCGGCAACTGCCTCCTCTGCGCAAGCATCTGAGCCTTGCGAGAGCGCGCGAAGGGCATGGTTGATGATGAATATCATCGTCCGTCCGAGCCACTTTGATCGTTCTTCCTTCGGCAGTCTGCTGGATTTGTGCACCTTTCATAATTCAGATCAGCGGCGCAGATTTGGATGTCGCGATTGTCACTTACCGCCCCGACCGCGAACGCGCCTCCCAAGGTGACAGGATCGTGGATGCAGCGAAGGGACGCAAGCATCGCGTCTAGGGGCGCCCCACGCAGCAATGCCGTGTTGAACAAAGTGAAGCGCGATTGCCACCCGTCGAAGCCGACGAAGTATTCCTGGAGAACGCGCCCTCGTTAGACATATGTTTAGGAGGCCATATATATACTCGCGGACGTACCAACTGTTTGTCACTCTGCTCACTGGATCGTTTCAGCGCCGTCGAGAAGATAGCCCAGTACCGCCTTTTGTCCCATCCACCGACGGCGCGGTCGTTCCCGTAATGCAGGGCAATTCGGCGCTTCAACTCCTGGAACGCATCGCGCTCGAAGATGCTCTGTGTGGCCCGCAAGTCAAGCCCGTTGCTGGAGAACCACTCTACGACGAAGCGGTTCCTGTGCTCGGACTCGGTCTTGGGGCAAAGCTTTACAGACGTGTCCAGCGCGCGTGGGAGTGGGAGCGTGGCCTCGCACATACGCTGCTGAAAAGCCTCCCAGTACCGCCCGAGCCAGTCCAGCAGCGCCATCTCGCGCGAGAGGAAGTAGGCGATATCCGGGGGTGTAGTGAGAAGGTCGCGGAGGGCGATGGTTCGGAAGCGCAAGAAGTGCTCCATGAAGAGCAGCAGCTCCGCGGTGCGAGCGGGTGTCGCGATGGAGTGTGCGAGGGGAGGAGAGATGTCCTGCGTCGCGGGCTCTATCCAGATGCGGAACCACTCGTTGACAATGGCGCGGCCGCGCCCGTATTGGTGGAGGTCGGAGGTGGCCTGCGCACTTAGCGAAATCGGCTGAGACGGATGTGTTTGGCCAGGGAAGAGGGCAAAGTTCAAGTTCTCGGCGGGGGGCATGTTGTAGGATGGGTGGACATAGCGATAAAGGCACCTTTTAATATATAAGATGCAACAAAACGCACGCATACATGCTTGAGCTCCGAGGCTCGTCGCGCTATGTCAAGAGACTCAAGCAGGCTTTGACCGACATAGACCAGCACACGCCCGAGGTACGAATTGACTTCTATGATCAGTATCCAGAACAAGCTGTGGTCGTGCCAGCCAATCGAGCGTCAGTAGGGCATGGCTAGACAGCAGCCAGATATCGTCGCAGCCAGGCGGCGCGACTCGAAGGTATACCCGAGTAAACCGATCCCCGTAGCAAGTACAGCGTGGCGTGGGTCATTGCGCGCAGGTAGTATATCATCTGCGCTCTCGTGGTGTTGTAAAGGTGTAGGCGCTCAAGCGACACGGAGGCATCCATATCAGCGACGTGGTGGTAAGAAGAAGGTTCGAACGTGTGGGAAATAGCGGGCCGGATCGATATCCGGCGAGTCTGCGTCTCGGGATTTGCCGCTTGCTTCTTGTACACGACCTCCACGAAACACATCGCGAGTCTCCAGGACGTTCCCAATCTTTGCACTCATGATGAAGCAACACCGCTCAATAGCCTACGCTAAGGAGCCACTTTACTGTCAGTTCTCAACTTCGATAAGATTGTCCGTCGAAGTCTCGAAACTATCTAGTACAACGAACCCCATTCGTAGTGCAATGGCGAACTAGTGGAGACTCTCCCTGACTGTCTTCGATATGGACGTGCGGCCTCTTCGGTCTACCACGCTCAGGTTGTTGGGCAACTCTTTCAGTCCAGCGCTCAAACGCTGTGAGTCATCCAGGAACCGGCCTCCACAGCCACCGGTTTATCCCACGTGGAGCGTTCAAACGATCATTGCATGCGGGCGATCGGTACGGAAGATAAGAAATTGTCTCTTCCCCAACCCCTCCAAGTCCTATACATTGCCTCGCGCGGGAGGCAGACGCCCATAATGTGCTGCTGAGATCGACTAGTGCGTGCCACATAGCCAGCTGACAGCCGTTATCTGACTTCGGGCTCCAGCGGGAGATAACCACAAGTAGCTCGACTCACACGACTCGATTGCACCTAATCGTCGCCCGGAACGTCGATGGCAGAGGCCCCCCACATCGCACACCATGATCAGTCCAGCAATGGACACCAAAACGCTCGCTCCTCCATCGAGAAGGAAGAGTTAGAAGCGCTTCCCGGCACTCGCCGTCTATTCGATAGCGAGGGTCATGTCACTGTGGTCCTCAACTTCGCGGGCGACGCGTCGTCCCTCAAGAAGCACGGCGACGTCGTCCTCATCCCCCAACCGACCGACTCGCCGAACGACCCCCTACAGTGGTCGCTCGCGCGCAAGATTTGGCACACGGCGCTGGTCTGTTTCGTCACCGCCCTAACAGCCGCCACGTCGAACAGCGCGGGCTCCGCCGCGGACGGTTTCAACGAGGAGCTCGGAATCGACTACTCGTCGTTCAACACCGGCGCCGGCATCCTGTTCATCGGTATCGGGTACTGGGTGCTGTTCTCCTCGCCCGCCGTCCACCTCTACGGGCGCCGCATCCTCTACCTGGTCTCCATGATCCTCGGTCTCGTTGGCAGTATCTGGTTCGGTGTAGCCAAGAATGAGGCGGGGACGATTTGGAGTCAGCTCTTTGTCGGCGCGTCCGAGTCCATCGCCGAGGCGGTCGTACAGCTCAGCCTCATGGACCTGTGGTTCGAGCATCAGGCGGGCGCCGCTATCGGCGTGTACGTGCTTGCCACCAGCGTGGGCACGTATCTTGGCTCGCTGATCGCGAGTTACATCGCGTACAGTTTCCTCGGCTTCCGCTGGGTCGGCTACATGGGCGCGGTCATCTGCGGCGGCACCCTGGTGCTGCTCTTCTTTGGTCTAGAGGAGACACAGTTCGACCGGGCGGGGTACATGGCCAAGCACGGCCTCAACGTCAGCGAGCGCGTTGAGAAGGTGGTCGTCGACGCGGCTCTCGACGACGAGAAGAAGGGCGGCCAGTCACCGACGCGCGACTTTGAGCGCTCCGGCTCCGGCTTCGCCGAGCCCGAGGCGCAAAAGTCGTACTGGCAGCGCATCCAGCTCATTACACCCGCGCACAACCTCCGGGGCACCGGCTTCAAGCAGTGGACGCGGCAGATCTGGCACACGCTCAAGGTGTTCACCTTCCCCGCGGTGTGGTACGCGGGCCTGCAGTGGGGCATGCAGAGCGCGATGCTCACCTTCTACCTCACCGTCGAGCAGGACACGTGGTACGGCGCGCCCTGGTTCTACTCCGACGCGCAGGTCGGGAACATGAACATCCCCACGCTCATCGGCTCCGTCATCGGCTGCTGCATCGCCGGCTGGGGGAGCGACTACTTCACGCTCTGGGTGACGCGCCGCCGCGGGGGCGTCATGGAGGCCGAGTCGCGGCTGTGGCTCATGATCCTGCCCACCATCATCTTCCCCGCGGGCATGTTCATCTTCGGCATCGGCTCCGGCCGCGGGTGGGACTGGCCCGCGCCGTACGTCGGGCTCGGGTTCATCGGGTTCGGCTACGGCTGCGCGGGCGATCTGAGCATGGCGTACCTGGTCGACGCGTACCCGGACATGGTGCTCGAGGGCATGGTCGGCGTCGCGGTCATCAACAACTCGATCGGGTGCATCTTCAGCTTCGTCACGAGCCCGTGGATGGACGCGAGCGGGGTGGAGAATACGTTCATCGCGGCGGGGGTGCTGTCGTTCGCGGCGCTCGCGACGACGCTGCCCATGGCGGTATGGGGCAAGGCCGCCAGACGCGCGACGAAGAAGCGATATGACCGGTTTGTTGCAGAGCGCGATGGGCTGCAGAGCTAGGGCTCGGAGGAGAGCGACGCTCAGACGAGGACATTGACGTGTACGTGCGTGGCTGCACTCGTGGATCGGTGTAATGTGTTTCCCCATAGATCTTATTCACGCTATTTATCATCGCTCGTTCGGTTATTTGCTTTAGCAACTCGTTTCCTTGTTGTGCTCAACTTGTTTTCCATGTTGTGTCTACAATCTCGAGCTGTGGTGAGGGCTGGTTGAAGGGTCGAAGAAATCTTGCAATCGTGCGATGTGAGTGGAATGATTATACGGCCAGATGTTGCTGCTTCGATACATACTAGGTCCGAGTGTGTTGAACTTGTGCATGAAGACCTTGCAAGCTCCCCGATTTGATTTCACCACACTTGCTCTGTCTTTACTTCTGTCGAAATCAAGTCCTCTGCTATTAAGGCTGCGTGTGGCATACTGACGTGAACGTTGCCCCTTCCGCTTCGAGTGGCCGACCAAATCCTCGGTTTGCTACATCCCGATGAACAGTCGGAAGGCGCGCTCCTGCAACATCACTAATAATCTTGGATAGCGGCACGCGAGAGGATGCTGCAAGCGCGCGTCCGAACGGTATTGCGCGGCCACAATCGGCGAAGTTCGCGTCGTTGTTGCTACATTACGTGGGTATCTATAATTTTTACACATTCTTCCCTGCCTTAGGAAGAAGAGACCAGAAGTCTAAGAAAGTCGACACTGCCTGGACTCCCATCATGTCCCTTGACCTTGAGTCCTCCACACCATCACATCGTATGGCATGGTATATCGCAATGGTCAGATTTTGCGCAAAGATCTGTGTCCGCTCCTGCTCAGACAGCTTCTTGTCGTAGTAAGCTTCGTACTGTAAGCGAGTGTCAGCGAGGGGCAATCCAACCCGGCGAGAACCTCCAACTCACAGTTTCGCTGCCGACTACTCCGCCAAGGGTGACAGGATCCATAACACAATCCAAGTCGATGCGATATCTTTCGGGTGGCATCACCAAGGTCACGAAGTCTATGCTCAGTTGGTAACGAACGCTCCCGCCGTCGATCGTCTGAGCGGCAGTCGAAGGCTGGGAAAGAATGAGATGCTGATGACTTAACTCGTGGCACTGCAGTCAACTCACCCACTCGCTTTTTTCGCCGTTCTGCAGGTAACGCACCAAGCCCGTGAGGATGATACGCCAGTACCGTTCGCCGTCGAGATCAAACCACCCCTCGGCGAACCCAAGCCTCCGCTGCATCTCGACAAAGGCCGAGGCGCCAAACATCGCGAGCATGGAATCAAAGCAGATTCGCATCTGCTTGAACCAGGCCTTCACAGCGGAGACGACGGAGGGGTCGGATAGGTCGATGGCACGCGGCTCGCACTCCTCCATGTAGTCGTAGTACGCATTCCAGTACGCGTTGACCTCGCGCACGGCCGATTCTGCTCTCTCGTCGAGTTGCTTCTGGACCGCCTCTGGCATACAACGGCTGTCGATTATCCACTTGAAGTCTGAGAGCTCGTTCGAGAAGGCGACGATCTCGTGAAGGCGCGGGTCGGCGGCATTGAAGTTCTCCCACAGCGCTCGAATGCGAGGCATGGCGGGCTCGAGCCAAACGCGCGACCACTCGAGCAAGCGTGCGCTCTTTTCTCCGTAGCGCTGGAGATCCGCGTGCGCCTCTGCGCTGAGGACGGGGGAGCTCGACGGGGTCTCCTGGTTGGGGAACATGTGGAACGAGTCTCTGGTGAGGGTGGCAGCAGCCATGATGCGTGTTAAGGACGATAGCGAGGGATGAAGCGTACGAGTTGGATTATGGGGCTATGTGAGTCTCCGCTCTCCCCTATATACGCGTGTCGAGTGTCATAGCAACCGCGTGTGTCGACCGTCGCCATGGTCTGAGTCCGACCAAATATGCAGCAACCTCGAGGCGCAATTCAGCGCACTCGATGAAGGTCATTGTCACCTCATCTCCGATATCCCCGGATAGGCGTCGTCATTGTTCCAAAAAGGGAACAATAGGCCGAAGCTCCCGAGGCATTGTGCGCTATTCGAGGTAAGCGTTCTGAGTCACGTAAAGCCAACGCCACCTACCTACAAGGTCGAGCGCCTCCGTGTCGTACCATGGTTACCGAGCGCACGGACACTGCTTTGGATTCGATCGTAGGTCCGATGCAAATGAAGAGATGAATCGCATTAGCTATCTAGGTCCTGGAGCCGAATCAACTCCTCCCAGTTCTCCGCAAGGCAGAAAAATTCGGGAAGTCTCTTCCAAATCCTCCACTTCCCGCCCGCAAACACCTCGTTAACGTGGTTCCTGCAACGAAGACACAGAAATTCGTGCGCGATGCAGAACTCGTCGAATGGTTCACCATGAAAGAAATGCAGATACCCGGAGTCTTCCACGAAGCACTCGAAGGCTTCTTTGGTACTACATCGTTCACTGCACCCTAGCGTAGCCGTCTCCGCATCTTCATACGCATAGGGGAACATTTCCTCGGCCTGGGCGTTCAAGACCGTGTGCAGGCCCTGCAGTGCCGCCGCCTTGTCTTCGAAGGATATAGGTAGGTCGCGGTAGATGATTGATGGGTCGTCACGGTCCACAGCATTGATGCAGATGAGGTAGGCGAAGGGGAGAAGGGAAAGGCCGCCGATCTCGCGCGCGAGGTTGATTACGGCGGTAGCCTGCTCGAGCGATGGTCGATTCCGGGGATTCTGGGGGACGGTGTCAAGGGAGGTGGGGAAGTGGCGACCAAGGATGGCCAGACACTCGCGACGGAGGCCTGTGAAGCGGTACTTGGTCGCTATGCGAACGACATCGGAGACGATGGGCAGTGTGTCGCCGAGCTTGCGGAGGTGCAGTGCGGAGAGGAACCTATAGAGAATTGTCAGTGAGTGAAGCACGGGAAAAAAATCGAGCACGCACGACGCATCGTAGAGCGTATCCAGGACATGCCGCCAGCCATTAACCGAGTCGCCCTGAAGGGTTACCGAAGGGCATCCATCCACGTCGTCGTGTACAGGAGGTTGCGGCACGGTTAGCATATCTCGGAATATCTCCGAGTTCGTAGCCAAAAGCTGCAGGAGCCGTCTATGATGAGCATGGAGGCGATGGAGGCGACTGGGAAGCGCACTGTCTTGTGCACGCGGAAAAGCGTCCCCTCAACTCGCAGGACAAGCGACCCGTCGCTATACCAGTGCTTCTCATCGCGCGTCGCGGGTTCCACGTCCGCGGGATGGTTCTCCTCCGCTTCTTCTGTTCTCTGCCGCTTGTTGGGATTCCCGCGGTGAGGAGATGACATGAGGGATGAAGACGACGTCGGTATGTAATAACGCGTCTGGGCGCTTCCAAAATCAGCATCGAGTTCGAACCTTGCTTTCGCAGTCTCGTTCCGACAGATTCGAAAGTATGCTCGATGTTTCCTCTGCTTGACACTCTGATACATATCTACGGGATGTGTACTGGCTCTACCCCTACCACTGGAAACTATGCATCTCGAGGAAGGTGCACATAGCTTGTTCCGCGGCAGCGTCCCCCAATTTGTAGTCGTCCAGGACTATGTCGATTATACGGCACATATTCTGGAGAAGATATTCTGTTTTCGACTTAGCATCGCCTGTCAAGAGTATATCGGGCTGACAAAGGGAGTCAGTTCAATCAGGAGCACGACGGAAAGAATGGTTCTCCTCGACTTACGTCGACTAGGCCAACAGCTCCTCCTAGCGTAATCGGGTCTCGGACATATTTGACGCCATTCAGGTCCTTGTCCAGGATTGGGAAGCGTGCCTTCCACTCGAGCTTCTCCCGAAAGCTTGGGGACGGCTTCGAACAAGTTAGTGATAGAACAATCCATTTCATCTGAGCTACGCACCACCTTCAGTCGACGATCGGTGTCGGACGCGAGCGATCGCGCCAGGCCAGCGAGAAAGATGTTCCAATAGCGTCTGCGATCAGTCTTGCCATGGCTGTCAGCGGGAGATCCCTCTTGAGACTCGTCTGTGGACTTCATCAAAAACATGTCGTCCATGGACTGGAATCGCAGGTCGAGGTCCTCGAACCAGGCGTGAAGGCGACAGAGGAGCGCGGGATCGAGCTCCTTGATGTAGAAAGGCGAGTCCTCGACGCGTCGGTCCTCGCCGCTCTCGTACAGGGCATAGAATTTCTCCCAGAAGAGCCCGAGCGGGGCTAGGACCGTGTGCCGATCCGCCACAGCGTTTGAGTTGATAAAGGACGAGGTATCATGCAAGTGTGCTTCGAAGGTAATCCAGTTGCGCGAGAAGGCTAGAGCCATAGCCGCGTGTGCTTCGTCGACTTCGGAATTGTTTACCCAGCCCTGGACTCGCTCAGCTGCGGGAAAGAAGTAGTCGCGGCACCACGCATTGCAGATGGCGGTCTGGGCACCATGAAGCCGAGTTTCCTCGGCGGCACGAGCCTGGCGTTCTTCGAAGAGGATGTTCGTGGACTCGTCGGGTAGTCGAAGGAAGTGCGTCCTGCTTCTGATGAGAGCCATGTCGATGAAGACGTTGAGAGGTGGGGAGAGAGCACGTCGAGGCGAAGATGAAGCGAGGGCGATGTTGTTCGAAGCCTTAGTCCCGTATTATATATATAGGTAGACTCGGTGTTTATGACCAGAGGGTGATCAGAAGTTAACAAGAGTTTATGATCCTCACCTGCGTGTCGTACTGGATCACAAACAATACTACGACAAGAACAGCTGCCCAAGTAGCTATGCCGGCGATCCATATTCTTGTTGCAGCTCATCGGTGATGGCGGGAGGTCAAAAGCGGCATTCGCATTTGACGACGCGGAGCGGAAACGTGCCGAATGCCTTCGGCACTTGCCGGCAGAACAAGGGACCCCAAGACCGTGTACACTTACTCTTGGCGGACAAAGACGTTCAACTGGATCCTAGGTGTGCTCCTACTTTTCCCGTGTTGAGGCCATCACCCCGTTCGATCGCGGGCATCAGGGTCCCCTTGCGGCACATGCACACTCAGCCACTTTATCGGTGATTATAGGGACTTGCATAGCATAATTAAACAGATTGTACAGTCGGAGGATATAGAAGAAAACTCAGAATGTCGTGGGGAATATCGCACCCCAGAAAAACGGTCTCAACTGCACAGAGTACACGTTTACGCCATACTGTCTGTAATTCCGTCCCTCGGTCCTCCCAGCCGCGGATGAGAACTAACAAGGGAGCGCCACGGATGAGGAACATTCTCAGCAGCGCCAAAGTAGGAGACACCCTCAGAAAACAGATCGACCGGAGAGGCAGTACCGCCAACAAATCCAGTGATACAATCTGTTGCAGCGGAGGAGTCCATGACCTCGTCGGGCATATCGAGGACAATTGATCGCATTACCTTCAGTTCGCCGGCAGTCGCGAGAGTGCGACAAATCGCGTCCGCGGGCAAGCGGGAGCGGGTCCGTACGCTCAACCTCAATATGGGGCGTGTGCGGTCACCTGAGTGCATGACATGCACCCGAGCCCTAACAGACATCGCGATGACCTCCGACAAGACAATGGTGAGCCTGACCTCGTTGTCGACCAGCGTTCCCGCGGTGGGGCTCGAGGTATTCGCCACTAGCGCGTCGACGTCTTCGAGTAGGATGTAGAGGGCTCCGTCGTTCTCGTGGGCGGTGAGGCGGAAAGGGATGAACGGGTGGTCGACCTTATCATGTTCGCGCGCAGTGGAGACGTCATGGTCGGCCATGAAATCTTCAGAACCAGCGGAAGTGCCAGCGGGAGATGCATTGCCATTGTGTGCGTCGTTCGGATGGATACTAGCATAAGGGACATCGTCTCCGATAACTTGATTTCCGTCGCCCCCACGTAATTTTTTGACGTCGCCTGAGGAATTTGATTTGGTACCTCTGATGAAGACGTCGATATTCCTCGGCGGTTGGACAATGTGCGGCGAGTCGCGCATGGTCACGGAGGATGACACCGGTGACTGGTGTAGGAGGGCTGAGGAGGCTCGCGCAGGCGTCGGTGGAAGCGGACGAGGGCCCTTGGGATGCACCTCAGACGGCGTGAAACTCGAATCGGCTGGCGCCCGGGCTATGAATCACTTTCAGAGATTGATAGGCGCAGAGGTTCTTGAGTTGCTTACCATGATGCGCCGTCTCTACGGTGACGCTCGTCGCATCATCGCCTCCGTGCGGTATCACCGTGCCAGAGCCCTCACCCATTACAGAAGGTGCGACTGTCGCCAAAGCTTGTTCGCGAGGAGAGGGTGTACCATCGATGAGCCGGTCTGGCGTTGAGATCCCCTCTGGGCGGCAATTCTCGCCGACAGAAATATCCACCGAACCGCGTTGCGTAGAAGAACCCCGCGCATCGGGAACTACACGTTCAAGAGCTAGTAGACGCTCGCTGATAGCACAGCCCTGATCTTCGGCACGAGAACCCGATCCGCGCTGAGCAGGAGAAGGTGGCTGCGTCGCAGGAGCGACATTACCGATGTTCCGCATGATATAGCCCAGATTATCCTCCACTCGGCGTAGACATTGCGCGGTGCTGTTTCCTTGCTCCTCCAAGCGACCGAGACGCTCTAGCACCCTCGCAGTCACATCTCCAGGATATCCCTGCTGGGCCTGAGTGTCGTCCGAGATCCTGGGGCCAGCAGAACGCCCAGGAGGCGGCACAAAGCGGGAGGGGCCAGGAGCGGGTGCGGCCTCTTCGTCGACTGCAGGTGCATGCTGGGACGAGGGATTGAACTGGGGATGAGTTCTAGTACATCGGCGCAGCCTATCACGCCACTCATCGACGAGGCGACAACGAGGGCGGTCGGTGGCTGATTGAAGCTCCTGAGGAGGCGCGAAGTGCTGGTTATGTGCGGAGAAAGCTGCAGTATGGGGCAAAGGAGGCTCGACGTGCGGGCTGCCTGCGGTGAAAGCCGCAAAAGGGGGAGGCGAGTACTCGACGGGCTGACCATCCGCATCGAAGGCCGCGAAATCGGGGACAGGCGTGCCAGTGCGTTCGTCGTTCGTCGTGTTGTCGGCCGCGGAGGTGGAAAACGGGCGCGCGAAAGTCGAGGCAGGACGCGCGAAAGAGGGGAACTGACGCGTATAGCGCGGATCAATCGTCGTGTAGGGTTCAAAGTTGGAGAACGGATCGTAGTCGTCCAAATCGCCCCGGTCGTCGTCCGAGTCCTCCGTGTCGTCGCTGGGCGGTATGAAGGCCGCTCCGTCGTCAGTCGGGAAGCGCTGCTCGTCGCTGCTAGCCGCGTCGCGGCCCGCTCCATCGCCGCTTGCGCCGCCGCCGCCTTCATTGTCTACATCTTGCGCCAGCGGGTCTCCGGCCTCGATTGTGAGGCGAGTGCCGCGCGTGTTCGTGCTGCTGCCATAGACATGACACGCATGTAGGACTTGCTCATGGAAGGCGGTCGCCGCCGCTCGCTCTTGATCACGTTGCGTGCGAAGATCGGAGGAGACACGCCTCTCGTTGCGCAACTCCTGGTCAAGACGCGCTATCTCGCCCTGCGCGTGCTTGAGCTGCGCGCGGACATCCTCGACTTGCTCACGGAGCCCGCGTCCAGCACGGCGCTCCTCGCGAGCCCGGAGACGTCCCTCATACTCCCGACTCAGCCTCCGCTCGCGGCCAAGCTCTTCTACCCGCGCGATATACTCATCGGTAAGCTTCCTGAGTTCCCCCTTCACCTCGCCCAACTTGCGCTCGGAATCCTGGCGCTCGCGCCCAAAGTCCTCGCGCACGCCTTCAAGGAAAGCGCAACGGTGGCGCAGGCCGGCGATGGTGCCGAAGTGCTGCTCGGCGAGATCGCGCTCTTGCGCGCGTTCGGCATCGAGGTAGCCGACGATGCGCTGGAGGCGGGCGCGTTCTTCGCGCTCGGCGTTGCGTTCGTGGCGCAGGCGGATGTTTTCGTGGCAAAAGCGGCGAGCAGGGTCGGGGTTGGGGTCCATGGTGGGGTGATGCGGCGATGAAGTCGTGCGATGACTGACGGTTGACTGGGGTGAGGTACAACATGAGGCAGGAAGAGGGGGGAGAGTTGGTAGGCAGACATCAGCTAGCGCCAGAAATGCATACTGAGCGGACGCGCACCTCGTAGGACGTCCTGATGACGAAGCGTATCCCAAAGATGAGGAGACTTGCTACAAGGAAGGAAAAGAGGACGTCTTCTTTCGTGGCGAGGCCGTCGTACGCGGCAGATGGCAGAGCCACGCTGGTCTTCAAAGCGGGCAGATAGTCGAACGTCGATTTCGTGACTCGTGAGTACTGTCAAGACGTAAAAGACAGTCGCGCAGCGACTGCTGACTCGTGAGGGACGTGAAGATCGTTTCTGATTTCCCCATCACTGAGATGCACTCATAAGTATGCGGACTTATTATCGGGGAATGCGTGTATGTGGCGAGTGGCGCCTGGGGTAGGAAGTCGCTTCATTGAATGGACGGGGCCGTCCCTTTTGTCTCGAAGTATACAGCTATCCCGTTGTACTCCCATTGCGAAAGTTGCTGGCGCATTTCTCGTACGTTTTCAGGAACGCAGAAGAGAGGAAAACGTTGATGTTAATTGTCGTCGAGAACGCAGAGCACTCGCACTGGCATCCCTCAGTACGTCGTGAGGCCTGAGGCTTCGTGGGGAAGAACAAGAGCGTCGGTCCGGAAACGGCGCATCATCAGCGCAACGCCACAAATGTGATCGACGCCGGCGCCAAGCACGGCCACACAACGACGCCGACGAGCTCCGAGGCGCGCTCGGCGTGTTCAGAACACCACCAGCAGTCATGCAGCCCACCTTCGCGCGCGCCCAGCTCGGCGGCCTCGTCCCGCCCAAGATTGCCTCCCCCAACCTTGTCGTGCGTAGCCCCGGTCCTTTCTCGAGAAGTACTTCACTGACGGATGCTTTTCCATGCCTTGATTTTTCTCCATGCGCGTCGCGTGTATTTGTGTTCGACTATCTTTCGCTGCTCTCTTCTTGCACCACCTGGGCTCTACCGACCTATGCAATGCACTCTCCGCCATCCTAAACCACCCTCATGATGCTTGCGTATGCAAACAGTCTGGCGGCTCTGGTGCTGCCCTCCGCCCCCTCGTCGCCTTCTACTCCAAGCTGCCGAAGGGTGAGGCCACCGCCGCTTCGGGTGGTCTCAAGAAGTACTTTGTCGGCCGCAACGCGACCGCGAAGCCCCTCCTCGCGCTCATTGTCGGCCTCTGGACCATCGGGTACACGATCGACTACCAGAGTACGTTACCTTGCCTCGATCTATTGACTACGCTGACCATTCCTCTTGTGTGCAGTGCACCTCAGTACGTCCTCGCTGTATCTTTAAACCCCGCCCCTTGCTGATGAACCCATCAGAGCACCACAAGAACCACCCGCACTAAGCAGAGCGCAGCGCGCACGGTTGCTGGTTGCCGGTTTAGAGCAGTGTAGAAGAGGAATCAACCTGTTGTGACTGCCCCCGCGTTCTGTTTATTGTCTGCTCCCGCCCGACCTGCACCTCAACGTTCCAAGCTCTGCTGTCATATCTTACCTCACTCGCGCATAGTCGACTTCGACTGCGCCTTGTCGTCGTCTGCGCCATGCTTACCTCGCGTTCAAATGATCTCCGGAGGTCTAGTCAATGGCTACGCACGGGCGCTGGGTCAGCACGTTTCCTGAGCACCAGCCTGACTGCATTTGTATCCGGTTGGCGGATGTACGCGGCACACGCAACGTCAGTGAATATGTATGCAAGCCCTTCGCGTCCATACCCCCGTGCTTCCGCGATGGTCTGCCGGCCACTTCGCGTACAATGCAACGTCACTCGGGCGGCCAAGTACTCCCCGGTGGATCAGGCATCGGATGTCATGGGCTCTCAGCTCATGGTCGAAGATGGACCATGCGTGACCGGCGACGTGACATCCCTGACGCTGGTCCCAGGCGCCGCCGCTGTTCCGCCTTGGAGCAAATCTCAAAGGCCGTCGAAACGGGACCTGGCCTTTCACCAGCCCGAATCTCATCTGCATACGAAGCAGCTGCGAAGGTGAGTGAGGCGGATCGTTCAGAGACAGCCGGTTCCGTGGCTTTCGAGGGACTTCAGGCCAACATCACATTCGTCCCTCCCGAGACCTCAAACTTCCAGTTCCAACCTAGATGATCTGCAAACAAAGACGAACGTCAACTGCTCGGAAGGCCTGGTGCAAGCGCTTCCAGCATGCGCGCACGCAGTCAACACCACGGCCAAGTTATACCGATTTCCTCAGTGTAGTCCGCGTTCGCACTCGCCCCCGTCCCCCGTGAAACAATGGACCTCGAGACACACCTGCTCCTGCGGGCCTACTCGTCGACGATGCCCAGGGGTGCGTCGTATAAAAGCCCTTCAATGCTGACCTTGTTTTCCCGTCCCCCGTTTCTCAGAGTTCCTCTCCAGCCAGCCCCGACCCGACTCGACAGCTCCTTCCTTCGATTCTCGACCATTACCATGAAGTGTGCCATCGTCCTCGCCTCCCTTCTCGCCCTCGCCAGCGCCGCCGCGGTCGAGAAGCGCGCCGACTACCCCGCTTGTGGAACCAGTACGTCCAGCCTCTGTCCCCTTTCTATCCTCGTTCCCCTCTCCATCCTCTTCCCCTCTCTATCCTGCTCCCCTCTCCATCCTCCTCCCCTCCCACCCCTGTCACCCCGCCGAGCCACCCCACTCACACACGCACACAGCCGGCCCCGCCACGCTCCACGTCCCCGACAGCGTCACCGTCGGGCAGAAGTTCCCCGCGCGCTACTGCTCCGGCCAGTACGCCAAGACGTCCTCCAAGTCGATTACGCTCGCCGTGGACGCGCGCGGCACGGCCGACGTCGACGGCGCGATCATCATCGCGGACGGGCTGACGCCGGGCGCGGCGGGGAATAGCACGCCCGATGCGGCGGGGAGCGACAAGACCGCCGCGGCGGGGAGCGACGAGACCGCGGCGGCAGGGGGCAACACGTACGACTTCGAGGCAGAACTCCCGCAGGGGCAGACGCAGTTCCCGGGCGCGGTGAGCTTGGTCGTGGTGGAGAAGATTAATGATTATTATGTGGTGAGTCGCGGTGTGGCACTTGTGCGGGGTGAAGTAGGTTGGCTGACTGTGCGGCAGGAGTCGAGCTACGTTGTGTTCACGCAGGAGGTCAAGGTCGTTTCTGCCTAGTGGGCAGACGCAGACACGACGTTGGACTAGAGATGCTCGCAACGAACTTCATGGACCACCTCTCGGACATGGCCACTATCTAGCTATCAATGTCTTCTCTAACGCAGTTCACTACGTTCTGTCCGTGTATGGACTTCTGCGGCGAATGAGAACGTGGTGGCTCTCTGCTCGAAGGCTGTTGGACCCAATATCACAGCGTCCATATGTCTATGTCACTCCATCCCGGTTGGTGCTAAGGTAAGTACAATGTATATCTCTTCGGTTCGTATCGTCATATATGCACGTTAGATCGCCCTCTCGTATCCATCACCCTACTTCTCTTCCTCGCTCAGTACTAGATCCTCTTCATCAACACGATAGTCGAGCGCCGCCGTGCTGTCGCGCTGGATGTTCGTGCGCGGTGCGCCGCCACCGCCACGAATGCCGATGATCTCGTGTCTGAGAGCGAGCGTCAGCCATTGCAACGAGGGCGATATGAAAGAGGTGCATTCGTCGGGGAAGTGAGGTGGAGGTGGAACCTGGATGAACCGCAGGTAGAACTTGATTGAAACCACGCACCTTGACAGCAAGTCCTCGATGCCCCCACGCTCCTGCCTCGCATCCAGATCGACCCTGACCCAGTTGTGCACAAGCTCGCCGTTCCGGTAGACAAGTAGCGTCGGGAGCACATCTGTATCCACCGAGTCCTCATCGTACTCGTCGGAGAACTCGTCCTCGTCTTCCTCATCTTGTCGACCGAGGAAGCCGCCGCCCGATGGCTTCTCGTCGTCGTCGTCAAAGTCATCCTCGTCTTCCTCACGTATGGTCTTGCGGATGACGGTCGTTGTGCTGCGTTTGGGTGCGGGGGTGGAGGTGGAGGCAAACCCGAGGGCGGCAGCTTTGGCGCGGAGGAACTTGGTATCGGGGTATGCGCGCGCGAGCTTGGAGAGGGAGTCATCGAGGGCGTAGCAGCGGTCTAGGGACTGTATGGCACCATCAGCGTCCCTGTGCATAAGGAGGACAAGCCAAGCACGCACCGAATCATACAGATGCACCGCGACCCAGACACCCGCCTCTTTCTCCACCGCGTCCACGAATCCGCGCATGCCGACCTCGCGCAGGTGCCCAAACCGCCCTCGCGGCGTGCCCCACTTGTCTAACCGCGCCGCATTGGCAGGCGTCGTGCCGCCCAGCGCCAGCGGATCCGCGCGCTCATCGCCTGCTGCTGCCTTCTCGCGCTCTTCCTCGAGATACGTCTTCCCACCGACCTGAGGCACCTTCCTTGCCGCCGCCTCTGCTTGTATCCGCTCGCGCTCCCGGTCCTGGTACTCGGCGCGATCGCGGATTACGCCCTTGACGCCCGTGCGGCCGGTGACACCGACTCCGACGCCTGGGTCCGCATCGGGGTTGGCGGCATTGGGAGGAAAGGAGGATGGCGAGCCAGATGGTGGTTCGTCGGCGCTGTCGAGCTCGTCGTCGTGCCAGCCGTGGTCGGGCGAGGGTGTACGGGGTGGTGAGTGGGTTGGGGAGGAGGGGTTGAAGAGCTGGCCGGAAAGGACGAGTTGTTCGAGATCAGGGGGCTGTAGCAAGTTAGGTTGGGTGTTCTGAGTGGGGGATGAGGGTCAATTCGAGCTCACCATTGTCCAAAAAGTAGGCGGAGGTGAGTGCTGGGTGAGGAAATGAGATACGCGTGGCGAGTTGGCACTGATCCGTTGGGCCCATCACGCACGCGAGGCGCACGCGGATGCCATTTAAATAATGTGGAGTTCGGGCTTGACCACAACCGCCATCTATGCGCTCGCAACCACCCAGCCCATGTATATGGGGGCTCTTGAGGTACTCTTACGCCCTCGGGCCTTCTACTAGGTAACTGCATTCTCGCAGGCGTCGGACGACATCAGGTACTGAAGACAACAAGACTCGGTCCGCCAGTAATACGAAGGGATTCCCTCTTTCGCCAATAAAAAGGAAGTACGCTCCTACATTCAGCGAAGCCTTGCGCTGTTGTTCTGCCCGGCAACGCCCACCACAATACGGACGTGCCACATTCGCACAACTTTGATGTGAACTCTATTGAAGGGCTCTCTCTTAAGTTCGGCGGGAGAATCGAGGGAAACAATCACGATCCTCACGTCCCTCACGAGCCACGAACAGACGGTCGCTGCGCGACCGCCTAGACATTATGAGCGAGACCTCACGACTCACGAATACGATGCCTTCAAGCACGATCACGATACAACAACTTGCCTTCACCGGCTTCGCGGTCTTCGCGACGGCCTCGTTCTGCACGTCCGCCACGATTGAGGGCTTTTTCTTCACGTTCTTCATGGCTAGCCTCCTTTTCCCTGGGGTCTACTTCATAGCCAAGTCGGAGCGCGAGGTGCGTTCTATCCTCCGCGAATGGGACATGCTCGCTGACGGTCTACGCCGCATCTTTTCGCTATATAGCACGCTGCTTCATCGACATCGCCATCCCCAGTGAATTACGACACCGAACACGACCCCTCGACCGACGGCGTCGCACATGAAGTTCCGCGCGAGGAGCACCGCGACAACTTCGTTGAAAACGGTCCTCGCCAACAAGACCAGGAGCAGCGCCGCCACGATCGCGCCTCAAATCAACATGTGCGCTTCGTTGAGCATTTCGATGATTTCGATCGTCGTGAGCGACACAATCCCTCCACACGTTGCGGCACACGGAGCACTACCGAGTCTCGCTATAGCCAGGAATCCCCTGAGCGTCCCGAGCAGCAGGATCTCCCCGATCCTCAGCAGCAGGATTATCCAGATCTTCAGCAGCAACACGATGGCCGCACCGTCGAGGCCCTCGAGCGGGCACTCGCTGCCCGGGTTGAGGAGATCGCTGCCCGGGATAGGGAGATCGCTGCCCGAGATATGGATATCGCTCGTCTCCAGATACAACTTGCCGCCGAGCGGGGCCGTAACGCTCCTGTCATCCCTACCCTTCCTCCCGCGCAAAATGGCGCGTACGGCCGACCGCAACGAGCGGCTCATGCGGTCAACGAGCCACCCATCCGTCTTGTCTCCGCTCTCGAGTTGGGTGGCGCCACCGCTACTGGACAGCAGAATATTTCCGAGGCGCAGATGTCGACCGGCGCCGCTCACGAAGAGCAGCTACATCAGGCTCCCCAGACCGCTCGGGAGAATGGCGCTCCTCCTTCATCGTGGGGTCGGTTTTCCAACAGCTCCATACTGCCAAGGTATGGTGCGAACGATCCGAGCGTTCCCGCCTTGGAGGACCGGACTCAGCGCCGCGAGACGCACTTCCAAAACCACAATTCGGCCCTCGCTAGCGCTCCAAGCAGCATTGCGGAGCGTGTGGAGGCGCTCAGGCGACAAGTCCCACAGAGGGAGGGGCGGCCGGGCTGGTTCGACACCAGTGCCCCAGCTCAGACCGAAAGCGTCGGGCGGCAGAACCTGAACGTCGGCATGGAGGAACAGCTTGCTGCTCCTGGAAATCGTCAGCAGAAGCAAGCACGTCCTAGAGAAGCTGCTCGCCAAGCTGCTGAGCGTCGCTTCCGTGAAGCGCTCGAAAACATCCGACCACGCGAGGGACCCCACGGTCAGCAAGCGCGAGGACTTCCTCGACTGCCGCAGGATAGGTGTTTTCCGCGAGATGCGTGGCCAGTCGTCGGACCCAGCCTGCTGACCAATGCAACGACATTGCCCGCGCCATCACCTACAAGCGCCGCGCCGAGTGTGGCTGCTCCGTATCCTCCTAGGCCTCCGCGCGCACCTCAGCCGAATGTCAACCCAGTGCGGCCTGAGCGTCCCATGGTGATAAACCAGTTTAGGGACTCGCGCGTTCAGATTCCTGCACTGCAGCCGGTCGATGCGACGTCTGTGTTTTTCAACGACTCGCCCGTGCCTCCGCCGTATCTTTCGCGGCTGTCACTTCCGCCTGCTGACGTTGCTCCGCGCGCTCCTGCGTCTATGCCATCCCCCGCTGGTCGGGGGCTCGCTCCCGACGCTGTACGTGGCAGCTCAAGCTGCGATGCCTATGTCGCGGGTCCTGGCCCTCGTTTTGGACCTATATATGCGCGCAGGCCTCCTCCTGGCTTCGTACCTACCTCATTCGTACCCTTCTCAGGCGGGATGAGCGGTACCAGCAACGACGTCGCTGACGGCAATACCGAGCATCACGGTGGCGGCATGCAGAGCAGGACCGGCGCCTCGATTGCGACGCCGTCTGCGATCAACATCGTTCCTGATCCAAGTCCTATCCCAAGCGTTGACGGTATATCTCAGCCCACGCCTGCTTGCTGCGACCACAATACCCCATCCGGCTTCGTTCCCTCCGAGTTGGCTGCCGTCACCATGAACCAGCCTGAGCAGAGCGTTGCGCGCTGTGCCAGGAGCGTTGGCGAAGGAAGTATCGGTCGCGCGAACACCGCTATAGGTGCCAACGCTCTGCAAGGTCCATCGGATCACCGTTCTGGTGGCGAGTTCTCCCCGTTCTGGCTGACCGTGCATTGGGCTCAGAACAGAACCATCTCCGTCCGGTTCGATTCCTCCATCGTGGGCCCAAAGGGACCGTCAACTTTCTATATTCACGACGGAGCTGCATTGGATGGCGCCGCCTCAACTGTCTTCAATCTACTGGGCGGCGCGTGGGATCCCTATCCCGGTGAGGATGACAAGCGCCCAGCGTTGTTCGTGCGGGCGAACATACAGTCCCTCGCACCAGTCGACGCTTTCCTTCGCATCCTTGTGGCAAGATCTGTTTTCTCTCTCCGGCTTTGGAAAAAGATCAGGATACAAATGCCCGAGATACCTATGGAACGGTCCAGACAGGTACAGTTTGATACTCCCACCAATCTCAACACCCTCGCCTTCCCCTCCACCACGATCATCTACTCCGGCGCTCCTGAGAACGTGCTCTACCCGTGGTCCTCCATCATTGGCCTCTCTCGCTATCAAGTGCGGAATCTTGACATCCGGTGCGCGATCACGCAAGAGGAATGTATGGCGATTGCTGGAAGTAGTGCGGAATACATGAACGGGAGGGTGGTGCGGTGGGTGCCCTTGCACCTCCGCCTTGTTCGCATCATCCCTGGAAGGCATCCTGCGGGAAGGCGCGCTACATTCTTTTCGCGTCTTCAATCCCTGCATGTCTTGCAATCTGATCCCGTACTGACCGCATTTCGTGACCAGCTTCTGGAGGAGGGTAGGAGGTGTGTTCGGAACCATGTCGAGTGCCTTGTAGTGTAGTGTATCACCCTGTCCTCGTATTATGAACCACATTGTAACGTATATATCATGTTGACAAAACAACTGTACCCAAGGGTGCAGACGTGAGGCGCACGCATCAAGGAAAGCAACTACGTGATGTGTCACAGTTCGACATCACCGTCACGATCACATGAGCTTTCCCACCCCTTGCGTCACTCCATCAGCCTGGTTCTGTAGTTGTCCTTCACGCTCACCTAACTTGTTGGTCTGACCCTACACCGAAAGATGTGTGCAGCCACCTACTCGTGGAGGTACCGGGCCTTCCATGGCATGGAGGCGCTAACCAAAAAAGGCCAAGAACTTTGCGCCCAGTCCATGCAACGCAATATAGACGATGCTAGTGAGAGTTTGCTGGCAGTCCTGGCATCCACCAACATTCTTTTCTCAAGCTCATGTGACATATTTCTCGCCTCGGCAGTACTTTTTCTTGAGGGCGCCAGATGGCCAGCCTCTCTCATGAAGTCCTCTCGGCCTCGTCTTTTGAGATGCGGGGATTTGTTCTGGTAGATACGTCTTCCTGCGTTCATCCTTGATGCTGCCATCCCATAGCGAAAGCTGCACAGAGAGATGCGCTGAAATACGCATGACAGATGCCAAAGGAACGAAGACGAGGACTCGAGCATGTCGCTTACCAGACCAACGGATTGGCGCCACTTCGTATCGGACGGCGATATGGACTCAGGCTATAGGATAGGTGTGAACTTTGCATCAGCTGTATAGCGACCAACTGAGCCATGAAGCTCTCGATGAAGAGGATGGACGATCCTGCCACGTAGAAGGGTTCGCCTCGTCTCAAGTTCATATCGGATTCTGACCAGTTCCCTCGAAGGCGAACTTGCTTATCTCTCTCGACTCAACGCTACTCCAGGCCGCTCAAGATGCGAGAAATGACCCTGCCAACGCACCTGGGTGTCCTTCTGCCCTCTACCCCGTGTCCCTCCTTGCATCTTGATCCTTGAACAATCGTCTGCGGTCGACTGGTATCTTCGGCCAAAATCTCACGGGTTCACCGGCGCTCCGCCTCGTTTTGGGTAGGGACAATACGGACCACGTTCCTCGTACGATTCTTTTACGTTTGCATCGGCATCGCTCAATCTCATCTCATGGTTCAACGAGATTGCGCCGAAGCGCACGCCTAACGCGCGAGATCGTTTACGTCGACGGCGCCTACATCATCGACCTTCAGATCCTCTGCTCAGGGCTTGCCCCATCGGATCACGTCGTCTTGCGCTTTCCGATGTCCGCCGAGCCCTCCGTCTGCTGAGTTGTACGGCAGACTTTGCTACTCCAACAAAAACGCCTTGTTGTGGATCAAACACACGCTCGACGCATGTTGGCTATACGCTGCGGAGTCCCAATCGGAAAGCGACGTGCTCGTTCATTGCAAGATGATTATACACGGTTGACATGGCGGAAAGCAAGGTGAGTGACTATTGTACAGGGTATCGTTTCCAGCGTGCAGTTTTGAAGCTCAAATGTCATGCAAAGTCGTCAAGATGGCCACCCGGCGCATCTCGTGCGGGAGGACATGTGCGAGGCGAGATGCCTCATGCACATCTCGTGTGCGCTAGGGAAGACTGGATGAGCGGGTAAATCGTACACATCGCGCGCATGACTGACCTAGCGCAGTGGTCGGCCCTCCGCTTTTGCCTGCGCCGCACGGCATGCAAAGCAATACTCGTCGACGGCGTCGATGTCCTTCTGAATTTCGGGACCGAAGTTCTACCACAGCGAGATCAGGCATGTGCGCGTTACGGATCGACGGATTGGCGGGAGTCGCGGTCAGAAGGGCGGTCAGGCGCGTCCGGCGGAAAGGCAAGCGCGCGACCGAGTGGGCACGACGTTCGCGTGCATCCGGAGGCGACACAGGTGACGTGCGTACGCGTTCGGCGGAAGGCAATAGGCGCAATGTGAGGCGAGCAGGACGGGGAATACATCAGCAACCCGTCGTATGGTGAGCATGTTCTGAACAGGTGACTCACCCGTGCACAGCTGGGTTCTCGGCAACCTTTAGGGTGGTAGTAGCTTCGCTCGCATCGTGTTGTGTTGCAATCCACAATGGCGACGACGAGGTGCCGCTGGAAGTGCTGCAAGGCCATGAGTACGTGCTCGCCACAATCGCATATGTGGCGCAACACTCACACCGCATCGCGTCCAACGCGTCCCTTCGCTATATGAGTAGTCGATGAGTCACCTACTCGCTATGAGCAACACAATAAAGGACTGACGCTATTTGCTGGCACATTGTGCTATGGAGTGCCCAGGGTAATGAGGTGATAGGTAGTCAAGAAACGTGGCGCAGACGCGAGACTGGCAGGGCAAGCAAGGGACGAAGAGAACAACGGGCGGTAGGGGAACATCAGTGGGAAGAGCCGGTGCCTTATATACCGCGAGCAAATTTCCCCCGAGTCACAATCAAGCTGCCCTGTCAATAGAAGCCCGCGTCATAATGCGAATATCACAGCCCATGGTCGCTCACGAACCCGCCGCACGCGCCCGGAGCGGACCTTTCGCGACGTTATGCCCACAGGGAAATTACGCTAATTGCTCCTCCCCACGCCATATATCCGCTTTGGTCTAGCGCGTGAGGCCAGCCGAGCCCACATGTCCCGCTCGACCGGATTCAAAACACCAGGTTTGGACGCTGGGAAGAACGCGTCGCGCCTGCGAGTTCCAAACTCTGCTTAACCCATGTCGAGTCACGGACGTGGCGCTGGAAGTATCTACAGATGAAGAAGCCGCCATTGTTCGGCTGGCTCTTCCATGCCACAGCAGCGGAGCCCCGCGACCAGCCCATAAGCCCATCGATAATGGCCCCGTCAGCGAGAAGCGCCAACGTTCACACTTCGCAGACCCAGTCTGATGCTGTGAGATCCACGTACGCACAGCAGCGTGCGATGCGCGACACCATCCTTGTATGTGCGATGGCCCATTGCATCGACTTCCTCGCAGCCACGCGCATGCTCACTAGAGCCCCAATCTATTCCTGGACCTCTGTACTCGGTGCGCAGCGCCGGGACTAGCATTGAAGCAAGCAACATACTAGCTGTGTGGCGGCGGCGTTACAGGAGCTGTGCTATGAGGGTAAGTTACCTTCCTGATCTCCCCGGCAACTTGCGCGCCAGACGAACGGCCCCCCGCGCCTCCCGGAGGGCGACGAGCGTCCCCGAGAGCGCCACGACACCGCCGAGGGGGGCCACAACCGTGCGCGACGAGCGGCCGGAAGGATCTTCGCCCTGTGCCCACGATCGTGCTCGGCGTCCTTATCGCACGCCCGCCACTTATCGACGAGCCTGGTCCAAGCGGATGACGACGAACTTGCGCGTCAAGAGGTTGAAGGTGCTGCCGAAGAGGAAGGCGATGAGGGAGCAGCTGAGGATGATCACGTTGTAGGGCATGCTGAAGTCGGGCGTGGCGAGGTCGACGAGGAGGATAGGGGTGTAGATACGCGTCGGTGGCAAAACACCCGGATCGGCGTCGAGGGGGACGAAGACCGCCGGCGGCAGGTCCCAGCCGCGCTGCGCGTCGGGCAAGTGCTCAGTGTATCGCAAAAATGCCTTCGTCACGTCGAACGTTATCTCCGTAGTGCTCGATGCCGGAAGAGCGAGGGTAGCCTGAAAAGTGGTCGGACGCGAATGTGGGATGGTGGGAATGTAAGAGATGTCGGATAGGAGATCGTCTGCGTTGACCATGTTCGTTATTACGATCGAAAAGGAGATAGCAACGATGATCGTGACTCACCTTGAAGAACGCCGTTCGACTCGATTCGCATCGTATGAAGGTACATCTGGACGAACCAAGGTAGCGTCTCCAGATAACGCAGGCGCACTTCCGATGGGAGCTCGTTCTTGATGACGATGGATAGCTGGCCGCGTTCTTGACTGAACCCTCTAAGTGCCCGTCTGATAGAAAGAGGGTGCGACGCGTTGTTCGACGCACGCCCTGAGAATGTCGTAAGCACGCCTAGCGTTGCAGTAGGAGCTACATGAAGTATACGCACAGTTTTGAGGCATAGGCCACTTCATATCGACGTCCAAGGGGACAGGTCCTGCGGCACATTATGTCAAGATAGCACTGGGAATATGTGCGAAGGCATACCCTGGGCCACCTCGTAGATAGCAAGGTTGTCCTTCACCAGCGTAGGCTCAGGGTGGATCTGATAGGGCTCATGTATGGGCAGGGTCACCCTGACGGTGCTACGACCGGCGACAGGGCAAGCCTTCTCTATCGTACGGCCGAACAACGTCTGGAAGGACCAGTCTGGGCAGCGTCAGCACATGCATGAAGCCGCAAGATAAGTGACTCGCCTCGCTTGTCCGTATTCAAAGTACGAAAGAGGTCCGATACGACCTGAGCGGTGAGACGCACTTCGATACCCTCCTCGGGTATCCATCGGACGTGGACACCCAAGCCGTGCCAGTCGCCGTCGAAGAGGTGATGGGGGTCGAGCAATGAAGCAATTCCAGAGCGAGATTTGCAAGGGAGGAGCTTCCGGAATGGCGTCAGGTTTTCGGTGCAGACGTGCTCGGAGGGTAGAGTAGCGTGGCGCAGATGATGCGTGACGTTCCAAGCAGGAAGGCCGCCTTCCGGGGGATACGTCAGAGCAGGGGAAGTTGTCCGCCATTCGTCCATGGTTCCCAGAGTTGCGCAGAATAGGCCAGCTAGGGCGTTGCGAACGCCAGACCATCGCGCGTCCAGTCTGTTGACATCATCAGCCCGTGGACGCGTCTGTGAGCAGTGCACGCACGTTGTTGGGTCCTCCTCTGCTAGCCAGGCCCATAGCTCTGCACCGGTGCCCACGTTCGGCTCTTCGGGCATACCCCATCGCTCGTATTGCCAGTGCCCCGCGTTCAGTGATAAGTGCAGTTCGTCGACGGCATATTCGCGAATGACCCTGCCCAAGGCAAGAGGGAACAGCGTGTAATGTTGGGCTGAGTCTTCTGTGAGCCGCCATTCACCTTGCAGGGTCATTGTGCTCACGTTCGTCATCATCAAGACCTGGCTGAGACGGACGCCTCGGCGTCGCGCCCTTCAGGAGCGTCTTGAACGTGAATTTAGACAGGACTTTGCCATCTGGAAGGGGTTTAACAAAGAGGTCTTCTTCGAATGCTTCGTCTGCGAGTTCGTTGCTAGCGACGGCGGCGACGACGCCGAAGACGACCGCGACGCATCGCCAGCAGTTGACCATGGCTGCTGGAAATGTGACCAAATCCGCGTGACATATCGTGACGGACGCGCCGCCCACGTGCGCCCACTTCAGTTTTCGAATCTGAAGTTGAACTTCGTGTCACAAACCTCATTCATGCAATAGCAGCCCTTGGATCGCATGATCTTCCGGTGGTTGAATTATAGAACCTCATCAACCACTTGTACCTGGTGAGCGGATGCTTATAGCATGGCATGCTTCCACCGAATTGGCGGTTCACTCAACGGCCCTCATCCCGAAGGCTTCCCATTCTCCCGAAACCCCCCTCATGGCTTCTTTGTCTTCACGAACATTCGTCGTCACCTCTCCGGAGAATGGGAGGATACCGCATCGTACCGCACGACGTGTCGTTCTGAATGCAGATGTGGTGAAGGCCGCGAAACTCACGACGGGCGACGTGGTCGCCATCTATGGTGCACAGGCGGGGCTGCCACCTGTAAATCTCAACGAACTGAATCGGAAGACTATTCTCTGACATGCTGCAAGGCTTCCTTTGCGATAGGCACAGTCTGGCCGTCGCAGGACCTGTCACCGGACTGTGAGTGTCGCTCTTCTGCCAACACCTGATCGCGTATACCACGCTTAAGCGCGTTCCTGCCAGCTATTCTGGTCTCCCAATCCTTGCTTTTGACAGCACATATTCAATCTGGCGCGCACGTTCGGCTGTCTCCTCTCAGCCCAGCGCCGCAGACGTCGGGACTTCCATCGCTCCGTGACGCCATCGAGGTGAAAACGCTGAAGCTGAGGGAGATAACGCAGGGCGGGAAGACCGCCTCCAAGGTAGCTTCTAGCGATGGAAAGAGGGACTGGCTACCTTTGTTACTCCGCGAACATCTAGGTACGCTATTCTACTTTACTTGTTCGTCGCTAATCCCGGTTTAGTGGATCTCAAAATTATCACCAACAAGCAGGTGCTCGAGGTCGTTTATGAAGGCCGACTTCGCCGATTCGCCGTGTCGTCTATGGCGGCTGGCGCTACTTCCGACCCCGTGGACGCCATTACCAAGGACCTGGGCGACATATCTATTCAATCGACACCGCGATTAGGCTACATCTCATGGGACACAGTTGTCAGCATAGGGCCAGCCGACCCTCCCGCGCACGCTGCACCAGTGAGTATTCCATCTGTCCGATACCTATCTCGCGCACTGATTGCCCACCTAGCCCGCTACAGAAGCCCTCCCTGCGGCCCCGGACCAAAGCGCGTACTCTTCCGTTGGCGGTCTAGGTAAACAGATCGCAGAAATCCGCGATCTGCTCGAGATCCCGCTCACGCGCCCGGATCTCTTCCGCAACTTCGGTGCGTGTGGCATGTTCACCCTCATCTGCATCTCGCATGCGGGGGTGTATTTACCGCGAGGGTCGGGCTGAAATCAATTTTCTGTTTGCTCTCGCTAGGCCTCAAGTCACCGCGCGGTCTCTTGTTGCATGGTCCGCCCGGTACGGGGAAGACGCACCTTGCGCGCGCGATCGCTGCGGCTGCGCGTGCTGCCGTCGTCGTGGTCAATGGTCCGGAGCTCTCGTCCGCGTATCATGGCGAGACCGAAGGTCGACTGCGGGCTGTTTTCGAGGACGCCGCCGCTCGCTCGCCGTGCATCGTCGTGCTGGACGAGGTCGATGCGCTAGTACCAAGGCGCGAAGACGGAGGGGGAGAAGTGGAGGCTCGCGTGGTGGCGACTTTGCTTACGCTCTTGGACGGCGTGCAGGCCGACGATGCCGGTCAGGTCATCGTTGTGGCTACCACGAACCGTCCAAATGCGATCGACCCTGCACTTCGTCGCCCAGGGCGCTTTGATAGAGAGATTGAGATAGGTCCGCCACCTCTCGAGGCCTTCTTCCAATTTGTTGACCGTTGTTCCTTAGGTGTCCCCGACGTTGATGCTCGTGCTGACATCCTCCGCATTCTCCTTTCCAAGACGCCAAACCAGATACGACCAGGAGACATTCAAGCCCTCGCTGCCCGCGCACACGGCTACGTCGGCGCTGACCTCTCCTCCGTCGTCCGCGAAGCCGGCACAGCCGCGATCAAGCGCTACCTCTCCGCGGCCTCCCCCTCCGGCTCCGAGCCCCAAATCACCCTCGATGACCTCGACCATGCCCTCCTCTCCGTCCGACCTTCCGCGATGCGCTCGCTCTTCGTCGAGGCTCCTCGCGTGCGGTACGCGGATGTTGGAGGGCAGGACGCCGTGATCGAGCGTCTGCGTGAGGCAGTCGAGTGGCCCTTGAAGCACCCCGATGCGTTCAGGAGGTTGGGCGTGAAGCCGCCGAAAGGTGTGCTGCTGTATGGGCCGCCGGGCTGTAGTAAGACAGTACTAGCTCGCGCCTGTGCTTGCGAGAGCGGCGTGAACTTCGTTGCAGTGAAAGGTCCTGAGGTACGTTGATTGTGGTGGGATAGCGAGGCTCTTGCTAACGCAATGACCTCCGCAGCTTCTCAACAAATATGTCGGCGAGTCCGAGCGGGCTGTGAGGGAGATATTCCGGAGGGCCCGTGCTGCAGCCCCCGCCATCATCTTCTTCGTAAACTGTTTTCATCGCATCTCCCTTCTATCGTGAGCTAAGATGGTCTTGACAGGATGAGATCGACGCTCTCGCAACATCAAGAGACGCAGACGCGCGTGCCCACGAAGGCGTCCTTACGAGTTTACTGAACGAGATGGACGGCGTACAAGAACTGCTCGGTGTCACGATAATCGGCGCTACAAATCGTCCGGAAGTGCTTGTGAGTCCATCGGCTCCCATGCCATTTCTCCGGTAAGTAACGCTCTACAGGACTCTGCCCTTATGCGACCTGGACGCCTTGATCGCCTTCTCTACATTGGTCCGCCCGATCAAGAGGGCCGCCAGGCTGTCCTCAGAATCAAGACGGCAGGCATGCAGACCGCTCCTGACCTCAACGTTGGAGAGATCGCACGCTTGGTATGGGACTTCACGCCTCTGCCATATATGAGCTCATGCTAGCCCAGACCGACGGTTGCTCTGGCGCGGAAATTGCATCCCTTTGCCAGGAGGCGGCGCTGCTGACAATGAAGAGGGACCTGAACGCAGAATATGTCAGTCTATCTCGAACATCACACGCCGACGTCTGACACTAATCTTCTCCAGGTCCCGCACGAAGCATTTGTCCAGGCGGCCATGAAGACGAAACGTCAGATCACACCTGAAGTGATTCAAAAATTCGTCCGCTGGCGCGAGACCAGTGGCGTGAAGGACTCGTAGAGCCTCGCGTTGTTGTACTACCAGTGTATGTACTTTTCGACCTGTCAGCTAAGCCGTGCGAAGACTACCGCTCGCCCCTTGCCTGCCGTGCTTCCCGCAAGGCTCGCCGTTCCTCAAACAACGTTGCGATCTCCTTGATGTCGATGACCTTGATTGGCCATGTCAGCCAGTTCCCCCCGCTCCTGAATATCGGGACCCCCATATCCTCGAGAAGGTCGTCAACGTGCTGCGGCCACCTGAGCATCGAGGAGGGTCAGCATCAGAGATTTTGGCCACGACGGCTCAGGGGGATGAGAGACGGTCGAGGGGAATGAGAGAGAATCGAGCGAAACGAGAGAATACGCACGCCCAAAACGTCACATTGCTGCTGTACGACTCGTTGACCCACAACAGTTCGTCCGGGTAGCGTTTCCGTAGCCACGCAGACTGCCGCTCAGCGTGCATCATGGCCTCTTCTGTCGTCGATGGGAGTCGCAAGGGATCTCCTAGGAAATACGACGAGATCCAGTGCGCGAAGACCTCGAAGCAGTACCCGTTGTTGGCGTTGAACTTGAAGGAGGATTTGAGCTCGGGTGACATGCCGACGAAAGCAACAGGAAGCTCACCACGGCGCCATTGATTGCAAAGTCCCTTTTGAAAAGGTTCTTGGCAGGGACTAGGCCGCGGTAGATGGACGAGGCTGGCAGCTCCGACGGGGCGTGTTTTCCTGGTGGTTTGTCGAGCGAGCGGTACTCGTCCCATTCATGGTCAAAGTTGATGTCAGGATTGGGCGGATGGCGGTTGATGCCTAGGTCTTCTGCAGTCTCATCTGCGGCTCTATTAGCATGTCAAGCCAAGAATTTCATCCGCATGAGCTCACCATCAAACAAGCCCTTCCACGACGACGTATACCCAGTCCCCAAGATGACAGTATCCGCCGCGACCTTGGCCCCATCCGCCAGCACGACGCCACCCTCGTAATACCCTATCGCGCGATTCGGCGCCCTCAGCTCTATCTTCCCGGCGTTCACCAGCGCGTGGAAATGGTCATCGCGCCGCGGCCCGTCGTCGTTAGTGCGAACGCTCCAGAAGATAGACGTCGCGTTGCGGATGGGGGAGTCGGCGGGGTAACCTTGGGCGGCGTAGGAGCTTTGCGCGATGGCGCTCCAGATGAGGTGCACGAGCTTGCTGCCGAGCCAGGTGGTGTGGAGGAATCGTCTGGTCAGGGATGTTAGCTGAGTTGTAGAGAATAATATGCTGTAAGGAGGGCGGGGCATGGGCCGGGTGGGCTAGAAGAAAAGGGCTATAGACAGCAACAAAGTCTCTTCGACGTACTCTAGCGCGGTCCGCAGATGAATGTGGGGCGATAGCATGCCCAGGAAGCGGCTCTTACGGATGAACTCGGGCAGCGGCTTCGACGTGGATATGAACGCGTCCGCCTTCTCGAAGACCATGGTCACCGGGATGGACCGCCGCGCGAAGTAGGCACAGACGTCCTGCGCAGATTTACCGCCGCCGACTACGACGATGCGGCCGAGGGCGGCCGCGCCTTCGGGGCCTATCCCGTCGAGGGTTTTGCGGAAGGCGGACGTATGCAAGACGCGTCCTTGGAAGCCAGACTCCTTGGCGCGCGTCATCGTGAGGTTCGGCGGGATGGATGGCTCGTGACAGCCCTGTAGGCAGCATTTAGCAGATAGCAAGAAGGCGAGCCGAAGCGAGCAGAGCGTACCCCTGAGCACAGGACCAAACGAGCACATTTGATGACCCTATCTTCACCTGCAGCCTTGCTACTGACATCGAGCTCCCAGCCGTGCCCGCCCTCGCCACGCCGAATTCGACGCACTTCCGTATCGTACACGATCTTCCCCTGGAGAAACTTCTCCGCGAAGCGCGTCATATAGGCACACATATCGAAGCCCGAAAGATTCGGATTGCGAGGGTCGGCCGGGGTCATCTCAAGGCAGGAGAAGCAGTATTCGCCATTGACGCTGGATGGAGAAGTCAGTTGCGACGTCGCAGCGCAGAAGCAGGGAAAATATAGAAGCAGAAAAAACGTACTTATTGATGAAAAGCCCGTCGTAGACACGCTCCTGCGCCCACACGCCTCCGGGGCCCGCATCGCGCGAAATTATCTGCACGTTCTTGAAGCCGTCCTTAATCAGAGTGTGCGCAGTGATCAAGCCCGCCGCGCCGCTGCCCACAATGCAGACGGGCTCGTTGCGCGCGTCTTCCATCACGGAAAACAGTTGCAACACTCAGTGGCGCCCTGCCCTTTTGTACTCTCCGTCCCTCGACTCCGAAACTGTCGGGATCATCTGATTGTCATGGGAATGGGGTTAACATGAGGTATACTCGAGTATATATATGACAAGCTTCTGACCTCGCGAACAGATGTTTCTGCTAGAGCTGCGTGTTCCTGCTAAAGTTGGCCGATACAAATGGCTCGCGGGTGTCTGACGCACTGCTGACTTCGTTCGGCAGGGACATCGGACCCTTGAGGCTTTCATAGGCGTTCCGTTGTGTGCATCGGGAGGATTTGTATCATGTTACTCTCGGGATATATCGATCGCTTGCCCAAAACGCAGTAGATCTCGCTTTCTATTGAGTCCGAAGCTCTTTGCTAGGGCGCGCTGAGTTGGCATCCTTCCCACTTCGGCTGAAAGAGTTACAAGGCCCACAATTCTCCTCATGGTTGTCGAGGTGGCAAGCGCAGAAAGATCTCTCCTTGGGCGTCATTAGGACGCGGTGCGTCAGAGACTCCGGGGCAGAGTTGTGATGGTGGTGGTCCGCAAGTTGAGGTTGTCGGCTTGTGCCGGTTGCAGTTCGGTCGCTTCGGGCCGTCCCGTCCACGCACACGTGATGGCGACGCGCCTGGGCGTCGATCATCATTCCTCCCCAACCCCCGCCACCATGTCACTCCAAGCTCCCACAGCCGACTCGCAAGCGCCCTCTTCCGATATTCAGGTCCCTGCAAAGCGACAGCGCACGGACACGGAGGGTACAGATGCGCTATCAACGCCTGCGCGCTGCCAGCGATTTTGGTTCGAGGATGGATCCGTCGTGCTCTATGTCGGATCTACCCCGGGCGCGATGATCTTCCGCGTGCACAAGACGGTGCGTGGAACCCTTCAGCTTCTCTAGAGCCCAGGCTTACGCGGAGATGTAGATGCTGGCAAACAACTCGGAGATATTTAAGGATATGTTCAGCATCCCCCAGCCCCCGGGTCAGGAGCAGATCGATGACTGTCCAGTGATACGGCTTCCCGACGATCCCCCACGGATATGGATGGAACTACTCGCTGCGCTCTACGACATCCTGTACGTCTTACGACTTGCGCCCACTGGTTACGACTTCTTCACCGTGCTTCCACCAGGTTCTTCGACAAGACTATGTCCCTTCTGGGCCCCGCCTGCATCTCCCGGCTGGGGAACGTGGCGACGCTCTCTACTAAGTACCGCTTCGTCAGCCTGCGCCGCAAGTGCATCTCTTCCCTATCTAGCTTTGGCTGCGTCACGTCGACCTTGACTACGAGGGCCCGGCCACTCCCCTTCATTGAAGCCACCCTCCTGCTGATGGCCGCCCGCAACGCAAACATCCCGACGCTCCTCCCCTTTGCATTCCTGTCCGTCGCCTACCAGGATAACGGGCAGCTGAACATGATCCTCGATTGTCCCGGTCTCCCGGTGGCAGACAAAGCCGTCGCGCTGAACGGGCTCCAGAACCTCCTCGAGCTCCAGCGCACCCTCATGTTCCCCTTCGTCGACAACTTCAAGAACGCAAAGTTGTGCGACGCGGACTGCGAGCTCGACGTCGTCGAGTGCTTCCCCATGCTCTTCCTCCGGCCGCATGCGTTGCAATTCCACCACGGGCTCGATGGGAGGCCGCTGTTCGAGGAGGCGAAGGGCGCGCTCTGTGCGCATTGTTACAAGGATGTGTGCAATATGTACTACTCTGGGCGTCAGAAGGTCTGGGAGATGTTCCCCTCGATCTTCCGGGTGGGTAACAATTGGGACGAGCTGTTGCGCGTTCAGAACTATGACGCAGAGACGTGAGTGCTCGTTCATCTGTGCACTACATGGGCTCACTGACCTCCTTCTTAGCCCCTTGTAGCATAGCAGTGAAGGGCCTAGACGTGCTCAGTGAAGTGTTCATGTTTGCGACGGCCATCTATCCTGCCGTTCCCCTACTGATCTACCGTACATGCTGTTGTTGTTGTCACATTCGCCCAGTGTACTGCCCCCTTATCCTAGTCCCTTGTGATTCTCTCGCATACATATTTGAGTAACGAACAGCAGCAAAGATGTGTCCTACGGCCTACATCATCACTCGAAGGTCCTCAACGCGCCTCTGTTGGACTTAGGGTTTCGTCCCGCCGAACCAGCGCGCCGATCACCTAACCGCGCCAGCCAATCGCAAAAAGGCTCGCGGCACTAATGCCGCGTGCGCCCCGGCCGCCCGGCCCCGGGCCTATATAAGGCGGGGAAAATGCCTCACGATGGGTTTGGTACCTTCCCCCTTGCTTCCGCCCTCATGCTCCTCCCTCCCCTCTCATGGGTCCCCCTCCCCTCGCATGATATCCCCCCTCTGCCCCCTCGCCTCGACCAGCCTCGTTCTCCTCCGCATCTCTTCCAGAGTGAAGCTTGGGACTTTCCTTCGCACTGAGGTGTTCTAGGATCTGCAGGCCAGTTCGACGTACGGCAGAGGTGCACACTGATGTGGGATCGTTGTTCTCTCGATGCTGGGGTGCGTATGCAAGCTCGGCGCCTCGTCCTCTCGTACTCACGGCATCTTCAACAGCACTACCATCGCCATTGTCATCAAGCCTCTTAGCCTTCGCTGCTCTATTCTCTTTTCGCGCCTATCCCTCCTCTCGTCCTCCTCGTCGCCCTAATCCGCCCCTCGTCATCCCGCTCACCTCACCGGGGCCATCTACATCCGTTTACCCGCGGTCGCCCTCGTCAAGGCTCCTCCTGTCAGCCCATCGGACGTCTGGTCGCCACCCTCGCCGCTTCAACCCCTCACTGCCCTCGCTTCAACCCCTCGCTACCGCCACAGCCCCTCACTTCTGCCCCTCGCTAACCTCACTTCTGCCCCTCGCACCATCGCCTCGAGCGCTCTATCAGCTCCGCATCTACCCGGTCTGCGCTCTAGATCGCTTGCGGGAGCCTGCGATTGGTTCTGTTTCCCTGCGTTTCCCGCGTTGCGCCCGGTCTTCCGCGTCGCACCCTGGTTTCTCGCGTCGCACCCTGGTCTCCCGCGCCGAACCGCTGTCCTTCTGGTGCCGCGGCATACCTTCCCGTGTCTCGCCGTGGAACCAAGTACGAGTCGCCGTACAATCAAGCACGAGTCGCCGTGAAAATCGGGCACGAGTACCCAATGGTCAGCAACGAGCTTCCGAAGAGATCCGTATGCCCCTGCAGCTCGGTACGACCGGGCGCCTACTTCCTTATGTATACTAGGATTTCTGTGCGTATAAAAGCTGGATTAATGTGATTTGAGTCACTGGGCACGTCCCTTCCTCTGTTCGAGTGAGAATTTGGTTTTGGGTTTCTCCCCTTGCCTTTTCCTTGTTTCTCCCGTACTCTTATTTCCTCAATTGCGTCAAGGACATCAGGAAGACTCATTCACAATGGACATGGGCGACATGGGCAACTCCTCCTCGTCGGATTCGATGGGCATGGGCTCGGGCTCGGAGCATGCGTGCAAGATCTCGATGATGTGGAACTGGTGTGTGGTTCGTGGTCGAAAGCGGCTCATGGGGCTGACGCTCGCGCAGGAACACCATCGATGCGTGCTTTATCTCGGAACAGTGGCATATCCGGTCGAAGGGTGAGTAGACGTCTACGGTTCTATCGATTGTGGGCGCGCATGGCCTGCAGTCCTCTCTTCGACTGTAGTCGTGCTTCGGCCTATCCGCCTCCCTAGCCCATCCGCCTCCTCAGCCCATCTGCCTCCCTGCTCGACCTCACCGTGAGAAGCGAGTCCGCTGACCCTCTTTCCCAGCGGACTACGCCGGCTCGATCGTCGGCATCTTCTTCCTCGTCATCCTCGTCGAGTGGACGCGGCGCGCGTCGCGGGAGTACGATCGGCGGATCGCGAAGGAGTACGATGGGCGGGTCAACGGCGTCGCGGCCCATGACTCGACGGCGAAGTTGGATGCGGGCGCGGGGGTGGCGCCGTTTAGGTGAGTTTGTGATAATTTGACGGACGGGCATGCAGCGGTGAAGACGGGGTGGCCTGCGTCTTCACTGTGGTTTCGGACGTGTAGACGATGCTCATGATACTCGCAGGCCGACGCTGGTGCAGCAGCTCATCCGGAGCTTGTTCTACGTCGCGCAGTTCGGCGCGGGGTACATGATGATGTTGCTCGCGATGTACTACAATGGAGGGATCATCTTTGCTATCTTCGTACGTGCGCTCAGACACTCATTGTCGACAAGTGCCTGATCGTCGCCGTCATCGCAGGCTGGGGCCTTCGTCGGACACTTCACGTCTTCGGTGAGCTCTTACATCCCACTCAGATGCCCGCGGCTGACGAAGTTGCAGTGGGATACCGTCGGCCACAACGAGATCGTACAGAAGGACTGCTGTTGCTAAGCCCCTTCACGCTCTTCTCTCCATACACGCTCTCCTACGATTTCCTAACTCGACTCTCGGTCTGCGAACGGAATGGATCAACTGTACATCTATTCTCTCGTCTTCGGCTTCAATGCATCGGATTCTTTCCCCCTTCCACCTTTTCCAGCGTGACCACCGCCCATGGCATATCCAAGCTCTTCTTCCACGCCACCGGGTCTCGCGCGCCGTCCCCGAACTTTGCCTTCAACAGCTTCAGGAGCTCAGGCGAGTGCGGCTCGCGTATCTCGACATCCACCACGCGCACCAGCGCGACGAACTCAAGACTGTTTGTCCTTCCGCCGAGGTCGGCTGTTTGGAAGAGGGGGTACTCCTCGACGTCGAACTGGTCCTTGGGTGGTAGGAAGTGCAGGTTGGAATGACAGGAGATCTGCGCGCGGGTGGTGCCTTTGATGAACGAGACGGCGCGCTCGTAGTCAAAGATCGCAGCGAGGCGGTCATCTGCGCGTGCGCGGAGGGTGTGATTCTGGGTGACCAGGTCGAGGCCTGCGTTGATCTCGTCAGAGGTGAAGGTAGACGGTGGCGGCGCGTTCTGGCGGAGGTGGCGGGGGAGATATTTGGCCATTGCAGGGGCAAAGTCTGGTCAGTCGTAGGGTATGATTCAAAGTTAAGTCCTTCTTTCTATGCCTGGACGCGCCAAAGCTCTCAGACGATGGTGGTCTGGTGCGAGTTGGATAAAAGCGCGCGAACCCAAAGATGAACATCTCTTGCACGTGACTTGCATTGCAACGGACCGGTGGCCCGGGTTTAGGGGCGCCTTGGTTTCGACCATCACCACAACATGTCCTCCGTCGAGCCCAGCCCTCGCAAGCGTCAGCGTCTTGAGTATACGCGAGTAGAGACAGATCCCTCTACCTGCCCCCCACAACAACACGAGAAGCACTGGTATGATGACGGGTCTGTTGTCCTCCACGTCGAGGACACCCTCTTTCGCGTGCATCGCTCGGTGTGTATGACACAATACGTCCAGTTCTCCTTTCTGACGCGAATCGCTTTTGAAGATACTAGCTAAGCACTCTGAGATATTCAGAGACGCCTTTGCCCTACCAGCACCTGTCGAAGCAGAGGAGCATGACGGATTCCCCCTTGTCCGGCTGCGAGGCGATCGCATCCAAGGTTGGAACGAACTTCTCGACGCGCTGTATGACTCCTTCACGTGCGTCATCTACGTCCTGGCCTTGGACGCGGTGCTGACTCTCCGCAGATACTTCGACACCCTCAACAGCCTCGACCTCGACGCGAAGCTCACCGCGGCGATGAGCCTGCTCCGCGTCTCTACCAAGTATCGCATCGACTACTGCCGGGCGAAATGCCTGGCCATTTTATCCCAGCACTTCGTGTCTTCGCCTACCTATGAGCCTGCGGCGCAGCTCCCGAGCTTTGGCCAGGCGTGCGATATGGTCAAAATGGCACGAGAGACGAATGCGATGTCACTTCTGCCGTGCGCCTTGCTGATGGTGGCATGCGCCGAGGATCACTCGGCAATATACTCAACAGACCTCCCCCTCTTCGACAAGATTTCCGTCTACCACGCGCGGCTCGAACTTATTCGTTTACAAAGGGAATGCATGTTTCCTTTCGTTCAAAACATTTGGAGGCCCAACCGGACGTGCGAACGAAACTACTCGGGCACTGTCTGCGCGGCGCTTCTCCAGGATGAGTCTAGTAGATACGCGGCGGCGCCAGAGGCCATGTACTTCTTCGTCGACGACGCTTCGTTCTGGCCCACCGACAAGACGCGGGCAAAGCCACCTTGCAAATCATGCAGGGCCATCGTGCTCAGGGAACTCGCACAAGGCCGCCAGAAAATCTGGGAACAACTTCCCGAACTCTTTCACCTCGGCAAGAATTGGGACGAGCTGCGTCAGATGCAGGACGCGGAAAGTGGCTGGTGAGTATCGTTCATTGCGTGCTTATGTCTGTCGCTAATACATACTTTGCAGCTAGATATACTCTGTTGTTGTATTTTTTTGCTATTTGCTTTTCTTTTTGCTCCCTTTTTGTCTTAAATGCATCGTTTCCATGCCGCCCATCGCCTGGTCCCCAGACTTTGTACACGATCGAAGCCGCGCGATTAGCACCCGCTTGACTGGGGACTGTGTCTCACGTGGCTTCTCCCGTCTTGCATTGCCTCCCGAGAGTTCAGGTGCTTGTCTCGGATGCGGGTTGTATATAAACAGCTGGGGATGTAATGGAAGTCCCCCCTTACGCTTCAGTCGTCACTCACCTAGCCATGGCCGCCTCTACGTCGTCCGCGCATATGGTCCAGCGAAGGGTCACTGTTAGCGCCTCCAACACGGACTCGAGGTACTCGTACTACGCGTACCGCACGCGTAGTATTTCGTGCGCCCCTCGCTGTCCTGATGGACGTTTCGGGCCGCATGCGCTGCAGCGCGAGCGATGTATCGTGCTATGCGTCGAAGACTGCTCGTACAGGGTACATCACTCGGTGAGTTGTGCGCTATCGGTGGCGCGCATCGCATAGCTAACGCGCGCTTAGGTTCTTGTCGGCAACTCACGCAGCTTCGAAAAGCGGCTGGCCCACCACCGCGACGACTCGGACGACATCAAGAATTGGGGAGTCGAGGACATCGTCCTTCCGGGCGACAGCAAGCAGGACTGGGATGCCATGTTGGACGCCCTCTATGATTCGGACTCGTGCGTGTCTGCACCCGCTTCCGGTGTTATCTGTCTGACAACCATTTAGATATTTCGAGACTTTGAGCGCACAGCCGTTCGAGAAAAGCTTGCCAACGCTAGCGGGGCTCCTCCAGCTCGCGCACAAGTACAACATGGACACGTACGAGCGGAAGGTCACGTCCATCATCGCGTCCTACTTCCCTTCACCCTCTCCGAACTCGAAAGGTGTCGCTTGGCCGACTCTCGCGGAAGCGACCACGGTTATTAGGCTCGCGCACCAGACGGGCGCGACTTCTCTCCTGCGCCTCGCCTACCTCATCGTCGCCGCGCACGCCGCCGAGTCCAACAAGTCCATCGTCCACGACCTCGACATCCTCACCTCGGACAAGCTCTCCATCTGCGGGGGCATGCTCGCGCTGCTCAGGGCGCAGCGCGCGCACATGTTCCGCTTCTTCACCCGCTTCACGCCGTCTGCGAGATGTCAGCGCGGCGGGCGGTGCTGTCCGCAGGCGCACGCGCAGCGGTACCACGACGCGCCGGAGCGGGTGTGGTTGATCGTCGATGAGCCGCTGGCGTGGTTGGGGGAGGGGGACCCGGCGCCGCTGTGCGACGTCTGCTATGCGAGTGTCTCGGCTACTTTTGCGGAGGGGAGTCGGGCCGTTTGGGCGAGGTTAGACAAGTTGTTCAAGTTATACTAGACTGCGGGTAAGGGGTTGGATCAAGATACCTGGGTGCTTTAGTTACTAGTCATCTTCAAGGGTTTTTGTAGAAATACCGGGTGTACATTATTGGATGATTCTCGGTTGTCGCTGTTCGAACTGCGAAAAGTAAAGTATGGACGACCTCATGTTCACCGCATCCTTAATGATGTAGGGACTGGCGCTATCTCAGTCTCTTTCGGAAAGCATTTCGTAGTGCGTGAGGCCTTGAAAACTGGTACATTGGACGCAAGTCGGTGTTGAGATCGAGTTTCGAACGTGACAGTGAACACGCTCACGTGGATCATCGTGTATTGTCGTCACGCAAACGCATCTTCGCTCGTATCGCCATGTCCTCCGGGCACGAAGGAGAATCACGCAAGCGCCAGAGGTCTGAGGTCGACGAGGTCGACGCAGAGATCAAGGGGGATGGAACACACGATGAAAAGCACTGGTACTCCGACGGAAACATTGTCCTACGCGTCGAGGATAGCCTGTTCCGCGTCCACAAGACGGCACGTCCGGACTGCTCCTGGATTGCGTATATGGCTCAACTTTGTTCTTTGCCAGCTTCTGAATGTGAACTCGGAGATTTTCCGCGACATGCTCTCCGTGCCCCAGCCCGTCGCGCAAGACGATCTGGAAGGCTGTCCCGTCGTACGTCTCCCGGGGGACAGCGCGGAAGGGTGGCGATCTCTGCTGGACGCACTCTACGATCCCTCGTGTGTGCCTCCTTATGTCACGTAGGGTGTTACTCACACTTCTGCTCAGCCTCCTCTCGACTTTGCACACGCAATCGCTCAGCGCGTCGCTCCCCGTCCTCATAGGTATCACTCGCCTGGCGACCAAATACCGCTTCGTAGCGTTCCGCAGGGAGTGCCTCGTCGTCCTCGGCCGTCACTTCCCCTCATTCTATAGTTCTATACTGCCCATGCGCAAACGACCCGACCTCGCGCAAGCCTCTGCCGCCATTAGCCTCGCCCGAGAGATCGGCGCGCCGTCCTTGCTCCCGTTTGCCTATCTCACTTGCGCCAGTGCCGTCACGATGTCGCGGCCCTACGTTGTCTTCGACGACCCGTCACTCTCCTTCCAGGACAAAGCGACGATCCTGCAGGGCCTGCACGCGCTAGCAAACCTACAGCGCCGCCACATGTTCCCGTTCGCGTACGAGATCCCCGAATCGATAGAGACTGGCTGCACCATGCGTTGCGACACGACGGAATGCTTTCGCCAGGTCGCCGAGCGGCCGGAGGTTCTGCACTACCTGGACGACTACGAAGACGTGCATGATGAGGGCTGGTGGAGTGCGCGGGAGATGCTGTGCAGAGTTTGCCTCGAAGACATACGCGAAACTTACGACGGGGGGAGAGAGGATATTTGGAGCGACTTACCACAGATTTTCCGCATAGGCGCGTCTTGGGCTGATTTGCTACGCGAACAAGATACTGCTTGATGCACATCACAATCCTCTCTTCCCTTTCTAATAGCTTCGGTGCATGCAATCTTCGCCCTCCTTGAAGTCCTCACATGCAAGACTTCAATGTACAGACTGAACAAGCAACGGGGAAGCGGCCTACGTACTGTCGAATGAGTTCGTACACACTTGCTGGAATAAAGTAGAGGTAGCAGCAGGTTCACCTCCGGCAAGCACACAACGAGTCAACACATACACAGGTCAGCACTTAGTAGACCCTCACCAATCGAACAAGGGTCTCGATGGCGGCACAGGCAGACCCAACCGAGCCTAAGCCGATGTGGAAAATGACTTGACTCTCATGATCACACGGAAAGATGAGAAAAAATTCGAAGCCTGGGATTAGGGCGTAGTACTAGTGGTGACTAGGTAGGAGTGAATATGCTACAGTCCGAAGATGAATGCAGATGCGACCGACCCGCTTAGAGAGCGAGGACGGAGATGAGGACGCTGACGTTCAGCTGGAGGATGATGGGGAGGATGGCGCCGATGAGGCCGAGGACGACGGCGAGGAGGCCACCGACAACACCGAGGAGACCGTCGACGAGGCCGAAGACGACCTTCAGCAGCTCGCCAACGATGCAACTGAGGAGGGAGTCAGAATCGACGTAAGAGGAAGGAGGCAGACACGTACGTGATGTCAGCGAGGAGAGTGGCAACGACCTCGACCTTGGCGACGGCGACGATGTTGAGGACACCACCGAGGGCAGTGAAGACCAGCTGAAGGAGACATGAGCGAGATATCAGGAGGATCGAGAAGAGATACTCACGATGAGGAGATCAGCGACGACCTTGCCGATGACGTTGACATCCGTGACGACGCCGAGGACAACCGAGACATCGAGACCGACGAGCGCCTTAACGTCGACGAGCAGGGTGGAGAGGGTGACCTTGATGTCGGTAAGGAGAGTCGTGACCGTCTCAACCGTGGCGTTGGCGGGCTGGAGGTAGACTGGGAGCAAAGTCAGACGCTGCATCGCGCTACGCAAGGAAGAAGAGCGTACTGAGGGCATGAGCAGAAACCGTGATGTCGACGATAGCGGTGTCAACGAGGCTCAGGAGGGAGCCATCGTGACGGCGGTCAAGGTCGAGGACCTCGATCTCCGCATCGGCATTGGCATTGGCCTCGACGGCGTGGCCAACCTTGACGTCGGCGTCGGCGGCGGCGTCGACGTCGAGGAGGTCACGGCCGACCTTCTTGGTGACCGGCGAGAGGAGACCCCCAACGTTGGGAAGACCACGGCCAACCTTGACACTGGAGTCCAAGTGGGCGTTGACGTCCGCGAGGGGCGCGAGCGGCGCGGCGGACGTGAAGCCAGCGAGGGCGAGGACGGCGAGGGCGGTGAAGGACTTGAAGGAGAGCATGACGAAAAGAAGGTAGGGTAGTTGGAGAACTGTGAGGGGGCTGGTGGTCGTTGGGAGACGAGGATGCCGAGGCCGGTGGGGAAAGCAGAGGACGGGGCCCAGCTTTTATACGCCCTCGCATTTGAAACGCGCGCGGACGCACGAGGCGGTGGCGAGGCGCGGGCTGCAGGGTTCAGAGGCGTGGACCGATGGCCGCGAGCAGGATCAGTGAGCCGCCGGAACAACTTACGGAGCTGGGGAAGTCAATTGATGAACGCATGTTGCCATGACGCGCAATTAAGCCAAGGCTATTGGTCGAGAGCGCGCGCGTCCTTTGCACGCAGGAAGTGGTCTGCTTGCCAGCCTATGCGTGCACGTCTGGACGAGTGCTGGTCCAATGAGAAAGACCACATACGGCGAGTAGATTGTCTTCGCAATTCGAGGTTGAGGCTCAACGGAGCGCCGAGTCGAAGACGACAAACCCACAAGCGAGCATCCTGTTCACCAAGCTCAATGGAAGTTGATCGAGGCGCAAGATGACATATAATTGCATCAAAGCCCTCCCTTCCGCGTGCCACGAGTCATCACCCGGGGAGACGGAGGAAATCACGCGCCTGGTTGGAGAAGTATCGTTGGTTCGAGTTCGACCACCCACTGGCAGGCGAGCCACTGGCAAAGAGGGTCGTGCAATCGATGGTCTGCGATACGCGAGGCTGCGCGACGACTGCGAGGCGTTCGTGCGATTTTACGGCAGTTGGCGAGTTCCTGAGGCCGCCTGTGCGAAAAGCAGGGTCCCAGCAGGGTCGTGTCTATTGCGAGGCGGCGAACCCAGACCTCAAAGAACCCTCGGTCCCAAGTTCGGCCTGCCTGAGTCGTGTTGATGACCTCGCGGCCGGTAAAGCGATCCGATTCATGTCGTACTTGTTCAGCCTGACTGACTCTTGAGGATGTCGTAGTCGCGGAAGAAGCCCAGCGAGACGCGCAAAGCAGTGATCCTCGGCATGTTCAATTTGGGGACCGAGGCGTTCGAGCATACAACACAGATCAATAGCAATGCCATAAGTAACGAGGCGTACGTGTACCGTCCGGGCGAACTATGCACCCGCGCAAAAGAAGAGTCAATATGCAAGAGGACGTCTGATCTTCCAGAAAACGGTAGGCGTGTCGGGCCATGCATCTGTGATGGGAGAGTCGAAGGAGGAAAATGAGGTTGTCAATGTCATGAGCGTCGTAGAACTTCCAAGGAGAAAACATGAACGAGACCACTTGTGAGTTAAAGTTCGGAACAATTTGCGCATCGGAAGGTCGTAAGCTTCAGCTGCGCAGACGAAGTCAATTACAAACTGGACAGCAAAAAGAGCTCCTACCCGTCGTAGTTCTGTATTCGCTTGAGGTCCTCCCAGCTCTCCGCCAAGCAGAACAACTTTGGAAGCATCTCCCACACCTTCGCTCGACCTTCCTGATACGTGCTACGCATCGGCGCCTCGCACGCCTGACAGACACCCATCTTTCCCCACTGGACTGGGTAGAACCACCACGTCTTATGCGGCTGGTCCCGTACGCGCTTGAAGTGCAGTAAGACGCATGCGCCGCCGGTGGGCCCCACGCCATTGCAGCCCGGAGCCGGCTGCCGGTTAAAAACGAAGGGGAACATGTGCTTCGCCTGCTCCTGCGCGACGCCAATCATACCAGACAGCGCCGCGGCCTTATCCATCCAGTCGAGCTGCGGAAGCTTGTAGATGTCGTCGGAGTCCTTGAGAGCGTCGGTGAGGCAGAGGTACGCGTAGGGAAGGACCTCGAGGATGTTGACTTCGCGCGCGATCTGGATGACTTCGATCGCGAAGGAGGGCCTCCACTTGCACGCGTCTTCGGGCGGGAGATCGGACGAGAAGAGCGTAGTGAGGATGGAGATGGCTTTCTGACGGAAGGCGCGGAAGCGGTACTTGGTAGAGATGCGCAGGAGTCCGGGTAGAAAGGCTATGATCGCGCGAGTGTGGTCTTTGGGGGGTTGGAACTTCTCCAGATGGCTGCACGGCTGCTGAATTAGATATGAGACAAAGGGGAGGGCGCAGGGGACGTACAGTGCGTCGTACAGGACGACCAGAAGCTTCTCCCAATCGAGAGCAGTGTCATCGTGCAAGCGGACTATATGGCACCCTTCCAACTGATCCTCTCCGACGGGCTGTGGAACAGCGAGCATGTCGGCGAAGACTTCCGAGTGGAGGGAGATGACGGATTGGTGCACACGAAAGAGGGTATTCTCAACATGCAGGACGATTGAGCCATCATGGTACCAAAACCGTGGGTGGCGCGTCGCCTGAGTAGAGGTGTCCCCCGCATCGTCGGATTCGATCCGGCGGCGCTTGTTTGAGGGGGGACCTGGAGAAGGCGAAGGCAAGTTGTGAGCAGAGACGTCGTGCGCAGCGGAGCTCAAGTCCATGGTGATGGTCGTGAACAAGGAAGCGTCAACGTGACATCCGGCCTAAAGATGTGACCTGCACCATTTGAGCGAGCCTTACCTCCGGATCATATTGCCTCAGGTTGGATGAAGTGTGGGACTATCTACATTACACAAGCCCAATTTGCCCTACGAACGACAGGAGGATGTGCCACGCTTGGACGATTGTAAACTTTGGATTCAAATGGTGGCGAATCAAGTCCGTATCCATTGAAGCCATGCCAGAGGCTTGAAATCAGATCCCGCATATATGCGTCCCATTTGCTAACGCTAGGGAAATGCTAATTCATAAGGATTTTTGTCTGCGTACGGTAGAGTGGCGGCGAAGTCCCGCAGCGACAGGGCAGGAAATCCTTCGAGTCCAAGAGGGTGAAGTGCGATAGAAGGAGTCAAGGTCCCTTCGCCCAGCACGCTGCCATGAACCGGCGCAGACGGTACTTCATCCTGGTGAGGAGTACCAATTTCCGCCGTCATGGGAGCTGTTGCATCGACAGGGTCGGGACGATAAGACAGGTTCTCGCGGAGGACTTGAGGCGTCGCCGAAAATGAGGTCCTCGCCGCAGACCGTATCCGCTGAATATCTATTGTGACGGTCACTGCTGGGTAGCTCTTGGTGAGTTTTCGTGAAGGGCACGATTTGGCAGCCTGCTTAGCTCGGGATTGATCTGTCAATTATCCGCATCAGCGAGCCAGTCGGTTGATGAAAGGAAGAAAGAAAAGTTAGGTTCGGATGATGACCATGATAAACAAGAACAGTCCTACGTAGTCGCAGGGGAAACGCATCGTACGCACTTTTCTCTTTAGCCGCATCCCCGCTGCGTTGTTCCTTGGATCTGGCTGTCGTTTGATGATGCACGAAGTTGGGCCAAATCTCCTTGTGACGTTGACGAAGTTTCGTCGCTGCCTTTCGCCACAAATACTGTTCGTCCTGCGGCAACTCACGCCAATGACGGCCTGCGCGGGCAATGAGTGTCGATTCAGGCTCTCAGAATATCTGACTCACCAGCGAGAGTGCCCATGCGTATCTGCCTGGTCTCCAAACAAAGAGTTGAGTTTCGTGCTGGGTTGAACTTGCGCGAGAATTTGCGACAGAAAACGTGGTGGAAGAGGTTCCAGTCGCTTGGTGGTGACTTGTTTGCCTTGAGCGTAAAATCCACAGTTTTGACGGCTCGCAAGTGCTTAGCGATAGCGTGGTAATCTGGACAGCAGGAAGAAGGAGGCAAGTCCATATTTGTGGCCTCGGAGCCACCTGGAGGCAGAAGAGGGATGGCAGTTGGCGCTCTGCATCGAGAACTTGTCGCTTTTTATATCGTGCACTCCAGAAAATGGAAAGGTATGGGGACAATTGCTCACGCGGATATACCTTCCCGGAAGGCGATGTCGGGTTTTCATGAAGATTCGGACCGCACCATTGCGGAGTGCCATAAAGTATCTACCATCGCCTCAGTGCCCTTGTCTGCGCAGGCCAGCATAAACCGCCGAGCAGATGAAAATGGATCGCATAAAGCACATGGAGGCAGGAAACTTGAAGAGGACGGCCGTGATGAAGGTCGACTTGGACAAGCATGGAAGTCATGATCAAGAGGCAGATCCGGCGAATGCCGAGTGGACCTACCAACGCAAATATGTACAAGCAAAAATTCACCTAGGTAGCAAATTGAGGCGCAGAAGGCTTGTCGGACTACTATGCCTACCACACTGTCTGGTACTCTATATTCTGCAACGCTGGAAGGTGTAAACATATCGAATCTTGGCGTTGACAGTGTCTACGCGTCAGATGCTGTTGTGGCAAGGCGGTCTACCGCAAAACTACAACTCGTCGTATACAATATAGCGAAAGTCAGCTATCTTGTGCACATTAATCTATCGCAGCTGAGTAATCATAATAGGTCATCGGACTCGCCCAATATCTTTCTTCGCTTTCGTGAGGTCGTGGGGAGGCTTGAGCTGCATGGCATCGTCAAGTGCCAAACGGACCCGAACCCTCGACAGCCCCTTTGACGTCGGGGTAACGAATCTCCACTGCGCGCCAATCCTAGGAGGCGACTTCGATGGCGCTTTTCCCGTGGCGGGCGAGTTCGAGGCCGTGATCGCGAGCATACGTGGAACATTTTGGATGACAGAAATCAGACGTCCAGCGAAGGATGAAGACTGAGGTGCGGACCTTGCAAGTTGACTACGCGCGGTGGTGTATCAGCATGGCTTCCGCTGGTTAGAGGAAAAGGTGGACTCACTCCACCAGTCCCGCAAGGCATAGTAAGCGGACAGGTATCCGGTGAAGTCGCATTGAAAGGCGAGCGCGGCCACAGGCTTCGCGCTCGAACATGGCAGCAGGACTATGGTGAGCCCGTAGAAGAGAGAAAACAAGAACGAAGCAGGAGCTTGCATCGTGGATGAAGGAGCAAGGCCGTTAAGCGTCGTCCTCCGCACCCCGAGCGCTTGTATAGAGGGCATACATCCCACGCCTTGGGGCGACGTAAGCAGCGTCAACCCTCATAGAAGCCCCGCTGCGGCGCGCAACGAAAAACATCTGTTTCGTATGCAGCGTTCGGCCAATGCCTAACATCAGACAGCTACCGTACCTGAGAAATCATATACGCCATTCACGTCTGTGAATAGTAGGCGCCTTGGGTCACGACTTCAGGAAAGCATTGCAGCGCTGGGTATAACACAGTCAAACATACCTCGCGGCGTACACTCCTTGTAGCTCGTAGTACGTCAACCCTAATCGACACTTAGATCTTCTCAATTTGCACATCCAGCACGGCACATCGTCCCTCTTTCACTACCACTGAAATCGCCTCCGATAGATGCCTCTTTAACTCTTCCATCGGTGTATCACCCACAACACGCCGCCCCCAGGCGGTATTCCCCGACGCAGCGACGGCGATTTGGGCGTAGTCCGGACAGTCAGGACCAAATGCCATCGAGAGGCGCTTCGCGCTTGCGGCTTTAGAGCCATATCCGGAAGGATGTACGCCGAGCATGGAGAGCCCAGGAGCCTAGAAGGAATTAAGCAAAAGCAGCGGGAGAGATGCTGCCATTACGCACCTTCCACCCGCCATTGTTCAAGACGATGGTGAGGTATGGCTTTGCCGACGTCAGGGCCTTGTCCACAACATCGAGGAAACAGTGCGCACGGTATCATATCGTCTAGCCATCCAATAGCTCGCGCTGGGTGCGCCGAAGACGAACGAGCCGTCGCCGACAACCGCAACGACGATGTCGAACCGCGCCGTCTCGTCGCCGGTCACCGCCGCGACCGTCTTCCCTAGATGCATCCCCACTGCAGCTCCCAAAGCCCATCCCAAACTCGACCCGCCCGACGTGAAGTGGCTCCCTGGAACCTCCGGTCGCAGATGCTCCCACACCGCCGGATAATTCGACACCCCCTCGTTCAACACCAGCGCTCTCTTGCCCTCCAACAGCCCCCTCAGCGTTCCTAGCACATTTGGGACGCTCAACCCCGCCTCAACGCGCGCCTCCGCCGCATCGAGCGCGGAAACATAGTCCCCGTGCATCTTCGCCTTGCGCTTCCCACGGTCAAGGACGGCCTTGGTACGCAGTATCGGTTTGCCGACGTCGCGCGCGACCTCGTCAAGCGCGCGCACCTCTGCAAATATCTGCTCGAGCGCGGTTGCCGCGTCGACCTTCGCCACGAGCTCTGCGTCAAGGTGCCAGTACCCGACGTTCGTGTTCAGCGGGTCCGCGCTGTTCAGCACGAACACGCGCGCGAGCGCATTTGGGACATCGCCCGTCGCGGGAATCCAGGCGATGTCGGCGTCGAGGACGAGGATGACGTCCGCGCGGCGGATGAGGGGGCAATGTGTTCCGGGCTGGAGGTAGGTGATCTTGCAGAAGTACGGATGCGAGAAGGGGGTATTGACAACCGTGGGACAAGTGGCGACGATGGGAAGGGCGAGGAGTATGGAGAGCGCAAGGAGGGAGTCGACCGCGGCGGGGTTCCGGCCTAGGTGGGAAGTGACGATGAGAGGGGACTGAGCACTGGAGAGAGCTTGAGCAACGCGTTTGGCAACAGATTCAGAGAGGGCGGGAGGTTCGATAGGTGGCCAATGATGCATGCCGAAGGAAGCGATAAGCGATGTCTCCTCAATCTCTGCCTCCATGACTTCGCGGCGCGCCCAGAGGTATACGGGACCTTGGGGCTCGCTCGTACAGCTTTGAGAAGTATAAGTAACGACCTAATCTGCACACAAGCAGCGCCTACATCTGAAGAGCACGCCGTACCATTTGCGGGGTATTCTTAGGGGTATCAATTTGCGCAGTGATACGCATGTACTGCCGAACGATGGCAGACTGGTCGTGTATGTCTATCGAGAGTCAGCTCACCTGAGCCCGCAATGAATTTGAACAGAGACCGCTGCGCACCTTGGGTATACATATTCCACTCATTCCTCCTTCCTCTTACACCATTCTGATCAACTACTGACGGTGACGCACCCGCGAATATTAGCACGGGCGTCCGACTCTTGTCCGCATTATGAACCGCGCCTGCGAGCGACTAGCATATCCCATCAGTCACTCATGCGACGCACAAAGTAGACAAGCAATCTGACCTGCGTTCCCACATCTGTATGCACAATCACTGCCGCGGGCTTCCCGCACGCCTGCCCATATCCCTGAGCCGCGCTCAACGCGGCCATCTCGCTCGGGCACGTCACGATCTCGACTGCCGTCTGCCCCTCCTCAACCCGCTCGCGCTCGAGCTCTTCGAGCAGCGCCGGGTGGTCCGAGCCCCAGTTCACGAAGGCATGCGTGATGCCGCAGTCGGCGAGTGTCTTCAGGAAGAGCGTCGCCGTCGTGTGCATGGCTAATCCTGGTACGGTGGTGGGAGGTCGGAAAGGGGTGTTCGCGCCACCCAGCCCGCGCTCGGGCGCACAAGTAGGACCTAGTCTCCACTGTATGGGGCTGGTGCCCACGGTATCGCGCGCGTGACCGCCGTGGCTCCAGGCCGCGCTTCATGGGCTCCAACGGGCTTTGAACGTGGTGGGAGAACTACCGTAGGGGGTGTAGGAAGGACATGGGATGGGCTCGGCTGGTAGCCGATGTTTCGTGAGATGCTTCTGGGGTGCGCCTTAGACACGGAGGGCTATTGAAGTCAGTGCCATGTCATTATCCGAAGCCGAGGAAGACCACTCACAAGCCTTGTCGTCATTGGCACGGAGATGGCGAAGTAGCACCGAGACACGGTCGTGTGATCAGACGCGCGCGTAGGATATGAGAGGAGGATATCAAGGCTCCAGGGAGGAAATTCAAGGTGGAAACCGGGTACAAGAGGTGCAAATATGTGCTGGAGGTACTTTGAGTTTTGAACGTCAACGCCAACAACGGTCACGCACCTCCTAAGTCCCTCGGCCTCATCTTGAGCATGCTGGACATTATCAAGTACAGCAGCCAGCGCATTTGATTTCTCAGGTAGACAAGAGCAAAATCCAGACAGTCATAGTTCTCGATACCCTCCTAACTATGGCTCGAAGCAGGCTTGAGCGATAGAATTTGGTCTCCATGGAGTATATGCCGAGCGCTTCGTGAGAGATAGTGGTCCGTCGAAGAGTATTCTGTCAATTTAGCAGATGGCTCTGATGTCGGCACTGTGAACAACGTCGACGTCGAGGACAAGCCGTACGCATCGCCCTTCGGAGCCACATGGCGATAGCGTGGCGTTTGAACAATGGGAATGCCAGGTTTGGACATCGTTGTTCCGCTTTCGGGAGCCGGAGCCTCAGGACCTCAAAGGAGCTCTGTCCTACGTACCGTAGATACGAGCACAAAAAGGAGGCCAACATATACAGTAGAAAGTCAGATCGAAAGGAAATCGGTACTGTACAGAGCAACCAACAGAAACACGACAGAAGAAAGAACGGGATTTTCAACACGCGCTTCCAATCTGAACTGCCCACCCTGAACATTTTGGGTGTACACTGTTCACTGCGACATCATGTGCATCCATCTCGGTACCATGCACGATTACAGCCGCGCTTTAATCGCCCACACCTTAACAGGAACCTTCATTCCCGCCCGCTGAAGCCAAGCGAACCAGCTACCCTTCGCAACAGTCGCGCCCCAGAAGCGACGCTGCATCCAGGCGGCGGAGGAGCCTAAAGAGAGCGTTAGTAAGTGCATAAGGAGGGTGAACACGATGTGAAAGACGTCTGAGCGAATCAACGTCCCAAGAGAGACCGAGCGCCGATTAAAAACAAACGAACTCACCCTTAATTGGTCCTGCGGGCCCGAAGCCGAGCATACCCAGCAAGCGACTGAGGATCCAGCCTTCGGGGATGATCATAGCGGCGGCGGTCAGATCGCAGAGACAAAGAGGACCGGGTGTTGTTCGTGGAGGTCGCCTACATGGATCGAGCGTCAGCACACTCAAGCACTTCTGCAAGCTGTGAAAATGTGTAGATTTGCACTCACCGGTAATCACCACCAGCCGCACCAATTGCCTCGCCATATGTTCGAGCGTGCGGTGCGCCTTCTCCTCATCCACGCCCCGCCTCACCAGCACCTCCTCCACTGCTTTCACCGCGCGTCCGACCACATTCTCCGCCAGCGCCAGGCGCTCCTCATGGCTCGGCGCATTGCTGGGCGGTGGGAACACAGTCTTCACTTGCTCCAAAATAGCCATAAGGGCCTTCCCAATTTTTGCCCCGGCGTTTTCGAGATTGTTGGGTATCAGATCGGTTGGAGGCCGCAGGTGCGCCGCATCCTCGACGACGCTTCGCACGAGGGCGATAAATTCCTCGATGGAGGCACGCGCTTCGGGAAAGCGCTGTTGCATATTGGATAGGTCCTGAAAGGCAACCTGTACGGCTTGACGCGCATGGTCGAAGAGCTCACGCCAGTAGTCGCGAGGCGACGTGTTGCGGTCTGGGTGAACGATCAGGACGTGTGAATCAGGCGTGTGGGCGAGAACGGTGCGCGTACCCTGCATGTCGCCTGCGACGTTCATAGCCACATTAGATCTCCTTCAGTGACGAGGATAGAGAACTCACTCCACCAATTCTGGATGGTGTAGAAATGGGGTGTAAGGCCTGTGAACGGCACTTGCACAGGGAGCTGGATGGCCGTCGCCGGCTGGGCGCCATGTCCTAGGAGGGGCACAAGTCCACCCAGAAGAAGGGGCAGAGAGAAAGACGAGAAGATCCTCATGGTCGCGGTTGCTGGTGAGAGTGAGAAGGAGGGCGATTAGGCACGTTAGCCAGCATGCAGGCGCCTTAAGAGCGCAGATCCTAGTATCCCACGGGCTGAATATACGCTAATGACCACGTAATCGGAAGCAAGATATATTGCTCGAGATCCTTTGGGAAAAAAGAGGAGACATGGGTAAAACGGCCCGTAGGACTTGTGGACTTGGTGACGCCTCGACCTCCACGCCCAAAAGTCGAACATGGCAGTTGAAAGCAGAATACGGAAATATCGGAGACCGGTCCGATCGTCCGTGCTGAAGTTCCCCCGATCATCACCTTCTGCTTCCGCCCGTCCTCCTCCCCATCCACCGCCATGCCCCACAAACGCGCCAAACGCTCCGTCAGGGAGAAGAGCAAGAAGGAGCAGTGCGTGATTTACCTCCTAATCAACGACTCCTTCTCTGACTACCCTCTCATCCAGAGGCCATGACCTTATCCCCGCGAAATACTCCCTATCCGAAGAGGCGATCCCCAAGTCTGCCGCGCGTGTGCTAAACGCAGCAAAGGTGCAGGCGGAATACAGGGCGAAGAAGCGCAGCTCGGAAGACGATGGCAGCCAGGGGAAGGCAAAGCGGCGGAAGGTCGACTCGAGCACGAGCGGGATGAGCATCAAGCCGGGAGAGTCGCTCACGCATTTCAATAAGTGCGTCTCTAATCGCTCTTTCCATATCTTATGCGCCACCTCCGCTTCTCGCTCCCAACTTCTTTCGTTCCCCTTCGCACGTCATGATCAGCTTCTGACCCAACACCCTCCACAGACGCGTCGAAGACAGTATGCGCGGCCTCGTGCGGTCCGCCGTCCAAACCTCGAATGCAGTCGCGCGCAACGCACTCAAGAAAGAAGCCGAGGAGAAGAAGGCCGCGAGGCAGGAAAAGAAGGCGAAGCGCAAAGCTGACGACGCGGACGACGATATCAAGGATTCCAAATCCACTGGCGGCAAATTTAATGATGGCAAGCGACCTGCGAAAGACGACACCAAGACCACCTCCACTAAACCGCCTCAACCCTCCACCGACAAACACGCAGACCGACCGAAGGAGTTCCAGCAAGCGTCCACCTCCGCGCCTCGACGGTTGAACGACATCGCACAGGCGCCGCCGGATCTGAAGAAGTTGCCACGCGGGGCGAAGAAAACCGCAGGTACGTTCATCGTCGTTTGTCCGACTGTCATGGACGTATGGGGCATAGCAGGCCCGGCCGGTTCGAAAAACGCGGTTCCAGATAAATGCCGGTATAGCATGGAGGCTGACCTTCGTCTCAATAGGGTCAAGCGCGAAGGCAGGCCACACCCCCAAGAGCGACGGCGTCGTGTCGATGGCACAGAAAGTCATGATGGAGCAGGAGCGGGAGAAAGCGATCGAGCGGTATAGGTTGCTGAGGGCAAGTCAGCGGAAGGGGTGGGCGGAGGGGAGTGGCGAGAGGGAGGATAGCGACGGTTGAGATGAGGTCGCTACCTTTGGACACCTTGTAAGCTATCCCGCACATACGCATTGGACGCTATTATGTCGATTGATCCCTCCTGGGAAGACCCAGAAAACTGGCCTCGAGCTCGTGGAGGGCCAAGACTCGTACTCTCGCCCAAACATGGTCTGCGACCCTTTGGCCGCAAACGCATAATTCGTCAACATATTGCACACACTCCCTATCGACTTATAGACCGAAGCTTCCAACTTATACACCGCTGACCGCTAACGTAGGTGCGTAGCTTCCATATCATCTGGAAAGGCCCGTGTCTAGTCCTTGCTTCACGCGATCCTCCGTCTTTCCAAATAGGCTCCTCGCTCAAGATCCACAAAGTATGCTAGACAGCCCGAGGCCGGCCCCGCACTTGCCAGGATTTCTCCCCTCCTTTTACGGATCGGCGCCATTGATTCCAAAAACAAACAACATTTAGTGACCACATACGCGGAGCTTCCTTTGTCTCCTTGTTCTACGTGCCCTGGCATACACAACTATCGCGCTGCAAAGCTCTCGCGGTGGGCAGGATGCAGCCCTCACCATCGCATGCAGATCCGAGTCATGACGAGTACGAGCGTGCAGTTGCTGACTGCGCTATGAAACCATCCATCCAACTCACTCTCGGGTCGTATGCGTCCGTGCGGTCGACTGTTATCAGGGCCCTTCGACTCCAGCCGGTCCTCGGAGGCGCTACACGCGAGCAGACATCGGCTGCTTTGGAACTAGGACCGGCCGTCTGGCTCCGCCGTGTATCTATGTACATCGTCGCATATCCTTGGGGACGCCCCGAGGGATGCTTTCTTCTGAATGTATCCCGCGCACGTTCAATGCTGGGCCGCCGGCTCCTCCATCCACGGTCCCGGTCTCTTCGGCGTAGTTAGGCTCGAAAGTATACTGTGCATATCTGATCCGCTAAGAACTTTCTCCAGTTCCGAGTTCAGGAAGCAGCCGATGCCGTTTGTCTCACGCGCGACTTTCAGCGACCATATAACGTGAGTTCGCCGAACTATCACATCAAGCTCGCCGCTGAATTAATCTCCAGGATATAGGATGACATTCTGGAAAGATAACTACGGGCCCGTCAAAAACCACGCCGGGTCCGTCGAGGTCTAAGCTTCGCACTTTCGTCTAGCCGTGGTATGCGGACATTGCATCCGCTTCGTCGTATCTTCTGCCGCCGGCTGTGCGCGTGGACATAGCACGCTAATGCGTGGGCATGGTTAGCTGACGTTCCACTTCATCACATCGGCGTCGACCATTAAAGCTCTTCCTATCAGCTCATAGCCCTATACTTATGACGGATACGCAGCTAACCCCTAGCACAGGTACGTATCCTCGATATCACCGGGAGGTAGTCCTTTCGCCATGACTTGGACGCGTGCGCTTGTCCTTACTGCGGGTGCCGGCAAGAAACGCCTCCTGAGGGCGGAAGGCGCTTACAAAGGTCAGCGGGCTAACTCGTGAAGGTCGACGCACCAATTCATGACCGTATCTCATTTCCGAGGGGATCACCTTCAGAGCTTCTAGGATCTGGGAGGTATAGCAGCCAAGTCCTATAAGTACGTCCTTTTCTCGCTTCATGCTGTATCCAGTAGCGTGTTTGACTCTTCAGGCATGTCCATCACTTCAGATGTGTCCATCGACCTCGAGAAGCATGACATGCTGCCCAGCACGAGAGTCGAGGGACTCGCCCACGACGAAGGGTCCTCGCTACACCCAATCCTTCAAGACGCTCGACAAGGTACTCAGGTTCACAGCAATTCCCCTCCATCTCGGGCATCGTCCTTCTGCACAGTGTTCGGTGCCTTCCTCGCCCTTCTCTTCAGCTTCGGGAATCTCAGCGCGTTCGGAACCTTCCAAGCATGGTACATGCACAATCAATTTCGCGGCTTTCCCTCGTCGACGATCGCATGGATAGGGTCCGCCCAGTTGTTTATGTTCTTCGCGTCGGTGAGTTGCGTCGTACATGACCAGCCGATATGAACTAAAGACCTCTGATATCTAGGGCGCCTGTATCGGTCACCTATGCGACGCATACGGTCCCGGCTGGCTGCTGCTTTCAGGCGGCCTATCGACCACATTCAGCATTCTGATGACCAGCCTGTCAACGGAGTTCTATCAATTCCTGTTCTGTCAAGGCGTGCTTTTCGGTCTGGGAGCAGGAATGCTGTGCGCCTGCTTTCCTTGGGCTTTTATAAAGCTATCTCTCATATACCCATATAGCTTCTACCCCGCTATGACTAGTGTCTCGTCCCATTTCACGGCTTATCGCGCCACCGCGCTCGGGATCGTGGCCACGGGGTCCAGCGTAGGTGAGTGGTATTTCGTTGGCTTCATTGCCACAAAAGTCTGTACTAAACCATGGTCAGGCGGTGTTATATTCCCCATCATGCTCGAGCGCCTATTCTCCAAAATTGGCTTCGCGTGGACACTTCGCGTTGTCGGCTTGTTTAATGCAGCCGGATGCCTACTGGCGTGGTTGTTGGTTTCCTCGCGCGCGACGGCGAAGGGGATTCAGAGCCCAATATTCGATCATGCGACATCGAGGGACGAGAAGTATATGCTCCTCGTCGCTGGCAGCTGCTTGGTCTCTTTCGGTACGTCTTGGTATTCCTCTAGCCATATTTGCCTAATTTACCCAACCCCCAGGCCTTTACACCCCTCCCACCTTCATCGTCTCCTTTGCCCAATCTTACGGAATCACTTCCGCCCGCGCCAACACCGCCCTCGTCGTCCTCAACGCCGCCTCTGCCTTCGGCCGTCTCCTGCCTGCCTACCTCGCTGACCGCGCGGGGAATTTTAACCTTCTCGCCCCCGCCGCGGCGCTGTGCGGCGTGGCCTGCCTCGCCGTCGCGGCGAGTCTGCGCGGGTTGTCCGCATGCGTCTCCTCAGCGGCGGTAATCAGCACACTACCCTCTGCGCCCGGCGCCTGCGCGCCCTCCCTCGCCTCCATCATCGCCTTCGCCGCGATCTACGGCTTCCTCTCCGGCGCGTTCATCTCCGTCGTGACGCCCTGCGTAGCGCAGATTTCGCCCGCTGGCCGCGTAGGCGCGAGGGTGGGGATGCTGTACAGTGCGATCTCCGTGCCGTGAGTGCCATTTGCCGTCGGTTCTTCGAACCGGGCTCCTTTTGGTCATCGCGGCTAACAAACCTCCCTGTACAGGTCCTTACTCGCAGGCCCGATAGCTGGCGCCCTGCTGCATCGCGCAGACGGGTCGTACACAGGGATGATGCTATACGCCGGTATCACTATATTGTGCGGCTCAATACTTATCGTATGTGCGAGGATGCAGACAGAGGGGAGGCTGTTAGCGAAAGTGTAACGTCGATTTTTGCTAAAGAAGAATATAATGTCATTTGTGCCATCTACCTGTGTCAGCGTCAGCTCTCGCTTTGCTATTCCACAAGGGTCAGCATACGGCCGGCAAGCTTCAGTGTAAGGCTGATAGCTGCCGCGGTGACGAGCCAAGCATCGCGCTGACACCCTACGCGTCGTCCTGACTCGCACTAACTCGTAGGCACGAAGAAGCAGCGGGTGGACCGCGGTCCAGGCTACACACCGGTCAGTCAGCCAGTCTCGTAATCCAGCCTGCGGCTGCACGAACGCCCTAGGGTTTTCGAAATCAAGGTGAAACGAAGAATAAAGAATGTGGAACGCGCAAAAGCATTATAAAGGACAGAAAGTGTATACTATTATAGCGTAGGCGGCAGGACAGACCATATAGAAAAAAGCATTAACTGTACAACCAATGACGATCCAAGGGTTGGGATCGCTAGAAAGTTTCCTCTTCGTCGACTGGGACGCCCTCCTCGGGTACCTCGAAGCCGTCCTGTTGTCGGGGTGAGTCAGGGTGATATTTGTGCTTATGGCGTGGGGCTGACCTCCGTTGAGTACAGGATCTTTTGGATCTCTTTCAAGGTTTCGTCCTCCTTGCCGACCTTTTCGAGCTCCTCCGTTTGCTGCTGAACCAGGATCTCGATATCCCGGAGCTGCAGGGAATGTGAGCGGGGGTAGACAGATGTACACCGTGCATGGACGCACCTTTGCAAAGTAGAAGTCACGCTCCTTCTCTAAGCCGTCAAGATGTGATGACATCTCCTTCAGCTGCTCCTGCATGTGGTGCACGGCCTCGTTGGACATGGCGGACCCGGCTCTATGTCCGCCGACAGGCGTACGCCCGCCCGCTCGGCTGTTCACGGCACCCGCACTGCGTGCGGTGGCGAGGGGGGCGAGTGTTGCAGGCGGCTCGGCGACGACGCCCTTCCGCCTTGCGACGGGATCGTACGGGTGGCCGCCATAGTTGGATTCCCAGAAGCGCTTGATCCACTGCAAGAACTCGAGGTTGTCCCTGCCAATCGGATCAGGATAACGCGCGCACACGCGGGACATAGTACGCACTGCATCTTGCACTTCACGAGCTTCTCCACGGGTATCGGCTGGGATCGACGCCGGTGAGCGCACACGCGCGAGGATAAGGCGAGCGGGCACGCACCTTGTCGATCTTCTTGGCTTTGAAGGCATTCTGCAGGACCTTGAAGTTGGCTATAAACTCGTACTCGTGCTTCGCGTTCATCTTGACGCGCGCCATTGGCAAGTCGCCTGTCGCATTGCTCAGCATCGGCGCGACTCGCGGGAGGGGCATGCGATGTGCGCACCGTAAATTGAGTCAATAATCTGGCAGTAGGCGGCGCCGGAGCCACACTGCTCGACCTTTGTGTAGTTGAGGGCGAGGAGGTCGTTGAGCCATTGCAAGAGTTCTGTCCGGGACGCCATCGTGTGAGAGAGTATAAGGCAAGGAGCGAAGGGATCGAGATGAAGACGCGAATGTGATGTGTGACGTAGACACGTAACGTCACAACGCGTTTTCAACATCACGCTCATCTCGAACGCTCTTGTCAAAGCCCGACCCGCGTCCACATAACACCAACAAGGTCCCTTTTGCCAGGGTATCCTTCCAAAGTAAATGATACCCATCGCTCAAGTATCCGCGAGAGGTAACGTATCTTATAGCGACCGAATATGGTGAACCCATCGCCCGAGGTCTGCAAGAGGGTCGTCTCCTTCCTCCATCCATATGCCACCCGGGATCTCAAAGCTCTATGCCTTGTCTCAAAAGCCTTTGAGCGCGCTGCTCGTCCAGTACTTTTTCGCCAGGTCGTTCTGACCGACTTTGCGCAAGTCATCACATTCGGCCAGTGCATACGAGAGAACCCAGAGCTGGGCAAGATGATCCTCGAATTCCGCGTCATGGGCCGCCACCAGTTGCGCTTCAGCCCAGAACAGCGCGTCGAACTCTATGTCATGCACTACTGGAACGCTGTCGCAGATGTCCTCGCCCGCGTGCCCAACCTAATTGCGCTTATCATTTACGATCCGCTCATCGAATCGCTCCCACACATACACATTCCGCAGGAAGAAGCTTACCCCTTCCAGCTCGAGCGCTGCGGTGTCAAGCTGTGGTGGAACGACGCGTTCCTGCAGTTTCTCGTCACGCAGCACCGGCTCGTCACCCTCCAGCTCTACGAGCCGTACGACGAGCGCGAGAACTTTGAGATCCCTGCGAATTGCTGGCCGAACCTAATCAACTTCTCTGGCACTCTCGTTAGCGCGCTGGAGATTGCAGAGGGCGCCGCGCCGAATGTTCGCCATATGTGCATGCGTCTGGATGACGCGACGTCGCCGACCATCGCGTACTGCATGCCCCAGCTTGCGTCCCTACGAAAGACGTTGCGCAGCCTCAAACTCACCGGGCTCGAACCAGGAGATGTAGACAACACACTGGCAGCAATCGCGCGTAATTTCCCAGACTTGCAGTACATCGGCGCGTTGCCACTCCCGGTTCTAGATGTGAGCGCCCTTCGACCACTCTGTATCAGCTTCCACTCACCCACGCCCAGCGTACCGCCTTCCTCTCCTCCCTCACCGCCTTCCCCGACCTCCGCCACCTCCAGGTCGACCTCACCCGCTGGCGCCCTCAGCCGCACGCCCAGCACGCCCTCCGCGCCATCGTCACTCAGCTGAAAGCTTTCGCGCCCACTCTGCGCATGGTCACCCTCTGGGTTCCGCAAGGGAAGTGGATGTACCACATCCGCGACGGCGAGTGGGAGGGCGCGCCCGACGGCACACAGAGCATCTGGCAGTGCAACTCGTGGATGGAGCAGGTCTCGCTGGAGTATCTGCCCAGTGCGTGGCTTCGGGCTCGTTTCATATACGCCACTAATGGCGGTTTGGCAGACGAATGATGGAAGGAGGTCCTGACGAGCAAACGCTGGAGAATAACCTTGATCTCTCGCACCGAATGTAATGGCCAAACGGCAAATGTATTATGATCTGTAAACTTCCTCCTCGACGATAGATAACGGTACAGTTCTACTACTGAGACTCCGACCTACGAGATATAACTGAGAGGGACGCCTGTATGATACATAGAGAGTATACGACTCCAAAAATTCTGATTACGATAAAGCTGGGCCCGAAGACCAGGATAGGCTGAGGCCGAAGGATTCGATGAAGAATAACATATGGTTCTAGGTGGATGGATGGTGTGTAGCTTGAGTCGTACAAAGTCCCATGAAAGCGACGTCTGATATAATAACGTCGCCTCGAATCGTGTCAATGCCGTCTACAAATCTTTTCTAGTCGTCTACTTCCTCTTGAATAGGGTCAGGATGCTCCCGCTGCGGATGCGGAAGAACCAGGTGAAGGCGAAGATCATGAACACCTGAGGAGCAGGTTAGCCAAAGTACGAAGATTAGCAGAAGCTGGAGCTCACGTTGAACGCCGTGAACGCGACCATGATGCCGAAGTCCCGCCAGTGGTTCGAGTAGAAGATGTTGAACGACTGCTCCAGGAACTGGTCGGTCGTCTTCACCGAGCAGAACTGGCAGTCGGACGTCGCATCCGGGTTGGTGAGATAGCCACCAGCCATGGAGATGTACGGCGAGAGGTAGTCGCCGCACGACTGGCCGGACGGCGGGGTGAGCGTGACGTACTCGATGTCGGCGCAGGTGACGTCGCCGTGGCCGGCAGCTTGACCGAGCAGACCCTCGATGAAGTACGTGTACGGCGAGAGGTGGTACATCCACTTCCACCAGCCGAGCTGCGAGAAGGGCTGGACGACACCGTCGCTGCAGAGTTGTTAGAATGCGGAGGAAGTGAAAGATAGATAAGGCCACGTACAAGGTCAAGACGAACGAGAAGATCAAGCTGAACAAGATGTTCGCGATCTCCGCGTTCGGGGCCATCGCTGCGACCGCAAAACCGATCGTCGTGTAGTAGAAGGGGAAGACCAGGCCGAGCATGAGGTAGGTGTACCCCGCGCGCGAGTTGTCGAAGCCAACCGTCCAATACCAGCAGAGGAAGAAGATGCCAGAGCCCAAGATGTTCCACGGCACCTCCGCCGCAATCTGCGCCGTCAGCAGCGCCGTCCAGCTGTACATCCGGCTGGGGCGCTCGCGGATTTCGTAGACATTGCGCGTGTTGAGGAATGGCACCTGGATCTGCCCGACGAGCGGCACGGATAGAATGGACGCCATGAAGAGCGCGAAGACCTTGTTCTGCGTGCCCTGCTGCGTGTCGACGGCCTGGAAGAAGGTGAAGCCGATGAAGAGACCGCCGACGATGTTGAGGATGAGCTTGGCGAAGAGGTAGGTCGGGTCCCGCCAGTGGTCGTACGCGTCGCGCTGGATGAGCTGCAGAACCTGGTAGCCCCAAGTCGTCGCGTATTCGGACTTGCGCGAGGTCTCAACGACGCCGCGCTGGCGGCCCTCCTCGTGCACGCGCGCGATCTCCTGCTGCAGACGCTCGGCCTCGCTTGATTTGGACCAGACGTCGTACCAATCCTGCGTAGCCGTGGCGGTCGCGCCGGCACCAATGACATCGAGCATGAACTCGGCCGGATTTTCGTCAGGACTGCAAGGGCGGGAGCCGTGGCGCTCGAAGTAGCCGATCATAGTGCGCGCGTGCTGGCCAATGTCACCGAAGTAGACGGTCTCACCACCCTTGCGGAGGAGCAGGAGGCGATCGAAGACCTGGAAAAGCTCGGCCGAAGGCTGGTGGATCGTGCACAAGATGGCCTGCCCGTGGTCGGCAAGGTTGCGGAGGAACTGCATGATGCTCCATGCTGACTGCGAGTCAAGACCGGACGTCGGCTCGTCAAGGAAAAGCAGGAGGCGGGGCTGGATGAAAGAAGTTTCAATGCTATCACGAGCGAGAGCGGCAGTACTGACCTTGGCAGCAAGCTCCACACCGATGGTCGTACGCTTCTTGATCTCCACATTGCAGGTCCCGATGGCGGCATCGCGGTATTCGTCGAGGCCACAGATCTTGAGACACTGGTCGACGCTGAGACTCCGCGTCAGCGACATTCGTAACCACCAAAGCGCTGACTACTCACTATGAGACCTTCTCGGCATCCGGCACGGAAGCAGGCTGGCGGAGACGAGCAGAGAATAGAAGGGCCTCGCGGACGGTAGAGCTCGGGAGATGTGTGTCGAGCTGCTGGCAGTAACCGCTGAAAACGAAGTTAGATATCAGAAGACTCGATCCTGTAAGGTGCACTCACGTCTGCGCCTGGAAGTCCATCGGAAGCGGCTGCCCGTTCACCAAGCGGTCGCCCGTGATAACACCCGTAGACACACGCTGCGCGAGCACATTGAGAAGCGTCGTCTTGCCCGCACCGGACTCGCCCATGAGAGCCGTGAGCTTGCCCGGCTGCACGATGCCAGAGACGTCGTGGAGGAGACGGCGCTCCTCGTGGCCGGCAATAGGGACCGTGTAGTTGAGGTGGTGGAACGAGAAGATGTCGGTCATCGCCTGCGTCTCTTCCAGAGCCTTCTCCGTCTCCCTGTCCACCTCCCCGCCTGCTGCAACCGGCTTCTCCTGGTTCGCCTTCTCTTCGTCAGCCGGGCTGGCCTCCACGAGCTGCTTCGCTGCCTTCGAGCCGCGCTTGAACAGCGTTACCGAGCTCGACGCGTTCGTCTTCGTGTTCCACTCTGTGAAGAAGAAGTACGCAGAGGTGAACGCGACGCCGAAGGCGATGACGATGCCGAAGTTGCGCCAAGTATTCGCGAAGGTGTAACCGTAGGAAAGGTCGAGGTAGCGTGCGCCGTTGACCTGCGTCTGGCCGGGGATTGAACCGACCGTCGTGCAGACCTGGTTGTCAAGGCTGATGTTCTCGTACCCGGGGCCTTGCGGCACCAGCACGGAGCACTGCGCGTCGAGCGTGCGGAACTCGTTCGTGACGACAGCTTCGTAGGCGTAGCGGAGGGGCTGCAAGCATCGTCAGCCAAAGAACCCCTCGTAGACAATGATTGTACTTACGTTGATCCACACCAACCACTTCAACGCGCCGATCATCGACGGCTCAGGGATTGTGTAACCCGTGTAGATCGAGAATACCAAAACGCTGATACCGGCAAACGATTGCGCAGGGGCTAGAAGGCGAGTCAGCTGGCTGGTCCTCACTCAATGGGCATACGAAGCTCACCCTCTGCCGGGAACGCCGCAGCCAGCGCACGGAACCAACTCTTCATCGTGATAGTGGTCACAAAGAGGAAGAGGTAATAGATGAAGAACTGCCCCGCCGACGTCTGAAGACCGACGAGGAAGTACAGGATAATACCCCAGACGGTGGTCGTAAGGAACGTGACCGGGATGTCAACGAGGAAGAGCGCGAGGGCGTCGATGAACGGGTGGTAGAACGCCCAGTTGCGGTGCCGCAAAATAATCGGACGCTGAGTGAACAAAGCCGGGATCTCCGCCATGGTGACGAGGGCGGAGAAGAGTAGCGCGAAGAACAGGACACCGGTACGAGAGAAGTACGCGCTCGTGTTATCCGGGGTTTGGAGGTAAACTGTGCCGATGATGATACCTTGGAAAACGAATGTGCTGTGGAAAGCGTCAGAAAAAGCGAAATAAGATCAATAAGGACGGGAGGCTCACAATAGGTTGATACCCGTCGCCAAAAAGTTGCCCAGCGTCATCTGCACCCTACGCAGCATGACCGCGCGGGTCTGCATCGGGATGGAGATGAGGTACGGCGAGTCACGGCGGGTGTGCTCCGCATGCTCGTCGCGCACAAGCTCACGGTACTTCGCCGCGCGCTCCGCCTTGCCCACGAAGTCAGCGCGGTAGGAAGCCATGTCGTCGCGATTCAGCTGGCCCAACGCGCTCTTCTTAAACGCAACCGCGAAGTCGTCCGCCGTGCGCGGCACGCTCGCGGGGTCGACGCCGTCGCGCAGGACGCGGCCCGCGGGGTCGGTGACGGAAACGAGGAAGTCGGCGGTGGTCTGGCGCGGGGTGACGGGAACGTAACCCATGTCAGTGAAGTAAGCGCGCGCCTGGTCGGCGGGACCGAAGTACGCGAGACGACCTTCGTTGATGACAGCGACCTTGTCGAAGAGGCGGTAAAGCGATTCGCCGGCCTGGTAGAGCGCGACGACAGTCGACATGCGGGAGACGTCAGTAGCAATGCGGAGCGCCTGGACGAACTCAAGTGCGGTGGAGGCATCGAGACCACGAGTGGAGTTGTCCCAGCAGGCAAGCGCCGCACGGGCGGCCAGGACCTCGCAGATGGAGACCCGCTTTTTCTCGCCGCCAGAAACACCACGAATCATGTTGTCGCCGACCTTGGTATGCCTGGTGTGCTGGAGACCGAAGAGTGTCATCAGAACATCCGTAACGACATCCTCGTAGGCATCGCGCGAGTGGCCAAGACGGTTGCGCTCACGCGGCGCACGGCAATACGCAGCAAACTTGAGCGTCTGCTCGACCGTGAGGGTGCTGAAGTGGACGTCGTCCTCCGGGCAGTAGAGCACATCGCCGCGATAGTGCTTCGTTATCTCCTCAGGAGTAAGCGAGTCGTAGTCGACGCGGCCGTCAATGGAGTGATACTCCTCGCGCTGGTTAGCTAGCGTCTTGAGGAAGGTGGAACACCCGGCGCCAGGGCGGCCAAGGACCACTGCATTGCTATTAGTGCGAGATCAGCGGGCATACGATCGTTACTCACAAACCATCTCTCCTGGGCGGATAACACCTTCGAAACCCGAGAGAATTTGGCGAGTGGGGGGATGGCGAATGCCCTGAATGCCATGCACGATGTCGATGGGGTTGAACATCGAGCCGAGGGTGGGCTGGTATGCAGCCGCGGACCCGACACCGGTGACAGAGAGGTCCTCGAAAACGACGCCGAGTTCGCGAGTCTCGATCTCAGCGTCTGCTCGCCTATGGGGTATTGTAAGCACGCTGGGTGCGATGCGATTGCTGGGGGGCTACACACCTTGCCACAATCTCGCGCAGGATCTTCTCAAAGTCAAAGCCGTCCTCCTCGGCCTTCTTTGCGCCTGCAGTCGAGCCGCCCTCCTCGTTTGGGAGCGTGCTCTCGGAGACGGTGATCGAGGCCGCCTTGGACCCCGGGCTGAGGTCCTGCAGGGTGAGGTCGTTGGGGTGGATGCCCGACTGCGACGCCCTGCTGAGCGTGCGGCGCAACTCGGCGACACCCTGCGCATCGAAGTGGCCAATGTCTACGTTGTCATGGTGGTTGTGCCCGCTGTGGAAGGAGTCGTGCTGGGCGGCCACGGGGGCGCCCGTCGCGGGGAAAGACATGGTGGCGGGGCGGGATAGAGCTGTTCGGCGCCATTTCCCTTCCGGGCCCCCGCTTTTATGAGTCTGCGTCGCGGATAGATCTAACCGTGTTCCACCTTCCATCCTTTCCGAGCGAACGCGTCATGTCGTCAAAATCTCAGATTCTGATCTCCCCATGTCAGCTCGCTGACGCCCACAATAGGACCGACACGTGCGCGATCGCGATCGTGCAAGTAAGCGCCCGTCCCCTTCCCGCGGCCCGCGGCCAGGAGGGAACTGGAACTGGAAGGCAGAGCTGGCGAAGTTTCGGTGGGTGTTCGTTGGGAAGGTTGGTCGAGCTCAGTGGCGATTTCTAGACGATTGTACGTCACGTGAGCCGCACGTTCTGCGCTCTCATTGAGAGGTGGTTTCCTCCCTCCTCATAAACGCGCTCAATGAGACCATAGGCACGACGTGCCAACTGCCGCAGACGCGTCAGCCGGCGCGGCGTATCTGATAACATGGTTCTACCGGTGCGGGAGCACGGTGATGGTCCCCCCTCCCCTCTAAAACTAGATTATTCCCCGGTTGCAACCACGGCCCTCGGAATCCCACTCCCATCGGCTTCCAGCAATGGGCACCCCCGGCAGCACGGACTACATGATCAGCGTCTTCATCATTGTGCGACGTATCGCTGTACGCGTCCTCCGAGCTTCCGGGACCTGCATAAAGAGGGCCGCTTCATCGGAATACACTCTGATGCACCCACGAAACTCCCCTGATACGTGCAGAACTTTACAGATAAAACCTGCCCAGACATCGCTCAAACCTTCTTGACGCGCGTCTCCGAGTCGCATGCCCTCGAGGCGCAAATCCATTGAGTCTGCACAGTCAGCAGCGCCCAGCCAGGTGTCACCGCCGCCCCCCGTGGCGCTCTGCGTCCTCGATGAGTCAGGATACCTCCCCGGCAGGCATCCGCTATCGCGCCCAGCGATGGCGAGTCTGCATTTCAGTGAGAGGGTTGGGTGATTCGAGTGACTGGATCGGTTAAGAACCGATACTGCCCTCGCCTTCCTCGAGCGTGGGCTCTCCTCCTGCTTCGTAAGGACGCCGCCTTCCTTTCATTATTCAGCGCCTGCGCGGCCTCCCCCCTTCCTTGACTCCACGGCGGGGGCCAAGCCCCTGCGCATCGCCCACCTTCCTTGACCAATACCCTTAGACGCATCCCCCACCCGCCTCCCCCTCCCAGTGATACACCGCCCTCGTCCGTTTTGAGGCACCCTCCGTGCTCACCGCATCGATCAGACTCCCTCGCTCGGCTGCTTCAATTTGTGGCAGCAGCGCGGGTGATCCCCGCCCGCCTGTCACGACTACACATTAGCCGCATCGGTGGAAGTCTCTCAGAGTCACAGGTGGCAGGTGGGAAGCGACCCTGCAACTCTCGAGTTGCGGTGTAGCCAAAATGCATAGTCTGGGTCTATAATGACCTGCAAGGCTCGGAATGCGCCTGGGTCGAAGGTGTGGGTGAAGATGGGACGCGACAGGCGGGGGCCTTTAGTGTCAGGGGGAGCGATTGGAACGGGCGGGTGAGCAGAATGAGACGAGTGGCGCTCTGCGCCCCCCCAACACTTGATATGGATCAGCGAGGTCTTCGAGGCGTGGGAGGTTCGGGCCCCATGGAGAACAATAGCGTCCAAATCGGGAAGTCCCATTGTTGACGCAGCCATCTCGTTGCTCAGGTGCCTGACTGTACTCACCCATGAATCACAGATCTAACAAGAACATCTTATTCACCTCGCCACGGATATAACAGACTTCTTCGCCGCCAGCACGGGAGCATCTTGTCAACTTAATAGAATGACCTCGTCAGTGAGTATGACCGCGAGGGCGCCGAGCGCCGAGGTCAATTACTGTGGGATTATGATGCGAATGTAGTTCGTGGCATTCATTCGGTGCGTCAGTGACTGCCCTCTGCAGTCATCTTGCTGAGCTCTATGCTCAGGCAACGAGCTTCTCACCTTCTTTGAATTCCGCGCACGGCCTTCGAACTTAACTGCCAACGTTGTGACTGTCCCTCCCACATCTAGCTGCTGTCCTCGCTCTCTTTACGCTCACAAGTACATCTGCTAAGATGAACTCTGCGCTCAATTACTGTCATCGTCAGGTTGCTCGGGAGCTTGGAGTCTTAGCTCGCGCCCTCGTGGCATTGCGAGGGTTGGTTCCTCCTTACTTTGCTCGTCGCGTCAATTCCTTGCCAGCGCTGTCGGTGCATCACCTGCTCGGGATTGATATGCATTAATCCGACTCCATGCACGGTCGTACACAGAGGCCGAAGGCGTATGTCTCAATAGACTCTGCTGCATCAAAAATCGAGCGGTGGTTCAGGGAATCAACGAAGCCGAGACGTTTGAGGTGGAATAGGCCTATAGGTGCTTTGAAAGAGACTCAGCTACGTGGGAGATGGACGTCGGGGCGAAGAAGCTTAGCTGCGGCAGTTGCCGTCCGGATCGGTGAGGCACGTGTCCCGATGAATGATCCAGCCGTGACCATATTCAAGTTGATGTTGTCGACTGCCACCATCTGGTCCAAACATGCTACTCTTCAAAGGTCCGGTATCTAGTCAAGCACGGAGAATGCAAAATATGTATACGATTAACAAAAGTCATAAGGCCGGTCCTTCTTTCGAAACCTAACGTGTTGGGACTGTGAGTCTCTGATGCTGAAACGGGCCTCTTTCTACCTCACTGCTACACCGGTCTGCCAAGCGCTTTGAATCTCCCTATTCATTCGCTCTTTGTTGTTCTGGATAAGTCTCTTAATCTGCATATTCAACAATTTTTGTTCGTTCTATCAGCGCATCTGCTTGCATGTTTTGGTGTTTTTTGTTTTTGACCTAGGGATATGTTGTTCCTTCTCATGCATTTATAAGGGCGCTTCCCCAAGAATGGATCGCCTTCGCCTTCATCAGTTTCGACGTCCGGCCTGGTCGCTGCGCTCACAAACTTTGCTGCTTTAGACACCTGCGCCGCATCTCCCTCCTCAGTGGGCTCCCTTAGAATCTTTCTGTCAGCTCTTCCCGGTCTCGCGTCTACGTCATCCCGCACAATCGTCGCGCCGACTGACTCGCATCGAGAATGAATCCTCAAATTATGACTTGCTACACCCAGGACGTCCACGTCGCAAGCGAGGAGCGCGCCGCAAGTGTCACGTACAAGGTCTGCATCGAAGGAACCCAAGGATGCGCTATGCGCCAGAACCACATCCATGAACCGCTCTCGAGCACGATTGAGGACCTCCAGAACGACATCGACCGCCTCCGCGATCGCGTCGCACACATCACGGTTGAGCTGCACCACCTGAACCCGGCCTTCAAGGACATATATCCCGTGAACATCGTCGCATACAAGCTTCGCCAACTCGTCGGCTGGGATGAACTCGTCCTACGACTGTCGGAAGAGCCCCTGGAAAGGGATATGGAGGAGGCAAGCGGGCAGAAGAACTTTCTCGTGTCTACGGCTCCGCTCATGCGGCGGACAATCACCTTCTTCGGCCACCGCGAAAACGTGCCCGCGCCCTGGTTCGAGGTCGGCCGGCTCGCCAGATGCGGAGTGGCTGCCGTCAACCTGCACTGCACACTCGGCTGTCTGGACTTCGCCAAAATCCTCCAGAGCGCCTCTACGAACGACAACTACTCAGCCGCAACTTACCCACTCAAGCTCTTCATCAAAGCCCTCGACGAGGACATCGAACTCGACTTTCTTAACCTCCCACCAGACCTGCAAGCCGACGCCGAGAACCGCCTCCGGGAGCTGCACGTTACGAGTATATCAAAGGCCTTCAGCTTTTTCGGTTTCCTCTGGAAGCAGAACTGCCGCCCGGGTCTCCGTGTTCTATCGATCGACGTCCGCCTGCACCAGAGCAACCAGCTTTTGCTCAGTCTCAAACATCTGCAGGCCCTCGAGAGAATCATAGTGGTGTGTAGGAAGGGCCAGATCAAGTGGCTGAAGCAGGCCTGCAAGCAGCGCGACTGGAGGTTGGAGGGGAGGATGTTCTGTCCAGAGGAAGACGAAGATCTGGAGAAAGAAGACAAATCCTGGCGCTTTACCGTGTGGCCTCAGAATGCCTGACATTTGGCAGATGCCTTGGACGAGCGGACCGTGTTTGATACGTAGTACACATTCAAGAATTCTCAGAGGAATTTTCGCTCGGCTAGCTACTTGGGAACCCGTACGAGCCTTTCTGCCTTCCCCTCCATACCTTTTTAGTCCTGCCGTAAACTCGGCGAATAATCACTTCTTATGTGCCTGCCACAGGATTCCAGAAGACCATGCTATAGATACAGACGCATCGTACTTATGCTACACGGAAATAATCACGGATTCTGTCCATACAAATCAAGCAGACACTGAAGCACTTGAACACCGGTGCACGCCTTTGTATCCTGCTAGCTGCGAAAGTCGTGCAATGGAAAGCAAAATCCGAGCATCCCGCTCAGAACAGGAGCGAGAAAACTACGAGCGGGGAGCCCTCGTAGCCCACGGCGCGCTCGTCGGCGCGGGGTCGCTCGATGCAGGATTACCCCGCGACGTTGTCGATGTCGGGCCGCGTGACGCCGCCCACGGCGCACCAGTCGTTGGAGTCCGCGGCACTGCAGTGGTTGCAGCTTGCGAGGCCGCAGTCGTAGAAACCCACGGGGCTGCGGTTGGCGTAGCCCAAGGTGCACCTGTCGGCGCTGCCGTCGCCCAGGGCGCACTCGTCGGCGCCGCTCGAGATGGGGCCGTCGCCGTTGTGGAAGTAGCCCACGGGGCCCCAGTTGACGATGCAGCCCACGATGCCGCGGTCGACGATGCAGCCCATGGTGCCCCAGTAGGCGACGGGCCCGCCGTCCCAGGCTCTATCGCCGACGCCTGGGTGGCCGTCGCTGGCGATGCTCCGCTATGCGTCGTCCCTTCAACATTCGCCCCAGTTGCCGACCCTTCCTCCGCGCCCTCATCCACATTCCACTCCAGAATTCCCCCGAGCGGGATATGCTGCACGACGACGCGCTTGCCGAGGACTTCGGCCTGGCAGACATGTATGTTAGCTTCTTCGGTTGACGAGACTCTGCAGTCCGCGCCTATGGAGCCGACATGCGCGTCTCATGCACCCAAATCCCCGCATGAGAAAGCAAAAGATATCTGCACAAGAAAGCAGAGAAGCTCACCTCGAACATCTTCAACAGCCCCGTATGTACCTTCGACCACGTCCGTACCCCGGTCGCGATCGCGTGCAGCTGCGAGGAGTGCTCGTGGAAGGGGCCTGAGAGTGGATGAGTTAGTAGACATAGGCGTGGGATTCGATAAAGAACAATCGTAATGGAGAGAGGTCAAGCGACGGAGAGCTTTACAAGGAGCATAGCGAGTGCGTGCATCTAGGAGCAAATGTGCATTTAGGAGCGGAGACTCACCATGCTTCACCTCATGAATCCGCATGATCGCCATGAAGTAGAGGTTCGTCGCCGGCAGGGACGGACGGAGAACGGCATCGACGGGGATGGTAGTTTGGTCTGGATCGGCAGGTTAGTTGGTTGTGGATGCAGGAGGGTACGTGAGGTTGATGAGATGCGTTCGTGTGGCAGATACGCAGAAATGATGAATACAGACAGTTATGCACATCGGGATGCAGAAAAGACAAGCCAAATAGGATGCGACGTACCTCGTAGTTGTGCGCTCCCAAAGATGTATGGCAAGAAGCACGAGTCGTCGAGGCCCCAGACCCCATGACTGCCCGCGGGCTCGAGTCTGATGAGTGTCAGTCGTCGCGTCGATACCCTTGAAAGATAGCCCACGAACCGGTACACATCCTGCAGTCTCCAGCACAATCTCAGGTATCGCACAAAGACGAGGAACACCAGCTGCCGCTCCTGCTCTTCTTCTGGCTTGCAAAGTCGTCGTCAGAGGGACTCATCGTTACCAACATGCACGACCAGCGCACCTTAAAGAACCGCGTCAATGTCAGGCAGCAGAGGAACATCGCGAATGACGCTTCGTGACCAGTGCCGTAGTCCATGCGCACAAACGAGCCGAACGAAGTGAGGAAGTAAGGGAGGATGTGGGGGACGAGGTTGTGTGGGACTAGGGCTTTGAGGAGGGCTTCGCCGTGCTGCGCGAGGAGGGTTAGGTGAGCATGGGCCTAACCTGAGCTATGCAAACGCGCACCTCCTCTAGCCGCCGACCCCATGTTCGGAATGCAAGGTTCCCAAACCGCTGTGGCGAGTGTTGTGGCGGGATCTCGTCGATCCAGTCATCCAGCGTATCCAGGAGCTTCAGCGTGCCTTTGACTGGCTATACTTGCACTCAATATCCTCAAACTAGACCATCTTAGTTACGACGCACCTCCCCCACCACCTCAGGCTCATAGGGCAGCTCCCTCCCCACCACGCTCTCGCACAATCGTCGCACAAAGAGCGAGAAGTCATAGTACGACCTCGTCGTCTTCCACAGGTCGATGTCGTGATCCGTCTTGATTTTCTTGGAGGGGAGCTCAGGGAGCTTGTCGACCTCCGCGGGCGTGATTTCCCGCAGAGGAGGTAATCTGGAACTGGAGGTCATGATGGTTGGGGGTGACCTCGTTGATGCCGGCCGTACCCTGAACTCATCATCATCTCCCACGCATCGTCTCTTCGCTGTCGCGGTCATCTTCGAAGACTTTCATCCCCATCGTCGCTCGGAGATGAGCCACGCGTCTCCCCGCAAGCGCGCTAGGGAGGACGACTCGTCGCCTGCGCGCGTTAAACGCCGTCAGACCTCGGACGAGGATAGGGTCCCACCGGCCGGTACGTTCGCCGTCCCACTACAAGCGCCGTACATGCATTACCTTCCCCCTTGCCTTATATCGTCCTATGTATGAGCATTGACTCTCCCGACAGCCTCGCCCCCGGAATGGTACCATCCCGCCGACCTCCCGTACATTTCGGCCAGCACCCCGCCCAAAGATATACCCCCTTCCCTCCAGGAGCAAACTGCTGGCCAGCCCGGCACAATAACCCCTGCTTCCATCGTCTCATTCCTCAAGACGCACGCCGTCTCCATTGACCGGATCCCAGGAGGGAAACCCCGCTATAGCGTCCGCATCCCCTCAGGCAGCACCGCCGTGATTCCCTCCGTCTACCGCCTCCCCCTCATCTACTTCTCGCACTTCCTCTGGACCTCCGTGTGGCTAGTCATTGTGAAGAAGTTGCCATGGGAGGACCATATGTACAACATCCTCCACATTGCACGACTCCTGGATGCGTTCGCGGAACAGGCGATCGCGAACACGCAGCCGTACAAAGTAGGGACCTCGCCTGCTAATGGAGGCGCGGGGGCGACCGCCATTCGCGCGACCACTCGCGAATGGCGCTGCGCGACGTTCGACAGAGCAGCGATACGTATGTCCTGTAATGGCTATTTGCTCCCTCGGGATGGCTACGGGGATCGATACATGTCAGAGTTCTGGGCGGAACATCAGGATCTGCGATACAAGCAGGACATCAGCGAATGTAAGTAGGCTCCCTTCCTTCGCTTCCTTATATCTGGGCTCCTGCCTTCGTCGCAATTCAACAACTCGCTGTCCAATGCATAACCTTGCCATACTAACTTTCCCCGTCTAGGTGGCTGGCCTGCCTTCGTCGCTCGTTCACACGACGGCTTCGCCCCGCTCACCAAAGAGGAGCAGATCTCGTTCGACGCGACGTCGTATGCAGCCTGCCTGCAGTGGGTTGCGCGCAGACCTAACGACACCTCCAGCGCCCTCCCCGACGACCTTGGCAACGCAGACGACCCTCACGGCATCTTCCGCGAACTCCACAACCTCAGCAATGATCCCTTCCATTCGAATTCGAGCCACCGTGATGGTTACCTTGTGGGGAGCCGCGCCGGCTATCCTGTCTGGAACCCCTCGAATGCGGGAGCTGTGGGACAGGCAATCACGGAGCGGCTCTACGCCTCGTCGCCCGGGATCCCGCGTGAGGAGAACAGTACGGCGGCTGGAGGGGTCGAGAAGGCAGGAGGATCTACGCCAGCTAGCGCGTCTATAGGGGACTCTACGAAGGCGAGCGCATCCGTGCCGGACGGCGCACCCATGCAGCGCCCACCAGAGAAACATGCTGCCCCACTGAGGATCAAGTTCCCTCCAGCAGCGCTTGAAACAGGAGCCGCGTCACAGCAGAAGAGCAAGGATCCTTCTCCAAGGGCCGACGTACAGCGCGAGCCTCAGGCCCCTCGTAGCCAGCTTGCGCCCACGACAGGCGCCAACGGCAACAGCGACCATACAGGCCCCTCTCGCTCACAGTCAAACAACAACCAGTTGCCTTCCATCAACAGGACCGTCACTGCGAATGGGCATGCTTCACTGTCTCTAAACGGGCGCCCCGAGTCTCATACTCAATCCGCATCAATGCCTACCAATGGACACACTCCCGCTACGAATGGTAGTCTCGCCGAACCTCGTGTTCCCTCGTCTCAGCCGACGCGAAGGTCCGAGTCGTCAACGTCTCAATCTAGCTCCTCGTCGACAACGCATTATCCGCCCCGACTCAAGCCGCGCGAAGCCCTTCAGCCTCGGTTGCCCCCAACTACCGAGGAGCCCCCTGCCCCACGACTCGCAAGCGTTCAAGCCCAAGACCCCCCTACCGACACTGAGCGCAATGGCCAAGTAGATCCGCCACCGTCCTCGCCGCTTCAATCTCCCGTCATCGGACCAGCGCGCTGGTCCTCGACTTCTCGGCATACACCCGTCACTGCTCCTGCTCCTGCTCCCGATGACGAAGTCACCCGCCTGCGTCTTGAGATCGCCCGCCTCCAAGTTGCCCTCGCTGCACAGACTGAGTACCGGACTCTCCTCATCACCTCCCTGGAGCGCGAGCGCGCCATCGTCGACGCCGACCGGCAGTCTGCCCTGGCACGCGAGGCGCAGCACGCCGAGCGGGAGGCACGCATTGCCGACGCTGCAGCCGCGCGCGATGTTCGGCACGCCGAGGAGCTCGCGCAGCTACGCAATGAGCTCGCCCAACTACGCAATGAGGGTGCGAAGCGCGAAGAGGACGCGCGCGACCGCGAGGCGTGGTGGCGCGCCGCGAACGCGAAGTGGGATGCGGAGCGGGCCGAGTTCAAGGTAGAGCTCGAGCGGCGGGAGGAGCAGCTGGCGCGTCGGGATCGGGAGCAGGACGAGCAGATGCAGGTGCAGGCGGGGCTTCGGCAGCAGATCGCGATGATACAGGCGCGCATGTCTGCGAGTATGCGGGCGGGGTCCTCGGGTATGGGGTGACGGTAGGGATGGAGCTGATTCTGAGGTCTGCATTGTCGAAGCACGATAAGGTTGGGAAGGATTTCGATTTCTTGTGAACCACTTTTCAGGTGTCCTGATCTTGCTATACGCATGCTGTCTGTTGTTTTTTTCTTGCTGTCTCTGTCTCGCTGTGCGTGTAACTCGTACTTCATAGGTTGATGCATCTTGTTCCTCTTTGCTGTCGTCTCAGGCGGAGGGTTCACAGGAAGGGGGCTTCATAACGGCCTGCACATCTGCTGATCATGATAGACTGTCCAGGGCGCGCACGAGGCAACATTCGCACACAAAGGGCTCATTAACCCTTGTCTTCCCTACTGTTCCCTCGCCGTCTGCACTGAAGCCATGGTCCTCAGCTTGAGGAAGCGACCGCACATGTACTTGGGCGAAGACTCGGAGGACGAGGGCTCCTCCGAGGACATCCAGGACGCGCCTGTTACGCGTTCACGCCGCGTTAAGCGCCGAAGTGCATCTCCCGATGCACTACCTACTCTAGCCTTCGGTGCGTCCCCAAACTCCCCGACTGTGCCCTGCGTTGATCTCCCCCTCTGTCCAGCTTATACCGAGCGCGAGCACAAGTTCAAACCTAAGCCACCTTGGTACCACGTCGAGGAACTCACCTTTCACACGGCTGAGACCCGCCCAAACCACACCGCCGCCTCCGTCGTGGCGTTTATCAAGACCAACGCCGTGTCCATCGAGTACCACAAAACTAAGGGCCGCACCGCCGTCTTTCGCAAGAAGTATCTAACTCTGCGCCTGCCAGACGGGCGAAGCGCCATCGTGTCGGCGGATTACTATCGTCTCCCCACCCTCTTCCTATCTCACTTCCTATGGGCGTACGTCTGGAGGGTCATCACGCGTGGAGAAGCGTTCGAGAAGGAGATGTTCAATCTACTGCACCTCGCACGACTGCTGCGAGCCTTGGTCGAAGGCGCGATCCGCGCAGCCCCTCAATATAACTTGGCCGAAGGACAGGATATCTGCACCTGGCGTTTTCTCCCGTTCGACCGAGCTCTCATTCGCATGTCCTACGACGACTTTTTGCTGCCCATCGATGGATATGGGGATCGGTATAACGACGAGTTTTGGAAGCGGAACCAGGATACGAAGTATAGGCCTAGGCAGGATATTGAGCACCGTGAGTAAGACCATGCGTAGCGTTATACGAAATTGACCTTTCATCAAGGCAATTGGAAGAAGATCGTTACTTCACGGAACGAATGGCTCGCTCCTCTCGAAGATGAAGAGCTCCAGTCCTTCGACGCTGCCGCATTTGCAGAGTGCTTGCGCATTCGGGATGGTGTGCCCATATGGGTACCAACGAGCGAAGCAGGTCGTGCAGCAACGGAGCGCCTAAAAGCCAAATATTCCGACGTCCGCTCCGAGGCTGCTCAGTCTACGCTGCAAGCGACAGCTGAGGCATCAGCAGGAGTTGTTGTTCAGGGCATAGTGACTACGGATCTCGAACGTCCCGAGCCAGTTTCGTCACCCTGTGCGGCCACAGAACGCTCTGACGGCGCCGCCACCATCACTCTTACTCAGCGCCGTCCCCGGGTTCCTCTGCCCACCCGGCGCAAACAAGCATCTGTATCCTCAGCATACAGCGCAGGTCCGTTGCCGCCGACACCTGCTGCCACCAACACGCCTCCTGCTCAATCGCCACAAGTACCGCTCCCCACTATTTCTACCTACTCTACGCGACCAAATCAAACTTTCATGCCACAACAAGGTCCTCTGAGGGTGTCGCCAGCATTGACTTCGACAGGAGGAGCAGTAGCTTCAACGCGGCCCGGTCCTCGGGACGCGTCTCCCGCCGCAGCTCCTTGTGCACCTGCGAACATATCATCGCAAGCCACTTCTGTGACTACAACTTCTTCATCTCGAGCAGCGACACCACCTCGAACGTCCTCGTCTCGCTCCTCAGTTCCGCGGACCCTGGAGGTAAATCGAGTGTCTGAGCTCGAGAAGGAGGGCGCTGTACTTCGGGCCACTGTCATCGCTCATGCCGAGTACCGCGCGTTTGCCGCCAGAACCGCTGACGCAGCGCGGCAGAGGGAGCTACGTATGGTGGAGGAGATCGCTCAGCTTCGGCGCGAGGCGGCGGAGTACACCTCATCGGGGACGAGCCACGCGCAGGATCATAAGGAGCGGGAGGCCGAGTTTGCTAAGCGTGAGGCCCAATTTGAGGAGCGAGAGGCCGAATTTGCCAAGCGGGAAGCTCAGTTCAAGGAGCGAGAAGCTCACTTCAATGCGCGCGAAGCACAATTCCTCCAAGGAGAGGCCAACTGCTCGACAAAGTGGCAGGAACGCGAGGCGAAATGGGAGGCCCACGAAGGGGATTGGCAGGAGCGCGAGAAAAGATGGGATGCCGAGCGCGCGGAACTCATAAAGGAGCTGGCGGAGAAGGCGAAAGCCCTCGCACGCGTTGACAAGCAGCTGGCAGAACAGAAGATCGCGAATGCAGCGCTCCGGAGCGAGGTCGGGGCGTTGCAGATGCGGATGAGCAATGCGGCGAGGTCGCTGGGGGTGGATTTGCAGACACCAGGAACCGCTTGAAGCCTGATGGTGAAGTTGGAAGGCTGCTGCATAGTAGGATGTGATCACTACGCTGTTCGTCTCGGAGCTTTACGATGTTGGTTGATTGTATACACACGAAGCTTCTACACATACACAGCATCAATTTGTACAATAAGATAGAAAGAAATCCACCATCGGCCACCGCACCACCTACACCATGATCGGAGTCATCCTCGGCACCTTCATCCCCGCGCTCTGTAACTGGGCGAACCAGCTGGCCTCTGTGATGGTCGCGCCAAAGAACTCGCGCTGCATCCAGGCGGCAGCGGAGCCTGGTAGTACACGATTAGCATATTGGCCAACATTGGCGAACGCAGGACGAAGACATCCGATGGAGGATAGGTGATGTGCACGACACTGCGTCCACGCAGCGCTCGCGCGGAGTCGGTGCATACAGCACTCATGACGGATCGGCGCATAAATAGCAAAGAGGGCATTGATGCGAACAGAGCCCAGGATATGGAGATGCGCTCACCCTTGACCGGCCCCAAAGGCCCGAAGCCAACGATCTCGAGTAGGCGAGCGAGCAGCCATTCTTCTGGGATGATGGTGACAACCACGATGAAGACGGCGGCATCGAAGAGGACGGGGTGTTGTTCGTGGAGATCGCCTGGGTGAGGGAGGAAAGAAGTAGTCAGCCACAATCCATCCTTTTCACGCGATGCCTGAGCGCGTCTTTTGACAGAAGATGTACCACTCACCAACGAAGACGACAATATCCAAAACCGCGCTGCCTATATGCGCCATCACTTCCCTCGTTTGCGCCTCGTCTGCTCCCAGGACGACCAGGACGCCCACGATTGCATCCGTCGCGTTCCCGACCATTGCCTTCACGGCGTGCAGGCGAGCCTCGTGCGTCGGCGCGTCTTCAGGCGGCGTCGCGAGCTCTGCCATCGCCGTCTCGAAGATCGAATGCATGGCCAGTCCCACGGCTTGGGAGGCCACCTCCAGCACGTTTGGGGACGCATCGTCGTTGTCCAAAGCCTCGTCTCCCGCCGTTTGAAAATGTCCGTCCTGGTGCATCAACAAGCGCACCTGCGCCGCATCGTTCACCGTCACTTTCACGGCACTGACGAGGCGCTCGACCGTCTCGCGCGAGTCGGCGAATTTCGCTTCAATGTCCTTGATTGCTTTGGCGGCGGCGTCCGCTGCATCGTGGACTGTATGCGCGAAATTGTCGAATTCCTTGCCGACTGCGTCTGTCGCGGGCTTGACGGTATGACCAAAGTCGTGCCAGAAGGTGGTTGCGCTGTCTAGGGGTGCAGTCAGAATGCGTACTTCGCAGGATAGCATGTAAGGCTACGCACCTTTGACACCGTCTACCAATGTAGAAAAGAGTTACGTGAGGCAAATTCGGCGCATTCATCAGCTACGGCGTGCGATAGAGAAAGCACCTGCGCCAGACTCACGCCACCAGTGTAGGATGGAGGGGATGATCTGGTCGAACTCGACATGGCGATCGACCTCGATGCGCGGGACGATAAGAGACCTCGTCGGCCGCGCGGCACAGCTTTGGAAAAAGACGAGCACGAAGAGTAGAGGGGTGAGCAGGCTCAAGGGGCAGGGTGTCTTCATGGTTGTGTCGTCGTCGTCGTTCGTTTGAGATTCAACTACTTGTCGTCGTGGTCGTCACCGTCAAGGAGAAACAAGCGCGGCGATCTCTAAGTCGCGCCTTACAAGCGCACTGAACCCGCGACTAGTGTCGTAAACTAGTGAACTAAAGGCACGCGTCGAAGCTTGTTCGACGCTCATGGAATCCACGAGCAAGGTCACCGCCCTTGTGTTGCGGCTCAGGCCATGGTCAACGGGCTGCTCATGATATGAGGTCGTCGTTTTTGGGTGGGAGAGCCCGCATAAGCAAGTCAATCATTATTGCGAAGATGAGAGGCGCAGACGAGAGGCAATTGATGGCAGCGGGGGGCTCGCACCGGCCCGGTTCCCCTGCTCTCGTCACCCGCGTCCATCACCCGCTCGTCCTCGCCACCACTACAGGCGCGATGATCAGGTTCATCCTCGTGCAGAATCGCCAGGGGAAGACGCGGCTCTCGAAGTGGTACGTCCCGTATGATGACGACGAGAAGGTGCGCGACACGGCCCCTCCCACTCGTGCTGGTGGTCGCTGCGACCAAGGATGAGCGGCTCCTCCCATGGTCTTCCCTTATATCCCCCGTGGCTTGCGGTGGGATGAACGATGCTTACACAAAGTCAGGTCCGTCTAAGAGGAGAAGTGCACCGGCTGGTTGCACCAAGAGATCAGCGGCACCAGTCCAACTTCGTCGAGGTACGTTTCGTATGCTCGACCATAATGCGCAAGTGCTGACGTCTGCCCTCCCATTCCCTACTTCGATTCGTCAACATGTACCTCTCTCTCTTGTACGACCTCCCGCTATCCCCCCTCTCACACGCCACCATGACCTCCCTTGCTCTTTACATCACCTTCCCCTGCTCTTTAACGCGACCTTCCCATGTCATGCACCTCAATCACCCTCCACACCTCCCAAATCACCAGTTCCGCGCCTACAAGCTCGTCTACCGCCGCTACGCCGGCCTCTTCTTCTGCGTCTGCGTCGACGCGAACGACAACGAGCTCGCCTACCTCGAGGCCGTGCACCTGTTCGTCGAAGTCCTCGGTGAGTACTTGCCTTCCCCAGACTTTGTATCAGCATACCCTTGCGAACGTTCCAGCGTTCACCGCGAGCTTCGTACTCGCATGCCCCTGCAACTTCTACCACAAGCGTCTCCGCATACCCCGCAACCTTCACGTTCGCTAGCCTTTCTACGAGCGGTTCCACTTTCACTTCCTGCTGCGCTAGCTCAATGATACGCTTCTTGTATACCACACACTCCTGCCACGGTTGTAGCTCATCCCCTCGTCTATGAACTTCATCTGCAATGCGGCGGCATTTTTCCCACGCTTTGGCACCCTGACCCACAAGCTTTCGATGCCTTAACTGAAGTTCTCTGCTCGCCTTGACTAACACGACTTTCCTCAGACTCCTTCTTCGACAACGTCTGCGAGCTCGACCTCGTCTTCAACTTCTACAAGGTATGTCACATCGACAGCTCAAGGAATTCGTACTAACAATCGTCGCAGGTATACGCGATCCTGGACGAGATTTTCCTCGCCGGCGAGATCGAAGAGACGAGTCGCGACGTTGTGTTGAGTAGACTGGAAGAGCTTGAGAGGTTGGAGTAGCCGAGACCGCGTCCTGGCGCAGAGAGGGGGGGGGGACGATGGGGAGTGTATAGTTGGCGGTACTACAGGTGCGATGCACTTTTTCATGTCCGCGCCCGCTAACGCCATCCCAGAACGGACTAATATCCGGATCATGTACAATACAGATATGCTTTGCCGATGCGCACTCATCAACGGCTGAAATGGCGTGGACAGTGTGCGGTCTAGGGTTTTTCCAGAGAGAATTGGATTGTTTGCAGTACATTGCTCAGAGTCGGCTTCGACGTTACAACTGCAGACCCTTCGACTTCTTTCGTGCGCCCTTCGCTCAGCTGGTTGGGTCGTTGACGGCCTTCTGCGTTTCGCCTGCCTTCTTCTGCATCTTGCCTGTTTTCAGCGTCAGCCAGTCATCAGCTGCGCAGACGATAGAGACTCGCCTTCCGCCTGCTGGGAGTTGTTGCCGGTGAGAGCGCCGCCGATGTTCTTGACGTAGCTACAAGGTATTGTCAGCTTCTTGACTATCGTCGCGTATATGCCTCGCCAAACATACCCAGTGACCTGATCCTGCAGACCTTCTGCGTACCCCTTTGCCTGTGCGGCCTTGTACTCGGCCTCGCCGCTGTGGATGAAATCAGCTTGCGTCCATAGTAAATGGTGGTGTGTGGGTCGACGCGTCGACGAAGGTAGTAACTCACGCTTGGTGTTCCTCAGCGCCGGAACGTTGCCAGTCGGTGGCGCCGGTTAGGTTGCCGATCTTAAAAGATATCTCAGCATCGCCAACAATACGAGGTCGACGCGGGCACGGGGTGTATGCGCGTGATAACACTGGGATCGGTGCCGAAGAGGGTTCGATGCGCACGTACCGCCTCGACAACGTTGCCCTTCGTGCTGTGGTACTGGCCGTTCGACTTAGTGGCCTCGTTGCTGGACGACATGGTGAATATGGGCGGTCGAGTGAGATGGAAGATGGAGGCAAGAGAAGAGAGTGGTGGTCTGTTTCTGCGTACGCCCCCCGCCTTTTATACTGGCCGATGACGCGTTGGCAACAGCTTCGGGATCCGCAGGCACGGGCACTACCTGGAGGCTATCCGACGCGTCCTGCTTCTCGCGGGGAACAATGGGCGCGTCTGGGCATGACGTCACGCGTCAAATACGCGCTTCGAAAGTCCAACCTCAATTGTTCCTAATCCGGGCTTCCCAATATTGCGTCATACGAGATGTTGAGTTCGACATCAATCGATGCAGATCCCTTGACTCTAACCATCATGGTGGAACTGCCAGCTCCTTTCGCGGATATACCCCGGCTTCCTTTGCTCTTTTCACATCCGCCTGCCATTGAGCCTCTTCCCCGGCTATCTGCTCATCTCGCGCAGCAGTCTCAGCCAGCACCTACCTTCTGGATTGCGAACGAGAGTCATAACTCCTCATTATCAGGTGGCGGAGGGAACAAGCTTCGCAAGCTGGAGTACGTGCTCGCCGACGCGCGCAACGCTGGCGCAAAGACCATCGTAACCACTGGTGGTGTGCAGAGCAACCACATGCGCCAGACCGCGGCTGCGGCTGCCCGTTACGGATTTCAATGCGTCCTACTACAGAAAGATCTTGTACCCAAGACCGAGTACAACTATCTAGCCTTGCAGGACGGCGGTGTCGAGAACAAGTCAAGCCAGATCTCGCAGTCAGACACCGACTTCGCGTACCACCACCTCGGCAACGTTCAGCTTGATCACTTGCTGGGCGCGAAGGTCCTGCAATCGACGACACCGGACGTTGCGCTCGCTTGGCTACGCGAGAATGACTGCGAGCCGTACTTTATCCCGGCTGGCGCCTCGACGCACCCACTCGGTGGCCTCGGCTTCGCGCGCTGGGCTTTCGAGCTCGTGGAGCAGGAAGCGGCGCGAGGGGTGCACTTTGACACGATCTTCGTTGCCACTGCGAGCGGCAGTACTGCAGGCGGCATGCTTGCTGGGTTACGATTAGTCGCAAAGCTGCAGAAGGAGCGGTCACCGGGGGCGGAGATTCCGCGAAGGCGGCTAGTCTCCGTTCTTGCAAAGCCTGACGAGGAGGGCGAGCTGCAACGTCTCATGTCGGACATTGCGCGCGATACTGGGTCGCTGATTGGCCTGACGGGGGATGGCCCGTATCCAGATGTCGAGCTCGTCATCGAGGAGCGCTTTCATGCGGGAGCGTATGGTCGGATGGATGCCCAGACTCGAGATGCCATTAAGTCGCTTGCCACCCTCGAAGGTATTGTCACGGACCCGGTGTACACAGGGAAGGCGCTTGCTGGTATACTCGGGCGTGCAAGGTCCGGAGATTTAGCGGACTCAAAGAACGTGCTCTTTGTACATACCGGTGGTCAGACTTCCTGTAGTGCGTATCCCTCTCTGCGGTGACTGGATTCAGATGAATGATGTGTATACGATTATACCTAATAAATATTGCGAGCGGAGTTCTTTGTTTGTTGTCGAGTGGTACATGCCTTCGAAGTCGCCATACAATATAATCACACGTCCATCCAACGGTCCATGAGAGCGCTGCGCTCACCCTTGTACAGATGGAAAGTAATCTCAACGCCACTCTCACTGCCCGCGCGCTTCAGCTCCGAGGCAGCCTCCGATCGCAACGCGTCCTGGCAATCTTCGTTCAGCCACAAGTCGACCTTCGACAGCTGCGGCTGTTTCTCCTCCCTCGTGCGCACGATCTCCGCCAGGGCCCCCGACTCGACGAGATACGACAGCCCGGGCACCTCGCCCGCCCCCGCAGCCGGGTGAGTGACGATAATGAGCGTGAGCTCACGCAGACGCGGCAGGCGGCCGACCCACGCGTTGCTCTCGCGTCCCGCCGCGCACACTAGCTCCTCCACCGCGCCGCACGCTTCGACAAGCGTGTCGGCCTGCGGGCCTAGCAGGACGGCGTACATGGCGAGCTTGCGCAACTTGCACTCAGAGCGATTGAGGAACGTCAGGAGCCGCCCGACGTCTGTGCCGATGAGGCTGCCGCGCACGCGAAGGTCGGTGAGGGCGGGCGCGACGAGGCCGGAGAAGGTCTGGACGTAGGCGCTGAGCGCGCGGAGGGCAGGGAGCTCGGTGCGCGCCCATGAGGTGAAGGACGTTACATCGGAGGCGGCGAGGACCTGGGCGTGCTTGAGGAGGGAGCGCGCGTAGCGGGGCGGGTTGGCGACAGTGAAGAGCGGGCCGGAGTAATGCAGGAGCTGCTCCCAGGGGAGGACGAAGGGCAGCTCGACCGCGCCGCTGCCGGGTACGCGGTAGGCGAAGGAGGAGAGCAGGGGTGCCTCGGCGAAGACGCGTTGCACCTCTGAGCGCTCGCCCATCCAGAAGGCGCAGACGAGGTTGGCGGTGATGTTGACGGTGCGGAGGCGGGGGAGCGCGCCGTGCAGGGACGCGAGATATGACAGCGGCGTATGTGTGAGGGTGAGCGATATGGACTCCCATAGGTGACTATATTCCATCAGGCGCACGAGAGGTGAGCGAGGTCCAACCCTGCCAATCTCGACGTAATCAATAGAGATCGGATGCTCACCCGCGCGCGCGATGCGCCCGTCGATGGCTTGTATGATGGCGCTGGACGCGTCCTCGCCGGGGACGACGGTGACGCGTATGCGAGACCAGAGGTTCGGGTACGCCAGAGCAACCTGACGCCAGAGGCTGCATACCTGACTCGCAGCGACTGGCCCGCCGCCGAGGCAAGAGCGGTCTCGGGCATCCTTCAAGTCGGTCGCCGATGTCGATGAGTCGGTGTGGAAAAGTATTTCGGCGAGCAGCTCAGAGGGCAGGTCGAGGATACGATGACGCTGATTGACTTCCAAAGGCGTTGTAGTAATAGGAGGAAGTAAGTTGACATCGGCAAGAGTGGTAGACATGATGACGAGTAATCGCGTTTAAGGAGGGAAGTATATTGCGAAAAAGCAGGGAATATATTCCTCGGACTGAGAGCTGGCGAACACCCCGAGGTCCGCTTGGCAAAATGTAGTAGGGCGGCCGCCTCTATGACTGGCGCTGACGATGGTCCTGGCGCCCCCGCAGTCCGTAGGTGGGCTGGCTGCGCTGACGCGACTGCGCGTATTCAGCGACGTCGAGGCACGATGCGCGCACGATGGGCAGAGACGATTGAGCGAGTCGTACGTCTCAAGCCTTCCGCAGTAGCCTGAGCGCAGTAACGTCGCCAAACGTGCTCGAGGGGACCGCAGCAATGGTGGAGGAAGGAGGCAAGGTAGTCTTCGAGGCGTGGGAAAGCGGCGGCAATTGCCCATACCGCTCTTCCCCGCTTTCCCCTTTCGCCGGTCACCGTTGACACGCGTCACCCTCAGCCCTATGTCCTCGTTTTAGATTCCCCCTACGCCCTGGGTACGCGTACAGACCGCTTCTCGTGTCACCGCGTCGGGCCCCCGACCGCTATCGAGTGACCCTTGTCCCTACTCGCTGAATAAGATCCCCCTTCGCCCTAAGCGCCCGTATACAACGCCTCGCATGACATCGACTGCGGCCCCCATGCCATTGATTATTCCAGTACTTCGAACTCCCGGGACCCACATCGCGCGCCCTCACCTGATACCGCGCGGGAGATGCCCTGCCGCCCGGCGAACGAGGATCTCGGGCTGCGGGCATCCACTCGAGGGGGATTGAGAGCGTGGATTTGTGAGTCAAGGGGACTGCGGCACGGTCGACGTACCGGGCCGTGGCACGAGAAGTGGGTAGGAGGAGGGCTCAGGGCAGAAAGATGGGAGTATAAGAGGGGGAGGGGAGAACGGGAGAAAATCAGCAAATAAGCCTCAGCCCGTCTGAAGCAGTCAGCTCTCGCAAGTCACTCTTCGAAGTTCTGAATCATCCATGTGAGTAGGCCTAGGATTGTGGCAAGGGACGTCGCTCATCGCTTTCAGAGTCATGTCCTTCAAGAACGAGAAGTCCGAGTCACAGGCGTCCCTGCTGCCCAAGGGCGGCCAAGGTAAGCATCCATCTTACCTGGCTCTCATTATTTTCTGACGGTTCATAGGTGATAACAAGCCCAAGGACGACAAGAAGCCGGTCAGCCCGTCCGCCGGCGTCAAGTCGACCAGCAGCGACGCTGAGTTCGCCAAGCTAGCCAAGAAGCACGGCTGGGGCTCGACGACGCCGAGCGGCGCGTCCCTCGGTGGCTGAACGCTTGTTTGCTCCAGTAGTCGATCGCTTGTGGATGAGGGAGTGGGGAGGAAGGAACAGTCGTCAATACGCAGCGGCGCCGTTACATGAAGTCTTCTTCTAGTGCCTTGCCTGTTAGTCTTTCCTGCTCGTCGTCCGAGCCTGGTTCGCCGCTGAATAAAGAGTCGTATGACCACGCTTTCTTTTGGGCCTCGCGCTCGCGCGCGAGTTCGAGGTCGGTCTTCTTCTGTGAGAGCGTGAATGATGGTATATATCCATTGATGGGAGGTAAGCGACCTACCTTCGCTGCTGCAGCTGCTCGCCGCGCCGCGCTCTCCTTCTTGAGGCGCTCGACTTTCTCTGCCTCGTGATCAACCTGACGCTCGACCTTCGTCTTGTTCAGCCGGTTGACAATGGGATTCTCGCGCTTCGCGACATGTACTATGAGCAATTTGCATCAACATGTAGGTGCTATGCAGTATACGAACGCATACCTCGCTTGACCTAGAGTCCGCTCAGTGAGGTCAGAGGTTATATACCTTTGCACGCCAAGTAGTTGACTCACTCTCTTGTCGCTGTGAAACGAGACTTGGCCGACAGCCATGTCTCCGGTTTTCTGCCGATATTTATCATGCATCGAAGAGAGATGCTAAAGCTTGCCTACCTTCAGATTGTCAGCAGGGGTATAGATAATCGTCAGGTTCTCCTTCTTGTTCCCTAGAGAAGGATTGAGAAGGCTAGAATATGTTATATACCCACAGATTCAAGGTTGTTTACCTTCGATTGAGTTCGCCTTGACGAGCTGTGCACAGTCCGTGAGCAGCGCTTGAGGAATGTCTTCCCATGACATGCCGTCCGGCATGCGGAGATACACGTGTGCGGAGGAGAGCTTGTCGACGTGGAACCAAACATCTTGCGGCCATGCGTATTTGATCAAGTCCTCATCTGCAAGATCGTTAATCGAAGCGAGGCTGAGGCTGGCTGAGGACTGACTTTCGACTTTGTCCTTGCCCATATACAAGGTCACCGGTGGGTTATGAGCTGATGCGGGTCAGAAGAGGACTAAGCACTCTCGCTGTGAGACTACCTACAATTCGACGTGAAGAACAAGACCATGGCGAGGATGTTGCGAGTGAAGGAAGCAAGAAGAACAAACCCTGCCTCTTTTGGCCATCGGCCCGTCGATCAGCCTCCGTTTTGTGGCGACATTGTTCCCGATCAGGACTTTCAGGCGTGGGAAGGACGCGGATAGATGCTCGAAATTTCGTGAACGGCTCTTATCGACTTGGCGTTACCTGCTTTCTGCCATGTCTATACGTCTACCACCAGGACAGGCGATCCCTGACCCGGAGGAGCTCATAGGAAGTGGCTCGGAGTCGGAGAGCAGCGACGATGATCAGGACTTCGACGATTGGGTCGAGGAAGATGCGCGCCCCTGCCGCTCTCTGTTCGATGAGACCGTGTCCGCCTCAGTGGAGGAGTCGCTGAAGTACGACGAGAAGACGCATGGGTTTGACTTGCGGGCATTTGTGACGCGTCTCTGTACGTGTTCGACTCAGATCGCACGCGACACAAAGATGAACATTGCGCGCCACAGCACTGGATTCGTACGGGCGGATACGATTGATCAACTACATCCGGGCCACGGTACGTTCTTTGATTATCTTGCGCGATTACGGGTGCTGAGATTGGTTCTCCAGAAACCTGCACCGAAGGACGCTCTCGCGTTGACGGGGAAGGAGCCCTTATTCACTGATGATCAGTACCTGAAGCCTGCACTCGAGGATGATCCCCTTCTACGTGCGTCTGCCCTCAGTGTCCCACTCCTTACCTGATCTCACATGAGCTGCAGTTCTTGAGGTTAACGAAGAGTGGTCCGATTCTGAAGACAGCGAGGATCCCGCTCGCAAAATTCGTGCGCTTGAGAACAAGCTGGCGCAAGCGCAGCGCGAGCTTATGGAATACAGAGCCATCGTTAACCGGCAGTTGGACCTCGACACCGTCAGGACCGAGGAGCCTGCGAAGCCTGCACGGGACGACGACACCCACTATTTCGACAGCTACGCGGAGAACGGTATGTCGTGCGATCTCCGCGAAAACATCTGTATGCTCAGTTTCTTACAGACATTCACGCCGTCATGATCAATGACAAAGTTCGTACCTCGACATACGCGCACTTCATCCTCGGCAACCCGAAGCTGTTCGAGGACGCCATCGTCCTCGATGTCGGCTGCGGCACTGGTATATTGTCCCTCTTCGCTGCTCGTAGCGGCGCGAAGCGTGTCTTCGCCGTCGACGCGAGCGAAATCGCCCTCAAGGCCGAGCAGATCGTCAAAGCGAATGGTTACGAAGAGGTCGTGACGGTGATCCGGGGCAAAGTCGAGGACATTCAACTTCCGGACGGCATCGAGAAGGTCGATATCATCATCTCGGAGTGGATGGGATACGCGCTGTTGTACGAGTCGATGTTGGACTCCGTACTGCGTGCGCGGGATCGCTTCCAGCCAAAGGTCATGGCACCTAGCCAGTGCCAGATGATGCTTGCCTTGTGCGACGGAGATGAGGTATATAAGGAGAGGATCGAGTTCTGGAATGATGTCTACGGTACGTGCTGCTGATTCTTGACCTTGCCAATTTTGCTCACTTAACTATAGGCCTCGATATGTCCGTCATGGCAGGCAGCATCTACGATGAGGCAATCGTCGATGTCGTTGGGCCGCAAAGCCTGCTCAGCGAGCCTGCAGTCGTCAAGGTGAAGTCAAGTGTTTTCCATCACAACGGCCGCAACTGACATCCACTTAGGACCTTTACCTCGGCGACATCACTCCTGCCCAACTCGACTTCGTCTCCACCTTCCAATTGGTCGCCACCAACGACCGGCGCACTAAAGTCCGCGCCCTCGTACTCTACTTCGACACCTTCTTCACCGCGTCCGGCGCGCCCATCAAAGAGGGTACCCAAGTCACCGTCGTGAAGAACCAGGAGGCGCAGCTCGCGGAGGTGTGGCCGGTGGGCGGCAAGCCTGCGCCGAAGCGGCGCCCGAGCTCGAATGCGGAGAAGGAGAAGGACGCGAGCTTTAGCACGGGGCCGCAGAGCATTCCGACGCACTGGAAACAGACGCTGTTCTTCTTGCGTGAGCCGATCACTGTGAGCGAAGGTACGTCGGAATCTTTGGATAATTTGGAAAGAGAGAATGCTGATTTTGTGCGCTAGGTACCGTCGTGTATGGCAGCTTCCACCTGAAGAAGAGCAAGACCAACTCTCGTGAACTGGATGCAGAGATACACTACTCGACGAAGACGAGCGTCGATGCGCCTGCTACGGAGGAGACAGTGGTGCAGATGTACAAAATTCGATGAGGGGCAAACGTGAGTGGTGCGGTGCGCTAGATGGTGCGATCCGAGGAGAATTGAAATATCTGTACTTATGCTTCTATGTATTGGTGTCTGGTACTACTTACTCTTGCCGCAACATTGTTTGAGTGGGCGATCTGCTGTTTTCCCCTTGACTTTACAACCGGCCTTGTAGCTTCAAGATTTGAGGCAACGTCCGGCAATTGCCGGGCGAGGCCCTCTATCAGACCACCCCTTGACCTCCGCCTTATCGCAACGCTCCCGGGCTAGTTAACGTTCGCGAAAGAACCGACCATATCTGCAGCTATGCCTCTCTCAAACCTTGTCGAGCAAGCAGCCAATGCGCAGACCAACTTCCAGAGCGTCCCCATCATGTCAGTATAGCCGTTTCGTGCTCGAACAGGAGACACGAGTTGATTCTTCGTCCTCTTTTCAGCGATTTGACTGATGCAGCCAGTCCTGACCCTGAGCTACGATGGCAGGTAGCTTTGAACATACGCGATGCATGCATCAACGTCGGGTTCTTCTATGGTCAGTCTCGCCAAAAATTCCTGCTAAACTCTGCGAGACGAAATATATATGACAGTCAGCAACCATGGCATCCCGGACGAAACTTTCACAGACGTGCTCTCGGCGATGAAGACCTTCTATGGGCAGCCGCTGGAGAAGAAGATGGAGGTATGTTCATGCTTACTACGGTGATACTTGACGGGGACATCGCTGACGCGCCTGACGCAGCTCGAGAACAAGAAACAGGCCAACCTAATGGGCTACTCGCCTCTGCTGAGCGGCAACAACGATCCCTCGAACAGCGGTGACCTGCAGGAGGGGTACGAGTCCGGCTTCGAGCCGCTCGATGGCTCCAAGGGCGAGGGCACCATCATCGGCGGTGGCAAGAACGTTTGGCCTGCTGACCTCCTGGAGTTCAGGGAGAAGGCGTTGAAGTACTAGTGAGTTGCGTAGCTTATAAATCTGTAACATCGACGGTAACGATGGATGCCGATGTCCTGCGCGATAGTCATGCAGCACTTGGTGTTGGGAGGTTGATGTTCCCGCTGTTTGCTCTTGCGCTGGGGCTTCCGGAGACGTTCTTCGAGGATAAGGTAAGCAGAAACCTGTTGCATGTTTGCGCTCAGTCACTGACCGAGTTATAGACGCGGAATTCTGCTGCACTGATGCGCCTGCTTCATTATCCACCACAAACGGCGGAAGTAGACGAGAGCAAAGTCATCGGTATAGGGGCGCACACGGAGTAAGGCCTGGTCATTGTCTAGATTTTCGCTCATGCGCTAACAGACTTGCACAGCTGGGAGGTACGCGCCGAACATACGCGAAGCCTGCTTTCGCATCACTGACCCCCGGTTAGTGCTTCACCATCTTATGGCAAGAGCCTGGAAAGCAGGCGCTTCAGGTGCTCAACTCCGAGAACAAGTGGATTCCAGCACCTCCCATCGAAGGGACCCTCGTTATCAAGTGCGTCCTCCTTCAGGCTATCACGATAGCCGGCACTGACCCCCCCCCCCTGCTGCAGTCTAGGCGACCAGCTTGCGCGCTGGACCAGTATGTTGGCTTCTAGGCGTTTCTCGAGGCGTGTGCAAGCTGACCATCTGGGCGCGCCTTGCCCAATTTTATGCAGACGACGTCTTCAAGTCCACCGTGCATCGCGCCATCAACCGAAATGGGGTCGATCGATATGCGATCCCTCTGTTCTTCGGCACGGACTACGACGTGAAGCTCGAGGTGAGGGCGTTCCTCAGTGCGTTCAGACAGTTTGGGAACTGACGCGCGTTCTACCGCCTAGCCCATCCCTGGCTGCGTGTCCGAGAGGAGGCCGCAGAAGTACGAGGTCGTGACGGCGGGAGACTATGTGAAGTCGCGCCTCCTGGCGACTTATGCGCACTGAGGGTAGCCGAGGCGCATCCCGCAATATGCCCGGGAAGGGCCTCGAGGGGCCAGCCTGGAGCGCCTGCGAGTCATTCACACAAATATAGGCAAATGAACGATAACCGCGTGTAGCGCGCGGCGACCTGCTTGAGACCGGTCTCGGGATGTTTAGGAGCGGTACCCTACGTTAGGGAAATGCCGGGGCTCGGTTCATGGCCGGCGGGTACCAGCCTTCTGTGACTGAACTGGAAGCGTTCACCGTCCCTGAGCCATGAGTGACGAGCCGCAAGGCGTACGAGGTAGGACCAGACAGGTATCAGAATCTGCTACACCAGGGCCTCCAAGGAATGCGTTCCTCGCAAACGACGCAGGTGCCGTCAGAAATCCCGAAAAGGGCGTCCGTCGCGAGGCGAAGGGGTGAGGATGCAAGCCTCGTGCCCAAGGCTCTTAGCCACAAGAGGCAAGTTACCAGCTTAGGATATGTGCTATGAACGAGGAAGGTCAGGTAGTTTGACTTCAAGCGGCGCAGTTGCTCACGAAGGCAACATGAAAGCCAACATAAGGTTGAGCATGTGGGAAATTTGCCACGAGCTCGCAACCACGCAAGCCTGCACGTGCACTGACGTCGCCGGTTCGGAACGCACAGCCACAGACAGACGCCTTCCTTCTCTCTCCGTGACGCATCGATCAAGTCGACTGCAACGGTACTCACAGTGACCATGTCTGGAACCGCAAAGTACGTGTTCTTTGATAAGATAACCTTGTGCAGCTGCTTCCTGAACGTGATGACCCACCACCACCACATCTCCACGAAGTTCATGCAACTAACCCTCCGCCCTCAACATGTGTGTTATTATCCTTTCTCGGCTAATCACGTACCTGCAGGCACCTTGCCAGCTGCATCTTCTGCAAGATCATCAAGGGTAGGCGCTCTGACATGAGATTGTTGCCTGTACGAAACTGAAACCTATCCAGGCGAAATCCCGAGTCTCAAGCTCCTTGAGACCGAGTTGAGGTGAGCAATCTGAGCCCACGGTGGCACAATCACGCTCAACGCAGCACCCTCTCTCAACCCGTGATGATCCTTCATTGCCTTGTACGTCCCCGGTCCCTCCCTGCACCACGCCTCCGGTCGTCCCTTCGACCTCATTTTCGGAAACGGGCTTGGCCTCATAATCTCTCTCGCAACGTGTCTGCCCTCCGTTGATCCCTTGGCCCATCTCGCGGTGATAACACGCAATCCACCGTCCCCTGCGGCACCTTGGTCTCGAATCTGTCTTGGCCCCTTCCCACCCGTCGCGTCTTCCCATCGCGGATGAATGCGCACGGCGCTGATCTCTTGGCCCATGCACCGGCGATAACGCATATCCTCCCTGACGCGATGGCACCGTGTCCCTACCGTGCGCGTCTCTCTCCGACGCGGCTTGGCGTGCGTCCGTCATCGCGTCGTTTTGTCTCGTCGCGCGCGAATCTCGCGCGAACGTGGCCCCGGACGAACATGGGCGCCTCGGACACCTTCCAAACCTCATTGCGCTTGGCGATGCAAGCTACGCCTTCCTGGACATCAACCCGCTGTCGACGGGGCATGCGCTCGTTATCCCGAAGTGTGCGTTATTCACCCCGAAAGCGAAGAAAGCTCCGCTAACCTTTTTGCTTCCGTGTGGCTTCGATCCTGCCGATTATGGTTATTTCTTGGTTTATGATTTGGTTCCTTCCTGTTTGCCGTTGACTTGACGTTGGTTACCTGCGTAATCCTTCTGTCGTATTTTATGCATCTCATCCGCGCTGACACCGTAGACCACGCCGCCAAGCTGCACGAGCTGCCCGACGAGTACCTCGCTGACGCTATGCCTGTCGCGAAGAAGATTGCCGTCGCGCTAGGCGCCGAGAACTACAACATCCTGCAGAACAACGGGCGCATTGCGCACCAGGTGCGGTTACTCCCTTCGTGACGAAGAGAGTGTTCTGCTGATTTTTGCGTTTTTGCTGTTTGCCTCAAATTCTGCTTATTCGTTCGCCTTTTCCCATCCCCATTCATATCCTTCCCCATCGTGCGCGACTGACCCGTCCTTTGCCACGCTCAACTTTCTGTACCCTGCTCCCGTCTCGACCTACCTATCGACCTACTTGTCTGCGATAACGCATACGATGTTGCGTCGCGCCATTCCTTCTCACCGCGGCGGTCGCAACTTGGTGTCGATTACCCGCCACTGTGTATGCCTCCCTTCGCTGCCTTGTGCACTCGCCTCCGGTACTTGACCAACTCCTCGCCGTTGGCTTATCCTTGTCGCGCCGGTGATTTCTCTCCCCTACTTACTGAATGCTCCTTCTCTCGTTCGTCTATCTTCACCTTCTCACCGCCTACCTTCATCTTCGTCCTTCTTCGTCTCACCCTCGACCCTGCCACCTTGGCACTCGCACGTACACTGCCGCCGTACCCTTACCGCACCCTCCCCGTCGTCCATGGTCCAACGTTATCCCGCTCCCGCGCGTTCATCGTTTGCGTTCTCCCGTACTCGCACGGATAACTCCCGCGCTCATCACTTCTCTCCTCTTGGCGGCCCGCTATCGACATTGCCTCTTTCTCTCTCATCGATACCGTCTACCATACCCTTCGGACGTGTTCATGCTCGTTTCCTCACCCTCTTGGCGGCATGCGCGGTCGTCGATGATCACCCCTTCACCGCCTCTTTCGTTATTTTCATCACCCTCTCTCATTATTATCGTAACCTCTTTTTTCTTGACCGCCGTCCTTTTTTGACCGCTTTTCGTACACCGCCCGTGCTGCGGGTGCCATTGTTCGCGTCGGGGTGCTCCACTGGGCTTCACTCGACGTCGATGTCACCTACTTGCACTCACCGCCACCCCATGCGTCGTCTGTACTCCACCGCTACACGTCGTCTACCCCCATTGTTGACGCATCCTTTATACCGTCCTTGACGCGTCGCTTACCCGCCGTTGACGCGCCGCGTACTACTATATCTTCACGTCTTCACCTCCACTGATTCCCCTCGCCTCGTTTCTCGCTATGCTTATCGCCCCGCCTCTTGACACTAACTGTACTCCACCCTCGTGTACGCGATCCTCTGCCCTCGTTTACTCGACGCGCGCTCCATCTGTCCTCCACCCTCGTGTACGCGACCCCCGACCACTCACTCCACCTTCCTGCATCGCACGTCCGATTGTTGTCTCCACATCGGCTGTCGCGCTCCCCGCTTCGCGTGTTCTGGCGCTCCACACCTATCCTTCCTGTGCTCGCTTACTGCCTATTGTGGTTCGGGTGACCTCGACACGCTCCCCATTGTCCACCGATCCTCACTTGCTATTCTTCTTATCTACGCTACCTATTCTCTATCGCTTCTAACCTCCACCTCTCCTGCCTATCTACCATCCCTTTTACGGCCCGCCTACCCCCTTCCGACTCCTCATTGGCCTGCTACCAACTCCCCATTGACCTACTGCTAACCCCCCATTGACCTACTACTAACCCCCCATTGACCTACTACTAACTCCCTATTGGCCTACTACTAACCCCCCATCGGCCTACTACTAACCCCCCAGGTCGTCGACCACGTCCACTTCCACGTGATCCCCAAGCCCGGTACTGAGGACGGCAAGCCCAAGGACGACGCGGGGCTCGTGATCGGGTGGCCGCAGCAGACGGTGACGAAGGAGGAGCTGGCGAAGGTGGCGGAGGAGGTGAAGGGGAAGCTGTGAGGGGCTGGACGGGGTAGGAGTGGGAGGAGGGGGTTATGCGGGTGGAAGAAGGGGGGGAGGAGGGGGTTATGCGGGTGGAAGAAGGGGGGGAGGGGGATCTAAGAGAAAGAAGGGAGGATTGGAGAGGAGAAGGGAATATAACAGGAAGGAGAAATGACGATTGACGAGCAGCAGCGGTGGTAATTTACGAAGAAGTACGAAGAATAACAAGCAAGGATGCACGCCAAATTAGGCGTGCAGCGTTGCAGGGAGGAGAGCACGCGAGGAATCAGGTTATGGCGTATGGTCCAGGAGACAATTAGGCTCGGAAACGCTAGCGTTCGAAGAGACAATAGCAGTGCGCCAAGCTGGATACGCTTTCGCATGTTCAACAGCATCCGCTGCGCAAACAAAGAAGCGCAACTCGTATATTGAACCTAGCACAAAAGCCTGTGTCTGGATTCGGAATACCGGTGGCGCGAAGGAGGAATTTTGGTGGCGCAGGATGTTACCCTCGCTACAACGCAGCATCCGTCTATTTCATTCGACCTATTTGAGGTGGAGGGTAGGGCGTCTGAGCCCGAGGGAAGTAGCTGCGCACCCGAGAGAAGCACCGCGAGGCAGAGGGCAGCGCCTGAAAGCCCGAGAACAGCACCGAGTACCATCCCGAGGCCGAGAGAACTAAGCGTGGTCGGAAAATAGGGTCAATGGCCCGCGGGGTGACGAGACGATGACTGACGAGATGCGAGCAGAGAGCGGAGGGCCAAGCGGGCGGATAGTTGAGCGGGCTCATACGACGGGCAAGTAAGCGGGAGCGGGCTACAGCTTCGGTGAAAGTGACACAACTTCGAGCATCGATAGCGTGCAGTTAAAACCAGCGATGGAGATGGAAGGAGTCTTGGCGACCGTATCAGTCGCCTGAGATGAGCAGGGGAAGCATCACGGTGAGCACAGAAGGACCGAGATACGGACCACGGTGGTGCGAAGGCGCTTGATCGAGCCGTAGGGTGCTCCGAAGCCGCGATAGGAAGTGCTTGTCCAGGAGCGGTGACTCATCCGAGGGTGCAAGGGCTGCAAGATGTGGCTGTCGCCGCTTTGGCGCCGCATCGAAGGGTCCGCGGCGTCATCAAGCTGGAGGGGCGGTCGCTGGCGGGCACGCTTGGCGTCGAGTGCGCTGTGCTCTGCGTGTGCTTGCCAAGGCGCGGTCGTGGAAGATTCGCGCCAAGAGGCCCGCGCGATATCGGTCCGCGGAAAGTAGCTTGGGTGTATAGGATGCGTGGCTATGCGACTGGACACGCTGATAACGGGCTACCGGGCGTCGCGCCGTGGAAGCTCTCGCCAAGGGAATCTCGGGGGTTTTGGTGGGTGGGCGGGCGTTGGCGAGCGGGCGTTGGGCGAGGTGGCGTCGACGATTATTGCCGTTTATTGGTGGTTAATTATGGGCATTTTCCCCCACACCGTCCCCGGTCAGGAAGCAGTAGCGCACTGCGGGCCGGCCGCCGTAGCGACGGGCAGCCAATGAATGACGTCGGGGGGCGCGTAGGCTCGTGGAGTCGTGAACCAGCCCGTCCTGCGATTTGCAATTTCCCCGCTTCGCGGGGCCGGCCGCAGGACGGGCTGGGCTCATTGGGAGCCAAATCCGTGGGAATCTTTGACCCCCGTCTGACTTAGTGATTGTGAATGTCTGCGCGCTGGGTTGGAGGAGAACAATGGATCTTCCTGCGCGCTTTGAGCATTCTTTGATGACCATATGAGTGAAGTGTATTTCTACATACTAATAGAACACTAAAATGACAATAGAACATCATGTATAGGGCATAGCACGACTTGATTGAGAACGAGCCGTGCACTCACAGATAACCTCGGCCTTGCGCAGTACACCAGCAGGACGTACAGTACCGTCCTCGTAGCGATGCACTACCAAAAGAAGGGCCGGGGATGTTACACGACCTACGCGACAGGATCCACCACGCATAATCGCCGAGCAGGGAGCAGTGAGGCGCATGAGGTCACCGCGCAACGCCTCGAAGGCGTCCGGAACATATTCCTGCTGCCTGTAAAGTGGTCGAGAAATTGGTGGGCCGACTGGTGTAGACTGAGTCGTGGAAGATTGCGGCGGCATCCACGATGCAGCCGGGCCGATAGCGCTTGACGAGGAAGCGGCTCTTGTGCCATGCACAGACTGTGCAAAAGGCGTCGTCGGCGCGGTCTGTTGCAGGTAGTGCGGCGTGCGGTACGAGGCGTGCTGGTAGGGCGTGGGCGATGGTCGGGCACTAGACGAATATGAATGATGTGCCATGCGAGGCCCTTCGACCTGGTGGGGAGTTTGCAGAGAGGGGCGCGAGAGACCGTCGGCGGCGAGAGACTGTGGGGGTGGCCCAGCATTCCAGGAATGTGGTCTTGGTGCCCACGGAGTCGTCAGTCTCGAGGAGAGACCGCTAGGAGGTTGGTGTTGGGGTGGTGTTGGATTTGGGTTTTGACGAGCAAGCGCCGCCAATGCACGAGACGCCTGCGTGGGTATCGGGGTGTTCGATGGATGTGTCGCATGACGATGAGGTTGATTGACCGGAGTGGGAGTGGTTGCGCAGAGCGTCGAGGGTGATGGTCTCAGCAGGGATGAAGTTATCCGAGCGGAATTGGGGGTTGGCGTCATCGAGGGCGGTCGGCGATGCTGCTCTCCTTCGCTTGTTCCAGGAGCAGGGGTAGACGTTAGGGGCGCAGACGCGCGCACAGCTTGAGAGGCCTGAGAGAAAAGTCAGTGGTAGCAGCGTGGTCGATGGGCAATACGCACCTGTGAGACGATGCGCCCTGCCATCGAATCTTCGACTTCGTTCGTCCTTCCTGATGATCCCCTTGCACCGTTGAACGCTTCTGAGGCAATGGTTGGTTCTTGAGGAGGTGAACCGCCAGCGGAGGCTTCCCTCTGGGGCGTCGCCGACGCGCCGGCTGTAGCGGGATGAGGGAAAGAGGACAAGATGTGATCGATCAACCGTTCCCCATTGTCCTTCCAAAGAAACCACTCGGACTCCAGCAGCTTGCGGAGATGCTGGCTGAACTTGTCGTGCTTCAATCGAGAGATGCGGTCCATGATATCGTTCGACAAAACGCACTCCGGGCCCATAGCCTGCCACGATACATCTGCCCGAACGAATGCGTCCCGCCAATCGTCCAGCAGGATCCAAAGCGCATGAGATCCCTCCTTCTCGAAGGCGAGACGCGGGCGGGGCGCATCTTTCTTATTCTTGCCCGGACGTACGAGGCTCAGGAGAGACTTGTCGCAGACATCGCAGCACGGCACTGAATATTCTAAAAGGATTCAGTTGTCATCGACGGCGCGCTCGGGTTCTCGTGCTCACCATCGGCTTTCTTGTCATCAAAGACTTCGCATAAGATCTCTCTTCGGCAGCGCCGCGACTGTACAAAGTGGTAAACACCCTCCGTCTCGTCGTCTTCCTCGATCACCGATGGCTGCCACTTCGACATGGGAGGGAAATCGTCCGCGATCCCGCTACGAGCGCCGCGATATCGACCGTGCGCGCGCGCATACGCGGTTTGCTCCTTCTTGCTGAGGTGCGATTTCGATGCCTGCTTTCCACGTACGCGACCTGACGGGGCTTTATCCCTCCCGACCTCTGCATCCAGAAAGACTGTGTATGCAGCGGGCTCCACGAGCATGATAGCGTAACCGGATTCCAGAGCTCGTGCCGCCCGACCCGCTCGCTGCATGAAGCTGGAGAGCTTGTCCGTCTTCCATCATTGGATGACATACTGAATATCCGGTACGTTGCAGCCCTACTCGTCACTCAGTAAGGGTTGGGCTTTCAGAGATGTGCACTCACCATGCCAGCTGCATCTGTGCAGACTAGGACACGTACACTTCCCGATTTGAACATCTTCATAGCCTCTTCACGATACTCCTGGCTGAGGATCGCATTGAACGGGCGGATGACCTCGCGGAGTGGCTCGGGAACAAGCTGCTGGAGATGGTGGACGATCTCGTTACCGGTTTTGATGCTGTCCACGTAGATCCAGGTCTTTGGAATGTCCATGGCACTCGATAGCTTCTCCGGGATGACGAAGTCAAGATCGGTGTACGAGTTCATAGCATTGAGGATTGGGCGCACGATGAGAGAGACGTTACGTCGGTCGTTGCCCATGTTCAGGTGGAGATAGCGGCGCTCTTTGCTCCGGTTGAGCTGCAGCGTGTCGACAATGCTTCTTGTGACGCGACGAGTCAGAGTTGCCGAGACGGCGATGACTGGCACGTCGGGAGGAAGGAGAGGGCGAACGGTGCCGATTCGACTGTATTCTTTGCGAAAATCGGCTCCCCAATGCGAGATGCAGTGCGCTTCGTCGACGAAGATTGAATAGACACGAGAGCGAAATGCTGGCTTCCTGAGGACGCGCTCGATGAACCGATGCGATAGCAACATCTCGGGTGAGAGCAAGACTATGCGAAACTTCCCGGCGACAATCTCCTGAAAGCGGAGCTTCGTCAGCTCCAGCGGAGACGCGTCAATTACAAGGCAACGCACCCGGAATAAACCATCCGTCAAGTCAACCGCAGAGCTGATGGCCACAGCGGGGAGGCCGAACTCGTCTTGAAAGGTCTTGACCTATGGAATAATCAGGAATAAGCTTGCTCACGAAGCAAACCGACGCACCATCTCGTTCTGGAGGACTATAAGGGGGGAGATCATGAGAGTGGTCTTTGTAGCATTCCTCTCGAGTGCGAATGGAGCAGCGGCAGCTCCCGTCTTTCCCTGCCCGGTAGCTGCTTGGCAAACAGCATCCTGTCCCTCTTCTTGCGCCTGAGCGAGGCGGAATTGGAAGAACCTGGGCTCGCGTCCCTTCAGTTGCTCCACCATTCGTTCGCGAAGGTGTTGCAGGTCCTCGGCAGTCAAGGGCGAGCGAGTAGGCCGGTCTGAGTACTGAGAAGTAACGCGTGTATTCCGCCTTTTGCGCGGCTTTCCTGGCTTGGTATGCTGCTTCTGAGCGGCGCGCTTGGGAGGCATTGTGAGGAGACGAAGAGGTGGAGGCGGAAGCGAGGAACAAGCCGATAGTTTGCTTCCGCGAGATCGGTGGCAATGCGCGTTGCACTCGACCAATTTGCTGCTCATCCTGAACACCCTCGTATTCTATCATAAGCAAAGGAGGAGCTGGACACTGCAGCGATGGTCAGTGTTAGAAAGTACGGCAGGGCATGAGCTTACCATTTAATAGGCCACAAGCATGGCCGACACCGAAGAACAGGCCGACTCCGCTTTATCGTGGCCTTCTGACCTCTCCAATCGGCCCAGTCCAGCAGCACCACCATCCCCACTACCTGACAGCTCGCCTCCCAAGACATCCTCGCCTATTCGACCTCAGGAGGAAGAGGAGGAACCAATCCCATCGGAGCCAGCAGTCCCTTTCCTCGATGTCTTCAAGCGCTCGGTCTACGACTTTGACTCTGAGGGAGCGAGTCCACCTGCATCGCGTGAGTTGTTTCCTCTGCAAGTGTTATTGACACTCACCGTACATGTTGGCGGATAGCAACGCCGTCTGGCCCACGTCGTCTGCCGGAGACTGCGCCATCGCAAGCGGTCCAAATCGCATCCTCGTCAAACCTGCCGCGCTCTCACCTCCCCACCATCAATCCGCCTCCGCATACACCTCAAAAGCCCAAACCCAAATACATACCTGAGCGCTATAAAGGTCGTCCTCTTGTAGGCGCAGACAGTCAAGACTCGGGGTACTATAAGACCTCGCCGCCGATCGATCTCGTACAGAAGGGCGCGCAGAAAAACCGCGACCACAACGAGGAGAAGCGTGCCGCTAAGGCGCAAGCTGAAGCTGAAGCTGCTGCCGCTCGAGCGGCCCTAGCCGCCAAAGCGAAAGAAGAGGCCATCAACAAGGTTCTCGATGCACTTGATGAGCACGATCTTACGTTCGGCGACATCCTCGTGTACGTCTTTGGTGATGGACGCGATGCGCGCTGGCGGTGGAAGCATGTCTATAAAGACACTGCGGTGGTCAATTCCACAATCCTTGCGATGGCATCCAGAAAGAACCCACCTCAGGCTCGCCGGAAGGCGGAGGACGCGATGGTGGACGTGGCGGCTCGTGTCCTGGACTATGAGGCGGCATCCATCACAAAGAAGGGTGTCTTGAGGCCGCCTGCCCACGTCGACCAGGACTTCGTCTGCGGCTTTGAGCTTGATGGGCTACCTGCGCGCCTCGAGCCGCATTGTCCGTCCATCGTGAAGGTCCTCCATAGTATCGCACAGACAAGGAGGCAAGAAGTCCATTGCTCTCAGCGTAGACTAGAGCACAAGAAGTTTGTGAGTGTCGTCTCACTTCGAATGAAAAGCGCCAGCTCAGCGCACCTATGTACAGATCACAGCAGCATGCACGACCATGCTGCTTGGCGAGCGCAGCCAGCACAACTCCTGGTTCCAACACGTCTTCGGATTGTACCTCTACACGCAGGGTGCGAGTCGCCAGCTCATCACGGTGCTGAATCACATGAGTGTGAGCGTCAGCTATGCTACTTTGGCCGGACGTGGCGGCAAGAGCACTATGGTCGGAGACGTACCTGAGCCGGCCGAGATTGCGAGCCGCGCAGGCGTAGCTGGCGCGGAAGGGTCACGCAACCAAGACGGTGTACCAGTCCAACGTCGTGCGGGCCTCGGGACGCTAGAGAAGCTGTCTCTTGCGATGCGTGAGGTTTCCCGCCATGTCGCCGCATCTCGCCCATTCATGGTTGTCTATGACAATATCAACATGATGTGGCGGGTCGCGGAACAGATAATAGGACGACGGGGTACGTACTTGCCTTCATCGAGCACGGGGAGTCGACTGGTACTGATACAACATCAGATTCCCTCGAAAGCGGGACATGCGCGACTTTAGTGCCTCTCCACGACGCAGACCCTCGCCATCTTGCAACGGCAGCCCTAGCGAAGCACGTCGATGAAGCGCCAGAACTAAATATGGTTGATGTGAGACTCACGCCGGACTACAAGTCGAAACTTCACGAATACTTCGAATTCACCGTCCTGCGCATCATTGTTCGCTTCGCGGGAGGGGAGAAGATGAAGTCGCTCGGTGAACTCGTGCACAAGCATCAGCCATACACGGACGCGCGGATTCCCACTCATCTGTCCGAAGTTCACCCTCTCCCTGCCGAGCCCATCGACGAGAGCACCAAGAAAGGCAACGCAGACGTGATCACGGCCTTCATGGAGGAGCTTGGACAGCCTATCCAGGCCAACAACTTCGCCGACATGGTACGGTTGATTGCGGGAGATCAGCTTTCTGTCGCAAGATCGCGGGAGGTCGCCGCTGCTCGAGCGGGGAACGAAGGAGGCGCCCCTTCGTTGCGGTGGGCGCTATTCATGCCAGGTCTCTTCCACTACAAGATGGCTGCTACGAGTGGGCTTCTGTTAGCACACCTGGGAAAGAAGAATCGCGACTTGACGAACCCCGCATCCCTGCACGCCCACAATACCATCCTCCGTCGCAAGCCCATCATTGTCACGTCTCTTCCTCCCTTCCGGACCGGTCGTGATCTCATCTTCGTCTCGCTGTACGCGCGAATCCTGCACTGCCTGCTCCTCGTCTCCGGCAAGCAATCGCTAGCGGACTATGTCAACGACCCAAACCTGGACTGGACCATGTTGAGGTCACATGCTCAGGAAATCGTGCGCCGCTTCGCCGATCCTGACGTGGCGAGTACTTACCGTCGAGCACGCGACCGTCACGGAGCGGGCGAAGGCGACATGGTTTTCGAGAACGCCGTCTTGTTCATGCGGGATGCTCTGCTGCTTCGTGAGTTCACCGACGCGATCAAGGCAGGGGACTCGGGCCGAATCGTGCACATACTGGAAAGCTATGTTCACGTATACCGCGCTCAAGGGCGACATAAGTACGCGCATGAGACATTGCATCTACTGCACAACCTCAAGCACGTCTGGCCGAAAGAAGTTCGGTAAGCATTTTCTTTGACTGGTGCAACAAGCAAGGATAATGAATGGGTTCTCAGCGACATCGTACTACGTAACTGGCTTGTGAACACGACGAACCGCCCGAATGCGTTCCTTGAGGTCGATTTATTGCAAGAGCACCTGAACTACTGGATAAAGGTGAGCTGTCTGAACACGTACAAGATTTGCTGACTTACCTATCCACAGAACTTCTTCCAAGCACACGGCAGTAACGCTTCGTGGGCTTGGCTAGCCACCATCTCGCCGTGCATCCAGATCCTGCGCTCATTAGCGAACCAAGTCCACAAAGCGCTGGGCGGGAAGCAGGGTTCGCGGCATGCGGAGCCAGACCTGACCAACGACATCGCGGAGCTCATGGACAGCCTGAGCCAGCATCAGGTCTACACGCCGTGCAAGGGTCGCCAGTTCGACGAGGACGACGAGTCGAGTCTAGTTGCCGAGTCGGTCATCACAGGAATGAACATGCTGACTGCAGGCGGTAAGAAGTCACCCCTCGAGAACTACAACGCTGCCTTCCGTACCTTGCAGAGCAGCTATCGCATACGGCCTCTGGTTGGTGGTGCGAAAGAAGCCGGTGCATCACAGCCACGCGCCGGAGATCGTATGTTCTTCTTTTCACAACCTATAACAGCTATCTGATGGTTTTCCTCCAGCTCCCTCCGCCGCGCAGGCTCCCGATGCTGATGAAGACATGGAGGACGGCATGGCTGTGACCGAGGACGAGGACGAGGGCGCGTCTGTCGACGGGGATGAAGCCCAGTCTGAACCGCCCGAGCTCGCCATCAACGAAGACGACGTCGCTCTGTACGATGATGACGGCCTTTCTGACCGTGATGCTGAAGGAGAAACCGATCTCGACGAGCTCTCCAACGCAGACAGTGATGTCGAGAGTTGTGATGAGGAGGACGATGCGCCTGGTTTCGACGACGTCGACGACGCAATGGCAGCTACTGATGTACTTCACGCGCTTTAAGCACCATTCATCAATGTATATTCCGACGCGTATCAACAGGAGGATGCTCAGTGCGGGGGTAGGCTCTCGCATCGAAGTCTCGCGCAGGTGCTCATAAGCTCGTCCTTGATTTCACTAAGTCAGACGGGGGTCGGATACTCCCACGATTTCGGCCTCCAATCAGCCCAGTCGCTCGCAAGCTCGCGTTCCAATTTGTCCTTTCCCCACATTGTGCCATGTGGATTCAGGAAAGGACAAATGGTTCGCGAGCTGCGAGACCGAACTGGCCACGCGAGTCTAGGGGGCGCGCTTCCCTGAATGGCGCTGTCCGAATGGGGAAGCGGCGATCGCCAAGGACGAGATTCGGCGCGGCTTGGCGCGACGGTAGCGCGCTTTGCCCAGGTCGCAGCAGTTTGTTCTCGTTTGGCCGCTCCAAATCAGAAGCGCCTCGCGGTGGGATATAAAGCAGGGACGATGTCGCCGAAGGATGTTTGCTGGATCAGACCCTTTCCGTCTTCCTCTCCTCCTCCTTTTCTCTTTCGAGCCGCCGCTGTCGGCGCCCTTAGTTCCGTAAAACCCACACATTTGACCGTTGTTGTCGACTAGAGTGTACTGCTAGACGGCCATGCCTGGCGCATCCGAATCACGAGAGAACCTCACCTATGGCGCGAACAGCGCTCAGCCCCCGGTCAGCTCCCTGGCCCGTCGTATACACGGCTGGTCGTGGCAGGCGGTGCGCACACTGAATCCCTACTGCCCGAGCCACCCTCATGCTCCTCACAGTTCCCCATCGGCATGGGCACTGGTGCCGTCTACGTCACGCTCTCCGGCCTCAAGGAGCACTCGGACGCGCTCACAACTGTCGAGACCGTCTTCTTCTTCCTCAACATCATTCTCTTCACCCTCAACTGCACCACCCTCCTCATCCAAGCTATCAGTGCGTCCATACATCCCTGAGCCCCGGCCACCCATGCTCACTGCGTACGCGCTCAGTCTACCCCAGGCAAGCCCTCAGATTAATCAAGGACCCGGTCAAGGGCATATTCGTGCCACTTGTGGTGCGTCCGCCACGCTCTGCTGCTACGCGTCCGCGCCTCACACGCGTCCCAGGTCCTCTCCTTCGCCACGATCATCATAGGGACAATCAACTATGCAGTGCCGTCCGGACACGTCCATCCAGGGTTCATATATGCACTCTTCTGGTATGTCGCCCTCCTATTCGATCATGTACATTCACCAACCTCCCCCACAGGGTCTATGTCACCTTTGCGCTCGTCACTTGCATACCCATGCTGATGATCTGGTACAACCAACCGCACGACCTGACCCATTTCACGCCTGCCTATGCTTTCTTGGTGCGTCTAGGCCCCGCGTCGACCGTTGTGCCCATTGTCTGACTCGAACCTTCCAGGTCTTCCCAATGGTATTGTCGCCTGTTTTTTCACCGCAGTGCCCCCTGCTCATAGTGGCCCCAGATGCTTGTCGGCGTCGTCGCCTTCAATGTGCTCAATGTCATGGACCCCACGGACCCGGCCTCGGTCGGCGTCCTCCTCGTCGGCTACTTCTTCCAGGGTACGCCCAGCCCCGATCGCGTGCCCCCTTCCGCGCTCACGCACTTGCGCAGGTCTTGGCTTCTTCATGACATTCTTCTACATCTGCATCTACATTATTCGGTGCGTGCCAAGCCAGCGATAGTCGCTACGCGGGTTGCTGACGCGCTTGATGCTGCAGGGTCATGACCGTGAGTATCCGCTTGGCGCCAATCACGATTGGCTGCATTGATATCCGAGCTAATCACCGCGGTTGTATAGACGGGCTTCCTCGAAGGTCACCAAGCCAATGGTGCTTTCGTCGCATGCGGGCCGCCGGGATTCACCGCGCTCGCGTTGATCAACCTGGCTGATCACGCGCAAAATATGTATGGGGAAGCGTCTTTTGTCGGCTTGGATTGGTTACTGATTGTCGTTCGCTTTACAGCCTGCACGCGCACAATCTCGTCTCGCCAATGGCGGGTGAGATCTGGTACGCGACGAGCGTGATGTCGGGGCTGCTGCTCTACGGGCTCGCTGTGTTCCTGTTCTTCTTCGGCATCCTGCCGTACTGGTTCAAGCTCCACAAGCACCTCAATGAGATCCTCGGCTGCTGGGCGCTGACTTTCCCCAATGGTGCGCATATACCCACTTCTTGTCCGTATTCTTGCTGATTTTCCCTCCTCAGTCGGCTGGATCTCCACCACGCGCCTGCTCGGCGACATCTTCCACGTCCAGGGCCTCTTCGTCGTGCACCTCTTCATGGCCGTCGTCATGTGCATCGCGTGGGCCGTGCTCTTCTCGCTCACGCTCCTCGCGCTGTGGAAGGGCCTCATCTTCTGCTCGAAGCCCGAGGACGTGGTGAAGGACACCATGGCGTCGCCGCTCCTCGGCGAGAAGGAGAAGCATGCGCGGCTGCACTCGCAGGACGGCCAGGACCCGCACGGGCACGAGGTCGCGGCGACGTACCAGATGGGCGGGCAGCAGCAGATGCAGTACGCGGGCGAGGTGCCGCCGATGCTGTATGCGGGCGCGGGGCAGCAGCAGGGCCAGCAGGGGTACGGGCGGCAGCAGCAGTACGGGCACGGGATGGTCTAAAGGGTCGAGGTCCGCCGTCTCTGTGCTCGTTGGCGGGGGTTGCGGTCTGCGCGCCCCGCCGATGGGTCGTCGATGATCTGTCCGCTGCTTGCCTTCCTCTTCCCTCTTTCCCATCCCTCGTCTGCACGCTCCCGTATGTATCCTCCTGCTGTCTGCTTTGCTGTGCTTGTTTTGCCGTAGGATCTCCCTCATCCCCACCCGGTTATTATCCCCCTCATCATCGCGTCTTGGGTCACTGTCTCCATTGTCCTCTATCGTCCGCCACACATCACTCGGCTTCGACGCCGTCATCGGACCCCCACCACCCACTAGGCTTGCGTCCACACCTCGCTTGCATCATCATCGTCTCTTTCCCTTTTCCTCCATTATTGTGTCTTGTCTCGTCTTCCCTCGCCACATCGCCATTGTGTATAGAGTTCCGCACACCTAGATATTTATCGACCATATCACTACGATACCACGCGCTCCTTACTGTCTCTGAGCCCTCTATAGTCTCCCGGGGCGGCTTTACCGCTGCCTCACCCTCGTACCTGCTCGACGAGGACTCACTCTCACCTGCCTGCGAGCCCATGTTGGTATGGCCGCTGCTTGCTATATACGTTTCCGGTCTTTGCGCCGCTGGACTGTGCCTGTGCTCCCTGGCGTGTTTGTTCGGTTGGGAGGTGGTTGATCCATCCTGTCCCTTGGAGGATATCCGATCCGTCACTGATCCCGTCGCCGAACGCGCCATCGCAGGCCCTGCTCTCTATCTACCTACCTACCTACCCTTATCCCTACCTACCCTTATCCCTATTCTCATTGTGTATGTTACTAGATTTGCATTATGTTTTGCTATAGTGCTGATACTTTGTGGGTGTCTCTGTGTATGGGAGTATTCTACCGTACTGGGACCCATGGACTGCTTTATATTACCATCTATTGCGATATCCCGTTTATATGCGGTATACGTGCTACTATATTCTGTTGCTCGCTGCGTATGCTATGCTATGCGTGTTTGTGGGCGAAGTTTGGCGTGGGGAGCGTGGAGTTCATGGAACGAGTGAAATTGATGAGAGATTCGACCGACGTCGAGTTCATAGGAGCTTCGCATTAGTTGCAGTTCAGTCCGGTCCTTCTGTGCCCTCGTCGCAGCGGCACGAGGAGACGACCCTTGTCAGACGGTAGACCCGTCTTTGAGCCCAAAACGGAAAGCCTTGTTCTGGATATGGAAGGTGCATTTCCTCATCTTGACCTCCACCTTCCCCCTGCCTCATGTCGCTACACGCGTCGTCTCCTGTTCCCTTCGACGCTTCAAACGCGTCCGGGCTCGTGTACGTTACTGGCGACCTGTTCTCTGCGCCTCCGGGGAGCATCCTCGTGCACGCGTGCAACACGAAGGGCGCGTGGGGCAGCGGGATCGCCGCTGCGTTCAACCCCCTGCTCTCGCTCATTATGGCCACAACCAGCTCACGGATGTGACGGGGGCACTATTCGCGTGACGTGACTGTCACGGTTCATCTTCCCCGCTAGCGCGCACACCCTCTCTCGGGGAGTCCTCGAGCCCTGGCTCAAGCACGAACGTTGCGTACCATACCTGCTGTAGGGATGAACGAAGATCACCGGAAGGAAAATCCTGACTCAAGAGGCCATAGCCCACCGTTCGCGCTGGATGCTTGAAGGGCCGGGAACCTGGCTGAAAGGGAAGGGAGCGGGACGGACACCGGCTTCGCCCCCTGTATGCATTGCCACCTGCTACATCATTGCAACGTAGTGATTTCAGGCAAACAGAGTTTCAAGGTGAGTATCTGAACCAACTTGAGGATTCGAAGCGGATAGTACGCACGTAAGTCGGGCGAAATGTCAGCCGTGTGGTTCATCGACATTGCAGATCCTCATTCAAAACACGGGTAAGTTATGCTAGCATGGCTGGAAAGAAGGCGTTCGCATGCAGAGTTTGCAAGCGCAGAGTGAGATGCCAGACAGTCTGCTATAAGTACAGATAGCTGTACAGTACATTATTTTATCCCTAATGTACATATGCGTGCAGACAGAAAGCTACAAGAACATGCGTGTATGCTATATGTGTACGTGCGTGTGGTGGTGCGTGTATACAAATGCGTAGGTGGTGTGTGTGGAAGAGTATAGAAGAAGATATGAAGCGGAACCTATGAGACTAGATCTATGAGTAGAGGGACAACAGCGCGGCCGTGTGTGCAGTATATAGTCGCGAGTGTGCGACATCGGAAGTCAAGTGAGAGAAAGGTCGTGAAAGCCGTTGGACATGGCCATGAAACGGCTGTAAGAGCGTGCCGGTGAGTATGCGGAATATGCTATGCTATGCGACATTCAAAGTCGGACGAGATCAGCAGAAGGAAAACAGTGTGACGTCCAAAACCCATGATAACCCCCATAATACCCAAAGAAAAAAAAGCAGGAGAGAGACACCATCATCCTCGTCATAATCGATGATGGCCGCGTATGACCTGGAGCACCTCCTCAATACGGTAGGGCTTTATCTAGGATGGGAATCAGCATGAATGTACGCTGTACGCCGTCCAAAAACGCTCACCAAGACCGTATCCATACCCGCCTCCTTTATGAGCTTGACCTGGCCCTCCCGCGCGTTGGCCGTGAGCGCGTAGACACGATTGCGTGCGCGCAGCTCGCCGGACGCCTCCATCTGGCGGATGCGCCGGACGGCTTCGATGCCGTCCATGACTGGCATCTCGATGTCCATCTGCATAGTAGGTCAGCATTGAGGTGAGGAACGAGAGAAGGCCTGCATACCAAGACGGCGTCGAAAGGCTTCTCGGCGGACGTCAAGCGATCCAGCGCTTGCAGGCCGTTATTGGCAAGAACCGTCTCGCAGCCTGCCTTGACGAGTTGGCGGCTATGATGGCACGAGTCAGTCCACATTACTCTTGGGAGATGGAAAGATTACGAACTTGAGAATTCTCTGGTTGATGAGGTTGTCTTCCGTAATGAGCACCCGTAAGGTCGGCTTCTCCGTCTCCGGCGCAAGCTGATTATCACTCAAAGATACGAGCGGCGGCGTCGAGGGCAAAGCCCGATCGCTGATCGTCGAAGGCGTCGAGGGTGCCGATGCCACGACCGACTCGATGAAGAAGCTGAACACGGCCCCATTCCCGAGCTCGCTGGTGACCTAGCCCTTTCATCAGTACCGACACCTTGATTCCACAAAACAACAAACTTGTATCCGGCCACCCATCAAGTTGCAGAGTTTCCGCGAGACGAAGAGGCCGAGGCCCGAGCCGCCGAAGACGTCCGACTTTGCAGCGAGGGAGCCTTGCTGGAAGCTAGCGTCCAGATTAGCACAAGGGCAGTCACCCCGAAAAGGCTTCGCCCACCGTCTGAATAGGATGGTCAGGTCCTCCGGCTGCAGGCCTGGCCCCGAATCCGTAACGGAGACGTAGATGTATATCGGTGTTCCCGGCTCCAGCTTCGCCGCACTCAGCAGGCCGTTCGGAGTCTCCGCCTTGGGATATATCGCACTCTCCTCGCCGTCTGGAGGGTGGAGGCTGACTTCGACTTCGACTTTGATGTCCCGCTTGTCCGTCGAAGTGTCAGTGAACTTGATTGCATTGCTCACGAGGTTAGTGCTGAAAGTAAGACTGTTAGTGCTCGGGCCTCCGGTACACCGATAGACGCGCGTACATAACCTGAGCATACCGAGCCTTGTCCGACTGTACGGCGCAGACACCGAGGTTGGCCAAAGACTTCCCGAAGTGCACGGAGAGGTTGATCTGCTTCCTACAACCACCGTCAATTGAGAGTGCAGGATGTGGGGTAAGAACTACTTACATCTTCGCCTCATTTCGGAAGATCGACACGATCCGCTCCGTCTCGCCGACGAGCTCAAAGTCCGAGGGTTGGATGCTGAGCGAGTCCAACTGCATACGCGAGAGCGATAGAACGTCGTTGGCTATTCGTTCTGAAACGGGGTCAGCCCGAGGACCCTCCGCGCTATACGGCACGCTCACCTTGCGCAAGGCCGCATTGGTAGATGGCGTCCAAGGCGTCGATGTTCTCGTGCATAGACTGCATCCGTTCAGGTGATAGTGTAAGGGTTGCGCCTTCCTTCGTCCCCTGCATGTCATCCAGGAGGGCGACGAGGTCTGTCCGGACCAGGCCACTGCAGTTCAAGATAGCAGAGACAGGTTGTCGTAACTCGTGCGACGTAACATCGATGAGAAGCTCTGGATAGATGATGAGCAAACGCATCGCTATTCGCAGATGCACTCGCCCACCTTGTGCTCGTCTTCGTTGGTCTGCCTCTTGCCTCCTTTCCTCTGCATCCTCTGCCTTCTTTCTAGCCTCAGCCTCCCGTTCTCGCGCATGCTCGAGCTTCGCCGCTTCGTATGCTCGCTGATTGCTGATGTCTGTGAGCGTACCCACTGCAGAGTGATCAGCGGCGTATTTAGTTGCCTTGCGCAACATAACGTACGAGCGCCGCCATCGTCCGTTGGCGCCAGCTGGCCCTGATACCACCTGCCGTTTGTACAACCTAAGGTCGCAGTCAATACAGTACCCCGGCAACCGAAGCACTCTACACTCACGGAACTCAATGATACGCTCAGAGGACGGCGCATCCTGCTCTCTATACCAAAATATTCGAAAGTTATCGAGGTCTTCTTCGTGAATGCTAGCGCGAACATTGGGTCAAGGCTTCATTGCAGGGCAGCGCCAACGACTCACGCAGCTTCCCTATAAGCAATATATCAGTGAGGGCGTTCAACATGTAAGCAACGACAATCGTACCAGTTGTCCACGTCGCCTCGCGGTTGACTCAGCATCTCGAACCATCGCGGGTTTACGTATACGATCCTACATTCGTTCAGCCCCCGCTCCCAGTATTGCGACCTCCATACTCACTTGCCATCCACATCCGTGCTGTAGACTTTACCTTGAGCGCTTCGCAAGACATATGAAGAACATGATCACACACCGGAAGATCGCTACCGGAGATTGTTCCAACAGTTGCTGTAGCTCCTTCGTCCGATCCATGAACTGGGTCTCCAAAAAGACGCGCCGCTTTCCAAGCTGCAGCTGCAGATGTACACGCGCAACCAACTCTGCACTTCGGAAAGGCTTTGCTAGGTAGTCGTCCGCGCCGGATAGCTGGTGGACATTGTCAAATAAAGCAGGGGTAAGCGGAGGATAGACTTACCAAGCCTTCCACCCTGGAGTCATCTCCCGACTTGGCAGTGACCAGGATGACCGGGATATATCGCAGTTCGGGTATATTCTGCATGTCGCCGACGAGAGCCATGCCGTCCATGACTGAGGCCATGTCAACGGGGGAGGTGAGCTTGGTTGTTGCTATACGCACTGGGCATCATAACATCGCTTAAGACAACATTCGGCTTCGTCTTGATTGCCAAGTCGAGCGCCTCCTGACCATTGCAGGCTTCCACAACAGTGACATACGGAGCCAAACTGACGGAACACGTTAGATCCCTTTGAGTTCTAGAGGGACGCTATCACTCACATCGTCTTCATATAGTGCCTCATCTCCGAATTATCGTCCGCAATAAGCACGATATCTGTCTTCTTAAAGAACATCGTCGTCGGATCGAGTCGCGAGCCACTGCTCCCCGTCCCCGATGCATCCGACGCAATCGAGCCTGATTCGGACGCGGGTGTCATGTCCCCGTTCCCGAATGCGTTCGACGACCACATCATCGCGTCGTTGACGATGCCTTGGCCGTACCGCCTGCGGCTGGACCCAAACTCGTCCTCAAGGTGGACGGTACCAGGCGCGAGATGATCTATAGAAAGACCCCCTCAGAGTGTGATCCGCAAGGACGCAGCCGAAGAACGTACCCTTCCCTAACGGTAAAGTGACCGTGAAGGTGCTGCCGTGATTGCCATCCGGATTATCGTTCGACGTCACAGTCAGCTCGCCGCCATGCAGATGTACCAGCTCCTTCGTCAAGGAAAGCCCGATACCAGTCCCCTCGTAGCTCCTGCTAACGCATGCCACGCGGTGAAAACGATTAAATATCTTGTCAAGGTCTGCGAAGGCCCGTTAGTAACTCGTGAAGATTCTTCCCACACGGGCAATGCTCACCAGCCGCAGGTATCCCGATTCCCGTATCCTGTACAGAGAATGTCGCTTCGTGATCATCGAAGGACACCATGATAGTGATAGTCCCAGACATGGTGTCTGGCGAAGCGGTGAGTTGAAGAGCTTCCGATGCTAGTAGCACCGAAGGCTCACACTTGAACGCATTCCCTATCAGGTTGAACACGATCTTCTCCCAGAACTGGGTGTCGATATAGCACAGCGGCTGCTCCGGGTCCAGATCGCACACTACCTCATACTGAAAAGCGCATCCGTCAGCCCTTTTACCTTGCTTCACGCCGCCCTGCCCTGCCTACACGCAGACACTCACCCCCATCCCGCTCCTCTCCACCGGATCCCTGAACATGCTCGCCAGATCCGCCACAAACGGCCCCAGCTTCACCGGCCTAAACGCCCCCTCCAGCCGCTTCGCCGCCAACTTGGAGAAGTCCATGAGCGAGTCGACGAGCCGGCTGAGTCGCTGCACGTTCCGCATTGCCATGCGAAGGGAGGTGCGCAGCGCACCGTCGGGGAGCGTCGCCACCGCGTCCTCGACGGGGCCGCCAATGAGGGTGAGCGGCGTACGCAGCTCGTGCGAGACATTGCTGAAGAACGCGGTCTTAGCGGAATCGAGGTCGGCGAGGCGTCTGCGGAAAATGTCGGTGAGTTGTGCGATGAAGGGCAGGTCGTACACTTACTGCGCCCTTATACTGTCCTCCTCCCTCGCCAGCACCGCATGGAGCGCAGACCCCAACGTCACCCTCATGAACTCCACACTCTCCTGATAGCTCTCATCGTACGGCCGCCTCGTATTCAAGCCCAAGACCAGCATCGCTCTCGGCGTATCGTCCGCGTCGATCCCCACCGGTAGCACTATCGCCTGCCTCGGCCGGTCACCCCACGCGCGACGCTCAATGCCCTCCACGAGCGATTCCTCCAACGTCGGGACCAAGATCGGTATTCGCAACCGTGCCGCGTCCTCAAACGGCCACGGCGTGTCCACCCTCCGCCGTCGCCCCGAGCGCCCTGTGTCAGCCGAACCCACGGTCGAAGATGGTGACTGCAGTGGTGGTAACGGGTCGAAGGTGTTCATCGTCGCGTTCATTATGTTCGCCGTCGTCGCAAAGTCATACATAGGCGAGGGCGGCTGTGAGGTGTGTTGCGAGGTGAAGTTGGAGCCCATTTGCGGACTCGTGTGACTGTCGAGCGAGATCTCCATGGTCTCAGGGAAAGCAGGGTGATCTGGGGCAACGCCGACGGTACCCGCAAGCTCCATCGTGCACGAGACCGGCTTCGGGACCTGCTCGACTGTCGACGAAGAGGCGGTATAGGTGGCACTCGAAGGCGCAACCTGGTCCGAGGATTCCATCTTGGTGACAGAGCATAAGTAGAGACCTGCGAAAGGAGCGTCGTAGGCGTATTCGGGCTTGGACAGGATCTGAAGGATGACAGAGGCGAACTGGGCTTTAGAGGTCACGATGATGGAGCTGCGTATCATGTCGCGCAGCATGCTCGTTCGCCGGTCACTGATACTGCACAAATCATCAATGCCGGGTAGAATGGCGCGTGTGGGGTAGACGTACACTTTCTTCGTCGCGTCGAACGCGTCATTGAGTAGGCCGCCGACCTTTCCGTCCTCCTGAATGACCGCTCGGTAGCTCCAGTCATAGTAGTTCTCCTCAGGTAGCTTCGCTGGTGTAAGTCGGTCGAAGAAGAGCAAGTCTAGGGGGACGTTAATCAAGGTTCCTGGCGTAGTTCAGGTTCGCGCACCATTCTCCTTCCAGAGCGTCTTGCCGTTATGCACATCCATCATCAAGGGCCCGATCTTCTCCCAAAGTTCTGCCCAAGCTACCGCCCCCGCCTGTCCGAACATTTGTGGATGCTTCGGGCCAGCCGTCTCGATGCTGGAGAATGGATAAGTCCACGCGCAGTGTGCCTGTCATGATGACGCACTAAGCTTCATTATAAATGATCACCTTCTCAGGTCCCCACCACACTGCCGACTTCAAGAAGGTCAGCGAAGCACGCGAACGAAGACACCGCAATACGCACCGGGTATGCGGCCGACATGCAGAGCCCGACTGCGCTAATGAGCGACTGAGGCCATCCCTCGCGAGGGCCCAAGGGCGTCGACGACCAGTCGAACGTCCGCAAGAGCGTAGCGATGCTGGTGTCCCGGCCCGGGGAGAACAGCTGACAGTCGACGCGCGGGGAGCGATTGCGCTCTGGGAAATTTGGCATAAGTCCTGGCGATCGGCGCCACCCCGGCGTCAAGACGTCCACAGCCGGGGGCAGTGTGGTCCTCAGGACGGTCGTGCACACGGTGTACGTGCCCAGGGTCGTCTTCGTGATCGTCAGTTTTGCGTTCGGCGCATGCGTCGGGAACCACTTGGGTCTGAGCTCGAGATCGGTGCTGGGATCGGTGCCGATGAGCCAGAGTCCGAATGCGTGCACGTCCTGCGAGGCGACGAAGCTGGTGAGGAGCGCGTGCCCAGGCGCGTCGTCCGCGGCGTACTCTGTTCCCAGAACGAAGCGGCGAAGGGCGGAATTCGCGTAGACGGGGTGGAGGGAGGGCGCGCCCTTGCTGAGCGCGGGGGACGCGGGGAGGACGAAGGCCGGGTGCGGGTACGCGTCGAGGAAGGCGACATATGGCTGGTCGTTCGCGTCCCTCGGCGCCGCAGCCCTATACATGGTGGTGGACGACAAGATGCGTCTGAACCGACGCTACACGCACGGCCCGGGGCCGAATCGGGCCTAGCCTATCTTGCAGTGAAAATTGAACGGGCTGGAGGGCGACGACGACGATGAGGTCCTCGACGACGAGCTCGCAAGATGAGGGTTGAGACCAAAGGTGCATGAGGGCGGGGAGCAGATCGTGTTGATCTCCGTCCAATTAAGCTTTCTTCCGACAATGCTCGCCTAATTAGGAAGTTCCGCTACTCAATCCTTCCTGAGCATGCCCGACGTGCCCGAGGCCACCTCCAAAGCACGACTAACCAGATGTTTCTAAGGGCCTATTGACGTAGGTGTATAGATGGACATTCCGATACCCATGTCCCTGAGAACACCCTCCGTATCTTTCCACGGAACAGCAAAAATCCCAAAATCGTGGGAAAGTCCGGAGGAAGTCCCAAAAAGGCAGGTCTTGAGTTCGATTTGCATCTTCCGCATTTCTGGTCCGATTTCCTTGATTATTTCACTGCTGGAAAGGCATTCAAAGACTCAGATGAACGAGATACAAAACGTTTGACGAGAGTGGGATTTGAACCCACGCCCCGAAAGACCAGATGCGAGTACGAATCCCGCAGATGTGCCAGTGTGGACTGACTGATCCTTAGTCTGGCGCCTTAGACCGCTCGGCCATCTCGCCATGAAGTCGCCAAGGCAATTGTGTACCATGTTGTCAATATCATTGTTCCTGTGGCGCTCACATGTATTGACCTTCAATAAGGAAATCAGATGTTCCAGCAACGAAGGGAATTTGCAGAACCAGTGAGAACTAGCGCTCCAGTGATTACCTATGTTGATCACTAATCATCACAGCGGAGATATGGCATACCCATCCCGCAGGGCCAATCGCTGCGGCCCTCCCACGGGCGCTGGACGTCTAATCAGAGAAGTAGGATGTTTCAACCCGGAGCCGTGCGTATTCCCCATGTTCAACAACATTACTAACTCCTGTTGGGGAGGGCGGCACCGAATCCAGGATTACTCATGTTGAAACATATGGGGCATGCTTGGGGCCTACATATATATGAAGGTGAATTCATCGCTCGCTATATCGCTCTCATCCCGACCTTTCCCATTCGCATACCCCTCGATTTCTCCCACGGAACAGTCTCAATGTCGACGCCCACCGTCTATCTCGTCTCAGGCGCGAACCGCGGCATAAATGAGTCCTCGTCGTCCCCATTCACCTACCTTTCTGAGCTGTACACCAATCAACCTTCCACCCTCTAGGCCTTGCCCTCGTCACCGCCCTCGCCGCGCGTCCCGACACCATCGTTTTCGCTGGCGCGCGTCAGCCTGCTTCCGCGACCGAGCTCTCCAAGCTCGCCGCCGCGCACCCGGGTAAGGTGCACGTCGTGTCCCTTATCTCCGCGGACAAGGAGAACAACCTAGCAGCGGTGGAAGTGATCCGGAAGGAGGCTGGTCATCTCGATGTCGTGATTGCGAATGCGGCGGTGGGCGACGCGCACGAGGGGGCGCTGGAGGTGAAGAGGGAGGATATGATCAGGCATTTTGATGTGAGTGCGAGACGGCAGGGTGTTCTGAGGAAAATGCTAACCTGGTCTCCCTGCAGATCAACGTCAATGGCCCGCTTCTACTATTCCAAGCAACCTACCCGCTGCTGAAAGAGAGCAGGGTGCCCAAATTCGTCGCGCTCACCTCGCCGATGGGCAGCATCCACACCGGCGCGTCGTGGCCTGGCGGGCTGTACAACTACGGCGCGTCGAAGGCGGCGATGAATTGGGTTGTGCGCAAGCTGCACCACGACTTCCAGGAAATCGGTGAGTTACTTTCAACCCTTGATTGGAGCGTGACTGCCGTCCTTGACGTCTTTGCTAATGATCTCCCCTCAGTGGCCTTCCCTATCAGCCCTGGCTTCGTCGAATCAGACATGTCGCAGGAGGTGCTGCAATACGAGCCGTGGATGGCCAACATCCCGCGCATCAAGCAGGAGGAAAGCGTGAACGGGATCCTTGCGCAAGTGGACAAGGCGACGCGGGAGACGCACGGTGGCAAATTCATTGATTATACTGGAGTCAAGGAGTGGAATTGGTAGACTGGCGAGAATCGGATATACATTACAGATGAAGAAGGTACAGGGATGTAAAGATAATCGTTATTTTGTGGTATAGTAGGATCTAGGAGAAGACGGTTAGCCTGATGTCTTAAGAGAAGTACGCGTATGAGGTCAGAAGGAAGGCAACGGAAGAATCCACATGGGTTTATGCGCTCTCGGACACTGAGTCTTTGACTCTTTACATCCGTAATGGATCATCATGAATGAGAGGTGTAGGTGGATACTCACCATGCACGCATACATATCGTCGGCGCTGAGTCGAGCACGTTGATGACAGGATAGCATACGGCAAGGGGGGCGGTAAAAGAGAGGGGGAGGAGAGGAATAAAGAGGAAGAAGGGCGACGCGATGAGATGGTGATTGGGGACGAGAAGAAAATTGCGCGCGACGCGATGTGACAATGAAGTCACAGCTCACGCGACCTACTAACGTCACGCTGATAAAGGGGCAAGGCGGCGTCGGGCGCGTATTTGGAATCCGGATTCATCAGTTCGCCATCGTTTGCTAATCTTCCGGACATGTAGCTTACTCTGCTCTGTACTTCTTGCTTCTGACCAACACGTCTGCTGCCTTCTCCCCCTCCCTCGCCCAGAAACACGACTCAGACGATGGCAAACGTCCAGACGATCATAGAACAATGGCCCCCATCTCTCGATGAGGCACAGGTGGAAGCACTTAGCCGCCTGGCCACCACTTGGGCGCTCGCACACGGTCTCCTATACCTTCCCGTACTAAGCCCACAACCATCGGTCCCAGCTGCGGCCATTCACGCGCCGATCTCTCTCTTCCCCTCCCCATTCCCTCGCAAGCTCTTCAATCAGGCTAAGAGGATACAGCGGACCTACAATGTACTCTACTCCAGGATCGCCATGGACACGAAATTCCTAGACTCTGTTATGGGCTCAGAAGAAGGGGTTGGGAAAGTGGACGAGTTCACTGGACAGCTGTGGCGCGGATGGAAAGCGCTGCGCGACGAGACTGTACAGGTACGTGATGGCTTCCCTTACATTCCACAGCTGTTCAGTATCGAGTCCCCCAGCCTCTCCACCTAGGAATCTTCCGATCGGACTACCTTTTGCACTCTTCCGAGGCCAAGGATCTGTCCTTGAAGCAAGTCGAATTCAACACCATCTCTTCCTCCTTCGGCTGCTTGTCACAGCGCGCAGCCGCAATGCATAGGTGCGCCACCAAGATAACTCTCCATTGCATCTTCTGACCCTACGAAGATACCTGCAGCAATCGAACCAGTACTTGAAGGCGTCAGAGCACTTGAAGTTGGATAACTTCCCCTCAAACGAGACCACGGGTGGCATTGCGAGCGGCCTTGCAGCCGCACACAAGGCCTACGGCAAGCCAGAGTATGTGCGCTCGCCATCGTCTATCAGACAACCCCGCTAACGCATCATAGGGCCCACATTCTTTTCGTGGTGCAAGGCGGCGAGCGCAACGTATTTGACCAAAGCTGGCTTGAATACGAACTCCTCGAGAAGTACGAATTCCTTCTGCCGAGCCAGTTCTCTCAGTCTGACAATCCCACCTTCAGCCACGGTATCCATGTCATTCGCCAGACGCTCGAGCAGCTCGCCACCTCCGCTTCGGTGGACGAAAGCAAGGCCCTGCGCATCACCCTCACTCCCTCCTCCATATCCTCCCCCTTCGAAATCTCGACTGTATACTTCCGCGCTGGCTACACCCCCGCCGACTACCCCACCCAGACTCACTACGATACCCGCTTCCTCCTCGAGCGGTCGTCTGCCATCAAGTGCCCGACCATTCCCCTCCAGCTTGCCGGCGGAAAGAAGGTGCAGGAGGTACTCACCCAGCCTGGCGTCCTCGACCGCTTCCTCGACGACGCGACCCGCGCCGACGCGGCCGAGCTCCGCGCCAGCTGGATGGGCATGTGGGGGCTCGACGCGGCCGAGGACGGTCTCAGCGCCGCGACGGTCCCCACCGCCGACCCCGCCGCCGCACCCACCGCCGAGCCTCACGGCGTCCTGCGCGCCCGCGAGCAATTCGCACGTCTCGTGCTCAAGCCGCAGCGCGAGGGCGGGGGGAACAACGTGTACAAGGAATCCATCCCCGCCTTTCTCGACACGCTCCCGCCCGCCGAGCGCGCGGCGTGGATCGCGATGGAGCTGATTGAGCCGCCTGCGGGGGTGGGGAACTATTTAGTTAGGTCTGGGGGCGGGCCGGCAGTGCGGGCGGAGGTAGTGAGCGAGCTGGGGATCTTCGGGTGGTCGCTGTTTGGTGGGGGTAAGGTGGCGGAGGAGCGAGAGGTCGGGTGGCTGTTGCGGACGAAGGGGAAGGATAGCAATGAGGGGGGCGTGGCAGCTGGGTTTTCGGTACTGGATTCGGTGTTGCTGGTAGGGGATGCGGAGTAGACTGTAGATGTAGGAATATCTGGGTCAAAGGGCAGAATTGTATCAATATTTATTTATGCAGTAAAGCATATAGAAGTGTTCATTCAGTACACAGTTGATGTGATAGAGAACTCGCCCCCTGTTGGCATACATGGGTGCGCTAGACCAACTCATCAACGACAGGCTCACGAGACGATAGTCGCTCTACATCGTCCACAAGGAATTTGATCCGCGTCCATCTTGACCAGCGCAACGACCTCCCCCATGACTGGACGGCCAGTCGTAGCACCGACGTCGAGTGCGCACGACGACTTGGACGCGGATATGTCGACGTGCGAAGGCCTGAGAAATTGCGCGCTTCTGGCCTTCTCAGACGGGGTTTTCCTAACGGAAAGGAATTCTTGTGATCACGTCGTGGGGTTCGCATTCTCCCTACTCAAGTCGAACACGCACATCCAACACCCATACGGCCTGCAAGACCGCGCCGCACATAAGAACCAACTTCGTATCAGCGCACTGAATGCGCTGTTGCCAGGGCGTAGGACCCATTCAAGCAGCATACGGCCAATTGAAGCGGAAAATCGCTCGTCTTCTGCCGTGAATTGTCGAAGCCATCGCCTCGCGCGGTCGATTGGTGAATGGACTGCCAGATCACCCCGTTGAGCCGTCGAGGGTTTTTTTGCTGAATGATCGAAGTCGTGCGTTGTATTGCCGAAGCCCGGAGAGCACGCCTCGACATCGACGCACCGGGCGGGCGCCGAGATCGATATTGAAAAGGTGGCCACGATTTACGTTTTGAGGTGGGCACGTCTGCTATATTCGGAAGATCGAGAAGTGAGATGGGTGGCAAGGCGAGCCGAGGGTGAGGGAAGGTGCGCCGCTCATTGCTGGAAGAGCGAGGGAAGGACGGGGGGTGGAACACACGAACGGGGCGGGTGCAGAGGAGAAACTTCTATTTTTCCGCCTTCGGCTCACGAGACTGATGTGGATGTGGCGAGGCGAACCAGCGGTGGCGAGAGGTATGCGGTGTGAGAAGGCCTCAACTTGGGAATTTACCCGCAAAGCGACAGCATATCGAGAACCGGATGACAGCAGAGCCAGGGCTGGACCAGTTCATGATTCAAGACTGCGAGAAGACCAGTACGCCGAGCGCAAGGACGCAGGTACACTTCATGTGGGACAAGGTGAATGTTGAGCGGGTGCCTTGTCACAATTATGAGGAAGCCAGCGACGCACTTGCTAAGGGACAATCACCCTTCAGTAGAGGTCGGGCATATGCCAGCGGCTGGTTGTCCCTCGGATGCACCCATGGTCGCCCCAGATCCCACTGAACCAGTCATCGGACGTCGGTCTTTGCATCGCGGTCGTAGACCAGGTCATCGGTCGTAGATTCTACGCACAAGGCGTCATACAGTTCGGTGGTAAGCGCGATCCAAATCCAGCCGTAAGCGCGGACGCCTTCTAGTCGGAGAATCCGAAATCGGGTACGAGTGGCTGTGAGAGAAGAAGGGCGAGAGCAGTAAAGCCTCATGAGGTGTTGGTCATTTAGCGTCGTCTAGGAAATTTGTGCAGATCTTCCGATGCGCGAGCAAGCTGGGGACGAGTCATATGAGGCGTAAGCGGAGGGACGAGGAGGGCGTGAACGAAGTCACATATAGTGCGAGCAGATGAGTTATAGTTAGCGAGAGACGACGTTGTGAACGAGTGGTCTAGCTGTGGGTCCAACTCTCGCGGGTAGACAGCAGCGGTGGAAGGACAACCACGCTTGCGGGATGCTCATGCCGCCACACATCTGCTGGAACAAGTCGCGAGGGAAATCGACTTCGCATGCGCTTTGTCAGATGAGTTCACCTACACCATCGTGTGCAGCTGTCACTCATTGGTGCAGAAGAAGAGCGAGTCGGGACGAAGTACCGGTATTCTATCATCCCTGTCATCGGCGAGAACCCGCTGCGCTCCCATACACGATGCAGAGTATGTGGCACACACCGGGTAGAAAGATGAGCAGGAGGGCAGGCGATAGCGCCTGGCGCCTGTGAAGTCCAGTGACGAGTCAATGAACGCAGCAGCGGGGAGCACGTATCGCGTTCGCAGCACCTCTGCCAACGCAGCAGGCGTACAAAGATGCAGCAGGGCCCATACAGGCCCGGGCCGACTGCTAAACAATGCGCGCGACGCCACCGGAGATTGCTCGAGGTACGGAGCGCGTCCGCGGCGCTGCTCAGCAGAGGTTGCGTAAGGGTTCTCGATAGCGAGGCGAGAGCGTCAAAGCCTCCGCTTCGGGGGGCGCGATGGCTCTGAGCGTCGTTCGAGAGGGGTGTCAGGGAGATGAAGAGGGCGGCAAGTATAGCGGGGCGCTAAGGGGCGTCGGGGAAGGCTCGGTGTATACGAGATAGAAGCGCCACAGTCTTGCGAGCGTTCGTCCATGCGAAGCGGAGGAAGGGATGGGTGATGGGGATGGCCATAATTGCGTACCTACCATCAGAAGGTGTAACGTATGGCGAGACCCTCGGTTGCATCGGGTCGGTGTCTCGCGTTGTATTCAGAAAACCTGGAGTTGTTGCCGGTGGGGCGGGCCGCCAATATATGGTTGCGAGTCTCTGCTACTGAGTACAGGACATTGAACGGTGGAACTTAGGCGCCTCGCAGAATCGGAGTCGGGCTCGGGGTGGTGATGGGAGGAGTTGAACCGACGACAAGACTATCCTTTTTGGGATGAGCGACCTATCCTCGGGGAAAGTGCACGTGACGGGCAGCGAGACGCGTCACTCGTATTTCCCGCCGAAACCTTGGCTTTTCACATTTTGTTGCCCGTTATATAGCCGTCCCCCGCTCCTCCGCACGTCCTTATACTTCTCCTACAGCGCACGGTCGCTGTTCAGATCGTTCAACTCGACCCGCATCTTGCACGATCCCCAGTACGATGCCCGACATGGTCACCCTCGGACACCCCACACAGCACTCCTTCAACCCGTACACGGACAACGGCGGCACCGTGCTTGCCATTGCTGGATCGGACTTCAGTGTCATCGCGGGCGACACGCGACAGAGCGAGGGGTACAACATCCAGACGCGTTATGCACCCAAGGTGCACAGATTGTGCGTACGCGTCATCCTGCCAGCGCGCACGGATCGCTGATCGCCTGCGCAGAACGAACAAGGCCGTGCTCGCGGTCACCGGCTTTGCAGCCGATGGGAACACCTTCGTGAAGAAGTTGAAGCAGCGGCTCGAGGTGTGTGCATCGCCGTAAACGCGTACGCATCGCGCTCACCCCGCAACAGTGGTACCATCACGCGCACGCGAAGAACATGCCTCTACAGGCGGTTGCGCGTCTCATTCAGACGATGCTCTACGGCCGACGCTTCTTCCCATTCTATGTCTACATCATCCTCGGCGGCATCGAGGAAGACGGTACGCGTCACCGCTCATCACGCTCGCACACCCACCGACCGACCTTTTTCCTTTTTCCAGGCAGCGGATCCGTGTACTCCTTCGACCCCGTGGGCTCCTACGAGCGCGAGACGTGCCGCGCGGCCGGTGCAGCGCAGTCGCTCCTCCAGCCATTTTTGGACAATCAGGTATGCCTCATGCCCACCCGTCGCCGCCCCGCCGCAGCGTCTGCAGCGCCGAGACGCGCGGGCCCCCGACGATGCGCCGATCTTGCGCCGCCGCGCCACACCTCCCATAGCGCGAGCGCGCAAGATAACAACGTGCTGATAGGCGCCGTATAGATCTACTTCAAGAACCAGATCCCGCAACCGGGCACGACGCACCCTGCGCATCTGCCGCTACCACACGTCCTCTCGCTCGTCATCGACTCGTTCACAAGCGCGACGGAGCGCCATATCGAGGTGGGTGCTTAATTAATCACGGTCAAGATGGGTTGAGCTCCGCTTGAGCCCTTGGGTCGAGCCTTTTAGCGTGCCATACATTTCGCGAAGGCTTATACGGCCCTGGGCCTTTAGTGGCCCAGGAAGACCCAAGAAAGAGGCTCAAGCGCATTCAACGCATCTTGACCTATTTCCCCGCATATCCGCTCATGTGCTGATCTCTGCATGCTTCAGGTTGGTGACGGGCTTGAGGTGTATATTGTGGTGGCCAAGGATAGCCCAAACATCCAGGGTGTCCAGGGCATTCCGGGCTTGCAGGAGGCGACGTCAGCTGACGAGGGCGAACGCGTCTTCGTCGTCAGGCGGAATCTCAAGCGAGACTAGGCGCGAAATAAAGAACAATTGTATCGTTTGTGTCGTGACTGACATTCCGACACGGCGCTCGCTGTGGCGACGACTCTCACAGCATCGCATGCCGTTTTGGACAGCGCGTCGGGCCCCTATGTATACAGGACTTCATCCAGCCATAATGATCATGATATGTACCTATAGACTAGACTCGAACCAGTCCCTGCTACCCGGGTGTAGCCACCTTCGGTGGCGGGGGGCAAAGAGCGAGGGCAGGGGCGGAAGCGGGGCGGGACGAGCAAGTTCTGACAGCGCGGAACCGGACCGGACGAAGCTGAAGTTAGGGAAACACCCGGGGCAGGGACTGGAAGAACTCAATTACGACGTAGTACAGGACAGGATTTTCCCACGATTATGTGGGACTTAGCGAAATTTCGGCGCGGCGCCACCACAGTTGGACACGATCATCATGTCGTCTGGCGCGCCCCGCTTTCTACAGCCCTCGCGCCTCGCTCTTCTACATACAAACATATGCGAGACCTTCGAAATACACGACGTGCATGATTTCCAGCTCGAGACTGGGCAGAATACCCTCCGGGGCAAGTCGACGGTGCTGAACGTTCCAACCGGCGGGGGCAAGACCATTGCGTTCTACTATGCGCTGTTTTACTATTGGTATCCCGGAAACACGACGCCTGAGGACCAGAAGATTGTCCTGGTCATTAGTCCCCTCATCGCGCTCATGGAATCCCAGGTAGGAGGTGCAATGGCGCGGCACGCAGGGTACTCACTCGACATGCAGGCCGATGATCTTACCGCACGCGGAGTTCCAGCTGTGGCTCTCACTGGACGCAGAATGAAGGGGGAAAGGCTTCTCGAGGTGTGTTACCTGCCGAAGCGCGTGTACTCGCTCTCATACTTCTGCAGAACTGCGCTGCTGGCGAGTATCGCGTCATTCTCGTATCCCCCGAGCTCGTGCTCTCACCAGGCTTCCGCAATATCGTCCTTCGATCCCCTACATTCCGAAGCAATGTGATCCAGCTCGTTATCGACGAGGCGCACGCCATATGCGAGTGGGGAACGGACGACTTCCGCTCGGACTACCGCGAACTAGGACAGCTACGAGGCTTGCTTCCAAAAGGCATCCCCGTCCTCTGCACATCAGCCACACTCCCTCAAGAGGTTCTTGATGATATCTGTGTAACGCTTTGCCTCCCCGACGACTGCGAGTTCATCCTGTACTCGAACGCGAAGCCCAACATCGCCCTGTCTGTTCGTCAACTCCAGCACCCCGACAACAGCTATGCTGACCTCGTCACCCTAATCCCCAAAAATGCCAAGAGCGCCAGCGACATCCCAATGACCTTGGTCTATGCCGGCAGCCGTACTGTCGTCGAGGAGATACAAGACTTTCTCCGACGACATCTCCCGGCCGGTATCCCCCAAGGATCCGTTGAGTTCTATCACCGCTTCATCGAGGATGGCCGGAAGGACATCATCCTGGACCGCCTTCGTGCCGGGGACATCCGCATCTGCGTGTGCACGGATGTACTTAGCTGGGTACGTTGATTCTTCCTGCGTGTCGACTTGTGAATTCATTCCGCACCTAGGGCATTGATCTTCGTAATATCGTCCGAGTATACCTATACAAGAAGCCGAAGACCTTCAACGCGATGGTGCAGAAGTACGGCCGCTGCGTACGCTTGCCCACGGAGCTTGGGGAATGTGTGTTGTTCGTGACGAAGGCCATGTATAGATCATATGAGAAGGGGCTGGCGGAGTCGGCGGATATTGCACTATTACAGTCTGATCCCGATGTTGGTGCGGGCGACGAGCATGATGTGGATGTGGATGAGGATGTCAGGATCGAGAAGGGTACTGATGACGACTCGGCCCTGCCCACCCTGAAAGGCAAGCGGCTGAAGAGCTACGCGAAGCGAGACGAACAGTATCTCATCAGGTACATCGGCACGAAGCACTGTCGACGCACAGTGTGGGACGAGTTCTTTGACAATGCAAATAAGCGTGAGTGGATCCTTATGACCGTTGAGTCGGCTGTTGATCAGACCCACAGGCCAGCTCAATCCTCCTGTCCCTAACGGCGCACGGTGCTGCGACAATTGCACACCGAATCTATTCCCCATCGACGCAGTCCTGCTTGAAGATCCTAGCCAGCTGCAGAAGGGCCGACGGCAACGCGCTACGAAGGAGCTTGAGGCATGTGTACGTGCCCGGCTGGAAGTCATACGTGGTGAATGGTTCGCAGCGGCGTATCCTGCCGGCAGTCACTTCCTATCCCCTTCCCACTTCCTCTCTGACGACCTCATCGCTACTATCTCATCCACCGCCACATCGTTCGGCAACCTACCCGAATTCAACACTAAATTCCGCTGGCACTGGTCGCCTCGATACGGATCAGAGCTTGTTGATGCAGTTCTCGACGAGCGGCGGAAACTCGAGATCCCTGCAGGGCCGAACAATGACACCTCGTCCTCGTCGCGCACAGCTGAACCAGCAATTGAAATTCTCCCTCCCCCGAAGCGGATACGGCTTGACAAAGTCTCTATCGCGGCGTACAAGCGCTACCAAGACATATTTGGTCTTTGTCGCAGCGAGATCGAGGGCTACGTCGATTCTGCTGGTCATAGCCCAGCGAAGCGATTCAGGAGCCTGCCCCGAAGAGGCACGTCGGTACGTGATGACTTTCAGTCCTTATTCTTCGCTCACACAAGCCTGTCAGGCCAACGACGCTTATTACACGAGGTTCCCTGACCCACTCGCCATATCAATCATCAAGCAGAAAGAGAAGAAGCGCTTGTACAGCACGCTCAAGGACTATGTCGACGATTGGCACCTGCTCGCCCGCAATACCCGTCTTCACTATGGTGAAGGCAGTGACCATTACAACGACGCGCTGTGTATCGACCGTCTGATTGATCACGCCATGTGGACGCATGGACGAGATACAGACCTACGCGGAGCCGACGGTACTTCATATTTTCGTTGTATTCTTGAGTTGAGACTAATATTCTACAGAGCTGGTCAATCCAGATAACAATGTAGACTATTCTGCAGGCGACGCGGGCCCTTCCATTGATGTAAGTAGCTCAAGGTCCTCAATCATCATCATGCTTGTATCTAGGAACTGATCTGCGTATTCAAAGAGCTCCTCGTCGTCACCTACAAGGTCCTCAAATGATGGACCTACAGCGTGTACATCCGAGTAGTCCTCACGCTCGGGTCCATCATCCGCTCCATCATCCGCTACCTCTTCAACCGGCTCCTGCGTGCCTTCGACTTCCTCGTCGGACTCATCAACAACCTCGCCTGCCACGTCGACGACTGGCGCTTCCGCGGCAGGACCAGCATTGACAGCCACCCTCTTGTCCACTCGGAAGTTCTGGTAGGCATTTGCACTGCTGAAGTATGCCACACCGACACCCATCAGGTCACGAACAGGCGCGACGTGCTCGTTGCCTGGCCGGTCCTTCACGTACGTCTGTAGCTTCTCTTCTTCGAGGAGGTCGGCTAGCAACTGGACTTCGTTGGTTATATCGGGGACAGTGTGACGTTCACCGTAGCTTGGGATACCGTAGGCAGATTGCACTTTACGCATGGTGTCGCGTAGGATGAATATACAGACGGTGATCCTCGATAGCCAACGCCAGGTTTTGTTCGAGCCCTTCGCGTTGTAGACGATTTTAGCCCATAGGTTCTGATGCTCTTGCATCATGTCAACGGGCTTGTGACCGTTCTCCTTCCCGCTGAGATTGACAAGCCAGTTGTGTAAGAAGAGTTGTCGAAGACGGGCAGGATAACGGCGGAGGCGGCCCAACGTCTCAAAGATCACGTCGGCGTACTTGGGCATTGCTCCGACGCCTCTCATCATGATAGCCCAGACTCGGAGGATGTTGACGACACGCCCGATATCTCCTGCCTTGATGGCGTGGTTGTACTCGACGTAGAACAATGCATCACGGTTGAACAGCAGTGTGTTCTCGTGGGCGTGATCACGAAGAGCGTCCGGCTGGCGACGGAGATTTTCGACGACAGATGTAGAGAATGATTTGGCGAGGACAATGCGTGCGACCTTGTCAAAGCCAGATGCGGAGACGCGCGCGGCCCAGTGCTCGAGTGACTCCGCCCCGCAATGGATACGGAAGGTGTCCTTCACATGCGCGGGAAGTGTGATGTTGATCAGCTCGTGCGCCTGCTTCCACGGCGTTGCCTTCCGTCCCTTCCAACCCGCCGCCATCTTCTTCCTCTTCAGCTGCGTGTTTGACCACCACAAGCTCCCAGGCCATGGGGAGTTTGGCTTTCCCCAGTGCTCGTTGACCACCATCCGACCTGCAGCCATCTGACTGTGAAACAAACCGAAGCGCTGGATCAAGAACCGGAGGGCGTCGACGTCGTCGAGGCTGTTCCGTCGCGCTGACTGCAGCTTGTCGACGAGCTGCATTGTCAGGAGATCTCCATCGACGAAGAGCAAGCCGTGTTTGCGCCAGTCTTCGCTTGTCATCCCAAGGCTCTCGAAGATCTCGTGCACCACCTCCAGTGTACCGTCAATGCTAGACTCATCCGTCTCCATGGCGGGGAGGGGATACTGCTCCGTCTTATGGAGAGGGATCTGGTCGACAGTAGGGCAAGCCCCAACAGACTCTCGTAGACGGGAAAGACCTGGTATGTGGTCCATCGCCAGTCGCTTCAGCTGCCATAGACAGGACTCCGAGATCTGACCCTCCTCTAGACGAGTTGGGAAAAGGTCCTCCGGCGCGTATGGTATGTCGAGCTTACGTGTCGTGCGGGGTTCGTTCAAGCTGAAGGGAAGCACGCCGTGGGGGACGCTTGATCCCGTCACAGGGTCGTAGAGTGGGACCAGTGTCGCCGTCGTTCCGTTATCGAAGTGGTCGGCGGAGCTGAGGCGCTGCGCGTCCTTTCGGAATGCGATGTTTAGGTTGTCCCACGCAATCATGCATGCCTGCTTCTTGATCAGCTCCCGGAATCGTGCAGCGCCCTCGTCGGAGAGTCCCTTGACGTGCTCAAGGATCGTACTGTACGATGTGCAGAGACCCGCGTGAGACAGCACTTCGATCTCGCGCTTCGCTGATCCCGACGCAAGCAGGAATAGTCCGAACGTGGTTTGGAAGTCGTTCGCCCGCTGCGACCGCAAAACACCCATCATAGCACACATTGTAGTGAGGACCTCCAAGGAAAGTAAGTAAAGAGCGCTGCGTGCATAGTGCTTAAAGACTCACAGGTCTGGAGCTACGCTGTATCCGTGCATCGGAAACCTCTCCATCCTCCCCTCCGGTATCACCGCCGCTTGCATCGCAAAGTATCGACCAAATGACGGGTGCTTTCGTTTGGATCTCATCCGCCAGCTTGTCGAGGGAGAATTCCTCGACCAACTGGATGAGAGGCAAGTCCCGTCCGCGCGACATGATCTCCTTGATCCTGCGCCCCTCCTTCTGGATTACAGGCAGCAATCTGCTCATCATCCAGTCGTTCGCCACTTCTGGCGCGCGGGAGCGGACCTGATCCATCATCTCCGCGCCGTGGTTGCGGCAGTATCTGGACCAAGTCGACGAGACCGTCTGGTCTTTAGACGAGAAAACGGCAGCGAGGAAGCCGTGGAATGTCCCAAATCCGTGGCCGTCCTGGCTCGCGTCCTCGCGCAGCGCCTGCAGCGCGCCCTTGACACGAAAGTCCTGGTCTTCGCGTGCCGATTCCAACTTTGCTTCTTTCGCCGCTGATCGTGCCTCCTCCCTCTCCGCTTCAAGCTCCTCCTTCTTCTTCGTGTCCTTCAACTCCCTTTCGTATCGTGCCTGCTCCTTTCCCCTCTTCCTCTCGGCCCCGGACGGCTTCTTGAGAGTGGGTCTACCTCTTCTTATAGGTGACGGATCCATAACGCTGAGGTTAGACTGCTGTGAGGAGGGCGGAGGCGCCGACGCGGATCGCGTGCGCGCCAAGGTCGAGACATTGGAAAGGGTGCGAGGGAAGGCGGTGAATATTGTCGTGGAGTTCGTGCCACCCGTTGGGCCGCGCGGAGAATTCTGCGTGAAGGAGATCCGGGCTTGTTTATTGGCGGCTGAGCCTTCACCAACATTGTCTAGTGCACGCTTCGGTGGCATAGGATACAGTCTAGTATTGGGCAAATGAGGAGCAAGCGCGGATGGATACGCTACGAAAGGGATGATCGCGCGGCAAGCTTGATCAAAATTTCTCTAAGTCAGCTAAAATCGTGGGAAAATCCTGTCCTGTACTAGCTCCTTATGAGTCCTTCCAGTCCCCGCTCCGCTCCCCTGATCGGGCAAGTGTCAGCTTGCTTTTGCCTCGGTTCCGCGGAGCGGGGACTGGTTCGAGTCTACCTATAGACTGCGTAAGGGCGATTCGTCTCCTTCAGGATGCGTTCTGTTTCGCATACGTATCGTATAGCTCGCCTGTAGATTGACCACCGTGTCGTCGGATATTCACCACGGGCAGAGCCTTCTACGACATCTGAAAAGGACATTGTCGTATGGATTGATATCTATATTGAATTGTTGTCGCGCAATATATTTAAGGTCCTCAGACGCATGCAATCAATCTTCTCACTTAATTGATATTCTTGACTAAGCCTAAAGTTATCCAATGACCTGCTGCGTTGGTAATGTCATATATTTTGAATTTTTACCAGCAAATGCTTTAATATATGTTTCCTTTAATCCCGGTCAAAGAGATTAGCAGATATTATTGATGACTAGGCACGAAGATTATCTTTAGCAGCCAAAAATAAAAACGGGTAGTGACCGCCCGGAGTTCGCCTGAAATCAACCCAAAGTTTTCCCGGACGTCACCCAGAAACTTCCCGGGGCCTGCATTTCAATATCCTGACTGGGCACACATCAAGATACTAGAGTCAAGCTGGCTGGCCATTTCCCAAGTACCTTACTGGCTTTCTCACCTCCTTCCTGGACTTCAACTTCGCGCGTGATGCCAAATGGCCGCAAAATATCGAAGGCTGAGGTGTTGGCCCAATGGCTTCGAAACAGAGTGGCCGATTTGGACAGAGAGCCCGTGCATCGGCCGCTGGAATCCACAATTTGATCGTCAACGCCAGCATTGTGCCCACAAACAAATCAGCCACATGACCTACGATAAGTACTCTGCCATGCCGAGGCTCAATATCAACCCCAAGCAAGTAGCGCTTGGGTCCATATTTCGTTGAGCAGAAGGCTGTACCGGTGCAACACCGATTGTCGCCTACGCCAGTAAGGCTAAAGGACTGAAGCCTAATGCCGACCTTCATCGGCCCGGCCATCGCACGCGCCTGCAAAGCCTCCTTCCCTTCGCCTTTCGACAAGCATCAGCAACTTTTCTCCCGCATCATCATCTAACAGGCAGCTTTTACCTCATTCTAATTAACTCACCCTCGTAATATCCACGTCGAACGACGGTTACTGGTAGACCTTGAGATACGATCCTTCGGTAGCCCATATGCATCAATCTTGTCCTTCGGTTCCGTCAAGAGTTTTCCGCGGACGGCGTCGAGACCATCTGTGTGACCTTCGAACGAGATCCGGAATATAGGAGGATGGGTGAGTATGGGTGCGACGGAATTAGGATGGGCGTGTGATGGTAAAACGAAAGAGATATTCAATGCACGCAGAAAACTCACTGCCATTCGCCCCGGCCGCACCGCGCGCATGGGGAATGGATCCCAAGTCGCGATAAGCCTCCTAGTGGTGAGGAGCCCTGTCTTCGACTCCGCGATGTCCCTTCACTGACAACTCGTCCCTACCCGCTATACCCACCGTACTTCCAGTCCACCTCCGGTCGGGCAAGCACGCGCAGCAGTGAAGCATGAGCGCAGCGAGGGAGACTCATGATCCCGCTCAGGCACGTAGTGCAGCACAGAGAGCCGAGCAAGTCGATTCATCAGTACGATCAGGTAAGCAAGACGAGTCGTCAGTACGATCAGGTAGAGACAGTGCTGAATCCCACGCACCATGAGGGAACGCAGTGAGCAAGCAGTGAGAAGTCAGGACTTACCGCATAAGGTAATCCACACGTGACTCTGAATCTGTCGTCTCGGCGACTCATGATCAGACTCACTAACTCCAGATTTCATGCAAGCGCAGTCAGACCTATGGTCTGTCTGAAGAGAAGGGAGATCAGACTTTGTCGACTCGCTGCAGAGGAGATGTACGTAGAGGGATGGGATGAGATGCTTGGACCCGTGAAACATCGCGTGTGCCTGACATTCCGGCCGACCGACCGTGGGAAGACAAAGGTCACGTGGCACGTGGAGCTTTCCCTGGCCCACGCGAACGGTCGCAGGACCCCTGATAATAGGCGGAGACCTCAGTACCCACTTTTGGACATTAGGGACGATTTTGGACCCCCCAGGTCGGAAAAAATGACGGACAGTTGGGCCAAAATCGTTGGGAGGCCAGAGGAAAAGTCGGACATCTGGGCCCAAATTAGCCCATTTCAAGAGCGAGTAGCCCACCGGCTAAGCATCCGCGAAAGTGAGAGTGGCCAGAAGTTCGAGCCTGCGTCGAAGGAGAGCGGTTTCGATGCCGTAGACGCTGTTCGACGCGAGAAAGACGAAAGAATAGGGCCAAAACTCGAATTTCTAGAGGTCGAAGGCCGATTTTGGACAAATCTGAGGCCCAAAAGGCCGAAATGTCGGACAAAACCCCCCAAAAGTGGCCAAAAATGTCAGACATTTAAGTAGGTACCTAAATTGGGTGTTCGCGGAACTGACCTCTTGGCCTATTATCAGGGGCCCTACGGTCGCGCGTCGCCGGCAGTACGCGGCGAGGCGACACTAGTCTAGCGAGCGGCCGCATAAAACAGCCGTCGGCCAAGGCAGAGGCAGCCCCGAGCGTAGCGAGGAAGGGAAGATGGGAGGGAGCTGTGGGCGAGGAGTTCAAGGTTCGATTTTGTTTCGTCGTTAAGTAAGTGGGCTTCAATCAAGGGTGGCGAGAGACCAAGGTAATAAGAAGCAGCAAGTTCTCCACCCAGCGCTTGACGTGACCTGGTGCACCGAACATGAACATAGTGGCATCGAGAAGGCTCCCGAGGGCCGACCCATTGGGATCCTCGAGGGCGAAAGCCTGTTGAAGATCTCCAACCGATGGACTCAGCGGGGCGAAGCCCAAGCGAGCCCAGCGGTCGCGCTGGGTGACGTTGAAGTTGGGGATGACAGGGTTGGCCATCATGGCTTCGTTGATGACGTCGTCGGCGAGGAGAGCGCCGTCTCGATCGCGCGCTAGGATTTTCGGGAGGGAGGCTTTGTTCCAGGGAAATGGGGATCGTGTCGGGAAGGGATAAGGCATGGCGAAAGAAGGAATGGTGATCTTGTATCAGCTGAAGGGTTGCGAGAAGGGAGAGAAGGTAACAATGATGTTGTTAGACTCATTCCAGTATGAGCCGGGGACCTGGAGCTTGCCCACCGATGGGGTATAGCAGCCCGGGTCTCGATCTTCCGAGAGATGATCGGGGCGAGGCGTGATTGTCCGGGTGGGGGCCCTTTCCCATGAAGCAGATGACGAAATGCGTGCCGTTCTGTCGAGTCCGCTTTCGGGGGCGCCGTCTTAAGGCGCGCGGCAGGTGGGGGCTGGGTCTGGGTCTGGTTGAGGGTTGGGCGTCGGTGCTTCGCGGACGGCGTTGGCATAGGTGAGTGACGCGTGCTCCGACATGGAAGGTGCGGGAGTAGGCCCGCGTTGAATGTGGTGCGCGGGGTCGCTCGCTTCTCGAGAGCGCCAGCAGTGAGGTCGGTGATCGGGGCCACGTTCGGATGGGCGGGGGTGGTCCCTCGCGATTCGTCTTCTATGGCGACGTCAACCTGGAGGCAGCCCATGCCTCCTGGAGTACGTCGCGGACGTGGTTATCGGCCTGGGTGTCTTCGAGCTTGTCGCCCGGTTGCAGATGCTGGACAGCTACCACAGGTGCACTTGGGGAGTGAGTGCAGACTGTAGCCCAGCCAGAAGGGCTTTGTGCTAGAGCCATGTCGTTCGCCACCGGAACGAATGTTCGAGGGTAGCATGAATGGGGAAATGGTTGGGGAGGGCGTTGGGTATCTTCATGATGTCAACTTTCCGCCGGTCGTGAGGCTGTTCAGCCGTCACGACTTTCCTCGCTGGGCCATCGGGAGGCGGAGCGGCGCATTTCTGGCCGCTGCTAGCTGTTGAGCTGTAGACGCAGTCGAGTAGTGGGGGGTGGGCTTTCGGTTGGCGTCAGATGATGGCATAAGGCAAGGTTCTGGCAGTGATCGGCCGTCTCGTTCTCAGCGCTCATGTTGAAGACCATGAACGGCAGCGACGAAACTGTAAACCTTGCACCTGGAGGTGCAGGCTCTGCACCTCCCAATAGTCCTAAGCTCGCTCATCTGACCTCAACTTCTCCTACCTCGAATGACGAACTTCATCGCGCCCTCGCCGACACCCAAGCGCTTCTCGAAGTCATGACGCGCCGTAACGGTGACCTTGCGTCCAAGATCGAAGGATTATCCGCAGCTCAGGAGACGCAAGCCCTGTTAAAGCACACGCTCGTGGGGGCCAACGATACGCTGCGCTCAGAACTGGATGCGGCCCAACGAGAGACTCGCCGTCTTCAGGGAGAACTTGACACGCTGAGTAGCGTCAGAGACACGCTTCAAGCCGAAATTTTGAAGGTCAAGGTATTTGCAAGCGAGCTTCTCGCTTTACAATCACTCACATCTCACCAGAACGAGGTCAGCGCTCGCATGGCAGACGAAGAGTCGATGGTTGCACGCGTTACGAAAGATCTGGAATTGAAATGCCAGGAGCTGCAGCATTTACATTCAAGACTTCGAGCCCTGGAGGATGAGAATCGAGAGCTACAGGAGGTGCGTGATCAGTTAACGCATACTTTAGCGCAATTTCAGGTGCGGCATCCTTCGCTGTTGTCCTGGGCTTGTCGACGCTCAATACAAGATCAGGGATCCGAAGGCATCGTGTGCGCGGAGCAGGCAGCAGCTGAAGCGCGGGTTAGCTACGATGAGATGGTGCGCCGCGCTGAAGAAGCAGAAGATCGCAGCAATGCTCTTGAGGAGAACAACCAGCGTCTCTGTGCATCGCTCCAAGCTGCCGAGTACAACGTGGCGGCCGAACTAAGCAAGAAAGAAGACCTACAATCAGACTTGAAGCGTATCGCTGCGTACGTGACGCGACTGGTTGAGCGGCATAATACGCTCGATGTGCCACCGATCTCGGCCGCCGAGATAGTCCCTCAATTAGGGTCTCGCTCCGCCACACCGATTCGGCTCGGACCACCTGACGTCGCTAGCGAGGTCACCGAGACCGACAACACTGAAACTGCATCCCATCCAGATGTTGACGAAGTCAAGTCTGCGTCGCCGACTGTCAGCGGAGGAAAACGGTCACGCAACAGGTCTGCTTCCTCTGGGAGCGAGCCCATTGAATGCTCGCCCAAGCGGTCGCGGCCCGCGCCCCAGATGGCGCACTCAACAAGGCCCGCGACGACTTCGGCTGGCTCCTCGAGGGGACCGAGTGCCAGAATTGCGAGGCGGAAGAAGCATGTCGATCGTGACTCAGCTGCTACTGATGGGCAAGTATGTATGTCTCTCAAACTCGGATGACGCTCAAGCTCAAATATAACAGTCCGTGATCGTGTCTCGGAACGAGGAAGGCCGTTGTTTTGACGCCCACGGTAACCGCGTCTGCCCGGAGGTTAGCACGCGGCAAAGCTCTACCAGAGATATCTGACCGCCTAATACAGTGCAAGCAGACGCAAGAACGGTATAGCAGGCCTCGCTGGCTACGTGGCGCGTTCGGACCGGGTTCAGTCTGCCAGAAGTGAGTCTTGTAACGATAGGAAGTATGTCACGTATTAACGAAGTTCAGCTGCCACCGGGCATGGAAAAGCCAGCAGTGATGCGCCCGTCCATGATTTACCCTGTATCTGCACCTCTCGTCCCCAAGCCGATCGCCACTTGTTTCTTGCTTTCTCTTGCTACATTTTCCATCTTCAGAAGTGCCATGGACTCGATTCTGTCGTTTACTTCTTTCTTTGCTGTATGCTTTGCTCTGTCTTGCTTGTTTTCGATTGTCTTGCGCACCACCATCGCACTCACCATCATAGCTTACAAGCCGGATATCCCGTGTTCCACCGGCGGAATTGAATAATAGGTGACCCCATGCTCGAGTTCCCGGCTTGACTTGAGCCATTTGACTCTTTGCTTTGACAACCTGCTCACTGATCACTCTCCTGACGGCCGAAGGTCGCCGCCGCATCTCCAAAGTATTGATGATGCACCCGTGGCATAACCAGAGCCAGCGAGTCTTAGGGCAAAGTCACGTGTAGATTGCCCTATGTAGTAAGCTCGGGTCCTGCTTGCTCACTGCCAACGCCATTGAATTATAGACAGGCTAATGCTCTACTTAACTGGGCTCGCGCATTGTACCTGCTCACCGACTTCAACTGGAGGACTAGTTTTCTATGTCTTGGAACCCATGTGTAGGCTGGCGACCGTCGGCTGTCTATCCGTGAGAGCCAGTGAGCCTGAGTCTGTGGCGCACGATTTGTGACGCATGGTCACGTGTAGATTGCCTTATGGAACCGGCGCGTCTCACTTACTGGTGATTAATTGTATGCCCGCTGCGACCCTCACCGATGCGTACCGTCTACTTATGAGCATCAGTACTTTATTAGCCTGCCTTTCTCTTCTACTCCTGGAGCGTCGACCGCGGCTTGTCTACCATGGGCTAAAGGAGGTTGTTCGCACGCGCCCGTGCATGCTCTGCTACGCCGTCGATGCTCACAACGACAAGGAAGCCACCTCCTCGTGTCGACGCCGCTTCCGGAGACGTTTTATACCATAGCCTACTCAAAGGCATCTGTTGCCGTCCTCCAGGGTGCCGAGTGTAGCGTGTACAATCCAATCTGACTCAAGTTCAACGGTTGAGCCGTCGACGAACCCACGCCGCTGGCGCATATCCCGCTGGAATCGCAGGAACTGCAGTTAGGAGTATCAATTTGAACGGGAAGTTGTTGTTTGACGGATTCCAGCTTTGGGGCCGCTCGAACTTCATACGAGGGTGAATAGGCAGGTTTGTCAGTGCCAACATTCCTCAGGTGGATGATAGATTCCCATACTCATGGCAAAAGCATACGTAGGTTTCCGCTTCACCTTATAGCAGTACATAAGGAGGTCCGATAGTCTGTCTACTATGGCTGCCTGTAGACATGTGTGATTCTCCGACGCCGTGTTTGACCTCAAGGTGTTCTGTGCCGTACGCTTGCTGGACGTCATGGTACACGCGAGGAACTCGCAGAAGTCGTTCAGCGCCTCGAAACCGATCCTCGACAAGACGTAACGCTGAAGCTGAGCACGATACTTCTCACTTAAGATCAGCTTTCCTACGGGCTTTAAGCATGCATGTTAGCGCCTAGTCTGCAAGCAAGGTACGTGGACTCAGATAATACAGCTCAAGCACGCGCGATAGCATAAGATATATCAAAGACCATCGCGTATCGACATCGTGTAGCAGTCCTATTTCACTAATTCACGAAGCTGTCCTTTCTGGTTCTCAGCTACCAGCCAGCCCCTTGCCCATTGCCCCTACTTATAGTCAATATGAGCTTTTCGCGTCGCTGTCCTGACGCACGTATGGCTGTTGACAGCACTCCAGAATGGATAAATGAGCCGTCAGGTATGCTGCATGCCGCTGGCGGTCCTTGGGAGAAGGTTACTCTCCGAGATACCCTAAGTCGACGTCGAAAGCACCGATCCTCTGACCGATTCCTTGGCATCTGCCTTGGAGGAGATGTTGTTGATGTGGGGGCAGTACCTGGAAAGTGGGCTTGAACTGAGGTACAAGAGGGAAATGGGATCGCGTGATTACCGGACTTGGTTCCGCTCGATATCGAAAGGAATGTCGAGCTGCTCGAGTTCTTTGACAGTCTCCTCCATGGCCTTGTCATTCGTGGTCATATTGTCCATCGTGACGACACTGATCTGGAATAGAACAAGCAAAGCAACAGGCTTTACTGAATCTAACCCACGTACATTGCCTTCGCAGCCAGCCTTCTTGATGATCGTCTGACCAACGTTCTCGCCGCCGTGTTTACCTCGGACGTGTCGGCGGGAGCGGAGAACAAGATCTCCGGGTGCGGGATCACGCGATATGTAGTAAGCTGTCACGGCCATATATCCGGTCCTAGTCATGCTCGACCAGATATAAGCGACACATCCGAGATAATCCTGCGCAAGTCAGCAAATGCAGGTAATGAAAGTAGAGGAGAAGCGCACCCTGATCTCGTTCTTCATCTCCTTTGCGGTACGGTTGTACTTGGCCTTGAAGCGCTGGATGACGAGGCCGGTAATCCTTGTATGGTGAGGCAATTGATTATCGCTGATCATACCCATTCCAAGGTATAGGAGCAAGCGCCGTCGCATATAAGGAGACTTCGGCACATTGGGCGACTATGCAAGCCAAACCGATGATGGAATCAAGCAGTTGTAGGAAGGCCGAAAGATTGAACGGGGCGGGACCCGTAGATCTGTGAGCGCGCCCGAGCACATTGCTCCATTGCTTGAGCCTTAAAGTAGGGACATAGCGACTCCGCTACAGGCGATGCTCGAGATACAGATGGTAGAGGATGTTCGCTTGCGAAGACGTCTCATTTGCCAAGCGTTAGATCATCTACTTCGCTGGAGATCACTGCCAGGATACGCGTCGGAAGTGCGTCGTATGAAATCACTGGCACAGCCTATAGCAGAGATAAGCGCCATCTTTCAGACGTTCCTCCCGTGGCGGGTCGCATGCGGAATCGGGAGCAGCGGCGGGTCGAATATTTGAAGCTGCTGCTCGCGTGGACAACCAGCCTGCCGGCACACCCGCGCTCTCTGTATTTGCGTGGCCTTAAGTATCACAGAAACGCTTAGTCAGCACAGGGTCCGGAAGGGCAAGCTGCCCACCGCTTCCTTGAGCGGGCCAGCACCGGGGACTGGACGCGCAGATGGCTGAGTTAAGGCAGTAGGAGTATGGGAACAGGTCATAGAGAACGGAGGTCAGAATCTCGCGGGCCACAAGGAGCTTGAGGACGCTGGCGTGATTTCATGGCGGCAGAGGGCGTTATATTTCGGTCCCACCAAAAATCACAGTGATACGCAGAGAGTGCCGTATCAGATGCGCGATGCGAGGAGCTGTAACTGGATCTGGCGATAGGTTTATTGTCGAAAGGAGCGCCCAGAAGAAGCACAGGCATGCGTAGTCTGTTGTGCATGGGATGCGGCCATTGGGTGCGGGTGATAAGAGATGGGATTTGGCCGCGCCTGTGAGTATGGTGCGGCACTCCCTGACGACGAAGGCGATCGTGATATAGAGGTGTAGGACGACGGATGTGAGTATAGTTGGGGTGCAGGTACGGCGAGGGGCTGAAAATGGCTGGGAATGTGAGTGACGGCACGCGGATCGCGGCGGCGGCTACACTGGGTAGCCCGTGTAGTTTGTGTAAGCACTGCTGTGCCCGGTCTGCACGAACGACCGAGGATAATGTGATTGATCAGCTCGAAGATCGCAAGTTGAAAAGACGTAATCGTATACGTTGAGTACCTGCATTCCAGAAGTGCTAGGCCTCTGCGGCTGATGAGACAGCATCGTACACTGACTCTGCAGCCCCGCCAGCTGCGAGGCTACTTGCAATCGGGATGTCGATCCACCAATGGATGTGCTGTACGTGTTGTATCACTGTCCTCATAGCGAACGCAGGCAGGATGCAGAGAAACCTAGCCTTCGTATGGTTTGGACGCATTGAGAGAGGGTCTTTATTTTCGGTGAGCTTTACCAATGTTACGTGACTTCGTGGCCCAAACAACGTACCTCATGCTGAGAAAGACGCGGTCCACACACAACGAGCAGGCGCAACTCGACATTGACGGTGTAGGCGGAGCGCAAGAAAATACCAGTGACATCACATAAACTGAGACAGGCAGGGGTGCGAACAATAGGGGCATACGAGCTTCTCGAACCTCAGAAAGCCTTTGAGGCTCGAGTTCAACATTGCTATGGTGGTTACATAACGCGCGGAAGGACTACCCATCAGTTGAGTCCGACACATCTCTGATCCGAGTCCGGCGAGTCGCGATCGAGTCGAGCTCAGACTCTCCTACCTTTTGAGGTCGAGCTCCGAGAGTCCGAATTCGACTCGGCAAGAGTTGACTCAACTCACAACAACACCACAGCTGTACAACCCGCAGTGGACAGCAACCTAGGGCTTACTCGAGTCTCATCCCAGTCGCAACTAACTACTCGTATGTGCCTCTACGGCTCTGATAAGTACAATTCTCTTCCAACGCGCACTTTGTCCACATCACACTCATGCTTTCCTAGTTTGCTCGCTTGCAAAAATTGGCATGTTGCCCTCAGGCTACATACCGAAAAAGAAGTCTGGTGGACTGGAAAACGCTCTTGTAGTATATATATATATATATCCCAATACAATGATCTAAATGTGCCATCTGACTCCTGCCGGATACTCAAGCTCGACCCAAGCTGATTGACAGCCCTATATTCTAGCTTGTCTACGAGGGGAGCGAACGGAGGGCGGCTTCATTGCCTGCCTTGTTCCTGTGGGAGGCCTTCCGAACCTGAAGCCGCGCTCTTATCAACTCCTCTATGGGCCAGCAATCCTCGTAGATCTTGAGGAATTCCATGTCTTTACACCGCATGGCCTAGGGAGAACTCGTCAAGGCGGGAAAAGCACCTTCATGAGATGGCAGACCTTCTGGCAGATTGCTTTCACTTCGTGGACCTGCTCACTGAAGGGTCGAACGCGGAGATGTTGGTCTACCTCCGTGTTGACCCATTTCTACCAAGAGTAAGAAACAGGTATGAATATGTGTGCAGGAAACCTCACCTTTATGTACTTGTATACGGGCTTCTCCCAGGCAAGCTTCGTCTCCAGCGTATAGCCCTTGCGACCGGGACGGCTTGCCTGACCTGGGGGCCGCGCGATCACGTCGGGGCGCGCACCCAGCTGAGTGGGAATTATGCTGATGTCTGGTTCTTTTTGAGAACTAGTTTCACCAGAGCCCGAGCCTGACTCATGCTTGTCGCCGCTAGTCCCAGCTGGTCCCGGCTGGTCCACGGCAGCAATACGCGAGACGATAACACCATCGTGTAGGGCTAGACCAGTCGCGATTGCCCTAGGTGCCCTAGGACTGACTGAGGTGTCGGTCGATCGAAGGATGGCGGGCTGAGGACTGGACTGGCGATCGGACTCGGAATCCGAGCAGTCGGACTTAGAGCGACCAACAGCGTATGGTGATCCCCTTTTTCGGTTGAACTTTGGAACACGGGCGACACCAGAAGCAGCAGGGATGGGCCGAAGAATAAGTGGCGTTGCAGAGGGTGAGGCGGGCGCGATTATTTCTGTGTGGCAGAAACAGTCCGGGTAGTCTGAAGACATCATCTCTGAGTGCAACCAGCTCGAAGGGATGGCTGCTCTTATAGCATTACGAGCCTTTTTACACGAGGCGGAAGAAAGGGCGGGCACCTTAATAACGCGACATGTCACAATCGTGCACGTGCAATCGCACATCCTTTCTCTCATTTTTCTTTCATCCTTTGCGCATGTTCCATCGTGATGTGGCCGGATATGAAGTCCAGATCTCTGCCAGACCAATCGCCTGGAAAGCAGGGAAAGACGGCTCCTCGAGATTCAGTACATCCGGCACCAGGACCCTTCTATAAGCTCTATACGTACCTTGCAGGTCCCAAAGACGCGACCATGTCGTTGGCCTTTTCTCCTGATGGACGATTCATTGCTGCAATGGGTACGTTCCATGGACTGTACTGTATAGCATAGCACTCAACTCTCGCCAGGATATTCGGGGATATCACTGTGGGATGTCAGCCCTATAGCTCAGGACGGATCGATCACGCCCATTGCCACTCCCTTGCAGCCCCTAGGATCCGCTTCGGTCGTACCTGTAGGAGCTTGGGTCGAATTCAAAGCTCCTCAGCGCCAGCTGCTCGTTTTTGGAAATTTGGAGGGAAACCTTTCCATCTGGTCCTTGGAGTCTGCAACTGATACGCGCGAAGGCGTTATGAAGGTGCGCCTTTCCATTCTGTTCTTGAAAGGAACAAACCTCTCAATCACTGATAGCGATGTCATACCGTATCGGCTGGCATATCGCTAACGGAAGGGGTGGTAGATAACCACCGCTCGCAGCCCGTGTGCCTCGTGGTCGACAAGAGCATCATACACCATCAAGCACAGACTGCTCGCATCGCCTTAGCGAGTCTGGATGGACTTGTCGCTGTATTGCGGATAACGGAAAGTGGAGCAACAGACTTAATCTTCAAGATGAATATTGCCACGGATACCTTTCTGCCTAGGTCTGTGGCGTTCTCCAGGTCCTCGGACGATATCTTTGTCTTCTCCCTCCTGAATGGTGCCATGTATGACATGCCTCTCGCCGACCTACTACACACTGAACATCCCCAGGAAGCGCTATGATATGGCCGGCAACAATACCTGGAGTCGAGATGACGGACCGCCCATCATGTCAGTGATTTAGTCGCCATTCTCGACCACTGGATAAACATATGACACATAGGGCGTCTGTTATCCTACTCGATGATCAGCGCGCCATCGCCCAGGTCGGAAACGACTTTGCCTTAATCAGTCCTGAAGATGGGCGCGTTCTACAGGAGTACCAAGTCGGACCCATCGCTGTTCAGTACCCGAAGTGTGTTATCGTGGCAGAAGATGACTCTCTGGTAGTGGGTGGGACCGATCAAGGCTGTGCGATCATATTCGATCTACAGCGGGGGATCAGACTTCAGGAGTTGCCTTACAATGATGGCTTGCTCGTGCAGGCAGTTTCGGTACGTATCAGACACACTCAAACCGCGCAACAGTTCACCAAAGAGTTCTTAGGCCTGCTCGGTGAATGGCTATCATCTCGTAGCGGTCGCAGGTTCTACCCGCGAAAAGGATTCCAGAGTTGCCGTATGGCGCAAGACGCCCATTGTACAGGAACGCCGAGGTGATCCGTTGACAGAGACAACTGTTCAAGGATCCGGATTGGGCGTCCGGGCCATTGGCATAGTATCGGCGATACTTTGCATTGTGCTCATTCAATGGCCTTCTGTACTCGATGCTCTCATTTCCCGGTAGTTCAGTATTTTTGTCTCGACAGTGGCCAGTCGTGACGCCTCTATCTCACATATTCAATAGCTTTCGGCCGTATGTGAGGCATATAGATCGATACCTAAGGATAACTACAGATGCATGCAACTACCTATGATCCCCTTGTATTGCAGGTCGATTCCGGAACTAGAGGAAGCTCCGGCTTCCCCGGCTTTAACCTTGCCTTGCTCCTGAGATCGTGGGCTGGGCTTGCGCACTCTCGAACGCGTATGGCGCGGGTGACTTTACGGTTGTTGCACAAGAATGTCATACAAATTGATGGGGTCAATTAAGGACGGGAGAGACCTTGGAAGGCAAGGTAACAAGGCAACGTAATATAGATCCGTTACGAGACAAGCTCCGGCCCCAATCTTGCCTTGTGACTCTGTCGAGACGCGCTTTATCGCCTGAAAATGTCTGAGAGATGTCGGTGACGGTACGGTAGGCGATAATTGGACAAAGATGGATGCGGACGAAGACCAACACTACTGCCGCCACCGGTAGCGGGTGCCCGGAAACGCATCGGTGACGATGAGGGAAAGATACCGCAAGTCAAATGAACAGATGTATGCGTCCTCAAGCTCGAGTGTGAGGGACACAGTGAGCAGGCAGTGAGGCGCAGACAGGGGCTCAGCAGATAAGACAACGAGCATGACTTGACCAAGGACTCCCTGGTTAGGACCGGTCGCGTCGCGCAAATGCGCTTTGCGACGCTAAGAAGCCAATACATCAAGTCTCAACACTGTGCCGCGCCGCTGCGTGAGTTCGTCCCAGTCACGCCAGGCGTGTTCGAGGCGGCGGTCACCTGGGTCGTCGGCTCCACTTGCATGATGCCGACCTCCCTAGGAAGGTTGTGCTGGGGGCCGGGCGGGGGTTGTTCGTGGTTGTGGGGAGGGGAGGGAAGGTTTGACGGTGTGGGCTGGCGAGGCTTCGACTTCCAGCGCTTCGCACGTGCCACTGCTCTGAAGGCGAAAAAGGGGCCGGAAGTGAGCACTTGCTCCAGCAGAGTGCCGTCCGGATCCTCGAAGGCAAGCGCGAGGGATGAGAACGAGCTGGCTTCATAGGATTGGGGATCACGAACCCAGCTCGGGAGTTGCGTATCCTTGAGCATTCGGGGTACGGGACTGTGCTCGAACAGATGAGCGTAGCACTCGTCTTGGGTGAAGGCGTCCGGCTGGGCATCAACAACGACTGTAGGTCACGGGAGGATGACCTTGGACCATCTAGCAACGAGGCCAGCGGACCTGACTGGGATGCGAGACTTGAGGGCAGTGAGCATGAGTTCCGTGGCGGATAGAGGCTGGAGCGCCGTTGTATCTGGTCCTGCGAACATCATCAGGTTGCCCCTCACGATCCACTCGGCAGCGGACAGGTAAATCCGTGAGTGACGCGGGGACGCGCGGAGAGCAACGGAGAGCAGTTGAATGATTTTGAAAGGGCGAACCTGTGAGATGACGTCAAATGCTCCCTTGTCCGAGACACAGGCGGGGCTTTTCCCTTGAGGTCGCGCGGGGATGGTGCCGAAGGAACGGGTTTGGGAGCTGCCGGCTTCGACAACGCTGACGGGGCGGGGCGGGGCGGGCTTAGCCTTGGCGCTGCAGCCGCAAAGGATCTCGTGCCTTGTCTTCTCGATCAAGGCCCTCACCTCCTACAGCTCCTGTCGAAGATCTGCCGGACCATCGACCGACGTAGCCTAAGGTCTGATGGTGGGGTTTATCTGGCCGAGCAGGCTGGCGAGGATGCCCTTGAAGTAGGGGTATTCGAGAACTAGGGTTCTGTACTGGCGTGCGATGTTGCCAGTCTGGTCGGCCTGTGAGCACAAGGACCGGAGTGTCATCTGCGCCTCGCGCAGTTGATTTTGCAGGCCCATGATGTGGTCACGGAGCTATAGCGGGCTGTCCTTCTCAAAGCGCTGCCATCCGGCCGGTAGACGCAATAGGCCATCACAGATTAACCCCGGTCTCTGTCTTCATCAAGTCGTGTATCGCTAATCTTCCGGCAATGAGCGTGCGTGAGCAGGGGCGACCTACTATGAGCACGTGTATGCTCTAGCTCATAGCGCCGGTCTGCCTGATGGACTTTGAGCGAGAGGCAATCTACACGTGATCGCACTGCTTACTGACTCACTCTCCGGACTCAAGGCTTGACGACGCTCAGATGGATAGTCCATGGAAATACATCCGTACGTGGCGATATCAGTAATCTAACGTTGTTTCTACGATCTATTGGGCATTTTATAATTGACCAAATGCGACCTCAAGCCTTACATAATTACTACCGCTCAGTTGCGGAGGAAACCATTCAGTCCCTGTTCAGTCGAAGGTTATTCCGGCCGCTACCTTCTCTGTAGGAATGGCAATGCCTATGTTACTAGTTATGTTCTAAAGCTACGTGTTTCTTCATACCCTGGGTGACCTTTTGGACCGCACCCTCCCACTGTTCATCTGCTTCCCCCTGACACTCCCTCCACCACTTAAGACAAACAAGATGCAGGTACCATCCGCTTTGCCCGGCACCCGCCCTCGATGAGCAGTTTGACACCGCTATATACTCCCACCACCTGTTCCACGCGGCTATAAACGAAGGAAGGTCGCGAACTCTATCCTCGGACGGTTTGTCGGGTCGTGATGCCTTGATCCATTTGCTCAGCTCGGCCGGTCTGCTTTTGACTGGGAAACCGTGCTGTCTCGGGGCCCAGTCCATGAGGTCTTGGTACTCGAACCATGTTTCAAGGGCTTGCGAATATAGGGCGCCCAACGGGACGTAGATATATTTGACCTGACGTATCAGGCTCTTCGGGCAATTGGCGGGGAATGAGGGCAACGGAGAATCAAGGGTGATATGCCCTGGCCGCCGATACTGAGAAAGATATTGAGTGACAAAGCTTATAGGAAAGCAACATTCCTCACAGATGCTGTGGATATCTGAGACGATCGATCCATAGATTCTTCTTCGGCACTGTCATAAGGCTCGATCCCTTGCTCACTTGCGTTCGTTACAAAGGAAGTCATGAATTCCTTCTGTGCCGCATGAAACGTATTTGAGTGCAATACTCGGTGGGTTGCAAGAAGTCTCTTACTGGATGCCTCTGAGGGGTGCTCTTTGCAGCAATCTGGGCAGCGCAAGTCAGTACAGAAGGTTTCGAGAGTAACACACACGCACGGTCGTTGGGTATTGAGCAGGATGTGCGGGAAGAGGCGTCTCCTTCACGCATTTAACAGACTGCGAATAGCTCAAGGAGATACTCAGAGCAGTAGTACGAAAGCCACGTACCTCGCCGGCGAAAGCGTTGGCTACCTGTGATGCCCGATCCTCGTGGCCGTCTGGTTCATCCTCCGCCACGTCGTTCGTCTGAGAAACGTTCTGAGCATTGGTCAGTCGGATACTCAGAGAGGCAAGGGCACGAAAGCCACGTACCTCGCCGGCGAAAGCGTTGGCTACCTGTGATGCCCGATCCTCGTGGCCGTCTGGTTCATCCTCCGCCACGTCGTTCGTCTGAGAAACGTTCTGAGCATTGGTCAGTCGGGTACTCAGAGAGGCAAGGGCACGAAAGTCACGTACCTCGCCGGCGAAAGCGTTGGCTACCTGTGATGCCCGATCCTCGTGGCCGTCTGGTTCATCCTCCGCCACGTCGTTCGTCTGAGAAACGTTCTGAGCATTGGTCAGTCGGGTACTCAGAGAGGCAAGGGCACGAAAGTCACGTACCTCGCCGGCGAAAGCGTTGGCTACCTGTGATGCCCGATCCTCGTGGCCGTCTGGTTCATCCTCCGCCACGTCGTTCGTCTGTGAAACGGTCTGCGCACTTCAGCCGCTCGTCACGCAGAGTAGTAGAGGTGTGTACTGACCGTATCATCCATGCAGGCTTGGGATCTCGGCGCGGCACTGGGATAAGGGGTGCCTATCCGCAAGAGAGTTGAAGTGGCGAGGGCAGGATGGATGAAAGCGTTGGTGGACGCCTGATCTTCTCCATTGCTAGAGCTTGCATTAAACGGGACAGATACATCTGCAATGTCCTGCATAACTGGTTGAGTATGATTGTAAGTATGAAATTAGGACGTGTCGGGATGTCAGATATCAGACGCTTTTGCATCTACTGTCCATTGTTCTCTCTCGATGAGCACTTAATGAAAAACCCGCTGATATTTCATCGCACTAACATGTTCTGACGATGGGTGCGGTGGCGCTAGTTGCCATATATTCATGTCGATTGAGAACACTCACTGGGAAACCGTCTGGGAATACCTTGTTCTTCGTGCTGTATAACGCTATGCCGTCTGGTATGCTCGTCGCATCGTCTTCCAGTATTACTGAGGCCGTATCGTCGTCATGTTGGTCGAGTGTTGAACCATATGACCTCGGAATTTCCTGAATTGCGTTCGACGGCTGTACACACACCATCGACACACTGACCTCCTGATGATCGGCATTACCCTGTGACCCCTGCTGATCGGTACGCGCCGTAGGCTCGTTGGCATCTTTGGCATGGGAATCTGCATCGTCTTGCAGCAGCCTTTCAAAAGGGGATGGCGTTCCAGCCTTCGCGCGTACCTAATCAGCGCTTCAAAAAGCAAAAAGTGATGGGTAGCTTACTGGAATGCCTGCTGTGCGGATAGCACATATATCTCGCAGGAAGTTGAGCTCAATCTCTGCCGGATGCGATCTCGCCAGTGGGAAGTATGTGTTTAAAAAGGACCGAGGGAGTACTTGGCCTGCCTACGAAGTCGTCAAGAGGGCGTAGAGGATGACAGGATAACTGCAGAATACCTCAATCTCCTGCTGTAGGCATACTATAGCACTTCTGAGGGCAATGCGGTCTTGGACGATGAACCGCAACTGCTGAGTGATTTCGTCTATCTCTTTCTGGGCCTTGTCGATTTCGCACTGCGCCTGTGTTTCAGCGACCTACTAAAATTAGTGGCAATAAGGCAGTCAGAGGGCGCTGACAGACCGTCACTTCGCGAATACGGTTCTGAAGTACCAGTACTCTCATCCTTTGATTGACCGAGTTGCGCAAGTAGTTGTGAACATCAGCAAGATAACACGTTGATGCCGCGATTGTGCCCGATTGTTGGCACTTGTCCGATGGTCACCAACTGAACAACTCTAGCCCACTCCGCAATTCACAACAATCAGGCAACTGGCTCGAGGAGCGAACTCGCAGCTCCTTGCAAAAGTAACTCGGATTAAGAGAGAAATTCGTGCATATGGTGGTCGGAGTAGTGATTCACGTAGAACGTACGGAAGGCATCGAGAGAGTACGAAAAATGAAAGTCTTCGGGTAGCATGTCCGTTCCATATGTACCTACTAAATGAACTCCCCGCGCGACGGTCTCGAGATGTATGACCTCCAAGCTAGGGCTGCCGTCGTGTAGGTATTCGGGCTCTACTATCCACATGCCTGTCTCGTCGTCAACGGCGTCTGACGCAGGGACAAGCCACTGGATCAACGCGCATGGGTAGGTAATCCCGTCGTAATTGAATGCCATAAACAAGAAGACACGGCCGATATTCATACCTTTCATCACGGACGGGTCGCCTCCGATGTTGATGAGGACGGTGTCTCGGCGAGGACAGCCGTACCAGCTGGGGGTCGAGCGAATGCGCTCGCGGCGCATGCCTCCCGCTCCGCAAAGGTCGCTCGGTGCGTAGAAGCGTGCCACCGCGGAATGGAAAACATCAATCTTCGTTGTGATGTAGGGGAGATCGTGCATGGGGATGTTCGTGATGGATTCGCAGTCGGGGTGTAGCTGGGAGTAGAGGAATTGGCGCAAAAGGAGAGGGAGTTGTGGCTCTGAGATGTGTTGACTGAGTTCCTGCACGTAGCGAGGATAGTCGCGTTCTGCATTAATGTAAGCTTCTGTGCCAGATCAAAGAGCGAGTAGACACACGTCTTGTGGCCGCTAAATCCACCGACGACAGCGCGCGTGGGCCAAGCAGTGGTCCTTCGTCCTCCTCCTCCTCGATATCCTCTTCGTCCACAACGATCGGGTGCCCCGCTAGCATATCGGCCGTGAATGACGTAGCCGTGCCTCGTAGCATTCCGCGCTTCTCGAAGGATAGCCGCGCGGCCTGCATCTTGTCAAGACGGACGTTTGTTAGCAACATCTGGCGCAAGGCTGCCATGTTCCGGCTCGAGCGGCGCCACGGCTCCTTGATAGCCTTGATGTGCTTTGACTCCGTAATTGACGAGCAGAGTCCATTCGGCGAGCCGAAGAGGACTATCGAGTCGATGTAGTGCTTGAGAGCATGTTGACGAGGAAGGGAGATGCCGTCAGGACGTACACCGGTCTCAATGAAGACCTGGCGGTGATGGTGGAAACGCCGAAGAGCGTCGCGGAGGTCGTCAATCATGGGAGCGGTGATAGCGTTGCGTCTTGCGATATAGCAGAAGTCGAGGAAGGCAGCGAAGCACTTGACGATGTCCGATGGCACATGCCCCGCAATCGCAGCCAGGTATACCCGCATAAGCGCCTTTGAGTCGTCTCCGGTCCATTGTGCAAAGTCGCGTCCTTCAGGAAAGCGGCGAAGGCCGGGGAACGAGGGTACTGCTGAGAGTCTAGCAGGTTGTTAGAATAGATTGGCCTATAGAACAATCTACACACCGACGGTCAATGTCATCCAAGATCTCCTTGGCACGCGACGGCCCGTATGTTGCATTGAGGTACTCGCCAATCCACGTAACGAGATGGTCCTTGAACGTTCCCTTGATGACTTGATGCAGAAGGTCGGGGGAAAGGAGCTCGTGGATGTCAGCTCGGGGAAATTCGTGCGTGAAGGGCTGGCTCGGTATCAGCTCCCGTCGTGTGCAAGCAAAGGGCCCATACGCACCACAACATCCACTCGTACTCCAAAGTCGGACCAGAGGATGCCCGGGTCAAATATGCTGATCAAGAAGTCGGTCTTCTCGTGGGTGCGTCGTCGAGCATTCTCCGAGTCGAGGTCATCAGGCTGAGCATCACATCTGGAATTGGGTCAGAAGACAGCTATGTCACAGAGGCCGGGGACATACTTGGGACACCACCCCTGCACTATGCCCGACAACCATACTTGCTCGGGATAGTCAGCGATGTATGGACCGAGGCCGTAGATGACACGTCGGTAATACCCATCGGCGCACTGAATGACATCAGGCGTGGTCATGCCATCCTTCAGAGGGCGGAACGTGTAGGCGAGGCATGCGTGATAGAGTTGTCGTACAAAGGTTTGATATGCAGGTCGACGGCGATGTTTCTTGCTCGCTGTGAACACATTAGTTGAGCCTCAAAAGGCGAGATCAGAAGCGTACTTTTAGGGATAGGTAGCATGGCAACGGGAAGCACACCATCTCCGCGCGCGCGGCGCGCGTTGTTCGTTATACATCCAGGTGACTGGTACACCGGATGGTACTCCTGGTGGCCCGTCGCGACCGAGACGGTCGTCTTGTCGCTTCCGCCTATAACAGGCACAAACATGGCCCCATGCGTGTTCTCGTCCTGCGCGATGATGTCCTGAGGAGTAGATGAGCACTGATCGAAGCATCGAGAGGTGCGACGCACAGCCTGTTTGAACGCCCAATCCCCAGACATGAAGTTTGAAAAGACCCGCTTGCCATCGCGATTAAATTGCAGGTATGGCCGAGGCGTGAGTGCGTCGCGGAATTGTTCGCTGGCGAGCTGCTGATGAAGGAGAAGCCGGGAGTCTCGCACGAACATCTCGTACGTCTCCGACATCCACTTTGGTGGCGTTCCGGGAGGGAGAGGGCCGGTATAGCGCATCTTGACGGACCGGAAGGGGGTGGAGCTCGCTTGGATAGAGTCAATGGAGTCGTATACATCTTGAGCGTTCTTCCACGGGAATGTACGGCCATTAGTGGGTAAAAGCGTAGCGGTGAGGATATCGAGATTCTTGTTAATGCCTTCGGCAGAGCTTTGATTGGTGACGAAGTGCCAGTGAGCGAAGTCGAACTCAGCGCGCGAGTGGAAGGGATCCCATGCGTCGTCGTCTGTTACGTCGGCTGGAACGGTTGGCGGCGGTGGTGGCGGTCTCGGTGGTGTGTTCGGAGGCAGATAATGCCCATCAACATCACAAGGCAGAGCTGTTGCTGAATTTGAGTACACGAATGCCTGCGAAGGAGGATCTCGTACCAGTAAGGTGCCTGTGATAAAGGAAAGTCAACTTGGACGGATCCTCTGCCTCGTCGCTGACCGGGGTGATTTCCCGATGCTTTGAGTTGATATGTCGGGTGAGACCGCTCTGGTTGCGACACGCCTGCTGGCAATGCGGGAATGGGCAGGAGAAGCTGAATCGGGGCGAGGGCATGACGGGGGGAAGTAGGATTGATAACAGTCTAGACAGATACATGGACAAACAAAGCACGGCCAGGAACGGCATCGGACTTTGGCAACAAATCGCGCCAGCTCGTCCGAAAAATTCAAAGCTTCCTTTGACCGCCATTGCTGCGCGAAATCCTTCCGCTCCTTATCCTCCTTCAACAACCTATTCTCCCTCATTATTGAGCTTATTCTATGGCTAAACGTGAGTTGGGGAAGTCGAAGTCCGCAACGAAGCAACTTACTCTGTAGAAGAGAGCGCAAAGCAAGCTACAGCTGCTGCGAAGGCTGCTGCTGAGGCTGCATATCCTTCCCCTGGTGACTCGCTGAGCGCGGTGCACCCTCCTGCTCGTCGTCGTGGCCGCCCACCAAAGGACCAAGCCAAGTTCATCACGAGTACCACGGGCCCGGCGAAGATCAGCGTCAGCGAGACACTCGCAGAGAATCCGGCCGGCGCGGGTGCTGTCATCGCGAGCTCGACTAGACGGCGTACACGTTCGATGGCTGACAAAGCGTCAGTTGGTGCGACGGGCGAGGACGTACCTAAAGACCTTGGTGCCACCGACGATCCGGAACCCCCCGTCAAGAGGGCGCGTACGACAGAGGACTCCACTCCTAACACCTCAATTGCCGGTCGTAAGCCCGGAGGACGACCGAAGCCTGCCATTCCCCCTCGTGAGCCACAGCCGGCGCGGGCAGCGCGTCAACACGTTTCCCCTACGACGGTCACGACACGAAAGCGGCGGCCGGCAGGAGAGCTAGCAGAGGAAAAGAGGAGGTTGGTAGAGGCACAGCGGGAGGAGGCGGAGATCGTGAAGACCAAGAAGCAAGTCCTCGCGCGCATGGAAGCGCAGGCAATCGTCGCAGATGCCGAAGCTCGTGGCGGCGCGGTCATGTCCCTTGACGATGTGGTGTCCGAGGATGGCTTGCCTGTCGGGTATCAGGAGGAGGACGAGGTCGCGGAGCCCATGGACATCGATTATGCGGAGGACGAGTGGGATCCCGAGTTCGAGGGTGATGGGAAAGACGCTGATGAGAAGCCGAACAAGGTTTGAATGTTTATCTCTGTTGATGACCTGTCGCTTACTTCCTCCCTCCACGTTCAGAACAAGAAAGCTGTCCCCGGCCTCGCACGCGCGCACCTCGACAACAACATCCTCAGGGAGCTTCTGCTCGCTCAAGGCTTCGACCCCGACTCCCTCAAGCCTAAGCGCGTCCCGGTTCAGGAAGGGAATGCTGGGTGGGTCATTCCCGCTGTGTGCAGACTCGCATAGACCTTGCGTGCTGACGCGGTATCTAGGTCTTCCTCGCTGTCCAACAAGCGGAGCCATCCTGTCACCGAAACAGGTCTCAAGCGTGATTGGGCAGCCCATGTCTCGAAGTCGACGCCTGTCCGACAGCCACCACCACCGTCCCGAGATACCCTGCAACGTGGCCTCACCGACGAGGATATCGCGCTCGGCTCTCCCCTGGCATCTGGCCGTACGCATCATCTGGATCATCACGAGAGAGCGGACGCGCTGAAGCGCGCAGTCGAGGGGAAGCGGGATGCGGCGCGACACAATGATCAGGTGCGTTATATACTTACATCGATTTATTCTATGACTGACAATACTCGAGGTCATCGTCATCGATAGTGATGACGAGAAGCCTGTCGTCCCAGCGAAGCGGCAAGGTGCACGCAAACCCACGCGCATGGCGCAGGCCCCACGTATGCCGTCCTCGTTGCGACCGACCGTCAAGGTGGAACACCACAGCCCATCTCCCCTCTCCGCCGACCCTCCTTCCATGTCGAGCAGCTCCGCCACGGTCCTCAATGACGGTGAGGTGCTCAAACCCGTGCCGTCCTACGTTAAGTACACCACAATCTGGCTGCGCTGCGCCTACGCCAGGCTATTCATGTCAAGATACCCCTTCACCTTCGTCAAGTCCGTTGTATACCTCAACCGGCTACAGGAGTTGCTTGACGAGCTCCATCCGGACAACACGTATATGCTGTCTTCGAACGATGAGTTGTACGTGAAGGTACGTGTCCGTAAGTTCATGGACTCTTCCGTGCGACTGACCTTCATTGTAGACGATCAAGCGCGTCAACGAGAAGCGCTCAGCCATCGCATCCCAGGCCGTCGCGGCCGTCGATACCTTCTTCCGCAAAGCCGAGTACAGAGGTCAGCCAGACAAGGTCAAGGAGTACGTCGGGTGGGCTTTGAGGGACGACGGGGCCCTCATCTACAAAAGCCCGACACCCATGAATTGCAGCGTGGGTGAAGATGACCCGTCATACATCGTGCGTAACACTCCGCTGTTCTTTTTTGCGATTCTCATATGTTCTTCAGAAGGCGTACGGCATCTTCGAGTCCGACATCATCATTGATGTGCTCTCGCCGCACCTCAAGCACTTTACCTCCACACCCATCATCAAGCTTACTCGACCCGTCGGCCTCCTAGCGCTTGTTGTCGCAGCGGTGAGTGGTACTATCACATTGATCTTTTGTAAGCTGATTTCGTCACTCCAGCTCGAGCGCGCGTTTGATGCATATGGCGAGACGGGCACGAAACCCACGGAATACGACGACTTCACCAAAGACTACGCCAGCACTGCTGTCGAGCAATACGGCCGAATGATTGCCAGCCTTCGGGACAGCCACTGGGCCAGTATCTATGCAGCTTGCGGTGTCAAGCAAGAGCAGAAGAAGCCCGTCACGATGGGCCACAAGACACCCCTCGCGAGTCGCCGGGACCGTCTTCGTATACCCAGCTCACCGTAATCTGTATTATTTGCCCTCGTATGGTACCCTTTCTATACTTTACAATTTGTGCTGTATTTACTGCATGTCCGCTCCTTCGTACGTCGTATTACTGTAGAGAACCCGGCTTTTTAATGAATTCTAATTTCCGGAATCTCAATGGCTGAATGGCCAGTGGCGTGATGGTGCGACCCGAGACTCAGTTGGCGAATTGTGGTCGCTTTTATGCGATGATTTCGCCTCGGATTGTCCCTTCCAGAACATGGAGTTGCTGGATTGCCGATGGTGTGATGGTCGGGGATGGTCCATCGCAAACAATTCGAATCAATTCAAAACAATCCATTTGTGATCTTACTGATGAAGAGCGAGTTGCTCTCGATTATTATCCATCGCCTCCGGAAATGGCTTCCAAGACGTATTAGATGGTCGGCTCAAAGATTGTACAGCTCAGTTGAGTCAGGCTAGAAAAATGAACTGGCGGGAACAGGATAAGGGGAAGTTGTAACACTGGACAAAGGGAACTGGCAGTGATGCCATCTTCGGCATTCGCCGGGAAAGCGGCACCAAATTTAAGCTGGTCTCAATTCTCCCAAATGTCCGATTGGAGATTGCCTTGAAAGCTGCAGCAATGATACCATGTCATTCCGTCAGATGCGTGAGGGATGCCAAATTGACGAGGGGAGGGTATGCCGTTGATTCCATCTATTGATCTGCGTGTTGCAAGTCAGGATATTGTCGATTACTACTATTCTCAGCATCCCCGCAAAGAAGACAAACACCCGCGCAGACTCCGCATGACCAAAACGTGACGCTGTCCAAGTAAGAGACAGCTCCGCGCGACCAAGAGCAAGTCCCGCGCGAGCAAGAGGGAGCGCCACACAAGCAAGTGAGCGTTCCGCGCGAGCAACTCAAGAGATCTTGGCCCATGTGGCGACTTGCCATGCACGTACTTTGCATTCATCTTCGATATGGACAGGCGCCCTGCGTCGAGATACAAAACGACGTTAAGCTCGAGATGCAACATCGACGCAGCGTTATCGTGACCTTGACACGGTCATGCCAATCACGTGATAGATCCCGGAAATCGCCGGCTCACGCTCATATCTGGGTCTGGGCAGTCGAATTTCAGCTCAGCGGTCGCGCAGGCCATACTATACGACGAGGTATGTACATTCTACAGGACGTTTGATGAGAATCTCGAACCGAGACTCAGAGCATCTATGCGAGAGCGCCACGTGGATCAAACAATGCCCCTATGTCTCAATCGGGAAAGCATACATTGTCCCCAAGTGCCATCTCAAGGCTCGACGATGTTCCACTCCTGGCGCCTCAAAGGACACTTGAACTATGCGACAGAGTCGATGAAAACACCAAAACTATCCCAGCACTTTGAATATTGAGTAGGTCTTCCTCGCGCGGAGGCTTGACTGGCTCGCGCGGCGTCCTCACTTGCTCGCGTGGCTGTCCTCTTGGTACCACATCAACCACTTGACTCACAGATATTTGAGTACAAACACGCAAATTAATAAATTCACGGAATCAACGGCATAGGAGGGCCTGTTCCCTTGCCAAGCCTATCACTCTACAAAGTGGATATGTCGACGTCCTACGGGCAAAGAAGCAAAAATTGAAATGGAGGAGCTGGCTTGGAGCAACGGATATCAGCGATGAGAGTGTTATTGCGGCCTGTCGGTGTGTCCGGAGAGTGCCCGGAGAGCGAGCAGTGCGGTCACATGTAGATTGCCTAGGGAGCCCCGGTCTGTCGGCCGACGCGCGTCTGAGTTGCGCCATCGGCATGAGAATGCATACGCTCATGTTAAGTCGCCTCTACTCACGCGTGCTGCTGCTTCGAAGACTGGCGATACGCGATTGGACGAAGTGGGAGACCGGGTTGGACCTGTGACGGCCTTAGTGACTAAGGTCACGTGTGGATTACCCGAACAAGAAGTGCCGCTCCTCTGTGCCGGTGAGTTGCTGCTGAGTTTGTGAGACCGTCTCCTTCATACTTGCCTCCATCCCGCTTGGTGTCTTCCGCAGCCGCTCACCAGCGCCCGCCGCTCGTACCCTCCCCCACTTAAATTCACCTCTCTCTCCTCTCCAAATCGTGCGTAAGCTGCGCAGCAGTGCGTCAGCGACAGGTTACGACCACCGCGGAGTCCAGTGGTGGGTGATAGTGATTATCCTCGCTATTCGTTCCCCTGCTCAAGCGCTCGGTACATCCCTTCCTGGAATTTCCACCCAAAAGAACCTTGCCATGCTGGCTACACGGCTCCTTGCGACATGTGCACTGTCATCTGAATCGCCTACCTTTCGCCAAACCGCCAAACCGCGCTCTGCCTGACAATGTTATGGTCCTGATGCCCGGCGGGGCTTTTCCTCAGGCTTCGCATGTTGTAATCCGCATCTGCACTGTTGCATTTGCTCTGGCTTCTGCGCTCTCTCACCAACGCGGTCAGAACACTACCGCGAGACGCCATTCCCCCACGCTCTCTTTGCTCTACGCCCATCCCGCACCACCTCATTGTCACTTGCCGCTCTCGCCTCCGGCCTTCGGTCGCGTCTTGGCCCGTTCTCATTCTACTTCTCGAGTTTGTCTCAGGCGCGCCTTCCATCCAGCGCCTGTTTGAAGTGGTGGTGAATGTACGGCTGTCGTCCGTTCAGCAAGCGCGTCCCACGATTTTCGGTACTATATTGACAGATTTTGGGCCTGAAAACAGAATTCCGGATTCGTTGTGCTCGTCTCTGATGCCTCGTCTACTGCTTAGTCGTCTCTGTCTGCCCTTCTATACAGATGATCTGTTGCTGTCCTGACTTCTATAATACGTCAGTCCTCTGAATTCTATGCTGTTTGTAAACTCCGAAAACGGAGGTATCCCATGGTAAACCAACATCGAGGGGTGCGGGTGGCTCTGTAAGGAAAGATATGAGCACGAGGATGCCTACCAGGGTGGAAACTCGTAAGCGAGCGACTTGACCTATGAGGATGCCATCCATGAGTCAATGACCCCTGTTGATGGCATTTTAGCAACATGACACGAGGTGTGCTTCACGTTCCTCGAAGTTTGCCGAGCACCTCTGATGCGCCCTCCGTCTAGCTTGGACGTCAACGACGAGCACTTCCACAGCCCCGACGGCGCCTGTAGCATAGCTTACTTGGTTGAAAAGGTTATCACGTCGCTCGAGGTGGTGGCCTGGAGAAGCCGAGGACGCGGCGGGACAATCTGTGACGACGCTGTGACGACGAGAGGCGGGCAGCGGCGGTCGTAGTCGGGCAACACGTGTCATGACGAGATGGCAAGCTCGCGGATGTCATTGTCCAAGTCCCTCATCAACAGTGCAGGCCTGAGCTTAGAGCAGTCATTCCTTGGCCCGCTCGTGGTCTCAAGGCACTGCCACCCGCTACCACCGAATTTCGAGGTCACTATTTCTGTACAGACGTTTTTTGCGGAAGCCAATCTCCAAAATATTCAAGCACTGTACAGGAATCTAGATATACAGAGAGGACTTCTCAGGTCAGCGAGGTGCGGACAGAAGCAAGTGGGCAGGGTTGGGCAGCGCCATCTTGTCGTCCGACCCGTTGAGCAGAAGCAGCGCGATATAGACTACGAAAAAGCTTATCACAACGAACACGAAGGCAGCGTGCGGAAGATCAAATCCACAAATCTGATTGTTGAATGTCATTCGAAGACCCATGTACGAGAGGAAGCGCAAAATCACGTACAGAAGGAGACCGACGTTGGATGCTTAGAACTTCTTCCAATTTCTCCACCGAATGGATATTGCCCACCCTTCTTACAATCAGTATTCCGTCCGTGCGTAGGTTTCAGGAACTCACGATAGGGGATATTCTCGTGCATCGCGGTCGCCCGGTTGAACGGTGATTTGGACATTAGTGAACAGTTTCTATGATACACACAGCGTCAGCATGCACGGAGACCTCTCTAGGGATGAACATACACCAGCTCTCGCCAGCCTGAGGAGTTCAGCCTGAGACACGACGAGTGTGCCAGCGCCGGAGGCGTCTGAGCGGCGGGAGCTCAGCATCATTGTGGTCGATTTCTTGGCTTCCTGGGAGTGGGAATGTAAGGCAACGGACCCAGCGGCAGGACTTTAATAGGGTGGTGAAAGAACAAAGGCGGCACGGTCACGTGAACATTGAATACTTCGGGAGTCTTCTCTGTATTATCTGCGGTCAAACTCTAATTTGCTCCTCTTTCCCGCTTTCCCATGCAGAACCCGAGAATCCGTCAATCGATCACGGAGAAGTACAAAAACATCCTGATAGCTGAAGGTTGGCTCAAGCGGCAAGCACAGTACAAGAAACGCGTCACGAGAGTTGGGCGGGGACCTTCCTGTGGTAGGCCACTGGTGCGCTGGCTAAAGGCGCATCAATGAAGGCAGTCGATTTTTGGACGACGGAAACGGGGTTACGGTGTCTTTTCATACCCCTTTCACGGCTACAGTCACGTCGTGATTATACGATCGATGAGGTGTACCACGCACCTTGAGCCGGACGCTAGCGAGCCAACGACCAAGGGTGATGAGGGGGCCGATAGAGCTTATAATCACTTGGTGAACATAGGGAATGAAAAACAACCGGTTTACGGATCCGCGACGCTCAAACTCAGCGCGAGTGGTGTTTATGACGGGGGCCGCCGCTCAAGCGCTCAATGACCGGCATGGCACGACGGCTAACTTCCGGGCCTACTTTCCCGAGACTTGATTCACCGGTCCCCGTCTACAATCGCGCAAATAGAGTGCCATGAGATTCGGGCTGAACTAGGACCCGGTACCGCGTGAGTTGTTCTCGTCAACCAGGTCCAAGTTGGAGTGAGCGGGGTTTCATTAATTTCATTTCCGAGGGCTGCCTGGCGCGCCCGCTCCGGGCTCTCCGGAAGAGAACGCCACAAAACATGCCCCGCCAAGAATTCGAAATGCCGGTTGGCCGAGAGTCAGAGTTCCACGACATGCGTGTGTACTTATCCGCATCGCCAACGCTGAGACACGAACTCAACGCCAAGGTGTGATAGCGCTCGTCTGCTCGCCATAACTTACTTTCCTTTGCCTTCAAAGGCTCTGATGCTACTGTAACTCCTCACAGAAATCACATCAAAGGGCACGCTCTTGCAGAGAGAATGGAAGTATATCTTTTGTCCCGGCCTTTATGCTTGAGCGTACAAAATGCAGGCCCCGCGCTGGAGCACAGGCAGCTTGCAAGGAGCATCTCCGTCTTCAACATCTTGAGGAGTACAGTACTTGCGCTGGCCATGACCGGAATCACTACCCGCGCACGCGCCAGGGAGGTGAGTGCTCGACATGAGCAACTAGACTCAACTAATTTTCTATAGGCCGCCGCGTTCTTGGACCTGAGACTGGTGCGTTATTGTTTGTCTGCGACTCTTGTTGCCTGACAATTTCATAGGGACAGTTGAACGTTTCATCTCCGGATGAAGTGCGCAGAGCGGCGTACCTGTGCACCTGTTGTCCGCGTTACGCTCTCGACATCGACTCTCTTGAAGTGAACCTCGCGCCGAAGGAGCTCAACAGCATCATCGGGCATCTGCGTCACATTGTTCGGCGCGCCGTCAACCTCTCCAATCTAACCTTCGCTGTGGAGTGCCTTACCGCGACTGCTGAGGCTCGTATCTTCCGCGGTCTACAAATCCAGAGGCTCTACACGATGTCGATCCCTCCATCTTCGTATGCCACAATGAGTGAGCTAATCTCCCGACATGTTGACTCCCTTCGCCATCTGCGTCTTGAAGGGCAACATGGCCGGGAGCTACCGGACGGTCCCCACCTACCTCCCATCCATCTTGATTCCATTGCCGGGCCCGTTTCCTACGTTGCGGATGCACTATCTCGCTGTAATAACCCCTTTCCGGAGATCGGGCTCACGGACGATATCCACTCTACGGCATTGACGAGGCTCCGAGGATATTCGGTCAACTTCGATATCAGAAAGCTCACGATCGACCTCTCGCCATATGAGTGCTCTGCTGCGCGAGACCTGCCTGAGTGCTTTCCACAACTTCAATGCTTCAATATCACGGAAAAGGTATGCGTTGCGTTTATGAAGGAGGCTTTTGTGATACTCACTGCCCATGTAGTCCACCTGCGTCTTCAATTGGATGGATGACGTAACGTGGCGAGTTATATTGTATTCGTGGAACAGATTGAGGCGGGTCAAGATCACCGTCTCCTCGCGTCCGTCTATCATTGTCGCAAGGCATTGGTTTCAAGGAACAGCACACGATCACCCGACCTTGATAGACGTAGAGGTGGCGACGTCGAACGGATTGATGGTGACGTGGTGTAGGTCATTTGGCGCTTCACGGTGGAAGGAAACTGTTTACTAGTACACGTAACGACCCATTTTTCGAATAGTCTGCCCTTGGCTCCATTGATTGTCTCGTATGTCACCTACTTCGCTCGCTGTGCACAACACTACACTCTGTAGAGTGCTCAACCTCACTTCATACCTTTAGTTCATGTAGCCTTACTCAAGTATGTACTCTCCGATTTCCTTATATCCTGCGTCTCAATCTCATGCATTTACGCATGGAATGCCTGCCCTGAAGCTATGACTCAAGGGTAGATTGGTAGGTGGCTAAGCTCTCTGGCGGGGGCCCTGAACAAAACCAGCCCTATCTGCCCAGTACATTGCGAGTATGGGCATTCTAGTGTTCGGAAAATGTCCAATGATAAAAACCATAGGTACTGAAGTGGCAACCTAAAGATCCATGGTAGCGGGCGGCAGCGCTTCGAGGAAAAAGGGTGAGCCAAGGACTGCCGGGTCGCGGCTCAGGACTGCTGATGAGGCACCCTAGAGCATGGGGTTCGCGAGCCATGTCTGCCACACTACCGTCGTCGTGGCACGTGTGCGGCCCGACCCCGACTGCGGCTACCCACCTTCCACCTTCGCGTGTCGCCGTGCCGTCCCCTCTCACGATGCGACGTTACCCACCATGACAGGCAGGCAGGTCGCCGGGGCCTGTGGGCCAGCCTCTACAACGACGACGGTGGTTGAACAGTCCTTGCTGCGGCAAAAAGCGAATCCCGCGCTGGATGTTGGGCGGCCTTCCTGGATTATGACAGTCCGTATCAGACAAAATTGTGAGCTTTGGAACTTTGTTCAAAAGCGTAAGTTGGACCTTGCGCTTCTGTAGGTCGACGCTTCTGCTTTGGTTTTCTGAACTTCAACATTCGAATCCGACCTCGTGATATCGTGCGCCGCTAATAATTCCTCTCAAGCCACTCACCGTTTGCGGATTTCGGTCCGTCCTCTCAGGGTACAAGCTATCATATAGCTGAGGATTGGTGCAGCTCGGCCATGGCAAGCTCCCAACACATGCCGTACATCTGCGAAGGACGACGCAGACGCAAGGAAGCCGCTACCGGCGCGAGCTGCTTTGAATCACGATCAGTCCTGATACATATTGCTCTCATGATCTGCAATCACCTGGGCCAGTTGGAGTTCCTCTGTTGACCCTCTATTTTAGAGTGCGTTGAAGGCCACGCACGCGGCTTTCTGCCCAACGACACCTCGGACACGTACCCGCCGATGACTCATCGAGCCAATGCTCGGTCTCCGTCCTCGTCGAGACGCGTATCGTCAGTCTTCCAAGCATAAAATTGAGTGAGTGGTACGTCGCCTTGGAAGCGACGTACCGTGCGCGTTTGTATGTTCCCGCTACCATTTATGGTAGTGGGTTTTGGGGACGGAACGCAAAACCGCTCTTGGCGGAGACTGACGGATTCTGAGGGCTGTCACGTGAGCAGCACATGTTAGATCTTCGACATTCTCGACCGCTCGGCATTCGCCGTAGGCGGCTTCTCTCCTCCACTCACCTCAATCCTCGACGACGCTCTGCTGGCTTTTGGCGCTGTACCACATCGTTAGCGCCGCGCGAGTAATTTTCACTGACACCTGCTGGAACTCCTCCAGGGACCGAGCAGTGGACGCGTCCTGTCAAGGAAATCTACCGTCACAGACTTCTGGCAACGACTTCTGCCTTCTGCCTCCTATGCACCGCTAGCTCACAGTGCTCAAGGGTCGAAGATCTGCACTGAAAAGTGCATGCCGGATATTTCAGCAATGCGCCTCGATATCGCGTCGGCACGCGAGCTCACTAGAGGCCGTGCCTTTGCTGTGCTGCTGACCGACGTCGAGATATGGTGAAGAAAACTAGCCGGTTCGCGAGAACGGCCGTGAAAGACTTATCTGCTGGCGCAAAAACGTCCCGCGATGCCATGCAGTGTGGGATCAGGGGAAGGAAGGCTCGCCGCAGTCTCACTGCTTTGGAATGGTTCTAAATCTTTCCTCTGCTGACCGGCTCGCAACTCCGTGCGCAGGACGCTTTCTTGAAGAGGGAGTACCTTGACATGGCGATGAAACTGTGCTAGAATTCGTCGTGCGTCTCATGAGGAAGACTTGCAAATCACTGCTCGCTCGCTACGGCTTGTGCAAGTGAGGATTGTCAAACCCAAAAGAGGGTCGATCCACTGTAGCCCTTCGTTGTACTCTGAATGGTAGCGGGCCCTGCCGTGCAACGGCCCTTTGAGCTATTCAGGCCAATGGTGCGTCTCAGACGCGCGCCGACCACCGGTCCGTCTGTTGGACTCTGAGTCTGAGCGCCGAGCCAGGGGCTTATCAGGTAATCTACACGTGACCACACTGCTCACTGACTCACTCTCCGGAGTTCGGACACCACCCACACTCATCGTCAGGCGTGACGAGCACCGCCGCTCTTATCGCTGTGGAATAAAGGTGTCTATGTCGATAATGCCTGCACCCATCACCTCAGGAGCTCGAACATTGGCACGAGGCTGCTGAAAAACAGTCCCAGGATATAGAATTATCTCTATTCTACGTGACGACTCTCTTCCTATAGCGTGGAACAATGAACATCGGCACGGTATCAGACACTGCGACAACGCGGTACACGAAGTGCGCTCATAAATCCCTCACCTCGTGCCGCTTGTGTCCCGCCAGCCACCAAATGAGGCGCAGTTCCCAACGGTCGTCCGGAGTGCCTACGGAGCTATATTTGACGACAAGGCGGTAAGGCGACCCTTGCAGTCCCCGCTTCCTAAGGCTCCCTCTCTGAGGAGGCTTTCGAGATGCAGACGGTGGTAAGAGCAGAGATGATAATATTCCTGATGCGGCATGCCGCCTTGCGGGCCCGCGACATATCTAATCTCATCATGTAGCAGGTAGGTACTGGCGAAAGAAAACGCCGTATGTACGAGCGTGGCTCAAGAGTACCGGTGAGGGGTCCCCGAGCAGGATCCCCACAAAGCCCCCCACTCTCGAGGTGCATGAGTACACGTCAAAAGTCGTTAAGCCGTAACCAGCGTCAGGAATCCGTTGGAAAAGACTCGGAGTTGAAAGTGAAAAGTGAACAAATTCCCCCTTCTCGCAGTCTCTGCCGCGTCTCCGTGAATGGTACGCGAGTTAGCGATTATGCGTACTTCTCCGTCTGGTTGCCTCCATACAGGTAGGTACAGTAAGCATGCCCGAGTACTCAGATGGACTTGACCGAGGGTGATGCGTTATCTGCTGGTCGGGTACCGTTGCGCGCTTGGGGGCAGGAAACCGAAGGCTTGATTCGCTATTCGCTCTGGTATCTGCAACATCAAGTCTATAAAGCCCTGTTCTGTTCCGCGTGCCGCACGAACTGATGCCTTTAGCCCTCCTCATTTCGGCGTTCTGACCGCTGAACGAGTTCTGAATGCCCGAAATAGAACGCGAACATGCGGCCACGTCGAAATCCATCAAGGGTTTGCTAGGACTTGGCAAGGCGCGGTGCCTCGGTCAAGGCCTCAGTCCTTTGGTGGTGTGGCTTGTCGTTGTGGCCAACGTCGCGGACGCCGTTGGGAAGTTCAGCGCATGCAATCTCTGGCTTTTATTGTGACCAAAATCGACGGTAATCATCTCAGTCTTTACTGTGCAGCAAGTACGCCTCCGAGCGGGTTACCATTCGCCCGTTTTTGCGCGAATAATGTGGAGAGCGCGCCTCGTGTTGCGGCGAGGCCATTCTAACGCGTCGCCCCGCGATGCCCACTCCCAGGACCGGCCTTGGCGCTTGTGCAAAAGGGCGACAGACGTCAAATGGGAGCACACGGCCGTGCTTCTTCTCGCATTTCAGAGCCGTTCTGAATGGCATTCAGAACTCGTTCAGAACAGCGTTCAGAACGCCGAATTGAGGAGGACTTTTGCCAGAGGAAACCGCGACTTGGTGAACCGGATCTAGAGAGCAGGCTTCGCGCAGCGACAAGCCTATCGGTTGCCCCCGAGCGCGCCAATTTGCGCTAGCGGAACCGCACGAGTTCTTTGGCTTGCAGGACGACCAATGGAGAGGGCCGAACAACGGGGTGCTCATAAGTCGTCTTTGTTGGTTGGACCGGTGATCGTCCTGGCTGGAGGAATATGAAGTCACGTCGGGTCCGCAGCCACGTTGGACGGCGACCATTGCGGGACCGACTAACTGTGCGTTGATGTCCTATGACAGCCACGGGGCAGCATGAGCAGCAAGAATATGAATGAGAGTAGAGGCGGTCTCGGGCATGACAGTAGGCCAAGGTGATGACGAGCGAGCGACTAAGGTCGGTTGCTCAGTCGGTCGATCACCAATTGTTGACCGATGGGGAGTTAGCAGCTAGGTCGGCTGCGGATAGGAAGAGGACTGCTGGGGCGGGATGGAGGCGGGGCGGGTACGGCCGAAGGAATGGAAGGGATGTAAACAGAGGCGGGTGCGGGAGGGATCGAGGGGGAAGGCAAAGTCGGTCCACGTGATGGATGTGGAGGTGAGGACAGGGGGAGATGCGGGCGCGGAGACCGAGATAGACGACAAGCTTACCTGAACGATGCGCGCGATAGACATCCGTCGCGTTCGCCCAGGATGCTTGCGCCGACGTGAATGGCGAGCTAAAATTGTAGAGAAGGGCCGAGCGTTCTACGTACGAGATGAATAGGGGCCGAAGGGGACAGGGCGCGTCGAAGACGGACCTCTGAGCAGAGAAGAGCGCCTGCGCGCCGCAGGACTTCAAGGGCATCTCGATCTCCAGCCTGCCACATGCGTACGGCATCGGTGGACGCACAGAGTGAACCGCGGACGTCTGAGCGCGCGAGGACACGCAGCCGGTGTCTACAGAGAGGTGAGCTTGAGACAGGGGACGCAGGACTGGATACGTACAAGCCGACGCCGGGCGCGAGCCACACCGCCGTTGCACGCTTCCGGTGAGGGAGGAGGAGGCACATCAATTTATCCTATCCGCTCCATTTCGCGGTGAGATGAGAAGAGATGCTTTGATTGGATAAGCAGGTGATGGGAAGAGGAGAGAGCGAGATGCGAAGTTTCCCCCTCGCGTCGCGCGGTCGCTGTACTTTTCCCCATTTGGATCAATCGATTATTTTGATTGATGTCCGCACGATGCACGAGCACGTCCAACTTGTCTGCATACCCCATCGGCGCTGAGGCATCCTCTCCCCTCTCCATCACTGCTGTAGCACTCTCTCAAGCTACCCAGCAGGGACGTACCGGGGATGGGCTGACGGACGACGCTCGCGACGATGAGAAGGCGGAGGTGCGTCGCCGTCTCCCGCGCCTCGCGTTCTCCTTCGGCTGACAGCTTGCAGAACAGTCTGCGTACGCATACCGGCGCAGCACACAAGTGGAGACGTAGGCAAGCGGGCGGACGGGCGGGCGGACGGACGGACGGTGCTCGCCGTGTGGATGGACGCAGGTACGAGCGCGCGAAAACAGCAGGTCCGTAATCTTTCCCGGCGACGTACAAGGTATGCTACCTTCGCCCCCGCAGCTCCCTTGGCGCCTGTGGCTCCATCTTAGGAGGCAGGAGCGAGCCCATTCGCCTCGGGGTCATCCGGTGTCCATGACGTTGCGTGGCCTCCCGTCTCACCAAGGTCTTCCAGCGCCAGTCCAGCGCGGCAGACGCTGCTGGACCTCGTATCACTTCACGAGCAATTTGGAATCTGCATGCTCTTACGCCCCGCGCCGTGAAGGGCAATCGACGGTTAGAGAGCGCTTGATTGGTTCCTCCGCACTGGGCATTGCTCAAACACGCGGTCCTGTGTGACCTCCATGGCGATCATTGTTGCATCCCGCTGTGTAATCCGTAGACCCAGATCTGCTATGCTGTCTTGCCATGATGTTCACTGCGAACGACTGGCGCGTGTTCCTCTGCAGACCTTGGATTGTCTCTCCATCTATCAACAGATCTGACTCGCGGGAAGGCTGGCCTAGCGGTCGGCTGCGAAGATGAGCGGATGATCAATTCCCCGTATTCCTTTGTTGGCCAAAACAGTGTGTACGCCTAGGTGTTTCATCAGCACCTGCATGTGCTAACGTGATCTTAAGGTCTCGCTTCATCCCGCCCGGCGTGAAAGAGCCTCAAAGAGCTCGCGCCTCGCAGACTCCGTCAAAGGGCGGTAGCACAACATCTCACAACATTTCCCTCCCCTTATAATCAGAGGCGTCCACACCATCCCCAAGTTCACCCCCGCCTGTCATGTCTACCTTCGAAGGAAGTGCGTTGATGTCTCTGATCATGCGTCAACTCTCACTGATTTCTTGTGTAGGTTTATCTCAGGCTCACCTTGATCGTATCACGGCTGGCCTTGTGTGCGAAGTCAAAACCATTCTCGACGAGGACATCATGGCGCATCAGGCCAGTGTTAATCGGAGGTTCCGTGAACTGCTCGAGGTGAGCAGCGTGTTCATACGACTTTGCTCCGCTCATACTGCCTCTCCAGGAAATACAGCGAATGAGAAACAGTGTTGAGACCGTGAAGCAGCGTCTTTCTGAATTTGAGGTATGTGCTCAGTTCTCACTGTCTCAGTGCTAATTCCCTGATCCCTCGGAAAAGCGCGAGGCAGCGAACACATCCGCTGCCGATGACCCGACGGTGTGCCATGGTTGCCAGGGCCAGCAACATCGCTCTGTAAACCGCGACTTCGTCCATCGTAGCACAGACCATCACGAATACGGAGGTGCCGTCGATGGGCTGGATCGCTCGGTCGATGGGTTGGATCGCTCGGTCGAAGGCCCCATCCCTCCTGCTCATGAGGTACGACGCTCTGCCTTGCCTATGTGCCATCATGCTCACTTTTGTCCCTCAATCAGAAGAATAACACCGTTCAGGTTAGTGGAGAGAACGAGATTGAACCGCAGCGTCTCGCAGTGAGTGTCAGGCATCTGGATGGAACGGTCATGGAGGGGCGTGGATCCCGCGTAGAGACTAGCGTCAACCTTAATGTCTTCTTCTCTTGCCTTGGTGCCTTCTTTTTCTCCCTCCTCTTCTCTTACCTCGGCGCCATTCTCTCTGGATAGTTTATCACTTGCTTTGCAGTAGTCATACTGTACGTGATATGACTCATTATAATGGAATAGCTACCTATTCCCCGGACTATGTATTGTATGGTCAACGTTGTCAGGAACACCGTGAGCTGCATCGACGCGAGCCTACTTCTGCGCGCGGCTGACCGCAGGATAAGCACGAACTGAATCGTCCGGGACGATCGCGATGGTATCTGATTCAGCACCCTATGAAAAGCACTTCCCCGCGCCAGCTTCCGGGTTTGCCGTCTCGGTGCACGTGAGACGAGGCTGACGCTTGCCCCCCAGCGCACATGCGCAAATAGCCTTCTGTCGGAGCTTGACTCGACGCCTCCAAGCGTGAGCGATGAGGGTCTCCGACTTTTGTAATCGATTTGGCGCGCAGGAGTCGGCTTTTCTCGTCGCTGCGTGCCTTGGGAGATTCAATATCCTTGGAAAATGAGATCGTGATCTACCCCCCAATGTCCATGCAATTGAAGTCGCTGATACCGTCCGCTAGTAGGTTGAAGACCTCCAAGGCTTGTTCGTGCTCGCCGAGGCTCGGCTCGCGAGAGGGAGGAGGCAAACAGTCACAGCGACGGCTGTCCGACTGGAATCGACTTGCGCTCTCTCCTGTAGCGTGAGCATCGTCAAGTCGAGGTGAGTGGTCTTGTCTCTTCGGCGCGCCACGCGAGTTAACGCCTTCACAAGAGGAAATTGCAGTTCGTTGTCCGGAATCTGTGGTATCTCCCTGGCGCGGCGACGAGGCCCCCAAACTCCCCTGTGCTCGACAATTTGCGCTATCAGGATCGCTCCCGGACGTTAACCGGTGAGACGACAGAAGGGCAGGAGCGGCGGGTAGGACAGTAGCAGAGTGCGAATGTAAATTGGGCGGAAAGCTGTGTGGACCCAAGCCGCTCGAGGTCCTTTTGAGTGGTGGCTCGCAAACTGCACGGCTGCGAGGCGCGGAGGAGGGCGACGGTGAGAGTCCTTCGGTACATGGTCGGGGACCGTGCCGCTGACCATTCGAGTCCAAAATCTGCGCGAGGTGCTCGTCACAGCTGTTTTCGGCGCTTGGAGACGAGTGTTCGAGTGTATCACGGGAGCCACGCCAGCTAATCTCTCTATGCGGCTCGATCCTACATAGTGTGATCGCTACTTGAAGCACCTGAGCTTGCCTGCCTCTTGCTGATTCGGGCGAGCGGTGAGACGCTCTGCTCGCGCGCAGTTGCCGAAGATCTGCAGGTAGCGCCATTGCACTTTCCCTCAACAGTCGTGCTAACGCTTTTAGATATCTGGAGGCCTCAGCTTCGCAGTCGCACACAGTCCTCGACGGTTCGCATATGAGCACAGTTTCCGGAGTGAGCCGTCAACGAAGGCACAGAGGTAGCTGACCTCGCGTCATGACTGCTTGGAGAGAGGGCACGTCCTCGGGAGGAGCCGCTTGCTTAACACCGTGACCGGATTCAGACCCCCCGGTCAGCCAAGACGTCACCCTTATGCCGACGCGCAAACCTTCGCCTCGTGGCTGAAGGCGCGAGACAAGTTAGGTGAGACGTGCGCTGGAAAGGGGTGGAGCGGCTGGGTTTGAGTCTGAGGAGGATGAGGAGGCGCTCGTCTTCGCGGCGGCGTCACGAGCGAAAGGTTGAGGTGCGTGCTCCTCAGCGCTGCGCGCGTGGCAGAGTCGAACGTCGTTATCAGACAAGATTTTGGTCTGCCCTCTAGCTTACGTGCGCACGCAGACAATCTGTATCAAAGCTTGACGATGCAGCTCCGGGTGCGGACGAAGAGGTTTTGCTTTCGTGTCCAATCCCGCATCGTTGAGAGTTCCTCTGTATCGTGCAAGCCCCGGGAGTTGTCATCTTCCAGACAAGAGCAGTACGGTCTGCCCCCCTGCGTGGCCTAAAGGCCTGGAGCTACTGTGAAAACCCGCTGAGCGCGGTGAAGGCACGTGAGTTGGATTGCGGTCCTTCTTCTTACTCCTTCCGCGAGGGAAGCCTGGTTCACCCGTTGCTCCAAGGGCACAAGGACTGCCCCTCTCCAAATCGCGTGTTTCGAGAGGTCCACGGTCATGAAAATCGGTAGAGCGGCCCCGCAGACCTACAGATGCATGACGAGCGCTTCCGCGCCCGACCGTCGCCAACGGGCGACCACTCTGCGCTCCCTCCTACCCACTGGACTAGTGAGATCCCCACTCGCGGGCCCGCAGCTCCCGCATAGCATAAGAAGTGGCTGAGAGTCGCGGGGACGATCTACTTCATTGCTAGAACCTGATTGAAGTCGTACACAAAACCAATTATTCACCGGCCAAGTCACAAGCGAGCTCGCAGGTTTTAGCGCCGGCCGCGTACCATCGAGCGGGTGAATCCCGAGTTCAGACCGTCCAATCCAGTCCAGTCCAGTCCAGTCCAGTCCAGTCCAGTCCAGTCCAGTCCAGTCCAGTCCAGTCCACGCCACCGTCCTCCTCCTCCCCTCATTCCCCTTTTCTCCAGTTATGAAGCTGAGCAATGAAGTACTGAAGGCATGCATCACGCCATTTATGATGCCGTGTGTCAACTTCGTAAGGCCGTCGGAGTCGTCGTTCGATCTTGAAGCTCAGCGGCAGCAATTTTCGACAGACCTCGCGAGAAAATGTTACCCATTATACAGCCCAAATCTCCATTACGAGTAATGATTCGTGGTTCAATTATGTATACATCGACGTATCCGACCATGTCAGTCCTTGCTCTCATCAGGGCATAGTCTGTAGCAAGAGTCGGCCAGATCCAATAGCTCTTGCCTGAAAGGTAGGTTGGGACCAATGTCCAGGCCCTTTGCGACGGTAGCCTCTTTGTTCTCCCATTTCTACGACTTCCATCAGCATGAGCACCTGCACAGATGCAGTCCGACGTACGTTCAGATTCAAATGTAGAGTTCGAATAACAGAACAAAGGGAAACATCCTCCTCCATCATCGTAACCATAGTGGCATATAGCTGCTGAAAGATAGCTTTCTTCTGGAGTAGGCATTCTTGAGTCTTTTCATGTAGGCCATGCAGGCGCTGGGTTGGATGCGTTAGCGGAATATACTCGATTGAACGGGGAAGCATCATAAACCTCGTTCTCGGCTTCCAAGCAAGAGATTCTTTCACTGAGCTCCTGGAAGCGCTTCTGCGCATGTCCCAGCCAAAGACGGATGTCCTCCTCGGACGCTGTCTCCATGAAGTGAAGGTCAGGGAGGATGAGTATAACGGTGACGGTGAGAGCGTGAGTGCCATCACGCGTCACGCCTGACGATGAGTGTGGGTGATGTCCGAACTCCGGAGAGTGAGTCAGTGAGCAGTGTGGTCACGTGTAGATTACCTGATAAGCCCCTGGCTCGGCGCTCAGACTCAGAGTCCAACAGACGGACCGGTGGCCAGCGCGCGTCTGAGACGCACCATTGGCCTGAACATACGAACGCTCACGGGACGTCGCTTCCAAGGCGACGTACCACTCGTTCGGCAGCGACTTCTTTGTCGTCCGCGACGTGGCTGGAGACAGCGAGCTGGCAATCATCGGGGGGCAGATCCAACCCGCACGACGAGATGAACCCCTACTATGTAGTCCCTCCGACGGAGACGTTCAACGCCAAGGAATGGGACATAGGCACCGGCGAATGGGTTACGGCGGAGGAAGAGTACCTCAATGAAGTGCTGCACCGCTGAAAGGTCGGGAAGGAGACGAAGATGAGGACGGCGACGCAATGGGCCGGCTCGTAAAGACTCGCACGTACATAGACGCCTACAGCATTTTAGATAATCGTACCTACGCCCGTGGAAAGAGGCGGCGCCTCTCGGCCGCCTTACAAAATATAGGACACCATTATCCACTCCAACCCTCACCAGCCCTACTCAACGTCAAGGACGTTTGGAGCAGGGGCCAGGAGGGTGCGTGAAGGTCACTCCTCGCTACGAAGCGCAGCCGTGAATTCACGGCTGCTCGAGAACGGCTCGCCTCGAATTCGAGGCGCCATGAAAGCCTTCTCAGCAGAGAACCACAGCGCTACGTACCTCCTGCTTACGAGTATCCCCACGCGGTCGGCGGTCACCGCAGTTTGAGTTGGTGACAATGGATGCGTGTCACGTTGATTGGTTGTGATTCACTGCCGCCTCTGCACGTGATGCGTTGTCGCACATCGTCCCCTTTGTTTTCTGGCTTGGCTCCTCCCAGCAACTCTTCCAGCTTTCAACCTGCGCGACAATAACTCTCGTGAGCTACAGAATGCCAGTGGGATAATTCCTAGCACTCAACAGTTCTTCAGACGTCTGCAAATCTCACCAGCATGCACGTCGCTCTCAGAACGCCTGAGCTTCGCGCCGCCATCTTCAAGCAGCTTCCACCGACGGCGCTTGTTGCTCTTGCTGGGACATGCACGCAGCTCTCTGAGCCTGCTCTCGGATGCCTTTGGTACGAGCTGGAGAACTTCGGTGCTATCAGCAGCCTCCTGGCCAAGGGGGATCATGCGGTGAGTTCTCAAAGGAATAGTTATGGACCACCGGCTAAGCTCATCAAAGGGCGATGCCCTACGGAGCGGCATGATTGATCCCGAGGACGTTGATCGCGTTCGCTATTATGGCCAATTTGTCCAGCGCTTGGTCGTCCGTCCATCCTCGATTGGCATCACTGGACGCGTGTTATCGATGGTCATCACCGCACTTGGCAACAATCTATTCCCCAATTTACGCCATTTCCATCACATGGGACTTTCAGAACACGTACTCTATCTTTATCGTGTAGTCCCGCCATCGCTGCTCAGCTTGGTCATAGATATGGTGGACTCTTCCGACGATGTCTCGCGAGATGCCATGGGTCTGCTTACGACTGCTATCTCGTCGCTCAAGAGGCAGGGCAACTTCAACGTTGCCATGTTCTCACTTCGGCTGCCGCCGGACTTTCCTCTCTGGCCGGTCGCCAACATCATTGCTGGGTGGAAGAGCTTAAAGAGGCTGTCGCTGCAGGGGCGCATTGATGCCAACGCTGTGGCGGCCATACATTCCCTTCCCCATCTGACAATCCTCGATCTATGCTGTCTTGCAGGCGAATCGTTGCCGTGCTGTTGGCAGAAGGAATTGTCGTCTCTTCGGGCGCTAAACATATGCGTGCATGCCACAAGCATGCATGAGGTGGCTGCAGTCCTCGCCTTCGGCTCTCAGTCTGGCGCCATGTGCTACTCGCCCATATCCAGGATGCACATCGAAGGCCTTCGAGACACACTTCGCACGAGGAACATGGGCGAACAGATGCGAGAGCAGTGCTCCGCGTTCACCCTGGTGGACCTTATCCTGAGATCCGATAGGGACAGCCAACCATCGGGCATCCAGTCAGACGCCCTCACGATGCGAGACCTCCACCCGTACCTCAGCTTCGTCAACCTTCGCCACGTCGTCATAGTGCTGAACGGTCCACTAGAGATATGTGACGACGATCTTCAGTCCTTAGCACTCGCCTGGCGGCAGATACGCTCCCTCCATCTGGAAGGCAGCACTTCCACGACAACGCTCTGCACTCTCAAGGGACTCATATATCTCGTACGTCATTGCAAGGACCTCGAGCAGCTCACCATCGCGCTGCACTCGACTTCCATCGCCTTCCCGATCAAGAAAGCGGACGTCAGACACCACACCCTTCAGCACATCAATTTCCTCAACTCGCCCATTGCCATTGGTAAGGAAACCATATTCACCGCCATGTTCATGGCAATGTATTTTCCCTTCATTCCCCGCATCTCGTCCACAGGGGAAGACAGTCAGCGGGCGTGGGAAGAAGTCGTCGCTTGCCAAACTATAATGCTCTGGGAGGTCGAGGGCTGTACCGCTCCTTGGATCATGTTCACGGTAGGCCACCACTCCCCTCATCTACGTTCATTCCGCAGCTGACCTCCGGCATGTAGAGATAACATATCTGGGGCCACCTCTTTACAGCCGGCTATGCGCGGAGGCTGCAGTGGCTATGAGGTTTACCTGGGCGATGGAGGCTCAGCGCTCAGCGCTCAGGTCGCCTGCACGACGCGCCGGTATATAATTTATCCCCGAAAGGGTGTTACCTTCTCTTTCTTGTTGCGTGTGGTAGCAGACGACTATGGAGCCCTCTTGACTGGTCCGAACCCCCTGTGAAATCATTGCGTTCCGATGTAGGTATAGCGTTGCCGTTTGCTAAGGTCGGCCACGAGTGCGTTCCCGCTCTGGGACAAAGTAACACGTGAACTGTGTAAGATCGCTTACCGCAAACACGACAGGGGAGTACAAGCAGCATTGGCGTCGTACGCGTCATAGACAGCATGAACCAGTGAGAAGAAGTACCGCAAGAGGAAGATCTCGCTGATCAGCCGTGGATACGTGTTCTGGAGGCATCCTGTGCTCGCAGGGTACTCAAGCAGTGTCAACGAGTCCCCTTCCCCCTCCAAAAATCGTCCTTGATGCTCGGATGATGGAGCAGTGTACGCTTGTAAGGCTTTGCAGGTGTGGAAGGTGGCCAATCGAACCAAGGTCGTTCCTTGGACTTGCCAGACTCACAAATGCCGCCCGCGTCACGTGTCAGGGTAGTAGCATGGCGTGATAACACAAGTGACCATCATCGCCTTTGTCTCCCTTTACGATCGGCACTCGCTCGGTACTGAGGGAAGGCAGTATTTGGGCGTCCTGTCAGTATACTAAGCCTACCAGAGATTCTGTATGGCTTCAAGCAGCATCTGGAAGGATGACGAAATACTGCGGCATTTTGACATCGAAGAAGTAAAGAAGGTATGCAAGTTTGGCCGTGTACTCATCATCTACAGCGGATTCAGTATTTCTGACGGTAATATTAGCTCTTTCGTCCCCAATCACAAGCATATGCAAAACCAAAGACGGATGTATTTCTTGAACAATACAAACGTCGAAAGGTAGACTTCTACTCACCGACGTTTACGACTTCATTAACAATCCCTCTGTTTAGGCGGATCAGTCTCTTCCTCCGCAAACAGATGCTGAGCGCGAGCTCATTGAGAAGACTGGATTGCCCCTTGCGCATCTCAACGAGCATAACATCAGGCACCTCTTTGCCCCCAAGGTCTGAACGTTTGATATTCTCAATCAGCTATTAACCACCCGCTCTAGGATGATCCACCGGGAGGCTGCCCAAGTGCCTCACAGAATAGAAGGGCTGGTTTGAATCAGGATCCGGTGATTTCTGAAAAAGTTATGGCCTAGCACGCACCTAATCTTCGATTAGGCCGTGATCTCACCTCACAGAGGCTCAGATACATCAATGGAGACTTGGATTCAGAACTTGACGTATGATGTAAGATAACTTCCGCTTACTGTTGCTGTGACCCACTGCATGTGTCCTTCAAGGATATTGCCTCGTTGTTCACTGCAAGAACCTCAAAGCCCAAGCCCGTACTGGGTAACGCCCTGCAATTATCTCAAACTGTATGACCGCGCTATTATGCTCGTCAGCAAACTGAATTGCAATCCTTAGACGGATCCGAACCCTGCAGCGCCCTTGAGGCCTTTCAACGTTTCTGGTCCTTCAGCGAAGGCACCTGAACTTGTGAGTGCTTGCTTATGACCTGCTTGCGTGGTATGACTTACTGGCCGAATAGAGTCTCGAGGGGCTGGATATGAAGACATGCATCGCGGTTCTTGTGTTCGGTATCAGGCCGTCATACTTTCACTGACATTCAACAAGGACTTTGTGAGGAGGTTGCTGCGCGAAGCCCTCCATATCAACAACCTCAAAGACGCATGGAAGCAGCCTTCTTGCTCTCAGGAACGTCTGGCTGCCTACCGCCAGGATACGGTAGCTGCTGGACCAAACCTAACGGAGGGTCCTATCCGGCTGGATACCTCGGCTGGCACCCTTTTACACATGAAGTGGTCTCCCTGGAATTTGGATGTCATCAGTCTGCTAGCAAGGAAGGCCCGTTGCGATGCCGAGAGACATCTCATTCTGCGCCACTGCAAAGAACTGGATGTGATCGATTGGGAAGGTCTTTGTCGTGATAGGGTGCACACGATATTGGGAGATTGCCACCGAGGGCGCCCGCGATCGGAGACAGAGAGTCCAGAGCTTGCGCAGCAGCGCATGGACCTTAGCTACGCAAAGAATGCGCTACTATCCTCCAAGCGCCGTATACGAGCATGGGTAGGCATTATTCTCTCAAGCCGCACCTGCACTCATGCTGTTCTGTCAGAAGTATGACGTGCGTTGCTCCATCGCTGCCGGAATGCTCCAATCCGGCCAAGCCCTCTCGCAAGGTCGGAACCCGGACATTGCAGCTAATGCCAAAGATCAGACAATGTGGTGGGCGGAGGCTTGCGCAGCTCTTCACCTGCTGACCGAAGATGGCATGTCCGACGAAGAAGACGGTTATGATGGGGATGAACAAGTGAGGGTCGTGCAAGACATACGATATCGCAGTCTAAGGCTGCGTAACTTCCTCGCCACCGTGGATGAAGCCAGAATCGCAGAAAAGCTCATATTTCCTATGATCGGTCGATCTCGCCGTCGCCGCGTTTACGTATCATCCATGGTGGACCGTGAACCGCCTCGCGGACTGCCACTTGCCTTCTATAAAGGTGAATTTCTACGGGAGAGGGGCTCTTATGCCGAAAGTAGACTGGCGATCAACTACGAGGATGACAATTGGCGCATCCTAGAGCAATGATATCAGATGTATGCTGTATCCTCACGCCTCGTGCTTCGCTCCAATCATTCCTGAAGATATATCCATACGGGTCTTATAGACTACATTACGAGCTTTACTGAGGCATAGTACAAACACCAAATGCCAATTTCCACCCGCCTGCATTTACGCTATTTCGGGCGCCTCAGAAACTGGATCTGTGTGCATGTGCGAGGAAGCACAGTCGGATGGGGTTGAAGGCATGGAAAGCCCAAGTGCGATTTTGAGGCCAGCGTATACGGGTTGATGCACGATGCTGAGCTCGTGCGGCAAAGTCCGATGACTCTCCGGTACCAGTAATGAGCCATACTGCAGGAACTTTCGGGCGTCCTCACCACCTTATTCATAGCTAACAGACGAAGCAGTGCAGATACCGACGCGCTTATGACTCTCTCGGAAGCGAACTGGACATCAAGAGCAAAAACATTTGAGTTCATTAGCTACCGCCGCTTGATGTACGTATCACTCGGGTGATATGAGCCTTCTGTCGATGGGCCTCCTCTTCGAGTACGCTGCGGCCAAGCTGCAAGTCCCAGGATGCGTCCGGGTCAGGGGCATATCAACGAAATAAATGAATGGCGAGGCCAGGACAATCAGACACTGCCAGTGAGGCACACTGTGCACCCCAGATAGAGTTACATTCACCCTCTCGTCACCGTGATATATGGTGAACACGATTCACCTGAAAAGATGGTGGCCGTAACTAGGATGTCATGGTGAAGTAGACAAATACCGGGTTACATTCACCCTACTGAAAATTCAGTCCGAAAGAAGTGTATGGTGAACGTAACCCGTTATTTGTCCACTTCACCATGAATGTTACCATATTCTCGAATGAACTTTCGCAATTACCCTACTTTAGGGTAGCACACGGGTGAATGTCACCCTTTTCGGAAGGCACAGTGGCACTCCCGCTGCAATTGCGCCTATATAGAATCCCATCATTCCGAGCTGGATAATCACGGGGATGTCTTATACAAGTGTCGAATGTAGAGGATCGAGGAGCCGAGATCCTCGATGCAGGAGCGGCCATAACGCGACTGTCGGAGATCATCGACGCACGGGTTATGGGTGTCAATGTGTCGACAGAGTCTGTCGACAAGCAGGCCAGCTACGTCACTTAACGAGAGGTGGATTTTGCAAAGAAGTTCAGTAGAGTCAAGAAGTAGTGTTGCCGTGAGTCGAGTTTGAGTCCAATCCAAGTCGACCACGAGGTGCGACCTGAGTGCGCTCGAGTCACGCCTCGTGATCGACTCGGTCGAGTCGAGTCGCCCTTGCGGAGAAATCAGCGCGCATGTATACCAACAGCTGCAGTACTGCTCATCCCAGAGCTGTAGTATGCCTCTCTCAGTCGTGCCCTGCATCGAATTATGCCTGTAATGTATATGTATTGTATTTACTCTGCTATATTCAGGAACTCCATTCGACTCTGAGGGTCAAGCAAGCGGTACAAACCATAATCCAGAGCAGCGTCCTCGACATTGTGCGGCCCCTCCGCTGATGAACTGCCCCAGGTCCCGATCGTAAGCTGCTGAATTTCGGCATACTTGCCCTGCGCAAACAACGTGCGCAGTTGCTGCGAATCCTCCTCGCTAAGGCCAAGCGTCACGCATTCCTCCTCGGTAGCCACGAACCCATCGGTGAAGTTCAACTCTTGCTGGTGTAAAGTGTACTTGACGAGTTGGAGCATCTCCATCATCGTCGGGCTGAGTCTCGTGCGCGTGAGGTCGTCGGTCAACTTGCTCGAGGAGAAGACGCGCTCGCATGGGACAGACGAGGCTTGTACTGGAAGGATATCCATCGCAGCCCGCCACCACAGCGAGAGATCGCCGTGTTCGTGGTCCTAAATCGCGCTCGTCAGCATATACATCGCACTACACATGAAGTGACCAATCATACCTGCCAGAAAGAAGCAGGTTGAACTTCCTGTTGACGCACCAGCGTGGGTCCGCTTCAGGCAGAAGCCCGGCGCCTTATATCTCGCCATCTGTGCGTCCACTTCTCTCTCATTTTCCGCTTCCTCCGCTGCTCGGCGCCGCTCCTCTTCCTCCGCAGAAGCCCGCGCGTCCTGGTTTGGACAGCTGCCGCTGCTCGACGCTGTGGACGTGCACGACGAGGAGGAAGCCGCCTCCTCCAGTCGACGACGCTTCCGGAGACGTTCCATGCCACTGCCTACTTGAAGGTCTTCGTTCGCGCCATCCGAGGTGCCGAGTGAGGCGTTTGCGATTCGATCCGAGCCAAGTTCAACGGTCGAGGAGTCGACTGCTTTACGCCGCTGGCGCACATCCCGCTGAAACCGTAGAAGCTGCGATGACGAGTAACGAAATCAGGCACACTGTATACTATAAGTGTGACCGAGGACTCACCGTTTGGCGGATTCCGGCTTTGATCTTGTTGAATTCGAAAGGGTCAGTATTCCTGCGAAGCCAGTCGAACTTCATGCGAGGGTCAATGACTAAAGAATTCCAGGTTTGTCAGTACCAGCAGTACTCGGGTGCACGATAGATTCGCATACCCATGGCAAAAGCATACATAGGCGTCCGCTTCGCCTTATTAAGATACTCCGAAAGCTTGTCTATAGCTGCTTGATAGACATGCGCAATTCTCCGTCGCCGTGTCTTCAGGAATTTGAGGATGTCGATGAGTTCGGTGTAGAGCGGAAGAACGGCGGAGAGAGTGGGCGTCTTCTTGCTGAACCTCATGGTGGCACGCGAGGAACTCGCAGAAGTCGTTCAGCGCCTCGAAATCGATGTCCGACAAGGCTTAACGCTGAAGCTGAGCACGGTACTTCTCACTCGAGATAAGCTTTGCCACGGGCTATAAGCATGCATGTTAGCACCTAGCCTGCAAGCAAGGAGGAGAACTCACATAATACAACACAAGCACGCGCGATAGCATAAGGTACACTGAAAACCACCGCGTATCGACATCGCGGAGCAGTCCTATCACACGGAGCTGCTCTTTCTGGTTCTCAGCCACCAGCCAGCCCCCATGCTCGTTCCCCGTTCTTATGATGAGAATCAGCTCTTCACGTCGCTGTCCTGACGCACGCATAGCTGTGACCAGTTGTCGACAGCGCTCCACAATGGTTACAAGTGCCATCAGGTATGCCGCATCCCGCTGACGGTCGTTGGGAGACGGTTGCTCTCCGAGATGCCCTGAGTCCGCGTCGAGAGCACTGATCCTCTGTCCAGATGCCCTGACGCCTGCCTTGACGGAGATGTTGATGATGTGGGGAAAGCACCTGAAGAGAGTTGAGGTGCAACGGAGCGATGAGATCGCGTGCTTACCGGATTCGGTTCCCCTCGATATCGAAAGGAATGTTGAGCTTCTCAAGTTCTTCCACGATCTCCTCCATCCCCTTGTCATTTGTAGTTGCATTGTCCATTGTAACGACACTGATCTAGAATAGAATAAGCAAATGAACTGGCTGAATTGAATTCAAGGTACGTACATTGCCTTCGCAGCCGACTCCCTTGATAATCTTAACGAACGTACGACCAATGTTCTCGCCGTCGTGTTTACCTCGGACGTGTCGAAAGGCGACGAGGCGGGAGCGGAGAACAAGATCCCCCGATGCGGGATCACGCGATATGTAGTGAGCTGTCACGGCCATATATCCAGTCCTATTCACGCTCGACCAGATATCGGTGGTGCAAGCGACACGTCCGAGAGACTCCTGCGCGATGCTCAACAAATGCAGGAAATGAAGGTGGAGGGAAAGCGCACCCTGATCTCGTTCTGCATCTCATTGTACTTAGCCTTGAAGCGCTGGATGACGAGGTCCGCAATCTTCGTTCGGTGAGGCAGTTCGTTGTCGCTGATCTTTCCCATTCTAAGGTAAAGGAGCAAGCGTCGCAAAAAGGGGGACTCCAGCGCATTGAGCGACTATTCAAGCCAGTGAGTTCGAGAATGAAAGGGCAGCAAGTATGACGAACCATGTCCTCAGCCACAAGCCAATCAACAAGCAGTTGTAGGAAGACCGAAAGGTTGAACGGGCCTTAGGGGACACGCAGATCTGCACTGCAAACGCGCCCGGGCAGATTACTCCACCCCTTGAGCTTGAAGGCACGGACGTAGCGATTCCACGACAGGTAATGCTCGCGGTGCAGATGGCGTAGAATGTTTGATCGCGACGACGTCTCATTTCGCCAGGCGTGAAAGTCATTCACCTCGCTGAGGATCACCGTCAGGATACGCATCTCCGCTAGGTTGAATAAACTCACTCGCATAGCCTACAGCAGAGATAAGCGCCGCCTTTCGGACGTTCCTCCCGTGGTGGGTCGCCTGCGGGATCGGAAACAGCGGCGGGGCGAATATTCGAGTCTGCTGCTCGCGTGAAGAACCATATGGGCCCGCCGTTACTCTCGCGCTCTCTGCATTCGCGTCGCCTTGAGCATCACGGAAATGCGTTGTAAGCATCGGATCTGGAAGGACAGGCTACCCACTGCTTCCTTGAGCGAGCCCAACACCCGGGACGGGACGAGCCGCTGGCTGAGCTGTTGGTGCTGGAGTGCGAGAAGAAGGTGGTGAAGGACGGAGATTTGAGTCTCGTGGACCACGAGGAGCTTCAAGAGGACGCTGACGTGACTGCGAGGTGGCAGCGGCGACAGACGGCGTCATATTCTGGGTTCATCGCACATCATAGTGGTACGCAGAGGGCGCCGTACCAGATGCACGAAGCGAGCTGTTGTTACTGGGATTGCAGGCGAATTTATTGCCGGAGGAGCGCCCAGAAGAAGTACAGGCATGCGTAGTTTGTTGGGCATGGGGTGCGGCCATCGGGTGTGGGTGATACAAGAGGGATATGGCCAAGCCTCTGAGTACGGTGCGGCACTTGCTGAAGACGAAGATGGTTGCAATGTAGAGGGATAGGAGGATGTATGTGAGTATGGTGAGGGATGCGGGTACGGCGAGGGAGTTGGGCATGGCTGGGAATGTGGCCAATGGTACGCAGATTGCGGCGCCCGCTGCGCCGGGTAGCCCGTGTAGGCGCCGTTGAACCCGGTCTGCGTGTGCGACCGAGGAGGCTGTGGATGATCAGCTCAAATATTGCGAGAGACGCGATCGTATACGTACCTGCATTCCCGAAGTGCTAGGCCTCTGCGACTGATGAGACAGCGTCGTGGACTGACCTTATAATCCCGACGACTGCGAGGCCACTTGCGGCTGGGATGTCAAGCCATCGTTCGACGTGCTGTACGAGTTGTAGTACTGTCCCGGTCGCGACGACATAGCTAACGGAGGCGGGACGCAGAAAAAAATTCAGGTCCGTGTACGGGCAGGACGAGCTTTATAGCTGGATTTTATGATATTTGAGGAGCTCTACTGATGATAGGTGGCTACATGGTCCGAGGAACACGCCTCATGCTGAACAAGACGCGCTCTATGCGCAACGAGGAGGCGCGAACTCGACATTGGCGGTTGGGGCGAAGCGCGAGGATGGATCAGTGACGTCAGACAATGACTGAGGCGAGCGGGGGCGCGAGCAATGGCGGCGTACAACAATGCTAGCACAAGTCGAGCTTCTCGAACCTCAGAGAGGCCTTCGAGGCTCGAGTTCAACACTGACATGGTGGTAACACGCAAAAGGATCGAACATCAGATGGGTCCGACACGTTTCTGATCCGAGTCAAGTCGAGTTCGGACTCTCCTCCCTATTATCCAAAAACGACGGGCATTGCGGGCATTGTGCCTCTACCATGGCAATGACTGACGGTGCTATTGCCCAAAAGCTACACATGTTTGGTATGGAAAATATAAGTACAAGCATCTAAAGCCTGCAGTGCAGAAAAATTACAGGAAAGCGCGACGGGAAGCGCGAATAGGAGTTGTCGTCGCGCCAGCACGTCGCCTACTGGTTGCGAGGATGAGTGACAGGGTAAGCTAGATATGGCGGGAAGAGGGGGGAAAGGGGTTTGATACGTCTTGAGCGCATTTACACGAGCCGTAATGGTAGGGGAGGACGATTGGCTCGGAGTGGAAGTGGGTGATATATTCGAGGAGCGCAAGACGGACACGTCAGCCGTTGCGCGTAGACGCGCAGCCAGTAGGAAGAAAGGGAATGGGAAGGCGGCTGGTAGTGGACCGTGACGCGCCGACCGCGCGGGACGTGCATCGTGCGCGAGAGCGATCAGCCCCTTCCTCAACAAGTACACGTCCGAACGTGTCGCGAGGGATGAATGATGGTCGGCGAAAAGGCCAGTACGCGCCGTATAGCGCGCGCAGAAGCTGAGGAATAGGAGGGTGATGTAGAGTGTAAATGAGGCGGCGCACCCGACTGGGCCATCGTCGACAGCGGGGGTGTTTCGTGTGAGAGCGAGGAGGGTGGAACGACGCACTGTCACCATGGCCACCCACCGTGCCCCCCACGCCTCCGTATGCACGCTCCTACACCCTACATCTAGTCCCTACGCATGCCACGCGCACAGGACCGCTTACAGTTAGATCGTGGGTGGTCAGCATGTGCGGCGCGAGAGGGGGGTGGGGATGGGGTCCACACCAATGGGCGCGAGAGGGGGCGCGTGCCTTGCCTTCGCGAGAGAGTTCATTGAGGCGCTGTTTGCACCTAAGGCAATCTTCATCCGCCCTCAGACGTTGTCTGAGGGGGCGGGTCGATCGATAGCACTGCTGCGTGTGACGTCGTATCGTCCGCGTAGGCGCCCGCGGGTCATCGCGGACGCGTGTCAACTATGTTGCCCTCGTCGAAAATGAAGTGCGATCACGCACGTCCTCCTTGCCCCAATGTCGTCGCCGCGGCCCGTCCTTGCTACAGTGGCAGTTGATGGGCGTTCGAATCCGGAGAGAAAGAGGAAAGGAGTAGAAAAAACATGTGGGAGGGTTAAGATGCGTCAGCGTCACTGCTACGCCCCAATCTCGGTTTTCCTGGGCTCGAGAATCGACGAAAAGCCGGGGCGCGCAGACTGACGTGATGGTGGTGGGAAAGAAGCTGCCACGCTGTCCGGGCGATGTGTCACCTCGCGTGGCATCCCATCATCACATTGACCTCGCCCTCGCCGGTCATCCGTGGTGATGTGCTCTAACGAGCAAGGCACTCGAGCTCTTTCCCGCCTCGAAGCTGCTTCAAAGCTTACATGTGAAGCACATGGCCGTGAAGAAGACTGCGCACCCGGGAAGTTAGTGGTAGCTCGGGTATCCGACATTTCTTACGGCTTTCTCCCCGTTTCCAGTTTCCAGGCCAAGGGCTTCGAGAGCGAATATGAGCAATGTGAGTTTGAACCATAGAGCATCATTCCGACCACTCTCCTCATTCGTTTGCTTTACCATTCACTCCCTTCCATTCCCTCCTTTCTATCCCCTTCCTCTACTTTGCTGGATTCCATCTTCACTCTCGTTCCAATCTATCCTAGCTGTCCAATTTCACCTCGACTGTGAACCCTCCCTCCACATCTTCTGACCAACCTCGACCGAACCGATTTTTGATGTGGCGAGCTTGCGCGGTTCTTGCTTATTCCTTGTATCCCTACTACTGCTCTCGCTTGGAATGCGTTTTTCAAGATGTTTTGAGGACCAGGCAAGCGCGATGTACGTTGGTATCCTACCATTACTGACTGCTCCCTGAAGATTCTCGTCATATGCACCTGTTCCACTGCATATCCTTGTGCGGCATCGCTGTCAAATGGTGAGTAGCATTGCTTTGCCTACAATTGGGCTTTGCTAACTTGCAGCTTCCTCACAGCACGCTCGGACTCCCCAACCGCCTCGCCAATCGACATCGGCACTGCTGATTCCTCTTTCTCAAATAACTACTCTGTTTCTGATCGCGGTTAATTCTTTTGGGCTCACACATTCTCAGATCATTGTACCTTCACCACCGTAAAGTCCCGTCGCCCACCTTCCCGGACTCGCTGGCCCGGATAAGTATTAAGCTAAGCGCTTCAATACGTGGGTGAGTTATGACCGTGCTCTTGAGCTCACGACGGCCCTGCCTGACTAACTAGCCAGTCAGTACCGACTTGACACTGAACATCAGTATGTACGATTTCTGTGCTTCTGGACCCTCCACTGACCTTCTAAACGAGCCTATCCTCCTACTACCTTCTTCGACAAGCCCAAGACGTGACATCAAATACGGCAAGGACGAATACACACCTTTCAGCGCCACGTGCGACAAAGTCTAATCTAGTAGGAACGCATGCCTTCGCCACTCGAACTCGGAGCCGACACCCAAACGTACAGTGAGAGCTTCGCCCCCGCTCTTGGCCTCGGCGCCAGTCGCCCCAGCTAGCGCGCACGTCCGCGAGGATGGTGAGTACAGTATCATCGACACTGAATTGTCCCTGACCTGGGTTATATACTTTGACTGTCTCGATGGACTGCTGAACGCAGCTAAGACCGAAGCCGATGGGCGGCGCCTGCATTATTCAGGAAATGTGTGCAAGTCAGCGAGGACTCGACATCTTGAATACAGTACGTGGTGCCCATTGTGCTGTAGGAAGCGCACTCGCCTCGTTGTGAGAACTCGGCTCGCTTCCATGGACGACGCTTATGCGTCATAACCATGCGCCGCTTGGTGGCGCTGCGAAAGAGGCAAGGGAAAGTTTTACGGAATGGTGAGTACACATTTGTTCCAGGAATTCCCGATGCCAATCACTGTTCCGGGACTTATCCGCGCCATCAAGAGCTTGCACCGGCCGGCGAGAGCATATCGACGACGACCTACGGTACCCTCTAGCCGGGAGGGACGACGTGTTGTCGCAGTCTTTCCCCGACTACATCCCGATGCGCGTCATGAAAGGCGCCAGTAGAGGTGAGTATTCCGTCTGACGCGCTGTCTCCCAGCTCATCACCTTCTCTTTGTCTGGCTCTGCACCTTGGCGGCGCTACCGCCGCCGGCACAGAGTCTTGAAATCGACAATGACGCCGTGTACGCCCCCCGGCGCCTTATATGCTGCCGCGCGCCAGCTCGCGCGACCACTGCACACTGCCTCTGGACGAACCGGCTCGTATAGAGGCTGTTACAAGGGAATATCCACGTGCCATATTAACTCAGCCAGCTCGTCCCAAACTCGCACAGGGATAGAACACTTCAGGAATGAACCGAAGGTCACTCCTCTGCTGCTGCTTCATTGTAGGCGAGACTTTACCTCCTACATTCGCTCACCCCACGTTTCATCTCCGCTTACAGAGCTCGTCCAGAGAGCGGAACACGCTCCCTCGTTCCGTTTCTGGCGAGTCCACACGTTTCTGCCTCAATTTGACTTGCAAACCACTGGCGTAAGGCCCGGGACAAGCCATGCGAAGTATTGCGCACGGGTCGGCTCGCTTTACTGCATTGATGATGCGAATGTATTGATGATTTTGTTTGATATTGGACTGATTTCGCAGCGGTTGTCGTCGACATCTCAAGTGCGTCCCGAAGCGCTATGTGAGATCGTGTAAAGGTTAGGAAAACTCGGCGGGCATCACATGATGTGTTCACTGACTTGTCCCCCTTAGAAACATCCGAATGCGTGACAGCTCGCCAGGATATGAGAGGAGACACAGGCCGAACGAGGGTGGAACTATCTTCTCACGGGAGACTCGAAGTCGTGACATGGGACAAGATCATCTGCAGCAAGGACGAAGCACGCCTCAATATCGTGAATGGAACCTTGAAGGTCCCCCGGGGTGTAGAAATCGACGCGTACACGCTAACATCATCGCTCGAGGTGCGTTCTCTTGTAATCTCGAATCAAACTTGTTCCTGCCACTCGCATGGACGTTATTTCGACTAATTTTACTCATGAGCGACGTTGTACACCGACTGCATCATATGAACGCTCCCATATCCCGCGTGGCGGGACAGATTCTGAGGGATCTCGATCGGTTCAAGATGAGTTCGCTTGCTAGTCATTCCTGAGGATAATCTGCATTTACGAGTCGGTGCCGCAGACTTGCCTCGTGCCAGCATGTGAATCTGTACGGGCCTATCTCCCGCGAGTGGTACTAGATATAGCAAACGCAGTCACGCTGCCTGCGCCTTCAGGAAGTGTCGGACTGTTGTTCCAGATGCAGCTATTCGAGTCGTCCGAAGCCACTTATTGCAAATCATGGATTGCGACCCACCACCATGACCATAGCTTCATGCGGCGTGAGTGGGCGGGCCCATTAGTAGCAAGTCTGAGATATTAGAGCGCTGGAGCGTATACATGGGCATTGACGAGGGCTCTATAAATCCGCACTCTTCTGGGCCGTCTTTGAGCTATTTCACAGGTGCTGACTGCTGAGGGCGGCTAGAAGCTACTTACGTGCCGCTTTCTACTGGTACCGTAGAGAGGGCATAGGAAGTATACACAGCTATCACTGAAAGCGGGGGAGTCGGCACTGCGGGGATTGATTCAGTGATCAGCTTGTAGACTGCTTCGCGAGTGGCAGGGTCAGAGAATATTCAGCAGGCGGACCGGCCGCCTGGGCGCCACCGAAATGCATCTTCGGTCTGAGCATGTAAAATCACTGGTGATATGCGACTTGACCGCGTGGAGCCTGTGACGGCAGTTGTGACGCCTAGTCACGTGTAGATTCCCCGAACAAGAAGCGCCGTTGCTCTGTGCCGGTGAGTTGCCGTTGAGTTTGTGAGCCGCGCGCCTTATGAGATCCTCACTTTCGCGACGGCTCACCGACGCCCGCCGCTCGTCTTATACTCCTCTCCGAACTCAATTCAAGTCTCCCTCCTCTGTGGACTGTGCTTAGGCTGCGCAGAGCGCACAGAACGCTAGCGGCCGCGAGGTCCAACTAGCCACCATCGTTGATCAGGGCCACACTTGAGCGAAGATTACTCAATGTATTCAGGAAACAACGGGATGATAGTCTATGACTAGGATCTCGAGCTCAAAGGTGTCGTCATTCTCTTGCTGACCCTCGTCTTCGAACTCAGCATCCTTCATGTGCTCGTCTTCTGCATCGTCCTCTCCGTCTCTCTCCTCGTGACTTTCAATATCGTCCCTGCCTTCGTCCCCAGCATCGTTACTGCCCTCCTCATCCACTGGTATCACCATGCCGCATTCCTCACTATACTTGCTCTCCCAGCCCTCTTCATTCCCTCTCGCGCTAGCAAAGAATTCCTCCGCGCCATCTCCACGTAAGCGTCGATGTGCTCCGGAAGCGTCCGCAAGATCGCTCCTGTCATCTGGATCTTCATCTCCGTCCGTCACTGCTTGACTGCCTTCGCTGTCCTCGTACCGCTCCACACAACATTCCGTATCTATCAGTTGTTTAGGGCATGCACGGGAGGGCAGCAGGAAGGTACGGACCGACATGAATTCCTTCTGCATTATCCCCTGCACCAACGTTCAGCACGACAAAACATTAAATGCAAGAGACAACTCACAGAAATGGAGTTCTACCAGAGCCATTACCCCGCAGTGCGTCTGAAAGAGGACCTCGATGTGCTTCCTGATGACTTCCTGCCAAGCACGAACTGGCCCTAAGATAGGCGTCCGATCCCTCACGACCTCGCGTATCCAAAGTACTATCTTGATCGTGCAAGAGGCTGGAAGGGTGTCCTGAACGAAGCGTGTCCATAGCGCGACGTTGAAAGCTCTGTCCAATCCACGGACCTGCTGCCATAGTGTATCGTCGCCGTGTCGGTACGAAGGCAGCCAGGCGCTTTTCGTGATCACTGTTGCCTTACTTTCGAGTATGAGGAGCTGTATGGGCGCGCCCGCACCGACGGTCAAGTCACGCGTGAGTCTCTCAGCTGCGTGCAAATGAGTCCGGCGCCATTTGGATTCCGTGCCCAAACATATTCGAAGCAACGCGAGATGAGGGAGGAAGTGGGGAGTTTCTGACACTGATGACGACCCATCGATTTTCGCCAGCGGCCCCAATTCTGTGAACATGAGTTGGAGCATTGAATCCCAGGTGGGGGGAGGCATTTTACATACCGACGACGTCCATCAAAGCTCTCAACTCGATATGGAACTCCAGAAGTGTGTTTCCCGCCTGAGGCAAGAAGCGACCAAAGGACACCTTCCCTGGGAGGACACGCTCAGGAAGATAAAGAGATTTTAGCGACGGCAGGCATTGAGGGAGCAGACAATCCAAATCATGTGCGTCGACACCTCTGCCCAAGACGACTTCCTCTAGATGTAGCCAGGTAAAGGGCGATGTCATCGTATCGCTGTACGTTTGGTATACGCAACTGTCGTAGAGCACGAGCCTACGTAGGGATGGGGCCAATACAAGCGCTTGCCGGAGATGCCGATTGTCGTCGAAGTCCACTGCGAGTTCGAGTTGCCTGAGAGCAGGAGCTTTGCGGAGCCAGGAGCACAGTGCCCTGTACGTCACGTACACATCCTGTCCGTCGGTGGACTTAAACAGGATAGTCTCCAATCGAGGAAGCGATGCGGTTATCGATGCTGTCATACCCGCCAACCAAGGGTCATGCAGAATGACCTTCTGCGCATCGGGCAGGATAGCGGGGAGGGCACGAATGGAGCGCTTGTCTTGTGCACGAATGACGATACGATGGAAGAGAATCGGCTTGGAGATACGCCGAAATGCTAGAGACGTCGCCGCAATGCTACAAAGAGCCGTACGGTCAGTCTCATTGAGTAGCAGGGTCCATATTTCCGTAGGAAACCAGTTCAATCCTAATGGAAGAATGAGCGAGCCTAACAGCAATCATGGTGGCGTGCTTACCGCTGTGCATGGTGAGAAAGGACTGAGGTGAACGTAAGAGGAAAGCTTATGGGACACCTCAAAGGCGATGTGAAACCATCCCTGACTTCCATTTGATCGATCAACGATCATATCTCTGTGGAAAGTCATGGACGATTGTTGCCCGAAAGATAGTAGCACACCAGATCGAATAGCTCGAAGGCCGGTCCGCCCAACAATGGAATTGTAGCGCCGCGTGCTATGATATGCGAAGGTAAGCGTCCATACTCCCCACCTCTGGTCTGCCTAATTTAGAACGTGAGAATCGACCGCCACATTATCCTCGTGGGTCCTTGTTGGCTCGCCTTGTTGACCTGAGCGGGCGCGTACAAGTAGATACAAGTATCGATGTGCGACTGTCCATGTTGACACGATGAAAGGGTGTGTATAACATATATACTAGCAAAGAAGTAGTCAGGTGCAGTACGCTATTGGTGCCACGTGTGAGGTTAGGACTCTAGCCGTAGGACCGCATGCTGAACCTCCTTCGCCAAACGAGACGAATGTACGTCATCTCGAGCTCTTCAGTATCATGGCAGAGTATGACATTACCGGTTACCTGATTTTTTAAATCGCATCGACCCGCAGTTGCTCCGGCAAGGAAAGGCCGACAGGAAGCATAAGCTTCCCTCGAGAGAAAACCAGCGCTGGCTGTCATCCACGGGCGATAATGGATAACTGGGATCATGCATGCCTGGCCGCCCAGCACATGTCTACTTTTTATGATCCGTTCTGGAAGGTCGGGCGATCTCAAATACCGACAAGATGGCATGAGACAGGTAAGCAGTCAATGTGACAGTGAGAGCGTGAAGGATGAGTCCGGACTCCAATGCGCACTACGATCACGTGTAGACTGCCTCGCGAGCGGCAGTGCGGAAGGCGAAGTAAGGGACCTAAGTTTATAGCGCAGACGACGATAACGGCGATGATATTCGGTCTTACGGGTGGAGAGAGGGACGCACTAGCGGTTGGAAGATAGATTTTGAGCACATAATAGCGAAGGATGCTGGAAGATCGTGCGCTTCAGCAGGCTAGGTGCAGTCCAAGGGGGCTTGGCGAGGAGCCGGGAATAGGTGGCTGGCGCTAGCTATCTGGCTTCTCGCGATCATCGTGACTGAGTGATGGGTATGAGCAACCTTACGAGGGAGAGAAACCCACGACAACGGCTGTCTCATAAGCACAGTGTGTGTACTGCGTACACCTGCAAAGGCCCTTACAAGCTTGATCGCAGGGCTGTTAGCGGTTCGGGATGCAACGTTGGGGCGGCTTGAAGCGGATGTGTCGTAGAGGACCGCACCACGCGCGAGATAGCAGCGCGGGCACTCATTCAAGGATAGAAGAGAGATTTATTCGACGGGTATCGAAATAGTTTGTGTTGGAGTCAAGAGAAGAACTCTACGGTGCGTCAAACACCCATACAAAGGCTCCCTTATGTACCGTCAGTCATTGATGGCCGGACGAAGCGCAAAGTGCGTACTAATGGGTGATAGTCAACTTGATGAGCTTTATCGCTAAGCGATACCCGCTAGATCTGCTCGACCTGCTCCTCGCACCACTTCCAGAGCTCGCGCGCGAGCTGCTCATCAGGCGCGAGTGCCCCTGCGCCTTGCCGGGCCGCGCCCAAGGCATGAGATACTGATGAAGAGCGTGAGAACGATGAAGAAGGGGACAGGAAAGCGTCGAGGCAACGAAGAAGCACTCACTTCTCCGCCAAGGTTTACCGCCTCCGGGGCCGTTCCCGCATAGAGCCGCGTGAGTGCGCCAAGCGGCTGCGGGAGGAGGAAGGGGCGCTGCCGTGTTGTCAGCGTATTTCCATAACGGCGGGGCCAAGAACGCATCGGTCAAAGACAAGCAAGCTCACCATGAGCGCCACGGCAAGCTTCGGCAAATGCCGATAGAGCTCGCTGTCGAGGTTGCCGGGGTTGACGGCGATGGAGACAATTCCCTGGTCGCCGTACTGGCGCTGGAGCTCCGAGGCGATGAGAATGTCGCCCTTAAGGCATAGTCAGTAGTCCGCATCCTAGACTTGTCGGCCGAGGAGCTGTATGAGCGACGTACCAGTTTGCTTTGGAAGTACAAGGTCTGAGTCCACTTACGACGACGACGAGGGCTGTCGCGCAGAGTGCCACAGTCGATACGGCCGGGGCGGTGACCGATTGACGACGTAGTGATGACGTGAGCCGGTTCCGTTGATTGGACTTCAGTCCCGGCTGGAGGAAGAAGGGCCGGGAGAAGAAGCTTGGTAAAGTAGAAATGCCCTAGGGGAGACAGCCGTCGGAAAGACGCTCCATATCTCTATCGACGACTTACCCAGGACGTTTGTGCCACATTGGAGGTCGTAGCATTATCTAAGAATCAAATAAGCAAAGTGACCTTGGCAAAGGTTGGCGCGACGCTCACCATCTACAGTGCATTGGTCGACCGGAGCCATCATGACACCCTAAGCCAGTGACCCCAGGTCCTGCGTAAAAGAGAAGAGCCGAGCACGCACGCGCTGTTGAACAAGATATCGAGGTCGCGTTCTTTGCCGAGAAACTCTTCAGCAGCCGCTTTGATAGCGTGCAAGTCGGAAAGGTCGAACTTGAGGAAGCGTGCCTCCTTGCCAGTGGCCTGGCTCAGAGAACACTTAGCAGGCGAATCGGTCCCCGGGGCGCGTCTGAGTTGCATCATCGTCCTGTGAATGCAAATGCTCATGGGAAGTCGCCTCCACTGACGCATGCACTTGCTTGGAAGACTGGCGATACTACGATGACGGAGATCGGGCTGACGGTCCTTGTGACCAGGGTCACGTGTAGATTTCCCGAACAAGACGCCCCGCCGCTCTGTGCCGGTGAGAGCCGCGGGCCTGATGAGATCGTTACTTTCGCGACCGCTCGTCCCCTCCCACCAGGCGTGCTCCATCTCTATATCCTCTGTACATGGTTTTTGGACAGCGGCGCCTGCTTAGAGGGAAGACTATGTTAGAGACAGATTGCGACCACTGGTGCGTGACTAACATCGCTCTTCATTCCCTTGCTCTAGCGCCCGGTACCTTTCTACAAAGAAAGCTACCCAACCCCGACCGTGCTATGCTGGCTGGACTGCTCCCTGCGAGACGAACACAGTCATCTGCATAGCCTAGTTCGCGCGCTGCTGGCCGCCGTCCTTCCCATCAGTCTCATCCTTGTCGAGACTACCTTTCCTTTTTAATGCAGGGCCGGCGGCATCTGCTGCAGCCTGATTCCATTTCCTTTGATGTATCGTTCCGCACGTCGGCTGATCAACTTCTGACCCAGTCCAGCGCAGCATGCCTGTCATGATGTCCTTGGGAGCTTTCACCATACGCGAGAGACGAGACCGTTGCGTTGGTGCAATGACTGCCCCTATTGTGCGCAGGATAGGTGCTCATTGTTATTGCCGGGGGTGTGCACTGGCACGCCGGCGCCCATGCGTGATGCGCACCGATGTCTGCCCCGTAAATGAGGCGCTTCCCGTTCGAAGTACACTTTCAACCAAACGTCGTGCATGTACCCCACGCCACACATCCACTACCCATCTCGATCGCTTCAAATCGCGGCGGCGTGAGTGTCGCCTCCTCGCAAATGGCCGTAAATGGCTAGCACGTTGGGCGGCCACGTCGGAACGTGGCTTTCCGCCTCTCCTACAACCGTATCACGACCGTCCTCCCCGCCATCTCTTCTTGCGCAACAGCATGTGGGACGCCCGCGCGGCCCCCTCCCTGCTGAGGTTGCGGTGTCATCGCGCTACATGTCAGACATGGCGATAGTCTCGGCTGAGCTCCAAGAGCGGATCGGATCCCTCGACTCACATGTCCACAAGGCAGGTTCCCGAGTGAGTCTGTCCCGCCTATACGCTCTGACCATCGGAAAGTGTTTGCTACGCATTACTTCATCAAGGCGAGCAAGGGAACGAGTGTTGGGAGAGCAGCTTTTTGAGTCGAAAGCATCGTCGGCACCCTACCCGGGCGCGACGGGAAGACCATATACCTTGCGCGTGTGGACTTGCATCTCATTGCCGGGTGCAAGGTCGTCTGATATGGACACCGACGCGCTCAAGCTGCTCGTCAACTCACAGACCTCATTCATAAGGAGGCTCTGTGGTCCCTTCGCCCCGTCCAGCGCTGCCGACTACCGCCGGTCTGCCTCCGTCTGCCGCGGTATGGGGCGACGGGACGCGCCAAGTTGTCGCGCAATATCTACTTCGCGCTGCGCGGCCTTCCTGCCTCTCTCTTCCGCTCCACGTGTACCGGTCCGCCTGTAGATCCTCCCCTTTCTCTGGCGCCCCTGCTCAGTCATTCTAATTCTACATCATCCGCTGATTGATGTCTCCACCCATCAGGTCGGCCACCGTGGGTGAGTCTATGCGAGATTCGTCTGAGGAGAAATACCGTTTGCTGTACCAGTGCTGGCGTGTACAATTGTAGGGAAGACAAAGCCGTAATAGGGCAAGTGGATCGGTCTGGGGGAACCAAACTCAGTGGCAGGAACAACGTGTCATGTACTTGTAGCGCGTCCAGATAGCATTTTCTTCCATCTAATCACGCTCTCAGTCACTCGTCGAGTCCACACGTGAGGTTAGGCCAACGCGACTCTGCCCTGAACACAGCGGAACGCGAAGCGCTCGACTACGTGACTGGTAACTAGAGGTCAGAACGGCGCGCCACTGCGTGTACTGTAGGAACTCACCGGGAGTGCGAGAGGTCAGAATGCTGACCGATCTCGCACCCACCGGTCTTATAAACGATCGAAAAAAGGATCGAGAAAATAGGAGTCGAGGGACTCCGAGACGCGAGTCACGAAAAGGGCGGACCGGGCCGCAGACCGCCGAGGGTGGCGCGCAGTTCGAGTGAGGCTCGCAACACCAGACGGAAAGGGAGACAGGCCATGGGTCTCGCGCGGGCGAGCAGACCGTCGGTGGTGAGATGGCCCTGAGGCCGTGCGCTTGAGGCGTGATTAGACTTGAGTAAACCATCGTTTAAACTCGATTAACTCTTTCTCTGTGCAGCTGACACATAATCTATTTATCCCTCTTCATGTATTCATGCACTGCTTGACATTGAAAATCTGGCGCAGGGATCGAACTCGTCCTCCCTACAAACATCAGAATTCGAGGGCAAAGCAATTGATGCGCTTCGCACATATGTAAGTAGGCATAAATCTGGCATGATAAAGCGGTACTTAAATCAGGAGCTCGTACGTCGAGTCCGTGGCATCCAGGATACGGGCTATTCCACCCGTCTTCAGCAACTCACGGCGTATTGCTACGCCACCAGCTCCGCAGGTGCTGGAACATTTGGACCTGCTCCGCATGCGCGCCGCGGCTTCGGAGAACTTCGAAGTAATATACAGGCGAGATTTGTTCTTCTCAAGTTGTATTGGCGTCCAATACCTCCTCCTCCTCAAGCTAATCATCGGCCGGGATTCCGCCCCCTGAGCGGTCCAACAAGTCTGTGTCTACATTAGTACAGCATACCATCTGTATCTCTGCATACAATGCTCATCTATGACGGAGTAACTTCAGTGGAAGTCGAGCGCAAGTGTCTCTCTCCCGCAGAAGAGAAAATGCGCAAAAGACTTCCCTTTCCTTGTTGAGAAGCAGACCGCACAAGCACCGGTGACACCGGTATTCCCTCTACCTGATATATATGAGGGTTACCCAGGAGCACAGGGCCGAGGTCTCTTTGACCTACACCTAGGCGTGTCTCATGGTCTGCGACAGATGCCATTTGGCTCAAAGCTTATGTGATAGTAATGCAAGGGACACGATACCAAGCTAGGCTATCCGACTGCAACATTGCGGTAGTCGAGACTAGGGAAGTAGTCCACAATACGGATGGTTTCGTAATCAGGTTGTTCCTCCTCGCTTTCGTCCTCAACTCCATCGTTAAACCATGTGCCAAGTTCTCGACGAGATGGATACGTGTCTTGATTCAAACTTGTTCAGCCTATGGCAATGCGAAATATGCAGCCTCGCCTCACCTAAGGACCTGGAATGGCATCGCCACGTCTGCAGACGGGTGCTCGCGTCGCATTCTACTAATGTCGCGCATCAGTAGATTTCGACCGGGGTAGACATGCAGATGTACCAAAAGAAAGGGCCACCACTGGGGTAATACCAGCACATTTCTGCATACGATATCGGACGGTCTCGCAGACCGCATCCGGCCAGTTACGGGGCGGCCCTGCCACAAGCATATCCGAGGTTGATAACTCTCGCACTGTGAGTAAGAGCTCAATGTTGCACTGAGCGGGTAGTGACTCCTGGACAAATCGCGACCAGAACCGTCTATTCATGGTTTTATCGAGCCCACGTACGTCTTGCCAACGGTCGTACTTGCGGCTGGGAGCAGCAGCTAGAGTTTTGTTGACACCGACGGCAACCTTGACCTCCAAGGTAAGCAGTCGTATCGGAGCCTTGGCAAGCAACGTGAGGCCGAGCGTCAACCTCTCCACTGTGCGAAGCTGTCCAGAGCGATTGGCTCGGTCTCCGTTCAAAAGAACTCGTAGGTGCCGGAGGGAAGGAAGGCTGATGTTACAGGTGAGTGGCACCATCCTCGTCATTGAATCCAAGGGGTACCCAACGGGCCCTGATCCGATGCTTTAGTTACTTCGCCGGCCACGGCTATGCGGATTGCTCACCCATCATGATCAAAGCAACAGGCAAGTCCACGTGGAGATGCGATAGGGTGCTTTGCGAGGCAGCGAGCAAGCGATCGAGTGAAGATGGGGGTGGAAGAAGGAAATAATCGATGAGGCGCAGGGTCTTCAGGGCAGGGAAATGATTTCCAGGTGTTAGGCCCTCGACGAAGGCGAGTTCCACGCCTTCTCGGAAGATCAGTTCTTCTAGTTCAGGCCAACTGCAGGACGGGCATCCCACGACGGCCCCGCCGATCGTCCACGTGCGTCCATTGATCACAACGAGCTTGCGTAAGCGGGGAACCAAGAGTAGCGCCGACACTAGATCGCGCCTGTGCATACGAGCAAGATCCAGAGTGAGGTAGCGCAAGCGAGGGGCTGCATGAAGCCACAAGACTAAGGCCAGGTGGTCATCTCCGGGGGCATCGAGATCAATACCAGGCGCAAATATCAGAGTCCTCAAACGTGGCAAGGTTGAAATGAACAGCATCATCGTAAGAGAGCAGTGCAAGTCTCGAAGCTCGACTGTGCATGCCATGGGGAGGATTGAGCGGAGTGCATGGAGTGAGCGCTTGTCATCGTCTTCGATCGTGATGTTTTTGAACAGGTTAGGCAGACCAAGCCTTCGAAGTGCTGAGGACGATGCCGCAAGTTGACAGGCACTATCACGATCGGCCTTTGCGAACACGATGCTCCATAGTTCTGGGAAGAGATGGACAGGCGCTGAATCTACTAATAAGTTGAGGGTTGTTTCCTGAGGCAGATATTGGAGCTCACTGGTTGTCATCGGGCAGAAGAGGTGATGATGGTTTGTGAAAGAGCCTTTCAGGCGCCTTTGAGAACCGGGCCGCCAAGCGGAAGGCGCACTCATTGTGTGACCCAAAGGTCACGTGTCAGTGACGTCGATGCATTGAAGCCGTAGTTCTGTCTCAGGTGACTCCCCTCGTACATATAAATCACAGGGCCGTTGCACGGCAGGGACCGCTACCATTCAGAGTACAACAAGGGGATACAGTGGATTAGCCCTCTTTTGGGTTTGACACCCTTCCCTTGCACAAGCCGTAGCGAGCGAGTGATTTGCATGTTTTCCTCATGAGACGCACGGCGAATTCCAGCACATCTTTATCACCATGTCAAAGTACTCCCTCGTAAAAAAAGCGTCATTCGCACGAAAATGCGAGCTGGTCAGCACAGAAAAAATTTACAACTATTCCAAGGCAGCGAGACTGCGGCGACCCTTCCTTCCCCTGATCCCACACTGCATGCCATCGCGGGACGTTTCTGTGCTAGCAGAGATGCTTTGCATGACTGTTCTCGACGCACCTCCACAGTACTGGTCTCGCACACCTGCTGTTCCTCTTCAGTGTGTCTCGACGTCGGTGAGCTCCACAGGAAAGGCACGGGCCCCAGTGAGATCGCGTGCCGACGCGATATTGAGGCGCATCTCCGAGATTTCGAGAGTGCACTTTTCAGTGCAGATCTTCTACCCTAGAGCGCTGTGAGCTAGCGATGCTTGGAAGGCAAAAGGCAGAAGGCGCTGCCAGAGCTCCGTGACGGTAGATCTCCTTGACAGGACGCGTCCTCTGCTCGGTCCCTATAGGAATTCCAGCCGGAGGCATTGAGAGTTCCCCGCGCGGCGTTAATCTGGTATAGCGTCAAAAGCCAACAGAGCGTCGTGGAGAATTGAGGTGAGTGGAGAAGCCGCCTGCGGCGAATGCCGAGCTGTGGACGACCCCAACATGCGCATTGCACGTGATAGCCCTCAGAGTCTCCGCCAAGAGCGGTTTTGCGTTCCGTCGCCAAAACCCACTACCGTAAATGATAGCGGGAAACTCTGGAAGGGTGTATAACGGCAGGGGCTGCTACCAATTTGACACCGTCAATCTTGTTCACTTCGGACTCCGGCAACTTCAGACAAGGGATCCGTGCCCCTCACAAGCTTTCTCGTGCCCGAAATCACGGTTACCGGTATCGCCAGCAACGCCGCATCTCACTCGGCCTCTTCGTCGTATCCATGTCTCTCTTGACATGCCCATCCCGACAACAACATGATCTACGCTGCTGTGAAACATACTCAAGGCGTCGCATCTGACGGTGCGTCAGTGCCCACTCACACGAACGTCGTCTAGTAGGCCCTGGATCCTCCCCCCGGCCCCGTGTGGCGTCAATTTCCCGCCTTCAAAGGAAGTGCTCCGCGCACTGACCATGCATATTCAATGCTTGTCGATACCACTTGTCCCAAGCACCGTTGGGCCCACTGCAATATAAATCTCCCAAGAAACTCAAAGCAGCAACATAGAAATGGACTTACCATCTAGTGTAGCATTCTAACTTAGAGTTAAGTTCCCCCTCGCAATTCATGCGCGTCGGGCGAGGTCTTAAACGGTATCCGCAAGCTTTTCGTCCATTCACCGTTGCAGATAGGAAGTGACTGTGGCCCAGAACGAACAGGGCACACTCTTGCATGCGGAAGACGAACCCCGACATTTACATGGATTGTCAATTCAGCATGTAATGGTATACGGGACGCTTCATTCAGTACGGCAGCGCGCAGCGAGCAGGGTGTGACAGGGGATGGGCAAGTAGTGAGACTCAAGAATGGTGGGGATCGCATCAGGTAATTCACACGTGACCACCCGTGATAATCCAGACTCAGACTCAATCGCCCAGACTCACTGGCTCTCACCTGTCGACGGCATTCAAGCTGCGCAGGAGGCGCCCAACTCAGAAGCCAACATCTCACTCAAGCTGATGACGGACGTCGACCCACAAGACGGCAACATGCGACCCTGGCCACCTTGGCGAGCTTCTTTTTGCTTCGGGTCTATGCATCTTCTCGACACAGCAAGCAGCCGCATTTGCAAGGCACACTACGCTACCGGAGCGCCCCTCGACTGTTGACTCTATAAGTGAGAGTTCTCCAGAGCGGTTGTTGTCGGCATCATAGGTTCCCGGCTCCAGGGGAGATCATCGTCGCCCTCAGTCAGCGTCGATAAAGTGTGGATTGTGCCACTTGCAGTTGATGCGCTAACAGAATGCTTTCATCGCCTTGTTGCCCAACCCTCATTCCTCGTGCGAACCTTCATCCAGATCTGATCTCTCGTCCTCCAACCTCAACCCTCTAGCGACGTGCCGAAAATCCAATTAAGATTTGTGAGTTCGTTAAGGTCCGTGGTTGGGCCCGACATTGGTTTTTGGAAAGGTGACCTATCTTTGATTGGCCCAAGACTGGCCTCCTCTGTCACTTTCTGAGGCTCCTGTTGGTAGGCCCGCTGAGCTACAGTCCATCTCTCTCCTATGCATGTCACGGCGAGGGCTCCCCACGAATTCTGCGTGGACAAAGGAGGGAGAACTTCATGGCACCCGCATCTGAGGTGCCGCTGAGTTCCCCCGACGTCCCGCCGACGTGCGCGAGATGTACGCACAGAGCGGGAGACATGGCTCTGAGGTGAGGGATTGAGAAAACCGGGGGACTCGGCGTTAGTGTCCCTTCTCTCGTTAATCATCCCCCGCCCTCCGCCGCGCGACTACTGCGCGCACTCTCCGACATGCTATTCAGCCTGCTCAAAGACCCTGGCAACGCAAGCTGTTGTGATCCCGTCATGAATGCCGACTGAATTCGTGGGGTCTAATTTCCAGCGCGACCATTGGATGGAGGGATGCCCACGAGCTTGCTACGGGGAGTTTCCGAGGAGGATGAGGCGGATTCGGGCGGTGGGGCTGTCCCTGCTTCAGTGACCGCTTCGATGTCGTCGGTCGCAAGAACAGCATTCTCTGACTTGATGTCTGCGGCGCGCGCGATGAGCAGGTAAAGGGATCAACACAGCACGTCGCGCGCACGAGTGTGGATGAGGCTGCAGTATTTGTGCTGTGAATTCGAGCCCGAGGAGGACTTGCCTCGCGGTCTGCTTGACGAGGTGCATCAAACCACCTCTGTTCGTGGCGACGAATGAAGCCGAGAGAGCTCTCGCCTTGGACCTCGAAGACTATGCCAGCGTGCGTAGCATTAGGCTCTGCGGGCGCAAATGATCGAGGAAGCCAAAGAAATAGTAGCTCCCAGGATAGGTGTCGGCGGGGGAGGGGTAACCGGGTTCGGGATGGGATTTATGCGCAGCAACAGCCGGATCACGTTCAGCGCTGTCTCGGTGAATCGACGATAATGAGGGACGTGGTGCTGCTACCTGGGGGGAAGGTGAGTGACGTGCACGCGATCGAGGGGGTGATCACGCACTGAGTGTCCTTTGCGAACCAGACGGTCGAAAAGTGACCTCAGCCGAGCTTGCACACGATGAGGTGGCGGCCGTCAGAGAATGGTGATGGATGTAGATGCGGTAGTAGCCGCCCTGGCAGTAGTCGGCGAAACCTTAGTCTTCGCTGATGGTGGGGGCAGAGCAGGGTAGGCGGACTCAGAGTCCAACGTAAGGGAAAGGCGAGGTAGGTTGGTGGTAATTCACTGTGTCTGGGTGTAGTTCAGCGCCTGGATTCAGAGCAAATTCTGGGGGATGACTCACTTGTGGGGCATAGGATGTGGGGTAGTCGCGGCGCTAGTTGCAGAAAGACCGCGTTGAAGGGTGAAAGTCGGGCGGAATGTGCGAGGCAGAGCCCGATCTCAATGTTGAGTGCGAGCAGGGTATGTACGAATGGAGGAGACGACGTGGTATGGCCTGAAACGGATGTGGTTGAGGAGCAAAAGGCGCGTGGCGAATAAGGTCAACCAGGCATCGAGTTGGAGTCGCTCCTGCTACTGTGGCCTTCTTCCCCATCATCGCTCTTACCCTCAAACAAGCTGGGACTTGTTCAGCTAGAGAACGGGCGCGTCAGTGGGACGCAGTCGTTTTGAATGCGTCGATTATACAACGTGTCCTTTCCCTCTATCGCCCTCATCTCACCACATCTCCTTCCTCTTCATTGGAGCCAGCGAACTATCTGATATCGTCGCGGCGCGTGTTTGTGGTCGACTCAACGATTTGAAGCACGCGTCACCGCGAGGCATTGATTTAATTATGTGTTCCGTATACACACATGCCATACGGCTTTCAATAGTGTACGTCGCGCTTGTGGAACACTCGGTTGAGGAAGGGGGCTAAATTGTCTTGGAGGGGAAGAAGGCGCGTGCGACGTCGCTCAGCAGGCACGTGTAAACTGCCCAAGCGGTAGCACTGAGGCATGACTGTTCTGGGATTCGAGCCATGTCACGTCCTGGATTTATGGAGCTGACATAGCCTCTTGCTGCCTTGCTTGCAGGGTACATAGGATGCCTGCGCGGCTCAGCAAATGATGAGAGGTAGTGAGTATTGCAGTCCTGTGACGACCGTATCACGTGTAGATTACCCAATGAGGTATGCCGGCCTGTCCTGACCGCGCACTCACTGCGCCTTGACTGGTAAGTACAAGTCCGACAGCGCCAAGGCGTCAACAAAGCTCAGTATCCATAGTGTCTTTGGGATCTAGATGTTTGGTAGACAGGCACCACCATGGGTCGTAACCGTTTTTCGTGCGGCGCTAGCGAGTTTGTACGGCGTCGATGAGGATGTGAGCAGGAAGGAAGCCGAGTGCGAAGTAGTCGAGACCTCCGAAGGCCCCAACATGCGATGTACACGTGGCAGTCCACAAAATCCGTCACTCTCGGCCAAGCGCGGTTTTGCGTTCCGTCCCCAAAACCCACCACCATAGATGGTAGCGGGAATGATCCGACCGGTTGGTCTACAATCATCGCCCGGCCCTTCAGTGCTCAGGACATAGGCAGGGAGAACTCATGCTTTACGACTTAGGCTCACGCGGGGAAGGCGAGAATACAAGGCGATGCTGATGAGGGACTCAGAAGAGTCTTCGCTCCGTCTCGGAGACGACGTGTACATACTAGTACATGAGTATCGAGAAGGCTATAGACGTGTTCTATAATCTCTGAGAAAGACTGGAAGACAAGGGAAGTACACGAACAGGATAGAAGAAACTGCGAGATCAGTAAACCTAATTTACAAACAGACGACTCATGTGTGGAGGCTATCTAATCGAGAAGCCATAGCGGTCACTGTTAAAGTTGTCACAATACAGGCGGTGGTGCGCCTCAAATTGCGGCGATCCGTCTAGAGTCGCTATACTGCATGCCGGCCCTGACTGATGGCCTGTCACTGACCTACAAAGCATCGCCGCCATTGCGCCTCCCTACAGTCATCCCCATGACATCTATCCCCACGAGGGCGTACGTTCACGCTCTGGTTTGTTATTCATATCGTGACTGGATTTGGCACGGTATGTACTACCCTCCCTCCGACCCCATTTACATGTTACTCGCGCCAGCTGAGTCTCTATCTCACGTCCAGTCGCGCGCTGTCTGTTCTCCAGAAATCTGTGTACGTGGCTTTAACTATCATCCCATTCAAGTTTGGTCTGCTCAAGCAGTGGCTGCATCGCAGATGAGCGTTTTTAGCAGCGGCGACTAGCTTGCCCATCAGACTTACTGACTCGTGGGGCAATTTACACGTATACTGCTCACTGAATCACTGTCCGGAAACTGTCAGGACTCATCGCCAGAGCGTGACAACGCCCATGATCCTACCGTCTCAAAAGTTGGTGCATACGCTATACATTCTCTTTACTCGGATGTCAACATCACTGGATTGATCTATATCTCTCCAGCACCAAGAGCGTACGATTGCAAGAAGAGCTTCGAGACGTAGGCTGGTCCCTCTCTACACGCCGCGCTTCATCCTCCAAGTCCTCCTTACCATCTCCGCAATACTGGCGCCTTCATTTTCCCATGGGTGATAGACATCAGCCAACTGCAATGTGGCGATAACGCACGCTTGGGAAGTACTCCGTAACGCATATATCGTCGTAAAACTGTTCTTCCTCCGCTGTATCGAGGTCGTCTTCCTGATTGGCGCCATTAAAATCGTATGCATCTGCACACTGCCGTGAGGTTCCAGCATCGATCATGAAAGGTCGTAGCGTACCAGTGACAAATGAGGTCAATACAGAGATGCCAGCATATTCGTTCAAGCGAGACGTGACCAGCTGGGCAAGTCCTACCTGCCAGTCACGGTGCGGACCTACCGCAACCGTGTCCGGCTTCAGTAGCTCGCAAAGCCAAAGCATGACCTCGACCGCGCACCCCCGAGGCAGAGCCTCTTGTTGGAAACGCGCCCAGAAGTCCCTGCACAAGAACTCATCAAGTCCGTGCACATCTTGCCACTCATCATCTTCGCGATGGCAAGCAGCGACGAGCAGAGTCCTGGTGACCACAACCGAGACTCTAACGCACAGCTCAAGATGGCGTACGGGTGCCCCGACCGCAACTATGAAGCCGCGCATGAACTTGTCGATGGCGGTGAGATGTTCCGAACGATCCTTGGGTTGGCCAACATAGATCCGGACACACGAAAGGTAGGGGAGGATGCTTCGATTCGTTTCTCGCAAGATAACGACGGCAGCTGAGTGATGGTCAGTGATTGTGTGGGTGGTGTAACAATGCGTACCATGCGTACCAGTGACCTTGGACACTGCATCTATATCAAGGTGCAAGCGCGTCAACGTATTCTTCGTTTTGTACAATAAGCATCCGAGGGAGCATATCAGTGGGAGTGACCAGTCCGGAACATATAGGGTCTTTAATGCCGGAAAGGGGTCGTCGGCGGACAGAATGTTGTCCAAGAGAGCAGGGTTAATGTCGCGCGCGAAGACTATCCGCTCAAGGTGAGGCAGACTGAGTGATGCCGGAGCACTGCCGTTGAGGTGCGTCCCGTAGAGATATTCATCATGCATGATAAGGACGCGCAACTCCGGGGCTAGGATGAGTGCGTTCAACAGGTCGCTGGCCTCCGGAAGATTGACGGCCAACTCGAGACGCTTCAGCGAAGTAGCCGCGCGCAGCCAGGACTGAAGCACCAGGTTGACGATTGTTATGTCATGGTACTCTCTTTCAGTGTCGACCCCATAGACCAGGGACCTCAGTCGAGGGAGCTGAGAGGTGAATAATGTGGCGTCCAGGGATGTTCGAAGATCGAAAAGACAAATAACGCGTGCATGCCGCAAGATGGGTACGAGAGCGCGGCTGCACCGTTGCTCATGTCGCCTTACAATGATCTTGTCGAACAGGGTATTTTGTGAAATGCTTCGAAGGGTTCGACAGGATGAAGCAAGGTTGCACGCGCTGTCCCGATCAGCCATGGTGAAAATGGATGACCACAGTTCCGTGGCGAGGCCTTTTGGTACTGAGTAAAGTCAGTGAGATTGCGGAAGCTATGAGTACAGGGGCCCACTTTCACTCATCAGCTCGAGCAAGGAGGAAGTCGTAATGAGAGAATCTGGGACAAAGGCTCCTCAGCCCATCGCACGGGCCGTAATTGCCGGTGACAGTGATCGACCGAATAGTATCACTGTAGATCTTGGACAAAATACACCCTTCTCACGCACAGAATCGCGTGAAAACTTACGATTTCCTTACGCTTTTGCGGGACGGACGTTGAGAAAGCAGGTCTGTTGCCTGAAAGCTCATGCACCTCAGACTCACTTGGTGCGTGAACGTCATATGGTTATAGATCTTGGACAAAATTCGTGAGTACTGACTCACGTCGAGACGCACGATTGCGTGAAGACTGTGACACCCCATCTTCACGCACCCCGCGAATGCCCCGAGGCTCACGATGGTGACGCTCATCACGCGGCAACGGATCAGGGCCGTTTATCTCTGATCGGGACTTGCCGGTCTTGCATTGGGCGACATCCTGTGCAGCCGTGTAGCACAGAAAGCGCAAAAGAGAGCATAGTTGCGTATATATCTGAGATGGAATGCCATTCTCAAGGCTTTTCCAGTTCGAAAGCAGCGGAAAGCCCGAGTGAATGGTAACAGACCATCAACGTGTCTATGCACGTGCGCGATAACACGGCGATAAGATCGGCGGCAACCTTCGGCACGGAGATATAGCGAGACTCACTTGAGTCACGCATGGGTGACACCCTCACGCATTTCGCCACCCACGTTTTGTCACGCCAACTCGCGTTGCATGATTCTCACGCACCGAGTGGTCATCGTGAGGTGCGTGAGCGTTCACGCAAAAAACCTCCTTTTTCAACGTTCATCACGCGAAAACGTCACAAAATCGTGACTCTTCACGCGATTTTGTGCGTGAGGAGGGCACGCTCGTGAATTTTGTCCAAGATCTACAGTGATATTATGCTCACGCACCGAGTGAGTCTTGGGGCATGGTGAGGTGCGTGAAAAACTTCCTCTCTCAACGTTCGTCACGCACACGTCACGAAATCGTGACTTCTCGCGCGATTTTGGGCGTGAGCAGGGCACGCTCGTGGTCATTGTCCAGGATGACGCTATCTAACCATTGGGAACCCAGCGCCAGAGCAATTCGAGTACAATGGGAGTATACAGCGTAGTCCATATCGCACGTGTCAGTTTACTACACTCAACAAGTCGGTGCGTTGTTTTGCGTCGCATCTGCAGACTTGTCTCGCTAATCCACTTTCGAGGTTCTTTTACAGTATACCGCCCATACTAGTGTCGTCAACTCACTTTCTACTCCCCAGTATGCCACCCGTATTCATGTAACGGCGGGAGCAGCAATAGGACAAGACGATATGAAACTATACACGGCGACGATAGCAAGTCTTAAATAAGCATCGCCGCTGCCATCCGATGCAGGGACCGTCAGCCGATTGCAACATCTCGGTAGTGCAAGCTGGGCTGGTAGTCTTCTATGCAGATGATTTCATAGAAGTCATCAAGATCGTCGTCCTCCGTTTCTTCTGCGACCTCCATTGTACATTCATGCAGGGAAGGGTAAAGGTCTGTAGCGTAATTTATTCTGTGTGGATAGTCCGAATCATGATGAATCGACGTACCCAGTGCTTCGGGATGTGTGTGCCATTGATTGCGGCGGCTAACGCAATCACCTGCATAACCGCGTGAGATAGCGAGTCACCAAAGGGCGCAATCTTCAGAGCTCACCGGGAGAGAAAGTTACCATGGGCTTTAACACCGTATATTCCTGTAGTTGGGATGAAACGTGGTCGCGGACCGACGCCCGCCAGTCCCGAGCAGGTCCGGTGACGTATGTCCAGGGTCGGAGCAATGTGCGAACGGGAAGCAGGATCTCCACGGTACAATGGACTGGGAGTGTTTCCTCGACAAAGCGTGTCCAGAAGTCACGATCAAGAGTCGAAATGAGACCGCAGACGTCCTGCCATCTGTTATCTTTACGACCTGTGGTGAGGGAGATACGTTCCCTGATCATCACAAGCACTTTCACCTCCAGCGTGAGCTTTCGTATAGGCGCGTTCGTCTGTCGGACCAAGCCATGTAATAGCCTCTCCACAGTGAGGAGCTGTGCGGCGCGGCTGTCTGCGCCCTTCCAAGAGTCCAAGACCACCCGCAGCTCGGTCAAGCAGGGCAAGGAGGTATTGCAGAGCAAAGGCATCATGGTGGTCATTGACTCAGCAGGAAAAGGAGGACGTCCTGAACAACGTCAGTCAATCTTCCTACGCAAGTATGGGCCGCGATGCTCACCAACGAATTTGAATGCAGCATTCAGATCAAGATGCAGTCGTGACAGGGTATGACACGATTCTGCGAGAAAGCGATCTAGAGAAGGTACCGGACGGAGGAGGAATAGGTCAAGCAGGCGCAAGGTCTTCAACGCCGGAAAATGATTGCCGGGCGGCAAATCGTCGAGCATGGCAAGCCCAGTTCCTTCTCGGAGATGCAACTCCTCCAGATCAGGCCACACGTGCGTTGTGATCGTCGTGTAGACATTGAGAGCACGATAAGCGATGATGGCGAGTTTGCGTAGGCGTGGGACCAGCAGTAGGGCAGAGGTGAGATCTTCACTGGTGTCGAAGTCCAATGTGAGATACTGCAGGGAAGGAGCTGCATGAAGCCATGATTTTAAGGCCAGAAAGACCCGTGTATCTTGGTCCCAGTCCTGTTCATCCGAGAAAAGAAGGAACGTGCAGCGGGGCAAAGTGGAGACGAATAGGATGGCTCTCAGACAATGATCTAGGCCGTATAGTTCAATAGAACGAGCTGCGGGCAGGATCGACCGAAGAGCACGGATACACCGTTGCTCTTCGCGTCTGATGACAATTCGGTCGAACAAGACGTTGAATCCAACTTGACGTAGAGCATTGGATGCTGAGGCAAGAGCACACGCCGTGCCACGGTCTGCGTTCTCGAAGATGGCAATCCATGTCTCTGGAGCCAGATTGTATGGCGCTGGAACTGCATGCATATCGTCGGGCTCGAAGGCAGTAAAGGACTGTATCACTCACTGATTGACATCTTACGATGTTGGCGGGTTGCTGAAGAAGAAGCTCGTTTGCGAGACTTGAAAGGCGAGCATGATTCTCGGCAACCGCCGCTGGCGCATGTGGCGTGAGAGAGCTGTGCATCACGTGATCGTACCTATTCTCAGGGTTTCAACCTCGATTCTTTCATCCATTCCGCAATCTGCTCGTCAGGTCCGTAATCACCTCCCTGCTTGTGGAGCAGCGGTAACTTTTATTCAGTTGGAGCGTATACAAACAAGGCCCATAGCGCTCGGTGTGAGCAGGGACAGTGAGCCATAGTGAGCTCTCTCTTCTGCTCGTCCAAACACTGCTGTCGGAGGCTGCGGACAGGTGATCGCGTCTGACCAGGGCTCGTCGCGCCAAGAAGGAAGTCCAGAGGCCCAGGAACCCCGCCCGGCAAGTGCCGCATTCGTCGGCTTGTACACGCTCGAACCAAACAAAATAAGGACCGCTCCACGAGCGGAAGGGTGACTACTAGCCTGACGATCGCTGTAGATGAGTGGAAGGGAGCAAGCGACAGGGGTGAGAGATCCCGGGGTCAGCGCATGGGGGGGGCACCCTAGCTGAAATTGTCAAGTCGAGTCTGCAGGGGCTCGTCATGGCTGCACGTCGACGGCGCAATGTCGTTGTCGTTCCCCGCATCCCGCATCCCCCCTCACACGTTCTAACTGACAATCTACAGCGACACCGCCTCCGCACCTCGCTGCCTCACGAACGGGTTCACGGACACCTGATAGAGCGTCTGAGACCTCGTTGGGAGCTTTGCTGCGGCCTGAACACCGGTACATAGGCCGTTTTCGTCGCAGTGAGGATCAACGAGGCGTACGGCAACTCCCGATACACCTCGAACGGAAAACATGTACGGGCTCGGACGCACTCGTTTAGACTAGCGAATGAGTCCCAGATGGCACGTTAAACGATTGCGTCCCTCCAAACCTTCGCGAATTCGCGCGGTCAACGCTCAGCTTCCGATTTCTTAAGCGCGCTTAGCCTCGAGCGTTGCAGTTTCGTATGCAGGTATTTTCCGGACATTACATCGCCCATATGCTCGAGCGAGAGAGACACACCTGAGCCCACAAGTACGGGAAACCCCGAGCGTCATGCAAGGAAATGTCATTGAGGGTCAACATGCGAGGCCGGCAGCTATCGCCAACGCCAACGCCGAATTGCATGGGAAATACCAGGACCAAGTCTTGTGGGAAACGCCGACAGTGCGGTAACACGCGGTCGAGCGTTGGAACAAGAGGCAAAGCTGTGAGGCGTGCAGGCGGCCTCAGTTATTGCGGAGTGTCTGAGGCGAACCCAGGTTTACGTGCAGAGGAAGACGCTTGTCCGCTCTCAAGGAATGGAGTCATGGCGCGTCCTTTGATGGAGCAGGTAATGCCTAGGAGCAGTCTTGCGCACCATCCCCATAACCCATTCCTATCATACATGGTAGCGGGCATTGCGAAAGGGCATCTCGCTGAATTACTGGGAGGAAGGGGAACACATGATGGCCGCCCACATTGTTAGGGAAGAGACCGGCGCCGGTAGCTGGCTCTGTAGCACCTTGTCGCACCTAATTTTCTGCCAAGACGGCAGTCTTTTTATTAGTTTGGGGATGTACTATAGCGTACGCTGCGTTGCGTTTCCATTGATGCGGCAATCCACCGGGAACAGCATACGGTGATGACATTGACACTAATCACACCTGAGTCATTCATAGCTACTTAAACTGTCATGGTAGGTCGCGGAGGAAGGAGTTGGTGGATGGATGATAGTATGACAACGACGTGGAGGGCTCCTCGATAGCAGCCACATGTTAAGGTCGGGACAACATCTATTGCGCGCGAGGAGGCCACACAAACTGCACGTCTTCCTCCGACGTCGAGACTCCGTTGCTGAGCGCCCAGGCGTCTCGCAATTGATAACAGAGGACAGGTGTGCGAGTGGTGCTGATACGCTCGTCGCAAATTGGGCAAGCGAGGAAGGACTTGCTGGGCTTGGCGTGGTACATGGCTGTGAGGCAGGACTCACAGAGTGTATGACCGCAACCAAGGCTATCAGGGCGTGGTCAGCATAGAAGACGGGGCAGACACGTTGATCAACCTACACGCGGGGTGTTGACTCAGCCGTGAAGCATACCGTGCATGACATCACCAGATCCTTGCTTTCCTTGATGCAATGCAGCTCAGCCTTGAGCGCCTTCAAAGCTATGTCAGTATCTTGATCGTCCTTACGCAGCATGAACACACCTCAACCTCAGCTAAAGTGTCTGCTAAAGCGTCCTTGTAGGACTGAACTTCGTCGGCAGTGTTCTGCTGAGACATTCTTGATGTATCGTTTGACTCGTTGGATGATCCCGCTCGCGGCAGACTTGCATGAAAGTCGGGAGCAACAGCAGAGCGCTGCTACTGAGACGTCAGATCGGCCGTAGCGTAAAGGACGAGACCCACCTTCTCCTCCTCCGTGACTACCTCTGACGATGCCTCCACCAGTCTAGAGTTGTGGGCTTCCAAACCGACCTTAAGCGTCGTCAATCATTAAACAAGGCGTGGTACGGCAGAGATCTTACCTCTGCCAACGTACGGCTCTGGCCATCAAGAACAGAGGTAGGAGGAGGAGCAGATACGTAGGAGCGCGCGCGGGTGGTGACCGAAAACGAGCTAGATGCCTTCTTGCGATGATAAGGCGCTGCCTCGATGCGAGCAGCGCCAATGCGACGTGGGGTGCGGCGAGACCCAGACATGTCAGGATGCCTTCCTGAGTGCCCGGGCTGAGCTTATATGAGGGCTAAGGGGCGCGCTCTAGCCCATCGCCGAAAGGCGACAAAGGCGCTGGAGCTCGGTCTGAAAGGAGTAGAAAATGGGTACGTGTGATGACTGAGGCAGTGTGCTCATATGGTGTGATTCCGCGGCTCACAGATCCCCGTGAGGGTGTCGCGCTCAAGCGCTAGTTCGGAATCTCTCCAGCCTGTCGTCCATAGAAGGCAAGGTCTTACACGTGGCCATAGGGGCGTGTGACGCGTGTGATTTCATAGTTGCCGTTCGGAACGCGTTGGCCAAATGATGCCGCATTCTCTTCTTTCATCTTTGCAGGTTCTTGGCGACCTCTTAACATGCTTGCATCATCAACCTCCCTTGCCGATTGCGAAGCAATTGCACTTCTGTTGCTTGATTGTGCACAGGAGTGTGTCCGTCCCTTGACAGGAAAGGCGCCATGCCTTACAGCCTTTGCCTTCCTGATGATAACTTAGGAGGGCAAGGAAGATGACAGGAATACATAAGCGCGAAGCGAGCAGCAAGGTGAAGCGCTACAACTCACCATGACACCCAGATATCGTACTTATTTTCACACCGAGATTCGAGGACTCTCCCAAGCTCGGCATTTTGAGCTGATACCACTCATCCTCCGCCCTATCCCTGCGCCTCCGGGCCCTACCCGCTCAGCGAGAGCTTGCTGGCGAGCCCACCCTTACAGCAACCGCCCCATACCGACAACCGAGTCATCAGCGACGGATACGGAGCCCGAGGATGACGCGTCGAGTGGTCGTACGTTTGCGGTCAACGTGAACAACCCCACATCTTCTGGCACTACTAGTAATGACGCGGACGCTCAGCAACCAGGCGGGGTTGTACACGTGAGCGATCATCGTGAAGCGGATCATCCCCTGCCTGGACGGCATCGCAGAGGGCAAGGTCAATCACCGACTACCGCCCTCGAGCCACTTGTACCGAGGCGCGAGGGTGAGAATGCGCGATCTGAGCTGGGGAAGTTGGACTGGGATGAAGCCCGGTACTCAGCAGTTAAGGTGAGGATGATGATAACAGTCGTCAATGTTCTAGTGAAACTAAATCATGATGTCAGGACTGGGTCAAGCACAATGTGGAACGTGTCTTGGACGTGAAGAGACCTTATGATAAGCAGAATTCGCAGCAAGTTGAAGATATCTGCGCGAGAGTGAGTACGTCTGCGTATGTGTGGGACGGTAACTGACTGCTCTTGTAGGCCTGTCGTCAGTTCCCATTTCTGGCTTCCTATCCCGATTCCCTGCCCGTCGTATGTCTCATGAAAGTTTGCATGGAGGAACTACAGTTCGCTGCCCAGCACACGGGGGTATCAAGCCGCAACCTGCGTAGTAGAGCCTGACATATGTTCATCGCCGAGTCCACCTCGTATCTTTGTCGTATCGCCTGAACTTGATATGCTGGAATCTTAGTGAGCGCTAGACTCAAATCAGTCCCTGTATTCCGGGTGAGCCACCTTCGGTGGCGGGAGGGGGTGAGGGAAGTGCAGGTTTTGACAGTTCGGATACGGACAGAACGAAGTTGAGGATAGGGAACCATCCGCGGCGGAGACTGCCTCACAAGCCCCGTTCCGTCGGCCGGTGGTTCATCCACGCCAACTTTTCCGAGGATTGTACCGGTCCTTCGGACGAGGAAAGCCAGGTGAGAGGGATCGTGTTACCGGTCTATGCTCACACGTGCAGATGCTGAGAAGACTGGGGATACGCGAATTGACGAAGACGGAGACCAGCTTGGACCTGTGAGGGCGCTGATGACGCTTGATCACGTGTAGATTACCCGAACAAGGAGCGCAGCTGCACGGTGCGTTGCCGTTGATTTTGAGAGCTGGCATTGCTCACTGATTCACTCCCCGGATTCCAGACCCTCTCCGTAGTCACAGCCAGAACGCGACGACATGAGCTTTACGTTCCGACGGTGTTTGTAGGTACATACTCCATTCGGCGCCGCTGGTCTCACACGCGTTTTGTCGACGATGACCCCGTCCGCATTGCGCACACCGATTTCGTGTACACTGGGGCACTCTGATTATCTGCCTTCCACGATCTGCCTGACCTCTTTCGTCATTGGCTAGTATTGACTCCGGGGAAAGTGTCAGCTTGCTTCTACTTCGGTTCCGCGGAGCCGGGACTGGGCGCTCGATAAGAAAATGTCTCCCCATCAATGTCTGAAGACAGTCTTAGCGGGCCAATATTTGTTCTTATTTACAAGCAATTCCAGGGCGCCCATCAGGAATTCACGATCGCTCACGAAGCCAAGGTGGGGGGAGCGTGGCAACAGCAAAAGGAACGTGGTACGATGTCGCCCACCTTGCTTCATGAGAGCAAGCATGGCATAGGGTAGGACTACAATCGAAACGATTTCCATGTGTCATGGGATGCTTCGCCAGACCTCATGCCGTTCTCTGATGTCTCTCCACGCCATCTGGGAGAAGTCTACGACACTTGCCTATGTTCACGGCGCTGCACAAAAAACTCGTGGCTTTTCCGTCGCAACAACGATATCCCCGATGCCGTCAAGCACGGTGCACGTATCAAGGGACCAGCACCTGCGACTCATCGGGTGAACCACGAGGTTTTGGCTGACTTTCGGTGTCTCCTCGGAGAGGACCGCAGTTAGCGGAGGCATCCCTGCTGTTTCAGCCACTTCCTTTTTGTCCATCCCACGTAAGCGAGGAACTTGCCTTTGAGGCCCTCTTATTGGCAAACTCCCCTCCGGGGAACCATTGCCAACATATGAAGAAAGCAGGGCTTCATTACCGATACTAAGGACAGCTGACCCGCGCCCGTCTTTCATTGATGTGGATCTTCTCAAAGAGCGAATGGAACGCGGCAGTCGTCTTTGAGCTTAACAAAGGTCGTGTGAACAGTATACACGAGATTGGGCACTGTTTAAAACCCTTGGACTACCACGGACCTTCCGCTCATCCCCACTCTCACCGCCAGCACATGTCTTCCGACGCTTCCCACCTCGAACCCGTCAGCCACGATATGGGGCGCACCTTGAGTCCCATCGGCACGCCGAGTGTAGCTCGCCTGAGACTTTTGATCAGAGTAAGATCCTCGCATTAGGCTTTCACGACGCTGACCAAGGGTCAGGACGAGGTCAATAACTGCTTGCGCGCTGAGCGTGGTCGAGAACAGTTCAGTTTGCAGGAGGAAGGGAGGCCCGGAAGTTCTGGACGGGTAGTTGGCCGCGCCGAACGCAGAAGACATGAAGAGGATAGCGCCGCTGCTTTGGCCCAACCGGTTAATATTGATAAAGGGCCTGTGGAAAGGCTTCTTCCTATCTTGCTGGTGAGCCGATCCTCTTCATTCTTCGTTGCGTGAGACTGACAGGAATGACAGTTCGGTTTCATCGCCGTGATCTGGGTCATCACCATCGTGGACTGGCTGGAAATACGCATGAATCTGGCCTGGAAGTACGTCGACGTCAATGTGCCTTACCTGGGTAGTATGCCCATGCTGGGTTCCCTGTCTGTTACTTTCTTGTTCATCCAGTAAAGCCAGCCTGCCACGGTCATGGTGATATAGGACGGGTAAATCTGTACATATACAAAATCCGCTTGCGCTGAGATGCCTATGGTAACCAGGGACAGATATAGCGTTGTCTGGAGTGAATACTAGGCAACGACAAAGTAGGTGAGGTAAGTGGTGGAAGGCAGATAATTAGAGTGCCCCAGTGTACACGAAATCGGTGTGCGCAATGCGGACGGGGTCATCGTCGACAAAACGCGTGTGAGACCAGCGGCGCCGAATGGAGTATGTACCTACAAACACCGTCGGAACGTAAAGCTCATGTCGTCGCGTTCTGGCTGTGACTACGGAGAGAGTCTAGAATCCGGGGAGTGAATCAGTGAGCAGTGAGGTCGCTGTAGACTGCCCCACGAGCCCCGGTCTGTCAGCCGGCGCGCGTCTGAGCTGCACCATCGGTTTGAGAATGCATACGCTCATCCTATGTCGCCTCTGCGTACTGATGCTCGGAGGACTGGCGATACGTGGCTTGACGAAGACGGAGACCGGGTTGAATTTGTGACGGCCCTGATGACGCACGATCACGTGTAGATTGCCCGAACAAGAAGCGCCGCTGTTCTGTGCCGGTGAGTTGCCGCTGAGTTTGAGAGCCGCGCTGAAGCCGCGGCCTTCATGAGACCGTCACTTCCGCGACCGCTCACCAGTCCCCGCCACTTGTCCTCTCTCCTCATTGGACTCCGTCTCTCCCTCCTTCGTAAGTTGTGCTGAGGCTGCTCAGTACGCCTGGTTGGGGCCGTCGCAGGGTCCAGTGGTGCGTGATCAAGGTTATCCTCGCTCTTCGTTCTCCTGCTCAAACGCACGGTACATCGCGGCGTAAGTGTTTGTCCGACACCCATTTCACCATGTTTCCTGGCTTATTTCTTGCGAGACGACCACCGTCATATGAATCTTCTAGCGTACCCCCCTGATCGTCGCGCTCAGTCGCTCCTCAGCCCTCTGCCTGGTGACCGTTCCCTCGTATTAAACATATCACCCAGCAGCCCTTGTGTCTCACCCTTCTATCCTTCCATCACCCTCGCCGTTGTGCAGGCCGCCTTCTTCAGCACCCGCCCTGGCGGAAATCGTAGATGTGGCCATTCTTCCCCGGGCCATGGTCCCTCCATTGGTGCGTACGCGCCGTCGCGGCATCCGGGATGTGTCATCACCCCCACAGGACGATGCAGGAAGACGAACCGCTTAACAGCATCCGTCAAGGTTGCTGTGCTACATCTGCGGTCAGCGATGCACGAAAGTGTAGCGGGTTGTGACCTCCGAGGGGGAGACCAATCTCCCGCCTCGGCGATGAGAGTTCAAAACTAAGCCATGGACGTATCTACAGATGAACACTCAATAACTGCCTAATGAGGAATGTCTTATCGCTAATGCCGTTCGCTTCAGAAGTCTAGCGCCGTCCAATGACGTGCAGAAGCGTATATATTCGCTGCCGCGCAGTCGAACGTATTGCGGCGTTCATCGCGGTGCAGCCTTGGCTTCTGTGTGACAATGATTTGCTGTAAGATGCGGCTTCCTTTCGCCAAGCCCTGGCCATGCTTACATTTCCCAACGATTGCCCGACATTCAGATCACATTATTCGGTTCTTTCTTTCATTCGTCTGAATAAGTGCTTGTCCGCCCTGTCTTGCTTAACCGTCATTGTTGGTGTCCCGGCTGAAAGCCAGGCATGTCAATGCGTTTCTTGGTGAGTGGTATGCGCTCATATGCGACCGTCTCCCTTGTTAATGCACATTCTCTCTGCCCTCGTGTAGGCAACATATGTGGCATCTCACTTTGTGAGTCAAATACAATTTTTCGCTGACAACTTCTCCGGTACAGATAGTATTGTCGACTCGAGACCTATGCGGGTCAACGATACTCGGCCTTACCCACGGGAAGTTATGCAAGACGCCGGACGAGAATGATTGCTTCAGGCTGGAAATTGAATGGTGGCCAAGGATACGAAGTTATCACCGGCAAGGTATCAGCCGATGACCCTGCGAGGCGCACAACTGAAGGGCATCTGACGAAGACGCTCTTGAGGGCGGGCGCTCTGCGCACAGGAAGGAAGGGGACGCTGACCGCAAGGAGGCGCGAATGGGATCGCCCCTCGATGACCGGACGTTGTGGCGTGGCGCATCACGTTTGATCATCTTCGGAGGCGCTTGTAGATTGCCGGCGTCTATGCTGGATGAGAGATGTGAACGGATGTGTAGGGCAGTGTTGCCTGGGTTATGTGTCGATACCCGAGTGCAGCAAACATGTCGTAAATAGGGCAAACATTGACTGCCCTTTTAAACGACGGATACAGATACGAGAACGCGATTACAGAGAGTGAGGATGAGAAGTGCGAGGCGTTCAAAAAGAAGGGGGAGGAAGGGGAGGAATGACGGGTCGGGCAAAGACGAGAGGGGACGATCACCTGACGTCCCACTGGACGGCACTAGCCGTACTTCGACCTTGGCATCAAACCAGCCATGATTAAAAACACCTCACAAAGCGCGTCGCGCAAAGAGTGGTTGGACACCGGTGGGCTAGCGCACCTTCTTACTGTGCTGTCACCGGCCGCAGGGATGCTAGGAAAAGATTGCCCCTTGCCACGTGGATTGTCAGGTGATCTGACCGGACCGGCTTGTAACCGGCCTCCTCCGGGATCGTCGCCTTTGTCTTCTTTCGTCTGACTACATCCCTGCAGGCTTTTTGACAAGTTCTAAACAAGTAATGTCTTCTGAGAAAAGAAAGATATCGGCAAGCCCCACAGGGGAAGACCACCCCAGAGGTAGCAATCGCCGACGCGAGAATAGTAGTGAAATTCCAGTAGGCGATCTCCTGTTCACCCCCCCCCGTGCGCTCACAAGTCGCCAGTCTTCCGACGTTGGACCTTCCAATCGTGCACGAGAGGTCAGTGCACAAGCTTGATATGCGTGATGTCTCCAGTGACGCCTTTGCATCACTTAATCAGGGCGACGTCGCGGAACGGCTTCGAATGGTGGAAAAGGAAATGGACGGACTCAAGATTCAACTGCGCGTCCACAAGAAAATGGAAGAACAATATCTTGTCAGTCGCAATCAACACTCGCTTAGCCCTCCTCTGACACACCATCAGGCTGAAAATTCGACCCTGGTGGCCGAGAAATTGGCGGTGAGTTAACTCACAATCTTTGGTGCGCACTGTTTGAATTTCATGTTCCTTACAGATTCAAGCCGTGCGACTGGCGGAGACACAGGCCTTTCAGGTTCCTGACATTATTCTTTTTGGTTAAAATTCTATTCAAACACACGTCAGACACGGCTCGAGACTCAGGCTTCCCATCACGACCTTTCCTACCAGAATCTCCAGGGGAGGTATGATTTGGCAGAGGAAATTCTTTTCCTAGTTCTAGTTAGATATGAATCTGATACAAATACAGGTTCAGCACAGAAATTTAGAGCAAAGTCTCCAATGGCTAGCTTCACGGGTCGACAGCGATGCCGGCATGGATGTACCGCTTCCTGGCACGCCTTACTCGGCGGACATCCGTAAGATCGAAGTGAGTTTGTGCCCCATGATTTTGAGGCTCGCTCACGATGGCCGTCACTGCAAGTCTCGTTTCAGGGATTTGTGTGGACAGATTTCGATCTTGTCGAACGGCATGACACAGCCAACGACCGAAGCAAAGGTACAAAGCGATAGACGAGACACGACGCTCAGCTTACGTCTCTTTCAGAGCCCTTCAAACGAGAATCATGCAAGTAGCAATGTCTGATGAGCTGCTTGCTGAACACGTTGATCATGGTCATCAGGAGTCGCGGCATGCCGTGGATGGGCACAGCGCAATAATCGTTGATGAACCCGACCGTACGAAGACAGAGGTCAGTCGAACAAGCATTGTGAGCGGAAAGTTGACGATTGTGTACAGACGGAGACCGCGGAGCTCAAGGCCAAGATAGAGTCCGTGACTCAGCAGTACACGGTGAGCAATCCGGCAGAGGTATACGCGCAGTGCCTGAACGGAAATCAATAGGAAGTGAAAGCTACGCTGGACTCGATCACTCTGGTTCGTTCCCTGCACTACCCTACAATGAAAGCTTATCGTTCTGCATCAGGTGACGGGTTATTCAGGAGATGTATGGGTGTAAAAATTGCCAATTGACATAGCTGACCGCTACAAAAGGCACTGATACAGGCATTGACTGTAAGGCACTCACAAGACCATTCTGCAATGAAGATTGTTGATCAATCCCTTCAGTCGTTCGCGCTGGAGAAGGAGGTACACACGTTCACTTTCCCCGCATATAGCAAACTCCGAGTACTTACTACATGCAGCGGCTTGCTCAGGAGGGGAAGGTGAGCATCGGATTATGCGTTTGGGATCTCACGAAAATGAGGGCCTTTCCTTAGCTATTGGAGGAACACAAACAAGCGACATTGGTGAATCTGGAACAAGACTCAAGATACCGACAATGCTCACGCTACGCAGAACCAAGCTCAGCAGGAGCAGAATTTGCAGGCGGACGAACGGAGAGAGGTGACCAAGCAATTTCTGCCGCCGACGTCGCTGATATGCGCTCATTCATGGCAGAACATAAGCCGTCGGGAGCAGGTGCGCACGCAGTGCATTTACATAGCCATCGTTGACTTCGGCTTAACCCAGTCCCTAACACTTGCGGCAAGCGTAAGCACCAAGGCCAATGAGTTGTGAGCTGACGGAAATGCTGGCTGGTAGACCTTAGATATGCAAGAGGAGGTGAGCACTCCATATGTTGCGATTTTTGTGCTTACCAAAGGTGGGAAAAGAACATTCGACAGCGAGAGGAAGTGAGTGAACAGATGGCATAAATTCCTCGAGATGCAGCTAAGAGTGGCTCCTGTGCAAAGGTCCTTGACGAGAAGGAGGTGGTGAGTCAGATCTGCTGTTTTGTGGACATAGGTGACGAAATCTTGTGGAAGGACATCCAGCAGCGGGAGGAGGTGAGCATTTTGACTTTGAGACGGCATTTGGTTTGAAATGGACCCTAGGCTGTCGCTGAAGCGGCGGAGGTGAGACGAGAGAACATTCAGGAGATTCAGACTCATTGGTACTGTCGGCGCTAGACGCTTCCAGGACACGAAGCAGTAAGCACATCATTTCTCTGAAGTATAACCCCAGAACTTTGCGGTGTCGCTAAGCTTGATCGCGCCGTGCAGGTTGTCAGTGCTATGGAGGCGGTGAGCGGCACTTTCCCGCTGAGGCTAAGGCTGAAACTCCATTCACGAAGGCCATTGAGCGGCGCAAAACGGTCAGTGACGTGAGAGTTGCGTGACAGCTCGCTGCTGATCCAAGGCGTTCAGGATGCAAAGCAGGCGGAGGCGGTGAGCGGTATGCGCAGACGCTGGGTCCGAGCTAACCGCATGCTTAATGCACAGGCGCTCACTCAGCGCGAGACGGTGAGCCGCGTCACCCAGGTCTCTGTTCGGTCTGACTTTGTCCTTTCGCAGGCCATCGGGCAGCGTACGACGGTGAGTGCAGAGCGGCGCAGTCACGACACGTTGCTCATCTGAGGTCACAGACTGCGGAAGAGTCGGAGGCGGTGAGCGGTATGCGCAAACGCTGGGTCCGAGCTAACCGCATGCTTAATGCACAGGCGCTCACTCAGCGCGAGACGGTGAGCCGCGTCACCCAGGTCTCTGTTCCGTCTGACCGTGTCCTTTCGCAGACCATCAGGCAGCGCAGGACGGTGAGTGCAGAGCGGCGCAGTCACGACACGCTGCTGATCTGAGGCGGTCAGGACGCGGAAGAGGCGGAGGCGGTGAGCGGTATGCGCAGACGCTGGGTCTGAGCTAACCGCATCCTTAATGCACAGGCCCTCACTCAGCGCGAGACGGTGAGCCGCGCCACCCTGGTCTCTGGTCCGTCTGACCGTGTCCTTTCGCAGACGATCGGGCAGCGCAGGACGGTGAGTGCAGAGCGGCGCAGTCACGACACGTTGCTCATCTGAGGTCACAGACTGCGGAAGAGTCGGAGGCGGTGAGCGGTATGAGCAGACTCTGGGTCTGAGCTAATCGCATCCACAATGCGCAGGCCCTCGCCCAGCGCGAGACGGTGAGTCGCGTCACCCAGGTCTCTGGTCCGTCTGACCGTGTCCTTTCGCAGACGGTCGGGCAGCGCAGGACGGTGAGTGCAGAGCGGCGCAGTCACGACACGCTGCTGATCTGAGGCGGTCAGGACGCGGAAGAGGCGGAGGCGGTGAGCGGTTTGGGCAGACGCAGGGTCTGAGCTAATCGCATCCACAATGCGCAGGCCCTCGCCCAGCGCGAGACGGTGAGTCGCGTCACGCAGGTCCCTGTTCCGTCTGACCGTGTCCTTTCGCAGACGGTCGGGCAGCGCAGGACGGTGAGTGCAGAGCGGCGCAGTCACGACACGCTGCTGATCTGAGGCGGTCAGGACGCGGAAGAGGCGGAGGCGGTGAGCGGTATGAGCAGACGCAGGGTCTGAGCTAATCGCATCCACAATGCGCAGGCCCTCGCCCAGCGCGAGACGGTGAGCCGCGCCACCCTGGTCTCTGGTCCGTCTGACCGTGTCCTTTCGCAGACGGTCGGGCAGCGCAGGACGGTGAGTGCAGAGCGGCGCAGTCGCGACACGTTGCTCATCTGAGGTCACAGACTGCGGAAGAGTCGGAGGCGGTGAGCGGTATGCGCAAACGCTGGGTCCGAGCTAACCGCATGCTTAATGCACAGGCGCTCACTCAGCGCGAGACGGTGAGCCGCGTCACCCAGGTCTCTGTTCCGTCTGACCGTGTCCTTTCGCAGACCATCAGGCAGCGCAGGACGGTGAGTGCAGAGCGGCGCAGTCACGACACGCTGCTGATCTGAGGCGGTCAGGACGCGGAAGAGGCGGAGGCGGTGAGCGGTATGCGCAGACGCTGGGTCTGAGCTAACCGCATCCTTAATGCACAGGCCCTCACTCAGCGCGAGACGGTGAGCCGCGCCACCCTGGTCTCTGGTCCGTCTGAACGTTTCCTTTCGCAGATCATCGGGCAGCGTAGGACGGTGAGTGCAGAACGGCGCAGTCGCGACGCGCTGCTGATCTAAGGCGGTCAGGACGCGGAAGAGTCGGAGGCGGTGAGCGGTATGAGCAGACGCAGGGTCTGAGCTAATCGCATCCACAATGCGCAGGCCCTCGCCCAGCGCGAGACGGTGAGCCGCGCCACCCAGGTCTCTGTTCCGTCTGACCGTGTCCTTTCGCAGACGATCGGGCAGCGTAGGACGGTGAGTGCAGAGCGGCGCAGCCGCGACACGTTGCTCATCTGAGGTCACAGACTGCGGAAGAGTCGGAGGCGGTGAGCGGTATGAGCAGACGCCGGGTCCGAGCTAACCGCATCCTGAATGCACAGGCGCTCACCCAGCGCGAGACGGTGAGCCGCGTCACCCAGGTCTCTGGTCCGTCTGACCGTGTCCTTTCGCAGACGATCGGGCAGCGCAGGACGGTGAGTGCAGAGCGGCGCAGTCACGACACGCTGCTGATCTGAGGCGGTCAGGACGCGGAAGAGGCGGAGGCGGTGAGCGGTATGAGCAGACGCAGGGTCTGAGCTAATCGCATCCACAATGCGCAGGCCCTCGCCCAGCGCGAGACGGTGAGCCGCGCCACCCAGGTCTCTGTTCCGTCTGACCGTGTCCTTTCGCAGACGATCGGGCAGCGTAGGACGGTGAGTGCAGAGCGGCGCAGCCGCGACACGTTGCTCATCTGAGGTCACAGACTGCGGAAGAGTCGGAGGCGGTGAGCGGTATGAGCAGACGCCGGGTCCGAGCTAACCGCATCCTGAATGCACAGGCGCTCACCCAGCGCGAGACGGTGAGCCGCGTCACCCAGGTCTCTGGTCCGTCTGACCGTGTCCTTTCGCAGACGATCGGGCAGCGCAGGACGGTGAGTGCAGAGCGGCGCAGTCACGACACGCTGCTGATCTGAGGCGGTCAGGACGCGGAAGAGGCGGAGGCGGTGAGCGGTATGAGCAGACGCAGGGTCTGAGCTAATCGCATCCACAATGCGCAGGCCCTCGCCCAGCGCGAGACGGTGAGCCGCGTCACCTAGGTCTCTGTTCCGTCTGACTGTGTCCTTTCGCAGGCCATCGGGCAGCGTACGACGGTGAGTGCAGAGCGGCGCAGTCACGACACGCTGCTCATCTGAGGCCACAGACTGCGCAAGAGTCGGAGGCGGTAAGCGGTATGAGCTGACGCCGGGTCCAAGCTAACCGCATCCTTAATGCACAGGCGCTCACCCAGCGCGAGACGGTGAGTCGCGTCACGCAGGTCTCTGGTCCGTCTGACCGTGTCCTTTCGCAGACGATCGGGCAGCGCAGGACGGTGAGTGCAGAGCGGCGCAGTCACGACACGCTGCTGATCTGAGGCGGTCAGGACGCGGAAGAGGCGGAGGCGGTGAGCGGTATGCGCAGACGCTGGGTCTGAGCTAACCGCATCCTTAATGCACAGGCCCTCACTCAGCGCGAGACGGTGAACCGCGCCACCCAGGTCTCTGGTCAGTCTGAACGTTTCCTTTCGCAGATCATCGGGCAGCGTAGGACGGTGAGTGCAGAACGGCGCAGTCGCGACGCGCTGCTGATCTAAGGCGGTCAGGACGCGGAACAGTCGGAGGCGGTAAGCGGTATCAGCAGACGCTGGGCCTGAGCTAACCGTGGCTATGACCCGAAGTCTTTCAACAACAGGGAGGCGGTAAGTGGGCCTCGTCCACCCTTGAGTGCACTTCATGGACATTGCCAACAGGCTATCCAGCATCGCGAGTCCGTGCGTACCGCATCTTCATCATATGTTTTCCTAGTATTCACAAACTGCTCGCCAGGAACTTGCTGAAGAACGCCGTGTGAGTATCTTCTCTGCCCCCCGGCCTGTCAATCTCACCACTTCCAGACCATTGACGCGAGCACTGAAGTGAGCAGTAATTCCTTCATCAACACCTATAACTGGTCTGAAGAGTTGAGTACAGGAACTCCGGCAAAGAGAAACAGTATGTGATCTAGCGATGGAGTTAAGTCTGGCATTGCTTATTGTCCTCGAGGCGCTCGCGGTGTTGCAGGCGGTGAGTGCGGAAAGCAACCGGTGAGTCAATACTGACCCCGATCTTGTCTTGCAGGATGTTAGTGAGAGTCAGCAGGTGATGTTTTCGTGATATGTCTGTGTCTGCTACTCATCATTGCTGATATAAGGCCCTTGAAATTGGACAACTTGTACGTACGCAGATGCACTGGCCTGGCCTCGTTCTCACCCGCGGTATCGTAGGCGCTCGCTGAAGATATGGAGGTTCGACCATTAAGCGTGATTTACCTAACTTTCCTCAATGCATTCCGCAGCAATGGGAACACAACCGATCAGAGGGTAACGTGAGTAGTAGTTTCGCATGCAACAATGAGTATCTCTCATCTTTTTCCATATAGAGGGAGCAGCAAGAAGCTTGGACGGTAAATCAACCTTCGGTAACAACCATGCCATTCCTCGCACTGACATATATCCTCCAGACCGAATTTCAATCCCGACAAGAGGTGTGTTTTCATTCCGCAGCGTGTCGCTCACCTTCATGTCCTACAGTCTCTGGATCGTTGGGAGCAGGTCAGTCGTCAGTCATCTCCGTCCATCCGCCTCACTTACTCTGCCAGCGCCTGTATGAACGTGAACGGGTGAGTCACGATACCATCCTGAATGTGACGATCTCGGATAACACTTGTTTGCCAGACACTGGGAAATGCGCGCACGGTAGGCCGGACAGGTTCCAACAGCTGGCTTCATCTAACCACCAGTATCGCAGCCGGACCAAGCGGGGAGCCTTCCGCGCTCCATGACGCAGCGCTCAGTGGGTCAACTATGCCTCAGCCACTATTGTATACATAACCATCACTCCAGAACCTCGTTCGTACTCAGCAGCGCGGAGTGAGTATTGCCCTCGACGAGTTCGATCTGGCGTGGGGTACCTGCGACGAGACATAATTCTCTAGGCGGGACACGGAGACGCACCGCCGTATCTGGTGCAAACCAGTGGTGGCAGCTTCCAGTTGTGACGCACTATCCCCCCACATCTCACTTACGGAACCTCCACAGGCTATGCCAGCTCAGGCAGGGGCCAGAAACTACGACCAAGGCCTTGTGAGAGCGACTCTTGCCGCGTAAACTGTTGTGACTAATCTCTGCACTAGAGCTCAACACACGATACGGTAATATCTTTCTTCTATTCCCTGAGAGAACTTTTCATCAATTTCTGGACGTGAACGCCTTGTCAGCCCGAGGTATGTCCAGTTCATCATTTTCCTCAACTAGCCAACCGTCGTGCAGCGTAGAATGGTCTCGCCCAACGCTATGCCGGAATCTTTCCAGGTTTGAACTTTTCCTCACGTACCCCGTCATCAATTGACTGAACATACATAGGCCCCCCAAGGAAGACCTCAGGTGTCCAAGGCTGATTACGTCCATTGCCCGTCACTGATCAATGTGGCAGGTTGATGCGCCGAGAATAATCGAGACCGGAGCTCTTACCTACCAGTCGGTAAGCCTGTGTTCATTGACAGTGAAATTTTTCTTACGTGGAGCAGACACCTACTTCTCTTCGCATGGGCCGAGGGCCGCCAGGACATGTAAGCTCTGGAAGCCATAACATCCCGGTACTCCCGAACACGCCTGAAGCGGTGACGATTCCCGGCCTCTCTGGCCCGCATAACTTACACCCTCACGGAAGCCCAACATCAGGCATGCGCGTACAGCTTGCATTTTCAATGTCAATCTGACGGAATCGTAGGCGCTGGACCCTCACGCGTTACCACAACTTCAGGGGATGTCAACTCTGCCGGTACATCCATGGCTTCCTCAACGGCGCAGGTTAGTTGTTGGGCGGACTATATTCTCACTGAAACACTAATCTCCGGTATAGGGTTTTGCTGGACCTGGCCGCCTTCAAATCGGCTCATACTCAGAGTCACTGAGATCCGATGTGCAGACGGCGATGTTCATGACAAGGGGTCTTTCTTTGTCTCGAGCTCGGGCCGATCCTGGCATGTTCGTGCCTTTGCTGACGCCAAAGAGGCAGGAGCAGGTCAGTGGTCTTGCACACCGTGTGTCGATGATATGAACGTCACTTAGATCAATCTTCATGCAACTAGAGGCAATGGACACGGCAAGCGGAGGTTGCCACATGCTATCCAACCAGAGGTACCCGATTCCAGGAAGATTGACTTGCCTCTACCTGTAAGATTTGCTTTCTCAAATCGTTTGCAAACTTCTCAAACTCTCTAAAGTCAAGCGTGACTGGCGCAAATTCCGATGGGGAGAAAGATGGCTTACCAGAGCCCCAAAATGGTCCTGCGGCTGTACGTTTGAAGCATCAGTATGCAGGCGAGTTTCTTATCAAAGGAAATCAGGACCGCGCTATGCAACAACGGAATAGAGAAAAAAAGGTGTGGGCGCTTTCGGCTCAAACCCGGGTGCAACTGATTCAGAGGTCCAGGCTCTTGTTCGCGAGATCCTGCTCCAAGGCCTGATGGGACAGGAACCTGCTATGCGACGCGAGATGCAATTCGCACATCTAGTGCCGAGTGTTTCGCAGGCCAAGCTCCAGGCAGTCATTTCAGGCGAAGAAGACATTGACCCCCGTAATTTCGCCCTCTACCGCGACAGTGGCTTGTCTACCGCAGACACTATAGCGCATCAGTACAACCATATGCTGATCACGAAGTTGGCGCATTATGTCGACAAAGTCGCTAGTCGCGCTCTCGATCGTTATGGACTCTGGCGGAGGCGGGACTGGTTCCGGTACATCGCCGGCAGGATCTACGACATTATCAGCGACTGGATGAAGATCCAATGTCGCCCTGGCGAATCGCGGGAGGCCTTCATCGCACGGATTGCGGGGGCGAGAATGGAAAGGACCTTGGCCTCCGCCAACAACTCAAATCGCCATTATGTGAGGACTCATTGCATGGATTCATAGCGCGAACTGACTCAGCGGATTTTTAGAAAGCTGCCGGTCGCAGTGCCTTGGCCTCCGGTTATCTTGAGGCAGGTATGATGCTAAACGACAGGCGGATCTGTAGCCTGGCGCGCTACATGCTCCAGACACTTGTATATCTGGGCCACGAAGGAATGTCCGACGAAGAGGATCTTCCCGAGGACGATCCGAATTACAAGAGGGTCAAGAAAGTCGCAACACTACCTTGGCGCGCGCCCGCCTTGACTGAGCTTTTCGAGTTCATCGACACGCTGCCGACGAGGGAACGTCAGATATTCAGCCAGTCCGGTGCACCCAGGATGGCAAGGATCCGCACCGGACAACCTCCAACAGCGCTGCGGCAAGTTCCAAAGAACGTTCCGTTGGCATGCTTCAACCAGGCATGGATCGCGGAAGACGAGTTCCGCAAAGTTGCGTGTCGAATTGACATAGAGTCGGCCTTCGAGCTTATTGACTTAAAGGGTGAGTGCATTACAGTGAACGTGATCTCGGGCTAACAGGCGGTTAGATTTCGTCGACCAGGAGTAAGATGTTGTACCGTTCGGGTTGTACCTCGTCAATCCTGTGCACCTGGATTGGCCATTCTGATGTTTCACGTGTATATGTAGTCGGGAAGAGCACCGGCGTCGGATCTTCAGTAGTTTCCTGAATGAGCCTCACTCGACGATGCCTCGTAACGCTGTGGCCGAACATGAGGGAAACCACGGAGAACGTCTAGGCTCGGCAGAGGGACTGCAGGTCTGTCTGCTTTGCTGGACGAAAGCCAAGCACAGCATCCTCGTCAGCCCGTCAGGCGTTTTGTTTACCGGCAGCGTTTTCCGTAATTCTACTGCTGATGACACACAAGCACATCCTTGGCTTGCACCGCTGAAGGGAAAATGCCCTGGAGGAACTTCCCTGCCATGGCCCTCAATGGCTGAGTGGGAGGACGGTCAACCGGCGCGCGGCAGAGACAGTCGATGCGTGTAGATTGCCTCGTGAGCCCCGGTTCGTCGGGCGGCGCGCGTCTGAGCTGCATGTTCGGACTGTGAAGGCGAACACTCATGGTAAGTCGCCTCTAATTACGCGTGCTGATGCTCGGAAGACTGGCGATACGCGACAGGACGAAGACGGAGTGGGACCTGTGACGGCCTGGTGATCAAGGTCACGTGTAGATTGCGCGAACAAGAAGTGCCGGTGAGTTGCGGTTGAGTTGAGAGCCTCGGGCCGCGTGAGACCGTCACTTCCGCGACCGCTCATCAGCGCTCGTCGCTCGTCCCCTCCTCCCACTTACATCCACCTCTCTCTCCTTGTAAATTGCGCTTAGGCTGCGCAGACCGGACAGTATGCCAGCGACAGGTTGCGACCGCCGCGGGGTCCAGTGGTGCGTGATCATGATTATCCTCGCTCTTCGTTCTCCTCCCTAAACGCGCGGTACCTCACTGCTTACACCAATAGCGTCAAGTCTGGACATCTCTGTTGTAGATGTACATTGTGTAGCCTTTCCTATATGGAACGGTGACAGTGTATCTCGCAGCCCGTCGACCGCGGCCCGCAGAGAGGTGGCGACATCCAGGAACCCTCGCACCCTGCGCGACCTTCATGATGGACAGTCTGCGGCTGGGCGCGCTGTATTCAAGAAGCTCGCGAGGACGCATTGCCTGGTCCGTCTCCCGGTAGGACATGTGTTCGACCCACGCGTATATCGCGAGGTGTTGGTGGGGGCGTTCGTCAAGGCGCAATTCTTCCTCCTTGGAAGCTACATTATCAGAAAGATCATGTTCTGCGCCGTTATTGTCGCGATAAGGGTCATTGTACTCCCTCCCGCTTCGTCAAACACGCTCGAGCGCGAGCACGTCCCCACCAAGTTTGACAACTGCCTGCGAAGCAGGCTTCCCGATGAGTGCTTTCGCGGCGGGGTCAGGATAGCCGTACGCATCGCCCACAGGTGATCAAACTCAGACACTTAGCTAAGAGGGACTGAGCGATATGCTGGTGTATGAACTGAACATCGTTTTCTTGTCGTACTATACAGCCATTCCTAAGTTTTATGGACTTCGTACAATATTACGGTGTGAATGCCTCGACTGACATGTACTTTGGCACTCAAAAATCAGCAGTCCAAAGCTATGATCAAGGCAAAATCTGCAAGTGACGGAGCTGGGGCTTCTCTAATGTTCATTGAGTTCAGAACATGCGGGCTGGCACGTGGTGACGGATCTGTCACGTGTAGATTACCTCGCAGACGGCCGGGCCTTGTCCTTGTTTCTTGCGCTTGCTCCGAGCGGACCAGGTGGATTGCGCGGCGGAATATGCACTCGAGAAGTCTCTACCTCCGACAATCTTCACGTCCCTACCCGTTTCTCGTGAGTGCTGCGGGTGTTTCTACGTGAGAAATGATATAGCTATAGTATGTGCGTGAGTTGAGCTTGCTCTCGAGTGTGAGTATAGCGCGGCGGATATCTTCCGGTCCTTCGGCGAGATATGCAATCAGTAACAAGCGCTAAGACTCAGCGAGCATAGGTTGAATAGATTGCGCCTTGCGATCTGTGAACGTCGCACTGTGCACAGGTAAGACTCATTTACAGCATCTGTCCTCTGTGGCTAGTCACGTTGGTTGCCTTCCATTTCCAGCTGCAGCGCTCGATCTCCCAACATCCTCTTCACCTTTTTCCGATTGTACGATAATCTTGTGCGTGCCATCTCGCGGGCTGGCCAATAATCACGATACCTGACAAGGAATGATACCCCCCCGTCCTCTCTCAGCTTCAAGTATTGTTAGTTGTCTGGTTGCATGTTGGCAATTCACTCACCTTCCCGTACATTTCCTGTAATGTCGTGTTTTGCGCCTCAAAGGTGCGTAAGGGATGAAAGTTATTGTCAACTTCCCCATTAACCCAGTTCTAAGGGTTGTGATACTTTGTTAGCCTCAAGCCATGCCGCCGATGGTGTATCGTACCCTCACGTATCGGATGTCTTTCTTGGTCCATCCCAGATCCTCTAGTGTGGCCTGCAGGCTATAACCACCAGAGCTGGGGCGCCCTGGCTCCCCAGGTGGCGCAGGGATTAGTCCGTCGTCGTCGTCGATGTGGGTAGGTATGTGAGATGTCTGATCTACGTCTCCACTAGCATTCTGTCCAACTACGGAAGCCTGTGTCACAGCCATGCCGCTAGTGGAGAATCTGCCCCCCTGCGCAGGGTTAAGCGTATTCGGTAACGAGTCGGCCACTGAGTTCCCATCACGACTCCCGCTCTGGAAGGAAGGAGACGGATATGGCCTGGGTCGGGCCCGGCTCCCAGACTTGCGCGTGACAATAGGCGAGCTTGGGATAGGTTTCAGGTGGAGAGGCATATCCCCTCCACCATTAGGGAGGTATATCTCCATGTGCAGGAAGCAAGTTTGGTCGGACATGGGACGGTGAGTGAAGAAGACTGAAACGGCGGTCAACACGTATAAATGTAGGTGAGAACACAATCTATCCATTGCGAATACGTCGCTGGAAAGACCGCCAAAGAGTAAGACTTTATACAAAGCCCCTTTCTGAATAGCTCGGCGCCTGCCGGAGTTGCTGTGTTTCTCGGACACGTTGTGTTCCTTTCTTTGACCAGCATCATCACCCTTTGGCATCCGAGTTTTCTCTCTTCTCTCTCTATCACGATGTCGTCGACTTTCCTGGAACCATCGCACCGGCTCGCGAGTGAAGGGAAGGATGAATACATCTCGTTTGAGCACATCGTCACCATCGAAGGCCTGAAGGAACCTGCAACCGCTCTGGCCATGTCTCCCGATGGACGTTTCGTTGTCGCAGCGGGTGAGCCACTGTGTCTCAATCACAAGTATCGGTCTCTAATAGACATCAGCACGCACGCAAGTGTGTATTCGCAGCCTGGATCGAGGCCACACACCCGTCAGCATTCCAACTCAGCCTGGCGTCAAACCCATTATCACATCCATCCAATGCGCCTTCTTCCAAAGACAAGATCGGGATGTATATTCCCTCGTCATCGGAACCTTCCATGGCGAGGTGCATCTTTGGCACATGAAGGGAGAATGTGTGGTGAGTCAACTATCTCAGGCGTGACAGTCATTGGCATGACGCTGGACATTCAGGAAGCAATCACTGTCTCTCCGCCAATCAAACTTCAGGCGGAAGTGACAGATATCGCGATCAGCAAGGCCCTTCTTTCCAAAGATGCCCATTCCACCCTCGTTGCGGTAGCATGCTCGGATGGCACCATCACGATACTCAAGCTGAGGTCAAAAGGCTTTGATGCGGACGCGATGTTCTCAGTCAAGCTGGACGATCCGAACTTCCTGCCCAAGAGCGTAAGCTTCGCGAACCCTCAATTGCCATCAACAACGGATTTCGATTTCCGCGATCTAGTCGTGTTTGCCTATCAGGGTGGTGGAATGTGAGTAGCAATGGGTTGCATCCGTGTGCCGGCATCTGACCCAGGCTCCATGGCCAAGTGTACGACTAGACGGGGATGGTGAACGTGTCGCTAATGTGATCCGGGGACCAGAAACAATGTGAGTGACCATAATTTGAGCTGCAACATGCCAATGACGCTGAACCAGGGCATCCATCGCGATGTTGCAATCTGGTAGCCATTTCGTGGCGCACACTGGCTCTAGATACGAACTCATCAGTCTAGTTGACGGGAAGGCCATTAGGGCATTTGCCTCTGGTCCATGCCTGACGCTCCTGGCGAAACGTCCTTTGTTATCCCAGCAGGATTCAGTTTTCGTAGGAGGCACTGATGAGGGCCGCGCTCTTGTCTTTGATCTCGCGACTGGGAAGTGTCTGCAGGAACTGGAATGTCGGGACGGCCCTATCCAGCTCACATCAGTAAGCAACTTATCATGGCCACTTATGAGTCTAAGCATCTTGGCAGACGTGTACATTCCTGGATTCGCATTGGCTCGCTCTTGCTGGAGGATGTCCCGCAGGGGGCTCGCAGATCGTCGTATACAAGGCGAACCGCCAACCTGTGATAGAACCCGCGATTTCGCCTGAGAAGTCCCCGAAAAGGGATATCTGGTGGCTTTTCTCAGTTGCGTCTACGATCGCCTTGGTGCTGGTTGTTGGATACAGAGGCTGGAAGGGGCATCCCGTGAGTGCCTGCGTCGGTGTCTGTTCCGTCTGATGGCACGATCAATAGCTTTCCCGTCCTCAGGATCTTCTGGACCAGAACATGGGCGAGACTAAGGCAAGGTGGAGCGCAAGCGAGAAAATACCTCTCGCAGGCGACCTCAATGGGGTGCTCAGCACGAGCGACGATGAAGCTCGCGCGGTCGGTCACAACGAAATTTGGAGCGCTAGCAACGAAGTATCTCAAGCAGGCACTCCCCATGATATACGCGTTCCGGACGATGATGAACCCCACGCAGACGGCTTCGACCAGCTGTGGAACACAGACGACGAAGTATCTTCCACGGGCATCTCTGCTGAGACGTCCGCCCCGAACGACGATGAACCTTACGCAGTCGAAGACATATGGGCCGCAGGCGGCGAATCATCTCACGTGGTTAAGCTCGACGAGATGCGGAGCGCCGGCAACGAAGTATCTCACGCGGGAGACCTGAAGGAGGTAACGAGCGCAAGCAATGACCTGTCCAGTACCTCAGATATCTCCAACCTCGCGGTTTGTCGCAATGCACCTCATGCTCAGGAAACCTACTGTACGGCGAACCACGACAGCATCCATGCATATGAGAATGACTACAACTAATATAAGACAACTTTGTATCTTCTTCAAATGGGTATGCACATGCCTATATGTATGGGCTGTATATTATTATGGGCGGTATAATGTGACCCAACCTCGAAGGCGCATCAGCAACACAAGTCTCAAATTTCAGTCGAAATCGACGCGTCTCACTGGTGAGTCCATGCAATCAACACATACGAACGCGACCGCTGCCTCTATCAAGTGTCTTACCAGGGCCGTCCATGTGAAGACACTGATATGGGCGGTTTACTGTAAAAAAACCTGGTAACAACTTAACGACGCAGGTCTCCAGATTTCGTCAAAATGGAACCAGCGAGCTCGGTCAGTCGAGACCGAAGTAGACACCTGTGATCGGTGCTTACACTGAGAAACGCCTTTGCACTCTACTGGCCCTCCTGGCCGCGGTTGGAATGCAGTCAGTCGCTGCCTGGAAGGACGAGCAGGAAGTCCCGCGCACCGCCACGTGCAGTCCACGTGACAACTCGAATTTCGGCGGTGCTGTACTGTCTTGATGATGGAAGTCATTGTTCACCACCTCATCTCCGTACGAGCGAGGCCCTAGAGGACATCGCAGCAACTAAGAGGTGAGGGCGCGCACTCGGAATGACATCCAACAGAATCGAGGCTTTTGAGTTCGAGGGGCCCGGGACCGGCGCTGTGACGAGCCCCGGCTTATCATCCCTCTCGCACTCGTCCGTATAAGTAGGGCATGACACGCACACGTAGGTTAGCCCTGCGGCTCGTTGAGTGAGTGTGTAGGAGCCACTCGGACCGGTAGGGCTCGTGAGATATCAATGTCCTGCAGCTGTCCGTGCCCTGCGGACCGCATGCCCCTTTGACTGGTCATGGTTAAGCTAGCCCCAGTCGCAAGGAAAGCCCGTTATACAGTGCTTGACTGCGGGAAGACTCTTGATCAGATGCCTTGATTGGCTGAACTCATTGACAAGGTGTGTCGTTTTTCAACGAATTCGGAGACTGGTGTCGCTGATTCGCATTCGAGGTTTTTTTTACAGTATACCGTCCTAGTTGAACGTAGGGGCCCGGATGGAAATAAGGACCGGAGCAGCTGTGGGCGACTGCCCATGTCGAGGGTGACCAAACCCGCCGGGCGAAGACCTTCAATGGATCTGATCAAAGATATTCATTGCTCTCCGTTAGCTGCAGAGAGGCCTGCCGGCCTCGCAAAGGCTTCTACGCCGAGATTCGTGCCGGGAAAATAATTTGCGGTGAATACAAACGGGGCAAGGTGACGCGGCCGCGCTCGAAGAGCGAGTGGCTCACTTTACGACAGACACACTCGCCCGGTGCGTCGTCACAGCATGCGTGAGATGAGGGATGCGATTGTTCTCATCTCTGGCCCTTCTACGATTGGAGATTAGAGTAGAGTATCCACAATCTCGAAGCTCAAACTCATACCCCGACCTACTGACTCTCACCAGACACAGCTCTCAAGTGGGGCGGAATGAGCACATCACGCGTAGATTGCGACGCCACGTTCGGCGTGAGATGCCTGTCTCGCGTGTGCGAAGTCAACACTGCCAGTGTTGCCGTGAGTCGAGTTTGAGTCCAATCCAAGTCGACCACGAGGTGCGACCTGAGTGCGCTCGAGTCACGCCTCGTGATCGACTCGGTCGAGTCGAGTCGCCCTTGCGGAGAAATCAGCGCGCATGTATACCAACAGCTGCAGTACTGCTCATCCCAGAGCTGTAGTATGCCTCTCTCAGTCGTGCCCTGCATCGAATTATGCCTGTAATGTATATGTATTGTATTTACTCTGCTATATTCAGGAACTCCATTCGACTCTGAGGGTCAAGCAAGCGGTACAAACCATAATCCAGAGCAGCGTCCTCGACATTGTGCGGCCCCTCCGCTGATGAACTGCCCCAGGTCCCGATCGTAAGCTGCTGAATTTCGGCATACTTGCCCTGCGCAAACAACGTGCGCAGTTGCTGCGAATCCTCCTCGCTAAGGCCAAGCGTCACGCATTCCTCCTCGGTAGCCACGAACCCATCGGTGAAGTTCAACTCTTGCTGGTGTAAAGTGTACTTGACGAGTTGGAGCATCTCCATCATCGTCGGGCTGAGTCTCGTGCGCGTGAGGTCGTCGGTCAACTTGCTCGAGGAGAAGACGCGCTCGCATGGGACAGACGAGGCTTGTACTGGAAGGATATCCATCGCAGCCCGCCACCACAGCGAGAGATCGCCGTGTTCGTGGTCCTAAATCGCGCTCGTCAGCATATACATCGCACTACACATGAAGTGACCAATCATACCTGCCAGAAAGAAGCAGGTTGAACTTCCTGTTGACGCACCAGCGTGGGTCCGCTTCAGGCAGAAGCCCGGCGCCTTATATCTCGCCATCTGTGCGTCCACTTCTCTCTCATTTTCCGCTTCCTCCGCTGCTCGGCGCCGCTCCTCTTCCTCCGCAGAAGCCCGCGCGTCCTGGTTTGGACAGCTGCCGCTGCTCGACGCTGTGGACGTGCACGACGAGGAGGAAGCCGCCTCCTCCAGTCGACGACGCTTCCGGAGACGTTCCATGCCACTGCCTACTTGAAGGTCTTCGTTCGCGCCATCCGAGGTGCCGAGTGAGGCGTTTGCGATTCGATCCGAGCCAAGTTCAACGGTCGAGGAGTCGACTGCTTTACGCCGCTGGCGCACATCCCGCTGAAACCGTAGAAGCTGCGATGACGAGTAACGAAATCAGGCACACTGTATACTATAAGTGTGACCGAGGACTCACCGTTTGGCGGATTCCGGCTTTGATCTTGTTGAATTCGAAAGGGTCAGTATTCCTGCGAAGCCAGTCGAACTTCATGCGAGGGTCAATGACTAAAGAATTCCAGGTTTGTCAGTACCAGCAGTACTCGGGTGCACGATAGATTCGCATACCCATGGCAAAAGCATACATAGGCGTCCGCTTCGCCTTATTAAGATACTCCGAAAGCTTGTCTATAGCTGCTTGATAGACATGCGCAATTCTCCGTCGCCGTGTCTTCAGGAATTTGAGGATGTCGATGAGTTCGGTGTAGAGCGGAAGAACGGCGGAGAGAGTGGGCGTCTTCTTGCTGAACCTCATGGTGGCACGCGAGGAACTCGCAGAAGTCGTTCAGCGCCTCGAAATCGATGTCCGACAAGGCTTAACGCTGAAGCTGAGCACGGTACTTCTCACTCGAGATAAGCTTTGCTACGGGCTATAAGCATGCATGTTAGCACCTAGCCTGCAAGCAAGGAGGAGAACTCACATAATACAACACAAGCACGCGCGATAGCATAAGGTACACTGAAAACCACCGCGTATCGACATCGCGGAGCAGTCCTATCACACGGAGCTGCTCTTTCTGGTTCTCAGCCACCAGCCAGCCCCCATGCTCGTTCCCCGTTCTTATGATGAGAATCAGCTCTTCACGTCGCTGTCCTGACGCACGCATAGCTGTGACCAGTTGTCGACAGCGCTCCACAATGGTTACAAGTGCCATCAGGTATGCCGCATCCCGCTGACGGTCGTTGGGAGACGGTTGCTCTCCGAGATGCCCTGAGTCCGCGTCGAGAGCACTGATCCTCTGTCCAGATGCCCTGACGCCTGCCTTGACGGAGATGTTGATGATGTGGGGAAAGCACCTGAAGAGAGTTGAGGTGCAACGGAGCGATGAGATCGCGTGCTTACCGGATTCGGTTCCCCTCGATATCGAAAGGAATGTTGAGCTTCTCAAGTTCTTCCACGATCTCCTCCATCCCCTTGTCATTTGTAGTTGCATTGTCCATTGTAACGACACTGATCTAGAATAGAATAAGCAAATGAACTGGCTGAATTGAATTCAAGGTACGTACATTGCCTTCGCAGCCGACTCCCTTGATAATCTTAACGAACGTACGACCAATGTTCTCGCCGTCGTGTTTACCTCGGACGTGTCGAAAGGCGACGAGGCGGGAGCGGAGAACAAGATCCCCCGATGCGGGATCACGCGATATGTAGTGAGCTGTCACGGCCATATATCCAGTCCTATTCACGCTCGACCAGATATCGGTGGTGCAAGCGACACGTCCGAGAGACTCCTGCGCGATGCTCAACAAATGCAGGAAATGAAGGTGGAGGGAAAGCGCACCCTGATCTCGTTCTGCATCTCATTGTACTTAGCCTTGAAGCGCTGGATGACGAGGTCCGCAATCTTCGTTCGGTGAGGCAGTTCGTTGTCGCTGATCTTTCCCATTCTAAGGTAAAGGAGCAAGCGTCGCAAAAAGGGGGACTCCAGCGCATTGAGCGACTATTCAAGCCAGTGAGTTCGAGAATGAAAGGGCAGCAAGTATGACGAACCATGTCCTCAGCCACAAGCCAATCAACAAGCAGTTGTAGGAAGACCGAAAGGTTGAACGGGCCTTAGGGGACACGCAGATCTGCACTGCAAACGCGCCCGGGCAGATTACTCCACCCCTTGAGCTTGAAGGCACGGACGTAGCGATTCCACGACAGGTAATGCTCGCGGTGCAGATGGCGTAGAATGTTTGATCGCGACGACGTCTCATTTCGCCAGGCGTGAAAGTCATTCACCTCGCTGAGGATCACCGTCAGGATACGCATCTCCGCTAGGTTGAATAAACTCACTCGCATAGCCTACAGCAGAGATAAGCGCCGCCTTTCGGACGTTCCTCCCGTGGTGGGTCGCCTGCGGGATCGGAAACAGCGGCGGGGCGAATATTCGAGTCTGCTGCTCGCGTGAAGAACCATATGGGCCCGCCGTTACTCTCGCGCTCTCTGCATTCGCGTCGCCTTGAGCATCACGGAAATGCGTTGTAAGCATCGGATCTGGAAGGACAGGCTACCCACTGCTTCCTTGAGCGAGCCCAACACCCGGGACGGGACGAGCCGCTGGCTGAGCTGTTGGTGCTGGAGTGCGAGAAGAAGGTGGTGAAGGACGGAGATTTGAGTCTCGTGGACCACGAGGAGCTTCAAGAGGACGCTGACGTGACTGCGAGGTGGCAGCGGCGACAGACGGCGTCATATTCTGGGTTCATCGCACATCATAGTGGTACGCAGAGGGCGCCGTACCAGATGCACGAAGCGAGCTGTTGTTACTGGGATTGCAGGCGAATTTATTGCCGGAGGAGCGCCCAGAAGAAGTACAGGCATGCGTAGTTTGTTGGGCATGGGGTGCGGCCATCGGGTGTGGGTGATACAAGAGAGATATGGCCAAGCCTCTGAGTACGGTGCGGCACTTGCTGAAGACGAAGATGGTTGCAATGTAGAGGGATAGGAGGATGTATGTGAGTATGGTGAGGGATGCGGGTACGGCGAGGGAGTTGGGCATGGCTGGGAATGTGGCCAATGGTACGCAGATTGCGGCGCCCGCTGCGCCGGGTAGCCCGTGTAGGCGCCGTTGAACCCGGTCTGCGTGTGCGACCGAGGAGGCTGTGGATGATCAGCTCAAATATTGCGAGAGACGCGATCGTATACGTACCTGCATTCCCGAAGTGCTAGGCCTCTGCGACTGATGAGACAGCGTCGTGGACTGACCTTATAATCCCGACGACTGCGAGGCCACTTGCGGCTGGGATGTCAAGCCATCGTTCGACGTGCTGTACGAGTTGTAGTACTGTCCCGGTCGCGACGACATAGCTAACGGAGGCGGGACGCAGAAAAAAATTCAGGTCCGTGTACGGGCAGGACGAGCTTTATAGCTGGATTTTATGATATTTGAGGAGCTCTACTGATGATAGGTGGCTACATGGTCCGAGGAACACGCCTCATGCTGAACAAGACGCGCTCTATGCGCAACGAGGAGGCGCGAACTCGACATTGGCGGTTGGGGCGAAGCGCGAGGATGGATCAGTGACGTCAGACAATGACTGAGGCGAGCGGGGGCGCGAGCAATGGCGGCGTACAACAATGCTAGCACAAGTCGAGCTTCTCGAACCTCAGAGAGGCCTTCGAGGCTCGAGTTCAACACTGACATGGTGGTAACACGCAAAAGGATCGAACATCAGATGGGTCCGACACGTTTCTGATCCGAGTCAAGTCGAGTTCGGACTCTCCTCCCTTTTGAGGTACAGAGTCTGAACTCGACTCGACTCGGCAAGCGAGTCGACTCAACTCACGGCAACACTAAGTCGGGACCAAGATCGACCGTCTGTTTGCATATTGTGGCCAAAACAAATCAAACACTGGATAATTTATAGTACAGGGAAATAACGCAACGTATGTAGATCAAGAAGAGCAGATGTAACCGGAGACGACAGCGTAAGCGACTCGAAAGCAACAAGATGAAGTAAATAGGGCAGACAGCAAGCCCGACAAAAGGAAGTCCTTCAAGAAACAGCGCAAAACAAGCGATGAGCACGAAACCAAAGAGTTCAAGTTCGGATATTCAAACGGGGCGCGAATACGGGAAGGCTTTCGAGATGATATGGAACATTGGCTTACTGCGACTGCGTGCGTCTCACCCAAGCCCTGTGACAACTTCTGGCCATCAGTACTACATTAGAATTGTGTAGTACCATTCAAACTCACTTCTGGCAGACTGAGCCTGGACCATGCTCACTTTGCAACCAGCGAGGGCTTGTGAGATGCTCCTGCGTTCGTTGACACTGACTTTGGCGGTGAGTTCAATAGGTTCGCGTTCGCACCGCAAGCGTTATCACTCACCTCTGGACAAACGCGCTTGCCATCCGCATCAACGCAGTGCCCTTGCCGGTTCCGCTTGACTATCACCGTCTGCCCTGCATTACCTCAGCCTTCCTGAGAGACGTGCGCGGTACGACGAGTGGATGTAGAGACGCCGGCCGCCTTATCCTTACCAGCGGTCTTATCTTTCTTGCTCTTCGATGGACCTGGGGATGTCACAGTCGTCCCCGATGTAGAAGTCGTGTCCCTTGCGCGCCGCGCACGCTTGGCAGCGGGAGTCTTCGGTTTGGGGGACGTAGACCCTGTGCGCGGACGTTTCCCACCGCAAGGAGCCTGCGACGAGGTGGCATCGTCAGCCTCTTCGTGAGAGGAGGTATCTCCCTTGTCGTGCGCCTGGCCTGCCATAGGAGCGCTAGGTGGTATGATAAAGTGCCCGCTACTAGTCATTTGCAGCGGGCCATGTCCGCGCGAAGTGGGGTCCGTGCGCCGCTCAGGGACGGTCGCGCTTGACGCTGAGGTACGTTTGGCCACCAGGCCCGCTATGACGGATAGATCCGCCTCGGCCGCTTGAAGCATCGAGCTAACATGGCGATTTTCGTCCTCAAGGATGGGGATACGGCGCATCATCCGCTCGTGGGCGACTTGCGCTTCACTCCGCTCCTTTTCTAAGCGTGCTACAGCTTCTCGAGCACGACGTTCCGCTTCCTAGAACCCTATTTGTAAGCACCTTATGTCAGGACGCACGATGAAGGGGACGCACCTGAGATCGGGCTAACGCCTCCTTCATCTCCCGGCTTTCCTTCTCCAGATCGTTGTATTTCCCTTGAAGGCATTCCAGCTCCTGAAGCTTGCCCTCAAAGTCCAGCACAGTCCGTTCGGCCGACGCCTTGTCCCCCGCCATGCGAGCATTGGAATTGGCGACCTCTTCCTGCAAGTACATGAGGGGGCTTGCGGCAAGGGGAACACTTGCACTAGCGCCTACCTTCGCTGCGGCGAGTTCGACGTTGAGCGCGTCTCGGACACCATTGAGCGCGTCGCGTTCTTGTTGTAGACGTCGAGCCTCTACCTGCAGCGCTTCGAACGCCGACTGCAGCGTGGCGTTTTGCTTCGCGAGCGCGTCCCTTCGCGCAGCGTAGGTCTCCCTCTCCGAAGAGAGACTCTCCATCTTGGAGGCGAGCTCGCCATTGCGACGCATCATGACCTGCAGGGCTGCTTCGGTTTCGGCGAGAGTGACATGGCCGGAAGACGGAGCGGAGGTTGGAGGAACCCCTGGAGGGGGGATTGACTGGGAGGTCTGAGGGGAGACAGGACGTGCACTAGGATCAGGCGCGGGAGGAGGAGCTTCGCTCCCATCGCCACCATTGATCAACGAAGACATGGAGGTCGGAAACGAACAGGTCGATTGCCAAGTTTACGTCAGGTCCAGCTGTCATTGTTTTGTGGCGCTGATCTGTCTTACGTAAGCGTTCGTTATCAATATTCGGGCCATCACCCAAATTTCCGCACCGGGGTCCCCTCTAGGATGTTCGCTTGTGTACGGACATCGACCGGTGTAACAACCACGGTCAGTTTAAACACCGCTGACCGTGGTTGTTCTGACCGGTCGAACCATGGTCACCATGTGGCACCACCATACGGCGGCACCCACATGGATTCATAACCGCCTGGCGGCCAGTCAAGTGATGCTCCTAAGCCTATAGCTCGATCTCTGACAGCACCCTCCATATCCACTCTTCTATCATGCTAGTCAGGATAATTTATTGACAACTTACTTCTCAGGTGGGGGCCCCGCCGATGTGCGAGGAAGGGGAAGCGGGAGCAATGTGTGTTCGCGATGGATGGGCTGGAGTGCCGTACAAACAAGTACAAAGGACGGAACGCAACGCAACAAAAAAGCGCTCCGCGCCTTTTGACGCGGGCAGCGCGTTCAAACTGCAAGACACTGTTCTGACATTCTGCATGGGAGGTCATTACGGTATGCTGAGATAGCTAGGGAATTTTCACGGAAATCCTTAAACCCAAAGTGACTGAGCTACGTTCTCTGTCTGGCGCCAGCACGCCCGCCAGGGCGGTCGGGCCGCAAGCCCGCGCAGCGTAGGCGCGCGGTAAGCCCCTGCGTGAGCCACCGTGGGTTCCCCACTTAACTAGCTTGTAGTAAATGTAGCAAACCAAGTTAACAAGGCCTGATTATATAGGGTGCTACAGCATCATGTTTGAGATCGTAGAGAGGCGGACCTAGCAAGGGGAGGGGCGACAATAGCAGGAAGGATGATCCTCAGCTGAGCGATGAGCAAGGGCAACGCGGCGGCTGAATCGCTGCGCGAAATGAGACAGCGCCGACGCGAGGAACAGCACAGTCACGCTGATCTCGTTCGGGAAGCGCCCGAGCACGCACGTCGCCAGCACGGAGGCGGGCGGCCCATCGACATTAGCTCTGGTCTCCTTCCCATGTCAGCGCCCGAGAATTTGGTATTTGTGCCACGGGTGATATGAGGCGAAGGTGCACAAGGCAGGGCAATGCCGCTGTACCACGCAGGCGAGTAAGCGGAGGAGAACAGGGGTTCGTCGGCTGCCATATGCGAGCAGAATGGTCTGCATGCGAGTGCGACAGTGCGACGCCGCACGCGGCGAAGGGAGAGGAGGAAGGGGTATGGCGAGAAGAGGTTACGATATTCAGGATTTACTTGCCCCCACTTCGTACTCATGGATTCAGGCGCCGAACGCGGCGCGCGCCGGAGGCTCATCGAGAACGAGGGAAGAAGGATGTCGACATATTCAAGGTCGAAGTGGCTCGCACCCGCTGTAGTTCATGGTTGGACATATCCGTTTGGTCGACGTGAGCACTCGGGATCTCAATTGATTCTCAGGATTTTGTAGACGACAATGAGAACGACTAATACATCGAGCAGAAAGCATACTCACCATTTCACAAGATTTGCCCTGTCACTTGCAAGGCAGCGGAAAGCGGCCCACATGAATGTTGTCGGCAGTGTGCAGGGGTGCCGCGCTCATCGTCCTGAGCAGCAGTCTCTTTTTCATAGTAAGTAAGGTGTAGCATACTCAGAAAGTGGAGTACTCAACGACTTTAGGTACGCCAGTACGGTCCAAGCGCCACGACGCGGACACATGCGTCAACACTGGCCACAGTATCATTTCCCGTCGTTCAGCGTGTCAGGAAAGTCGCATAGCAGCATTCTGAAATCCGTTTGAGCGTGAATCCCAAACATTAAGACCACTGTGCTCATCATCATTCGTGATGTCCTCCCCGGCAGCTACTGCATAAGCCGAGCTAGCTAGTGGTAGAGGGGAGCGCCACGTTTGCGTGAGTGTTGGCTCCGGATCGTTGAGGAAGCCTACGCGTCGTCGCGAGATTAGTGCTCTTCCGAAGACAAGATGGGTGGTGCGCAATATCCTGCGTGACATTTGCGATGGGCGCCGCGCTCACGCTTCCAGCCCGCTCGTGGGCTCTTCCAGAATGAGCACATCTGGGCAGCTAACGAACGCGAGCCCGATCGACACGCAGCGCATCTAGCCGGTCGAGATCTCGCGTGTCCGTGCGCCGCCGATGTGGGTGGCGCCGACGTTGGCGAGGCCGAGCCGCTCGATAAGCGCGTCGACGCGGTCGGCCTTGTCGGTTTCGGGAAGCGAGAGGCGCGCGATGAAGGGAAGACTTCATAGACGGTGAGCAAGGAGGGAGTGCAAGAATGTCGGATACTCACTTTGAGTCCATCAAGGAATAGGGCTGGGTAACTTCCGCCGAAGTTCGAGGAGGTGTCGATGCGCTTGAGAGAGACCTTCTCGATGTCCGGGAATGAGGTGTGGACCTTGAGCGACTTGCGGATAGTGATGATGCGCTGCTTGGTACTGGGGATGGAGCCCTTGAGCACGAGGAAGTTGTGCTCAGCCCGTAGTGCGGGAAGCCACCCATGGGCGCAATGGCCTTCGTGATGTCAAGCTCAGTAGGAACTTTCCAGAAGCAGACGACAAATCAATGTTGCATACCAGTGTGGAGAGAGATGGATGGGACGTGGCGGTGCGTGAACTTGCAGTTGGGCTGAGAACGCTACCATAAGCCTGAGTGTACAGATACAGGATCAAAAGGTTACACTCACTCTTGCAGATAACGCGGAAGCCGAGCAGGCTCACTGAGCAGCTGCTTAAAATCGGCCATAAACGACACTGCAACGTGCCGGTGAGTCCGGAGTAGCACGGGGACGGCGAAATGGTCGATTTGGAGCGGCAGCTCGTATCAGCGCGCCGTGCTGTAGCAAGGTCAACAACATTGGAGAGGAGCAGCGAATCCGAGAATACAGATTCGCTTTTAAATTCCTCAGTATCGTATAGTACTCACGGTTGCAGTCGCCAAGCGCGGCGCGCGCTAGAATCTCGCCGAGAACAAGGGAAATGTGTTGTTGGCATCCTCGAAGGCGACACAGCTCGCTCGCGCCATAGCTCACCATCGTTGATATCGCGCAGGTCGACGCGGAACCTTGATTGAGGCTCTAGACATTGCGGATGAGAATGAGAGCAACTCACGCATCGTGTAGAGCGGGTGCTTGCCGTTTCACACGAGGATCCAACCGAGACCGAAGCTTGGTCTAACTCAGAAGATGTGTCCTGGGTCTCTTATTGGCGAATAAATTGCATCAGAGAGCCCCTTGATATACCTCCCTTTGGTACCTAGGAAGCGAGCACCGCCACTTCAAGCACCAGACCTACTTCGGAAGGTCTCTGCGGCTCTGGATTATATCGGTGCGCCTGCAGATGATAGTGCGTTTCATCTTTTGAGCCAAGCACGATTCCGCCCTTGAAAAGCCGAGAATTGATATTGAGTGGTGCTCTCGCTGGCGCCGAGTGTTGGTCATTGAAGCACGTAGGAGGCGATAGGGAAGTTTGAAGAGTCGGAGCGGTTCGCTGAGTTTCTGTCAATTCCCCGTACGAGAGGCGAGCGAGGACGTCTGAAATGGAGTGAGGACGAGGGCGAGTTTAATATGCCACGGGAAGACGTCGCGGGGGGGCTGGATGCGGGTGACGGTGTCGAGCATGCGTTACGCGATGGGAGCGCAGTCTTGGGCGGGGAAGAAAAGACTGCAGATGAGGAGGTAAAGGATGGTGATGAGTAATGGAAGGAGGACGACGAGCGAGCGGCTGACAACCTGACATTCAGCGGGCCTGGCGACGAACATTCGTGAGCTACAGTTCAGAGTGCTGCAGTACTGTAACATCACGCACCAATTTCCTCTTCTGCGCGTAATTGTGACTCCGTGGTCATGCTGAATCCAACAATCAGCGATCGTGCACTACTTGACTTGATGACCTCCTGTAGGTATCACCCCGCAAAGGAGGAGGGCGAAGCGCATCAGGTCGAGCAGACGGCAGGGTCCTGCACAAGTGAGGCGAGAGCAACGAGTGAACCCGTGATGAAGATGTACGGGACGGGCACGAAGTAAGCAAATGATGAATAGGTTCCCCCGATTGGAATACTTCGGCGTTCGTGAGAGTAGCGAAGAAGCAATGCGACAATGTGAATGCGGATGACGGTATGCAAGATGCGAGGGACTGAGGAGAAGCACCGTCAGGCAGTAGGACGGTCATGCTTCAGTTGATGACTGCTGGAAGGGAAGACGATCAATAAGTGTAGGGCAAAGGCAGTCAGATAAAAGGTCGAAAGAAGTGGTGCGTGCGCACGAATGGAGGAAGACAACGGTCTGGGGATGGATCGCCAGATCCCGACGACTGCCGGAAAGTCTAGTCCCAGACAAGGCGGCTGGGACAGCGGCTGGGAGCATCAAGGGAAAGGAGATACGACGGCAGCCGGGTGGTATACTTACGACGAGGGAACGATCACCAGGCAGAGGGCTGACAACCATCAGAGCGCGACGACAGGCGGGCGGTTATGCTATTGGGCGATGGGGATAACGGTGGTCGTATCGCGAGGAGAAGGCCAACCAACACGGCAAGACGGGTGTCGGACAAACTTCTAAGCAGGAACCGTGCGTTCGAGCAGGAGAACGAAGAGCGAGGATGATCATGATCACGCACCACTGGACCCCGCGGCGGTCGCAACCTGTCGCTGGCATACTGTCCGGTCTGCGCAGCCTAAGCACAATTTACAGAGGAGAGAGAGGTGAATGTCAGCGGGAGGAGGGGACGAGCGACGAGCGCTGATGAGCGGTCGCGGAAGCGACGGTCTCACGCGGCCTGCGGCTCTCAACTCAACGGCAACTCACTGGCACAGAGCAGCGGCGCTTCTTGTTCGGGTAATCTACACGTGACCTTAGTCACAAGGGCCGTCACGGGTCCTGCCCGGTCTCCGTCTCCGTCAAGTCCTGTATCGCCAGTCTTCATAGCATGAGCGTGAATAGCTGTAGCCGACTGACCACGAGCGCTTGAGGATTGAGCCCTATGGTGCATCTCAGACGCCTGCCGGCCGCCAGCCAGATAATGTACGCACCGCTCACCGACTCACTCTACGGCGGACTCTCTGCACTCACTGTCAGGACGTGACGCGTTCTCGTGACACTGCTCACGCTCTCATCGTCGCATCCACTTCCATCTGTTCAGGCAACGAGACCAGCGAATGCGTATCATTATGACTCGTATTCCACGACCGCCGGGGTGCTACATCCACTTGCGCTGTGCATGTCGCGTACAATGGGTCTAATGGCGTACCTAACCTATCCGTATTCTCATTTGCGCGTCGGAAGGGGCTTCTCCGGAGACGCGCGAGCGTTCTAGCTTTTCGAGCTCGGACCACCCGTCGCAATCTGGCGCCCCTCCAGCTGCTTACGCTTGCGAGTCCAATGAGTCACATGTATCGATTCGCTACCAAGTTGACGGGGAGTATATACCTGGTCCTGCACCTTGCAAGACCTCTTTGTTTGCCAACTACGATGCAGTCCAGTCCGCTCTGCGCGGGTCGTCATCAATGCTCGTAGGACAGGTTCAGAGTCCAATCAAGGTCTGAACATGAAGCTACCGACGCCACCCATGGGGCCCGTTGAAAGAAGCTCTCTCACCTCCGACGGAAATCACGGGGGTCTCTGTCGCGAGGCGCACTTGCACTCTGCGAAGGACCATTCACCGAATCATATCCTCCATAATAAAAGGCTTTCATGCCGCTGTCGAAGCCCTGCGCGTCCATCCTCGCCTCCGTGGAGAATATGCCGCCAGTGACGGGCATCACTATTTCGGGGCCCATAGCAGCCAGCGAAGGCATACCAATGGGAGCCTGACGTGATTGATGCGTTGAAACCAAGCTGGTCGGCTCGAGACGCTCTCTCGCATCGTGGGGGCGCGTCAGCACATCGTGTGCCTTCTTCGCTGCGGGCTTCGTCTTCTTCGCAGTCGGCCTAGGCCTCGGCGTCGCTATTTCCTCGTCTTCGCCCTCTGACTCCACTACTTGGCTCTTGCTGTTCGACGACGACCCGACGGGCCCCTGCGCGCTCGCGGTCTTCAGGCGTTTCGAGCTTCCGTGTACGTACTTCGGGTGGGCACCGTCCTGCTCCGGCTTTGCCTGCTGCTTGCGCTTGCGTTGCGCGCCCGCCGCCTGCCCGCTGCGGCTAGCGTGAATGAAGTCGAGGATCGTGCGTGCTACCGCCGCGTTGCTGCGCACGTCGTTGTGATGCATGCGCACGTCAGCGCGCAGTGCCTGCATCAGGCTGACAATCTCCCCGCGCGGCTTTCCGGGGTGCGCAGCGATGAGAACCGTGAACATGGCGACCTCGATCGGCGCCATCTTCGCGGGCAGGCGGAAGACATGCTTGTGTGCGCGCGTACGCACGATCGCCTCAAACTCGTCAAGCGCACGCATGACCGTTGTCTCTACGGATGAGGGCACAGTGACAGTCGCGCTGAGCCAGCGGGACAGCTGACAGGCGCCTGGCAGCTGCCGGCAGGTCGCGGGCTCGTCAAGGAAATGCTCGGTCACCCAGACCGCCAATGCAAACGTGCGAAAGTCTCCTCCTCGAGAGCGATCCCAATCGAGGGGTGGCCCGGACAGCACGCCGGCCTCGGTGAGGTACTTGTCAATGAGCGAGAGGATGAACCGCGATCGGTTGGTGTCGATGACGGCAAGCTTCTCCGACGGCGTGAGCGCCATGCCCATCTGAACACGCTGCAAAAGGTCAACAACAAGAGTGTACACGGAGGAATGCAATGCGCGCACCTGAAAGATCTCGCGCTCTTCCAACTCGCTGATGCCTTCGTACTCGACGCACACGATCTGCTTCTTCGAGAATGACTTGCGATACTTCTCAGGAAGCAACTTCTTGTTCGCTGCTTTCTTTGAAGTGCCACCGACGTCCTTGTACCAGTACTTATTTCCCGTTTTCCTGAAGGGAGCTAAGTGATATTCGACTACGCGAAGCACGACACGCACGGGTCTTTGTCTGCAGCCTGGTCAGTCCATGTCTCGGGAATGGCTACAGGTCACGCACGGTAAATCTGGCCATCCATGAATCTGTGCAGCGATGTCAGGCGCTGTTTCCCGTCGATGCATGTCCGCCTCTCCTCGCCATGGTCGACAGTGAGAACTGAGAGCGAATCAGCGATTTGTGAGTGTAGGGACAGCGCCTCTACCCACCGAATATGATTGGAGGAATGTAAAAGTTGCAGAACACTGAGTTGATGAGCTCGATTTGCTTAGCGTCACTCCACACGACATCTGTAAACGTCAGTTCGGTAAGTGGGCGATCGAGGTAAGCGCCGCTCTAACGCACTTCGCTGGTACACGGGGTCAAGGTCAATGTCCCCTTGAGTTATTTGATCTGAGACGTAGTGAGTTATGTACCGTCCTCTGCATTTCGCCACGCACCATAAAGTGAATGTACTGTATAGTTACATGCTCTGGGTTTCGGGAGTACGCGGTGGAATCCGGGGCTTGACTTCTTTGTAAGCTTGCCAGAGGTGTTTTGTTCACCTTCGCTCTCGTCGGAGGACGTGCGGTCGATGAATAGCTCGTCGTCCGACATATTGAGATGGAGGTCGGTGATGAAAGGCCGGGGCGGTGAGTAGGATCCTGAGCTTGGTCGCGATGATGGCGGCGCAGAAGTACTCCCTGAGGTCTCTCAGCAGGGCAACGCGGACACAGGCAATAACGTCGAAGGTGTACAAGACCAAGATGGCCTTTCGGAGGAAACTCACTTTGGCGGCTTCGGGACTCATCTCCAGGCGTGACGCGTAACGGCACTCACGTTCTCTTCGTCACATCCACCCCATGGCAGTGGTAACCAGTTGCTGACGTACTGTACGTTCTGCGCAGGCGCCGCTGCCTAGGCACGAGGTACAGAGGATGGGGAGGAGGGAGGGAAGGGACGTGTGGCGGGAGGTCGTGAGCGGTCGTGGACGAGATCAAGCGTGAAGAAGGCAAGTAAGAAGGAGACGATCTCACGAGGCCCACGGCTCTCAAGACTCAGCGTACTCAACGGCAACTCACTGGCACAGAGCAGCGGCGCTTTGTTCGGGTAATCTACACGTGATCATGCGTCACCGGGGCCGTCACAGGTCCAACCCGGGTCCTGTCGTCGTCAAGTCGCGTATCGCCAGGCTTCCGAGCATGTGAGTGCGTGAGTAGAGGCAACTTAACATGAGTGCTTGCTTGCTCAGGTTGATGGTGCAAGTCAGACGCGCGCCAGCCGCCGGCCCAGGGCTTACTGGGCAATCTACACGTGACCGCATCGCTCATCGACTCTCTCTCTCTGTAGTCTGGAAAGACTCACGACCACCAGGTACACACTTTCGGCATCCTTGGAGCACTTTATCGAATTGTGTGTGGCTAGCGCTAGCTTTACTGTCGTCATCTGCAGCGCGAATATAAATTGAGGCCAACAAACTCTCGGACCCATCACCTGGTCGTTACGCGTGACAGCGCTAGGACGCTCTCGCCGTCACGGCTACTAGCTGCCCATGCTGTGCCCTCTTTCCCGCACCGGTCATCAGCCGCACGTCGGGACGCTCATCAGTCTGCACCTAACAAATGTGGCGCAAAACATTGTTGGAGACGACTCGAGGGGCGGAGCATGTGTGATACCAGGTCTTGTCGATCGCGGAAGACCTTATACGCCACTCCCCTTTTGTCAGTACGACGTAAAAGACTGGCGTGTTCAGAAAGAAGAAACAAGGACTTTTGATCTCGCCAGCGCGCCCTCACGTCAGAGTTTCCTTTTGGCATAACCAGGTGCCGCTGCTCCACACCCGAGGCCCCCACGTCGAGCTCGAAACTCGGAGATATCTTGTACGCAATATAATTTTCCGGATTCTAGTTAAGAGTGTCGTGACGAGGTATATACACCACTATGAGTCAACGGCACTCATAATCGATCCCACACCGGACGTGAGTACTTTGGTATCACCCATTAAAACCCTTGAATCCCCATTTGAACTTGAAGCGAAACCCGCCCCCTTCACCCGAGAATTCGCCTCCGCCTCCTGCAACATCCTGGGCATGTACTGGAGCACGCAAGGCCACCGCCGTTCCATCCGCATTCCGACGCCGGATACGATCAGCATCTCCCTCGTCGTCCTGAGACGAGACCTGGGAGTATATCAGCAAGGAGTTGATGACAGGACGCTACCAGAGACTCACCGAGCGTGCCCTCTTGCGACGGGCCGATGCGGGGCCTTCATCCGGGCTTGACGCTTGTTCTTCAGCACCCGCATTTGGACGGGCTCCGTCGACGGCACCGATCGCCCTCTGTGAAGTTGTTGAGTCAGAGAGTGCGCGTACTCAAGTAACCACGCACCGATTCCAAGGAGCGCATTCTTTTGTCGAGCTCCTGTAAGGCGACGAGGTTCTCGTTGGACCGCTACCGCACGCTTGAGTGAATATCAAATATTATGACTATGCACGAACCTGAGAGCAGTTGCAATCCGCCCGCACAATCTCCTCCTGGAGACGAGACACGGTTCCCTGGACATGCTGCAGAGGCGTCAGATCAGGAAGTGTGTGTATGCATCAGAACTTACGTCGCAAAAGGGTTTTATGATACGCTGCAGATCCACGCCGCCTTGGATAGTGTGGGGCATACCGACAGCAAACTCTCCGCCCTCGGCGGGGCTGGAAGGAGCGACAGCATCGCGAGCGGCCGGTAACTCGCGAAAGCGGGCGGGTCCATCCCTGGGTAGATCACCAGTGAGATCAATAGCGTCGCGTGGAACGGCGTCTTGATTGGGTGTGAGGGCGGTCGGCGCCTTGTCGGCGGGGACGGGGACGACAGGTGTGGATGTCGTCTCACCAGAGCTGACAGCGTCGGTGACGGCCCTGGCCTGACGAAGAGCAGACATGGCACCAAGAGGAGGAGTCGCTTGACGGAGAGAAGGAGGGGCAGCGTCTGGAAGCGCTTCCTTGCTGGGAACGAGAACGGCATCGTCCGAGACCCTCGCCTGACCGGACGCAAGGGGGAGCGGCGCCTCGCCAGCAGGGAGGACCTCTGCCTGACGAGGTGAAAGGATGACATCGGCAGGGATCGTCCCTTGCTCGAGAGCAGAAACGGTATCCTGTGGGAGCGCTGTCCGATCCGGCGCGAGAGGGATCGGCACCCCCTCAGCGGTGAGGGGGACGTCAGATGCCATCGTCACCTCGCTGGAAGGGACACCGTCATGGCCACCCGTCACCGAATGAGGAAGGACGACGCCAGAGGGGATCGCAGTTTGACCGGGGGAAAAATGCACATTGTGAGGGTTCGCCGCGTTGCCGCCCTGGGTCTCGCTCGCGCCATCGACAACGCCGAGATCGCTGTTATTGTCCTGACAGGCAGTTGTCGCGCAACGCTGTTCGACAGCTTCCGAAGAGAGCCGAATAGGGTGCGGGCTGGAGGGTGAGGAGAGAATCGAAGACATGTCAGGATTGGGACGGTAGGAGTGTACGGTCCCTGGAGGGAATGAGCAGACGTACTTATATACACTTCAACATCGCGTCTGCGTTTTCTGATTGACGAGCCCTTGGATTGTTCTCCATTCAGCCGGACACAAAGACCACCAAGAGATCACTGTGATCATAAATGAGTCCGCATGGCTTCCGCATCGGTGGCACGCATTACGTGCGTGTTGCAGGCATTGCATCTGGAAAGCCGACAAGAGAAAGGAATGGGCGAAGAGAATGCTTCACCGAAGTCAGTCATTAACATGATGAAGGTGCCTGATGGAGCCAATCAGCGGTCGGAAGTCTTCAATCGGCTCCCTTCAAGTTCGTCGAACAACCAACGCGGCCCGACGCTCGTTCCTCGGACCTTGCCGGAGTCACAATGCAGTCAGTCATCGGCAGTCAGAGTCATCCTTCTTTCGCCATCTTGAGAGCTGTACGAGCGTACACTCTTTCAGCACCCGCACACCGCTGCCTTGTTTCTGAGTTGGGTGACTGTCGTGCGAGAATCTCGTCTCTTTGAGACTCCGGCGGTGGTTGTCCCGGCTTTGATATCCCTGTTGGGGTGTCGCGGTCATGCGCTCATCCTGGGAGCTCTCGAGCCCATCGCAGCTCCCTTGCGCCCATGAGAATGGCGGTGGAGAGCGGCGTCCCTCAGCCTGAGGAGCGCATGAGTCCATAGACGAGTAACACCAATCCATTGACGCCTGCAACCTCAGATGGCACGTGATACCTCCTTGACCCCCACTCACAGACGAATGCGTTACCCGACACAATCAATTCCACCCAAGAAGTTCCTCGTTTCATCCACCGCGCTCCTGCGTGTAACCACTACTCCTTTGCTGCTACCGAACATTGCGTGCGTGGAATCCGCTGCCTCTGCGGCATCATCATCGCTTACGTGAGACCCCAGGAACGTTTGACGTGGACTGGGATATCAGAGCGCATGCGATTATGGTGTTCTGCCAGCTAGACACTGGCTCGCAGTCTACTAGGGCGGATAGGGCTGGCTCTGGTCAGGGCCCTCGCCTGAGAAGTCACTGAGAAGTCATCTACCTACCTACCTACCTCATGATGAGAGCGATACCCTCCATCGGTGATGGAGAGACGCTTGCTTTTTGGTCGCACCTTATCCTAGAGTGTCACCTGTCCTTGCAAGGTCTTTCCCGCCCTTCATTGACGCCATCAATTGGGACGGGGCTCTTGGACAGCCAATGTAAGGTCCCGCGCTCCACACGCTCACAACGAGGATCCAGTACGCAAGCCCAGCCCACGTTCTTAGCCGCAAGGCATGGTTCAAGCCGGCCCAGCCAAAGCTTCCCCTGGTGAAACAATGTAAGCACTAGGAGTGCGGGCAGTGTTTGAGAACCAAGGCTTGCCGAGCGATGCCGACTGCCATGTCATCTGCTCCGACCTCGTGCGGGTTCCAACCGTTGACGTTTGCCCCAATATAAGCAAAGAATTCCACAAAAGAAGTGCCCAGCGGAGAACGCGTGATCTGAGTGCTTGTGCAGCACCGCGCCGCGAAGGTCAAGGAATAGGCTTGTGGCCGGCCTCCTCAAGGACAGGACTTTTACATGCTTGCATATGGACATTTGCCGGGGAGTAGCCAGAACCTCCTGATGTTGGAAGCAGAGCCACGTGCGACTCCACCATAGCTCAAATCTCGCGCGTTCGCGGGCGCGGTTGTCTGTAACTTTCGCCTGCCGATCAACTTACAAAGGCGCAGACCGAGATCCTGCCAGGCAATGAAATCAAGATGTTCCCCATGCATGCATCACCGCCCATGAGAAGCACCCGGCCGTGCCTCATCTGATTACGCATCCCCGAAGCCTTGTCCAACTTTGCCTTTGACGGACGCACGCATACAGGCAGACCCTCCTCTTTCACGAACGGATATGTGTGACCAAAGCTTGCCTTTGTACTCCCACTCTCAAAAGAGCATAACTCTCGCCCTCGAAGCGTCAGAACCTCACATTTCCCGGTCGTGGGCAACGTCGTCGTCAGAACATGCGTTGTAGCCGATCCGACAGGAATCACAGCGACTTCCCATTGATGCTGCCTCGAGTCAAACCATCACCGCCGCTGCTCGGCGTAACCACTCGGGCACGGTCTCGGATACTTCAAGATTCGACACGCGCCCTCTCCGTCAAGATGGAGGAGGTGGAGACTGGGTCTGTCGAGGTATTTATACTCAGTGACTGTACCTTCATAGAATCACTGACACCTGGAAAGGACGCCGACCAAAACGGCCGTGGCCTATCAGCAGCGATGGCCTTCGAGGACACGTCTGGGAAGTTCACAGTACGTATCACACTTTCGTGTTTTACAGCTCAGATAACTTCGTCAGTCCTCCAAGGACCGCGATGACTTGGTGCCGTACGTGCCGCGGACTACACAGCTTCCTAGCGTCACAACATCAGTACATGAAGGAGGTCGTACTGCTGACTCAAACGTGTTCCATGTGAAGAAGGAAGGCTCGGAATTCAGCAAGGTGCGTACCTTCCATCACAGACTTCTTGGCTCGACGCGACGGACATGTAACCGAGGCATAGAATGACTCGGCGGAGCTCCACCAGCTCGGAGATGTAGCACATGAGTACCCCTCGTCGAAGTTGGATGTAGGTCAGTATTTACTGTCCCGTTATTGAGCTCACAGCGCACCCACGCAGACGGATCATAAACCTGGAACGGCCTCTGAAGCTGCAATCACCTGCACTATGTGTCTTCTTCCTAATTTTCTGCCTCGCGCGTGCGTATCTGTGCTACCCCAATGTCCTGAGCTCACAGTATTGATCATGTACAGGCTTTCATGCGGGCACGTCTTCTGCCAAGGATGTATAGCCGACCGCTACGAACACCACTATGCGAGGGCTTTGGATTTCGACTGCCCTTCGTGTGGCTGTTATCTGGAACACATGGCTGTGCCCTCCATTGACTATCACCTCAAGGAAGTGGTAGAGCACTGGGCGCGGGGCAAAGGCATCGAAGTCCCGCCTTCGACGACTTTTCATTGGCCTCCTCTGCGGACCCGGTGCTCCCGCACAGACATGAGTCCTTGGTCTCCCTCCAGGAGACACTCAATGCCACGCGCAAAGTACGTGTACACGTCGCAGGCGCGGCAAATGGAACTGGCACGCCGCCGTGCGAGGATGTACATACTCGCGAATACGAGATACCTTTATTCCGATAGGTTTTTGTGGTAGACAAGCTTGAACGACTGCTGCGCGCCTAATTATACTCTGGAGTGACTTATCGTACGGCCAAAGCCCGCTCGGATCTCCAGTGTTACTGGCAATGCTCTGGGGTATGGTCCATCGTGACATGTGACCCTCGCAGCCTCCTCTTCACTGAGAACCCTTGACGTTTAGAGAGGACAGCAATCGCACAATGCAGGGCTCCTGCGAAGATCCACGACTGGATTGAGGTTGACTACGAAGTGAGGGGGGATGGGCGTTGACGCGCAAGTTTGATTGTCGCTGGTCTCATTAGTACACTATGTGACTGATGGGGTTGACACCGAGAAACGAGGCGGAACTAGTGCGCATAGAGTGAGAGATTATGTGCTCTCCCCCGATCGACAAGACCTGGTATCACACATGCTCCGCCCCTCGAGTCGTCTCCAACAATGTTTTGCGCCACATTTGTTAGGTGCAGACTGATGAGCGTCCCGACGTGCGGCTGATGACCGGTGCGGGAAAGAGGGCACAGCATGGGCAGCTAGTAGCCGTGACGGCGAGAGCGTCCTAGCGCTGTCACGCGTAACGACCAGGTGATGGGTCCGAGAGTTTGTTGGCCTCAATTTATATTCGCGCTGCAGATGACGACAGTAAAGCTAGCGCTAGCCACACACAATTCGATAAAGTGCTCCAAGGATGCCGAAAGTGTGTACCTGGTGGTCGTGAGTCTTTCCAGACTACAGAGAGAGAGAGTCGATGAGCGATGCGGTCACGTGTAGATTGCCCAGTAAGCCCTGGGCCGGCGGCTGGCGCGCGTCTGACTTGCACCATCAACCTGAGCAAGCAAGCACTCATGTTAAGTTGCCTCTACTCACGCACTCACATGCTCGGAAGCCTGGCGATACGCGACTTGACGACGACAGGACCCGGGTTGGACCTGTGACGGCCCCGGTGACGCATGATCACGTGTAGATTACCCGAACAAAGCGCCGCTGCTCTGTGCCAGTGAGTTGCCGTTGAGTACGCTGAGTCTTGAGAGCCGTGGGCCTCGTGAGATCGTCTCCTTCTTACTTGCCTTCTTCACGCTTGATCTCGTCCACGACCGCTCACGACCTCCCGCCACACGTCCCTTCCCTCCCTCCTCCCCATCCTCTGTACCTCGTGCCTAGGCAGCGGCGCCTGCGCAGAACGTACAGTACGTCAGCAACTGGTTACCACTGCCATGGGGTGGATGTGACGAAGAGAACGTGAGTGCCGTTACGCGTCACGCCTGGAGATGAGTCCCGAAGCCGCCAAAGTGAGTTTCCTCCGAAAGGCCATCTTGGTCTTGTACACCTTCGACGTTATTGCCTGTGTCCGCGTTGCCCTGCTGAGAGACCTCAGGGAGTACTTCTGCGCCGCCATCATCGCGACCAAGCTCAGGATCCTACTCACCGCCCCGGCCTTTCATCACCGACCTCCATCTCAATATGTCGGACGACGAGCTATTCATCGACCGCACGTCCTCCGACGAGAGCGAAGGTGAACAAAACACCTCTGGCAAGCTTACAAAGAAGTCAAGCCCCGGATTCCACCGCGTACTCCCGAAACCCAGAGCATGTAACTATACAGTACATTCACTTTATGGTGCGTGGCGAAATGCAGAGGACGGTACATAACTCACTACGTCTCAGATCAAATAACTCAAGGGGACATTGACCTTGACCCCGTGTACCAGCGAAGTGCGTTAGAGCGGCGCTTACCTCGATCGCCCACTTACCGAACTGACGTTTACAGATGTCGTGTGGAGTGACGCTAAGCAAATCGAGCTCATCAACTCAGTGTTCTGCAACTTTTACATTCCTCCAATCATATTCGGTGGGTAGAGGCGCTGTCCCTACACTCACAAATCGCTGATTCGCTCTCAGTTCTCACTGTCGACCATGGCGAGGAGAGGCGGACATGCATCGACGGGAAACAGCGCCTGACATCGCTGCACAGATTCATGGATGGCCAGATTTACCGTGCGTGACCTGTAGCCATTCCCGAGACATGGACTGACCAGGCTGCAGACAAAGACCCGTGCGTGTCGTGCTTCGCGTAGTCGAATATCACTTAGCTCCCTTCAGGAAAACGGGAAATAAGTACTGGTACAAGGACGTCGGTGGCACTTCAAAGAAAGCAGCGAACAAGAAGTTGCTTCCTGAGAAGTATCGCAAGTCATTCTCGAAGAAGCAGATCGTGTGCGTCGAGTACGAAGGCATCAGCGAGTTGGAAGAGCGCGAGATCTTTCAGGTGCGCGCATTGCATTCCTCCGTGTACACTCTTGTTGTTGACCTTTTGCAGCGTGTTCAGATGGGCATGGCGCTCACGCCGTCGGAGAAGCTTGCCGTCATCGACACCAACCGATCGCGGTTCATCCTCTCGCTCATTGACAAGTACCTCACCGAGGCCGGCGTGCTGTCCGGGCCACCCCTCGATTGGGATCGCTCTCGAGGAGGAGACTTTCGCACGTTTGCATTGGCGGTCTGGGTGACCGAGCATTTCCTTGACGAGCCCGCGACCTGCCGGCAGCTGCCAGGCGCCTGTCAGCTGTCCCGCTGGCTCAGCGCGACTGTCACTGTGCCCTCATCCGTAGAGACAACGGTCATGCGTGCGCTTGACGAGTTTGAGGCGATCGTGCGTACGCGCGCACACAAGCATGTCTTCCGCCTGCCCGCGAAGATGGCGCCGATCGAGGTCGCCATGTTCACGGTTCTCATCGCTGCGCACCCCGGAAAGCCGCGCGGGGAGATTGTCAGCCTGATGCAGGCACTGCGCGCTGACGTGCGCATGCATCACAACGACGTGCGCAGCAACGCGGCGGTAGCACGCACGATCCTCGACTTCATTCACGCTAGCCGCAGCGGGCAGGCGGCGGGCGCGCAACGCAAGCGCAAGCAGCAGGCAAAGCCGGAGCAGGACGGTGCCCACCCGAAGTACGTACACGGAAGCTCGAAACGCCTGAAGACCGCGAGCGCGCAGGGGCCCGTCGGGTCGTCGTCGAACAGCAAGAGCCAAGTAGTGGAGTCAGAGGGCGAAGACGAGGAAATAGCGACGCCGAGGCCTAGGCCGACTGCGAAGAAGACGAAGCCCGCAGCGAAGAAGGCACACGATGTGCTGACGCGCCCCCACGATGCGAGAGAGCGTCTCGAGCCGACCAGCTTGGTTTCAACGCATCAATCACGTCAGGCTCCCATTGGTATGCCTTCGCTGGCTGCTATGGGCCCCGAAATAGTGATGCCCGTCACTGGCGGCATATTCTCCACGGAGGCGAGGATGGACGCGCAGGGCTTCGACAGCGGCATGAAAGCCTTTTATTATGGAGGATATGATTCGGTGAATGGTCCTTCGCAGAGTGCAAGTGCGCCTCGCGACAGAGACCCCCGTGATTTCCGTCGGAGGTGAGAGAGCTTCTTTCAACGGGCCCCATGGGTGGCGTCGGTAGCTTCATGTTCAGACCTTGATTGGACTCTGAACCTGTCCTACGAGCATTGATGACGACCCGCGCAGAGCGGACTGGACTGCATCGTAGTTGGCAAACAAAGAGGTCTTGCAAGGTGCAGGACCAGGTATATACTCCCCGTCAACTTGGTAGCGAATCGATACATGTGACTCATTGGACTCGCAAGCGTAAGCAGCTGGAGGGGCGCCAGATTGCGACGGGTGGTCCGAGCTCGAAAAGCTAGAACGCTCGCGCGTCTCCGGAGAAGCCCCTTCCGACGCGCAAATGAGAATACGGATAGGTTAGGTACGCCATTAGACCCATTGTACGCGACATGCACAGCGCAAGTGGATGTAGCACCCCGGCGGTCGTGGAATACGAGTCATAATGATACGCATTCGCTGGTCTCGTTGCCTGAACAGATGGAAGTGGATGCGACGATGAGAGCGTGAGCAGTGTCACGAGAACGCGTCACGTCCTGACAGTGAGTGCAGAGAGTCCGCCGTAGAGTGAGTCGGTGAGCGGTGCGTACATTATCTGGCTGGCGGCCGGCAGGCGTCTGAGATGCACCATAGGGCTCAATCCTCAAGCGCTCGTGGTCAGTCGGCTACAGCTATTCACGCTCATGCTATGAAGACTGGCGATACAGGACTTGACGGAGACGGAGACCGGGCAGGACCCGTGATGGCCCTTGTGACTAAGGTCACGTGTAGATTACCCGAACAAGAAGCGCCGCTGCTCTGTGCCAGTGAGTTGCCGTTGAGTTGAGAGCCGCAGGCCGCGTGAGACCGTCGCTTCCGCGACCGCTCATCAGCGCTCGTCGCTCGTCCCCTCCTCCCGCTGACATTCACCTCTCTCTCCTCTGTAAATTGTGCTTAGGCTGCGCAGACCGGACAGTATGCCAGCGACAGGTTGCGACCGCCGCGGGGTCCAGTGGTGCGTGATCATGATCATCCTCGCTCTTCGTTCTCCTGCTCGAACGCACGGTTCCTGCTTAGAAGTTTGTCCGACACCCGTCTTGCCGTGTTGGTCGCACTTTGTTCTTCGGAATGCTTCTGATTATCCGATGGTTGCCGGTGTAGCAAACATGTTTCGTCAATACAAGCACCTCGCAGATGGAAATGTAGGGATAGTCATTGTAATGGATGGGCCAAGAAAGTACAGGACGTGTAAGACAAGGGAGGAGGATAGCAAACGGCAAAGGGCGTGCATGCGTGGCTCAGGTCCGTACCATCGTCGTCAAGAACAATCACGAAACAAGTAGCGATGGTATGGAGTGCAAGAAAGCAAGGTGTCCAAGCACAGGCAAATTCTGCAAGCCTCCCATCACTCATTGGCCTTGATGTTAGCCCTATGGCAGCTTTCCTTCGTTAGCTTTCGACACATTGTGTCGCAACACGTACAACTCACTTCTGGCAAACAGTAGCAGGTCCGCGCTTGCTGGGAAGCCACCGAGGGCTCTTATAATGCTCTTGCGTCCGCTCACACTGTTATGAGGGTCAGAACTTCCTTTTTACAGGGGGTTTCCCGGTATTCCGTGACACGAACCTGCGGGCAGACGCGTTTGCCATCCGCGTCAAAACAATGACCTAGCTCGTCCCTTTTGATGATCACGGACGGACCTGCATAGCTCTCAGCATCTTCGCACTTTGAGAAGGCGAACACGCACTGCCACGAGAAGAACCAGAGACACGGCCGTTCTGCTTTTGACCGGCGATTCTCTTGCCGCGTCCACTCAGGGGTACGGAGGAAGTCGTAGCGGGTCTTGATAAGCCTGTCGTATGGCGAGCGTGCCGCGTACGTTTGGGAGGGAGATCACTGGCCTTGCGCGCAGGGGAAGCAGGTCGTTTCCCGTTGCGGACAGATGCCGACGGGGACTCAAGTTCATCAACCTCTGAATGAGACGAGTTCTCGTCCTCGTCCTCCTCGGGTTTGTTGGCACTGATGTCACATGTCGCATCCGTCTTTTGCGTAACTGCCGCCGCAAAATCATCTCCTGCCGGGGGCCCGGATTGGATTGTCAAGACGGGCGGCTCAGCGCTGTACGGTCGGACTTGTTGGGCCACGAAAGCAGCGATCCGGTCCAAGGTGGCCTGGACGTTTGCTCTCTGCGTCGTTATATTCACCGTGTTACGTTCGGCAGCTTGCAGTGCAGCGCCGACTCGGCGGTTATCCTCCTCAAGGCTAAGCACACGTTCTTCTGTTTCCTCAGCGCGGCGCAGCGCCTGATCGCGACCGGCTCGTGCTTCATCCCTTTCCTGTTCTAGGTGTTCCAAGGATTCACGGAGAAGACGCTCCGAGTCCTGAGTTCCCACTTTGAGCACGATGCGGCTTCGGGGAGTGGTGAAGGGCACCGCACCTTAGATTGCACTAGTGCAGCCGAAAGATGATCATGTGCATCTTGTAGGTCTTTGTTCTGCCTCTCCAGGGTGTGATTCTTAGACGATATTTCCTCTACTTCCTGGGTCTTGACTTTCAAGTCCGATGAGACGCGCTCAGTCGTCGATCGCTCGTCCTTCATGCAAGCGTTTGAGCGATTGACCTCATGCTGAGGGGATATGGATGCTGGAGACAGGAAAGGCTCCGCCTTCACATACCTTCGCTGTTACTAGTTCCGCATGAAGTTCGTCCCTGATGCTGCTTAGTGTATTGAGTTCTTCCTGGACCCGGCGAGCCTCCTGACGTGCCATGCTCAGACTTGAGCGCAGCGTTGTGTTCTCCTTCGATAGCGTCAGGATCCGCATAGCGTATGTTTCTTTCTCCGCTGCTAAACCCTCAATTTTGGACGCAAGTTCGCCATTGCGGCGCATCAGAACTGCGAACGAAGCCCCGTCTTCGGGAGTACGGCGGGATTCTTCGGTGGAGGTAGCGGTGGGCGCGGAAGGTGGAAGAGTCTTTGGAGATGTTTCCTCTGCGCTGTGACCACCAGATGGTGCTGAGCCTTCGCTAGCAGCGCCTGCAGGGGCTTCGCCTCTATCACAGGGATTCATCTTCGTTGACATGAACGTCGACAACAACACGGATGATCGATGATCGATGATAACTGTTGCTATCACGATGAGTCAGCAATCAAATTCGTATATGTCGGAAATCTCCGCTCCGCTTTATCAGAATCAAGTCTTTCGGGGTTGCCGTTTTGGATACGCTATATTGCATCCGTTTCTGCGTCTAGCAGCTCGAAAAGAGCAAGTATAGGCTTAGAATGAGGGCAAAAAGATGATGTAGCACAAAGACTGGGCGCGCGGCGCGTATGTCGCCAAAAAGTCGCATCTCACAAGGGCCCCAAACAGCCAGACCCCCTTGGGGCCCTTGTCAGGGAAACGGGAATTTCCGACATAATTCCTAATCACGTGTAGATTGCCCCTCTGCTATATCCTTTCCGAAGTTCGGTACTGGTGTCGCTGAGTCCGCGCCGAGCGGGCTTGAGCCCCCCAAGATGGCAGTTCAAGACAGCTTACTGTAAGAGCTAAGTGCTAAGTTGCTAACAGCTCGATCAGGCGCGGGCCGTGAGCGTGAGGCGAGTTGCCACTGTTTGCTGATACGCGAACCTTGCGCGTGCGTCGCCATGCCAGTAGCGATAGATCAATATGAAGGCATGAGATACAAGTGCGCTACTTCGTGTCTGCAGTTTGAAGCAGCAGCACGAGCTCGTCGTAGCGACCGGTAGTGAGTAATTCGTAGTACAGGGTCGGCTCAATCTCAATGGTCTCGAGTTCCTCGCGAACAAGCAAGCCGACGGTAAAGGACATGCGCTCCTCGTGAGGGAGTGGAGCAATTGTCATGTCTCCATCATGTTCAGCGAGAGATTTCGCGCGACGGAAGACATCAGTCTCTTTGTTTCAGGATATCGTCTGCTCTCACGGGACAGCGGAAGCCTGAAAAGGCAGTATAGCGCCACGCGAAACATCATCGAGAAGTCGTGTTGATTGTGCTGTATGTACTGTCAGCTGGCATACGACACACGGCTAGGAGGAGAACATACATTCAAAGAGCGCACAAGGTCGGGATTGGCACGTTGATTCCGATTCTCAATGATACCCCGCTTTACCCACTGCTCGAACTCCTTCAACACGTCCTCAAAATCTTGGGCCTCGTGGGCAATCGGTGAGGCATTTGAGGATGCTTCGGCTGCAGACGCGTTATCCGTGGATTCGACGGAGCTCGATGCGCTCTCGAAGCATATGTTTGACAAGGACCGAACCAGCCCTCAAGACCTGACAACCCGCCGCCCTGCGCACGAGCCGAGGACGACGACTTCACAGCAGGTTCTCGCCCGCCGGACACATCCGACCTAGCAGCTTCCCGACGCATGTCCTTCCTTTCGAGAATCGAGGATGACTCAGCTATCTCGTACTGAACGAAGATCAGACGTACCGCAACCTTCAGATGTTGTTCTGCCGCTTCCGTCTCTGCTGATGCCCAATGCTTGCGGGCCCACGTGAACTTTCTCGTCTGGGTGATACCTGGGGTTGGATCAGGACTGGTATTCATATCGTATGCTGTTCTACGCGCCAATCGCAACGGTATACAACCTCGAGCAACGCGTCTGGCTAAGATGCTCCGAAAGCCTGATTTCACAGGCGGTGCTTGAGGCTCGGCAGGAGCTTCTTCGGCGTGTAATGGCCCTCTAGGAGGACCTCATATGCCGGGCTCGCATACGAGTTTTGCGGGGTACGGTTCGCTGAGAGAAGTTTCTGCACGCGGTAAAAATGCGTCAGGTAGACTGCGATATGCCGGAGAACTCTGAGGTGATTCGACTGGAGCAGCTTGTCTTGTGACGCACTGAATACCGGACCTTCAAACATAGCCTATGGTCGATTTAGCGGACACGGTAGTTGGTGCGACAGACCCAAACTCACCAAATGTAATCCGAGCGCTTGACGTATCATAAGATATGTAGAAGACCAGCGTTTGTCGATGTCGCGCACGAGCACCAAGGGGGCGATGAACTTACTGAAACACTGCTTAACCAGCGTGGTATATATATCAATAGACTCGTCCACTGGATGCGCACGTACAACCAGCATCGCCAAATCTCGCGGCGGCTATACGCGGGAATGACCTGCTCGAGCGCCAGAAGGCTACCGGGCACTTGAGCTGCCCGACCTCCCTCATGCCCTCAGAAGCCGAGGGGTCCAGCTCTCTTCGAGCCACTCCATCACAGCCATTATCCGAGGCATTGTCGAGCGTTATTCCTCCGATCTGCTCAACAGGTCAGATGAGGTTCCCTGTTCGTGCGCGTCCAAACAGCGGCGGTAGACGATACACAGTGGGCCGTGCTCTATCCATCATATCAGGACTGCTCATGTACAGCAAACACGAAGGGAGCTTACCGCTATGTCTTTGAGCATCTCACCCTTTTCCTCCTTAAACTGCGATCATCTGCGTGAGCCGAGTGCGGTGGGGCAAGTCCTTCATCTTCGACTCGGCGCATAGGTACAGAGCCAAGTCTCGGAATTTGAAGCAGTCGACAATGTTTATTGACTGCGAGTGTGTTAGGCAATTGCAGATCAAGAAGGAATTGACAACCCTCATCCTATACAGTAATGAAGCGGATCAGTCGCTTATAGAAGCCATCGAGCGTGAACAGTTCGACAATGCCCTTACTTCTCCTCTGTCCGAAGCATCTCTGAGCGACGACCGATCGCGGTATGTTTGTCAGTGCTCCTTCTTGAGGTGTTCAACGATATTCTAGGCCTGACCTTGCGTGTCCTTCCAGACCTTCCATCCGCACGAACCCATGATCTGAGCAACATGAGCAAGATGTAGGATAGCTATGCCGACGTACGTACCTTCTGGGCAAGGCTTACAAGATACTAAGCGTACTTAGGATGCGCGTCACGCTTCAGCTCTTCGAGTCGCCGAGATTGTCCCCCCTCGCTCGCTGCAAGAGAATTCTTGCTGCCCACACTCGAAGAGATTCGAGCCGGCAACAAAGTACCACGCGTTATTGGCGAGTTGAGCGTTCCCGCTCCAGGGCTTCTCCGAGTCGTCATCTGCGTGCAGCCTTCAAGGGCTTGATGCGTACGTCCTCGTTCTGGCTCTGACTCCGTGTCGGATGCAGGCGCAGGTTCAACCGGAAAGGGATCGATGCGACGCCAACGCGCCGAACAGCCGGCTGGAGGGATGTTCTCGCAACAACACCGAGGCTTGGGTGCCAACCCGAGATCGGTCGCGTTCCAGCGTTTGCGCGTCGAGTCTTGAGTAGATGTGGCGCTAATGGTCGCAAAATCAGAGTACATGAAGGGAGTGGTGATATCGAAAGTATGTTCTTGTTACGGACAGGGAGGATGGAGGTGTGTCGGTGGTGGATTGTATGCGACATGTAGAGCGCTCGGGTCAGGGTAATGTATTCCAGGGTATGGATAATCGGGGGAGGGAGGGGGGAATGGGTGGCCGGTTGGTGGCTAAGGCCTGTGAGGGTCGATGGGGTACGATTGCCGAGGTGAAACCTGCTCGGACACGATCATGGTGCGCGGCGGCAGTCGTTGCAGCCCGTGAGGATCTGTGAATGGGGTTATGGATATGATTATCAGGGGCGCACGGCGCCCAGTATCACTTGGATCTTGGACAAAATTCACGGACGTGTCCTTCTCACGCACAACATCGCGTGAAAAATTCACGAGATCGTTACGTTTGTGCATGACGAACGCTGAAAAGCAGGTTTGTTGCGTGAAAGCTCACGCACCTCAGACTCACTCGGTGCGCGAACGTCATGCGGTGTGAGTTAGCGTGACGAAACATGGGTCGCGAGGTTCATGAAAGACCTAACTGTCACCTACATGTTACTCGTCCGAGTCTGGCTATCTCCGTGCCGATGTTTGCCGCTGATCTTATCGCCGTGCTATCGAGCACGTGCGTAGACGCGTCGACCGTCTGTTACCATCTACTCGGGCTTTCGAGCTGAGAAAGCCCTGAGAGAGGCATTTTATCTCAGCTACATACACAGGTAAGCTCTCTCTTGCGTCCTCTGTACTACACGGCTGCACAGGCTGTCTTCCAGTACATGACCGGCAAGTCCAGATAAGCGGTCTTGATCCGTCGCCGCGTGATGAGCGTCACCATCGTGAGCCTCGGGGCATTCACGGGGTGCGTGAAGTTGGATGATACGGTGTCACAGTCCTCACGCAATCGTGGGTCTCAACGCGTGTCAGGAATGACAAACTTTGTCCTAGATCTACTACCATAGGTCCGGTCCACAACTTTGCCCAACGCAATCCGGATACTGTACTTCCGAGTATACACGTGACTCAAGTTGAACTTCGAAATTGGAATGTTATGCCACTAGCATCAGCAGTCACTCTCACATCAATGGGCTCGGGTAGACAGCAAGACCTGTACCGTGATTATATACAATGTAAGAAAAAAAGTGCGCATGCTGGAGGCGCCTGGGGCGCGCGCGTTGAGGGCATCAACCCCGAGAGGGCAGGCATAAGCGCGTAAGGCGTACCCCACACGGAGCTGCGCGGTGGGCCCAAGATCAGCACGTTGCGACGGCGTGAGGGAGGCGAAGGTACGGTACCGAGGCCTGTGAGAACGAGCGGCGGTAGGCACGAATTCTCCCTCAGCCAGTCTGCGCATCGCGCATCGCGCCCACATCCTTCCATTGAGTTCCCCTGTTCTGCGGCTCCTGGTATACAACACCACCCTCTCCGTGCGCTATCGATGCGGACACGCGGATCGAGGAAGCGAAATGCTGCGTCTTGAGGGATGCAGATCTCGCCCCCTCAGAGCTCTTTTGAAAGCGATCGGCGTCGTCACAAGTTGCGGTGACACACCGCTCCCACAAATCCAGAAAGTGAGATAGGTGCATCGCATGTCGTGTGCGAGTCAGCGGTGCGCCTCTTGCGGTACGAATACAGACACCTAGACCGCCCTCCTCACAAGGCCGTCGACTTCGATGCTCACAGTAGCACAGTTCATGATGGTGATCAGGGAAGGAACTGGGTAAAGAAGTGGAAGAAAGAGGGAACGGCGATCGAAGGGTGGACGCGCATCGATCCGGAAGATTCACAAAAAGAGGGATAGCCAAGCATCAATTCGACAGGTCCGCGCCGTCACCAGTGACGGTGAGTTGTAGTGGTTTGCTGGTAATCGCGTCAAAACGTCAGTAGTCTGGCTTCTATAGTCACATCAAAAAGCCAGTTCCTAGCACAATCGCCAGGGGACAAATCGTCCCCTCTACCAAGCTCTCTACAGTCGAGAGTCGAGGGATGCGGGCTCGTGCCCGCCGATCACACAAGGTAATCCACACGTGACCTCACTCACAGATCATGTGCCATCAGACTGAGACTCACTGGCTCACTGCCTCTCATCGGTTGCCCATCGACATACGCGGCCGGTAGCTATTGAGAGACAGGTTATCTGACGGTATTGCCTTCATGAGGGAATGCAGGACATACATGCCTTGGTCGGCGGGCCGAAATTTTGACTGGCTACCTTGGCAATCTACACGTGACAACTGTTATGCGCCGCTGCTCAGCCCGTCACGTCAGAACTCACCGGACTCACCGTTGTTTGCCTTTACCGTTGCTGCTCGACCTCGCCTCCTGCATGATGCAATATCTTTATAGGCTGCTGCACGGCAGAGCCCGCTACAATCCAAGAGTGGAACAAGAATATATGCCTAGTACACCAATCAATCATTCCAAAGAAACCTGACTGGTAGTGATGGAATACCCTTTCGGGCAAAGAGGGAAACCGCGTGAAGCATCGAACGACATCAGATTAGTACTACCTCAGTACTAATCACCGTACCAGATTGTTGACCGTGTACCGTCATACAAGAATGGGTGCTGTGTGCGCACTCATGATCACAAGCAAGCCCATAGCCGTAATGTTCCTTTCTCTTCTTCCTTCCCTCGACTACTTCCAACTCAGAGCGAGTGCGTCGCTGCTTTGGTGTGAGGAAAGCACTGAACGCCAACACTCGACGCGCATCGGCATCCACTAATATCCACTAATATCCACTAATAAGTGCCTGTACACCTGCTGACCCGCAGTTGGCGTCAGTCAAGCGCACGCAGGGTTCCACCCAAAGTCGTTGACTACTAGCCGTCCCCAAACAATCGCCTTATGTTTGGATGGCGTCGACGCCAAGCGGGTTTGGCGCCGAGGAGGTAGGCATTGAAGGGAAACCGACAACGGCGGATGCCGAGTGGTTGAGACCTCCAAAAGCGCGGGCATATGCATCGCACGTGACAGGCCAAGAGGCGGTTGACGTTCCGTCCCCAAGCCCACTACCTGGAATGACAGCGAAATATTACACGTGTCCAGCACGATATTAACTCTTCTCTCCTCTTTGAGTCAGCGATAACGTGGCTCTTAGCGATTGACAGAGCAATCTCGCAAGGTTTGGCATGATAACTCGTGCAGTCCGTCTCTCTCTGTCGTGCTGGCAGTACATGACCATGTGTCTAAGCGGATGTTTTTCAACTACAATGATCTGTCCGTCCTCTCATTTTTCGCTGCACCTCTGTTGAAGGCATCCTCGAGACTACCCCAGAACTCAGGTTCTGGCAGTTTTTTCTTCGGCTGGGAGCCTGATTGGCTTTCGGCACCGTCCACCATGTCTTCAGCGGCGCGTGATGTACTCTGCGCGGACGAATGACCTGTAACCCTGCGCTTCTTTTGAGGTAAGGGGATATGCCGACCGGTGGAAGCTGGTAAGGTGTCTTAGCGTCATGTTAGCGAAATACAGGGAGACTACGTGCTATTTGAGGACGGAGTCCTGGCGGTTGTTTCGTCTGTGATAGGCGCTGAACGCGAGTCCTGGCGTGGCGCCTTCCTTTTTGCAGGCACAACTGCGGCCCTATCAGTGGTAGCTAGTAGACCTTCCCAGTCAGTGCATGTCTGCGCCAAAAGTGACAGAGATGACGGCGCACCGGTAGACAATGTCGGTCTCGCATTTCTCTGGACGGTCTTGCGCCGTCCCGCTGCTACGGTATTGCGCTGACTGCGAGGTTCTTGGACGGAAACGTGAGTTCCGTAGCCCGTCGCAGTCGAGCGGATCTTCTCGCCTCGTTTTCTGGACGCTATCAGAGCGGTCCGTGAGATTGTGTACCCTGTCAATGTGTTCGATCACGTACTTGACGAAGGGGTCTCGCCGGTGCCCAAAGTGGGAGCGCGGGTCGACTGATTGCCGCCGACAGCGTGCCCGGAGGCGATCCCGGAGGCGTCCGCTGTTCCCCGGTCGTCTGAGCTTCCCGTGGTCCCTTGTACATCATTGCTGGAGTTAGCCACTGCGTTTTCGAGCGCTATCTTTGCATGCAGAGGTCCCAGGATAGCATCGTTGAGTTTCGGCACCCAGTTCACGTACCGCGCCAGAACCCTGTCCAAGCGTAATAGCGGCCCTGGGTGCTGCCAGTCCTCGTCGCGCTCGGAGCCTTCGAACAGGTAGTGGTCTCGAATCCAAGCCATGTCAGTCTTGTCGGGAAGTACTGGCACCCTGGTCTCGTCGAAAGGCCGAGAAGACCGCGGGAATCTCTCTGGATACAGATATCGCAGAATGGCGATGCAGACGAGCTGCGCCAACCGGTCGAGCGGACCATTGATCCATTCGCTTCCATGACGGCGGAACCTCTGAAGCAGCTGCTGAGCACCGCCATCATTTAGCTTCCCAACTCGGTCTCGAATGCTTCCTTTGTGGATGTAAGCCCGAGGCCACAAAACCATCAAGCATAGTCCAATGATGGGCTTGCGATAGAACTCTGACCAGTTACTCAGCGTCGCTATATGTTCACCTCATGGTCGTTTCTAGTTGGACATACCTCGTTTCTCCATCATGCGGGCGGGCAACGCAGCCGCCATGTGGATGAGCATTACTTGTGCGAAGGCATGGTCGTGGTTTGTTGCCACGCGTCCAGTGTGCTTCTCGAAGGAGCGACCCACTTCCTGGTGATGAGTGAAGCAATAGTTGATGAAGTGCCCGCCTACAGCCACGGTAGGAACTGGTGTGAATGCCGCGTGAGCCTTTCCTGGCCCTTGTATACTGTATGGCTGGATGAGTCTGACGTGACGAGGAAGAGTGGAGTAACTCAGACACTAAGTCTCCTGGCTTGACGCGGATGATACACCCTTCGATCTCGCCATCCCCGTCAACACTGAAGTCCACCCTTCCGGCGCCGTCATCAGTCAAGGGGTCATTAGCGCGCCTTGGACACCCAAGAACCAGACTCTTGAGACTCTGCAAGAGTTTTTGACGAGTGGGATTGCGGACCCTCGTCTCAAGAGCAAGCCAGAGCTTTTCCCCAGGACCGTGAATCTGGAAGAAGGTTCCCATGGCAGTCGCATCGATGTGAGCAAAGGTGAAGAAGCCTCCCTGATGCGCGAGTGCCCAGCTGGCGGTGTGAGCGATATCCGCAGGCCGGAGCTCATAATCGTTGTTATGGTTAGAGTACGACGCGGTTGCACACTCAATATGGCCATCCGAGAGGTATCTATTTCGAAGGCATTGAGCAAGATAGCCGCGACTGAAAAAAAACACTCACTTCGCAATACCGTCGTTCTGCGGAAGTCCGCACGGCAAGTCGAGTATGGCGCGGATGTGATTGCCATTGATGTCCCTCAAAAACTCGCGAAGGGTCATTTCTATGTAGGGACCTTCGTCTTCGTCATCCAAGGATGCGGGGGTCGTTGTAGGACTCGTCGCATCAGTCTCGCAAGTAACACTGTCCTGGTCGTCGTCCTCATTGATGATGTCGTCTTCATAAGTCTCAGAGGGCTTCGGAGGTTCACGAACATGCGTCTCATCTCCTCTGGCGCGTATTTCCATGTCTTAAGTATCATGGTTAGATCCTGTATAGTGCAATCGACAGCTGCACGCACCGTGTACCTGACGTTTGATATCTAACGCAAGGCCCAGGACTCCTACACCCGCTTCGCACGACATATACCGCTCATTCATTGTCGGATGCACTGTACTCCCCGCCTCGAGATGATGGCTTGACGTGCCTGCTCCTTCGACGACCACAGTTCTGCCCTCTGCACCCACTCGTATAGCTTCTTGTATGGTCCGATCTGGATGGTCGTGGTCCATCGAGATGAAATGGACCATGTGAGGGCAATCCCGAGCACTGGGAAATAGATGCGCCATGGATTGTACTTGAGCTTCATCCTGAAACAAAAGAAAGTCAGACCCAGTATGTCGTGACACGCAGGAGCTCACAAAAGGCAAAGTTGCTCCCCGTATACGCGGCAAGCGAGTCTTCACACCACATCTCCAACTGATCTCGGTCTCGGGTAGGAGATTCAAGGCGCCAGAAGACAGATCGACGAGGCGTTCACCATACTTCGCGGACGTATCTTCTCCGCCGCTTCTGGGACGCTGGGACGCTAGAGGCACATCCGCGCCGTGCCTTGCTGAACTAGTTGTCGTCAGATCGTCTTCGAACTGAGCCGCCTCCTCGGATATTTCGATGAACTCCTCGCGAGGATACTGACGAAACAATTAGTGCCGGCGTGGTTACAATAACCGAGAGGGACAAACCGCGCCATCGTCTGTGCGAGCCTCTTGACCAGCTTCAATAGCGGGAGAGCTGCATCGAAGCCTAGCATCGACAGGCTGGGAATCTAGCGAGATGGACAAAGCGTGCCTTGCCGAGCGAGATGACTGCGACGCATCTGCTAGTCGATTGGTCTGCACACCCGCGTGAGTTGGCTCCTGCAAAAGATCCTGGTCTGTCCATCAGCATTGATAGCATCGATATTTAATATAAGGACGTGGGTTACGAACCACGGCATGCTCCGTTTGAGCTTCTTTTTCGACTCTGAGTACTGGCGAAGGTGATTGCACATTGGCGTCGACGTATAGCGCCAGAGGTTGTGCTTGTATGGCGGTATCTATATGGCTGGAAGATGTAGAGTCTGCTCAGAACGCATGTAAGCACACGCGCATGTACGACTACATAACTGACGGTATTTTACCGTTGAGGGGATCTGGAGGATGTAGCGCACTGGGCTGCTTCGCATTTTCACCAGAAGACGACGTAGGTGCACTACTTCCGCCAGAGAAAGCTTGATAGGCAGCAAAGGCAACGGCGAGGTGCTGGCGTAGACTGGCATTCTCCTCCTCGAGGTGCGACGCGTTTTGTAAAAATTTAGTGTGCTCGGCTTTGACGTGATCGAGTTCGCCGGAAAGACGATCAACTTCTTCTCGAAGTTTTTCGTTTTCTATCATTCGTTTGCTGCGCGGGGTAAGGTGCAAGTCGAGGTGCAGGGGCTGAAGGCGCTTACTAGGACCTCGCTTTTGACTCGATTTGTCTCTGATGGTAATGCGACTCCGGAGTCGGATTTGCATTCTGCGCAGAAGAAGCAGACGGCTGAGACTGCTCTCCCTTTCCATAGAATGAATACGTGCCGTACATGGCAAACAAGGGTGTGTTGGCTGCAAGGACGAAAGAGGTAAACGAGGCGTGAACGTCAGGTGGTTATATTACATATTATTACATAATGTTTCCACGTGCGTGGCCCTCTCAGAACTCTCAGGAAGCCAGGCGCTGTACACCCAATAGTTATGCATACAGCTTACCACCTACGGGGCGTAGGTTTCAGAATTGTCAAGCAAAGGACGAGTGCTTCCCAGTGAAACGTCTGCAAATTTGGAATACGACGTGCGGGTGCGGTATGCCACCAGTCCGATTCTTGAGCGTGATTCGGACTCTCTATGGAGGACTATACATATATATCGTCAGTACAGTCGAACACGTCGATCTTCGTCTAAGAAAGTAACGAGAGTCACCCGCCTCCTTCCCTTCGTTCCTCTGCATGACGGGGGACGGACGAGAGATGGCAGAGAAAGGAATGCGACCGTCACGCGCTCTCAATCCTACTTGCGCCGTTGACACTCAAAGGGCTCTATCCTCACCGCCCGTCTGCCTCCTACTGTCAGTACTACGCAAGTTTGCCACCGCAAGCGATGACTCGCGTCGCCATCGTGCTTGCGGGTACGCCTATCGCTTCAGCCGCCATACCAACTCCCCTCGGGGTACTGTGCCTCCCCGTAGTAGTGGATGTAGCACAGTGCACGAGATGGGCGACCGTAGTTGCTGCTGCTCGAGACGCAGGTGGGCGGCCGAGCTCAGCGGCGGGAAAGATTGATGATCTTGAGGAGCGGTTGCGTCGGACCTGACATTCGCCCCGCAAAGTCGCAAGCAAGGGTGTCTTGGTCGGAGACGCGCTGTCCGAGATGTCAAGCCGACCCGCAGTGGTCGGACCGTGGTGATATGGCTGCAGTGCGCGAGGCGAGGGGCGCTGGAGGGTATGTGGACGATAGCGAAGACGACATCGTATCGCGATCAAGAGCACCCGTGAGACCCCTAGCGGCGACAACATGCGCGACGCAGTCTGAGCGGCATTTGACGTACGGATATCATGGAGGGTAGCATGCTACCCTGATTCTGGGCAGTGCTTTTGGCCAAGTCCTTCAAGTAGCTTTGGCGCACCCGCAAGGTCGCGAGTATCTTGGAAGGTGGCCAGAGGATTCTGAGTGGCTTTGAAGGCGCTCGGCAGGTTTCGGCGGACCTTGAAAGGTCGTCCAAAAGGTACGTGCTCCCTTCGAAGGTGAGGAAATACTGCCTGTTAGCTGGAAAGGCAGACCGAAGGCTATCTGCCGCAGTTGAAGGATGTTGGAAGCATTCGACTTACCTTCCAATATCATCGGCATGATTTCCTCGTATACACAGATTGATCGCAAGAGTCGCTCCACGCATCGGTAGAGGACATACGTCTAGATAACAGAGTAACTCGTGCACAGGGGCTACACCTAAGAATATACCAGATATGATTAAGAACGAACGATACATTGCAGCTGCACCACCATGAGCGCTTCTGGAAAGGCAGGTCGCGTGAATTGCCGTCCTGCTGTGAGTCGACATGTGGGGCGCATGCTGGGAGGGGCAACCTGTAGTCGTGTCAGAACAGTGGCGTGAGGTGGACGAGAAGCCGTTGCTGTTGTCCGCGGCAAGATCGAGTTGCTGCGTCGCCTTCCTGCCGGGTTATGATGCCTCCGCGTCTGCAGCGACAGAGCAAGGCTCGGTCTCGACGAACGGCTCTTGAGCTGGTCCTTGAACTCTTCAAGATGACGGATGACGTCGTTGCGCTGACGGTCGGTATCCTGGACCTGTAGGGTGATGTCCTCAGGCTGACGAGCAGCTGTCCGGGTATCGCGCGCGCGAACCTAGGTAGCTTCCGCCCGCTCGTCCGCCCCGTGGCCGATCGTCCGTGCCATGCATTCTCGCGCATCCTCTTCAACGCCTCCGCCAATCGCGTACGCTCCTCCGCTTCCCCTATGCGCTCCTCCGCAGCCTTCGCACGCACGTCTGCGTCGAACATCTGCTCGACGGGCTCCAGCGCGAACGGTTCGGCGCTCTCGATGCGTGTGATCGCTTGCTTAGTGCAGGCATTCGCTCGACCCGCGGGTCGCGCAGTCTCCCGCACCTCATCCAGAGCGGCGGCAACCCGCTCATTCGCCACGACATCCTAGGCCCGTATGTCGGGTTCCTCGTCCCTTTGTGCCGCTTCGCTCGCCCTCGCCTCCGCGTCTGATGATGCACGCGCCAGGAGGCGCGCGCCGCACTCGGCTTCGTCGACTTGTTGCTCATCGCGGCGAAGGCAGCTGCGGGGTTCCACGAGCCAGGTTTGAGACGCGAAGAAGATCGAGTGAGAAGCGACGAGGCGTCGAAAGGGGGGTTGGTGCCAGAGGAGGACGAAGACCGTCGTAGGTGAGGAAGGAAGGGGAGCGGGGCGGGAGTTATGCAGCTGGTGTCCTACAATGAGCGAGGGCACTGGAAGATCGACGTGAATAGTCGACATGCCCGAAGCCTAGCGTCATGGGCCGATCCTTGGTTCAGTCGCCGTCAGCGGCATTACCTGGGGAGCGATCAGTCAAAGTCAAAGAGGAGGAGGCTTGCGACGCACCTGCGGGAAGGCCGGCGTAGAACAGGCTGTCGCGCGATCACTGATACAGTGATACGAGGTGGCGAAGTCTAAGTTGAGCCTCGACGAGCTCATCCAGCGACAGCGTTCAGACGCGGCAGGCGGATTTGCCGATGATGGATCGCGGTCACGAGGAGGATTCGCCACTAAATAGAGCCAAACACCGCGACCCTTTATAAGGACCGCGCCTACTTTCGCGTCTCTTGCTTCTACCCTCCATGAGAGCCGTCGCAATTCCGCCCCGCGGGACCTTTAAGCCGCTTCTTTCGAACTCCATAACGCAGCCCCGAGGTACGTCCCCCTCGCACACTCTCTCTTCGACCATGCCGCGTGTACGGTGGACCGTCCACTGTGCTAGGGCCGGTTCGACATGTCAGGCTTGTAGCAACTCGAAGTATACAGTGCTTCTGTGCTGCACGAGAAGGTACGTACCGTGCTTCATTATTCTCAACGACGGCCTTGAGCTGATTGTATGCACTAGTGCACGCATATATGCGCGTCCTAACGAGCGCAGACATGCTACTTCGACGCGCCTCCGCCTCACTTTAAGGCTTCATTGTGATTCCGTATGTCCCGGTGAGCTAACCACCCCTCATTCTTGCGCGCATCGCTGACTCTATTGGCAGGTTCGATCGAAGGAAAATTAAAGTCGTCGTGTTTGCCATACGTACGATTTCCTGGCGTATGGCACGCTTTTCATGTCGTTAGCTATCCTATTACTTGCTGTATCGTATCAGTAATCGTCACAGCAAATATATTTTCTCTTCTTGCTTCACTTGTGCAACAATCTCATTCGGCGATACGCAATCGACGATGCGTCTCGAAGGAGCTGAACAACGCTGGCGCAACTTCGATAGCGGTCAAAGGCCTTGAAGACCTACCGTGTTGCACAAAAGCTTTGGAAACCTTCCAGGGTTTGCAAATGCTTTCGTAGCCTTTCGAGCTCATTCGTCCTTCGGCGCTTCCCACATCCAGGTTATTATCGTTCGGACGCGGAAGGCATGAACGTCTTGATCGACCTTCGGGTAAATTCAGTGCCTACGAAGGCCGCCAAACACTTCGGCCAAAAGCACGACGGTAGAGTAGAGACACCCAGCGCGCCGAGCTGCCTGAAGCGCGATCGAGTGCGGCAAGTCGCTACAGTGACGAATGTCTTCGCTCACAGACGTAGCGCAGGAGAGAAATTGGATTGGACGATTGTGAACACGACAAGATAGGTCTAGGGACTGTGCTAAGTTCCACGCACCACGCTGGTAAACGCCCTCAGATACCATCTTCGACTACTCTAGCCGAATGTTAAGAAGCCGCGATTTGTGCTTCCACAGTGGGAGAGAGGGAGTGAGGAAGTGGGCGCGGAGTTTCAAGTACAAGGCGTGCCGAGCGATACCGATCGCCCCCCCCCCCCCCCCGCGACCTCTGCTTTCCTGCGGGTTTGATCGCAATGTAAACCAAACCTCAAAGGGTGTCATGGTGGTCACCCTATGGTCCGCAATACTAGGTGGGACGACTCTCGATCGGTCCGCGGGACTGTAAGTCAAAGGTAGTCGAGCCATGCTGAAGTCGAAGCCCCCGGCCCTGATTAAAGGCGCCGACAGCGAGGAGACTGGTGGGAGAGACGACGACCAGCAGAGGGCGGCGAAGGCAATTCAGATAACTGCCGATAACTGTGCTCGTCCCGCAAGGAGCAGTCCAATCAGCATGGCAGGGTCGGGACTGGGTAGGGTTTTGGGCAGGGAGATACCGGGCGCTGGAGCAGGGGAACGAAGAGCGAAAATGATTACGCACCACTAGTCACACTCTGTCGCCGATGTACGTAGTTTACGCCCTGCACAGGTGACAAGCATGACATACAGAGTGGAGAGAGGTGGAGAAGAGGGATGGAGACGATCTCACGAGGCCCGCGGCTCTCAAGACTCAACGGCAACTCACTGGGAGTGGGCACACGCGGTTCCAGATCCGGCTTGTTTGGTCGTGTTGACGCCCCCGCCAAACGACACATGTTCGATGTCGCCGCATACTTCCCCCTTTAGCGAGCGACGTAGTACTCAGATGACTTCAGTTTGTGAGAACAATATGTTCCCAATTATACATTCTATAGTATTCCTGATTATGGAAACCTCTCTCCGGCTACTTACGGGAATATCGGGCCCATGCCAATGAGGACACTATTAGATATGACTTCGAAGAGTAAACATCCGCAGACTCCGCTCAGTCCATCGTATAGTCACTCCCGACATTCTCAAAGGTCTTGCTATCATCAGGGTCAGTTTTCATGGTGCTTATGATGTCGCCCGACAACTCTATAGCGGCTCTGAAGGCAGCATACCGGAACGGCGCTGGCAGCTTCATGGCGCCGTGTCAGCTGTTTTTGGGGCAATTCAAAGGTCGGTGAATAGCGCAGTATAGACCGGAAAGTGAGTACAAGAACCATTGAAGCATGTGCGAGGGCGCTGGTCGAGTCGGATTGAACGTCGACATTTGGGCCAAGGTAGAGGGTCACTGATTAGTGATGGCATCACTGTTGTGGTCACTAGTTGACCGTTTCGATTACAATATTGCCGACCTATCTCCTTCCTCACTTTTGCACCAAAATTCATGAAAAGTAGCGCATTTCAAGCGGAAACAAGGAAGGAACATTTCCTTGCTTTGATGTCTGTCTTTTCCGTTCCAGCCAACCGATTAAACGCCAATTACAGCACAATATATTCGGCCTGAACGATAAATTCCGTTTCAAAGCAAGGCCTCGTGGACGTTCACCTCAGGAGGCCGTATGAATATTTTCAGGGCGCAGGTTGACGAAACGCAGGACGAGATAGATTTACAAGGCGACGACAAGGCCCTTGGGGGAGATCAACACGACCAAACAAGCCGGATCTGGAACCGCGTGTGCCCACTCCCAAACTCACCGGCACAGACCAGCGGCACTTCTTGTTTGGGCAATCTACACGTGATCTCGAGTCACTGGGCCGTCACAGGTCCAACCCGGTCTCCGTCAAGTCGCGTGTCGCCAGCCTTCCGAGCATGTGCGTGAGTGAGTGGAGGCTCATCAACGCGAGCTTTGGTATGCCTCGCCCGACGATGGCTCCCAGACGCGCCCCGGCGGCTGGTCCGCCTGCTGAGTACTCTCTGACCCTGCCGCTCGCGAGACAGTCAACACGTGATCGTAATGCTCACCGGAGTCCGGAGTCCGGACTCACCGTGCATGCTACCTTGATCGCTGATCGACGTTGCCCCTTGCTCTTCCCTGCCTCCTCGTCGCTCCTCTCCCTGTAGCGGCCTTTGCCGGGACTACCTGCGACCTCTGCTTTCGCATTATTATCTCGACACTACGACGCCATTTTCTCATAGACGACTAATTTACAACATTGGGGAACACCACATAGTCAGACAGAAGTGCAACACCCGGGCTAGAGAGGTCGCTCGGGTCCGATAGCCGGACCTCCCGGTAGAGCTACCGACGGAAGGACTCGAACCTTGCAGTTCTCGCGCACAGCAGCCCGCTACCATGCAATATTTACTTGACACTAAAGGCTGTTGACCTCCACCTGGGGCAACTTCCGAATAGATAATTCGTGCGCTTCAAAAGCTCTCTCATATCCAAATCATGGTCACTGATGATGCTGCATCTCACTCAGCCTATTTTTCTTATCTATTTCACTGTCAACCATGCCCATCCGGACGATGTCATGTTTCAAACGCCGATGTGACCACCTTCAGGCATCGCAGCACTACAACTTGGACTCATGGTCTTCCTGGAAAGTGTTGAGCGGCTGGGCGAGACCTCAAGTGATAGCCGTAACCGTCGTGCCAGCTTTTGATACATTGACCATGCCAAGTAGGATGTCACTGTGGCCCAGGACAAGAAGCGCACCCCTCGTGCATGCGGGGGAGGAGCCCAGAATTTTACGCGGGTTCTCAGCGCTTCGTAGAGCTACAATGATAGAGAGCCCGGCATATGAGCGGTTTAGTTTTATGCTACGAGTTCCTCGTGCTCACCAAAGATACAATGAGAGAGCGATGAGAGGCTGTGAGGCGTCACTTTCAGCTCCACCGGCGGGATCCACAGTACTTGACGAAACCCATTTGCTGAATAAGAAGGACCGACCTGACCCCCACGCAAACTGTTGAGTACAGCTGCAATCAAGATCCCAGTGCGTTTCCAGAACTACCATGACTGTTAGCGGAAATAACACGACATTATACACCGCTTCTTTCTCCGCACTCTCTTCCCTTCTTGGCCTTACCCATAGCAGGGATACTTTGATATCCATGGAGTATTAACAGATGGGATTAGATGGGGACATCACATGGGCGCCTTTGTCCAAGTCGGATCATCTTGCCTCTCACGTCTACCAGCTTGAACGCCAGCATCCTACGCGTCGTATGCCTATAGATCTGGTTCTCGATATCAGGTGGAGGATATGCAGAGAGTTTGGTCTATCTCGTCACGACCTATGTCAATTAGCGTGCACTTCGAGTGCTTGGAACAGAGTAGCAATTCCTTGCATCTGGGAGGAACTGCAGTCTATGACTCCTCTGTTCCGACTCTTACCCGAAGATGCCTACTACGAAGACGAGCATACACATGATATCGTACGTGGTTGGCTCACCGAACTCGCATCATTGACGTGAATCAGAGAGCAGTGCTGCAAGCGTTCACTGACGCACGAAGACTGGGCACACATCCTTGAACGCTCTAGAATGGTCAAGCGCCTTGCGTATGTGACCGGTGCCGTTCCCGGAAAGCCGCGGGCAGATTCGCCACACGCTAAAACGATATACCCTCCGACCGTCAAACGGGACTGCGAGATCGTCAGCCAATGCCCACCACCGCGCACCCTCTTCCCGCACCTACGTCACCTCCTCCTGGACTCTTCTGGCTGCTACGAAGATCTCAGTACCGCCCCTTGTGCTTTGATTGCACACTCACTATCGCCTTGCCTCGAAACTCTCCATTTGCCGCATAACTATACGAACCTGGTTCGTGACATAGGTGCCCTTGCCAACATGTGCCCGTGCGTTCACGACCTTCTGCTATGGACAAAGCACCTGCCAACTCGTACCCAACGCTCGCAATTGAGTCAAGCAATCGAAAGTTGGGCGGATCTCAGGCAGGTTGTCCTCAGCGTGTACTGGGATCTCAGCATCCTACTCCATCTCTCAACGAAGAAAAATCTCACTTCTCTGAGCCTCGCTTTCCATAATTCACGGCCCGAGGATGCCATTAACGGGATTCCGAACCTCCCTTTCATGTGCTTCCCTGCTCTCGAGCACCTCACTCTGGCCGGCATGAACATGATGGCAGTTGCGTCGCTCATGAGTCACGGGTCTGTACCCAGACGACTTTTCACCCTGCATGTCAGTGCATTGCCACGTCAATCGCTGCCAGGGGAGTTCAGCTGCCTTACTCGTTCCATCGGCAATCATTGCGCGCATGACATGCTCACGGTCATCACCATCGAGAGGGGAGAATTGCGGTGCGGAAATGTCTTGACCAAGGAGGACTTGGTTCCGCTCTGCGGCTTCCCGCGGCTAACGCAGCTATCCCTCCGATTGTCACGTCGCTGTAACCTGGATGATGCAGACTACGCGGAGGTCACATCTCGGTGGCCTGAAATGGAGACCTTCGAGATCGGGGGATTAATTGTGCACGACACCGAAGACGGCGGAGAGGAAGCACTTGCCACGATGGCTACGCTCGGACACTTCGCACGTTCCTGCACGAAGCTGAAGCATCTGACTCTTCCGCTTGTAGTACGGGAAATCCCAAGGATTGAAGACGATCTTCTAGGGACAGCTCATCCGCTGAAAACGCTGGAAATAGAAGGATCCCCGACGCTGGCTATTCTAGACCAAATAGCAATGTTTCTCGTACAGATTTTCCCGGACCTGCCTTCCGTCAGCTTCGATGGTAGCATCGCAGGGTAGTTGTACATGCCTACCAATTACTGTACCGGACCGTAGAATACACGATGTCAACTTTGCGCGGCGATTACTTACGCATGGGTGCTGATGATTACTCCGAATAACAACAATCACGATTGCACCGAAGAAAACTATCGTGTACACGCATGGAGGATACAATGGACGCAAACTGGGGCAGGTTCGTCCTAAGGTAAGATCCGAAAAGGGACAGAGTCAACGTTCGTGATTGACGGTCAACACAAGGGAAGTGCACGCACCCTCAAATAAGCACAGGAATATCGGCCAACTAAGAACCTACATATTCCGCTTCACCAACGAGCGCAAGTGGTGACACTACGACAGATTTCTACGAAAACTCGTGGAATACCCCGCAGAGATGAAGAATGTTGACCGTGGAGAAGCCTCAAGGAGCATGAGGTGTGAGTCTCGGTACCGGCGCCCAGCAGAGGGCGGCGAAGGCGATTCAGATAACTGCCGATGACTGTGCTCGTCTCGCAAAGAGCAGTCCAATCAGCATGGCAGGGTCGGGACTGGGTAGGGTTTTGGGCAGGGAGATACCGGGCGCTGGAGCAGGGGAACGAAGAGCGAAAATGATTACGCACCACTAGTCACACTCTGTCGCCGATGTACGTAGTTTACGCCCTGCACAGGTGACAAGCATGACATACAGAGTGGAGAGAGGTGGAGAAGAGGGATGGAGACGATCTCACGAGGCCCGCGGCTCTCAAGACTCAACGGCAACTCACCGGCACAGACCAGCGGCACTTCTTGTTTGGGCAATCTACACGTGATCTCGAGTCGCTGGGCCGTCACAGGTCCAACCCGGTCTCCGTCAAGTCGCGTGTCGCCAGCCTTCCGAGCATGTGCGTGAGTGAGTGGAGGCTCATCAACGCGAGCTTTGGTATGCCTCGCCCGACGATGGCTCCCAGACGCGCCCCGGCGGCTGGTCCGCCTGCTGAGTACTCTCTGACCCTGCCGCTCGCGAGACAGTCAACACGTGATCGTAATGCTCACCGGAGTCCGGAGTCCGGACTCACCGTGCATGCTACCTTAATCGCTGATCGACGTTGCCCCTTGCTCTTCCCTTCCTCCTCGTCGCTCCTCTCCCTGTAGGATAACAACCGATCCACCATGCAAAGCAACAGGCGTGGCAAGAAAAGAGGCCCGGCCGCCCTCGATTTGGCTTCGCTCGCGGCAGATCAGCTTGAAGGGCCGGGTGGGAGCGTCAAGCGCGCGAGGCTGGGAGATCATGGATGGCCCGCCGTCCACTCGACTACCGATCCTCAGGCATCGGCTTCGACTATCCCCCAAGGGGCAACTCTTCCATCCGCCGAGCAATCAGACATGGTCAGTGCTCTCAATGCCCGCTTGTATGAAAGGGATTTAACATTGCTTTGGACACAGTCAGTGGATGAACACGTCGCAGCTAGTGGGAGCAGTGCCCCGCAGCCGGACACCGCTTTCGCTAACAGCCTTAAGGAGTCTACCCAAAGGTGCCTGACGGTCGTTGCTGTATTAGACAGTACACGTGGACCCGACTTGCCGGCTGCCATAGACGCAGTCGAGCAACGTCTTGCAGATTTGCGATCGCACTTGAACAACCTACCAGCCGCTTCTCCAGCGACGGGAACTGGGTTACATGACGCTCTATCATCCGCCATTTCGCTCATAGGGATGGTAGACCAGAAGCTGCTCGCAGCCAAGAATCGCGTGCTGCAGCGGATGCACGTAGAGCGCGAGCGCAGCAGGTCGACTCATTTGTCAAGCGCTTCCGATCAGCCTACCAGAATTGACAATAGTATGTGGTATTCCTCGCTTCTCTTTCGTCTGTTCAATTGTTTAGGGCGCCATTTGACCGATCCGACGGAGAACTATCACATATCTTCTATCATCGGCAGTGCGACGACTTTGGCTATCCATCTGTATGACGGTGCATCTCGTCGAACCGGCAATTTCCTCCTGCGGGCACTCCCTTGGTTCGCGACCGCCCATACCTGGCTCAACACGGGAGCATGCGATGCGAGGACCGCTAATGTCATGCAGAAAAAAGCTCTAGACGACATACCCGAAGATATCCGGACTGTACGCAAAAGGTTCAACCTGGAGGTTGAGCCCACGGTTTATGCCGTCTGTCCTAAGTGTGGCGCGTTAAGTGCGCCTAGCGGTTCATACGAGCACCCCTCGTGGCACTCGACGTGCAGCGAACCTGTGCTGGGAACCAAAAGGCCGTGCAACGAAGCCCTCTTGAAGAGAACTTTGGAGGGAAAAACTCGACCTATCAAGACTCTCTGTCACTTTCCTTTCTCTGACTGGTTCGGTCGCTTCATCGCCCTGCCTCGAGTTGAAGAGTACGGAGACAAGTTCTGTGCAGACGTCTGTGCTTCGGACTTGCCCCCCCTCACCAAATCGTCGCTAGCTGACGGTGATCTCGTTCGTTCTCTACCCGGGCCTTCTCTCGAGGAAGACACCCTTTTCGTTGCAGACCGTGGCAGCGAAGGGCGCTGGGTCTTCATGCTTGAGGTCGACTTCTTCAACGTGGAGGGTAACAAAGCTGGGGGAGCGTCCAAATCTACAGGCGCCACAGCCATGGTTTGCCTCAACTTACCATTGGAGATGCGCTACGACGACGCCTATCTCTACGTGCCTTGGATCCTGGGAGGACCGAAGGAGCCGGACTCGAAAGAGGCGCAGCTCCGGCACCCCATGCGACTAGTGGTAGACGATCTACTCAGGTTCTATCACAATGGATTCCTGCCATATCATTCGCACTCCTCGTTTCGTCACTCTCTCCCAGCGTTTCATCGACTTCATCGCGGAGCGTTGGCAGGCATTCTTGCAGACCTCAAAGCAGGACATCCAGCTGGAGGACCACTGGATATCGCTGCCCACCCTCTATGTCCACACTGCGGTCTTTGGCATCATACAGCACTTGCCAACTGCGACTGGCAGAACTGGGGTAGAGCGAACAGAAACTTCTTGCACTTAGGGGCCAGACTATGGCGCGATGCATGCGATGCGAAGACTCGGTCGACAATAGAACGGTGCTACGGAACACGCGACTCAGTGTTCTGGGATCTGGGATATTGGGATGTTACTCGACAGCTGATTGTGGATCCTATGCATTCCGTCTACTTAGGCGTTGCTCGTCGCCACTTCACTGTCGGTCTCGGCTTGCATGACCCTAAACCTGGAGTGGCACGCGCCAAGAGATCTGACAATATTGCTTTCCACAATCCGTTCCCGCTTCTTCCACCCCTCTCTACGCTGAAGTTTGCTGGTTCATCGGAGACGGGGAACGACACAAAAGATGCGCTGGCTTTGGAGGATCGTGCAGAGCTGTCCGAAGATCAAGCTGCCATGCGCCGGAGCGTAGCACAGTTCCTCCGTGACGGCGTCGATGAGCAGGATCGTACGCGCCATGAGCACTCTCTTGCTGCCAAGGTCGCTGCAATTCGCAGCCGACTCAAGCAAAACAGCGATTCGGACGCGAACGTCATCAAATCCAGTATGGAAACCAGGCAGTGGAATGCACTCGCTTACGTTTGCAACGACTACTGTCTTCTGGACGAAGAATGTCAAAGGGGCGTCCTAGCTGGCGCCAAGCAAAAGGCCGTCACAAGAGAGCAAATGGCTCAGCTGCTGAGCACTCAGGTCCGTAACTTCTTGTAGAAGTGATTGGTCACAGCCTGATTTCGATATTGCAGGTCGAGAAGCAGATAGGAGAAGAGGAAACATCCGGACCTTCCTTCAACACTCGTACTTCAGGAGTTGCGCATACCGATGTCGATCGCCTACGTGCCGAGTCCCTGGAGAAGATCGCTTCTCAGATGTCCCATGCCACGGCGTACTCAGTGGGTAACATACATCGCCTCCTGATGAAACCGTTGATGGCCGCCGGTGGCGACGACCCGGACAACGGTCAGTCAAACAGCATCTGCTCCATTGTTGGCTCTTTCTGAGTCTTTGCAGCGCATTCAAGTGATCCTGTCCCAGCTGCCGCCCCTTCAGACCGTAGCTCTTCGATTGGAACCGACGACGAGCGCAGTCTAGGACGGGAGACATCTGTGGACATCCAAAGTTTCAATGGACTGGACGACGATCCGACCACTCCGCGAGCAGGATCCATCACCCCTCGAGCAGGATCCATCGATACAACTGCATACGAGACATTGCCCGACAACGCGCCGCCTCGATCAAGTTGAAGGAAAAAGCAAGGGTCTGCCAAAAGCGATGCAGAAAGGGCTAGATTACTTTCAGGAAAATACTTGGAAGTTGCCCTAGGTGACGGTACAACGCCGGAGGCGCTAGCTTTCGCCTGCTGGGAGCTGGGTTGTCATCCAGGCAAAGAAGACAAGAAGAGTCTCGTGTCTGCCCTTTTGGAATGGGTATGTGTTTCCTATATTGACGGACGCATTGACCAGACATACCTTCCAGAGAGCACGGCAACCGCTGGAGGGTTTACCTTGGTCACCAGTTAGGTCCCATGAGGTCCTTCAGCGACTACACCAGTGTTTGCGCGACGTGGTGCGACCGACGAGCATTGTCCGTCCTCCACCAAACGTCGGTCTTCCATCTGCAGGCAAGATCAAGGCTGCACACTTCAAGACCCTGTACGAGCTCTTCGTCCCTTTATGTGTTCTATCTCTGTGGAAGCCTGGATCGCCGATAGCTATCTCAGATGCAGAGACTATGGATGGACCCTTGACTGCGTCGATGCTTCTCACCTGCGCTATTCGAGCAATGGTTGCAGATGTATTAACGGAGGACAAGCGCAAGCAGTTCATATCCCTCTATTCCCGTCATGTGGAGGCCATTGAGCGCGATTGCCCGGGAATCGCGACTCCCAACCACCACCTGTCGTTCCACATATACGACTTCATGTCGCTCCTCGGACCTGTGAGAACTTGGTGGTGTTTTCCTTTCGAGCGTCTTCTCGGTCGGATGCAACGTATGGGTATCAATCATATACCAGGTATGGCTGTCACCTTTGTAGTCAATTCTGTCTAATATGCCATCAGGGGAATACGAGCAGACACTGATGGAGACGTACTACGCGAGGGCATTCTTCCGCCAATCACTGATGCAAAGTTCGTCGCCCTTTGTGCAAGCGTTCCGACACATGATGGAGCAGCTCTTCGACACCGAGGATGGCTGCGATGATGACGACGATGAAGACCCAGCGGATGAAGGCCGAGACCCGGTCGTGATCGACGCCGGGGACTTGGACAGTCAACCGCAGGAAGTTGAGCCACCTCTGCAGACACTATCAGCTCGCCTCCGCGACGTACCTCTGCCGCCAGTGCGAACCAGGCAAGCCGCACCCAATGAGCGTATCTCTGCGGTTCGCATAGGGCGCAGGATATATAGCGCCAACCATCAGGAAAACAGCTACGTGACCTTCGTATCCCAGAAATCTCAAATGCATTCGAGATGGTCTGCAGGGAAAATCATTCGCATGGAGAAGGAAGATGGGCGGATCATCTTCTATATCAGCCTCTTCACCCCGCTGAGAGCCGATCTCACCCAAGACCCCTTCGCAGCTTTCTGGAACGATGGCTTCGAAGCTCAGTCCGTGTCGCCAGTCTTGGAGCACGAAAAGCTCGTGCGCGTGGATTTGCAACGCGCCGAAGTATCCGCTGCAGCTTATTGGAAACTCACCGAAGGATGGGCTGTGTTTGTTAAGGTTGACTGACCGAAATGCTGGTGTTCGCTACTCTGTGAGTTTCTCTTCTCTTTTTCCAAGTATGCCTTTCCCCGCGTGGACTTACCATGTTAATCGTGCTTACATGAACCGATAGGTTGCGGTCGACATAGGGGGGTCATGGCTTACATACAACGATATGAACATCTCCCTTTAAAACTCAGGAAAAGCCCTGAACTAGGATCGATGCGGCTGTCAATCCCAGGGAGAATGCCGGGTTGAGAGATCGAGGCTGAGAGAGAGCGTGGTCGAAATGCCTCTTAGGTTACATCCCGTCCTTTCTCCCTACTCTTTACTCGGATCTGGTCGCGTGCAAATCGTGCAAGCTAGAGACTTCTCTTCTCCAGTGTTTCACATGGATGTCTTCAGCCTGGTCCCTATACGACCTGTTCGGATGCGCGCTTTTCATTGCAATCGTTTCTGGCTCCATGTCGTAGAATGACCACAGATAAGTTATTGGCTCAACTTCCGGCGCGAGGCCAACATACAGTATGACTACACGACGAGTACCTGTACACATTAGCAGGCCGACGAGGGGCCCAGCAGACATCGGCTTGTAGAGTAAAAACTTTACACATACGCCCGACAGGTAGACGGCGCGCGCCTGAGCAGAGGGTGAGGGTCGCGCATGGCGAGACTGAACCATTCCTTCAGCCATCGCAGTAAGGAATTGTCCGCCCAACAGAGCTACACTGCTTTCCAAGTCAGCGCGTTCCCTGATCACTGCGAATGTCCGTTGCGCATATTGCAATTAATGCGAGGCGGGGTGCTCTCAGTGACTGCCGTGATTTGCAGTGTTTGTGGTTGCGAGGCTGGCTGGCACAGGTGAACGCGATCGGGGTGGAGGAGAGAGCGAAGGAGAGCAGCGGCCCCGCGAGTCTTTTCCCACCGGAAGTTGCCATCCGCGGACTAGGCGAGTGCGACGGCGAGATTCCCAAGGCGACCTCAGTTTGCTTCGTGGCTTCATAGGGATGTCGTTCAGGCTAAGGCAAGTTTCGGTGATTTGCAAGGTGGATCCCAAGTTCCAAGACACGAGGATGCGACTTCACCATTCCAAGGTTCTTCGTCGCTCGCTCGACTGGAGCGGATCACAAAATCGGAAATTAAATACTCTCAAACAGGTTCTCTCCTGTCCGAGCTCTCGACACGGCGTTCTCCCTGGGTGTCAATGAGCAGTGTGGTGGTGCGCGTGCCATTCGAGGTCGAACACTGAAGAAGTGGAGGTGGTAATGCCAGGCGCGCGATCGGGTCAAGTCGTGCAGCTGATGGATGATGAGCTTGGCAAGTGAGATACCGCCGGACAGCGAGTCAGCCAATAGCAAGGGCTGAGCAGTACAGTTGAGGAAAGAAAGTCGATCATTGGCGGAGCTGAGTACTCGATCCCCTGATGGCCAGCCAAAATCGAAAGTTACCGCCAGAGTCGTGCAGCATCCGTCTCGCAATGAGCAGAGATGACATGCATCCACGGTGACGCACGCGGCGAGATGTTATCAGAGTCTGTGGCGAGCGCAGAACTTGCTCAGCAAAGCGAGACCCTACATGAGTGGTGAGTTTCTTGGTAGCATGAGCGACACATAAAGCCAGTAAGTCACTTGCGAGATGGCCAGCCAACTTGACTCTAGTATCTTGATGTGTACCCAGTCAGGATATTGAAATGCAGGCCCCGGGAAGTTTCTGGGTGACGTCCGGGAAAACTTTGGGTTGATTTCAGGCGAACTCCGGGCGGTCACTACCCGTTTTTATTTTTGGCTGCTAAAGATAATCTTCGTGCCTAGTCATCAATAATATCTGCTAATCTCTTTGACCGGGATTAAAGGAAACATATATTAAAGCATTTGCTGGTAAATATTCAAAATATATGACATTGCCAACGCAGCAGGTCATTGGATAACTTTAGGCTTAGTCAAGAATATTAATCAAGTGAGACGATTGATTGCATGCGTCTGAGGACCTTGAAAATATTGCGCGACAACAATTCAATATAGATACCAATCCATACGACAATGTCCTTTTCAGATGTCGTAGAAGGCTCTGCCCGTGGTGATTGTTTCTGGGAATGTGAAGAACAATTAATTGACTTGGGTGCTGTAAGTCCAAGCTGGGACCGTGGGAACATCAGGCGGCCTTTGCCACAAGGCTTGATTAGGTAACTAAGCCCTTTCTTTCTCTCGTCATCTTTCCCCTTCGTCGACGTCGTTGACAACGTTGGCAACGCCGGACCTGGCCCCCTCCATCATAGTGCTACCGGTTCCCATATACACCATGTACCTCACAGCGACTTTCGCTCTTCTCCTCGCCTCTATGGTCCAGGCGCAGGAGACCATCGTCTTGAATGCGGAGCACAACATGACCGCCATTACTGGCACCTGGGCATCGGGCTACGGCAAGGTCGTCACTGGCCCGGTGCGTAGCTATGCTCTGGTTTTGAGGATGGGCGCTGACGAGGCATCAGGGCTTCGCCACGCCAGCAAACGCATCATTCACTTATCCCGACGTCACTGGTGTCTCCTACTCCTTGTGAATACTTCCCGATCATTGAAATCGTGCATCGCTAATTACCCTGCAGCTCGGAGGACATGTACTACGAGGTCGCTCGCTACCGTTTCAACTCGAACGGTGAGCTATCATCGTTCCCAGCGTTATCCCCGCCTGCTTACCGCTCTCACAGCCTCGCAGCCGAATTGCATCACGGGCGTGATGAGCTGGGTCCACGGCCAGTACAGCCTCGAGACCAATGGCACAATCGTGCTCACCCCGCTCGGCGACGGCTACCAGCAGGTCCAGGACCCCTGCGCCGCCGAGTCCAACTTCGTCGAGAACTTCAACTACACCGAGCTCATCACGCGCTGGACGATTGACCAGGACGTGGACCGCGGCTACCGCCTCCGCCTGTGGGACTACGCCGGCTACCCGCTCCCGCCGCAGTACCTGCTCTCCACGACGCCGAACATGCTCCCGAAGACGCGCCTGCGCGAGGTCGCGATCGACCCGGACACGCTCCTCACGCAGCGCAAGCGCGAGGTCGACCTGACGAAGCGCGGCGCGGGCGAGCACGGGCGCCGCGAGCTCGGCTACCGCGAGGAGAACGCGGCCGAGTCCTGGTTCCGCACCGCGCTCGACAAGATCTTTGGCGGGAGCAGTCAGAAGGACGAGTGAGCGCGCGCGCGCGCGGACCCGATGCTGCGCACGGGGGACGATACCGCGCTGACGGAGGGCGCTCCTACGAATGCCCGCCATGACCCTTTTCTCTCTTACTCTACGCATAGTATACAGGACAGACGGACCTTCTTCGCTAGCACATGGCTCGTATACCCATCAGCGCAGCTGCATGCTGTCTCCGCGTTCAGTGCTGTGTGCCGGCTGTGTGCAGTGAACCACGCTCCTTACTTGTAACGACTGGCCGCTGTCCTGCTCGCTCGTGTACTAGTGCTGATATATGCTAGACAGACATTGGTGGGTATTCGCTCGTTAGTAATCCAGCAAGTAATGGTTCGGAACCAGACAGGGCAAAATGGCCCGTCTAAGTGGGATCTGAACCCACCATATAACCTTTTCAGCGCAAAGGAAGAAGGGAGTTCGTGCCACATATGCTTCCGCTAAAGCAGAACTCTGCCACTCATGTTTCCAGGTCGTAACAAAGCGTGAAAAGTCGACTGCAACGACAATATGAAAGTCCAAAAAGCGATATACAACGAGTAGAATACAGACGCTGCTCCTTTCAGCGAACGATATAGCACGGCCGGCAACGGGCACGTACCAAACACAAGTCAACAACCGACGCACGTCTTATGTCGCCACCACTTGCGGAGTCAAACCCTCCATCGCCACGTCCGCGCTCGCTTCCAATGCTGCCCGCTTCTCCGCCGATTCTCGCTCGGCGGCTGCACGGGCGGCTCGCCGCTCCTCGCCCTTGGTCTTGAGCGCCTCGATCTCTTCTTGGAGTTTGACCTGGGGGAGTGCGAGGGTCAGTAAGGTAGATATATGAGTGAAGAAGGATATAGCCGGGTGAATGTGGGAGCAGGAATCGCTGCGTTATTGGAAGATAAGGATATGACTTACCGTCTTCTCCTCGAGCTCCTTCTTGTCGAAGATGGAGTACGGGCTGGGTTCGGGTTCTTCCTTCTTTTGTTTGCCTGTATGAAGGAAGGACATCAGCTCAATATTGATCTGCACACTTCCACATCCGCGGAGGTTAGCGCGCAGGGAGATATCACTCACCAAACGCTGCGCACGCAAACACCTCGTTCATTATCTCGTGGTTCCTTCGATACCTCGTCATACTCAGTGTCCTGGACGAGATCAGGTCGCCCTCGTCGTCCGAGTCGGGCGCGACGTCACGCGGTTGGTGCGGTGCGCGATGCGAAGGGGCGTGCGGTTGGCCGTGCGCGGCTGGGTGATGGCCTAGGAGCAACAGGCGTGAGCTACACGTCCCCCGTGTATATTGTGCGAAGTAAGACAGCACTAACCATGCCCCGCAGCTTGCGCCTGCAGCGCCGCTTGTTCTCTCTGCCTTCGCTCCATGGCCTCCATCGACGCGTTCTGCTGCGCCAGGAGTGCCTGTTGTTGCGCAATGTTCATCCTGCCCATGGGCATTCCGCCGATGCCGCCGGGAAGACCACCGACGCCTGGTCCCATACCTGCGCCCATACCAGCTGCGCCCATACCCGCTCCTGGTCCCATTCCGGGTCCACCCATCCCGCCCATCCCACCACCGGGTCCCATGCCAGCGCCAGGTCCCATCCCAGCACCTGGCCCCATAGCACCTCCCATGGCGCCCATGCCTGCGGCTGTGCCCATGCCTCCCATAGCTCCAGCTCCCATCCCTCCCATGCCACCTGCACCTCCCATAGCACCGCCAGCGTTCGCGCCCGGCGGGAAGGCCTTCTGGCCCGCGCGCTCGCCCATGACAAACACGGGCGGCTCGTTCACGGGGCGGAGGGGGTAGTTGCGGACGGGGACTTGGGCGACGGCTTGGGGGATGTCTGTAGGATGGGATGGTGAGTACGGTATTACGATCAAGGAAGGTAATGCTAGTTTCGCCACTGCGATTCTGGCGAATGTGGGCGATTTCGCCTGAATGAATACGAGGCAGAGGGACGGAAATTCACGCACTGTTGATCGGCCCGCGGGAGTAGTGAATGAGAACGAGGGAGGGGTGGCCGCCTTGTAGGATGCGGAAGCGGCGGCGCACGCGGTAGGCTTGGCTGTCGACACCGGGGATAAAGCCGAAGCGGGCTTCGGTGACTTCGATTTCCTAAGGAGGGGGGTTCAGGACGACAGAGAAGTCGCGGAGGAAAGAGGAGAAGGAGGGGGAAGGAAGAGGAAATGAACGAGGGGAAGGGTGGAGGTACAGGAGGCATAACACGCACCCTCGGCCCTGCAGGGACACTGTAGCGCTTCTCGTCCAGCCAGCGAATACCATCGTTGAAGCTGAAGTTATTGGAGGGGAAGAAGGCGATGAAGGTTTGGCCATCTGTGGCGCGCACATTGATGGGAAGTAAGGCGGAGTTCGTCAGCTATATGTCTATGGCTCGATTAATGTCTGCACGCACCTTGCGGCTGGTCGATGTATCCCCAGGTGAAAGGCACCTTCGTCGCGAGTGGGATGGCCTTTTGGAAGTACTCCATGACATGTTGGACCTTCAGCTCGGGGTGGAAGCCAAGGGCTTCGGGAAAGCGCAGGACGCATCCCTCGGCCTGGAGTTGTTGTGGTGTTGCCATTGTTCCTGCGAGTCTGTGCTTCCCCGCACATAAGCGCGCCGCTGCAAGTCTGCTTTGTTCGTGACGCACCGTTCCTAGACGCGTATTTTGCAAGTTCCGTTTGTCTTATATCTCCGGAGGGGTTGTTATAGATTGTTACAAGGTTATGAAAGGGATGAAGCGCGCCGGAATTGAGATGAACGTCGAGAACAAGGAGTTCGCCAGATCGGGCGCTTGAATGGGCTTGCACGTGATCCCGACGCGTTCCCCGAGTCCGGGCCGGCCGCCGGAGATGGCAAGTTCAACTGAGTACTTGATCTCTTCCATTCGACCCCAAAAACCAAGCTAAAGGCCGGCGATCGACAGAAAAATACGCAGATGCCTCCAGCACAGTTGACAGCCAGAATAGACAAGTGCGCAGAGCTTTGATCCCCTTCATATGAGGCGCAAATCATATCACTCTGAACATCGAAGCCATACTGCTTTTTCAGTACCGATTATCCCCTCAACCTCTTCATAATGAAGATTGGAGAAAATATGGCCTACTCGGCGATCCTCAGTAGCTTGATTCTAAGCAGTGACCAGCCTCGAGGAGGGTCTCGCGACCGTTTACCACGTGACCTAATTTATGACTGCACGAATGCATGTCTATACGAACACTGCATGAGGACCGATTATACAACAAGAATGCCATGCAAGTGCAACATCCAAATTTCTCAGAAAGTCCTCTCGCTTGTCATTGTTTCAGAACAAAGCCACCGTTTCCTAAAGGGGATCAGTAACAAACCCTTGATCAGCGTGACGCTGATATAACTCGCCCTCACACTTCCAGCAGGCGGCCACACCATCTGCATCTGCTCCCCTCCCTCGACTTTAGTGGAACCACTCAACTCTGCCATAGCCCTCAAGCACCATGGACGCCCGCCTTCGTCGCGTAAACAAGGAGATCGCTGGTGCGCATACCACGAGATCGCCGCATACCCTGCTTTAACGCGCGCCTACTCGCAGACTGCAAGAACGACAAGACGTCGAACGTGAAGATCGACCTCATTGATGAGTCGCCGTTCCATCTGAAGGGCTCGTTTCCGGGGCCAGAAGGCACGCCGTATGAGGGAGGCCACTTCGAAGTCGTGCGTGCTACTACAGCTGTGTGTTCGTTCATGGCGCTTACGGATCCATGCTATGGCCACAGGACATCCGGATACCGGAAACCTACCCCTTCCAGCCCGTTAAGATGAAGTTCATCACGAAGGTCTACCACCCGAATGTCTCCTCCGCCTCCGGCGCCATCTGCCTCGATATCCTCAAGGTGTGCTTCCCTCCTTGTGGCGCTCCATCCCATGCCACCCTTCCCGAACACCCACTTACCCACCCATCCCACAGGACGCCTGGTCCCCCGTCCTCACGCTCAAGTCGACCTTGATATCGCTGCAGAGCTTGCTGTGCTCCCCCGAGCCGAACGACCCGCAAGACGCGGAGGTCGCGAAGCACTACACGACCTCGAAGCGGAGCTTCGACGAGACGGCGGCGTACTGGACGCACATCTACGCAGGCGGGCCGCCGCCGAAGGGGAAGGCTGCCGCGGGGGACGACATTGCGATGGCGGGGCTCGATCCGGTGCACGTGAAGAAGTTCGAGGGGATGGGGTTCACGAGGGGCGCGGTGGTGAGTGTATTGTGTCCTTTTGGGCTGGGTTGCGGAGAAGATGATGGGGAAGCGGGAGGATAGACGAAGGGGATGGCTGCAAGCTGAAGGCAGCGGATGTACGGTGCTCGACTGATCGGGTGCTCGGGGCAAGTCTTCGAGCGAGGGATATGCGAGCGTTGTGGTGGTACATGAGAGGCTGACGAAACTGACTCTTCCCCAGATCGATGTGTTGCGGAGGATGAACTACCGCGGGGCGAACGCGAGCAAGATCAACGACGATAAAGTGGTGGAAGAGCTCCTCAAGTCATAGCCGACCACCATGACATAGTCGATCGTCCTGTACTCCGTCACTCGCCATCTAATCCACCTGCAATGTATCCATAACTCCATCGCTTTCATCTAGTATTCACGGGATAGGTACCGTCACGAGCCTGCTGTCGTGGCTGAACTGGTGCTCAGTCCTGAAGGCAGTCTCCCACTCGAGACTGGTAAGCAATACGTCGAGTGTGCGTCCCGATGTGCCTCTTCCTTCGCAAAGGTCGGGCTGAAAAAAATACGAGCGGTCAGATGTCGCTGTCCACCGGCCAGCGAGCGATAAATGCAGAGGTACGCCGTCAACCATTGGCGGGTAGATATCCCATGTGCTAGGCGGATCCGACGGCGATTGACAGGCTCGTGCGCGCGACGAGAACCTGCTCATAAGCGCTCAAGCAGGGCCTACTGATCGACTTGCAGCCCACTCGGCCAGGCTAACTGCTTTCGGGTTACAGGGCTTACTAGCGGCCAGACGCGTCAGATGGCTCACCTTCCAGAGAAATCGCTACTACCCTCGGTGCGTCACCGAGTCTAATTCGCGCACGAGCGCGGAAGTAGGCCAGCTTCTGCCGCTCACGTCCTTCTCGGGCAAGCGTCTATCGTAAGGCTCCCACCGTGGTCAAGATATGAAGTCCTTTCGTTCTCGCGCTCACGGTGGCAACGACTCCGAATCGGCGCTGGATATCCATCTCTGGCGGGTGATGGACTTGTCGATGAGTGGTTCACTCTGGGTTAAACGCAGGCATACATACAGGCAAGAGAAAGAGAGGGTGAATGCACGCGAGTAGGGGTAAGCCTGCTTTTTCTGGTTAGGCCAGACTGACCATAAACCTATCTCACTGCGTCACCAACAGCGTCTCGTGCCCGATCTCACTTCTGCTTCCTCCGCTAAAGCCCTTCTCGGGGGAGCGCCCACCGAGTCGATGAAGTCGTCATGCGACTCTCTGTCGTTCCCGCCGCCGTAAGCGCTCTGCGCCGAGGTGCTAGTACGCTGCCCTAGGCAGTATGGCGTGCATTGTCTCGGGACTATGGGGAGGAATTTTCCGAGTCCTGCTACTACGCCTTCCTCGGCGGCCGTGCATCATCACGAGAGGAGGGCGTGGGTGGTATATGGTCGCTTTGGGGCTCTGCAGACGAGCAAGCGGAGGGGGACATACCTACCTCGTATCTATCTGCACATCAGGTCGCCTAACGTCTAACTCAAGGCCAGTTAACCGCCGCGGTGGCACGTTTGATAGATCCTGTACCTACTGATAGACATGCCTCATTGTCTGTCATCGTCATATACACGTAGCTGTATGCCTGTTACACCCCCTTGATAGATTGTACCTAGTGATAGGTAGAGTTCAGTGCCACAAACTTGGTCGGAGGGGAGGCTCTCGGCATCTGCCGCTCTAGCATGTTGAAGTTCCACCTGAACTCAAATCTCAAACTATTGCGCGACGTAGACTTCTACAGGCCCTATACGTACATACCAACAGTAATGCGACATAATAGATCCCGAGAGGTAACTACTGCTGTGCGACTGGGCTACACTAGGCCGCGGAACGGGGTAAAGAGGGGAACGCGACCGACCGGACTCGTCGTAGCAAATGCGCAGGCTTGTGGCCTCCTCAGCCGCGTATTTTGGCTATGAACAAGAGAGTTGCTTCAGCGTGCACAACAGCGCAGCCGTTGCTAGCCTCTGGTTCATAGCAAAATAGCGGCCGGAGGCGACAAGGAGGCACGAGCCAGAGGACGAACGGCGCGGCGCAGGGAGGAAGCGGTAGTGGGGGAAGGGGAAGGGGAGGGGGAAGAAAGGCAGAAGAGCTGGAACGATGGATACCGGCGCGCTTTCCTCTCCTTAAATATGCGCAGGATTTCTCAATTTCATACGGCATCCCTCTGCCTTCTGTCAGATGTGCGTTGCCGCCGCACGCCTAAAGTGGAATGGAGATAGGGCTGTCAAGGTGGCGCGCACAGTCTCGCACGCCTACCAATGTGCGGGGTTGATGCTTGGCACATCTCAATAAACGAACAAATTCCGAGCCGGACGAATCACATCCCCATAGAGGCACACAGAGCTTGAGGCAATGCAATCAATTGTAATGAGGAGAACATGAGGCTTTAATAATTCCATGATACGTCCTCGTGTCGTGTTCAGCCCTCGGGCCTGCTGGCTGCGTCCGTACTACTCCAGAAGATGCCGCATAAATCCAGCTACTTCTTCCTGCGTCCGGCAAGCGTATGACATCGTCAATGGCAGGCTCTGAAAGATGACGTCCGCCTTTAATTCTGCAGACTGGCGTTACCCCGCTGCTTCTGAATAGACGGTATTGACGTGCCTGAAATCCATGCCCACAGGCTAACGGCAGTTTGCCTCACGATCGTGAGACTCTTCGCAACCTTCCCTTTTGAGTTACGGTTCAGGTGGGCAGCGGAGTGCAAAAATGTCGGGACGTACCTAGAATGATGGTGTTTTCGTTGATGAGCTGCCTCCCGCGCGTCTGTATTCCTCTAACGCGTCGTCGGCCGTGATGCTCATCCGTACGTACTCCACCGGACCCTTATAGAAACGTTCGCCAAATGGGTGCATCCCACGCTTCTGATACCATGTCAGACTGCTTGTCCGTGCATCGCACCATACCGCGTGCGCGCCCATCTCGGCAGCTGCCACCCAGAATACGTGGCGAAGGAGCGCGGTCCCGATGCCCCGCCCCTGGTGGTCCTGGTGGCAAGCGAATTTGCGGAAGCGCACAGCCTTGCTGCCTTGGGGCTTATCGATGGGCAGCGGCTCGTTGAAGATAGAGATGACGGCGATGGGCGTGGTCGAGGAGGACGAGAAGACGCCGAAGTGCGAGCCAATGTCGTCGTCTGGAAGTCGCGTTGCCGAAATGGGAAGGTTTGGCCAGAGCACAGCGTGGCGGAGGGGCAATGTCTCTTCGACCGAAATCTTGCGGATTGCCACGTCTGTCGGGCCATCGGGATGTGCGGTTGGATCAGGTGCAGCGGACGACACGTCCGCAGGCGATGAGGCGTCCATCGATGAGTGATATGAGAGCGCACTGAAGGCCAGGCGGATCAGAAGAAGCCTCACCTTTGCTTTGTTGATCCCAGTCTCGCAATTACCCGGGCCAGTGGAAAACCCCACGAGGCGATGACGCATCGTCGAGTGCCATTCGAACGCGACACAGAGAGGACGCCAGGCTTCTGCTACTTGCCGGCATCGGGGAAGGCGTACGTTGAGGAGCTATAATGAAAGCAGAAGAGCTTCGTGTTGAGCACACGGTCCGAGTTAACAGGTAAACAGCGCGGGAGATCGCGAGATGAGCGATAAATGACAAATATGCGCGAGGATACCAGAGAGTTCACCGATCGGTAGAATAGACTGTACCGTGTCGGAGGTACGGATCATATTATTTGAAGAGAAAGTGATATGATGATGTGGAATTCTGCAGGCAAGGTGCATGCGACCGCCTGCCCAAGCAATTGGCGCAAGTTTCATAGTTAGCACTCAGAAGTTCCTCGTTATACCTTAAAGGCGCCGACGCTGGAGCCAGCGCACCAGGGAGGTAGAAATGCCCCAACACCACAAGTTTTCAATCGAGGGAAAGGAGCCAAAAGCACTTCGAAGTTTGAACCAAGCCATGCATTCGGCAGTTCCCGTCCTTTCACGTGAGGTCTCCTTTCCGGCCCGATCCGGCTTGCCACGTGCACAACCGAACTTGTTTCTGCATACCATCCTCTACGCGTTGTTTTCGCCGGTTAAGCACTCACAGTCCGCCTTCAGTGCCACCAGGAGGTTTGGGAACATAGAATAACGATTTGAATTGGACTGACTTCAAGGTTCAAGATAATGATGCTGCGCAAGCTGACTGGTCAGACCTCAGTCCTCGCTCGGGCTGCTGGCCGAACGAGCCGCTGTTTGGGCCCATTGTCAAACCTTTCGGTATAATAACAACATTAATCTCTATCCACTCAAAGTAGCGCTGACTCTCAAGCAGAGGGCACATCACATCCTTCGGTACACGCCGGTGGTCACCCGGACGGCAGACGCGCAATTATCGGCTGGATGCCGCGCCTACGCTACGCAGACATCTTCCCCAGGGAATGGAGATGGCAATAATGAGCCACAATCTGACGATGTTCCTCCGCCGGATTTCGACTATACTTCTGCGCTTGAGCGCATCGCAGAAAGTGACTTCATTCAAAAAGTTGTGCCACCCACGGACCGCACGCGTCTGGAGAAAGTGCACTCATTACTGCTTCTCATCGTCTCCTATCTGAACAGAGGAGCAACAGTCTCCGAAGACGCCGCGCTCAGCATGATGGTGGTAAGATAGAGACTTCCTTTCCTGCCACCCAGTCGCGCGTTAACTGACCCCGCCAGACGTTCTCGACAGTGGCGGTGCCTCCCGACTCGGAAATCGCCCGAGCCAGGAAGGCCACAGTCAAACTCATTGACGCAATCGTCCGGACCCTGCTTGCCGTTCCAGAAGGGTCGCAAACGCGAACGGAGGAATCCGAGATTTTTGGCTTCGCTGGCGCGATGCTCCCGCTGCACGCCATGTACGTGCAGGGGAAGGAGCCTGGCGCAGACCTCACACTACAGGAGTGGACCGACTTCTGGAACCGCATGCAGCCATTGCTCCTGGACCTCATGTTCGCGCTCGAGAAGAAGGGCTACCATGATCCGTCCTCGCCAGTGGGACAATCGAAGTCGGAGTAGGAAAGCTCAGGGCACCCAACCACGTCGTATATCACACCGCGCAGTCCTTCTCCAGGGACCTCGTATCGATGCCCCATGCCCGCACTCGCCATCGCGTTCCTTCGTATATCGCCTGTCAATCATTCCATTCACAATTTGACATCGTCTTCAACGTGTTTTCTATTGCGTCCGCCCTGCTTTTTTCCTCTTTCGTTGGCTCCAAAATTCCAGCAAGTTGGCGGCGCTCACAACTTGGTCAGTCATGCAGCTACACGGCCGCAAAACTAGTCTCGTCGGTAAGGAGTGCACAGTGTGGCCTGCTCCTCGGCTATCGCTAGCTTCTGCCGCAGAAGCCAGGCTTGCCAGCGCACTACTTACGCCCAAGCTCGATTCGACTTTTCCTGAATATTCAGCAACGTGCCCCGATCTCGAACCTTTTTTGGAAGGCGATGGACGCCAACAAGGTCCGCGCGGTGAGCATGAGAAGCTTCTTCCTATCTGCTGACTTCTCACTAAGCGAATACCCAGTCGGACCTGCGTATTGCGCGCTCGGCTGGGCTCTGAGACGAGAGAGGTCTGTACGGCCGCCAGGCTGAACTTTCTCCCCATCACGGCGCAGGGAAGCACGTTCCTAGACAACTGACTGACCCCGACCATCGACTGGCAACTCCAGTCGCACCGACTGATCCAGTAGAGCGGCGGCATCTACGCTCTCTGCTTATCGATGCAATTTACCCCGAGACGTTCTCTGAGTCGTCTCCCGAAGACATGCGCCTGTAGCTAGCTTATCATACCATCGTTGCCTTACTGACTCGACTGCGAATCAGCCAGGGTCGCTACTAAATCGATTTTATGCGATAATTCTGTCGTTAGGTGAGTACAGCGTTGTCCTCTCAGGGGGTATGGCGATAGCTCTTTTATATGAGCCATTTTATCTCATATATACCGCCCAGAAGCCATGTATATCTGCCCTCGTCCCTCTCTTGTCCTGTTGCGACGAGATGCCCAATTTCAACCGGAGAATGGTCACATGACCAAACGTGCGTGCCACGTGCCGGATGGTTCGGATTCAAAACTGAGTCGTAGACCACCCTCAACACAGGTCTTACTCCCTATTCAACACGCGTCATATCTCTTCCTTCTACAGCCAGCATACCCCTTTCTTTCTACGCGGCTGGCCTCATTCTCATCCTTGCAACGACTTCCATCACGTCAAACAATACCGAGGATGACCGTTGAATGGGCGTCTCGACTACCGCTAGAACTATGGATGCTGGAGATATTCCCTTACGCGTGTACAGATGACGGGTCCACAGCTCGCGCTCTCTGCTCGCAAAACAGGCTTTTCTCGCATGCAGCGAGACCTCTTCGCTTTCAGTCGCTCGCGCTGAAGAACCTCGCCCAGCTTTCTCGCTTCGCCGCACTCTTACAATCCGATCCGGGGGTCGCCCCTCAGGTCAGATACTTATACATTAGCGGTTTTGACACAGGCCTGAGTGAGTATCATGATTGCTCGCGCGTTGCTGCTAGCTAATGGTTTCTACTAGACGCCCAACGCACACCGATGCGACTCTGGATACAGGCTGTCATCGACATCATCATAGATTCTGTCGCCCCTCACATCCGCGTCCTTCACATCTTCGGAAACACCTACCACCTGGGCAACATCCTCCACTCCCACCGTACCTTCACCAACCTCCAGGAGCTGACCATATCCTGGGTCGCCACCGCGCCCTTCGATCTGCAGCCAGCGACGACCTTCCCCGCCCTCCGCGATCTGCACCTCCGCAGCATCGACACCTTCCTCGACACGCCGAGCATGCGCGTCGTAAGGGTGATCAAGCTGCTCCCGACGCTCGCGCCGCGCTTGACACACCTGCGCATGCCGTTTGGGAATGTGGTCGTCTGGCACTTGTCCAAGGGGCGGAAGCTCCCGGACCATATGTCCGCGCTGAAGGAGGTCACGATCTGCGTCCCGGATATGCTGACGCCTGCCATGCACTCTCGATTCATGCTGCTGAAGGGCTTGTCTACGGAGGACGCTCGCCTTCGATTTAAGGCCGAGCGCCACGAAGCGAACGACGACCTTGCCGCAGAGGCGCAGTGGCTTCAGCGCGTCTCGTGCAATTGAGGGCTTACATACCCTTACTCTTCGTACACGAAACCCCATGTAGGCATAGACCGCATAATGCATTCCGGATATCTACAAGTGTGTTAGAAGGCCACTGAAGGCCATCGTCTAGAGCTGTAATGATTATAAGTACAAGGTATCCGCGTAAGTTTCTGATGCAATGGGGCGAGTGCTTCCGATGCGTGGGGCAGGGGTGCCCCCGATGCGTGAGGCAGGTGCAATGGGTCGTGACTATCAACGACCCCTTGCCCTCCAAGAGGTAATAATGGAAGAATAATCCACATGTAGGTATAGGGCACAAGAAATGATAGCCAGAGAATCTGCGTGAGGACGTGGCAAGGCGTGGCGTGACAAGAAAACATAGACTAAGGAATAAGGAAGACCGAGGGGACGAGGAACTCTGCAGGACCAAAGCTGCTCGTGAAGAAAACCGCCCGCAAAGCGAGTTCCACTCGTGAAAGCGTGAAAAGCGTCGTAATATGTACAGTCCAGGATATCGACATCCAGCGTGACAACATGGAACGAATGTGGAAAGGAAAGCATGCCAGATGGACCGCGGGGCAGCGTCAAGATGGGTCGCGGGAGAGCTCGAGGCGGATCGCGGGAGAGCGTCAAGAAAGGAAAGCTATTAATGCGTGATCAAGGATGATGCGTCGAGAACAGTCGTGAGAAGAGAAAAAAGAACGGAAACACAGCAAGCTCAGCGCTACCGCGGAGCGAAGATGGCCAGGCAGACGATGAAGGGCACGTAGGTCACCAGCGAGAGGGCACCCAGAACGCGGCAGCGGAATTGCCACGATCTAGCATCTGTAGAAGAGTAAGCATTTCAGCCACTATTTCGCACAGAAGCAGAGTCGCTTACCGTGTTCCGGCTGTGCAGTGTTCACCAGGAAGCTGCCGCGCTTGCTCTCCCGCCTCGTCGCAGCGACGCTCTCCACGTCGCCCACCAGTCCCTCCGCATCACTGTGGGTGCCGAATACGCATGGGCGAGGTTTGGCGGGAAGCAACCCGCCCAGCCACCACGCAGGGAAAAGCACGAAACCGATGAAGAACAGCCACGCGGCTCGCGGGGCGTCCCTTGAAGGCAGCCACGGCGTCGGCACGAGAGGCGGCGGCTTGCGCGGGTCCCGCATGTGGTAGCGCGCCGCGGTGCTGCCAGAGGCGTACGTCGAGGCGCGGGCCGAAGGCTGCGCAGATAATCGCGATGATCCCGGTCGCGAGAGGTGCAGTGATTGTTGTCCGAGACGCGAGTGACGCTGAGCGCCGAGGGCGTGGATGAGCGACGCATCGTGTGTGCTGCTGGGACGCGGCGGCTCAGTGAGCGAAAGCCTTGGCCGCTTCCTCCTCGCTTCCTCGAACGACGGCACAGACAGCCTCTGCGGGCGAAGTGACCTCGCCGCCGGATCCTCCCAGTATCCCGAGTCAACTCGGGTGGGCTCATCGTCTCCTGCCTTGCGTTTTCCCGTGGTACTGCCTTCGCGCTTCAGCGCGGCTGGGTAAGCGGGCCCTTTGCCCTTGCTGCGGTCGCCGACCACAACGTCCGAGCGCGACGCCCAGGGTATAATCTCCTGAGATCGGTATACGGGCGTCGGCGAGGTGGGCTCGACGGATAGGCATGAGGACGAGACAAAGGACGGGGCAGCAGACGAGGCAGAGGGCACAGGCAAGGCAGAGGGCGTGGGCGGGGCGGTCAACGGTGTGGCAGACGCGGTGACCGGAGCGGGAGTTGCGGCAACTGAAGCGGGAAGCGCGGTGACTGGTGAAGGAGACAAAATCCCTGGAGCCGACGCGAGGGCAGCGGGCGCGGAAGATAGGACGGCAGAAGGCTGCAGACTGTTTCTACCGTCTCCTGCCTTCGCAGTGAGTCTTCCAAGGGAAAGGCTGACCATCTCACGGGAGACGAGGGCCTCCCACGGCGCGCCCTCTTCGGCCGTGTGCAGCGACGCCTGCCGCGCGCTGTACTCCGCGCTCGAACGCCTCGACTCAGTGCGCGCATGCGACCTGCTCCGCGACAGACTTCTCCGATGCACGCGCTCGTTCGCCCGAGGCGCCTCCGGAATGGCTTGCCCCCCGCCTGACCACGCATTGCTCTCACGGCGTCTCCGCCTGCGCATGGCAGGCATAGAGGCCGACGTGGCGAGGGAGCGGTGCTTCCGTCGGGCAGGCTCCCGCGCGGACGTATGCGTCGCGGTGCGGAAGAGCTGGCGGCGGGTGCTACTGACGCTGCTGCCAAATGCTGGGTGACTAAGCGGCGGCAGCGGCGGGGCGGGCGAGCGGCGCGTCGAGGGGACGCTCTTGCTGAAGGTGAAGCCGCTGGAGGGCGGGGTGGGCGAGCCGAAGGTGTGCGCGGAGGGCGTCTCGGCGGGCGGCTTGGGCGCGAAGTCCGAGGCGCTGGCGGGCGTGGTGGGGCGCGCCGCCGCGGGGTTGCCGAGGGTGTGCGTGGAGCGGCCGGTCAGATCTGTGCGGTAGGAGCGCGTGCTGACGGAGGGGCTCTGCTCGGACGCGCCGGATGAGTACCCGCCGAACTCTTCAGGCAGGGCGAGCTGGGGGGTGGGCTTGCCGCCGGGTGGGGAGCGGCCGAAGGTCGCCCAGCGCGTCGTTTCGGATGTGCTGGGCCGTTGGCTACTGTGCGCGGTGCGCGGGGGCGTCCGTAGCGGGGACGGCGCGCGGGCGATGGCGGGGGCGGATCGAGATGCGAGATTAGCAAGGCGGGCCATGATGCGGCGGCCGGGAGACGCGGGGAGCCCCGCGAGCGCGTCATCTGTCAGGGAGGGCGTGTGCGAGAGGTGCGAGCTGGAGGAGGTTGGCGAGTACTCGCCAGCGGGGGAATGCGCGGCGCGGGAGGGTGGGCTTGATCGGGAAGGACGCCTGTGCGACTGGGACACTGAACGTTGGCCCGTTTCCCGCTGTAGGTCTTCTGCAAGAGCATTAAGGTCGGGATGAATCTTGCGGGGTAGGGGAGATGGGTCGGATGAGGCTGTGGGGAGCGGCGGGCTCGGCGGGGCGGGAGGTGGTGGCGCGGGGTTCGAGACGGTAAATGCGCGCCGTCGGAGTCGGGTGAAGAGACTTGGCATGGTGAAGTTCTTGGTAAGGTTAGCTCTTCAGCGAGACGTTCAACAAGTTTAGCATACGCACCTGGAAGGTAAATACTATAGGTGCATTGACGTTGATAGGGATGCTGGCGATTATGATAGCTCTAGCACCTCTGCGGGTCGGCGAGTTCCTGAATTTTCCTGGGTTTCGTTCCCGACGCGAGCTGATAGAATATATGAACAGCCGCCGACCGCTGAGCTCGAATGAAGGTAGGAAACAAGAGACGTTCACGACTTCGCCAGAGGACAGGCGCGACCACGTGACGAACGCGGCCGGCACGCAACGGCTCGTGGCGCGTTTCTCGAGGGAACTTCGAGAATTCGGGGGCGATCATGATATCCAGATGATAGCCCTTGACATACATCTTCCTCAATCAGATATTTCTTGAGCCAGAAGACGGCTGAGCCGATGATGTGCGGGCGAATACCCGCGCACCATGTGCTTTCAATTGACCGAGCGGGGCATCTCCAATTGGTAAGCTTTGTTCTAGGGCAATGGTGCTTGGGACTCGGGAAGCAATATATTCAAGAGACGTATGCGGTGTGGACACCTTACATCACGTCTTTTGCGCAGCAGGAGCGTCAGCAGGGATGAAAGCGACGGAGACATTGTCCAAGTCGAAGGTGCGCAACCCAAGTCTTCTGATCCTTAGCCGCGACCTGCAGTCCGGGTCCGGGCAAGCGACTTCCATCTCTCGTGTCATCCAGTCTGCTATGTCGTGCGTTCGCTGCATCCCGGCTAGAAGCGGTAGCATTGCGCCTGCCAGAAATCAGACTGAAGTGGTCCAAAACCTGAAGTATGGCCGGACGTACCGAGCGAGTACATTGAAAACGCCTGGCCTGGGGGTAGGCTGATCATCTCGCCCACGAGGTCAAAGTAGTCGCCGTCTTTCGCGCCGCAGCGAATGAGCTCGCCAGGCGGGCAGACAACTTCGACGCGGAGGTCAAAGAGTTTGTAGGTTTGTTGTACTGAGCAGTATGCCACGGCGTCAGACTTTGATTGAGAAGCAAGAAAGAGACTCACCAGGACCATCATCATTGGATGCGGGCGGTTGCTTGTCTAGGTACGGATGAGCTACCCCGGGCAAAGAAGTCGAGAAAGTCATGCTTCGACGAACTCAGAATCGCGATCTTGTCATCTAAGGACATCGTAGCAGCGATGGGATGGCCGAGTGCCCAAAAAATTAGGAAGATGGTGGTCGCAGAGGCAGAGAGGCTTTTTAGTCGCAATCTCGGGGTCAGCAAGCCGAACACGTCGCAGCAGTGCACTTGGCAGCCTCGGTGCGTGATTTGTTTCCCGCGGAAACGACCCGGGCTACACGTGGCGCATATCGAGGTTTGCAGCTGACCAAAACCATCCAGGATGCAAGAAAGCGTTAGACTATCGCATTGGGTACGAAGATCGAGAGTGAACATATGAATTGCTCTGTCGGGGGTCAGAGGAGCGGACAAGAAGCGCACAAATATTTGTTCGTCCTTCCCGCGCACGTGTCAACGGATCACCGGGAAGCGAGCTCCGGCGGCGGGCACATCCTCCTTTCCTCCTCCGTTCATTGTCGGTATACCGCCGCCGCTCATCAGATCTCCTCATCAAAGCGAGTGCTTTTGGAGCTCGTACAGGACACGAGATGTGGAACTCTGAGAACAAGCTGAAGGTCGCCCTCGACTGTGCGTGGCTAGTACTGTTTACGGGCGCGTATGCTCAAGTTCCCCGCAGTTGGCTTGTTTCTTGCGTCTTCGGTGCGCTTTTCAGGCGAGAACTCATAGGAATGGCAGGCTGATAATCGAGCATAGGCAGCGCTTTACTTTGCTGTTTCTGTGCGTCCTCACATCCTACTTCCCCCGCGCTAGACTCATGATCGGCACAGCTTCTGACGGATACCGCGCTCCCCAAGCGGCAAGCCGTCAAAGGGAAGAAGATAGAAGCGCTCAAACGCCTCGGACACCACAACATAGAGCTTGACGAGTACGAATGTGCGTCCCCATCTCTCGCAACCTCAATACCCCGCTCACACTCCCCACCCACCAGCAACCATCGCGAACGAGATCATCCACCCCGACGACATCGACGTGCGCTTCAGCGACATCGGCGGGCTCGATCCCATTGTCTCTACCCTCCGCGAGAGCGTCATATACCCCCTCCTCTACCCCGAGCTCTTCCGCTCCTCGAACGCGCTCCTCTCCGCCCCCAAGGGCGTCCTCCTCTTCGGCCCGCCCGGGTGCGGGAAGACGATGCTAGCGAAGGCGCTGGCGAAGGAGAGCCGGGCGACGTTCATCAACATCGCGGCGAGCGCGCTGGCGAGCAAGTGGTACGGGGAGAGCAACAAGCTCGTGGCGGGCCTGTTCTCGCTGGCGCGCAAGGTGCAGCCGAGTATCATATTCATTGATGAGATCGACTCGTTCTTGAGGGAGAGGAGCAAGAATGATCATGAGGCGACGGGGATGCTGAAGGCGGAGTTTATGACGTGCGTGGCCGACTCGATTGATTCGCTGTTAACTTCTTGCTGACTCTCGCTCGCAGATTGTGGGACGGTCTCATGTCCGGCTCCGACCGAATAATGGTCCTGGGTGCCACGAACCGCCCAAATGATATCGACTCTGCCATCCTCCGCCGCATGCCCAAGCGCTTCTCGGTCGGCTTGCCCAACTTTGAGCAGCGGTTGAGGATATTGAATCTGGTGAGCGCCTTATTCCCAAGTCTCACTTCTTACATCCTTCGTCCTCTGTTGTGCACGCCCTATATTTGGCCATCTCTTCCTACTCATACCCATTTGGCCCTCACAATGCCTCATACTCACCCGCCCTCATTCCAGATGCTCAACGGCACCTCCCTCGCGCCCGAGTTCAACATGGACGCGCTCGCGCAGCTCACCGACGGCTTCTCGGGCTCGGATCTGAAGGAGCTCTGTCGGAACGCGGCGATGGTGCCCGTGCGGGAGTTCGTGCGGAGCACGGCGGATAACCAGGAGAAATTGGAAAGAGGGGAGTTGGAGGTGAGCGTTCATTTCACTCATCAATTGGGAAATTTCATCCATCATCTGGATCGTTCGTCCGTGCGGGCTTTTGTGCCGCTGAAAATGGATAGGCACGCAAAGTTCGGTGGCTCACGATGCTTTGTAGGGCTTCCACCTTCGGCCACTCGTGTTGGACGACTTCTTTGCGTCGGACGGGTCGAGCGCGCTGCCGTCTGCTGATGGGAGCCCGGCACTGGATTAGTGGCACTGGCCCAGGGATGCCTGTTGCAGCGACAGTTAGATGCCCACGCACCGGAGGACGGCCCCACGCATCGGGGAACGGCCCACGCACACGAGGTGTCGTTCTTTCTATACGTACCATACACTTTGTTATCTTATTGTGCACTTCGCAGAGGTGCGGTGCGGTGTATTCATAATCCCATTTCATGAAATGTGCTGTGCGGAGACGCAATAGTTCAGGAAGATCGGCTTGCGGAAAGACGAGGAAGTGCACTCTTCGTCAAGTTGAAGGAGGGCGGAAGCTCGTGAATGATACCTCCTCGTGTGGGAAGCCTCAGGCGCCTGTGGAGAAGAGGCTCAATTCTCCCAAGAAGACTGGGAGAAGACCATGAACCAGACTTCGCTGCGCTTCCATGTTGTAGGCGCTCACAATCCCATGGAGGCAGCAATTCAGTGCAGAGTCGAGAACAATGGGAGCGCCATCTCGAAGATGCGGTGAAGCCCTTCCGCTCTCAATCGCAACAATGGAAGCCCGGTGAGTCTAATGAAGGCAGTGCCTTCATTAAGGTTGTGTGCCCACATCGAGGACGGTCAGCCTCGCTACCAAAGCTCGTGTTCTGTGCCACAATTGATCGGGATCGTATATAAGGGCCGAGGCGAGCCGTCTCCTCCATCGCCAAACAACCTACCTTCCCAGCCTTAAGCTCAGTACTCGAGCGACAACCCCTCACCACGTTAGCTTCACCACCCTACACGAATTCTCAAGAGACCCACCTTACGATGCTCTTGAGGTGCCACTGTTCGGTGGCGCTTGGTCGCCAACGCCCTTTTATAGTCTACAATTCTGAGGTGAGTGGTTCGTTCGCCGTCGATTCGATGAAGCGAGGCTAACCGGTTACTGTACAGTCATGGGCCTTTGCTACAGATCCAATGTCCTTCCAACAGGTTATGAGCCCCAAAAGCACACCTGTGTGCCTTGACGTACAGCATATGGATATCAGTTGCCTCCCCGAAGGAGGTCTTTTCAGCTGCGGAGCGCGCTATCAATTCAAGGATACGCTCACGCTGCCGACGAGCGACAACTACGCCGCTGAGGCAGCCTGCTACGCCCCGACGACGTATTCTGCCACTCTTCCGCTCGTGCATTGTCACTCCTCGACGCGACCTTCAGATCACACCTCTGATTCTGGCGAATCAGTGTGATCATGCCAGTGTATCTGCCATTCGACAAGGGGTCGACCCTTCGAGGAGTGTGATGACAACGGCTGGACTTCCCTGCACTACATCTCGTTATCGTCACCCTGGTGCTCGAGCGACGTGCCGTCATCTTTGCGCAAACCGGTCAGCAAGACCGTGCCACGCCGTTGATGAAAGCAGTCAGCCACGGTCGAGAGGATGTTGTTTTTCTCCCTTGACAAGTGGGGAGTAACGCGGAGTTCGACTGCAATGGAGAGAGGTTTCTGCACACCGCAGCTCGAACTGGACATCTTAGTATCGCCAGCAGGCGCCTTGAGCGTGGTGCCTCTTGCGCCGCGCACAGCAAGAGAACATACCCCTTACACTAGCGACCAGTCACGGTCGACTGTACGTCGTTCGCCTGATCACGAGCGCACATCGATGATTGTCATGATAGGGCTGGACTTCTCTACTGCACAATTACCATCTAGACTCCTACTGCTCTCCTTTTACATCTCCCGGTAGGTACTCAACCTAGATAAATGGTATACTCGAGGCTTTATTCACTAAGCCAATCACGAGATACTATATCTTACTTTACTATCTTAGAAAGTACTTCAGCTACTCTGTCATCAGTACTATATTGGCCAGAACAATATGAATGTGCGGGCTACGCCGAAAGTTGAACAATGGGCACATGACGTCACGTGGTTGTGCCCATATTTTGGGGAACAATATCTTGAGTACCATTATACTCCTTCGCTCCCTCCACCACGCTGCTTTATGTCGTGAAGTCCCCGCGTCTCGGGCGCAATCAATGCACAACGTCGTCGGGTTCCCAACGCATGTCGCTGTGCTCTTCAAGCAGGTCTTTCGCGTGGTTTCGGGGCTCGCGATCTCGAATCAGTATATCCTCCATCGGCAGGCGGCGCTAGACGACGGACTTGCGCTGGCGACGGCGGACCCCAATGATTTTGACTATGGGTGCAATCCCCCGAGGCAGGCAGCAGAGCGGGAGCGAAGATCGTACGTATTTCGCGCGCGTTGGGGGAGGATGTTCTCATTCAGGCGGGCGGAAAGTCGCAGAGGTGTGTGGCCCAGTTCTATGGAATGGAGAGCGTAGACTGACCCCCAACGCGTAGATCAACACCGCAAGTCGAGCCATGAGACACCGGACGAAGACGAGGGGAAGGACGAGCTACCCCACGGGTCTTCCCCTTCCGACCCTCCCCGCCCCCCACACCGTCACATACGGCGCCGGAGAAGCGATACAATACACAAGCTAATGGAGAACCCTGTACTATATGACCCCCTTCGCCGACCGAGATACCCCCTTGTACTTTGCCATGGTGCGTATCCCACCCTGCCGTGAAGTATCCGTCTGACGCGCTGTAGGGCTCTACGGCTTCGACACACGCGGACCCGACTCCTTCCCCAGCATGCGGATGCACTACTGGGCGAATGTGCTCCGGATCCTGCGCGAGAGGCTAGGCGCCGAAGTGATCGTTACGGCGGTTCCCCCGTATGTGCATCCAGTTCCCCATACGTCATCGTCTCACTTTTGTACAGAACAGGATCCATATCCTCGCGCGCAGAAGCACTTCATTCGCAGCTGAGGGAGAAGGTGAAAGGACGGGGGCTTAACCTTCTCGCTCATTCGATGGGTGGCTTGGACTGTCGACATTTGATTTCGCACATCAAACCTCAAGAGTACGCCCCACTGTCCCTCATGAGCGTGAGCACGCCACATCGCGGGAGCCCGTTCATGGATTGGTGCGCGGTAAGGTTTTGACATTCCGCACCCAGAACCTAGCTGAACCTTCGCAGGAACACATCGGACTAGGGAAGCTACGGTACAAGGAAGAACAACTCGCGCGCGCCCTGCGAGAAGCCGGCCTCACCGAGGAGGAAGCCATCCGCAAGGCCGAGGAATCACGCAAAGCCGAAGAGTCCAAGGAAGCTGCCGAGCAGAAGGACGGCGGCCTCTCCCTCAGCGCCCTCAGCGCCCTTCCCTCCTCCTTCACCACCGCCGTCATGTCCATGCTCGACTCGCCCGCGTACGCCAACCTCACCACCACCTACCTGAACAAGGTATTCAACCCGGGCACGCCGGACGACCCGAACATCAAGTACTATTCGGTGTCGGGGAGGATATCGAGCGTGAACGTGCTGCACCCGTTTTGGCTCCCGAAGATGGTCGTGGACGAGGCGGAGCAAAAGTTCAGGCAGCAGTTGCGGGAGGAGTGGGAGGAGAGGCACGGGAAGGACGCAAGGTGGCCGGCGCACGAGGTTCCGCTGTGGGCAAACGAGGACGAGTGGGGGAACGACGGCTTGGTGTCGATACAGAGCGCCAAGTGGGGCGAGTACCTCGGCGTGCTCGAGGAGTCAGACCGTGAGTTGATTGCCTGAATATCCATGTAAGCAGCTCTGATGGTTTGGCAGACTGGGAAATGCGAGGCGCGCGGGGGATCGAGTTCGGCGTCGACCTGCCCGCGATCCCCGCGTTTGGGCTCGGCGCGCTGAGGTCGAGCTTATCGGAGGCCGACTGGAGCATCAAGGACTGGAAGCGGCTCATCGGCACAGCGACACGAGAGGAGCGCGAGCAGCGCGCTGCCGCAGCTGCCGCCGAGGCCGAGGGCGACCACAATCAGCCTCGTGAGCGCACCAGCGAAGGCGAGGCGCAGGGCAGCGAGCGCGCACGAGAAGCCCGCGAGCAGCAACTAGCGCGCGACGACGCCTTCCTCAAGTCGTACACGGAGAAGCTGTCGAAGGTGGTCGACTGGCTCGCAGAACAGGTGCCGACGCCGCCCATCATGGCGATGAAGGAGAAACTTGTTGATGAGGCAAGGGAGAAGGGCGCGGCGCTGGTGGGCGGTAGCGACGACAAGGCGGATAAGCAGAAGGCCGCGAAGGAAGAGAAGAAGCGGCCGAGGAGTGACCTGGAGACCAAGGAGGACATGGAGCGCTTCTACATCGCGCTGACGAGGAAGTTGTACGACGATGGGCTCTGAGGCGTTTGGACGCCTGACCGTTTTCAACGGTTTGACCCGGCATTGTCCTGCTCTGCGTCGGACACGCCTCAATATCATGCACCGCCTCCGCGCGCTCATAACCTCACGGAAGCGCATACACGAGCCATTGCCAGGCGGCGGGCCGGGAGGGGCAGAGCACTGTGGCTTGAGGTGTGCAAACGCATTTCCTCTCAGATGGAGCTGTGAAGTGTCGTGGGAGGTGCAGACTCTGCAGAGGCGGAGAGATGCGGGGGAAGGGCAGGGGATGAAGGAATTGAAGAGCAGTAAGCACTGAAATACTAATTCAATTGTTGTTCCTATGCTCCGCGATCATCTGCTCGTGCTCTCATTGGTCTTTCGTGGGAGAAACGCGCTGTCAAAAATGACACGCACGTAAACGCCGCAGCCTAATTGTGCAGCAACATAGGAGGGCGGGAAAGCGCGATGCGTGTGGGTTCGACTATGGTGCCAACGACAGGGTCTATAATTCGCACATCCGAGCAGGAGGCGCTGCGGTGAAGATCGAGTGCGCTCTGGAACTGAAGGAAGAAAACTCGGGGACTCGCATTTACAAACATGCCGACATAGTACGTTCTCCCTGCTATTCGTGCCTTCACCACTCCCAGTTGCCTACGCCTCTATAGTCCACGAACTTCCCGCCATGTGTCTCCCGCGTCGCCTGGTCGATCTGCGCCAGCATGCCCTTCGCGTTCTCCTCAGCGTCGACCATCGGAACGGTGCGCAAGTACGGCTCCTGCTCGATGTGCGCCAACGCCATGTCCGTGCCGACCATGCCCGGGCTGAGGGGGAAGACGACTGGAAGGGGCGTTCGTCAGTATCGGATAGGCATCTGATACCCAGTGGGCAAAAGAGGAGAAGTACTAACCAAGATCCTCAAAGTCCCTATGCAATTTGCGCATGACCCAGTTGAGGGCAGCCTTGGTAGAGCTGTAGGCGTACGTGCCGCCTGGCCATTGCGAACCAGTGTGGATGCTGGCCGCAGGCGTCGAGACGGCGACGAACTTGCGGATCTTGCTCTCCTTCAGCAAAGGGTACGTCGCTTGGAATAAGACGAGTGGGCCATTGACGTTGACCTACGGAGCAGCGTCAGCCCTCCTAGGTCAGTCCGGACATCAAATCGACCCGACGAGCAACGTTGCAAGGGGGCCGTCGGTTGATACGCACATCGAAATGCCTCAGCATCGTCTCCGGCGCCACCTCGAGCGCGAACTCCAGCGGCGTGCCCACACCAGCGTTCGCGATGACCACGTCCAGCTTGCCCGCTGTTTCACGGATCGTCTTCACGGCAGCGAAACTGTTCTCCTTGTCCGCGGAGACGAGCGGGATGATGTGCACCTTGCCTGGGTTGGCAGTGGCGAGCTTGTTGAGCTCGGTCGCGGAGGCGGGCTGGCGCGCGCCGGCGAAGACGACGGTGTTGGGCCGTTTGGCGAGTTCGGTGACGAGGGTGAGGCCTGAAAGTAGGTGAGTGAATAACGGACCACCTTTTAAAAAAGCACAGGAATGTGGCTCGCACCTATGCCTCGATTCGCTCCAGAGATGAGGTAGACAACGGGCTCAGACATCGCTCAGACTGATGGATAAAGATGTAGAAGACCCTGAAGTGAGGCTGCTGGGAGTAATCCTCACAGGCAAGCCCTTTTATACTGCAGACCTACGCCTCTCAACCGCTATTGTTTGGATATGTTTGTTCGCCAGTTCATTCAAACGGATACCATCCGTTTGCCCCTTCCCCGGAAAGCAAGCGCTTGCTGGCCAATCGGAAGATTGCCTGGCCGGTTCGGACGTGAATATCCTTTTTGATGGCTGTGGTTGCAATTTCTTGAGAGCATTCGCATGTAGGTCAGTATGCTGCATTTCACCGGGAAATAGCGGACTCACAAGCAGCGACGCAAGTACGCAACCCAGGTAGCAGTCGTTCGAGTCACCGTACTGACTCAACCATTGTGGCCATCGCTGGTTTGGATGAGATGTGCCAGTTGCGTATATCGTGTGTAGATGGTCGAGTATGATACAAGAAGATATTGTAGAGTACGATGACGTCTATGCAATGCGAACCACTCGTGAAGCACATCAATCAAGCCAACAGCTGGGTCAACGCCTCCTGCATGCTGCCCGCCATCACAGCGCGCACATACTCCCGCCTTTCGCTCCTCACATCCTCAGACATAGTAACCTCTGCCCCCTCTAACGGTGGCGTCCAGGAAGCGCCAACCTCCGGCCGCACATACAGAACCACATCACGCAACACCTCCTTGCTAGCCTGCGCCGCCATCGATTGCAGCAGCTTGTTCACCCGCTCATCCGATCCTGTCTCGCCGCGTAGGTCCGACCAGATATTACACGCGACATGGTGCACTGCGATCCACCGCACGAAGCCCCGCGGCGCACTCTTGATGAGGCACTTGAGATAGGCGCCAAGCATGACCGCTGAGCTCTCGATGGGCTCGAGGTACTCCTCCGCACTGCCCGCGACGACGTCCGCCGCTTCGCACCGTATGCCGCGCAGGAGGTGGCCGTAGTCATCCCAGAGGAGCTTGCGGTAGTCCTCGACATAGCGCAGGGACGTCGGTACGAGCAGGAGGCGCGCGAACGTCTGATGGGCAAAGGACACCGCATCGTAGAGCCCGACGAAGTCCTGGTAGAACTGGAAGAAGGGCGTCCCGGCGCCGAGGAAGCGAACTGCGACACGCTCGATGTCGTCCTGCTCTTTCCAGCCTGCTTGTATTGTGTAGGGTTCGAGGAGCGAGTCCATGAGCCGGCCGACGACGGCGTCGCGGAAGACCTCTGCGTTATCTTGGGCCTGTGGCTGGTCGTGCTCGAGCATGAAGACTTGCATGCAGCCAAACGCAGCTTCCTCTCGCGACAGCGCAGACCGAGCGGGAAGGAAGCGACCCAAGACATCGCGAGCGATACTTGTGAGTGCAAGCGTCGCGCGTACGATCTCGGTCTCGGTAGCGTCCCAGTCTGATGGCAGTGATTTGAACACGGGTGCTGTGCCCGAACGCAAAAGCTGGCCTAGCGGGGAGAGCATCCAATTCCGAGACGCTGGTAGACCGTGTTGGCGGTAGCCTGATGCTTTCGGCAGACGTAGGGTCGTCGATTGCTGGATAGAACTCGGCGTTGGGTTCAGCGGAGCAATGCATACATCGGTTAAGGGCTTGAGGGCCGAGCGGAGGAAAGGCTGGATGACTGTCAAGCCGCCTCGCTCCCAGACTGCCGATGGTACACTACAGCCGCGAGCCTGGTCCCAGTTGGGTGTGATGAGGTCGACGATATCGTTGACGATTCCCAGCGCCGCCAACTCGTCACCGGGCAGGAATCTCGTTACCATCGTGAATGCCTGCGCGAGCCAGAGGTCCGACGGTACGCCAGGCAGTCGCCGCGACAATTGCAGATAAACGGCAAGGTACTGCGAGAGTAGTCGATGGAGTGAGTAGTTTCGAGGGGAGTTGACATCCAGGCGATCCCACAACACATGCCCAACCAGCCTGGCACTCGCCTCGGACAGGAAGGAGAACGGTAGAGGGAACGGCGGCCCGTCCGCAATCTCCTCCGGCGCAGAAGGCAAACACGACAACAAAAGCCTGACAGCAGCCGTCAGTACCCTCAAGTTCTCCCCCAGTTGTCGAATATCGGGCGCATCTGTCGACAGCTGAACGCGTACTATTTCCACCGCAGCGGAAACGACCGCATGCGCTTGCCCGCCCTCCTCGAAATCTGGCCGCAAGCGTACGGCAGCTTCGTTGCGCTCTTCCGAGCCGCCGCGCACGCCATTGACCCGCGCGCCCTCCAGCCAGGCTGCCTGCGCCATCCACAGCGCGACCCATGCTGGACGGTCTGCGGGTACCGCGGTGAGCTTCTCCGTCGCTTCCGCAAGATCGTCCATCCAGCCCCAGCCTAGGACCTGACTCCAGAGTATCTCGTGAGGAGGCGAGGTCCGATGCGGGTCGACGGCGCAGGTAATCCAAGCCTCGTACAGGCGCGCCCAAGCACACAAAGTCGCTCGCGGTGTGTCCGACGAGAGCACATAGCGCGTTATTCGTGTGAGGGGTTCGGCGGCTGTCGTCGCGAGATGTGCGTGCAGCCCGTAGGCAGCGAGACCTGCGTACACCCGCAACGTCGCGCGCAGGAGCTCGTCCACTAAGGGACGCTCGTACACGGAGTCATCGGGCGTGCTCGTGAGGAAGCGTAGTAGCGCATCTGCAGGCCCAACAATCGCCTGCGCAGCCGTCCTAGATGCAGAAGCAAGCGCATACAGGAGATCCAAAGCCAGCGGTTGAGGCAGCGACACGCCATCTCTCGGCGGATAAGGCGTCAGCACAAACAGCGACATCACGTTCGACAACAAGCCTGCATCCCCCGCAATCGCCTCCGCCCACTTGTCGTTGTGCTTGGCTAAGCGCACCAGCACCGCGAGCAGCTGCGCAAGCGGCGCCGGTCCCAAATCGCGCTGCTTGAAGAGCGCCGCGATGCGTTCAAGGAAGGGCTCGATGGGCAGCGAGGCGATCGAGGAGTCGCCCGGAGCCTCGAGTTCGACGCCGTCGACTTGCGTGGCGGACACGTCCCAGCCAACGATGGTGGCCCAAACGAGCTCAACGGCGCGCGCGCCGACGCTGCCGCGCTCGCTCATGGCCTCGGCGCCAGCAGCGAGCGCTCGTGCGCGGATCTCCTCCTCGCGGCCTCTGAGCTCCTCCATGCCGTCCACCAGCCCACGCTGGGCCTCCGCGAGGCGCATGATGATTCCCGCGAGGACGCCGAGCATCGTCGCGCGCTGCGCGGGGACGGTCGAGCGGCAGAGGAGGAAGACGTCGTCGATTGTGTACCCGGCATGTTCTCCTTCCGCGTGGTGGTGCAAGCCGAGGTGAGTAGGCAGCTGGGAGGAAACGTTGGGCGGGATCGGGGCGCCGTGGAGGTCGAAGCGGAGCTTGGGGGCGGAGGGGTCGACGGCGGGCTGCGACTCCATCCAGGCAAGGTTGGGGTCGTCCGCGGCGACGTTGGGAAAGAAGCGGCGGCGGATGTACTCGGGCGTGCCCTCTTCCAGGTCAGCGGTGGATTGAGCTTGCGATGAGCTGGCCGCTGGTGTGGCGTTGCCTGAACTTTCCGGTGCATGCGATGACGAAGATGGCAAGGGCGAGTGCACCAGTGTCGGTGACGAGGGTAGACTCTTCGAGGTGACTTTGAACTGCCCTAGCGAGACCGCATCGTCGTCACCAGCTTCTGGCGGAGGGAGTGCGAGAAGTCGCCTTTTTGGGGACGGTGGCGCAGACTCGTAGACATGGACGTCCTTGGGCTGCACTGCAGCGAATCTCAACCGGCGATCAGCACGGCTGGACGGACGAGTGTTCGAGCGCGACAGAGCGGGTGAGGGTAGCGCTGCAACCTGAGGTCAGAAAAGCGCATATACGCTGATCGTAGGCCGTACCTGTGGGCGACGACGGGCGCGTGACGACAGCTTCTTCACTAGTGAGGGGTACTGAAGGCTGGGGCTCTGCATCATGCACGTCTCTGCAGTCGAGTGAAGGGTACCTTCTTCTAGTCGAGAACGCAAATCATCCGGGGTTGCGTGCTTGCGGCCTGCGACCGCGGTATCCACCGACATCGCTGACTTGTGTGGTAGCACTTCGACAGCATCGTCGACCTTCTCGGTAGACGTTGAGGCTGCAGCTCCGGATCCGCTTTGCCTGCGCTCGCGGTTCTCGCGTATGGTGCGCATGAGGTCTTGGATGTCTGGCCCGAACGTGCTGACGACCTCCTGGATGCCCTCCATACGCTCCTCTTCGGTCATGCCTGCGATCCTCTCGTCGTTCTCGCGGCGCATTTGTTCCTCCCATGAGCTTGAGGTACTGGGTGCCGATCGCGAGGGAAGGAGGCCATTAGTGGTAGGCGCTGGCTTCAAGGGGGCGCTTGTTTCGTTCGCCAACGAGGTCGACATCATGCGCAAAGGGGAGGATGGCTTAGACGTCCCCGAAGCCGAATGAACGGAGGGAGGCGCAGAAGATCCGTTGAGGGTTGTGGATCCATTGTTCTTGCGAAGTCGGGATCGTGCAAATGCGCTTTGAGAGCGATGTATGGCCGCAGGAAAGCCTCCTCGCGCGCTAGTTGAGACCTGTGGCGCACTTGCGGGCTGGCTGCTCGGTTTGCGTTCCAGGATGTTTCCGACGAGATGGCTCATGATTTGACCTTCGTGGATGGGAAGTATCGTCGAGTGAGAGGGAGAGGGTGTTATGCACTGGTGCTAAGCGCCGGTCAGACCGAGGACGATGGCTATGATCAGTATCACGCACCTCTGAGTAAGGCCCTTTTTCCCCTATGACTTTCTATCTCTCTATGTGCCTCGTGTCAGCTCGACGTTGAGACCGCCGATGTGGTCAAGGACAAGAAAAGAACAATGGGCAGGAACCCCGAACAAGGGGATTTGCGTTTTACCGAAATCGGTCTGATCCGATCAATCTTGCGCCTACAACGTTCGCTCCGAAGTTTGTCTCGCCAATACATTTTGATTGACGAAGTAACTGGTATACTACCTAAGTAATTAGGGTAGCAGTATGATAGGATAGGAGATCTAGTGACTGGCTTAGTATATAAAGCCTGTACACTGTGTAAACGCTTGATCTAGGTTAACTATAAACCTATCGAATGAAGATAACTGGTTCTGGTAGGACTAACTACGAGTGAGTTAGCTCTAGCACATCTATGTTTTTGATAGTCTACTTTGCCGCTCTTCATGGCGCTCGAGGTCGGTGCCCGATTTTCGCAACAATGTGCAGACTGTGCCGCCGCTGCAGCGTGTGGTGATCGGGCACAGCAAGGAACTGCAACGACGAGACGGAGTCCGGCTGCGAGTACGGGCCGGGCCTGCGCGAGGAGGACGCGGAGGACGAGGTGCGCGAGTGCGAGCGGCCGCGATTCGCCGCCGCCAAGGCCGTTGTGCGACTCTGAATAGTTCGATCTCCGACTTAATAGGGCTGCGCCCAGGTGCTACCGAAGGTTCACCTGGAGAACGCATGCGTCAAATAGCGTTACACTGTCCGTCTTCGGCCTCCCGTGAGGCTGAAAAATCGTCGTGCGCCCTTGTAAGTGCTTGCGCAAAGTAATAGTACGGAGAACATGTTGGGAAGCCATGTTCATGTGCCTCGTTGTGCGGTGGAGCTATCACGGTCTGACAGAGCAGTGTCGAGAGGAAGGAATGCATATCTCCCGCGTGAGAGCCGTCGCCGGTAGCGTCGGAGGGCGATGAGCCGCGTAGCTGCCTCGCCTGCTGATCTCGGGTAGACGACGTGCTTGTCAGATGTACTGCTCGTCGTCGTTAGAGAAGCGATGACATTGGAAATCCTTGATAGCTCCCATGAGCTCCGTGATCTTCTGAAGCGTGGCCTGGCGAGCCGTTGAGCTTGCCTGCCTTGACAGTAGCCATCGCCATCCTTGTCGAAGACGGAGACATGCGTGCCCATTCGCGTTCGTGGCAGCCGCCACCCCGGAAGCAGACTCCGTGGTAGGACTGAGGCGCTGTCGCACTCCGTGAACATTCCCTCATATCGTCCGGATACGGAGGTCCGCCAAAATACAGCGCCCTGCTGTGCCAGTGAGGGCCTCCGAGGTTGCGCTGAGTAGCAAACTCCCTCCCCCGTCTATGGGCCGACCTCCGACTCGTGTTCCCTCATGGAAGATTCCCTGATTAGAACCAGCTTGCGATACAGGGCCTCCGAGGGGTGCGCTGAGCTGATGATGCATCACGAGTAGCCGCTGCGAAAAGGCTCCGACCGCGCACCACTTCCTTGAGCATCGGCGGCGACGGTCGAGGGCGGCCCACGCCGCACTGATAGCTCGACAACCTGTAGCACAGACGTGAGTACCCTATATCATTGTGTCAGCTATCTATCTGGACGAGAGGTATCGAGTACGCACGGTCGTAGCAGCGCGGGTATTTTGGGTTTTCCATTCGCGCAGGAGAGAGGCAATACAGACGCCCAAGAGTCTCGAAGACGTTCCATGGTCTCGTCTTGGTTGACCGTGCGGACCCGTATAGCGGCGCCTACGCCCGGCCCACCAGCCGGTCAACAACCCGCCGATGGGATCATCGGGGTTGGTGACCAGTGTTTGCGATTCAGGTTCGGGATCGAAGGAACTACCATCGTTCCTGCTGATCCATCCGCGATACGACTCAGGCCTGGGGCTGGGGCTCATGACTTGTTGGACTATAGATCTCGCGTGCGCATGCGCCTGGGGACATCGGTCAGCCCGATTCTGAGGCCCATAATACGGTGAGCCACTCACAGGAATAATGATGTTTTCATCATGGATGAAATTCGATGGATTGAGACGACTGAACGCCGTCGTGAAGTGGCCCCTCGAGAGCATCGTGCGACTGATAATCAGAATGCTAAAAATTTGCAGCTTTGGTGAGAGGAAGAGCGTGTTCAGAGAATATTCGCTTGAGCGATAAGTGCACTCCTGTGGGGAGGAGAGTAGGTTCTGAGGTGATGAAGCGGACGGCTCACCTCGACCCTTATAAACCCCTCGGGAGAATTGTGGCACCGAACGAAAGAACTTCGCGGCACGGCTGACGTGTCGACCTGTGGGATCGTGGCTGAAAGCGAAGCTGTTCTTACAAACGGACGCGCACATGCTTCTCGATAGAGATGCAATTCTCCATGATAAAAGAAGACTACCGAGGTAGTGGGCTCACCTTCGCGAGCCGTGAAAGGGCAGCGCCTATTGTCCCGAAAGCTAGACTCTATGGCGGTGTTGGAAATGCAGTGGGCGTCTGAAGAATGGAAGCGTGACGAAGGTCTTCTTGGTCTGCCTTGCATAGAGATTTGTCTTCTCGCGATAGCTGCGTTACCGGAAAGGCGTTTTCGGCGTGTTTAAATCGTGTACTCGAGGTCTCTTGAGTCACGAAGCCCTTAAAAGATTTTCTTCCATTTTGAAGTCGTCTACACCACTTCTCGTGAGCGACCGGTGAGCGCGAAGGGAATTAGGCTCGAGGTGCCGCCTTCGGGGCATCTCACGGAGGTTCAGTGTCGTCATAATCTCGTTGAAGGTTACCACAAGGACGAGCCAGAGACCGTGGAGTTGTGTCTCTGTGCTGAATCGTATCCGCGTGATTGAACGCGGTGGGGTCGGGGTTGGGAATCGAACGTCCTGCACCGGCTTGTCGACTTCGCCGCCGGTGGCTTCAATCCGTGACTCGCAGTCATCTGCGTCGAAGCTGTTCTTCAGACGACGTGCAGTCTCATTCAATCAGAGTTGTAGCAGTCTTGACCCTGAGATCACCGATATGGTCGGTCCAGGACAAGAAAGGAACAATGGGCAGGGACCCCATTTGGGATTTACCAAACTTAATTTGATGCGATCAAACTGACGCCCACAACGTTAGGTTTCGGGGTTTAAGTTTGCCAATATAATTATATTGACGGGCCAATTGCCATGCTACCCAAGGTAAGTAGTGGTAGTATGGTATTGTATAGTATATAGTGATTAGCTTAGTAGATAAAGCCTAGTATGCACTATATACCGGCACTCTAGGTTGACTACTAGGTAGCGAAATTAGTGAGTATCTAGTAGTGAGCCAAAAGATGAAGCGAATCGATGGGCTCTAATGCTACAGTAGATAGTGCTTTGACACTGATTCGGGTGATTATTCATTTCCAGTGACCGAGCTGGCCCTCAGCAACGGCTGAGAGCGTACAATAGAAGCCGCCTCAGGGCTTCAGTCCAGCGAGGATCGGGGGCGAGCCCCGGTGCTATAGCCTGCCATGGGCTTCGCATGCCGATAAGGACGAAAACTGGATGCACTTGTTAGCAGCGCAAAGCCAATGCCAATCAACGAGGACGTACCATCGCCGCTCAATGCGCCTCCCGAAACCACGCCCTGTCCTCCCTGGTCTTGATTCCCTCGCTCCTCGGAAAGGATCGAGTTTGGTGAACCGATCTCTTGAGCCTCGTCTCTACCGGGCGGGTGAACTTGCTTTGTATCGTGCTCCGGATGAGGTTGGCCGGAGGGGGCGGGGCGAGGGACAAAGGTGCACACCCAGCGATGTACCCGGATGGCACGTACCATGCCTGTTCCGCGCTATATCCAAATCCGCGTCATCTCCTCCCCGGTTTTGACCTCCCTCCACGCTCGGCATCAAACACGGAGAGGCAATCGCCGCTTGCGCTGCAAAGCGCAAGCCATTGCCCGTAGATGGGGTATCAGAGGGGCGATGAGACGGCATTATATGAACAGTCCATAATTGCCTGATTCGGGACTTCAGTGTCAAGGTGTGGAGGATGTACGCATGACACTCACGATGAACTTGCATCGCGCAGGCATGGCGTCGGGAATGAGACGATAGAGGACCTATGCGGAGAGGAAGATGCCATTAGTCGATGAGAAACTTGAGTGGTAGAGAGTAGGATCTCGCACATCGTCTCTAATGAGTTTGTCCTTGTCTTCGCGACTGCGAACCTCGCAGGTCACTGATGAGCCGGACGTAGATGCTGCTACACGACGGTTGGGGTTCATAACCTGTTTGATTATAATTCTCGCGTGCGCATGCGCATGTGGCCACCAATTAGTCCGGTTCAGAGGACGATGATACGGCTCGCCACTCACAGGGATAATAATCTCGATATGGATGCGGTTCAACGACCATTGGCGACTAGGCGCCAGTGAGAAGTGGCACCTCAGCAGCATGATGAGGTATGGAAGGGAAGCGGAGTGGTGCAGATGCAAGGCTTCAGTGGTGAGAGGATTGATTCCTAGTGGTAGGGGCGTTGAGTGCTTGGAGGTGTAGGTTGTGAGATGATGCAGCAGACGGCGCACCTCGAGCCTTATAAACCCCTCGAGAATATTGTGGCGCCGAACGAGAGGGATTCGTGGCATCTCTGACGCGTCGACCTGTGTGATTGTGGCTGAGATGAAAGTCGGCGTTTTCAATAGCACCGATAGAGCCATCAGACGCTCGACGCTTCCACTATGGAGAAGGCCGCTGGGGTGGTTAGCATCGCCCCCACGAACCTCGGAAAAGCAGCGCCTATTGTTCCTTATGTGCTGCACTCAATTGGCGCGGTGAAGGAGCTGTGGGCGTCTGAGCAATGGAAGCGCACTGAAGTGGCGCCCTTGGTCTTCTCGAGTCGAGCCTGGATCTTGCTCGCATGGAATCCCGGTCTTCCCTGGACCGCACAGATTCGCAAATGACCATTTGGCAGCGCGTTCAGCGTGTTCAGAACGTGTACTCGAAGTCTATCCAATCAGGAACCCCGCCGAAGACGCCTTCGATCGTAAAGTCCATCTCCGCCACGTCTTCCGCGTCGAGGACATGCGCGGCGGCGACCCGGTTCGACGTGTCGCCTCCGGGACCTTGAACAGGTCAGCATCACCAGTCGTCATTTGCAAAGCGGGGCAGGGCGCCATAGAATTGTCACGTACCCGTTGAGTTATACTCCGCATAATACGTCGTGTTCGCGATGGTCGGTCTGCGCAGCATGAGGATCATGTGTTAGCGACCAAAGCAGTGTCTTACCTATCGCCACCGAAGGGCTTCCAACCTTCGGGATTGATACTCTCGTCCATGTAGGTGTTGAGGAAGACCGTGGTAGCGAGATCGTTCCACGGTCGGCCTGAAATTCAATATTCCAGTAAAGTGTAACAGCGAAAGGATTGACGCCGATACGTACCTAAGTAGCACAAGCTATCTGTATCCGTGGTGTCGTTTGCGTCCGGGGACTGCATATCCGTCAGCGAAAGACTTTCAGTACTGAGCAGAGATCCTTACCCGAAAGATACTCGAGTTTGCCACATAGGCGCCATAGCGATTGTTCGGCGCGTCCGTTTGATTCGTCCCCTTCCACGCGACGATGCCACCACCGCACCCTCGGTTGGCCAGTATGACATTTTGGAACCACCTATGAAGTGTAAGTATTCTCCGTCTACCTCTCCTGATTGAAGTACCTACGCCGTGCCGAAACCGAAGAGATCTGGGGTTGGGAGGTCAGTGTGTCCGGTATCGTCAATAAGTTAAGGAAACATGCACAATCCGTCTGTCCGTAAATCACACTATCCACCACATATGTGCTCGCATTGCGCCCCGTATACCACGTATCCTGATAGCTCCTGAAGCTGCACCCATAGAATGACGCGTTCGCATACGAGATATCCGTCACCAGAGCTTGCGAGATCGCATAGTCCGCCGCCCGGTTCTCCCAATCGATGTTGTATGCCCGAAAGTCGGCGCTCCCCGATTGAGGCTGCAGAGGTGCGCCGGTAGGACCCGACCCGATGAGCGCGCCGGCGCGGGAAGGCGCGACGGTGAGGACGGCGGTGTCGGCGTCGTCCATGGAGGTATTGGAGACGTAGGCAGAGCTCCAGATGCGGACGAGGTTGAGAGGCGAAGCGGATGCGTTGGCGAAGGGACCTGAGGCGAAAGTGACGGAGGAGGGAAGTTGGCCCTAGGAGAGACGCTAAGAAGAGTAGCGCAAGGACAAGGGAGCGCTTACGAGCATGGTCAGGGGCGCGGTACCAGTATAATTTACGACCTCGTTATATTCGCCCTCTGCGATTAGGATGATGCCGGAGCCGCCGTTGTTCGTGCTATAAGTGAGTGACTTGGTAAGCGTCCACCTATCATTGAAGGAATTTGGTCAGAAGACGCATAGCACCTACAAATATAACACTGCGTCCTGAACGCTCGTAAACGATGCATCCTCGTCAGACGTGTTCTGCGACACGAAGACCGTGCCGGGAGGGCAACCCGTGAGCTGCGACGTTCCCGCTGGCTTCTGCTTCTGACAGTCGAGATACGTTGGAGAAAGAGAGGAGACGAAACGGAAGTACAGAAACAGCACTACGACAGCCTTCGACCGAGAAAACATCGGATAGTGGCAGCAGACACGAAGCGGATTGAACAGTGCGATGAGACGCCGGTTGTCAGCCAATATATATGTAGCGAAGCCTTACTACCTCAGCCGGGCCGCTAGTGATCACGAGAAGGGAAGTGCACATCCAATGTCGTTGCACCGCGGGCCTGCGGCTTCGTTGTGGTCATGAGGCTCAAGAGCAAAATGCCTCCGGCGAATGCCGAAAATTGACGTACGGAAGTAAACCAAAGGCTCTAAATATGGCAAAATCAAAAGTGATGTGAAATTCACTTTGAGCGCTTTCAAGGGCCAAAAACTACAGTATGTACAGTATCGTTAGTTCTGAGCTCAACCAGGCAAAATGGAAGGCCTCCACTGGGGTTCGAACCCAGGATCACCTGCAGATGCGCGCCCAAAGCAGGTATCTTACCACTAGACCATAGAGGCTTTCAAGCTGGAATTTCTCAAAATCTTCCAAATCGCCGCATGCATGTTTGCTTGCTCTCAGCTCGCAAACGCCCGTCCAGGGTTCATTGAAAGGTCTTCTTCCATTCATTTCGTTCGTTTCATTCGTTCGCATGTACTGTGCATAACCCAGCCACCGTCCTCACCGCCTAGGAAGTGGCCAACCACCCTGCCCGTCGTCCGCATCATATAGGATTCGTCTGCATTACCTCAATCAACTTGTCCATCGCCTCTGCTCTGTAGGTATCCTGCGTTAAACTCAGTGGCTTGATGAGTCCATCATTGAAGGAGAGCATCTGAGGCGACGAGGATGTGTACTTCGGCCAGTTGGTCGCGTTCTTGCCGTTGGGGTCGAGGTTGGCGGTGAAGCGGATGGTGTAGCTGGTGGGAAGGAGGCGTAAGTTGATGACCCTATGCCGCAACAGAAGCCGGCTCACTCGCTCATTTCTCCAAGTCCAAAGGCAGCGTTGAGCAGATCGGATCCGTGGAACTGCGAAGAGAATTAGTCCTGGTCCTCAAATAATCGAGAGCAAGATACTTACGCTCCCCAACGCCGGCAAGCCCTTCAACCGCTTATTGATAAACGCCCACATATCCTGCTTCCCCAACCGCTCCCTCATAAAATACCGCCTCGGCCCCTGGAACACCGTATCCCCCTGAAACGACGCAATGCGCTTGAACTGCGGCGTCAGCGCGTTCAGGCTGCCCGTATCATACGGTGACCCCTGCTTCGGATCCGACGGATAGAGCTTGAACAGCGCGTCGATGTCGGCAGAGGAGGCGCGCGGGAGCCAGTACTGCGAGACGTAATCGCGCGCTTGCGCGTCCGTGGTGATGTTGAGGGTGGAGAAGGAGAAGAGGGTGCCCTCGTCGTCGCAGTCGCCGCTGATGAAGGGGACGTTGGCGACGGAGCCGTGCTTGACGAGCGCTTGGGGGTTGTCCTTGAGGAAGACGCCGTCCGCGCGGGGGAGCCACGTGAGGATGAGGGACTGTCAAAGATAGTCAACAAGGTATTCACGTGCAGGTGGAAGAAGACGAAGTAGAGGCAACGCACCTGGTACGAGAAGACGAACGGCGTATCATCCTGCGCCGCCTTCAGGTCTTCGTAGGGTACCTCGCGCAAGCATTGCAGGGTGTCCTTGCTGTTCGTGCACCCGGTCGCGGCGACGAGTTGGTCGTACCAGATCTGTGGGGTGCGATGTCAGCTTGTTGTCTACGCTCTTTATTACTATGTGCATATGATGCGCTTCATTGTCCATGCGCCAGAAGACCAGCAAGGCGTGTTTAAAGCCCCGCGACTCACCTGTCCATTCGTAATATCACCCACAGGAATCGGCGATCCCGAGTTCATGACCGCGCCTCGGAAGAGGCCCTCGGTGTTGCCGTCGTTGGTGACCATATGGAGCGCGACGCTGATTGCTCCCGCAGATTCGCCCCATCTGTAGGAAGGACGGGTTAGCTCTCGGAAGACAACACAGCTATGGAGCGAGCCTCGGAAGGCAGCGTGCAGAGGGGAGTTCAGCTTCGAGCACAAGACTTACATGGTAACCTTGTCCGGGTCGCCACCGAAGGCGCCGATGTACTGTTGCACCCAGCTACGGAAGTGTTAGTCTGTGAGCTCACCCATGTATAGGATCGACGTACCGCAAGGCCGCGCGTTCTGAGAAGTGGGCAAGAAGTATGGGTGGAGTAGGCAGAGGTATGAGCGAAGTAGGCAGAAGAAGTATCAGCGAAGTAGGCAGAGAAGCATGAGCGAAGTGGCAGAGAATTATCAGCGAAGTGGATGAGAAGCGTGAGTCACGTGTGCGTGGTCAGAAAGGTAGGCCTTCTACTCACGGTCCTGCAGTCCGAGGTTGCCTACTCCCGCGTCCTTGACTTCTTGACTGGCAAGGAAACCGAAAGCTATGGCCGGCGATGAGTTAGATGAAAAGCCCATACGCTTGTGAGTTGTGAGTGCGCACCTGCGACCCGATAGTTCATGGATACATAGACTGCGCAAGATGGTGAGTAACGAACGGTCATAAGAAGATGTCGGGCATGACGACTCACTGACGGGCTCGTCAATGGCGAGCGAGCGCTCGACAATGATCCCCCCATCGTACATGGAAGTGCTTCCAATCTCGAAGCCACCTGGTATAGCAATGAGTTCCCCTTGTTGCGTCCCACGCTGTTCCCTTCGTCGCGTCCTACGCTCCCGGGTCCGAGAGATCACACGCACCGCCAAAGATCCACTACGGGAGGACCGGCGTCAGTCGCCATCGATGCCATGCAGATGGGTGAGCGGTTCAGCAGACGCACCACGAGCACGGGGAGCTTGGAGTCCGGGGTCGCGGTCGCGGGCTTGACGACGTTGATGGTGAGGCCTGCGGAGGGTGAGTTAGGCGCGGAAGCATGCCTCGCGGCGAGCTGCTACTCACAGTCCTCGTCATCCGGGAAGACAGCGGGGTAGAGCGTATTGACGATCGCGTCGATGGTGTCCTTGACCAACCCGTCCGGGAGGGGCAGCTGGATGGCCTGTTGCGGGCACGACGCGCCGAACTGCTTCGCGTCGATGTCATCGGTGTACTTCGTGATGAGCTGGGGTAGACGGAAGCGGAGGTCGCCGACACTGTTCGTGTGGTGAGCTTCTGCCTGACTTGCACGAAGTGAGGTGTACTGACGGAGGCTCCGCGAAGGGGATCCCGAGGAACTTGTCGACCTTTCCTGAGGCAGCACCTGTGACGGTGGCACCATCCAGAGTCACTGTCGGTGGCGCGCGCTCAGCGAGGGGGCTGGCAGACGCGCCGAGGGCCGCGAGCAGGGTGAGGAGAGCTCCAAAGGACGGTGCCATCCCGACTGAGTACCCGTGGACGGTGGGCTAGGGAGACTCGGTAGTTACCCCCACCCTGTTCAGCGTTTTATACGCCCGCGACGCGCCTGAATCTGATCTCCGGCAGCGCGCGAGGCGCTACATGCTTACATAACAGAATACCGAGGTAGCGATGCCGGCCCGCGAGCTTCTGCCATAGCCAGGTTCCTTGTCCTTGGGCGTGATGAACAGAGGGGCGGGCGAGGTGACTGCCAAAGGCGGGTCAGAAGTTGACTTTCCTGGAAGAGGCACGGAGGTCAGATGCGACGGCCGTCGCCCCATGGGGCCCCGGACGCGCATTCAGCAGATCACGCGGGGGCAAAGTGGCAGTCACCGCACGTTCTGCCCATGTGCGGGCGATGGGTCAACTGCAGTCGGGGGGATGGGTTGTGCACGGTGGTCGGGTACCGACGTCCCCGGTGTGCAGTGGCGGGGATAAAACACTGGAAAGGCGGGGACAGGTGACAGGGTTAGGACAGGTACTGCACATGGGGGGGCCTTCGCAGCGACCTATCAGCTTGCTGGAGGAGCGGAAGCGCCGCTTCTTGGCCAGCTGCAGCCTTCGTGCTGAGTGTTTCGCAGGTCAACTGGTACGGCTGGCACGGTTGGCAGGGGCAACAAGAGCGATCCTCCACACGGATAGGCAAGTACCGCGCATATACTCGTCGATATCAAGTGTCAAAGCAGGTCATGTACATTGCAGTAATTCACTTCTCGTACCTAGAAGGACAGCGTCATCGCCAGAACCGCCATCCCAACTGCCAGCCAACCAGCGCGCAGCGAAGCCGCAGAGTTGTTGTCCGAGCCTTCGCCGCCTTGCGAAGTGTCAGACGAGTTGCCGCCGTCTGTATCGCCCGGACCTGACCCGCCTCCCGTCGAGGCAGCCGCGGACTCAGTAACGTTCGGGCATTGCGGCGCCGCAAGCACGTCGCCGTAACGGCTGGCTGTCCACAGAACGACACCATTCGTCCATCCGAAGCCGGCCTTCATACGCAGATCAGCTGACAAGCACGGTGACAAGCGACACGGCGATCTCACCTGCACGGTATACTCGCCACCGCTGCCAGCTGAGTCGATGTCGAGGTTCGAGAACTTCTCGAACATCTGTATGAAGGACGGGATGAGCATACTGCGGTCGGGAGTACACTTTGAGCGAGACTACTTACATTCCCGGTGTTGTTGATACTGTTCGTAATATTGAGTTCCTGCGGGCTTCGTGAGCACCCCATCCTTTCCTACCGCTCATTTACTCACCTCATCCGAGAGCCTCGCCAGCAGGCCACCGAGAGAGCCGCCAGTCGCATGCCTGGATACCGTCAGCCTTCGCCCGTGAACCCCATATCCAGACGTACCAGCTACACAACGCCGCCGCTATATACCGATTCGCCATCTCGCGCTGCAACGCCTTCCCCCAGCCCTCGCCGTCCGTCGCATTCCCACCATTCACCACCGTCCCGTCCCGCACGTTCACATCCGCCTCCGCGCCCGTCGAGCTCGCGTTCACGCCCTTGTACAGCGGTTGCCCCGGCAGCGCGTTCTCCTCCAGGCCCAGCTGGCCCTCAGGGATCAGCGCGTACGTCGACTGGTTGGTCTGTGGCGTAGGCAGCGCGGAGCCCGTGACATTATCCGGCAGCGCGCGCAGCGCCTGCATGGCGATGTAGACGTGCGGCGGCCACGCGTTGGGCGCGTCCCACTGGAGGCCGGTGTTGAGGAAGGTGGTCGGGTAGGTGCCGTTGTAGCGGGACATGACGAGGTTGATGGAGGAGAAGTAGCCGAAGGCGGCGTCGGGGGAGCTCAAGAGTTCGTCGGGTATGATGCCGGACCAGAGGGGGTAGAAGGTGGCGATGGTGAAGATTTCCGATTGTTGGTTCGTCTTGAGGTTGAAGTCGTAGAAGGCGAGCTGGAGATGGAAGGTGAGTGACTGGAGTTTGGATGCAGCGCGTGCAAAAATGCATACCTTGGTCGAGTTCCAGAATAGGTCGAGGACACCTTCGCGGATCGTCGCGGCTTGCTGGCGATGCGAGTCGGCAGCCGTGTCATTCGATACCTGGTTGCACAGGCGTGCGAGGAGAACATGGTTGTGGTCTGACGACACGTCAGTGACCACCCAAATTCATCAGTCAGTCGGTCAACTCACACAGAATGCTATTCAGGTCGACCGGAAGCGTATTCCTGACGTTCAGCTTCTTCAAGTCGTTAGAACCACCAATCCATCGCGTCGTATAGTCCCAGCCTTTCAAAGCCTCGATGTCAGCTCTCGACCCAACCCTAACAGTCTTCGCACGAACCTGACTCAGCCCCAGACGCCAGCTCCGCATACAGATCGCCGCGCTCTTCCTCGGTCAGCGCCGTCGAGTTGTCGTCCGGATTCGCCGTGCGGTAGTCCGTCAAGTACGACTCGGGGCGCGGCGCGGTGTTGTTGACGGCGTAGCGTGCCATGGAGTAGGTCTTGTTGGTCGTCGGGCTCGTCACGTCGATTGTTCGGTTCGTCGCGAACCAGGCGAGCTCTTTCTGCAATGCGGCTTGGTACAAAGCTCAGAGAGACAGAAAATGCTTGAGACGCACCTCTGCCAGCGGCAGCGCCCGGTCGAGGATCGAGGTCTCGTTGGTCGCCTCCACGTACCGCGCGAGCATCTAAAGTACGAATCAGCAGTGCGTAGGACGAGCGGTGGGGACTACTCACCTGCACGAACAGCGGTGGCTGCGACCGGTTTAGGTAGTAGATGCGCCCGCCGTTCGGGATGAACCCGATGTGCTCAAGCTCGTCCATGAAGTTGTGCAGTGTGGCGTTGACGATGTCGTATAGTTCAGACTCGAGCAAGCCCTCCACGATCCAGAAGCTGTCCCAGTAGTATTGCTCCCGGAACCGGCCACCTAGACAGTGTGTTAGCCGACAATTTGAGCAAAGGATGAGCGCGAGACGCACCAGGTACCACAAAGGTATGGTTTAGCGGGATCAGACTGCTCTCGCACTCGACCCCATCGCATAGCGTCGACGAGTTTGTGCCCCTAATGAGCTGCGTCCAGTACCCATGCACCGTCTTCGCAAACGCCTGCACCACAGGATCCTTCACCCCACCCAGAAAAGCAGGCTCGGGGTTAAAATCGTCCAGCGCAAGCGCCTGAAGCTCCAGACCCTCCCCACCAAAGTCCTCTTCCACGAAATCAAGTATGCTGCCCACTGTCACGTCATCAAGGTCGTCGCTCGTGGCGTTGTTCGTTACGTTGCGGAAGTCGCTGAGCACCTCTTGCGAGGGTTTGCGCGTGGGCTTGTCCACGAATGTCTTCGGGTCGGTGTACAGGTTGCCGAGGTTCACAGCTTGCAGTAGCTTTGTGCACCGGAGGTGTCAGTAAATGTGCGCCAATTCCAGCAGACACATCCACTCACCTCCCCGGCGCAGAATATCTCGGACGGGCACCAAGCCTGCGGGACAGGCGGCGCCACCGACTGCGACGCGATCGGCGCACTCGTCGCTGCGCTCGGACTCGCAACCACCGTCGAGACCGTCAGTGTCGGCGCCTCCGTACTCTGCGCGCGCACCGACGCGCCGAGAGCTGCAAGCGTGAGAGCGACACGCATCATTGCCTGTGAGCGAGGACAGCGGGGCAGTCGCGCACCCCGCGATCCCGGACACCCACCTTATATACTCCCCCGGCGCCTAGTGCGGGCCAGGTGACCGCGATGATCACTGTTTCACTCCCCGCGAGCGGGGGATGACGCGAAGGCGGGCGAGAGGGTCAGATGATGGGCTCGTACCTTAACGCCGTACACTCAATCTTCGCCTCGAAGAATCGACGCTGATCCATGGAACGTGGCGAGCAAGACATGGTTGCGGAGGCTCGGAGTGCAACAGATTTGGAAGAATGAAGTTGGAAAAAGTGCTTGGATTACGCAGGGTGAGGCGATGGTACTTACATACAGCAGCAATGGAAGTTCGAGAGCCAAGATCCAGCAGAATACCAACAGGCACATACCGGTGACATCGTCCGGATGGACGCACCTGCTAGCGGCGGGAGTGAGGCCCTCTTGCTCCGGTACCATCGGCCTTCAGACGAGCATCGCTGTCTTGCGTCAAAGCGAGGATGAGAGTCAAGGAGGCACTGATATTGAGTACAGAATGAAGATGATAGGCAACTCACGACAGACGGTGCAAACAATCCCCAACAGAGCAGGCAACAACAGAGAGAACTAGTAGGTAGGCAATTACGCTCCGCTGGCGACGACTCTACTACACCACGCACCTGCGCCCGAAAGCGACGCAAACCGTAACGTCCGGCGCTGGGACTTCTCCGCTGTCGAACTGGAGGTGTCGCAGGCGGGGATGGTGAGGCGATCAGGGATCGGGATCGACGTACATCTCGCTGGTCAATAGACCATCGCTGTACGCCATGCTCTCAAAGATGAGTTGCCTCCAGACGCTGACTGTTAACTCGACAGCTTCTTCTTCGAGAACCTGGGAGCGTACGTTAGCTCGTTGGGGAGATGGTAATCGGCAGAAACGACTCACCGGCTCCAAACCCTCTATTAATTGCTTTGGCGCTTTGTGGTCCTTCAAGTGCTCCAGAACAAACATGATCAAATCCTCTTCCTCCATCTCACCGAGATATTTGACCATGAGCCTCTTGATCAACGGCTCCATCTTCCTGTCAATCATTTGCTGCAGAATAGTCATCAGCACCCCTCCAGATCCACAGCATTCGCCCACAGCAACAACAGCAAACACATCTGAGATGAGCACACACCTCCGTCACCCCATCCCATCGCACTTTGCGCTTGAACAGCGTTTCCTTATCCTTTGGCACCTCCGTCCTAATCTTCTCCAACCGCTCCTGCGCCTTCTCCGTCGTCTCCGTCACGCTGAAGTCGAGCTTCACCAGCGGCACCTTCCGACGCTTCGCCGCCTCCTCCTCTTCCTCCTCCTGCCCGAACACCGCCGCCTTCGCCTGCGCTCCCTCCTTGTCCTTGTGCTGATGTCCGCCGGCGGGAAGGGCGACGTTGAGCCGCACGGGCGCGCCGTCGTCGAGGAGCAGGCCTGCCTTGCGCTGCTCCTCGGCGAGCGCCTGCATCTCGTCCATTTGGCGGGCGAGGAAGTCCTCGGATTCGCGCCGGAGGTTCTCGGCTTCCTCTTCCTCGTATTGCCGGGATTTGAGATCGGCTGCTTCCTCTTGCTCCAGGCGACGAGCACGGGCGTGTCGCCAGCGAGCCCTGCGCGTGTCAGCTCGGGAGGGAGAGTACACAAGGGGGGAGCGCACCTGTCCACGTAGAAGAGCTCGTCGCTCTCGTCATCGTCCCAGATATCGAGGCGCACGCGCATCTCTTTCTTGTCCCGCTCCTCGGCGTCACGAGTGGCACGTTCCCTTGCTATTGAGCGTTCAAGGGCCGTGAGCTTATTCCGTTCTCTCGGCTCGTACCGCCGTTCACGCTGCAGATATGTTCAGTCGAGACCTCGAATAACGATTGCTTGCAGACTCACATCACGAAAGGACGCCTCCTCGTCCCTTCTCCTCGCCTCTTGCCTCTCCTCCTCCAGCTCCAAATCCGTCTTGTTGTTCTTCCCCGCCAGCGCCCGATCATCCTTCGCCTCGCTCCCCGCCTTCACAAACGGCACTGGCTTCTGATACCCCTGCGCCCCGGTTCCAAATCCCCTCGGCGCCCCCGCCGCGGGAGGCGAGCCCTGCGTGCCCTGCGGCTTCCCCCACTCGCGCACCTTCGGGCCACTGGGCGCGGGCGTGATGGAGGCGGGCTTGATGTCGCGCATCTTCTCCCGTTCGCGCTTCGCCGCGCGCTCCCGGAACTGCGCGATCTCGGAGATGACAAGCCCGCGCTGCGTCTCAGGCAGGTCCGCCTCGTGCAGGTCGTGGAGGTGCGGGGGGATCACGATCTTCTCCTTCTCGAGGCGGCCTTCGTCGATCGCTTTCTGGGAGACGTTGTTGATTTCGGTGACGAGCTCTTCGATCTTGGCCTTGGCTTCCTTGAGGCGCTCGTCTTCTTGCTGTGATATGAGGTAAAGAATTAGTGAAGGGGAAGTAGCGCAAAGTAACGCACGTCTGTCTGTATCCGCTGCGATTTGTGCGCGTCGAGGAGGGTTTTGGTCTTCTCGTCTGCTTTCACCTGCAGGGATCCGACGTAGGCTTGCAATGCGTGAGGGAGCCCAAAAGGTGACGCACCAGCAGCTTCTTGTTCGCGCACATATCCTCCAACGCAGGCAGCTCGATCCCGGTGAGCAGGTCGATGGCGCGTATCGCACTGTCCATATCTTCGTACTCGGCGAACCCGAACCCTTGCGGCTTATTCGCTGGCGTAATCAAGCGCTTGAACGACCGGACGGGACCGCAGGCCTGCACAAATAGGATGAGCATATGTACTTTCTGCTTTGATGAGCACGCACGCTAAGCAACCTGTTCAGAAAGTCATCGTCTATCCCCCCGGATATTGAGCCGACGAAGAGGGACACGCTGCGGTTCGGAGGCGGCATGAACCCCATTTGTTGCTGCTGTGCGAGAGCCGACATTGAGGGACCCTGGCCAAAGGAAGGCATAGGTGGACGCAGACCAAGTCCCATCCGATTCGGCATTGGCTGCATTTTGGTAGGTAGATGTTGCGTGGGTGGCTTGGGGAAAGCGCGGTGTGTGCGGCCGAGGACGCGTCGCCTGGGATCGTGTAAGATAGGGATATTTGGGTGCGAAGTTTGACTTGCAAGGGGGACTCTGAGCTGGTTGACGAGGATATGGAGAATACGTGGGAGCCAAGTAGTTCACAACCGCCGACGCGACAATGAACGTCGAGAACAAGCCGCGAAAATGGGACTTAGCCTGAAAGAGCAGGTCCTTCTCACGATCGTATGGCCACTCTCACTCCTGGAACCTCGTAATAATCGCCACACTCAGACCTGCATAGCATAGAAGTCCCCTTATCCACATTCTACTCAAGAGCAACGCAGACAGACCAAAAGGAGGGAATAAATAAGCGAGCGACATATCCACGATAACATATGGGTACCCGGCACAGGCAACGTCCACCATGTACCAAGCAATGGGTCAACCGAACCACACAGTCTACCGCTCCGACATCTGCGCGAGGTAGTCTGAGAGCTTGAGCGCACCCGTCCTGATGTTTTCGCCCAGGTTTTGTACGTCCGGGTTCGCCATCAACCTCGTCATCGCCTCTCTCGCCGCTGCCTCCAGTCCTGCCAGGCTGCCGTCGCCCTCGACGACGCCCCGGGAGCCCATGCCGAGCTCCTCCTCTTCCTCCCGGCCATAGTATTGGCTCGATGAGATGCTCGTCGCGCCCTTGAACTGCTGCAACCGCGTCTGCGCCTCGTTGACTGCAGTCGGATCGTAGTCCCCGCGGCCGAAGTACATGTCGGACGAGATTGCCTTCTGTGTGCCGAACTTTTCGCGAGCTGTCGTCGGTGCATCGTCTGCGACAGGCGAGGCCCGTGCGGCGGGGACAGCAGCGACCGCGGCGGCAGCACCCGCTCCAGGGATCGCTCCAAAGCCTAGTCGTGGGAAGGCCGGGGACGCTTTGGCGGCGGCGGGTGCAGAGGCAGCGGCGGGCGTGTAGGCGGCCTTGTTCGCAGTTATGTCGGCAGCGGCCTTCTTCGCAGCCGCCTCCTTGCGCGCCTTCTCTTCCTCCTCCTCGCGCTGGCGGTCGTATCCCAGCTGCTTGATGCGCTCCGCCTCCTCGAGGGCTTTACGCTCCGCGGCCTCAAAGTCGACGGGCTTCGCCTTCGCTGCACCGAGCCCGAGCTTGGACTTCTTCGGACCCGCAGACGAGGTGGAGGAGGCAGAGTTGAGGCGAGAGGCACCGAGCTTGGACGGGCGGGCGGCGGAGGACGCGACGGGGCGGGCAGCAGCCGGCTGGCTAGCGACGGCAGGCGAGGCTGCGCGGCCGATGACGGGTGGAGTGGACACGCGTGGGGTAGAGGGGGCGGAGGACTTGGGTGTGGCGGGCTTTGACCAAGACTCAAAGAAATCGTCCTCATCGGCCTTCGCTGCAGGAGTTGCAGCCGTCGCGCCCGCAGTCTCCATGCCCTCAATGTGAATGCCGTCGGGAAACCTGCAGGGTGCTATTAGCGCGGTGCTTATCGGTGAAAACCAGACCTGGTATTCAATATACCCCGGAAATCACTGCACGCATAATAGTAGCAGGTTTGCATGTGCTCACGTTAAGCGTACAGGATACGCGGGGATATATGGAGTCGTGGTCATGATGGGGGAGACTCTCCACGCACTTGGCTGCATCCTCGCGCACACGCCGCGCAAGCTCCTCCTTGTAGCGCTCCGCAATCGGCGAGCTGTACTTCTTGCGCGTGTCCGAGTCGCTGAGGAGGGACGCGCCGCCGTTCTTGGTGAAGAACTCTGTTGCAGAGGCATTCCCGCCGACCTTCATGTTGCGCAGCTGGGCGAGTTGCCAGCTGTCGAGGTTCGTGGACCTGTGGGGTGGATGTCAGATCGCACTCGAAGCCGGTGGATATCGCAGCTCAGGCATCGTAAATATCGCGCACCTGACGAAGGAGATGTGTACGCCCATGTTGCGATGGTTGCTCGAGCAGTCGAGGCATATGTAGACGCCGAAAGTGACGCTGGACCACGTCGGATTGCGCGCATTGCAGTCGAAGCAAACCTGCGCGGGTGGTTAGGTCCTCCGAATTTCCCCTGCTGACAGCAGCGTACCTTGTTCGCCTTTTGTGAGCGGAGGATCTTGAAGACCTGCTCAGTCTGCTGTTTGGTAGGCTCCGCCATGATAGTCAAGAGACAGAGAGGCTAACTAGCCTCGTCGCCGGACGCGGCGATGATCTCCCCAGTAAATCACGTGGCGACACGTGTATATGGCTGCGCGGCGCGCCAATGCGCGTCGCGTTGTCCGCGAACTTCATCGAACACCACAACTGCAGGTGATACCGAGGCCTGCACTGCACTACAATGACACGAGCACAACGGGCTGGCTTCATTTTTGCGCTTGGCGCTACGGGCTACCTTCTTGCCGTTGCTCAGATCCTTCCCGTTCCCCTCGTGCCAACAGACATTGCCGAACAGATTCTCCCCTTGGTGCGTTTCCAGGAAACATTATACACGCACTGGCGCTAACTATTCCCTCCTCTATATAACACATGTATGCTCTGCTTTCCCCGCCCTTCATATCCCATCCCTCTCCTCGATCGCTCATGACCTCAGATACCATGGTGGCTGCTCGTCACCTTCGGTTCATACTCTCTATGGTCTCTCGGATGGGGCTTATGGACATTCCGAGACTGTCCAGAAGCACATGAAGAACTTATGCTTGTGCGTTCTCCGTTCCCCCTCGTACTTTCGACACTGACGTCCTGGGCAGGAGATTGCACAAGCAAAGACAGAATTACGCGCCAAAGGTGTTTCAGTGGATTGATTTCCCCAGCCCCAAGGTGCTCTCGATGCAGAAGTACTCGCACCGCTGGAAACTTCGCCTGCACCTTCACCGCGCGCCTTTGGGAGTCGCACAGTCGTACTTTCCCGCCAGCTTTTGCTGTTGCTGACCGGTGTATCTATACCTGTACCAAATGCCATGATGCATCTGGAAGCATGCTTATACCCGAAAAGCGTGAGATGAGGGTGTGCATGCAGCTTGCTCGTCTTGACGTTGGAGCCATCTTCGGGCGTTGGCTCTAGGCAAATCGCTCTGGCTCTTCGAGAGTCCCGTGGCGATCTTGGATATCAAACCTGCATCTAACTTAGATGATTGTCGTGCAGTGTTGCGTGCCAAGCAGTATAATGATCTCCACTCACCCGCTAAGTTTCTGCAGACGAGCAAATACCACCAAATAAGCGCACCCAACAGCGTGACTCACCTAGCGTCACACCAAAATTCCCAACACGCTTGTCATCACCGCGGGTCAGCACCGCTCAGGTCTTCCAATTGGTCATTTTTCGAAGTCCGGACGCCTGGAATAGGTCTTTCCTTGCCCGACGGCCTATGGCATTGGGTGGGTGCGACGGCGATTTTACTCGGGGTATATATAAGCGTTCTTCGACGACGAGGACGTTCCGCCTCTCATCTTCAACCCGGCCACTGCTCTGTTTCACGCTCATTTAGAACGCCTCCGATGGCGACGAACGGCGCGGCTGCCACCATGCCAGCTCCAAAGGACATGGGAGCTGGGCTACGACCAGAATCGCCTCCAAGCACCCCTGGGAAAGAACTCGTTGAAGAGCCTCATCCGACGTACAAAACGGACTTTGGCTTTCTGCTCATCCCTCGGCGACTTCGACACGATCCTGCGCGACCATTTGAGTGGACGTTGCTGCTCAATATCTCCTTTGGGTTTGCTAGCACGTTCAGTGAGTCACAACATTCCTGTCCGTTCTTGGCAATGGTGCTGACCTCGTTCCATCAGCGGTGGCGAATCTTTACTACTGCCAACCTCTTCTGAGTGAGCCCCATTGCGACCGTGTCTTATGTGCTGCACTGATAACTGTCAACACTCAAGTCGAGCTCGCTGCGGCCTTTGACGTGTCGTATGGCGAGGTTTCCATGTACGTGCACTTATTGGCCGAGTCGGGAATTTTGCTAACTTCGACGGGTTCGATTACTAGCATACCGACCCTGGTGCAAGCAGGGTATTCGTGCCCTGGATTTCACTTCGTGTTGGCTTTATCTTACAACCTACTAGATACGCCGTCGGACTTCTCCTCATCTCACCTCTGGGAGACCTGGTTCGCCGCCGCCAGCTCATCATCGGCCTCGTTCTCATCTCGACCTGCCTGACCATCGGTCTCGCTGTAACTTCCTCCCTCCGCGTCTTCTCCGCCCTCACTTTCCTCGTCGGCTTCGTCACCGTCACGCCTCAAATCCTAATGCCCCTCGCCGCCGACCTCGCCCCGCCAGCTCGCCGCGCCTCCGCGCTCGCCCTCGTCCTCGCTGGGCTTCTCCTCGGCGTTCTCGTCGCACGAGTGCTAGCAGGCATCGTCGCCCAGTTCTCAGGCTGGCGGGTTGTGTACTACGTCGCCATTGGCGTGCAGGCGCTCATCCTCGTGTGGTGCTGGGCTATCATTCCCGACGTACCCAGGAAGAATCGGGGGCTGACTTACTGGCATATTTTGGTGTCGATGGGGCGGTTTGCGGTGACAGAGCCGACGCTAATACAGGCGTGTCTGATCAATATGGCGTCGAGCGCGGTGTTTGCGAGCTTTTGGGTGACGTTGACGTTCTTGCTGGGTGGGCCGCCGTATTATTATAATACGTGAGTGCGATTTCAATGTCTGACTTCGTGTTCACTTATGAAAGTTTAGGTTGGTCATCGGCCTCTTCGGGCTTGTCGGAATGCTGGGTATCGCTGCATCGCCGCTTGTGGGTATTTCTGCTTGGAAGGTATCCAATACTTATATTTACCAGGTCGGCCGCGCCGTCGATGGTCTTGTGCCCTGGAATGCGTCCCTCATCTCTATCGTCGCTCTCATTGTCTTTCAGGTGCGTATCCATTCCGAAAGAAACGGTGCCATCGCAGTCAACAAGCATTCTACAGGCGATACAAGTCGGCGCGAATGGCATTAACGTCGCCGCCGTGATCATAGGGGCATTCGGGCTCGACGTCTTCCGTCAAATGCTGCAGGTTTCCCTGACCACGGCGATCTTCAAGTGCGTAGAGGGCGCACCCTTCACGTTCAGTCAACGTCTGCTCAATATACTCCACAGGATTGACGGCAATGCTCGTGCGCGCCTGAATGCCGTTCTCATTCTCTCGGTACGCGCAACCATCTACTCGTCTCTCGCCTCCCGTACTCCGATCGCCTGCTGACAACAGCCCTCGTCAGCTCTTCCTTGGCCAAGTCATGGGCACGGCCGCTGGCACGCACGTCTTCACCGAGTACGGCTGGCGCGCTTGCGCCGGGCTCAGCATGGGGTGGTGTGGGTGGCAGCTGTTGATCCTCCTCGCACGCGGGCCGCGATGTGCGAGGAAGACGTGGGTGGGATGGGAGGGCGGGTGGGGGTCGTGGAAGGAGGTGAAAGAGAAGAAGGAGGTGAGGTCCGAGGGCAAACAGGCCAAGTCCGAGGGAAAGCAGGCAGTGTCCGAAGCGATGGAGCCTTCGTACGAGGCCAAGGGTGCTGGAGCGAAGGGCAGTGCGCCGTCGACCGAGGCCGGCGCGGTCCCTGATCACAAGGAGGAGCCGCAATAGAGACAGATGCGGCTTAGGTGCATTGACAGGCACGGGTTCCCTGGAGGGCCTTCATAGAGATCGGGCCTATTCCGAGCTGATGAAGATTGTGGCGCGGTCATCGCCATCTACTGGAGCTCTGCAAGCCCCCTCCTTGCAGCTGGGACGCACAGCTGGTGTCAGGCTGTCGAGTTGTAGAAGGAGTACCTCGACTATCAACCTCTCGTTGCTCAACGTGCTCATCAGGATCATTGGGTGACTTCCGCACACGTCAGTAAGCCCATGAGAGAGGGGGCCCGCATGGTTCAGAAGGAAGACGTACGTTATTTCCATCGACCATCGACAAGTGCACTGGAGGGGTCGCCTCATGTTGGGTCAGCTGAAGTTACAGCGTGTGGGTGTATTGCGGCGCCGGAAAAGACAGCTGTGGTCCACGATTGCGGGAATGAAAAGACCTGGGCTTCGCCTTATACTCGGAGTGCGATGGTGAGGGCTGTCAGTTCTGGCCGTACAAGGTCCAGAGCAATACCAGACCAGTATGCCCGCAGATGATTTCTGGCAATTATCACGTACTCGATGCCTCAATCATGGCGGTTCGAACTTGAACTCGACTTGGCCTTATTCGAACCGGCACCGAGTCACGTTCCAATCAATCAGACGGCCCGAGCCACGTTTGTTCGTTTTGCACATCAACCATCACCAACTACCAGGCTCAACGACTTTCGTCCCTCTCTGGTAGCTGTATGTACCCGAATCATGGAGTCGCACATAACTCGGAGTTGACCTTCCTATTGAAGAGCTATCAAATTTAGAAGCTCGGCGCCCAGGTCTTTCGATGGTTGGAACAGTCGCAAGGCCTTCAGATTCGTTCAAGGAATTTCATGGGCATCTCGTGAAACCACTGCGCTCTTAGCGCCCTCTCATACTTGACATGACCATGCGCTGGCCGCTTTACGGTGCTCTTGCCATGCATCGTCCATGGTTTGATTCAGGTAACCGAAGCTCGTGAAGCCGTCTCTTCCTTGCTGACCTAATTTACTCCCCTCGCAAAGACATGCCGCACCCCTTCTATCTTCGTCGGCTTCCGCCCACTTTGAGAGCTATCTACAGCACCGCATCTGTAGGGAGCGACCGCCGAGTATACAAGTTCGAGTCACAACCCGGCGCAGCTTTCTGGAAGCCACTGGATCTTTCCGACTGCTCCCCATCCATCTTCGTACGCCGCCTCGCTGTACACTAGTCCGCCGCATCTGCGCTCTGACCGGTCGCCTCTGCCCCCTCGTGCTTGCGCAGTGGCGCGAACCAGCGCGGCATCTACAGATTCCGCTGCTGTTTCTTGCTCCGAACGTACGTGGTCCTCATCTACCCCGCATTCTCCATTGACTCCTCGGCATAGCGCGACTGCTATTTCGGCTTCTAGATGACGGTTCACGACAGGATTCGCCGGCCGACTCCTACGCCTTGGGCAGATGGGACGGATAGGGTTTGCAGTACGTATAGCTCTCTGATTTTACGCACGCCGTACCCCATTCGAATGAGAAGATATCTTCATCTTGCTTTGCTTTCGTTTGCTACAGCCTTCCCAAGCTGTTGAAAGGGTTAAATATGAGTATATGAGGCTCCCTGACTCTCCCTCCCCTTCGCTTCCCATGTACACACCATGAATCCTTATCTTCCCTTTCTTCTACATTTTCTCGGCAGCGTCGCACAGGCGCTGGTCTTAGAGCGCTTGAGCGCCACCGCGAAACGCGTTGTGCTCGCGCTTTCTCTATCACTGCTCGGCGCTCTCGTCGTCTGGCATGTTCCGCGATTCGAGGACATGCTCGAGCGCTGTGATTCTGCGCACGCAGATATTGCCCCCGCCATCGACTCTGATGCGCTAAAGGGCAGCGACATCGAGGCGAGGTAAGCTCATTCCTACAGAACTTGCGTACACATCGTCCGACTCACCCTTGGATAGGTTCGCCAAGCTCGAGGACAAGACGATGGAAATGCACGCCATTTCTTCCTCGTCCGAGGGTCGTATCCATAGGCTTCTTCGTGATCCCCAGAGGCGCTGCGTAGCCTTTCGGCTCCTCATAGAATATTTGGCGCTGTCTTGCGAGGTCAAGGTAGATCTCAGATCAAATAGTCAGACCTACACATACTGACCATCCGTACTCAGAGGGCTCTCCGAAGGGCAGAGTCCATGACTTCGTACAAGCGAACTGCGGATCGACAGGAACTTATCATTCCTCCCATTGCCGTGCCCGCTCCTGTGGTTGTCAGCAACAGGTAGGCCTATCCATGCCATTTGTTCTACTCTGCAGCTGACTGACGTAGACCCTTCTTCTTCTCTTCATGTCTTTACATCCTTTTCTCTTTCCACATCAGGTGCCGCGATACGCAAACTTCCGCATCGGCACGAATTGTGTGCTAAATGTAACATTCCCCCAAAGGCTTTTCACCTGCATAGGTGAAAAGCATGACCTGATGTGGTACATATACACGCTTTGTACCTATCTCCCTTCCTCCCTTCTCTATTCTCGCATTCCAAATGCTTCCGTAGTATCAATTAAATAGGGATCATGTCGGCCCCAACCTACTGACTGCTCTCCCTAACAAAATACCTACACAACAATATAAAACCCCATTAAATGCATGACTGTGTGACCATTAATTCATGGGCTTGATATATGTCAGCCAAATAGTGGTGAGTCTGTCTTTGGATACAAAAACTCCTTCTCGCTTCGAATCGTCACTCAAGTTGAACTTTTGTCACGTGGCTTATGGCACTTGCCAATATTGCTCGTAGCGTGCGCTGTCAGAGCTAAAGCTGAACAAAAGCTGAATGGCAATGAACCTGTAATTGGGGACGCAGACGGAAGGGATGCGGACCGCAGAGATGGTCGCGAGGAGGGAATGAGGGTTGATATGACGCAGGTAGAAAACTAAGCAACTTTAGTGCACAGACGGTAGCTGACTGGTCCTTAGCTTGTTGATGCGATCGTCGAGCTCTTGCGGAACTTCCATTCATACCTTCCTCGTAAACAAAGCACTGCGATCATATGGTGGTAATACAATCTGGTATGCAAGCACTACGTCCAATCATCGCGACGACCGTGCGTCAGACGCGACCCAAGACACTCGAGGAAAGATGCTAGTCGTAAAGCCCGTGACAATCACAAGGTATAAGGTCGAGTAACTATACAATGGTGGAAGCGTGCGTGTCAACATAATTTACGATGCGGAGCGGGAGGAGAGGGGAGGAGAGGCGAAGAGAGGAAGAGAGGGAAAAGGTACAACAGGGAAGAGCGAGGAGAGGGGGGTGACAGGATTATGAGAGTGAGTAATGAGAGATACGTAGGAACAACGAAAGATGAAGAGGGAGGAACATGAGTTAGGGAACTGGTTATGAAGACAATGGACGGCCCACTATGAAAATGTGAACCATAAAAACCAAACCAAATATGGCACAAAGAAAAGGCATGGGACGAACAGAGATAGGCGCCAACAGACACTTTTGGACAGTAGCACTGCGCACAACCGCGCAGAAGAGGTGCGCGTTGCTTGACGATTTCAACGCGCCGCCCCAGCACCCTGCTTCTCCGCGCACAGGCTCCTGCTCCGCGAGCCCGGCGTCGCAAGCGCGCAAACGTCCTTCACCGTACTTCCAATCGCACGCGCCCAGGCCTCCGCCGCCGGGACGCTCTCCGCACGACGCAACGGTTCTTGCTTGACCTCCACCTCATGCTTTGAAGCATTACTAGCATCCCGCCTAGAGGCGCTGCTGGTGTCCCGCCCCGACACGCTGACATCTCGCCTCGACAGGCTCCTCCCGTTCCGCCTAGACGACGCGCTACTACCCCTCCTCCCCTCGCCATCGATGCTGTCCACTGACGGGCGCCGGTAGGGCGCAAAGGGCGACATCTTCCTCCGCCCCCGCTTCGGGAACTCCGCCTCCGCGTCCTCCTCCACGCTCAGCAGGCGGTCCGTCAAGCTCATAGACTCCGACCCCACGTACACTTCGCCCGTAGCCTGCTCAAAGACCTGCTCGGGCGACGCACCAGACAAGACCTGCTCGCGTCCGCCCCAGCGGCCCCGAGAGTGCGAGCGAGGAAGACTCCCGGAGGAGATGGACGAGGAGCGAGTAAGACCTGACAGGGCGCTGCAGAAAGAGCTCGAGAGGCCCATTGGTGGCGGTGGCGAGCGCGAAGAGCTGATGTCGCGTGTGATGAAGGGATGCCCGATATCGCGCGTACGGCTTGACCCACGGGCACGGCTAACGCTGCGCCGCCGGCTGCTATCCCGTGGACTTTGGTCTACATCGGTGCCGATATCAGGAGTCGAGGGTGGGTTGTCCACATCCAGGTCTCGCGGCCGGCTTCTACTCAACTCGCTCACGCGCGTTGCGCCGACCTCGCCCCGCCGACCACGCTCTCGGATTGGCGTCGGGGATAAAGACCTCTCGCGCTGCATCTGCCGCAAATCACTGTCCCGCAACTGCCGACTGAAGGTCGACGATGTCGGAGAGTCCAGGAATGTCGGCGCGTAGTACACCTCCTGCTCCTCGGGAATCGTCGTCGCTCGCGCAGGACGAGGCGACGGCGTGCGGTGACGCGCGCGCGAGGATCGGCCGGAGCGATCTAGAGAGGGCGTCCGGCGACGAATATGCTCAGCTTCGTAGCCGCGTTCGCGCTCATCGATGTCGGTGCCGACTCGGCCGTCGTCTCCCTCCTCTTCGCCCCAGCCTACGCCCCATGCGTCTTCGTCGAGCGTAGCAACCGTCCAACGGGCGTCAATAGATCGCTCCAAACACCCTTGGATCACGCGTTCTGCGCGCGACCCAATCCCCGAGGGCATAGTGTAGGTGCCTGTCGAACGTGTTAGTAGATAGTCATGATAGAGTGTATAGGCTACATGACCGATTGACGCATGCACGCAGCAGGTGCCGCAAGCTATGTGTAAACGATGAGAATACGGAGAAAGAGAGACGCACCGTGGATAATCTTCATCTGCAGCCGTGGCTCAAATTGGTCCGTGAACGGCAGACGCCCGGCTAGCATGGCGTAGAGCATGACGCCGACGGCCCATATGTCTTGAGCAGGATCGGCTACGGGAGGTACGCCTGAGGGAGGAGGGAGTAGGAGCTCAGGCGCTGCGTAGGGGAGGGAGCCGTCTGCGAAGACAGCAGCCATGCCGCGGCCACCTGAAGCGGTAGAGTTGCGGTGCGAACGAGGCCCTTGGTGGCGCTTGAGTGACAGGTGAAGCGGTGTCTGCTTGGCGGTGGGGTAGGCAAGCGAGGACGTGCGGTGGACCAGTCCCGGCTTCGCCGTGCTGGGTATGTTCGGACGAGTGTTTTCGTCCTCGTCCTCTTCGGAGCGGAGGGGTTCACTTATGTGGCGCGCAGACCCAAAGTCGGTGATGCGGCACACCCCCATCTCATCCACAAGCACGTTCTCGAGCTTCATGTCTCGGTGGACAAGCCGCGCCGTCTCGTGCAAATAGCGGAGACCGCGCACGACCTGCCTGAACATGACGCCCGCGTCGTCCTGGGGGAGCGCCGGATGCCCGTCGCGCTTGAGGATGTCAAAGAGCGAGCCTGCGGGGCAGAAGGCTGTGATGAAGAAATCTGCTGACGCGGTGCGCTCAACGGAGAACAGAGGGAGCACGTGTTCATGCGACAGCGAGGCCCACGTCTCCGCCTCCCTGCTGAGCAGCCGCCGCGCCTGCTCCGGGTTCTGCTGGCGCTGGATGTCGTCCCGGCGCACGATCTTGATCGCGACGAGGGAGCCCGAGCGCGAGAAGGCCTTGCGGATGGTGGAGAAGCCGCCGTAACCGATGACGCCGCCGAGGGTGTAGCCGCCGACAGTGGCGCCCTCCGCGTCTGGCGCGAGGTGGGTGGTGGTGTTTGCCATGGGACTAAAGGAGGAGAGAAACATGGCGGCGGGGGAGTGGGTGAGGTCCTCGCCTTCGGTGAAGGATGCGGACTGGACATCGCTGCTCGTGCGACAGGGATCAGCCGTGTTCGCCGAGGGGAAGAGAGATGCGCCTTGTGGTTCAGAGGCTGGGAGTCCATCGATCTCCTTCGCGCGCTGTCCAGTTTCGATGGGGGCTGGGAGGGGGCGTCCGCGCGATGGATCGTCCGCCTGACCGGAAGAAAGAACGTCGAAGAAAGAGAAAGCTGAGGTGCTGGAGTTGACGAAGTCTCTGCTTTGCATTAAAGCGTTGTCTGCTGGCTTGGGAGAGTGATATGTTGGCGTGGTTGTCTTCCCAAGCGAAAGAAAGGAGGAGGGCGGGGTGGGAGTTCGGGACAAGACTAAAATATGTCCGTCCCCTGAGGCCAGGCCCGGAAGCGCCGTTACGTAATTTCATTGGTGCTCAACTGATCGGATCTCCCATCCTCAACGCACGTGTATAGCTCGTGCGGGGATGGACAATAAATTCCCTTTCGAGGGATTTTCTCCGAAACCCTACAAGGCGACTGTTTCTCGATACTGGGCGTGGTACAAAGCATTATCTATCCAGAGGGGAGATGCGCGACTGTCCTGAGACTTCGCTTGTAGCTATCGTAAGCAGACGCCGGGGCCAGCCTAAGAGGTCATCAGGCTCTCGCTTGAGAACATCGCTAATACCGGAAGGAGCGGAATGAATGTGTACAGGTTCGCCAGAGGCCTATCAGTCTGCTGACCGTGCCTATTACCACTACTAGTATCAAGCGACTGAAATGTAAGGTTGTACCCAGCCAATGAAGAGGCGGGGAAGGCATCTGCAACTGACCTTGTGGCAGCGGCTAACATTCATATCCACGACGGGCTCCATAATATCAAGGTGACCACGCATTACCAACAATGACTGACTCCAGATCGTCGACCGTGTGCTGGATTGAGTCAAGGGGGGATAGGATCTTGGTTTGTGCAATCGACTTCTCCGTCATTCGATCCTTGCAACCAAGGTCAAAAGCAATATGGTATTGATCATGAGAAAGCCTCGAACTTCCAGCGGCAAAATTCCAGCTACGCAGGGGCCTGAACTCTAGGAAAACCGGAGAGAAATAGTGGCAAGGATCGAACGGATTGCTACGGAACTCAGCGGATTAGAAAGCTAGAATTTGACGGGACACTGTCTTTATTCGCTGGTAATCCGCTGTAATCCAGAGCGGGTAGTTCTAACTCCTCGGTGACCGCGGAAAGTATATCGGGATAGGGGCAACCTCGTAGTGGCGCGCAAAGTCGCTCGCAGAGTCTAGCGTTTCTGGGGCTCGACAATGTCTCCCTCTCACCTTCCTTCGATGAATGATTGTGACATTGTCTCGCCAGATGTGAGGGAATACCACTGGTCTTCCAGGCTGTCATGAACATGCCAGTACTATGTGAAGCAAGACGGGGCGGTGAGCACTAATGGCGGCCAGCGCTAGCCCCAGCATACAAACGAGCAAAGTCCCCACTGGGCCACATACATATTAAGCGCCTTGTCTGAATATCTACGTTGCTCTACCTGCGCGAACAGCGGGAAGCAGTCAAGACGGAAATACGAACTCTTGTGGGCGCCTGTTTACCGGCGAACTTCCCGAAACGCAAACACAGCCAACTCGTCCCGAGCCGCCACGCCTCCGGGCGCGTTTCCTTCTCAATTCTTCCTTCAGCTGCGTCCTTGCGACCAGCGGACACCAGAAATCGCCATCTCTGACCTGCGCGAAAGCGAGAAACAGCCGAGATGGACAAGCTTGAATCCCTCTCGAACCAGCTCTCCCAAATCACGATGTACGACATCAAGTCGATGTACAACCAGGTGCGTGGCGCGACCTTCCTTTCAAATGCTCTGCTTACACATATGCAGGCTAAGAACATCGTCTTGAATGTCTCTGAGGTTGAAGCGCTAGTCGCCGAGGCCACGAACGACGAGCCATGGTGCGTGACGCGCCTTTTCGCGCAAACAACGCGCTCACCCCGCGTAGGGGAGCCTCATCGACCCTCATGCAGAACATCGCCAATAAGTGCGTATCACACGCTCTCCTCTGCAAATCGTCAGAAGCTGATATCAACCTTCACCACTGCGCAGGACATTCAACTAGTACGACCATAGTTACCCTCGCGCGGCCATCGCGCTGACCCCTCCCCCAGCCCGGAATTCAACGAGATCATGCCCGCTATATACTCGCGATTCATGGAGAAGGAGGCGCGGCAGTGGCGGCAGATCTACAAGGTGCGGGGATGTCCGATTGTCGGGGAGGTTCACCGCTGACACGTACATCCGCACATCAGGCTCTGCAGTTGCTGGAATACCTCGTGAAGAACGGCTCGGAGCGCGTCGTGGACGACGCGCGGTCGCATCTGTCCACTATCAAGATGCTCCGCAGCTTCCACTACATAGATGACAAGGGGAAGGACCAGGGCCTGAACGGTGTGTGGTAACGCGAGCACGATATACAGTAGGCTGACGTTGGGTAACAGTCCGAAACCGCTCCCGCGAACTCGCCGAGCTGCTCTCCGATGTGGAGAAGATCCGCTCGGAACGCCGCAAAGCCAAGGCGAACAAGAACAAGTACATTGGTACAGGGAATGACGGCTTGTCCTTCTCCAGCGGCGGTAGCCGATATGGCGGCTTTGGCAGTGATAGCCTTGGCGGCGGAGGGTACTCGGGCTCATCTTTCAGCGGCGGATATTCCGGCTCAGCGGGATACAGTGGCAGCGGAGGTATGCCCCCCATTGCATTATCCCCCTGCTAGATGCTGACTCGCATCAGGCTTCGCGTCAAGTTCGTCTGGCTTCCGCGACGACACGTCAAGGCGTGGGTTCGAGGAGTACGACGCCGGTGCCGATGAGGAGTCTTCCCGGCCCGCACGGTCCAGCTCTGTCCGGTCTGCAGCTACGAGCTCGCGCAGTGCCGCCCAGGAGCGCAGGCAAACGGCACCTCCAGCTCCAAAGCAGCCAGAGCCGGTCGTCGACCTCCTTGGGGGCTTCGACGACGAGCCGACGCCCGCCCCGGCGCCTGCTAACAATCAAAACAAGGCCCTGCCCGCGCTGGGTGGTGGTGATGGTGAACGAACTCAGAACCGATCCATGAGCATTTGCTGACCCTCGCCCAGACGATGATTTCGCTGACTTCCAGGCCGCGCCAACAACGCCTGCGCCGGCTCCGGCAGCAGCGGCAGCAAAGCCCAACCTGATGGACTTGCTCAACTCGACACCGTCTACCGCGTCCGCCCCAGTGTCCGCGGCGCCGATGGCGTCTCCGCCCGCGTACGGGCAGCAAACCTTCGGTGCCTACGGCATGGGTATGGGCCAGCCCGGGATGGGCATGGGCTACGGCCAGCCTCAGCAAGCTGCCATGGGGATGGGGATGGGGATGCAGCCGCAAGCTATGGGCCACCAGCCGATGGGCAGCATGAGCGGCGGCATGGGCATGGGCATGGGCGGCCGCCCCGCGTCCATCGCCACCTCGCCCATGCAACCCGCCATGGCCGCCTCTCCGCCGCCAATGCGCCCCGTGTCGACGTCGACCTCCTCTTCGTCCGCCGCGACGCCGAAGAGCGCGAGCGCGTTCGACGATCTGTGGAGCATGTCGCTGGGTGGCAGTGGGTCGAAGCCGAGCACGCCGGTCGCGGGTGCGGGAAAGAGCATTAAGGACTTGCAGAAGGATAAGGTGAACCAGAGCTTGTGGGGTGCGGGTGGTGGCACGGGCATGGGAGGAGCAATGGGCGCGCCGAAGCCGGCGGCGTCGAACAGCGGGAGCTTCGGGGGAGGGAATGATGACCTTCTGCTGTAAGTGGGACTTCAGGTCCGTCCATCAGCCTGAGGCTGGTACTATCATTTGTCTACAATGCATGCTACTTTTATGTGGCTGGGTACCTTTGAATATGTAGTCATGCGGAGGGATTCATCTGGGAGAAGGAAACACGTGTGACGGGGTGTGACAACCCGGAAAGGAAGTTCAACCGTGGGAAGAAGATCGAAAAGCCCCTTGCCTTGCGCCACAAAAGATGGAGGTTCGTTCTCCTCGTCATGTACGAAGCGCTGGGCTCAACTTCGTCATTGTCATAGGTCGTGAAGGCTCGCTCGGCTCTTCTGTCTAACTATGAGGTTCTCTCGCTCTTGCAAGAACTTGAGAGCGATTTCATCGCAAGGAGTAAGACGGCCGTGCGGATAAAGAAGGAAGAGGAAGCGGCAGGCGGGTTAGGTTCAACACGACCTAAAGTCGCCGGCGGAAAGGACCCAACAGTTGTAGAAATCAGCGAAAACCTGCGAACCATTGAGGTCGAAGTTAGTCGCAGCGCTACTCGATGCAATAGCTTCCTCGCTGACCTATTCACTGTATCCAGACAATACAGTACCTCTCAGCAGACTACCAACCGACGAGCGCGCAGACACCTGAGGGCATCAGCAAACTGATCAAGTCTCTTGAGCCGTACGGTTTGACGAAGGCAGAGAAACTACAGATCGTCAACCTTGCGCCGACCAACATCATCGAGCTGTATGTGGTGAGTACGCCCGCATGCCATGGACCGCACGCGTGCTAAATCCGCACACGCAGATCGTGGAAGAGCTGGAGGATAGGCTGGGAGACCATACGGAGGAGGTCCTCGCGCGCGTGCGGGAGTCACTTAACGCAGCGGCGACGGGTAGGTCGGTCGGTGGCGTGCAGGCTGCGGGGACTGCTGGCGCGGGAACGCAAAATAATTCGTCCGCGGGCTGGGATGATCCTTTCGCAGAAGGAGGGGACGCGAACGACCTCGTATTCGACGACACGGGCGAAGGCGCGGGTGTCGAAGGCGACCTGGACATGGAGGAGGACTGAGCACGTGCGGTGGCCCTCGACATTTCAAACTTCCCATTCTGTATCTTCCCTCTGTACCTCTTCAGACTCAATGCACTGCCCATCCTCGCGGGTAACCATGCGGAGGATTAAATCCCGGAAGACAACCACGAGCCTGCGTCGGGCAAATCAGCTGATAGGCGGCTGGGGACGGATGCCGGGGATGGGTGCGGGTGGGTCGGCGACGTGAACCCGTTATACGACGGCGTGCAGCGATGCGTCGATAAAATCTCCTCCTTCCTTTCCACCCCCACGACGCTCCTGCCGGTAGATGCGATGTCGGACGAGGGCAATGCCCCGTCGCCGGACGCGACCCTCGGCGTGTTCCTCATCGGCATAGCGCTAGCTTCCGTGTACGGGCCCTTCCCATACTCCCCCGGGTCCCTTAAAGTCCTGATGCAGCCACAGCTACTATGGGATCACGTTCCTGCAAGCCTGCTTCTACTTCCGCAGCTTCCCGGAGGATCGGCGTCGTATGAAGGCACTAGTACGTCGAAGTAGGGCTTTCATTGAGCTGAGTTACTGATTGGGATCGCCCACCGGTAGGTCGCGATGGTCTGGTAAGTCCGTATACCCTGGTCAGGCGAAACCCTCCTGAGAGGTGCCCTTCCATGACATGAAGGTTTACCGTGACCTTGAGCCACGTCTTCATCTGTCATGCCGCCTATTATTACTTGGTTAAGCACCAGGGGAATACCTATGCGTTAATGCATACTACATGGTAAGTTTCAGGATTTGCAATCTCGCTACGTGCTAACATATTGCAGGAGTCTTGCGGTCAGTTGTCCCTATAGGAAACCACCGTCTATATGGCTCTGACCTCAACGTAGCTACCAGCAGGTGTAAACGTCAGTCGTCCCATTGAACCCGTTGAAGGATGAACTCACAACCTTCTAGTCTATGACAGGTATGATGGTTCAGTTCTTCCTTGCGCGACGCGTGTTCATTCGTGGGTGCTGAAGCTTATGAGGGGAAGCCGTGATTGACGCACTCTTCTAGTCAGCGGACGCAATTGGGTGCTCACCGTACTGATAGTACGTCGTACTTTACCACTCAATCATGCTGTACTGACGGTTTGAAGTGGGCTCTGGCTCTTGCTCAAGGGTGTATGGGATGGTGTACGTCTACCGCTTATCAGGAACGATACCTAAACTAATCTATACACAAAGCGATTGCTATATCTTCGTATGTTGATCCCTTCAGGCTACGCCATACGCTCACACCCTCCCAGACTGCTCCACCCAGACGGGACCGAGATCAAGAAATACGCAGTGAGCGATGGGTAACCACGGAGGGATAGCGGCCTAATCCTCCTCAAGGAACTCGTCCCTCCGACGTTCGCTATAACGGCGGCGACCGACGTTGTCGTCACCGCGTCGCTCGTTTATTATCTGCAAATAAGGAAGACCGGCGTTCAAGGGTACGCCTCTTCGTCTAAAACCACGCATACTGGGCCTTGTCCTATCCTGGTGCTGATGTGTGCTTTACAGCACGAATGGGCTCGTCAACCGACTCATCTGTATGACCATTAAGAGCGGTCTCATTAGCAGGTGCGCGTAGTCGCTGTATGGCGGGTTGTGGGTGTCTGACGTTTTTCTTCGGTAGCTCGTTGGCGCTGTCGGCCTGCATAATACAGCTGCGATGTCCGGAGAGCTTCGTGCCCATCGCCTTGTGCTTCATACTGGGCAAAGGTGTGTGGTACTCTCCCCTCGACTGCGGGCACTCTCGATGTTGATTTTGTTTTGCAAGCGTATGCCAACACGTTCTTGACCAGGTGGGCCACCTTCACTCGAGCGCAAAAACATGATCCTGACCCGCACAAAGTCTGAATAACCGGGATACCATCCGCTCAGAATCTATGGCATCCACTGATGAAGACGCTACGGGCATCTACTTCGCGAAGGTGGGAACCGCCAGTTTTTTTCATGTACAGCTCTCGCTGATTTCCAGCCCTCGCAGTCCGTGTTCAGTACCGCGGCGAATCCCCTAGACGGGCTCGAGGCAACGGACAAGGGGGTAGATGGCTGGGATGACAGAAGAATAACGTTCGCTGCTCCCTAGACGGGACCATACGAGATGGAGATTGTATCATGGGCTGTACTTTGTCTGTACCGGGTCAAAGGGCTTGCTTGCATCCTTTATATACCATTGTTGAGGGCGGAGCATTGAGGGCGAGGTTGACGGCAAACGGGGCAACCAAGAAGAAAACCCCAATGAATTGCAGATGCAGGAAGAAAATCTATGTACGCGAGAACTATGCAGGAATAAGGAAAAAGACATTGCGGGTGATATGGTACATGTATCGTGAAGAGATGCGTAATAATCCGTGAGATCCTTGATGGACAATGAGTAGTTGCTTTTTGTCGTTCGTGTGGCCATCTGGTGGGTGATCATCTAACGTGCAGTGGGGACGATGGAAGGATGGGTGACTGCGGTCCGTGCAACGATGCACCTGGCCCGCAATATGGTGATGACTGAGCGGGAGAGGTTCGAGATGCAGCTCGTGGCGAAACAGGTGCCGGCGCCGGCGGTGAAGTACTCCGCGGAGTCCGCGGCCGACGCTCTGGGCTACCAATGGCGGCGGCGGCAGAGGCAGTAGACAGAGCGTCCGGCGCAGAGGCATGCGAGACATGGGTAGAAGGTCCCGGAGCAAGCGATAGGCCAGAGCGACTACTCTGGCTCTCGGACGGTGTGCTATTCCGTCTGCGAGGGCGCGCCCGACGCCCGTGTGAGGGTGAATCTCCAGTTTCGCCCTCACCCTCGCTTTCCGACGTGTCCACCCAATCGTCGCCGTCTTCACCGCCACCAGAGGCCCGCCCTTTTCCTTTCCTGTCGCCACCATCTTTGCCACCCTCCGTACTCTCCTCCCCATCCCTCGACCGCGAGTACGACGCATGCACCTCATGCAAATGTGCCGCCCTCGCCGACCGCTGCGGCTTCCTCTGCGGTCCATGCCACGACCCGCTGGGGGGCAGCACCGTGCCTCCCGAGTTCGACCGCAGAAGTAGAGCAGGCCGCTCGGGCTTCCCGAACGCGAAAGAGCTCCGCTGCACGGTCGCCGGACGCTGGGCCCGAATCGTCTCTGCCTCTGATCGCGACGGCGTCCCCGTGCCCCGATCCAGCGCGATGCCCACGGCGCGCGTTACGGTGGCCGGCCACTGCAGATGTGCCGCACGCGTTGGGGTCGCGAGGCCGCCGTTCATATGCCGTCGCGTCGGCGTGCGCAGTGAAGGCGCCCGGGGACGCGTAGAGATGACTAGGCGTGCAGGTCGACGCTTCGGGGTGGGCACATTCTCCTTGTTGACGTCCGAGTCCACGTTCTTCCCAGTGGGGTCGCTCAGGTCTACCGAGCGGGAGTTGATGTCCCTCATGCGGTTGTTGTGGATTTCCTCCTCTGAGAGGATTTCGTTGTGTTCGCGCGAGCGTTGCACGGGACGTTCGCGAGATATAGAGGCGTCACTGTCTTCCCGACCCCGACCGTTGCGAAGTCGGTCCATGACCCAGTGGCCGCTCATGCTGAGCTTGCGGCGGCCCCAGGCGCGCATGGCGGGCGAAGGATGTACGACGTCGACGTTGCTGCCGCGCGTCATGGCAAGGAAGACTAGGACGGCCAGAAGCAGGCAAAGTTGGGCAATGCTGAGGCGTTTCTCCAGGATGACCTAGACGAGGTCAATATCGATGGAGACTTCATCGAAATAGACACTGCATACCTCGTCAGACAAATAGTTCACCTTGCTGATCAGCTCGTCGTAGTCAGCCTGCAGACGGAGACGTTGGCGGTCCCATTCCGCCGCTGTCCGATGATAGTTCTGGCTTTGCGTCTTGCCCTGCACACCCTTCAATATCGCGGCTCGTGACTTGGATGGAAGCCCACTCACCAGTGCCTGCAGCCGTCCCACGTCCTCCGTCAGCCTGCGAAGGACCTCCCTCACCCCCGTCGCCTGGTCCTCGAAGTACCGTACATACAACGTCTGATTCGCCTCCAGCGCAGTGAGGCGGTTCATGATAGTCCGATAGATAGACTCCCCCGTGGCCGCCGCGAGGGGCGGTGCAAGCGACACGCTGTTCACGCCCGTCTGGACATTTTGCGAAGCGGTAATTGTCGTGGTAATGGAAGTGGTGGTGGTCGAGTCATCGGCCTGCTCTCCAGGCGGCTTGCTGATTGAGGAACCCTCGGAGGTAAGAGTGACAGACGTGGTGGGTTGCGAGCCATCCGTCGGCTGAGCGTTGGAGTCATTCCCGACAGTCGCGGTAGGGACGCTTTGGCTCGTCGGGCTGCCACTCGAACCGCTCGGCGACGTGCTTGACGTTGTGGCCGAGGAAGTCGCAGAGACACTGACGTCTGTCGTCGATGGCAGAGCAGTGGTCTGAGGTGTTCTCGGTCCGCGCCCCGACCGGTCTGTCGTGACGCTAGAGGGGACCTGCTCGTTGGCGGTGGCAGCTGCCTGTGGCTCCTCGGCGACCTTCGTCGGGTCCGCACTAGAGCTGGCTGGAAGAGCGGATGACCCTGCGATGCGCGCGCGGCTCTCTTCTTCCCAGGCCTCCCATTTCCATTGCTCGAGATGTGTGAGGCCGTACACGCGAAGGAGAGAAACGGGACAATAATATTCGTTGCCATAGTGGGAGTGGAAGTCGATGCGGATATAACGGTAGAAGTCGCGTAGGGACGTTGGGGGATGGAAGGACTGACGCGAAATGTCAGGGGGATGCGAATCATGAGCGTATGCCACTCACCTGCACTCCGCGCACGTTCTTCGCCTGGTATGTGCCCGCGACCGTCCATTCCGACTCGTCAGTGGTGTACCGCTTAGCGACGCTGACAGTAAAGTCCTTGAACACCCCGCTGAAGAACTCGAAGTTGGCAAGCTGGACGGTGTCGATCCGAATATCCTCGCACAGCTCGACCACAACGAACTGTGGAGTCTTTGTATCGCAGGGACTAAGCATATAGCGATCGCGCTTTGAGGAGAGGATGGATTGCGCTGACTTGGCGCCTTTGTGGAAGGCGTGGACGCGCGCGGAGCAGTCCGAGCTCGCGTAGTTGAAGCGGTCCGTCAACGGCACCTTAAAGTGAAGGGACATAGGCTCTTCAGTCCCAGCCTCGTTCGCCGCGGCGCCTGCGCCGTCCGTCCCGCCAGGTGAGTCCATTGCCGCGGGGGGCTGCGTCTCTCCGCCATCTGAGTTGGTCTCTCCTGCGTTAACCGGCGCTGAGCTCCCTGTCGTACTTTCTGACCGGTTTGCGTCCCCTTGCGCGCGAGTCTGCGTCTGCTGCTGCATCGCGAACTGCTTCGCTTTCCAATCTTCAAAGGACAGCAAGACATCCTCCTCCGTAGCTTCCTGGTCCGTAGGCTGCACTAAACAGCATATCGGAGCCTCTGGGGGTGGCGGCGCTGCAATGGCGATCGCGCGGAGGGGATCATTCGGGGAAGTCTGCGCGATTGCTGGGGTCGTCAAGAGCAGAAATGCGCTCAGGGAGGTGAGGGCGACCATCTAAAGAGCTCGCGCTCTCAGAATAAAGAAAAATAACGAAAACAAGAACGTGAACGTCGAAGACAAGTTGCGGACAACTGGACAAGGGTCGACGGCCATTCAATGAACTCGGCGCGGCCTTCCGGTGCCACGTGTGACGACGTGAGCGCAACGTCAGCTGTCACGGTTGGACTTTGCTGGCAAAGTTGCATGAATTACAAGCGCTGGACAGGGCTGTGACTGGCACTTTCGGTAGAGTTCCCACAGACTTGTCTGGTACTGACACGCTTTCCCAGGCCAAGGCACTTTCCTACGGGGCGAGATGGCTAGGAGCCTGCAAGAAATATTGGACCTTGCTATTTGGTCGTAAGCGTTGAGCGTGTATGCTTCGTAAGAGTGATTAGTTTATATTAGACGAATTGGGGCAGCAGCCTAAAGTCAGATAATCGGTCCGTATCTCTTCGAATACACTACTACTAATAAAGGGGAACACGGGGGGAGGGGGGGTATGGGAGGGTGAGCTTGGGTCATAACTGTCCGCTCGTTTAAGCCGTTAGGGCTGAGGTTGCGATGGATGCGACAGTCTCTGCCACAGTCAACGATGCATGAGTCACAGTGCTAGCCACCGGCATGTCGGCAGTGCGCAGGCGATACCAGAAGAATACTATCTGGGGACGTGGTCAGCAGGAGTGGCAGACGGGTTTTGACAGACAATGGATGCTACCTTCAGTTCCTGCAGCATCGCACGATACTTGAAGAACAGGCGCAGAGCTGCGCCTGTCCAGGTCATGGAGAGGATGATGCGTGGAATGGTGTATGTATGCAAGCGCCGGATAGCGACCCGCATGTGTAGGAAATCCGCGTCGAGTTTTGTAAGCCTGAGCAGGGTCGGTTGAGAATGCAAATGCGATGCAGTGCAGAGGGTCACACTCGCATAGTCCGCATCTCACTGATGCTAGGCACAGTTCCGGTATTCGGAGACTCGCCTGCCCAGCCCTCCTCATGAGCCTCGGAGAGCGATAGGTGGATTTTCATCTGCACCTTGTCGCAGTGTTGCAATACAATCTGGGGCGACAGAAGGATTATCATGGTCACAGCCATCGCGACTATGGCAACGCCAGCTAAGACGTTGCGACGCTCGGCGGTAGGCAAGTCCCTCAGGACGCTGGTCTCCAGTAGTCCAAGGGTGAGATGGACGACGTAGCAGATCAGCTTGAGAGTCCTATACATAGCGGCGGGTGAGAACTTGCGTGAGATTGAGCTGCACGTCGAAAGCTATGAATGCTCTCTTATAAGGAGCTGCGATATGGTTGTCGGCGCATGTTGTCTGTGTACTTGCATTACCGACAAGAATTGAACCTAAATGACCTCGATTAAGAAGGACTGCGAACGACGCGCCACGTCCGAAGGGCATCCGGTATTGGAAGCGGTGCAAGAATAGCCATACACAGTATTCGCCACAGAGGTCTGGAGTGTCTGTCCTCAGGATGTATGAGCAGCCTAGAAGCCGAGTTGGAGGAAACGTTGAGTGAACTCTGTCGACATTGTCGGGTGCAGATAGTTGTCGGCCTTACGTGCATTGTACATATCAACAGCGTACACCACCGGTGAGAGTGCAGGATCGACTGCCAAGATCAGCGCGGTACATTGACCTGGTCCCTTAAGCATGTTGAGAGCCTGTGGGCCTGTGGTACGAGTAAAGAGGGTGCACATTGCTGCGTGGGAACCACGTGATGTGACTGTTGTAGCTAAGTCATATGACAAGCTAAGCATGGACCCACAAGATGCAGTCTGCAGGCACAATTTATGCTGGTATCTTCTCCTCAAGCATGCACGTGAAGATACAATAGTCTTGTTCACATATGGTATAATATACAAAATCAATACATGTCCCGAACCCAAGCGGAACGTTTCTTCTACTTATTCATGCCCTCACTGCCCGAAGGTCGCCTTGAACGCACCCTCAAAATCGGCGATGATGTCGTTGATCGACTCAATACCGGTGGAAATCTGCAATTTCTATCAGAGAAGCACCTTACCCCCAATCGCGGTCTACACTCACCCGAATGAGGTCTGGCCGCACGCCCGACGCCAACTGCTCCTCCTCCGTGAGCTGCGAATGCGTCGTGCTGGCGGGGTGGATGACGAGCGTCTTCGCGTCGCCGACGTTTGCCAGATTGCTAGCGAGCTTCAGGCTGTCGACGAGCTTTGAGCCCGTCGCGGCGTCGCCCTTGACGCCGAAACTGAGCATACCGCCGTACTCGCCCGGCACACGGAGGAGCTTCTTCGCGAGCTCGTGCGAGGAGTGCGACTCGAGTCCGAGGTAAGAGACCCAGGCGACGTGTGGGTGCTGCTCGAGCCAGCGGGCGAGGGCGAGGGCATTCTTGCTGTGGCGTTCGCCACGGAGGGAGAGGGTCTCAAGGCCCTGGAGGAGGAGGAAAGCGGCGAAGGGGCTCAGGCAAGGGCCGACGTCACGGAGAAGCTGTAGCAAGGTCAGTGGCGTATACAAGGGTAATGAACGACAATGCTTACCTCTGTTCGGACCTTGACGGCGAACGCAGCGGCGCCGAAGGTGTCGCTAAAGATGAGGCCGTGGTAGCCCTCCGATGGCTCAGTGAAGCCCGGGAACTTGCCCGACTTGCGCCAGTCAAACTTGCCGCTGTCGACAATCACACCACCGATGGTGGTTCCGTGCCCGCCGATCCACTTCGTCGCGCTGTGGACGACGATATCCGCGCCGTGCTCGATAGGGCGGATGAGGTAACCGCCGATACCGAAGGTGTTGTCGATGATGAGCGGGATGCCGTGGTCGTGGGCGACCTTGGCAATGGCGGGGATATCAAAGATGTTGAACTTCGGGTTGGCGATACTCTCAATGTAGATCGCCTTAGTCTTCTCGTTGATCGCGGGGATGAAGTCCTCCGGGTTCGTGCCCGTCACGAACCGCGTCTCGATCCCGTACTTCTTGAAGGTGACCTTGAACTGGTTGTAGCTCTGAGGAGGGCCAAGGTCAGTTCAATGGGTGCTCATCCTTGTCACGACTGATGAAACTCACGCCTCCATAGAGATAAGATCTGCGGTATGGTGTGCGATGAGCAAAGGGAAGTCCACTTTGGGATGTGGGTAACTCACGTTGACACAATGTTATCGCCGGCAGATGCGATCGCAGTGATCGCGAGGAACTGGGCAGCTTGGCCGGAAGCGACGGCCACTGCGGCGACACCCCCCTCAAGCTGCGCTATCCGCTGCTCGAATACGTCCTAGACCGAAATTAGATCTCGCGCTCGCACTGACGGCGCAGGGCGTACTCACCACCGTGGGGTTGCCTATGCGCGAGTAGATGAAACCCCCCGTCCTGCGATCGGTCGGTTATACGAAGGGGGACAGCTGGCAGTCTTTCTCACCTGAGGTTGAAGAGATCGGAGCCGTGCTACAGGGATGTCAGGATCGAGGTGTAGGGTAGGGAGGGGGAGGGGTGCACGCACAGCAGAGTCATTGAAGGTGAAGCTCGTCGTCGCGTAGATCGGCACCGCGCGCGCGTTCGTCGCAGGATCCGGACGCTGCCCACCATGCAGCTGGATCGTCTCGAACTCGGGCTCCCTATCGTACGCATGAGCGACTCCTTTACAACCCTTTATGCACCACTCACTTATAGAACGCTGCAGATGCCTCAGACATGATGGTGGAGGGGGATGGAGGAGGTGGAGGATGGTATGAGGAAGGAGTAAAGAAAGATGAGTGGAGATACGGCGTGGGGGAGTATATTATGGCTAGCGCTTCAGTATGGCGTGCTAACGACGCGTGAGCACGCGCGCAGCCCACGGGGGGCAATCATGGCGCCTTGAGTGCTGCTGGTTCGGGACGCCTGTCGGCCGTGGCCAGGTGCCCCTTTTCCGGTATCAGGCATTATTGTGGTGCCCAGGCCGGTGGATAGGGCTTGTGTAGGCATCGCGGGAGGAGATTGTAGCCGGGGAGGACAAAGGAAAATCCAGGCGGGATTTCCGCCACCTAGCCTGCTCATGACGCCAACATACGCGACGTGCGCGCGATTTGATCGACGGATACCGTGACCTCTTGCCGGAACGACGTCCCGATAACGTTGAGCTCAAACTCGGGCACCCAAGAGCTCTACACGTACTACGACATGTGTAGACCAGAGTGACAACGGCGGTAGGCGCGTAGAACAGACTGCTAGGATTGCGAGCTATGGACCCATTACCCAGGGTGGGGTATGGGTCCATTTCCACAGTCTTGATCAATAGGAAAAACAAAACATTGCGTAGCCAGCAGATACAGAGTGACTGGACGCAAGAAAACGGTCCCGTAGAGTTGAACACTTGACATGAAGGAAGAGTTAAGGCTTCCTCATCGCGAGCGACGATGCAGTCAGCGCGCACCGGCTCTCCGGGAAATGCCGCACTTCTGTTCCCACGCCACTCAATTGCATGGTTTGCGGTGGCGTCCGGAATGCCTGCTTGACCTCTACTTGCAACCATGCATTGCTTGTCTAACGCATTTCCCCTGATGCCTTCATCCAGAGCATCATGACATTACGCACAGCTCCCACAGCAAATCTTGTGGCCTTCCATGAATATCTTATCGTGACCGCCGACACCACTGCACTTCTTACCGGCATTGACTGCACTGCCAGAAAATGCTTGATGCGCCGCACGTTGTCTGCTTGCCTGCTCTACTACCATGTCTTGTGTTTTTTGCGTCGATCTACGATTTGGTCCCACCCAGCTCTTCGCTGCACCACGACATTCTACGCCTTCGCCTCAGGCTCCATCGAGGTATCATGATTGATGCTCTGGCTTTCGCACTCGCTCTACATCTCCAATACTCTCTATCCTGCGCTCTATCTCTGCTTGTGAAACTTGCCTTGGTCTATAATGAACGGCACCGACTGCCTTCGCTTGTCCTCCTCTTCGTCTCTACCCTCGACATTCCCAACTCACCCTCGCACCGCCTTCGTTCTGCAGTCTGATCCCCCAAGTTCTCGTCTCGTCCTCTGCAGATGTGTCAGCAAGCGCGAGGTCATGCGCGGCGCTCCTGATCTGTCGTTGCTCAGGGTATCTGACACGCAGACATGCTGTGCTGTTCATCGCACAGAGGAAGCTGCACTGGCTGTGGGAGGAGATCTCTAGATCTATACACTCCTACAGACGACTCGATCCTGGGACCTCTTATAAGCTGGCTTGTGACGGTCGAATAGTGTAATACGCGCTGAGACTTTGCAATCCTCGAAAATGAAGGTAATTGCACAGCCTATGTACGTGCTTGACTCCGTTCGCAGGGCGGAACTTGCTTGCTGATCCTTTAGAACAGCTATACCGTGGCTTCATGCTGCACAATGAACGGCACGTGCAGGCCATCGATAATCTTGCGCACCGACTTGCGCGCACCTTCACGTCCTAGGCTGCCCCGTCTAGGCCAGCAGCGACTCCATGCCGAGGAGCCCTTGTCGGACAACTTTGATTCCATCGCCTGGCCACGTAACGGAGGCCCATTGCCTGGAGCGCGCGGTGCCTATGGCAGCCAACTCGGCGGATATGTTCTGGACGGGGAGTGGGCCGGCGCAGGACGTAAACGAAGCAATATCACGAATGCAAGGCTGGAAATGTAGGCTATTCAGGAGCCGGATAGGTAAAGTACTGAGGCATGGGTGGAAAGGCGGCGGAAAGGGACAAGAGGTCCTTCCGAGCTCAAGCATCAGACCTTGCTCGACGCCCACGCAATTGACTGTGACACTCCATAGGTGCGTGACGTCACAGTTCGGATTATGCACCACTCATTTATTCCGCGCCTTATATCCGCCCTGCATTGCGCGGTGGTGGGCTCAGTCTACCTCATATCTGACTTCATCCCCCAGGTTGGGTCTATGGGGAATACCAAGGATTCCCAGGGAACTTCGCGGATCCTAAATCGCTGCAGTTCCGTGGTAATCCTGGGCAATCCAACTTTCGATCACTTTTGAGTTTGCCTCCGTGCTTGAGGTTAGCGGAACCAAAATTCGTGAGTCCACGGGCGACCTAGATGGGCACGCCTGTGCACCGTACATATGCCTTCACTGTGTGCCACGGAGAAACTTGGAGGTCCCGAGAAGTTTGTCTCATGCAGAACTTCTGTGACTCGCTGAATACAATGCATACTTTTCTTTTTACTACTACTATTGGAGGACATCGCTGTTCGTATTCTTCCACTGTGCGGTACCCTCCATTTTGGGGACTCGCTGTGGCTGAAAGTTGTTATGTCATATTCTAGAGTTGCATTCACCAGCGGGCGTCGCCAGGGCGGCGAGGGCAGCCATGCGTTTCCATGGGCTCCTCAATTCAGCCGACCTACATTGCATTCTCCGTGTCTATCTTCTTCACGGCTTTCGATTCAAACTTACACTTCACCCTGGAAAGGCGCTGGAAAGGTACTCGCAAGTCGAAGTCCAGTAGCCGGCACGGGGGCGCACGTGGTTTGATTAGGCCTGATGGGCGACTTCTGCAAAGCTTTGTTCCTGCAGTCAGCGCCGGACGCGACAGCGAGCTCAATTAGCGCGTCTCGGGCCCTGCTCTTTCCCTCTGCAAGCACAATCACCCCACGAAAGGCGCCTTCACTCCTTTCCACGATCACGAACGCGAACAACGAGTTCATTAGACGACGACATAATTCGGAGGCTCCACTACTTCCTCTTGCGCATTCTTCCTTCCACAACATCAACACCATGGCCACGCCTTCGAGCTCGCGGCCGGCGAGCATGTCTTCCCGGCAGGGCGGCTCGCGAACGCTGAACGACTACGTGCGTGTGCGCGCACGCGCGAGGTGGCGAAAGGCTGAAGTGCTTGCAGCAACTCGGCGACTCGCTGGGGAAGGGCGCCTTTGGGCAGGTCTATCGTGCGTGATACATTACTGTTGAAGTACCTTCGCTGATGTCTCGTACGCAGGCGCCCTCAACTGGGCCACTGGCGAGACCGTCGCCATCAAGGAGATCACACTCAGCAATATCCCCAAAGCGGAGTTGGGCGAGATCATGGTGTGTCGTACGCGTCCTGACACAAGAAGTATGTTACTGACCCATGTGTAGTCTGAAATCGACCTGCTCAAGAACTTGAATGTTGGTCAACGCTGCACACGCACACGCGTCACGCTTACCTCTTTTGCAGCATCCCAACATCGTGAAGTACAAGGGCTTCGTGAAGGAACGCGAGTATCTGTATATCATTCTTGAGTGCGTACCGATTCCCATCGTACACGCCCTTGCAACCGAGACGTGGTCGTCTTGTCTCCGGATTAGGCGCCCATGGCCCTCGTGACACCGGATCATACTCCACATATCCACTCCTGAGCATGAACAGGCCAACGATGCTGATCTGCACCCAGATTCTGCGAGAATGGCTCGCTGCATAACATCATCAAGCGGTTCGGGAAGTTCCCAGAGAACCTTGTCGCCGTATATATCGCGCAGGTCCTCGAAGGACTCGTATACCTGCACGAGCAAGGTGTCATTCATCGCGACATCAAAGGCGCAAACCTCCTCACCAATAAGGATGGCACTGTCAAGCTTGCTGACTTCGGTGTTGCAAGCACGGCAACATCGACCGCTAATAACGATGCGGTCGTAGGCAGTCCATACTGGAGTACGTATGTCGTACCTCTCCACGAACATCACTAACATCCTTTAGTGGCTCCTGAGGTCATCGAACAGTCGGGCGCGACGACAGCGTCCGACATCTGGTCCGTCGGTTGCGTCGTCATTGAGCTACTGGAAGGCCATCCGCCATATCACACTCTCGATCCTATGCCTGCACTTTTCCGCATCGTACAAGACGACTGCCCGCCCATACCCGAGGGCGCCTCCCCGATCGTCAAGGATTTCCTCTATCACTGCTTCCAGAAGGACTGCAACCTGCGCGTCTCCGCCAAGAAGCTGCTTCGCCATCCATGGATGGTGTCAACGCGGAGACAGATGGAGGATGCGCCGCGAGAGTCTCAGGGCCCTGGTGGGCGACCGCTAAGCAACTACAACTACGACGAGGCGGTCTTGAAGGTGCAGGAATGGAATGAGGCGCTGAAGTGTACGTCCAGCAGCGCACCATGATTGCAGGCTCATGCTAACACCGCTGAATAGCACCTTCACGCCCCTCGAAGCATCCGAGCAAGTCTAAGCCATCTGCATCTCCCGCTATGGATATACAGCCCTTGCGCTTGCCTGTATCAACATCAGCGGGGTCAGCGGGCTCCGGCTGGAAGGTCGGCTCAGATCCACGCTCTAAGGCGGCCGGTCGTATCAATCTTGCGGAGAAGATCCAGCCCGTCTTCGTCCCGCCGCCGGAGGAACAGACTGACAATTGGGACGACGACTTCGAGGAGGGCATCTCCTTGACGAAGCTGCAGGCGCCTGTGCGCGTACCTTCGAAGGACTCAGCATCTATCCGTGCTTCGCTCGACAAGAGCACGGCGTCAGAGGAGGAGCGCACAGATGGTGACGATAATGCCCGCACGATCCGTCCCAATTTCAGTCCAAACTCTGGGCCTGTGCCGCTGGCGAAGGCGCCTGCCAACGAGATCAACCCTATCATTGAGGATTACTCGGATCTGGCTGAGGATGATGAGTTGGAGGGTAAGGTTGCGGACTTCAAGGTTCGTGCGATGCAGATCGCTACTTTGGTCGTGCTCACAGACTGATGCTCGTGCAGATGAAGAACTCCTTCCGGCGTGGCCTTTTCCACCCGGATGACATCAAGGTCCTTGGACTAAACAGCGCTGGACCCTCCGCACCTCTCTCCGCCCCCTTACTATCCGACTCTTCCCCTCGTCGTTCACCCCGACCAAGCCCTATTATGCTCCCCACAGGCAAGATCGCGCCCAGTCCAGCTACGGCCCAGCCCCGACACGCGCGGTCGAGCTCTTTCGCGGGCAATCTCGGCGAGATGCGCACGAGCAGCATGGGGCAGGCGGAGGCGCGGAAGCTGCTGAACCAGCAGGAGTTTGGCAAGTACGCGGAGGATGACGATGAGGACTATGATGATGTGTTCGGGAAGCCCAATGGGACAATGGCGGGGTCGGGGCAGACGCTGCAGCTGAATACGCGGTTGTCGAACAAGTCATGGGTATGTGGTTTCGATGCGGAGAAGTGCAGGGTAGCTGATGCTCTTCTTAGCTTGGCGACGAAGCCTCGGACGAGGAAGATCCATTCGCGGAGGTATGGTCCTACATCATGCACTGAAGACCGCTCACTGACATGGCTCTTCTAGATCGACGAGGGCTTCGCCGAGGACGATTTGGAGACGAACTTGCAGCGTGACAAGTACGCGCGGTTGACGAACCAGGTCAACCAGCTTATCGACGAGCTGACTCCGTCTGCACCCGACTTCCAGCTACGAGAAGCCTGCGATCAGTTGGTACGCTGCATTTACAACCCCGAGTCTTCCTACGGGTACTGATCTGTTGCTGCTACAGTTGGCGATCATGTCGGACGCGCCGGAGATGCAAGTGCAACTTGTGTCTTCGCACGGGATGCTAGCCATACTGGAGGTGCTGGAGGGACGATGCTCAAGAGATGTCATCATGCGGCTGCTGCAGATCATCAACAACGTAAGGTTGCAACTCTGAACCAGTCAGGCATGACTAACCCTACGCTAGCTTGTGCAATCCGACATCGGTTTCCTCGAGAGTTTCTGCCTGATTGGGTGCGTGATCTCCTGAGAATCATCTAATCCTCTTATCACTGACTGGCCCTCTAGCGGAATCCCCGTCATGATGGGCTTCACATCCAAGAAGTACTCGTCGGATTGTCGATTGCAAGCGTCGAACTTCGTACGGCTGCTGTGCCACACCTCCGTCTTGACACTGCAGATGTTCATCTCGTGCGTGTAGTTCTTGTTTGCAATTTAACCTCTACTAACGAGAATGCAGATGTCGTGGCTTGAAAGTTCTCGTCGACCTGCTGGACGAAGACTACACCGAGCAGGCGGACCTTGTCGTACATGCCTTGAACGGCATCTGTAGCGTATTCGAGCTGCAAAGCCCGACGACGAAGAACGACTTCTGCCGGATGTTCATTCGCGAGGGCCTCCTTGATCCTCTGTCCGCAGCACTGTTGAACGTGATGGCGTCGCAGGGCGAGTCGTCGATGGAGATCAAGATGAAGATCATCCAGATTCTTCAGGTCTTCGCTCAGGTGTCGCAGTCGGATATACATGTGAGGAATGCGCTGGGGACGCGGAAGGTCATCAGGAGTGAGTCTCCCGCATGTGTCTTTCGGGGGGTGTACTGACCGGATGATAGGACTGCTGCGCGCATGCGAACTTCTGGAGCCGGAATGCCTTGCGCAGATGCTGAAGGCTATCAAGCATCTGTCAATGAACCCGACGCTTCTTGAGGTCTTGCAGAACGCGAATGCGATCGAGATTCTCGTCCGCATCCTCGATGAACAATCGACAGGGCCTCACGGCACGGTATGCGATTTTGCGGCACCCAACAAGTTTGTGCTGACACATCATCTCGCAGGAAATCTCCAATCACATCTTCCAGACCTGCTACAACCTCTGCCGCCTCAACAAGTCGCGCCAGGAGGAAGCTGCACAGGCTGGCATAATTCCTTGCCTCAAGCGTGTCATTGAGACGCGGTCGCCGCTGAAGCAGTTCGCGCTTCCTATTCTGTGCGACCTCGCGAGCGCAGGGAAGAGTTGCCGCTCGCTCCTGTGGCAGCACGACGGCATGTCGATGTACCTTCGCCTCCTGGACGATCCGTACTTCCAAGTTAGCGCCCTCGAGTCAATCCTGTCGTGGTTGCAGGACGAGACGGCACGCTTAGAAGACAAGCTGCTGGAGCCGACATCTGTCGAGCTCCTCGTCAAGTGCTTCGTCTCCGCCAAGGCGAACTCCTTCGAGAACTTGTTAGACCCGTTCCTCAAGCTCATTCGCACCAGCACGCCTTTGACGCTGTCCATTGCCAAGGTGCCCGTGTTTCACACCAACATTCGCGAGCGCCTCATGGGCCGCCGCGCGAAGGCCGTGGTGCGCGTCAACCTGCTGCGTGTCCTTCGCACGGTCGTCGAGGTGCACCCGAACCGTGTCATGCTTGTCGAGAAGTACGGTCTCGGCGAGATCGTGGGCCGGTTGGCGAAGGAAGACCCCGCTGTGCTTGTGCGCAAGCTCGCGAAGGAGATCGCGCCGACGCTGCAGCCTGGCCTCGCGCGGAGGTCGATGAGCGGTGGAAGTGGTGGACGTGCCAGTGCCGCGGGCATGGACAACGGTGCCAGCGGCAGTGGAAACGGCGGTAGCGGCGGGCGGAAGGCGAGTCGATTGAAGGCGAAGCCCAAGGTCAAGGGCCCGACCGACACGCCACAGACGCCCAAGTCTGTCATCGCACCGAAGCGCATGCGGCGGTCTGCTAGCGAGGCAAACGCGTCGCCCTACGGCTCCATTGCCCCCAACCGACATCCAGCATCGCCTACCGTCACCATGGGTCGCAGCGGCAGCAGTCCCCTGATGACGGGGCTTCTGCACGGCAGCCCACAGGGCACACTGGGGTCTTATGCTGGCAGCATCAGCGGCAGCTACACGAACGGAAGTTACTTGATGAACGGCGCCTTCAATGGCAACCTCACGAATGGCAACGGCAATGGCGGGACCAATTCTGGCACCGCGCGGCATGGTACCGCAGGCAGGCGTCCGCGAAACAAGCTGGGCGATATCGCATGGGAGTCGCCCCGACAATAGTCTAGTCTACCTCTCCCCTTCTATGGTCTATTTCGGCAGGAGGATCTAGGATTATGAACTCGTTTCTCGCTATTCGTTCGTATCGTATTTGTATATTATACTCCTCTCCTTAGGCTCGTGGATTTTATGTGTCGCTCAGTTACAGTCGCGCTGTCTGCTGATTTTGTTGTCGGTAATTCTCTCTCCTTTTCTCATCGTATGCACATATCTATTAGACACAACTAGCATAGGTACCTCCTCGCCATCTCATGCAATCCAATCTCAAGTCTGCAAGATGAACTGGGGGAGCTTGTGGGTCTGCCGGATAGCATTCACGTGCGTGTCGCGCTATCCCCGGCTGTCATTGTTGCGCCACGGCTCGTGTATGCCTTGTTCTCCCCCACCATGAGTTTCGCAGATATCGAGGCGACCGCTGGAAGCGCCCCCGTACGACGTGGATCCTCCTCCTCTGCTGCATCTCTCCCAAAGTCTAAGGAGGATGCATTATTCCTCGACCTCCAGTCCTCGCTCTCCCTGCAGGTGTTCAAGATGAACGCGAATGTGCAGGGTATCCTGAAGCTCGTGGACCAGCTGGGGACGCCGAAGGACTCGGCGGCGCTGCGAAAGAGTCTGTGCGTATGTCGTTTGGTAGGGGGATAGGGCGCTGACCGACGAAGCGTAGACATGACCTGACGGATTCGACGCGGGCGATGGTGAAGCGCGCCTCGGATGATCTGAAGAAGTTGACGACGCTGCAAACGACTCTGGTGCGTCTCCTGCATACTGTGCTGCATTGAGGGGAACTTACGCGAGGACGTAGCCGCACCATAAGACCACATTGCAAAAGACCTCGCACGATATGCAGATGTCCATGCTCGCATTCCAGCGCGCACAGCAGGTTAGCGCGGAGCGGCAGCGCACCGTCGTTGAGGGTGTCCGGATAGCCGCGGAAGAGGGGGCAAGGTACGCTTCTCGCCCCTTCGTCGTAAGCACGCCTACTGACGTCTTTCCTACCCCTTCTAGTCCTGGGCCTGCCGCCGAGCCGTCTACCTCCCCTGAACAACGACAAGCGCAATTGCTGCAGAACCAACTGTCACCGCAAGAGCTCGAGTACCAAGAGTCCCTCATCCAGGAGCGCGAGCGCGAGATACGCGAAATCGAGGGCGGTATACAAGAGCTTTCGGAGATTTTCAACGACCTGGGGCACCTCGTACAAGATCAGGGGCAGATGCTAGGTACGTGGCGTGAGGTGGTCTGTCGTGGTTATGACCTGACCTTCCGCTCAACAGACAACGTCGAGAACAATATAGAATCTGTGGCTACGACGACAGGGGACGCTGCCACCGAACTCTCCTCTGCGGCGGAGTACCAGCGCAAAGCGGGTCGGCGCGCGGCGTGCCTGATGCTGATCCTCGTCTTCGTCGTCGCTATAGTTCTGGTTGCGGTACGTCCGTTTGATCCCTTTTCCTTGCCTTGGGCTCATCGTCGTGGTAGGTTTTGACGTGATGGACTCCCTTGTGCGCGCGCTCCTGCTTTTGGCATGTGTATCTTTATGGAATCAACAGTATAGGATATCTCACCTCTATAATCGCATGCTTACTACTGTACATTTTTGCGTCGCATCCCTGGACAATATACCTTACGTACACGAGAACCCAGCGCACCGACGACATGCGCCTCGATTGCAGGACACAATGATGTTATAGACGGTCGGGAATTTATTATGGGCGATGATATCGTAGGCGAATTCCCTAGAATGAGGGGTATATGAAGTGGTCGGAGATATAAGTACAATGGGGGTAGTTTGGATGGGGCGGGACTGGAGACCCATGCTATGTAAAGGTCCATGTTCTAAGGCCGCTGAACAGGCGCGTCCGACGAGCTCTCAGGAGCCGGCGTAACGATGATTTTGGGGGAAGGTGGCGTCGGAGCCCTCGGGGGAAAGGCTGGCACACGAGGTCAGTGGCGAGCTTCAGAGCACTGAGATGAATCACTGACTAGGGCTTCTGCAGGACGAGCGAGGGGTCGACTGGCCGGAAGAGTTGATGGAGTGGTAGGCTTGGATCAAGTCGGCTGAGGTGTCGAGATAAGAAAAGATTCAGTGGACGACATGGATAGGGACCAACCTTTTGAGTAAAGACGGTTGCTCTCCTTCGTCTTCAGCTTGAGGTAACGATCCCAGAGCGCGAGCGCGTAGAAGATCAGCATGAAGAGGATCAACATCATGGCGCCTGAATATAGCAGCGTACGTGAGCCACCGCGAGGCCTGCATACAAGTGGCAGACAACGTACAACCATAGGGAGCACCCCTGCCGCAGTGCAGGTCCTCGTTCGTGATCTCGTCTACGGAGAGCTGGGCATCGGGCTGGGGATAGGGAGCCATCTAGGATGTCGTAGAGGGGCCGGAGCTCAGAAGTGTAGATAGTCTGTGCGGGAGGAGACAAGAAGGGAAGGGTGGCGCTTGATCAAGGGCCGACAATCCTTAAGTACGAGTGCAATGCTGTTGCGGACCCGAAGCGCTTGGCACTAGGCAAAGAGCTGTGGAGGGCAAAGACAACGCGGTCAAGCGCCAGAGCCCATGACGGCCGTCTCATAGCCTGTTTGAATGCTTGGCTGTCCTTTGTCGGAGCGGGGGCGGTGCAAAGGTGTTAATGAGCTCGGGCCTTGGCATAAGGCGAGTACAGGTCTGAGATCTTCCTATAATTGGTTGGCTTGCTAATGGTCACTGGCTTACTAGGATCGCTAGAGGCCGAGCTTCCGAGAAACCTGAGTGCAGGTCGAGAGAACGGTTGAGATGATTTCGTGCACAGCCATCGCCTTTGTTGTTGGCGGCAGTTTCCGCAGAAAAGGTCCTGTGGACATACCGATTTGGAACAATGAACGCTGATGCCTCACAGCAAAGGATTTTTGGTGTGTACAGAGCAGGTGTGGTGGACGTTATAGGGGTAATTCAATTGATACATAGCAGCAATGAAGCGAAGGCTGATCTCAGGATCTTTCCACCCCACCCCATTCAACCGCTCCAGACAGCAGGACCAGCTGTAGACGCAGATTAGCATCGTCCGACATCTGCTGAGATGGCATCTGGAAGTACTTACGAGCTTCATAGCCGCTGTACCCATCAGGGAGGGCGTAGATGTCTACAGCAGAAGCCCGTCAGCATCACTGAACTCCTGTACCATCAGGAGCGCTTACTGATGAGGATCCCCGGATCCGTAGGGCTGTAGGCGCCTAAAGATGAATGTTGTCGAGATACGGATGACGCGGTAAGCGTAGCGGACTCACCCGGGAAAGATACGGTGGGCGATGGCGTGCCGTTCCCGCCATTCTCGATGTTCAACTGGGCGCAGGCGATGTAGAACTATGAGACGTGGATGAGCAGTGTTAGTGCTGTATGAAACGATGACTCGCCTGAGCTCCGCCCTCGGTCCCAGCGGCGTGCAGGGCAATCTGCTCTCCCCTATATAGGACTTCAATGAGCTTGAAGTTGAGCCGTCGCATACTTCACGGTCGCTTGCCTCAGAAGGTATTGTCTTGACAAAAAAAGGAGTGTCAGTATAAGTTCCAGGTTCACAGATCGAGACAGCAACTAACCCGCTAGGAACCGACTTCGGAATGGTGAAGTTGAAGTCCACGATATCTGGCAAGGCATCTCAATGACTGCGAAAGGACCAATTTATATGGCTCACTCTCAGAGTCGAAGACAAGGCCAGTGTCGGGAGAAAAGGACGGCGACCATTCCCAGATCTTGAACCAGGTCTCACCAAGCCCGGCTTCGTTGGAGTCGGCCTACGACCACACGATAAGCACGTGAGTCACGCCCTCGACGAGAACATACGCTGGGGTCAGCAGGCGTCAAGTACGCCGAGAAGTACTGGAGAAATTCGTCAAATGGGCGTGCATACGCGACTTTGATGTCTTACGCCACTGGAGTCGATAGCCGGTGGATCTCAGCAAAGGGACAGAACAGAAGTTGAAGCGACGTACGGATGGCCCATGGTGTTGTCTGCGTGAAAGCCGACGCTGAAGAGCGCTCGAACATAAGCAAAGACGTGTCAAAGGAGAGACAGAGACGCACATCGATCCCGCGGATACCGTCGCGATCCCTGTCTGACCAGCGATCGTGTCGTCCAGCTCGTAGCAGCGGATCGCATCGGCCGTCACGTCTGTGGCCTTTCAAGGATGCAGGTGAGGTCGTATACTTATCAATAGAAAGCTCATAGATACTGACCGGCTCACTAGTGTAGTGATTCCAGGTGAGGCGGACGTACTCCCAATCGGCGCTCTGCACGCCATCGACGATCAGGTCAGGGAATTTGTCTAGTAACATGCATGTTAGCGCGCCGTGTACATGAAGGTCGCGCACGTACAGTGGGCAGCAACGAGGGGGATGAAGAGCGCGGCGAGAATGGAATGAAGTAGGACCATAGTGGACGGGGGACTTATCGTAGAGCACCGTCGAGGGCAGGTTTTTATGTACCTTCCTCATATCCGACGAATCTCCTCCTCCATTCAAAGGCTAGGGGCGGCCCGCCTGGAAAGTAGCTTGACCAGGGTTCGGCGCATGGCTGTCATGGCCAGACGCTCAGCGAGTAGAGACGACCGCATGACGGAGAGTGCAGAGGCCGCAACGAGCCAGGACTTCAGCCGAACCTCACCCGCAGTTCCCACTCACGTCAATCAGGCGCAGGACCGTAAGAACGGCGTAATCAGCCTGGTCCCGCTGAGCGGTCGAAGCAGAGGCCATGGTCATGAGAACCTGCCCATAGCCTGCAAGAGTGGGCACTAGAGCGCGCAGCATGCGCCGAACTTGTTCCCGTATATTCAGTAGCTTGATGAAGGCACAAGGCGCGTTTACTGGGGCGGAGATGTGCTTGAGAAGACCCTATATGAAGACAAAACAGCGAGAAATGGGACGTCCATGATGTTGATGCAACTCGAGCCCTTGATGATGGGAGAAAACAAGCAGCGGAAGGACGGATACTCATTGGACATCTCCGACCGGCATTTTCCGAGGGATATTACTGACCTTCGTCGAACTTCGGTCGCCTTGCACCTTCATGTCCCCCTTTCGTGATGTACATACACACGCTGAAGGAGAACTACTACCTGAATTCTATGGCGAATACCCCTGGACGAACTATAGTACATTGGTATGAACGTGGCGGCGAGGCGACGAGAGGGTGAGAAAAAGGGACTTCTAGGCACTAGACGAAGGACAAGAACCCTTGCCTTACAGCAATGATATACACGAGAAGGGGAAGACTGTAGATGAGGAAGCAGTGAAGCACGTCTCTAGGCTTCAATGTGAGAGTGAATTGATGGGTCTGCGCCATCGCTGCCTTCGAATCCTCAGACGACGGTGCAGCGGGCGCTTGCTCATCAAGCAGCCAGCACACGCCCTTCGTGAACATCTCCCTCGATGGGAAGACCTCGAGGATTTCGCACGCAAGCTCGTCGACATGCAGCAGATACTTCCGCCACAGGTTCTGCGTGCCGTCCTTGCTGGTGTCGAAGCCGACCTCGAGCAGCTCGGCGTCCGCCGGCTTCCCGAGCTTGCTGAACATCTGCCCAACCGCGAACTTGTCCTCGAGGAACAGGCGCGCGGCCTTCGGCGAGCGGAGGATGATGGTCGAGGTCGCGGTGCAGACGACCTTGTCGGAGCAGCGCAGCTCGACTTGGCGCGCTTGGTATATCGGGGTCGAGGCAGACGTCGAGGCGATGCGCTCGTCGGCGGGAAGCGATAAGGAGCGCTTGCCTTCAGCCTCCTCGGTGTATGTGTGCGAATAGACAGTCGCAATGTTGATGGGTCGCGCGAAGAAGGCGCTGAAGGAGGGTCTGAGCACTCAGGAAAACAACTGACAGAATCGGGCATACCTCAGAATGCGCTGCAAGTCGCCATGGGCGGACAAGGCGATCCGCTCGAGGCCCGAAACCTCCGGAGGCCAGGCGAACTGTGATCGACGCGTTAGTACGCGCCTTGCGCGCCACCCGGAGTAGAACAGGACGCACATTCACGCTCGTCTGGTTGGGGGTGAAAGTGAAGAAGGGAGCCATTCGGAGTCCTGCCGTATTGGCCGCAGACGCGCGACTCTTATGGACTATCGAAATTACAAATTTGATGCCCACAGCAGAAGGGATGCTATAGCCGTCGAACTCTACATTCACGTAAGATGGACATGAAAAGGACACGCCCCTGGGAACAGCGCAGCGCGAGGTGCGCTACTCACCTCGACGGTTATGTTATCCACGCCCGCAGCGTTATCGGGGAGCAGATACGCAGGGTTCAGGACAAGCCCAGAAAGAGGTTTTTGATAGATCGAACGGCGGGGTGGGCGAGCTCGAGCTTGCGCAGCTTCTGGCCTCCAGCGTGCTTTTATGTCTGCAGCTTCCATTGTGATGCTAAGCGAGAGTGAATGAACTTGTATGGGATAGGCTTTAACAAGACTTGAACTTAGACATGTGACGCGCGACGCCACACGAAGAATACAATAAAAACACAATACCGAGTCTCATGTCGGTCGCATATCTGGTCGCCATAACAGAGTCGAAGGGAGGATTGGAGCAGGCTTGGTGCATATGGTTTTCTCCTCAGAAGCCGCATCGAGCGCTGCTTCAAGCGTACCATTCAGACGTGGGACTTGGTGCCGAGCAGGATTGAACGGGGGCGCGTAGCCTCATCATAGAAGGTAGCAATCGCATCCGCAACGATTAGTCTCGTCTCGACTTCTTGTATGCAAGGGAATCTGCCTATCGGTCGTTGGAGAGGGGGAACAACCGGCGGTGGACCCCGGGACGGGGTGGCGTGGGCGCCTGTCTGAAGCGCTCGGAGTCTCTGCTTGTATGTCCGCAGATGAAGACGTGCTATCCGCAGCCTTTTGCAAGCTCTATCTCACAAGGTGGGGGGAGGGGTATCTGCAAACTTACCTTGGGCTGGTCGCGCAAGTCTACACGGCCGTCAACGTTCTCAGCGCATTGACAGCGGCAATACTCTCAGCAATTCATGGACAGACAACCATCACAGCACCTGCCATGGTGTAGCGAGAGGTAGAAAGAAGTCAAGCGGAACACAGCGCAGGCGGTCGAAAATAGACGGTCAGTGGCGAAGGTGAACTTGATCTGGTGCGGCCGTGACAGAGAATCCTGTATATCACGTGCTCTGTGACTGAGTTGAGCACGCACGTGACAAGATAATTGTTTACCCTCGACCATTCGCGTTCAACTTCACCCCTTTATTGCAGAATTCTAATATAGCGATAGCAATGCATGCAATCTCATGCAGACCATATACTCTAGATCTACATATCTATGCGGATATATGTTTATGGGTTAACCAATGTCAAAAACGCAGGGACGGAGATACCAGCGCACGCGTACGATTGATGCCACAAAGTACGATAGAGGTATTAAAGATCAATCGAGGGCATAAAAGCGAGCATAGGTCATCTAAGTAGCATGTGTTCTATATTCTCACCGATCCATAGCGATAGGAAGAGCAACAGAAGGAGCCGGTACCACCACCTGAGCAGGATGAAGGAACGTCGTGCCAGTGAAGGACGAGTGAGCAACGAGAGCTCCATCACAGCTCCCCAGCGTCGTGACGCTATAAGCCGTGTGATCAACGTCAATAGGCTTCGCAGGAAGGTCTTCGCCTGCAGAGCCTCTGACGCAGCAAAGGTGATGGCGAAAGGAAGAAGATCCTATGAGGCAGAGAGCGGTGATAGACGCCACCAATAGGACTGTCGATCGCGTGAGTGATGACAAGGCTTTCAGGAACGGCAGTAACTCACGTATGCCGAGGACGATGGCGGCGACGACGTTCTGGCTGATAGGGTGCGTGTCCTGTTCTTCAGCGAGGGCCTCGCGGGCTTCGAGGATGGCCGCGTAGCAGATGGCCGAGGAGGAAGAAAGAGGGATGGCGGCGGCACGGACAGGGCTCAAGATAGTGAGAAAGAATAGAAGCGCTGCCAGGACACGGTGCATCGACGGCATTAGAGGCATGCCGGAGGGATCAACGTGTTTACGAGATTTGTACTAGTGTCAGAGTGGCAGGAAAGAGAGACGAGAGGCTGCGATTCCCCTTCAGAGGGCTGCTATATGCCGCCTGTAGGGACGGCGGAAGGGGCGTCCGGCAGCAACGTAGGGCAATCGGTGGTAGCCCTTTTATAACTGGTTGACTAAGCCGATGGAGACCTCCCCGTGCGTAGGGAAAATTGCGGACCTGTGCTGCACAGATCAATAGCAAGGTGCCAGATCGATCTACGAACAGCTTTCGAGCGAACTTTCGATCCGAAAGCTGTATATCTTAAGCCTGCGCTACGTAAAACTTGGCCAACGGTCCGAGCATCACCATAGCATCTATTCTTACCTTCCAAGGAGGGGGCGGTCATATGCCCCGCAGGCTACAGGTCGAGTAATATTTCGCGGGATTTTTGCACGTCGCATTCAGGCGTATGCAGAAAAATCCGAGAAAGGGGTCAAATAGAGCAAGGTATAACCTGTGAAACGGAGATCAGTGCCAGATTCCCATGCCGATACATAGTCGGAGTCTACTCACTTAAGGCTGTAAGTAGAAAAAGACCACAGAGACGTCACCATTATCTAGCCGCAGGAATATACTTCCTCGCCCACTTCGCGGTTTCCTCCCGCGCATTCAGCAGGCAATCGAAAGGCTCGAATGCCCAGGTCTCGTCGGTCGTTGATGTGGGGTACATCGACGCGGCCGCGAGCGAGAGGTAGGTGTGATATGGGTCTGCAGATACTTAGCGTCTCGAGTTATCAAGAACATGGCATGCTTACCTGGGTGTTCCCCAGGCGCCTTCGATATTCCACCATATCGGAATTGGCATCGGTTAAGGAAACTCGTGAGCGCGTCCTCGTCGACGAGATGACCTGCGCCCATGATCTACACATACTGTCAATCCCTCAGCAGCCCTTAAAAGCCGAAGTCGCCCTTACCTTCAGCGCCCCGCCGCACCAAAAGCAGTAGCACGCATCCGGGTCCTTGTTCAGACGTCCCGAAAAGCCGCCGCTTGATTTTTGGTTGTCGAGTAGCCATCGTATCGTTTGCGCGCGCTCACGCGCCGTCAGAGGTGCGCCATCCGGCAGCAAGTACAGCGCAGCGATTGCCGTGTAGGTTGTTCCACCCAGTGCCTCCCCATAGGGAGCTTGGCCATACCCACCTTCGAAAGACTAGAGAGGTCACGCGTCAGCATTGAGACGAGGCAGGAAAGCGGACAGGGAAATGAAGCGCTAGCTCACCCGGCAGCGCGCGATGTACGCTACGGCGGCGTCCACGTCAATTGCGGACCAGTCGCGGAGCATGCTGCAGATGGCGAAGGCGCAATACGTCGTGCGTAGGTCGGCGTCTGCGCGTGCTGGCGTCGTACCGAAGCTGTATGATATTCGTTTGTGTAAGTGTGAATTCGACGACGCAGAGCGTGTGAGCATGACATGGTGCGCACCTTCCGTCCGACAATTGGCAGGAGCCTACAAAGCGGCTGAGCCCTTTGCGGTCGAGGCGAGTAAAGTCGTCACGGAGGATAGCCAGGCTCAAGAGTGCGGTGTAGGTCATGATGATATGTGGCGCGCTCTCGTCTGTGTACTCTTCCTACTCAATGATGAGCAATGCATACTACATCCGCGAGATTAAAGCGCACCTCTAGCGACGTCCTCATAAAGTGGCTCGGAGTGAAGGCAGTCCCATGGGGTCCGCCTATCTCGCAACGTCAGTATCCTGTGATGTTCAGAATCAAGCTCATCACGCACGCGCCTGCTGTTCCCAGAACCATGCGCGCCACCCTTCCCTCTCGCGCTCATTCGTCTTGCTCTCCAGCAGCCCCAGCAGATCCAGCGTCCCCAGGCAATAGTACGCAAGCGCTACCCTTTCCGAACGGTTAGTTGCGTCCCCCACACTCCTCCGGCACTCACTTTGACGAGTCAAGCTCGATCTGAGACGCCGGGAGCGCCGTCAAGCAGCGGTTCGCGTGCGCAGCGTGCCCCGAGCGCGCTAGCGGGGCTACCGTGTCCATCGCCTGCGCCATCCGAGACGTTCCGAGCAAGAGGCGGGCAAGACGAACAGCGGAACGCAGCCCATGTCCCCGATACCAAGCCAAATGCCGTGATCCAGCGCGCGATCATTACACATTCCCGATTGACGCACGCTTCAGCCTTCCATATCCGGACCCCGAAAGAACAATGGCAATCGCGACCGCAAGAGCAAGGGAAAGGGCACGCGAAGGACAGCCGATTCACATACAATAAATCACACCGCGTGCACGACAAGAATGTGCAGCGAGGACGACAACGGTTAATTACAGCTACAATGTTCGATAGGAAGGCGCCGGCGCGGCGAGGACGGCGGCGTCGGCGCAGACTATGGCGAAAAACAATCCCCGCATTCCGCCTGCGGGAAGGAAGAAACACAGATAAAATATTCCAGGGCAGCACCGCTGATCGCGGGCGCCTATGCACACCAAGCAAGCTCACATGCCCATCTGGTACGACGCCCTCGTCGAGATCGGCTGCTGCACCGCGGGCTGCGCCTGCACCGCCGAGGTCGGCACCAGCGTCGTCGTCGGCGCGAACGCCGGGATCGCCTTTTCCTCGAGGTCCGCGTACATCACCGACAGCTCCTTGGCCTCCTTCGACCACGACTCGGGGTCCCAGATCGTGTACGTGCCCTGCTCGCCGTGCGCCGACTTCTGCACGATCGTCGTCGAGCTCTCCTTCGTGATCCACACCCGCAACTCCTTGTGGTATCTCCAGTTGCGGCTGTATCTGCTCATCTGGGGTCAGCCTGAAGACGGGAGGTGGGATTACGCGTTGACGAACAGCTCCTGAGCAGCGACTTCCTGCAATGCGTCTTTCGGGTGCGCGTAGAACATGTAGAAGAGCGTCTCCTCCGAGAACGCCTGCGCCTTCTGCGGCCCTGGCGGCGGTGCGTTGACAGCGTAGCATGAGGGTAGGTGGAACTCCGGCTCAACAGAGTGTGCCGCGCTCTGATCTGCCCAGGGTGTGATGAAGGTGGAATACAACGGCCTAAGTGGATGCGTCAGCGTTGACTCCAGAACAGAACGAGCACACGCACCCTGACGTGCCCATGTCCAACCCCATCGTGCCCAAGTCCGTGCCCATCCCGCTTAGCAAGCCCTCATCCGACGTTGCGTTTCGTATTAACGCTAACAATCCCAGCAACCCCCACCGATCTGCTGAGCTCAGCAATACTTGCTGCGCCGGCGTCTGTGGATGGTGCGCAGGATGTGTGCCGGTCGACCCCGGTAACGAGCTTGCTGCGTTGCCTCCTACTGCAGACGCGTCCAACCCGTTCGGTGTATACGGGGCCGGCGTCGTTGTTCTTTGTTGTAGATGGTTGCCCGCGAAGCCTTGTGGCGGTGGCACGCCTGGCGGGGCGCCTAGCTGTCCTGCCGAGCCTGATGTAGGTACTGTCGTGCCATTCTGTTGCGATCCTGGCGCAAACGATCCTGCACCAAGTCCCGTTTGTGATGGTGTCGATGACGGTTGGGAGCCCGGATTGAGATTGGGAGACGACGCCCATGCATGTGAGGGAGGATTCAACTTCATATTGAAGGTATTCTGCAGGGTATAGTCTGAGTCTCTGTAGGCGGAAAGAAAGGCTTATGTGGGCGATGTGGAGTGATGAGACAAAGACAGTCCGTTGCAGGAACTACTTGGGTGGAAACGTGCCGAACGCAAAGAGTCACGAGGATGCAAAAGGACACGAACGCGCGGGTAGCCAGCCGGGAAAGGACGACACGAAATAACGTACCCGTTGCTGCTGTTTCTCCGCTTCTGCAAAACCGGGATGTACGTTGCGTGCTTGTGCAGGTGTCAAGTTCAACATGCCCGGAGTACCTTGAGGTATCGATCCGCCTTGCTGTGCCGAGTTTCCGAGCGAGTTGAGCGACTGTCTTGGCCCTACGGGCTCTTGCTGGTAGCCATTCAAGCCTGGCGGGTGATCCTGGCCTTGCGACTGATTTTGCTGCTGCGACTCTTGCGGATTGTGCGTCGTCCCTCCGAGTGCGGGAAAGTCATCTGGGGTGAAATCGCGCGTCTGTGTTGTACCCGGGGTGCCCGCGGTCTGCCCGACGCCGCCTGCTTGCGTGGCATAGCTTGCAGTCGACGCCCCTCCCGCGCCCGATCCCGCGCCACCTCCGCCCCCTCCCGTTGTCGCGCCCAGTGCAGGGAAGTCGTTGAGGTCCAGCCCGTTATCGTTGCTTGCGCTGTTCCCTACGCGCGTGTCAGAGGAAGATAGCCTGGACGCGGGCGATGGGCGAATACCATTTGTTTGATGCGGTTGTGCACCGAGCGTCTGACCCTGTGGCGTGCCGACGCCAAAGGGGTAGCTCCCTTGTACGCGCGGTTGTTGTACGAATGGTGATGAGGGCATCAGGCTTTGCGCTTGCGAGGATGTGCGTTGTAATCCGGGTACGTAGGCGCTGGTGAGGTTGTTGACGCTCCGTTGCTGCAGGCCAAAGCCTCCGTAGGGCGCACGGTACTGTCCCGCCATTCCGGGGACCTGGCCGAGTGCTGGTGGTCGCTGTGGTGGTTGTCCTAGCGAACTTTTTAGGATGCAGGCGCGAGATCGGTATATGCAGCCACGCACCTGGGCGATTCATGGCCATCTTTCTCCTGGAATTCGGGGAAAAGGGGGTTTTCGGTATGTATCAAGTTCAGAGGTTCGCGCGCTCAAGCTGGAGAGCCTTTGAGGTCGATATGAGGCCGAAAAGCGATACTTTCGCGCGTGCTGGCACTAAGTCCGGTCCAAAATGGCGCCTGCCCCTCTGTTGATCCGTATTTGGCCTCGTCCGGATTAGGTAATAAAACGAAACTCAACATCACGGCTCCATTTCCTGCTTTTGTTCTTGACTTCGATGACGGAAATTGAAGCGCCTGGAAGAGCATATCATGCTCCATGGCTTACTACAGGCCGGAGTATGTGCTACTACTTATGGACTCCTGGGATGACCTCGCGATATACGTGAGGCCTGCGGCCAAGACCTGACGGTCAGATTATTCATGGATCCAAGGATCGCCAGGACGGCGAAACACTCCGTTTGGATGTCTTCCCAGGTGTATGCTCTTCTCCGTGCCCTTCCAGAGTCTATCAGTGAATAGCAACTGCGTCACTGACAGCCAGGCCAGATACGAAGTAGTTTAACCGTTCCAGTTCGTAGGACTTTCGTGCCACTGGCGATCGTTCCTTTCGACGACGTCCAGATGCAGGTTCATCTTGAGACGTCATGCCTCGCATCTTCGAAGTCTTCTGATAACCCAGTATTGACCAAGTAGGCCATGGCAGGGCCAGCGAATCGGGATCGTGCCTCGGATTTTTCCCATTCGTTTTAGACGGCTTGAGGAATGCCTGTTGATCTATCCCGTCGTTGAAGCTCTGCCCTGCTGTGTCTTGACCGACCAAGCAGCGCTCAGTGAACTCTTACTCATCGCGACGATCTGACATCGGCTGCACTAACAGGCGCCTTTGGCGGCTAATCTCCTCTATAACTAACCAAGCCGTTGTCTCCCAGGTGCGCTATTGACCGGGCAGCCGTTCAAGGCCGTGATCGATATGGCCCCCTCATGGGATTTTATGGTCACCAGATTGACGACCGGTCTGATCTATGTCTGTATGGTCGCACCCTGGCCCTTAGTAAGGCTGTAGGTTCTAGAGACGTCACTCATTCCTAGCTCCCTATAAAAGGTGGGTCGCGATCCTCGAGAATCCCATCCCACCATGGCACAGGAACTCGTGCTCTACGATATCCCTACCGATGGCATCGGCGCCTTATCCTCCAACACTTGGAAGACACGGTACGTCACCTTCTTCGTCCCACGATTTATTCGCCTTTTCCACTGACCCACATCGACCCCAGGTACGCGCTCAACTACAAGGGCATCCCTTTCCGTACCGAATGGATCGATATGCCCGACATCGCTTGCACTTGCAAGAAAATTGGCGCGGCGCCCACCGCCCCTCCTGGTGGACCTCTGCCTGAGTACACCGTCCCCGTCATCGTCGACCCCAGCACGGGCGCGGTCGTGTCCGACTCGATACTCATCGCGGCCTATCTCGACAAGACCTACCCCGACCGCCCGCGCATCCTGCCCGAGGGCACGACCGCCCTCCAGCGCATCTTCGCCGACGACTTCGGCACGAGGGTCACGCAGCCGCTGATCCAGTGGACGTCGCTGACCGCCATGCGCGTGTTCACCAAGCGGACGGTGGACTATATTCGCCGCACGCGCGAGCCGCTGCTGGGGATGTCCTTCGAGGCATTCTTCACGCCGGAGCGTGCGGAGCAGGGGCGGAAGGCCGCGATTGAGGGTTTGAATCATTTCGCGGAGGCGTTGGAGCAGCAGGAGAAGGCGACGAGGAAGACAAGCACGTTTGTTATGGGCGACACGCCGTCGCATGCGGATTTTGTGGTGGCGGGGCAGTTGATGTTCCTTCGGAAGGCGTTTAAGGACGGGTGGGAGGAGGTGCGGAAGCTCCATGGTGGGCGGTGGTCCAGGCTCGTTGCTGCCCTTGTGGCGTGGGAGGGCGAAGACACGAAGCTCGTCGCTGCGCCCCCGTAATCGCGATTAGTTGTACAAGACCTATCACCATACTTTGGCTTGATTCGGTGTAGAAAAGGGATTATAAGCGGTGCTTGCATTTGGTATAAATGAATGGGCTTTGAACTGGTATACGATCGACGGTTGCCACAAATGCACTACTCGGCCTCCAGCCACTTCTGCCACCCGCTCATGTCCCACCTCCGCACGAACTCGGCTTCTGAGAAGCGCGACAAGGCCGCCGTTCGTGCGCGCTCGCGCATCGCGAGGTCCTCGTCCGGCGGCAGCGTTAAGATGTGGTGCAACTTCTCCGCGTATTCCTGTGGTGTCGTCGCGTGGAAGCCTGAGCGGGCAGCGGTCAGAGCCCTTCGTATAAGTATTCATACGACACAAAAGCTTACCTGTCGGCTGCCCTTCCCATGGGGTGACGATGTCGAGGAGCGGCCCTGCAGACGCGTGCGCGAGCGGAATAACGCCAGCAGCCTGCACTCATTTGGTCAATGACGACGATGGAGGGGCATAAGGTACTTCGTACGCACCATATACTCTACGACGTTGATACCGAAGTGTTCATCGACCATCGTGCTCAGCCCTATGCTGCTTCGGCCGAGCATTTCGAGCATATCGGGATATGGCGCGTTGATCCTGAACTCGATGCTGTCCTGAAGGGAGGGTCAGTGTCACTGATTAGCCTTCAAGGAAATGTATTACCTGAATCCCGAGCTTCGCGGCCAGAGTTCGCAAGAGCTCTACTCGCGCCGCGTCCTCCGCGTTGCGACTGCCGCCTATCAGGATTAGGCGTACAGTCTCCCTGTATTCCGGATGCGCGTCGAACAGTTCGTACAGTGCACGCAGCTGTGCTGGATGATCCTTCTCAGGTCTGTAGACGAGGCGTCAGGCCCACCGACGGGACGAAGGGGCGATTGCACAGTATGACGCACCGAAACTGAGCGACGCTAATGATGATGGGTTCGCGGCCCTCCAGAGGGTATTTGGCCATCTCCGTCGTATCGCAGGGCGGGTAGACGCGGAGGGCGTAGTCGGCGGCAGTACTCTTCCGCGAGCCGGGGAGGAGGGCGAGGGTGAGGAAGAAGGGGAACAGAAGGATGCTCATGAAACGGTCGTTATGCTTGAGGATGGAGTCGACGTGGTTCTTCGTCCATGTGGAGTTGGCCATGACGAAGGATGCTTGGCGGAGGGACACGGCGTAGAAGTGCATGAAAATTCGGTAGTATCTGAAAAGTGACGAGTCAGCGTGCTATACTTGCAAGTGGGGCAGTGCTTTACAGTAGCTTTCCCTGCGTCAGAATAGGCGATGAGGAGATCCAGCTCGAGTTCGTGTGCCAATTTCGGCGTGATTCGACACGGGCGAGCATGTCGGTGCTGATTGTTGGGTAGTGCACGTATGCCCCGCAGGTCACCCCGCCAAAGATTTTAAAGATAGGATATGTGAAGGCGTAGCCCATTGTATCTGATGGGCATCATGAGCTGCGAACGCGCATGCTGGATACGAAAGTTACCGATGTAGAGGTCTGGCCTTAAGTACAGCATTGCCTCTAGCGCGAGCAGCATTGAGCCTACACTCTGCCCGAGCAATGTGAAGCGAGGCCAGGTGGTGTCTTCGACGAGGTACCTGGACTGCAGAAAGACAAAGCCGAGTGCTCTAGAGTCGAGAGTAATAGCGAAGCGAGACTAGAGCTCGGTCAGCATCGGGAAGCTAGGTCGTACACAAGCAATGCGCAAGGCTTACCTGGACTTTGGCGATGATATCGTCTTTGGTGGCGTCCGTGTCGCCGCTATATATTGCGCACACGAGGTTCGGATTGGAGCGCTGCATTGCAGCCACGGCCGTCCATAGGACGCGCTCGCCACCGCCGCCGGCATTGCTGAGTATATGAGGATTATGTGGCGCGAGCACAAGCAAGCCCTGCTCACCAGTAAGGATGGAAGAACCCGATTATCTTCGTGTGGCCATCCGTCGGATGGCGGTTGAAAGGCTCGAGGAATTTTGTGCGTCTGTACCGGTCCCAGAACTTGAAGGCCATGTTGTAATAGCTCCGAGACACATAGAATACTACGGGGATACCGAGAAAGGGAGCGTATTTGACGAGCAAATACAAGAGACAGATATAGTAGATGGTGCCCCTGATCATTAGTGACGGACGCCTGACGCTCAGCACCAGTGAACGAGGAAAGAAGCTGAGCAAGTGAAGCACCCAAGTCAAGTATCAGTGCGAGTATTGCCTGTCAGATATCCCTTTGGGCTTGAGTTAGCAGGACTTGGCGGAATGGTGAAGTTCGACTTCAAGTCTGGCGGCAACGTGGCATTGGAAGGTTCCGCGCCGCCGTCGGATTGATCCGCGTTTCCACGTGCATGGACAAGCATGGACACCGCTCACTTGGCACTTGCTCTCGACCATCACTAGTATCACTGATTCCGGCTCACAGCATCCTTCTCTACGGTCGCTGTGATTTGCTCTGGAAACTGAGCATGGCGTCCTGTTTCTATACGGCGTCGGACCTCGGTACTCGAGGCCTCTACACCATTTTCTATGTAGACGTAAAGCTACGCTGTATTCGAGCGCCTCATATACATGGGGACATTCAGTTGAGTACTACGAACAACAGCTTCTCTGTTCCTTGGCTATCTAACAGCTTTTACAAGATCCCAATGCTGTGAAGTCGGTGCACAATGTCCTATACTGGCTATATCTCCGAGCAGAAGGTTGGTAATGTTCCCATGAAAGATGTTATAAACCCAGCCCGTTTGTCGCTTGCTCCTTGCTCATCACCTTTGCTCCCCCCCTTCCTCTATACACCCGCGACAAAGTCACTCCGTGAGTTCTTGTCTATTCCCAATGACCGGCCCCCGCAACTTAGCGGTCATCAGAAGAAGAATGCTTCGCCAGTCGCTGCGCGTCTTCGTGCTACTCGTGCTCATCATCGTCGTCGTGGATATCAGCTATGCTGCTCCTATGTCTGCGGAAAGCAATGTCTGTGGAGACACGGAAGGGAACTACGTCGACAAGCGGGTACTGATAGGGCTCGTCATCGGTATACGTGAGTAGTCTTTTGACGCTGACCTGCAGTCTTCGCTGAAGAGATCGACAGTCTTTGTCGCCGCGTTCGTTACCGCCCTCTGCATCGCAGGATGTCCCTCCTTTTGCCGGCACCATAGCTGTGCCAGAGGATCTGCGCGGGGAGACGTCGAGGAGAATTGCTACGACGGTCAGGAGGTCAGCATGTTCACGAGCGTCTGCGGCGTACCCGACATCGCAGTTTCCTCCATCACTGGCAATCCGTGCCCGCCCTATGCTCAAGTCGCTGTGCCGGCTCCCTCAGTCGCCATCTCAAGCGTTGTGGAATGCCAGAGTGGAGGCGCATGACCATTGGAGGTGTGCAGCCTGCCCGTTGCATAGGGCTAGTGCTCCCAATAGGCATCGCGTTTTCTCCCGCCTTCCTACTTTAAATTGCGAATCTACCTCTGGTGCACATTTTCCCCTGTAGTATCATCGTAAATTTGTACACGAGTTTTCCGCAGGAATGAAATGGTCCACGCAAGGTCTTGTATTCTTGGGATGACGACTCGAGCCAAATAAAAACAGTGAAATAATAGACTGAGCCAAAAGATTCCAATGAGTCGGTGGTCCACCCGAGCAAATTCGGATGAAATGTTTGAAGGCAGCGATTGTGCCACGTGCTTGTCTGACTTGTCCTCGACCATCATGTCGGATCCGCACCTGGCCTGAAGACGCTTACGTCTGAAGCCCTTCCTACTGGAAACCTCGTGCACTCCTGCGGGACCGTCTACGACTTACTCACCGACTGCTTCGCCTGATAACCTCAAATTTCTTGCCCATCGCGCCATCCATAGTCCTGACATCCTTCCCCCGTCACCCCAAGCCCATCCTCGCTAAACATGTCGCAGCACGATGACTCGGTATCGCATGCGAGCCTTTCTGTAGACCCACCAACCTCTGACCCCACAATTGTCCCTCCAGCGAATGCAGGTGTTAGCGACCTGCCCGCGAGCGACACTGCAAGCACCCATGCAGAGGCTTCTACCGACACGTTGAAGGAGAAGATTGACTCCCTTCGCGAGAGCATCGTGTACCGCATGCCCATTGTCTGGGACACGCTCCCGGTCAAAGACAATGAGGTGAACAAGCTTTTCTACGGCAAGCCCGGCGACGCGCAGTGAGTCGGTTGCATGCGGCAGCGCCTTTGATCGCCGATGCTCATCCCATTCATCAGTTGCCTCGACCTAGCCCACCCTACCGAGGAGCAGCTTTGCCACCTCGAGGAAGCCTGCGATCACGCCACCTTTGGGCGCAACCAGGAAGACGTTTTGGACGAGACGTATCGCAAGGCCGGCAAGATGAACAAGGGCGACTTTTTGGTTGACTTTTCGCCTCCCGAGTCCTTTTTGGGACTCGTGCGCGATGAGCTGTTGCAGCGCTACGACACGAGGCTCGTCTATGATCTGTATAAGTTGAACGTTTACGGTGGGTGGTATGTTGCCTTGCCGTTATCTAGCACTCACCTATAGTACATACAGGCAAGGATTCCTTCTTCAAACCGCACAAGGATTCACCACGCGGGTCCAGCTTCCACGGAACCCTCATTGTCGTCTTCCCCGCCCCGCACGAGGGCGGCCAGCTGGTTTTCAGCGACCCTAAACTGGGGGACTGGACCGTCGACGCGGCGTCCGACATTCTAGGGGACGGGAAGCCGAATTTGGTCTGTATCGCATTCTACGGCGATGTCACGCACGAGGTCCTTCCAGTGACCTCGGGACATCGCGTCACCCTGACCTGGAATATCTTCACGGAGAACGGTCTTCCAGATGCAGGGCCGACGCCGCCTGTGGTCCTCGACTACGATGAAGAGCCGCAGGAAGCGCTTTTTCAGCTTCTTGAGGACGAGCGGCTACTTCCCAATGGCGGATGTCTAGGCTTCGGCCTGAGGTACGAGTATCCCGTCGGGGAATGCAGCAACTTGAAGCCGCATCACTTGAAGGGTGGCGACAGCATGATTTGGAGGATCTGCGAGAATCTCAATCTGGCCGCGTCCATCGTGTATCTTTACGGAGCAGACAGTCACGTCGATCTGTACCACGAGCTTTGCAAGCGCGACGACGCACACTTCGTCATGGACTATGCGGTCGACATGGGCCCCACCCAAGTGACGGATATGATGGACTCGGAGGAGTTCAAGTCCTCTCGCATTATTCGCACCGCTGGCACGCCGCGCCTTTTTGAGTACGATGACGATGAGGAACCTGATCATGAAGAATCCGAGGTCGTCTGGGTCACTGAGCATCTGAAAAAGAATAAGGTCGCGGAGAAGTTCGGTGAGCACTGGTAGAATCGCGCCGTGAGGCTCTATCATTCACGTCTGTACAGTGGCATACGGAAATGAGGCGTACATGGATACCATGTATGGCACTGTCGCTATACTTGTGGAGATAGGACACATGAAGGACAGTCTGCCGACGCCTGCGACGTCGGACGAGGCTGAACGGCTCTAGATCTTGTCTACTCAGCATATGCTATAACTTGCGATGAAGAATAATATTTTTCCCACAAGCACATTCATTCATATTCCACCCAAATCCCACCACTCAAGACTCCGGAACGAACCGTGACAGTCACAATAGAAGTGAGAGTCACGTGACATACTGGACTCTGAGGATCACCCTGCTTGCGGCTTCTGCAAGGCATAGCCCATGAAGTTAAAGATTCAATGATGATTCTATAGCTGCATATTGATCGTAGGACGGCTTCTGATGTCCTGACGACTTCACTGAACCTCGTGCGAAAAAAGTGGTAAGAGATGTTGCTTTTCCCCATCTTCCACCAAGCTCTCCGCTACCCTCAACTCCTGCACCTATTCCCTTTCTCATTATGTATAACTCTGCAGATATAGCCCATGCAACAGCCCCAACAAGCGACTTCAGCGCTGGAGACAGTCCTGCAATGGAAGCGGCCGACTACGCAAGTACTCGCGCAACTACCCCAGATGGCAGCGACGATCCCCACCTTCGATGAGGAGGCAAGCGAAGATGGCTCAGAAGAGGCCCACTGGCCCTCCGCCGTCAATGACAAGATACGAACAGTGTCGTCGAGCATAAGGTATTGTATGCCATATGTACGTCGCTGTCTTGTACGACGTTGTTGCCACCTGCTGACTTCGCTGCGACAGAAGCGGATAGGTATGGACTTGAGCGTATTGCATACTGATCAGAGTGCAAAGGAAGGACGAGAAATAGCCTTGTCATCTCTTGCCCGTGTTATTTTGCTTGATTATGACCACGCAACGAGTATGAGGCTGGTGATATACGAGTAGAGGTCTATTCGCCGATGGTCGCATAGTACATGACGTTCAACGACGAGAGAAAGGTATCTGCAGTCCCGACATGAGCGCCCTCGCCAGGTTCTGAGCGCCCACACCCTGCGCGTTCGTAACGAAATGGATATGCATGCCGTAAGACTTGGGGTACGCGTCTTGGTTGACCTCGATCTGGGGGAAGTATCCGAAGGCCTCAGGCGGAAGACCAAAGGACACCGAGCCGGAGGTCATGCTCGGGGTGTAGGGGCTGGAGGACGCAGTAGGGAGCTTGATGCCGCCGAACTCGCGCATACGGGGGAGGACGAACTCGGTGAGGGTGGAGAGGAAGCTGTACATCTCCGCGCCGCGGATGTCGACGCGCGCCCCACAGGGGATGCCCTTCCGGATCCAGCCACCGACGCTCTTCTTCCCGCGGATGACCTGCACGCCCTCACTCGTGCGGTACCCGCCGCCGCGCTCCGTCTCGCCCGAGAGCGCGCGGAGGGCCATGATCGGGCCGAGCAGGTTCGAGCGGTTCGTGATGGACTCCTTGTTGAAGATCTGCAGCGAGATCTTCTCCAGGCGCACGACGTTCTCCGGCGAGGAGGGCGGCATGGGCTTCTTAAACTGGTGCGTGGTGCCGCCTATGGGCGGGTTCGCGCGGTGCTTGACGTACGGGTCGTCGGGGTCGAAGCGCAGGCGGATGGCGCGCGGCGGGGGGCGCGGGAGGTGTTCGTGGAAGTAGGACATGTACATAAGGTCCTCCTGGAGCGTGGTGTGGTAGTGGTCGAGCATGCGGTCCTGGTGCCATTCGCGGACGAGGAGCTGCTTGACGTGGGGGATGGGGAGGCGTGTCCGTGGGTGCCTGCGTATCCGGATTTTCTGCTCGGGCATGCTACCGAACGCGATGCGGGTGACGCTCGGGGCGTTGCTGCGCCATCTGGGCTTGGACGCCGCTTTGGTTGCGACCGGCACACTACGAAGGACTGGCAAGCGCGGCATTGCTGCAAAGAGAGTCAGTTCGTCTTTGGGTTAGTCTGTCAGGTAACGCACCTATCAGTCAAAATAAACACTACTAGACCTCTACCCGATGAGCCTGTCCACCAGTGTTGTTCGAGTGCTGGCCGCGTCGGACAAAAACCGCGTCGGCCGTACAGACGAAAAAGGTATTATTTGCGTGTATTTGAGATCATATCCCCATTCGCACGGTGGAGGCTTCTCTGGCGCTCGTCAAATTAATGGGTATGTATGTGTAATGAGAAGGTGCTATACAGTCTCCTGAGTACTGTTTGAGCTTGCAATCTCCCTCCCCCGGCAGCGCGAAACGGCCTCGGCTGCTTTGTGAATTTCGAAGACCATACGCGCAAACACGGACAAAGCGACCGGATCGCCGCGTCCGGCAACGGTCGTCCCTTGGAATTTCCCTTCATCTGGGGTACCTTTCTTATCTTCTACAAAGGCGGGTGCATGCGCCGCCGCTGCGGCACCCGACATTGTTCTCTTGACTGTCGCAAGGACGGTGATCACGGTGTCCACGGTCTTCAAGTTCATAGCAGGCGTCCCGCACCTTCACGAACTCCTACCATATTCAGCCCCGCCACAACCCCGTTTATTCTACTCCCCACATTCGCATAGTCCCGCGACGCTCGCAACACCCTTCCCTCAGCACAACACCACCGACAGAACATCACCGACAGCGAACGATGGCACTGACCCAGACGGCAACTCATGCCGGACCGTCATGGGACGAAGAGGTGGTGCCTGCGCTCCGGAAGCGTGCGTGACATGTTCTATGGCGTGGCGACCGCGCTGACGCTTATCCTGAACAGGCCTCCAGAGCGAGAGCAGGTCCCTTGCGCGCCGGATCTCTGCCGTGTCCGTATCTTCAATGGAAGAGTACCCAAGCCCGACGCTCTCTGCATCCACCGTGCGCCAGTCGACGTCCACCGCGAGCCAACAGTCCTCGAGCACCGCCCCCCGGCCCAGCTACCAGTCCCGCACTTCCTCCGATCGAAGCAAGGCCCGGGGGCAGCCCAATGGCCGCCCCGCCGCGCAGCCCATGGACCATCACACGGCATCGAGCTCGTCATCAGAGCACAACCGCTCGCGCACATACTCGCAGCCGCGCCCGCCGAACGCCCGCTCGCCGAGCCCGAGCCGCCCAGCGAGCAAGTCCTCCGTCGCCCTCGCCAACACCTCCCCGAAGCCGACCCGTATACCCATGCGTGCGCGCGCGAGCAGCACGGTGACCAGGAGCCCGAGCGCCGCGCCCTATGCGGATGGCAATCAGGTCTCGTACCCGCCGTCGCCGCAGGCGCACCTGCTTCGCGAGCCGCCGCCGTTCAACCCCGCGAGCTCGACCTCGTCTATCGGGCATCCCGAGACGCCTCCTGGCCAGCGATACCACCCTTATCTCCCTGACGAGAGCCCACCGCGCGCGTCCATCGAGTCAGAGGAGCGCCCCTACGAGCACTGGTATCGTGGCGATGTCTCACGCAATGGTGGCGTCGGCGAGCTCAAGGTGGGCCGGCGCCAGGAAATGCTCGACATCGCGAATTATGGCCACGCCCTGCGCATGCAAGAGGACGAACGGCGCCGACGGATCGCCGCGCTGGATGAGTCGCGCTCAGGCAGTGTCGTCGGGTTTGTCGGCGAGCGTGATCGCGGCAGTCTGTACATCGACGACGAGCGCTACGAGAGCGAGGACGGTGTGATGGAGGAGCACCCGCTCACGGACATGGACGAGCAGGAGATCACAGAAGATGACTATAGGGAGGAGGAGGAAGATGACAATCTGACCATGCAACAGCACAACGGCTACGCTCACGCTGATCAGTCGACTCAATCCGCACCCGGCAGGTTCAGCCGCTCAGAGGACAGGAGCGAGACACCGACGCGGGCACCCTCACGGACGCCAACACCCTCTCAGGGCCGTGCACTCAATGGATCCGCGACTCGGAAAAGCCCCACTCCGACCCCTTCATCTCGCAAGACCCCGACGCCTACCTCGCGTACGAACGGCAAGAACCCAGCTGCCAGTCGGAAGAGCCCGACGCCTGCGCCCCGGATGCAGAAGCCGCGAGCGGGAAGCGAGGAGCCGCAAACGAACACGCCGAAGCCGCCGCGGGCGACGAAGGCGGCGACGACTGGAGGGCGGAGAGGCCCGCCACCGTCGGCAACCAAGCGAAAGCAGAAGGCGCCGACGACGCGGAAGGAAAAGGAGGAGGACCGGCGGAGTATTGCGCACTATCCCTCCATTAGTGCGGATGAGGATGCGATTCCGGTGTGGACACAGCCGAAGAAGGCGGGCAATTGGGATGAGGTGAGATTAGCGGGCGTACGAGTGAACAGAGGGCTGATAGAGTTCTCTAGGTTATCCTCCCGGCTGTTGCGCGTAAACAGGGGCTGAGTGAGCACTATGAGCAAGCGGATGGGAGTCCGAAGCCGGTGCAGAGACGGAGTAATCCTGCGCCTGCGCCAGGGACTTTCGGCTTCGACCACAGCAAGTACAGGCCACCGCGCGACGGGGAGGCGATCGAGATGGACGAGTTCGGGCGGCCGATCGAGCAAGAGGACGACCGGAGGCCAGAAGAGCAGGAAGAAGAACGAAATTATGCGACAGAGCAACAGCAGCAGCAAGGCCAATCCACCCGGCGACACTGGAATGCGCACGACGAGACGCCGCTCCCCATAACGAGACCACCGCAGCCGCCGAGTCCTGCACCGTTCTCGCATTATTTGGAGAGCACGGACCAGAGCCTGCCGCCGATGCCGCCGCCGCCGGACCGCCAGCCGCAGCGCGTGGACGAGGACGACGCGGGCGGCGGGTGCTGCAAATGTGTCGTCATGTGATCGCGAACATATCACGTGTGGCTCGCGTGGACGTTATCCTCGTCACTCGTCACGCGTCGCCCGTGCCATACCCGTCTCGTCGTCCTCTGCGCCTCCGGTGTACCACACGGCCATGTGTCCTGCTGCATCTTGTGACATACCCGCATATATGTTGTTGTCGCTAGTACCTACCGTTCTCCGCCCTCGTTTCTCTTCTCTTTCCTCTGTTCCTGGATTTCATCTAACGCGCTGTCTGCTCTTTCTCGTCATCATGCTCTTTCCGCTGCGACGTCTTACCCGATTATGGCGCTTTACTCGACTATGGTGCCCTACGCGATTGTGACGCTTCACCTCATTACGGCGTCTTACTCGATTACGACGTCTAACCCGATGGACTGCGCGGTACCCCTTCATTAACGCGTCAATTCGCGTCCCGGGTCACCCACTTACGCACTTGCACATTTCTCCCCTCGTCCCATGCTCATGGATTCTCACACATCGTTGTTTGTTTATGTCTCTCATCCCTCCTCTTTCTATACTCGATTCTCCTCGCCAAATGTTTTCGGCTTCTGGTTGGCTCAGCGGCCCTTTCTCATTGGTTCAACGACCCTTCCGGTTCGCCCCCGGGCTGCGGAAACTGTACTTTATACCGCATCTTCTGGCGCTCTATACTGCATCCTTCGGCGCGCTACACCGTATCCTTTGGTGCTGTACATAGTAAGGAGATGCCCGCGCGTCTGCGAGATATTTTGAAGGGCTCACACACTCGTTCAGGCACATTTGGTTATTCGCAGCTACACTACCTTATAATATATACTAGTAAGCGGATGACTATAGGGCGTGATGACGGGAGTGATGAAAGGGGGTTGAGCTAAACTGGCAGGTACGTACGGCGAGTAAGTTCCAAAATGTGATTACCTCACTGTAGGTCGCCTCCGCCTCCGCCTCATTGGACTCACTGCTCATCCTGTACTCGCGGCTTCATCTTGACGAATAACGCAACGGTACCGTACATGGCGTCGATGTACGCATCGTTGCCGAGGGCCACTGCGAAGTTGTAAGCTGTCTGGGTTCTGCAGCACATTCTAAGGTAGGTGTGTAAGAGTTCGGAGGATGTCCCTCACCGAAAAGCTCCTCGATTCTATTCTTCTTCAGATGCTCAGTGACCCAGACGACCTCTAGCTCCTCATGCTCCTCGTCATCCGGACCCAACACGCACGGCGTACCCGCGTTTCGGACGACAAGTGCATCGGAGAACTCGCTCCCAAGATCGTCAATCCCGGCCTCGCCCAGATCGACCGCGCTCGTCGTGACGAAGGACGCATCCTCGCGCTCGTTCAAGAAATATTTGAGATCCTTGTTGCTCTCCATGCCGTACAGGTAGACGATGGACACGTCCAACTCGAGCGCCTGGCAGACGCGCCAGATCATGCCGTCGCCGCCCTTGAGGTGGTGCGGCTGCAGCTTACTGCGCTCGCTGACGGGGTACTCGTAGCGGAGGCCGAAGCCGAGGTAGCCGCCATGGGGGAGGAGGCGGGCGTCGGCGAGGAGCGAGGAGAGCGCCGCGCGCGGGCCGGCGTCGTAGTCGAGGACTACGGGCGGTGGGGGCCCAGTGTCGGGGAGCGCGTCTTCGGTGTAGATGTTCCAGGTGAGGGTAACACGGTGGCCGGAGGTGACCTTGCGGACCTCGTGCGTGACGTCTCCGTAGAAGGCGACGCAGACAAGGTTTGGGGGTTTACCGGCTGGGAGGATGTGGGCTGCGGCGTCGACGGTCCATTCGCCGTGCTTGGGGTCGCTGAAGATGAGCTCGCCGCCGGAGTGCGGGGCGGGGAAGACCGTTATGAGCGTGCCATAGGAGCTTGTGCCGCGCGGGGTGTCTTTGTGGGGTTTGAAGAAGGCGTCTTTGCCTGGGAAGCACAGGTGAGATGATGGAGCTCATCGCCAGAATGGAAGAGATTGATTTTGGATCTGACGCGACAAGTGCTTACCATAGACATTCAGCTTGCATAGCTCGTAAACAAGCCTCGTGTCGTGCCGCTGCAGCAGCTCGTCTCGCACGAGACCCAGGAAGCTTGTGGGAGGTGCGAAACTGGTTGAGAAGTTGGCCGTATCCATCTTTCCAGCCTTGCGGTAAGTCTCGTCGAGTACGTCTTCCTGGTTGCGGCCGAAAGTAGCGCGCTCGCAGGCGGCCTCGAGTCGATGAAGCTGGTCCTCGGTAGGGCGGGCGAGGTCGAGACAGCTTTGGAATTGGTGTCAGGCTCGGTCATTCATTTGGGAAGGTCAAGCATTGATGGCAGAGATTCAATGGTCAAGTAGACATAAGATGCAAACAACTTACTAGGCATCACCAGGCTTGCCGTAGAAGAGCTTGATCTCTTCGTCGGGTTTGACAGGCAGCGTATCCCACACGATGGGCATACGATACACTATACTCTCGCGTAGTGTGTCGATCTTTTCCTTCAAAGTGCCTGTAGAGGCATCGGAGTGAACGCTTGCGCTGTCGCTGTCGGACGATTCGGTGGCACTGTCGCTACCGCTAGCACTGTTGCTCGCGGATATATCCACCGGGTCATGCCTAGCTGCGTCTGAGGTAGAGCTCGCAAGCGGCACAGAGTCACCCTGTTGAGCCATATCCGTCTAGAAGAGGGAGGTGGCGGATGGATACGGATGGCGTTGGAGGGAGGAGGGCTGATCAGCTGCAATGGCGCAGGACACTCGCGCTTGTAATGTGAGGGATATTGAACGCCGCTCACAGACGGTCCCGCCCAAGTGTTTCAACTGCACCGAGTCTGACCTGGTGACAGACTGGGGAGGATCTCGTCCGACTGTATGTCAGCATTACTTCGGTTCTGAAAAGATGATCGTTGAAGATAAAGAGGCACGTGACTCTGGCCCGAATGAAGTTCAACTTCGCATGTACGCTCACTTCGGAGTTTTTACCATATCGCACGGCTTTCCTCTCAAACCTAAACACCAGACTATTGTATATTCGGCTTGCCATATAACGTTCCTATTGGCAAGCGACTGTCGGTTGATGGACCCGCCCTTGCGATCGTATGAAAGCGTCCTGATTCCAGTCCTCACCGAACGTGTGAGATATACTAGCGACTAGCTCGCAACTTGCGCCTTCCTCTTTACCTGAATGAAGAGCGCATAGGAGGCATACGCGGTATCTAAGCATGCCTCATTCCCGTAGGCCACTGCGCGACTCATGTCAGCAAAGGTGCGCATCCTGTTCGATGGGGGTAGGCGTACCATATTGATCCTTCAGCTGATTCATATACTCGTCGAAGAAGGTCACCCAGACTGTCTCCGTACCTTTAACATGGTAACATTCGAGCGGCTCAGTCCCAGCGTCCCGGATAACATCGCAGCGCCCAATATGATCAAGCAGGCTGTCCACCTGGCCCCAGCTGTCGCACCCGACGCTGTTTTGAGCAAGGAAGTACGCATCGTCTCGGTCCCCGAAAAGGTCGCCCAGTCCGCTGTGACTGTCGGCCCCGTATAGCAGGCGCAGCTTTGGTTCGACACCAAGCGCGTCGCACGCACGCTTGACCATGGCGTCGCCGCCCTTGAGCAGATCTGCGTGCAGATATTCCAGCTTTGCCGCTGGTGAAGACGAGTTGACCGCCCTGGTGCGGCGCTGGGAAAAGCATGACAAGGGTGCCCGTGAAATCGGACCCGCGCGGCGTGTCCTTGTGCGGCTTGAAGAACGAGTCCTTGCCTGAGGTGCATAAGCGTGGAGACTGCCTGGATGATCATCCCTGCACTTGCCGTAAACATTTAGCTTGTAAAGCTCATACCGCAGCTGGCACTCGCTCTTCTCGAAAAGCTCGTCGCGCACGAGGCCCAAGATCTCCTCAGGTGGCGTGTAAGTGACGCAGAAATCCGTGTTGTCCATCTTGCCCGCCTTGCGGTACGTCTCGTCCAGCACATCCTCTTGGTTGCGACCAAAGGTCGCAGGCGCGCACGCTTGCTCGAGATCGCGAAGCTGTTCCTCGGTGGGGCGCGCGAGATCCATGCAGCTGCGAGACGAAATGAGACTCATGAATGGGGATGTGACCAGAGTGTAATAGAGACTTACTGGGCGTCTCCGGGCTTGCCATAGAACAGCTTGATCTCTTGGTTGGGTTCGATAGGAAGGGCGCCGTGCACGAAGGGAATACGGTAGTAAACGCTGGAGCGAACGGCTCTGATCTTGTCGTCGACCTCGTCGAGCCAATGAGGGGGCCCGTCGGACTCGCTCGCCTCGCCGTCGTCAGTGGTGGGAGGCACAGAGTCTGTGCCCTCGTGATCGTCGTTGTCGCTACGTTCCAGCGTGCTTGCGATGTCGATAGATGCAGCGTCGGCGTGGACGACGCCGCCTTCAGGGATCGGCGCAGGAGAAGTCTCGCCGGAAGCAGACATGACGAACAAGAGAAGTTGAGGGGACTTCCAAGGATCTGTGGAGGACGTAGCCGAGTAGATATGAAGGATGCCGAACAAGTCATTCTGTGCTAAGCGGTACCGCTTGCTACACGAGGTTCACAGCAGGCTCAAGGAGTGGTCTGTACGTCAAAGCTGCTTTGGACTCGTACGAATGCGACCAGCATGCCCGATGACAGTCAAGAGCAAGGTGATTAACTGCGGGACCGGGCGGTTAAGGTCCTAGAGGGAGCCGGAAGATGCCGGTTGCGGGTTTGACTCAATCGTCCATCTTCGTCTCCCCAGTGGGGCATCTGCAAGGCAAACGGCCTGCTTCAAGACCAGACTCATATGGCCCTCAGGTGCAGAACGTTGTGTCCATCTCCGCGTTGTTCTTCAAGACGAACTGTTCCTGTATGTTTCTAGTAATGTATCGGCCCCGAACTCCAGCGCTTTACTTTGCACCTAGTCCCTGAACCTGCTGTCAAAAGCGTGAAGGTGGCGGGTCCGTATGTGGAGCGACCGTGGCTGACTTGTGTTCGCGCAGATGACTTGCGCTGGCGCTCTTATATATATGGCCTCCCGGGGTCCCTCGCTCTCCAACATTCGTGTCGACGCTTCGCTCTCGCCCTCTTCTCATCCGATACGATGTCCACATCCGAAAACGTTGCAGTCGGGACACCCTCGCTTGACACTGCCGATACGGTGACAAGCCTCTCCGACAGCGAGCACGCTCGCCCGGACGATAGGAGCAACGAGGGCACGGGTTCTGACGATGAGCCGGAGGACACTGCTGGCAAGAAAGCCACCTCTGTCGACGACGACGGCAATTCCGCCGTATCCACTGCTTCGGTCGACACCCTCGATGACAAACTGCGCGCACTCCGGTCGTCCATACATTATCGCATCCCCTTCGTGCATGACAAGCTTCCCATCGAGCCTGGCCAGAAAATCAAGCTGTACTATGGCGACCCTGGAGACGCGCAGTAAGTTCTGATCGCACTGTTTGTTCATCGTATCGTGCTCACTGTCGGCATTGCAGCTGCATCGATCTCGCGCATCCGACCGCGGAGCAGCTTTGCCATCTGGAGCGGGCGTGCGCGCCGGCGACCTTTGGTCGCAATCAAGAGGATGTCTTGGACGAGACGTACCGCAAGGCGGGTAAGATGGACAACGCGGATTTTTGCGTCAACTACACGCCCCCTGAGGGCGTGCTCGGCCTCGTGCGCGAGGAACTCTTCGAGAAAAGCGAGTGCCAACTTCGGTATGAGCTGTACAAGCTGAACGTGTACGGTGAGTACCGTGATGGATTACATCATGGGCTTTGCGCTCATGCACTTTATGTAGGCCAGGATTCTTTTTTCAAGCCGCACAAGGACACGCCGAGGGGGTCCCATTATACGGGCACCCTCGTCATGATTTTCCCAGCGCCGCACGAGGGCGGTCAGCTTGTCTTCACCAGCGGGCAGAACGAGTGGACCGTCGACGCCGCCTCGGAGATTTTCCAGGGCGGCACCCCTCACGTCGTCTACGTCGCCTTCTACGGCGACGTCACGCATGAAGTGCGCAGGGTGACCTCGGGGCACCGCGTCACCCTTACATGGAACATCTTTGTAACCATGCCGCTCAGGCCGGCCGCACTTCCAAAAGAGATCCTGGACTACGACGCGGTGCTCAAGAATGCGCTCGCCGATCTCCTCGCCGACGAGCGGCTGCTGCCGAACGGCGGGTATCTGGCCTTCGGTCTGCGATACCAATATCCGGATAATTCCCTGTGCTGTTGGACGACGTCCGACCTGAAAGGTGGCGACGCGATGATCGGTCGTGCGTGCGAAGCGCTCGGCGTCGAGCCTATGCTACGCCTGTTGTACGGAGGCTACAGCCACGAAGACATCGCCAACTTTTTTGGCAAGCGCCACGATGCGTACTTTCTCGCGTGCACCACTGTCGGTGAGAACTGCTTTGAGCATGTGTCGAATTTGGCAGATGCCGTGGAAGAGGAAGATGTCCTACGGGACGCTGGAACGGCGCCTCTCAGGAATGGCTATCACGAGGGTACGGAGACGGTCTGGGTGACCGGCTTTGATAAAAAAGCAAGTCGGGTCGAGGATCACTATGGTACGTGTTTCCCAATACATGTGCGCACTCGCTGAGCTTCATTATGCAGTGGCGTACGGTAATGAGCCATCCGTGGACACCGCGTACGCCTCCTATGCGCTGTTCATCAAGGTGGAGAGGGAAGATAAGGATTGACAATGAGCCGCTTGGTCTTACATTGAGTAGCGCGTGTCTTAGCATAATACGCGTGCGGCGAAATAGACTGTCCGCGGAATCTGTACCCTCTCAGGCTTCTTGAAGTTCTTCTCGTCTCTGCTTCAACCTCGGTGTCTGCCGAACTCACAATCTCAACATATCACGTGGTTCCCGACGAGCAAAAGGTCATATCATGTCACACAAATCCGAAAGAGACGGTATACAATAATACATCCAACACCATAGGCACACATCATGCTCGCTCAGCCACCCATACTGCTCCCTCATTCATCGCTAGACCCCCATCCATCCGTCCACATATTGCCTTTTGGACGCGCGACCAGCGCAGGAATTACCAATCTGCTAGAGAGTTAGATGATGTACGCAGAGTGGAAGGAAGTCGCGAGGGGAAACATGTGCACCACCAAAGCGATGAGCTCCCCAAAGTGTCCAGGTACGAGGACGCACCCAAAGGCAAGCTCGCTATGGAGTCCTAGGAAGGAAATTGTCAGTCCACGAGCGCCGGAGCAGGGAGACATACCGAGCGCGAAGCGAAGGTGGTGAATAATTGTCAAGGTGAAGGTGATGAACGCGGCCGGGAGCATTCTTGAGCAACCCGGGCGGGTTCTCAGAGAAATCCAGTCTGAGTGATTCTGCAGGCGATGTGAAAGCACGAGTTGAAGTCGAAGAGTTCACATATGCACCTGCAACATGTCGACGTGATGACTTGAGGTTGACCCGATGACATGAGGGACGACTTGAGTTCGAGGAATAGCACATTGCGCTTGGACCTTGTCGTGGAACTTGGGCGCTTGGTGGGATAGGGATTGACGAATATTGTCGACGAAGGTGATCATTGGCCTGCTAACCTCATTGGTACGACGACCTCATTGGCCTGTCGACCTCATTGCTTCACCACGCTGAGAAATTCGCATTGCGCCACCGCGCGAGAGAACAAGTCGTTTTCCCGGAACCCGAAGACATTCATTGCGACACTGCGCGTCGAGGCAAATTGGTTGCGCGCTGCGATGCTGATAGTAATTGCGTCGCCGCGCCGGAAGAACTCATTGCGAAGTCGCGCCGGAGGAAGTCATTGCGCTGCCGCGCCGGAGAGACTCATTGCGCCACCATGCTGGAAAACTTCATTGCGTCGCCGCGCGGTGGAAACATCATTGGACAAAGTCGGTCCTTGAGCTTCTACCTCGCCTCTCGCTCTGATGGTCGATGTTCTTGACGATCGATGCCGAGAATAAGAGCATCGGGCAAAGAACGAGAACGGCGTCAGTCCGTGTGGAGGTTATTTATCATGCGGACGCACCTTCTACCCTTGATGCGAGCGAGCGAGCCTTCCTCTCGCTGCTTAGGCCGCTTGATATCATGGATAGAGCTCATTTGAGGCGGCATTTTCTTCGGTCACTTGAGGCGTCGGGCTCTTCAAGACGCGATGGACGAGAGGTCTAATGAAGTCGGTCAAGTGATGAGCGTATCCAAAGCAGTGTCCACGCACCATCGAGCGACGCGGTTGTCGCGGCAACATCGGGAGAGCTTGTGGGGGCGTTGGTGTACTCGGCGCGGATGAATTGATGCTCTTGTTGGGCATCGGCCTTGACGCTCTTGAGTAGTAGCGTATCGACGCTCTTGCGTGGCATTGGATTGATGCTCGTGGCATCCGTAATCACAGGTCGCGAAGCTGGATGTTGAGCGGAGGAAATTGAAGTCAGTGGCGCGAGGTATGCTGAGCGGACGAGTAGCGTTGGATAATACTGCCCGTTCGCCAGAGCGTTGGGCGCGTTTGCGATATATCGATGCGCTTTAAGGCGAAGCATCGAGGGTTGGAGTAGACTACGTCGAGGAAATTCTTCGATGAGGATCAGCGACGAGGACCGCACCATTGAGCGGCCCGATCGCTGTGGCATTGGGCGAACTCGAGAAAACCTTGACGTACTTGCGACGCATCGAGGGCTTCATTTCACAGTACTCGCCAAGGACTTGGGGAGAACTAGCGCGTGCGGGAGATTTCAGTTCGTACTCGTCGAAGCTTGAGGAGATCTAGCTTTGAAGTAAGCAACGAGAGTGCGTGTTATAGTCGAGCAGCGCACCATTGAGGAGCCCGGACGCAGTGACATTGGGCAACCTCGGGAGATGTTGTCGGCAGTTGCGAGCCACAGGAGGCTTGAGTTTGGTGTGCACGTCGTGAAGATTCGTGTACGCGTCCAGAATATCTGGTAGTAGAAATGAGCGACGAAAGGATGCCACAGCACACGAATGGCGTACCATTGGGCTACCCGCTCGTCGTGGCATTGGGCTCACCCGGCACTTGCTAGCCATGGAGTCAGAGGCGTCGATGTCGGGAGAAAAGTATTGTGGGTGGCGGAAAAGGGAGTATGGGTGGCGGAGATGAGGGTAAGAGACAAGAGAGGATACCCATCAAATCGCAAGCACGCGTCGCTTATGTATGTCTTCAAACTCCGCTGCGCCATCAGTGGCCAAAAGGGGAAACGGCCGCATGGCGGTCACGTTACCGGCTTAGGCTTGTTGCTCGACTCCGGGATCTGCGCTGCGCGCATTGCGTATGTAGAAGCTGGCGGAAGGAGGATGGCGAGCCGCAGGTATCCAACACAGAATCAGAGATATCTGTTGCGGAGGCTGATTTGTCGTGGCCACTGAGTACCGAGTATTTAGTGTCGGCAACTTCAACTCAACACGCGTTTTACGCTTCCGGTTCCAAGTCCACCTATAGATAAACCCATCGACCTCTGAAGTATGGTGCACACAGCACACAACAAACAACACAGTGAATACAGCCGACGCCATAAGATCATACATTATGCCCGCTCAGCTATCCCGAATGATCCCTCGTCTACCGTCAGACCGTTCCCTCGTGCATCTACAAACTGCCCTCCAGACCCGCTACCGGCGCAAGAATTGTAATACTGTTGAAGAGTCAGATGATGCAAGCAGAGAGTGAATGGAGAGCGCGAAGGAAGAAAATGTCCACCGTCATCATAGGGAGAGTGTGGTCCGGTCACCGAGGCGCCGCGACGGTTTTCTGGAGCAGGTGTGGGAGCAAATCAACAGGCGAGCTCGCTGTGGATGGTTTTAGAGAAGAGAGCTGTCAATATACGAGTGGCGGAGCGGGTGCATACCGAGGACGAAGCAAAGGCGCTAGATGTTGGGACGGTTCTTGAGCAAATCGGGCACGTTCTCGAGCGATCCGTGGATACCCGGATAATCGTCGATCAGTTCATGCACGCATCTCAAAGCGCCGACGCGATGGCTTGAGGTTGACGCGACTGCTTGAAGTCGAAGAGTGCATTATATATTTCTTGAGCAGAATAGCAGCCCTTTGGGGCAGGGATCGATGAAGGAGGTCATTGGTCTGCCGACCTCTTTGCGTCACCGCACTAGAAGAAGTCATTGCGCTGCCGCGCGGGGGAAATCCATTGTGTCGTCGCGCGAGAGTCATTGCGTTGTCACGCTCGAGGTTGTGCGCCGTCGCGCGAGGTAGATCCAGTGTGGCATTGCGCGGGGGAGAGTCATCGCGCCATTGCACGAGACGCCTATATTGCGCTGCCGCGCAGGAAAATCATTGCGTCACCGGGCGGCAGATATATGATTGGACGAAGTCGGTCGGTCCGTGGCCAGTCCTTAAAACTTGATCTTCTGCCCTGACTCTCGCCCTTATGGTCGATGTTTTTGACGATCGATGTCGATGTCGAGAATGAAAGCTGAGCTGAGCTGAGCTCCAGCATGGCGTCAGTAAGAGTGGTACGGGGATGTGTGAGCAAACGCACCTGTCTATTCTGGGTAGCGACGAGGGACATTCCCTCTAAACATTTCCATGTAGTGACGGCTCGGACAATTGGGGCATCGCCTCATGCGACAGGCCATGCCGGAGAAATTGACCTAACGAAGGAGTCAGCGACGAGCGCAAGAGATGAGGGCGACAACGCACCACTGAGCAACCCGATCTGCGCGGCATTGGGCGAGCTCGCGAGGGCATTGGTGCGCTTAGAATTGTGCATGCATTGATGCTCTTGCATAGCATCGACATTATCGCGCTTGCGTGGCATAGACATCAGCGCTCGTGGCATCGGAGACTGCAGGTCGAGGAGCTGAATTCTGGGATGGGGCAAACAAAGTCAATGACGCGTGCACGTTGAATGGTGGAGTCGCGCACCATTACCCTACCCGATCGCCGAGACATTGGGGGAGTTCCCGATACATTGATGCACTAGCGAAGCATCGACAAATGAAGTAGAGAATGACGAGAGAATATGGCGACGACGTCGAGGAGATCTGTTGATTACACTCAGCAATAAGCGCATGCACAACAATTACGCAGCGCACCATTGTGCTGTCCATTTGCAGTGGCATCGGGCCAGCGCTTCGGAATATTGATGCACTTGCGCAGCATCGTGATCTTGAGTAGGGATGCTTGCTGGATACTTGCGGAAGACTCGAGGAGATCCCACGCGGAAGACTCGAAACTAGCGCTGAGGTCAGCAGTGAGAGCGCATGCAATAGTCGAGTGGCGCACCATTGAGGAGCCCAGACGCAGTGACATTGGGCCACCTCGGGTGATGTCGTCGACGCTTGCGAGCCGCTGGGGTACTTTCGAGCTACCAGAAGCTTGGCGGCGATCTGAACGTCGGAAAACATCTAGCAATTAAGATCAGCGACGATGACATGCCACAGCACACGAGTGGCGCACCATCAGGCGACAGGAACGGCGTGTTCTTGAGCGAGCCAGAGAAAGCATTGACGGCACTTGTGAGCCATCCGAGAATATTGACGGCGCTTGCAAGCCATCTAGGCATAGGCGTCGGTGTCGAGAGCAGACCGTCGTGGTCAGTGGAAAGGGGAGTCAGAGTGGCGGAGATGAGGGTAAGAAACAAGAGAGGATGCCCATCAAATCGCACGCATGCGCTGCTTATGTATGTCGCTCTTCAAACTCCGACGATCAAAAGGGGAAACGGTCGCATGGCGGTCACGTTATTGGTATACGCTCGTTGTTTTGAGACGCAATTTGTACCATTTGTTCTACACCAATCTAACCCGAAGCAATAGCGTGAAGTAATAAATAGGCAACACAGCCTTCGTAAACCACCCTCGCGAAGTCGAGGGGAGGCAGTGGTCATCAGTACAGTTTTTTCTCTAGTAACATCTTCCCTCTTCCTCCCGTTCGTCGTCGTTCTATGTGTAAGTTCGCACTCGTTGAGTGCGTGCGACATAAGCTGTGTCGTGCGTGGGCCATAAAGACGTTGAGGCCATTCAACGATTAGTTGACGGAGGTGTCCTTGCCGAGGATAATGTCCGCTGCCTTCTGCGCGATGGCGTCTGGACATAGTCATGATTAAAGCGCGACAAATCATACTTGGCTGAGTTACTCACAGGCTGTAGTCATGGTGTGGGCGGTGACCTGAATTGGGAGGATGGACGCGTCGATGACACGAAGGTTCTTCGTGCCGTAGACCCTACAGGACGTCAGCACACGTCCAACGACACAATATCCTGCACTCACTGGAGCTTATTGTTCACCACACCGCCGTACTCGCGCGGCAGCATGGCAGAGCTACCGAGCCAGTGAGAGGCAGCGTATGCGGTCTCCTTGTACCACGCCTCCCAGTCCGCGTCCGACGCGCCAGCAGGGACGTCAACGTAGGCAGAGCTGATGATGGGGCTGAAGGGCTCGGTGGTGAACATGGACTGCGCCTTCTTGGCGATGGTGACGGCGACCTTGACGTCGAAGTCGTCGGTGAGGAGGCGCGGGGTGATTGCGGGGGCGGCGAAGGGCTGCAAGAGATTGGTGAGTAGGGGCAATGAAGGAGGAGTGGAGGACATACGTCGGAGCTGGCGATGTGGACGTGGCCGCGGGAGAAGGGCAGCAGAGGCCAGAATACGGAGGTCATGACGCCCGGGTAGCTCTCGCCAACTAAAGCACACCATCAGTTTACGCATACTCTGTGGGCTTTGCGAGTATACTCACCAACTTCCGCAATTGGCATCTTGTTGTTCAGCACCAGGTTCGCCTGCGCTTTGAACAACGCCTGTGCACTCTTCGTCGACGCCATCGCACCCGCATCCACCGCCGCCTGTGCCTTCGCCGACAGACTCGATGATAGCGCAGACGCCTGCGCGCTCGAGTCCGATCCGAAGATCTGGTCGATGTTTACAAGGGAAATGACGGGCGCGAAGAGGTTGATGCCGTCGATGAGGGCCGTGTTCGTCGCGTTCGCGTCGTTGACGAGCGCGCTGGCGCCGGTACCGGGCTGGTCCTGGAGGTTGCGGCCGACGGCGGGGAGGTCGACGAGGGTGTCGATGCCGAACTTTTCGAGGATGCTGGAAGGAGGGAGGTGGTGAGTGGACGGTTTGCGTGGATGATGGGGTAACTTACGCCTCCTCGCCGACACCGGAGCGCTCGAGGATGGGCGGCGTCTGCAGGCTGCCGGCCGCGAGCAGGACTTCCTTCTTTGCGGTAGCAGTGTAGATGGAGCCGCCGGCGGAAGGACCGAACTGCAGACCAGTCGCCTTGATCTTCGAGTCGAAGTTGACCTTGAGCGCTTTCTGCAAAGGCGCGAAGATGCGTGAGTCCCGTAGTGATTAAGCCGGAAGTGTGGAACATACGTGGTTGTACAGCACCGTCAGCTTCGAGCGCTGCTGGTTCTGGGCGTAGAGGAACGCGTGTGCGGCAGACGAGCGCCTGACCACGTTCGTCCCCGAAGACTCGTCATTCCAGATAGTCCAGGACCTATGCGATGACCGTCAGACGCCTCAAAAGAATCAACATGGAAGTCCAACGCACGTTGAGCCGAAGGCAGTGTTCGTGCGGTGACTGAGATCGTCCGTAAGCTGTACACCGTTGAACACCAGCGGGATCGCCGCCTTGTACAGACGCTGCGCATCCGGAATGCGCATGGGGTCGGGGAAGGAGACGTTGACGGGCCCGCTGAAGCCGTGGAGGTCCTTGTCGACGTTGGCGCCCTCGTTCCGCTGCTCGTTGGTGGGGAGGTGGTTGTGCTCGACGGCCTTCATGTAGGGGTAGAGCGAGTTCCAGTCCCAGCCCTTGTTGCCGAGAGACTTGAGCGTGTCGATCTCGGGCTGGGTGGGGTGGTACCAGACCATGCCGTTGATGGAGGAGCTGCCGCCGAGGCAGCGCTGAGAGGGGGTCAGTGGTGGAGAGCGGGTGATTATGAGGCTGGCTTACACCGCTGTCGATCTGCCAGCTGAGTTTGGAGCCGTCGTCGGCCAGCGCATCGTCTGGGAATGACCGTCAGCGTACTTCTTCGTGCATGTGTGGCTTTACTCACACTTCCAGTTGCACTGTGCCGCAGTGATACCACTACGCGCCGTAGCCACATTGATCGCGTCGACGAACTGGGAGTTGGGTCCGGCCTCGACGATGAGGACGGCTGGGAACATGTCATGTCAGTCTCGGAGATGCGGGATGGGGACGGTAGCTGATCGGCGTACAGTAACCCGCGCCAGAGAGCTTGTTGCCGACGACGAGGCCGGTGAGACCACCACCGGCGATGATCTAAGTGATTGGTTAGCAAGATGATCTGCGTGAAGGAGGTTGAGGACGCACGTAGTCAAAGGACTTGGACGCCGCCACCGACGCGTCGTCCGTGATCGTGGTCCCAAAGACAGAGCGCGCGGACGCGAGGAGGGCTGCTGCAACTGCCGTGCGACGCATCATGACTGGTCGTGTATATATGCCGCGACTGTGAGCTGGCGGGAGGAGTCCGGGGAGATCCACAACGAACGGAACGCGTGCCCTCGGCTACTTATACCGTGTCCACGAGCGCGACCGCACGATTTGCTGACGCGCAGGTGCCATAGGGGTAAATGGGAAAGCCGACCGATCGTGATTTAGGCCAGGGGACAGGAACGATGCTCGGCGTCCGGGACGGCTCGGGATCTGGCGAGCTTCGCGTGGGAGGGATGAGGAGGGGAGGTGCCAAAAGGGGAGACAATGGATAGCTCGTGGCACGGTGGTATGTATCGGGCATGCATTTGGTGTGCTTGGGAAGAAGGGAAGTACTGGAGTAGATGAGTGTACTGATCATCGTCCCCTTTCTATGTAGATCAAGCCAGCGTGAGCGATAGAAAGCGTTTCAACAGCCTCTGGTAGTTATCTGGCTCCCTCGGGGGCGCATCATCCCGGATTCAGGATCTGTCATTTCGAGCGCGTGAGCGACGTTCCTCCTTCGCACGGAAATGCGGCTTTTTTGAGGATGATCAGCCGATGTTGACCTTCGATTTCGGTGTATCAAGCCCTTCGACAATTGAAGCAGAGATTGCGAGCTCGGAGCCAAAAAGGTTGGATGCAGAGCAAGTTCTGCAAGGGAGAGGTTTGAGTCCGAGGGTAGCGTCGCCTGGATACCACTCATAGACCTGACGACAGCCTTCGCCCTCGATTTGGCGACCCACGGCGAGAACCGTCTCGTCAATTGAGCTGAGGGTCGGTGAGGTGCCTTGCCCTCATGGTCCCTGTCGATCCCTATAGAACGTCGATGATCTCGTCAACTGCAATGACAAGGCCAGGTCAAGGATGCCGCGCGCGCTACGAAGGTTGCCTGGTTCGACGATGACAGTTGTTCTCCGACGGTGACACCTGTACCTGCCGGAGGCGGGCTTTGAGTGCTCCGTCAGCAGACCTCCGACCTGTGGACCTCCGAGGTACCTTGCAGACGTCAGGCGTTCGTGATCATGTCTGCAAGTCAGCTTCGACTCCATGGGCCTGGTATTCAATCCTTTATGGTATATGTTTCTCGAGGGGCAAGGAAGAAAAAGGTGGCACGTTAGGGCCTGAGGTCAGCGGTATGGTCAGCGGTATCCTGTTGGCGCTGCAGACGAGTTCAGAGCCCTAGAGCTTCGGATAATTTATCGAGTGTAGCTGTTCCTCTCTTCAAGAAACGGGAGCACGCCGTGAACGAGCCGGACAACAGGACAGCATGGTGGGCACCGAGAAGGTGGAAGTTGAAGTTCAACTTTGATGCGGCTCGCGTGGCGTCATCGCGCACGTGTATGGGTCGACTTGTCGCGTCCACGTGATCGCGGCGCGCTTCTCTTCGCTTCCCTGGGCTTTATAAAGGACGCGTCTGTCAGACGGTCAATCCCTTGTTGCCTCCCGCCCCCATCCTTCCTACCCCCTGTCGACTCATCCTGAAAATCCACCGCTCAAGATGCCCAAAGCAGCAACAGGTACGCAGAAAGAGACCGAGTCAGCAGTAATCAACCAATGAATCTTCCCTTCAGAGTCGAAGACGAAGGCGGCGACCGCGAAGGCGAACTCCAAGCCTATCTCCGACGGTGAGCAGGCACTTTTTTGGCAGGGTCTTGCAAACTGACAGCAAGATGATAGGAACGACCGAGAACGTCGTTCGGGAGCCTTCCATCTACAACCAGGTGCGCGATGCTGGCGAAATTCGTTGCTCTCAGAGCGACTAACATACATACAGTATATGAAGGCGAACCTCGGACCCTACAAAGAGCGCAATCCTGGAGTACCCCACAAGGAAGCCTTCACGGCCGTACGTCCTGCCGCGCCTTCTCCCTTCACTTCGAAGCGCATATATGCAATGATGTTGTGCATATATACACCTTATACTTACTCCCTCTTCGCTCGATGATACTGACATGTCTCTCAGGTTGCTGTAATGTGGCGCGACGCCCCTGAGAACCCCAACCGCGGCAAGGAACCGAAACCGAAGAAGACGAAGGCTGAGGGCGACAACACCGTCAAGGTTAAAGCGAAGCCTAAGTCCGACGAGAAGACCAAGAAGACGAAGCCAAAGGCCGACGACAAGACGAAGTCCGTGAGCGGCGAGAAGGCGAAGACGAAGCCCAAGGACGAAGACAAGCCCAAGTCGAAGCCGAAGTCGAAGTCGAAGTCGAAGTCGAAGCCAAAGTCTGCTGAGTTCATCGACGACGACGCGGAGAACGTCAACATGTCTTCTGACCCTGTCGATCCTGTCGAGCCCAGCAGCGACGTCTAGGCCCTCGTCCTGGTGTGTACACTCTCTATCACTCGTTGCGTCCGTGCTGACGATGCGCATCGATATAAAGACTTTCGCAAGCTCTGTGACCTTCTCTGCTTCTCGCTATTGCCCTGCTCTGTCTCTGTTGCTCCGCTGCTTGACTCTGTTCTCGTGCTCCGCTGCTCTTCTGCGCTCGTATGATTTGTGCTCTATCGGACGGAATAACGGATTAAGTTCATGCTCATTTGGCACCTTTCCCTTCCGCGCCTTTCGTCACCGATTGCGATTAGGCTTTCAGATTACAATAAGATTTACTGCATATATGCGACTGATTCTGAAGGGAATTTCACCTGGAATCGTCGAATAGATGAGATGTAGCAGTTGAACTTCCGTTGTGACTGTGATGAAGGGCCCGGCACGTGCGTCCCGTTGTATGCGGGAATGGGCAGAATAATGATGGCTCTTGTCCCGAACTGCCATCTGCATTTCTAGTGTTTCACTAATTGTCGCTGAGTACGCCGGGACAACTCATGCTCAATTGAAGACGAGGATCGAGCATAATCTTCAAGATGTCCTTCACTATCCCATTTGCGTTCCCGAATTCGACTGGGAACGCGTCGCTGGAGGCTAGCTACTCCCGATGCACTCCAACGACCCTCGTCCATCATACCGGAGCGATACTGGCAGGATGCAACGACGGCGGTGTCTATGTCTTCTCCGAACCTCATCAAGAGGCACCTCCGCGCGTCGATCTTACAACACCGTCCCCCACACGGCCGGCCCGCACGCAAATGCGCTCCCCGACGCGCTTGGTACCGTCCGACTCGCGGAACACTTCAAGATCAAGCTCTCCCTCGATCGCCTCCCTCTCACCCGCCCCCTTCCATGTATCCCCTCGATCGCGCGTCGTAGCTGGCGTGACGACCACGCAGGCGGAGGCGCCCAAGAACTACGTTGATTTTGACGACGAGCCGGATCGGCTGAAGGACTTGCTGAAGGGGCGGGCGCCGAGGGACAAGCAGGAGAAGGAGCAGAGGCCGAGCTTCGATGAACGAAGGCCATCCGTGGCTTCAGAGCGATCGCCGGCGCCGTCGTTGGACTTTGGCGCGTCGACGAGCGCGTTTTCGGCCCCCGCATCGCCGAGACCGAGGCTGTTTACTCCCCTGCCGCCCAAGAACATTCAGCTCAAGTATCACGCTGTCCCGCACTGCATTGGCAGTCCTGTGTCCGATCTGTTGGTGTTGGATTCGTTGTCGGCGTTCGCCTTGCTGCAGGAGAATGGGTGCGTTCTACCTCTACCTGATTGGCTTGTTTCTGACCCGTCTCAGAGACCTATCGCTACTGTCTCTCACGGATGGGATGTGCGCCGGCACCGTCAACATGGATGATCTCCGCGCGAAGCCACCACCGCTCTTCTCATACGTATGCTGGAAGCGACTGCGAGTGATCCACACTGGCGAGGAGGTGCGAGGCCCGCCAACATACCTAGTCACACCCACCCATGTACTACGTAGTCCACAATACTACTTGCCGTCGCCGCCGTCATCTCGACCTCCACCGCGGACGACAGCGAGCGACCTCAAGCACGCTTATCCCTCCTCGAGCTGCGCCACACCACGGCCCCGGCGCTCACGGACCGCGTCAGCGAGCTCGCGCAGTGGGCGCTCGACGCGTTCCCGGAGACGGTGGACCGGCACTCGGCGGCGTGCGTGCATTATTTGAGGGAGGACGGAGCGTTTGTGGTGCGGGAGTTGAGGGCGAGGGAGCCGGGGGAGCAGAAGCAGGATGAGAATGAGGATGCGCGGTCGGCGAGTGTGAGGATGTTCAATCCGCTGGATTTGCCGAATCTGTTCAAGAGGTCGCGGCCGGCGGAGCAGCATGGGGATGAGGGTCAACGGAGTGAGGAGCGCGTAGAGCTGGGGGAGGAAGTGTTAGTGGGCGCGTTGGCGCCGGATAGCACCGTATGTGGTACGGCCGCCCTGGATGTGGCGGATGGCCTCAGGATTTTGGCGTGGACGAGCGAGCAGCTGCTGGTGAGTGATTCATCCGAAGACTAGTATGCACCTCTGATGTCTTTCTCCAGGTCTTCGAATATGGTACCGACCTGAAGCAGCTGTATACCGCCGATGCGCGCGGTGTCGTCAGCGCACGATGGGCGGAAGACCACTCATACGTTCTCGAGTTCGAGGATCACTTTGAAGTCTACCACCTTCAGGCCGTAGATGCGGACAGCAACGCAGTAGGGGCTGGCTTACCGACAGTCAGGCCTAACTTCCAGTGAGGTTAACCTCTGACTCTGTCACCTCGGGTTGCTGACGTTGCCAATAGACCTCAGCTCCTGCATCGTCTACCTGCAGCAGGACATGGGGTGTTCTCCATCATGTCCTCGTCGGAGATCCTCGTCACCTCGGGGCAGCCGGAAGAGGGCGTTCTGTACACGCTCACGGCCTCCGGTAACAAATGCAAGCGGAAGGAGCTTTGGCACGCGCCTCAGCCCGCATCGCACGCCCCTGTCATCTCTGCGTTGTTACCGTTGGACATTGATAGCATTGTTATCGGATATTGTGCGTGCAACAATCAGTATTTGAGGTCTGCATCGCTGACAGTGTTTTCTCAGCCGATGGACGCCTGTGTCGAAGCACCCTCGCCGATCTGTGCAGCGGGTCGTCGCCTAAGGTCAAAGCTAACGCGGCAATGCCGGGGCGTATCGGGGGCTTGCACGTTGTGCGGCATCCTCGTACGCAGGAGCCGCTGATCGTTGCGGGAGGCGACGATGGGTCGATTGGGCTGTGGTCCGCGGAGTGAGCCCTCCTTTCCGCAGCCTGAACATGAACACTGATATCTAGCAGCACCCTTACATTACGCGCCCGATGGACGATCTTCCTTACGCCCCTCGCGCATGTCGTGCAGCTGCCCGATGTGAAGGGTACTCCGTTGCGCGGCTGTGCATTGTGCGTGGCGGTGGATGGCACGATTGCGGTCGTAGCTGTCGACTCTTTGGAAATGTGTGTCGTCTTTCTCGATACCTGGGCTGAGCTAACGACGTTGGACAGGGTGTACATGATCCCAGGCTCCGTCGCCGCCTTGCGCAGAATCTGCTTGCAAAGCAACAGCTTGATGCTGCGTTATGTCGACGGTCGTGCGAGGGTTTGGGATACTGCGACAAGGGAGTTGTGGCGTACGGTCGGACAGGACAAGGCACAGGAGATGCTACAGCATGGCGGGTGGACAGAGTTGTACGTTCACTTCACTTCTCGCGCGCCTAAGTCAGCTAACCTGGACATAGCCCTCTCACGAAACCGAACTGCATACCAGACCTTGCGCTGAAGGGGACGACGCATCCTTACGCACCATCCGACCTCGGTTCGTTACCACTCATCGCAGTATTTACTTTCAACATCTGATGCAACTGACTTAGGTGCTGTACTCCATCTTGACCTCCAACGCTATGTCGCCGAGGCGAGCGCAATTACAAAGGCCATCAGCACAAACCGCGCACAGACTCGGGCGATACTTGATACTATGGATCGTTTGCGAGTGCTGCTTGGCGCACTCGTAACACCGGGCTTGAACGAGGGCATCGACACGATTTGTGCTCGTCGCCTTGGAGCGCCGATGTCTGTGGTCCATACAGGAATGAGCAGGTAAGCTGCTAATGGTCTAGGAAGTGGGTATGGGGCTGAGCGACGACAGTGACGGCTGCACTACTCTCTATACGGGTGACAACGTACGCGCACCATGGTGTATCTCGTCCGAGACATCCGCAAACCGAGCGCTGGCGATCGTTGTGGTTTTGCGAGCTCTGGCGATGTTTGAAGGTACGTAAGCTTCGTCCTTAACTTCTGGACGAGGCTTACAAAGGGCTATAGAGTACGCAGACAGTGCGACAACCGTCATCACGTTCTATGCGACATCACTCGCTGCGTGTGTTGGATCGTCATACTGCACGCCGAGTTTGCCATTCTTCGCGCACCGATGGTTGGAAGGAACGCGTGAGTACCCCCTCGCCTCGAAGACAACGGTGCTGAATGTTCGCTCGCAGCGGAGGTTCGGCATGCTGCCAGAGTCCTGTTTGATGCATCAGCTGTGCGTATGACGGACGAGGAGGCAAGCACAGTGGTTGAGCACTGGCAACATCAGCGTACGCCTGAAGGCTCTGTCTCAAATCCATCCCATTGCTGATGAATTGCCAGTTCCCTGCTTGCAGTCGCCGCCTGAGCAGGAGGCAACTAGCTCTGCTATGGCTTTGTTCATCTGTGGCTACCTAGCAGCCGAGAAGTATGCTGTTATGTCGACTCAGTGCGTATAGACCTCTCCGGCATTGACATGCGCTCACATCCAACCAGTGTCCTCACTGACATCTCCAAATCCGTCGCGCTATACCTGCACGACGAGCACTCGACTCACCGGGTCCTCGCCATCGAGCTATGCGCTTATGGCTTCCACGTGTGGCAGCACTACGTTGACGCCATGGAGATCCTCCGCGCCCTTTTCATGCTCGCCACCTCAGCCAAGAAAGACTCCATCAGCACTCAGAACCCCGGCGGCCAAGCGCGCGCAGCCATTCTTTCCATCGCCTCTGCTGTGACGCCGCTCTTCATGACCACGCTCAGCCTGGACGTGCTGAGTCCGTCGACGGCTGAGCATAGGCGGAGTGTGATGCAGGTGGTGGCGTTCCTGATCCGCAAGAGGCCGCTGGTGCTGCAGTCGAGTCTGCCGCGGCTGATGGAGGCGGTGGTGAAGTCGCTGGACCCGAATGCGACGGCGAGCCGGGAGCTGGTGCTGGATACGGCGACGGAGATCATTCGGCAGGTGGTGAAGACGTGCGTGTTGACTTCGGACGCGCCTTCTTTCTGAGGTCGACGAGCATGCGCAGGTACCCGACGGTCGACTTCCACGGAGGTACGCAGCGACTTGCGGTCGGCACGAGCGAGGGCGCGGTCATCATGTACGACCTCAAGACCGCGATCCGCCTCTACGTCCTCGAGGGGCACAAGCGGCGCATTTCAGCGTGCAGCTTCTCGCCCGACGGCCGACGGCTGCTGACGCTATCGCTCGAGGAGAGCGTGGTGCTGGTGTGGAAGGTCGGCTCGAGCTTTTCGAGTTTCTTCAACCCGGGTGCACCACCAAGGCAAGGGCATGGGGGATCGGACCCGTTCAAGACGTTCCCGTTCAATGTGGGGGAGGAAGGTGAGTGAGGCGATGCGGAGAGGCAGAGGCATGGATGCTGACGGGTCCTTGTAGCGGATATGACTGTGACGGAGACGTTCGACCTCGTCAAGTTCGAGTGGACGGGAGATCGGAGTGTGAGGGTGAAGATACGACACAGCGTCTTAACCTTGAGCACGTAGCCTGAGCAAAGCAGCGAAACTTACCACCAAAATACCTTACCAAGGACCCGTCGCTCGAGCTGTCGATATAACGCGCTGGCAGATGTGTCGAGCAGCGCATGATTCGTGAGTGATTGCTACATATGTTTGGATATGATACAGCGGGACATCCGTACGGCCACGTATCCTCCGACTAACCCGTCTTGTTCTTGCTACGCCTGCCGACCTGCGCCTGGAAACCGCTCTTGATCGGGTTGACCGAGCGGCGAGAGCCACAGGACTCGCAGGACATGAAGAAGATGCGGTTCTCCTTCGTGAGCAGCGTGTCGGGCGACTTGCACGTCTTGCACGTGACGTACTCGACGATGTATCGCCGGAGGACGTTCTCGATCTGCTTTTGCTGGAAGCGGCCCTTGATGACGAGACGGCCGGCACCGTCGACGCTGCCCGTCGTACCCATTTCGGCGAAGAGGAACTGGATGACGTGTTCGGGCTGGGTGAGGGTGAGTCAGATGCGCGAGTTAGCAAGATGGGACGCGCACTTGTCTGTGCATCCGCTTGCAGATGTCGGTGACGTTGGCAAAGATCGTCTTCTTGTTCCCTTCTCTGTGGATCGAGGGGGGCGCGATGGTGTACCGCTTGCCGGATGAGGAGAGGAGTGCGGGGTTGGCGGCGTGCAGGAGCGAGTAGAAGCGCGTAAGCAGCTGCAGGCAGCGTCAATACCAGATCTCTGAGGATGTATCGCGCGCCGCACCTCCTGATACGTGTAATCGCGGTCGCTCTTCAGCCAGGGCTCGTCGCCTGCCGCGCCCTCGGCCCCCGCGCCGCCGCCACCACCCGCCGCGAACGGATCGTCGCCGAGATCGGCGTCCTCGAGGTGATCGAGCGTGCGCTCGCCGTCCGGGCCATCGTCCTCCTCGTCGCCGTCCTCCTTCGCCTTGGACCGCGACTCGTCCAGCTGGCGCTCGAACTCTTCGAGGTTCGCCTTCTTCTTGGACGACTTTTTCTTCTTCTTGATGTCCGAGAAGTCGAGGTCCTCTGCTGCTGCTGCTGCTGCTGGGGCGGCAGTGGGGGTGGAGGTGCCAGAGTCATCACCCTGCAATTGTTTAGCATGAGTCAGTCGAGACGTACGCGCCACGCACAAAGTCCATCGGAATCTCCTTCTTTTTCTTCTTCTTCTTGAGATCGCCGAACATGGCCTTGAATTCATCGTCCTCTGACTTCTTCTCCGGCTCCCCGTTCAGCTTCATCTGCTCGTGAGCTGTGGTGGGTCCCATATCGACCGCATCGCCGCCGGTGGTCGTGCTGTCGATCGTGTCTGGTGCCGGGGTTGTGGGGTCCGCCTCTGCGCCCAGCGGATCTTCTGTGAAGGCAACGGCCTTTTTCCTCTTCTTCTTCAACGAAGGATCAAATAGAGGTTCTTCAGTCATTTTGAGGAGACGAGAGCAGGACGTAGGCAACGGTGAGCTTGATGAGTCGAATTCTGTGACTCTGCTTTAGGCAGGTCTATTCCACGGTGCGTGAGAAGTTTTCGGACCGTTAACCCGGTCATGAGTGCCGAGCTTTCCCGACGTTCTCCTCGAAAACCTCCGTCTTTATTCCTTCTTCGCTGCCGCAATGCTCGCTCGTTCTTCGCTGACCAGAGCGTCCGTCGCTGTCCCCAGCGCCCTCGGGCGGGCACCAGTGGGCGCCCGTAACATGGCCACGCTCCGAGAAATCGAGCTGCGCTTGAAATCCGTGCGCAACATCGAGAAAATCACCAAGGTGCGTCACTCGCGGTTTGAGACAACGAGCTGAAGGAACTGAAATATGTACAGTCGATGAAAATGATTGCGTCTACCAAGTTGGCGAAGGCGCAGCGCGCCATGACCTCTGGGAAGGAGTACGGCGTCGCGAACACGGGTGCGTGCCCGCGTCAGTCGCGCATTAGACGTGCCTAACTCTGCGCAGAGGTCTTCAACAACGCGAAGTCTGACCAGCCCGCGGAGAACAAGATTGTTGTCGTGATCTCCTCTGACAAGGGTCTTTGCGGTGGTATTCATTCGTCTGTCACGAAGGCTACGCGCAAGATCTTCGCCGCCGCGCCTGACGCCCCGTTGAAGACCGAGCTCGCCCCCGAGACCCCCATCTTCATTATCGGCGACAAGTCGAAGGCGCAGCTCTCGCGCGCACTGCCCAAGAACCTCCGCATGACCTTCAACCAGATCGGCAAGGACGTGCCCACGTTCTCTGACGCGTCTGCTGTCACGGACTTGATCATCAAGTCCGGCGTTCCTTTCGACTCGGTCATCATCGTTTACAACAAGTTCGTCTCTGCTATCTCGTACGAGGCGGCGGCAGTCGAGGTCAAGGGCGAGAAGGCGCTCAAGGAGGCTGGTGCGTAGCGTGTGTATCAAGTACAAACTAGCAGTCTGACGTCTGTTCGGCAGACGGCTTCAAGGCCTACGAGATGGAGGACGATGTCACGAAGGACCTTGCCGAGTTCTCGCTTGCCAACGCCATCTACTCTGCCCTCGTCGAGGCGCACGCGTGCGAGATCTCTGCTCGGTAGGTCACGTGTTCATTCTACCTGAACGATGATTCTGACACCCGTGTGCAGTCGCAACGCCATGGACAACGCGTCCAAGAACGCGACGGACATGATCGACACGCTCCAGATGCAGTACAACCGTGGTCGCCAGGCCGCCATTACGAACGAGCTGGTCGATATCATCACGGGTGCCAGTGCTCTGTGATCACCTTCGCTGTCGTGCGTGGGCTTGTTATTGCATCTGCTGGACGGTCACCAACATCTTACTAGGTCGTGCTCTACCTATATACCGCGCATTAGATGTATTTGCTCGTCGAGCGGTGGAATGCAGAATGTGGCAGTGATTCATTCCCCTGCGTCGAGGATTTTGTACTCGATGATCTCCCGGCCCCTCCTTGCATCATAGTATGCTCGGGACTGTCGACGGGGTTGCTGCAAAGTGGCAAGTGCTCTTCGAGAGAAGTCGCATTACCTGGCTTCACCTATTGGTGATACAGTAGTCTCTAGTCAGAAGCAATATGGTATGTGCTGGGTACAAGGACACTGTCCTCAACGGTAGGCAGTGCCGACTGTAGCTTGAAGGTCAAAGGCTACTGGCTAATCGAGGGCTGACCTTACTCATGACTTATTTGCAGCAGGCTCGTCGAGTTTGGGAGGTGGGCATTGCCCACCTATACAAGTTTCAACATATCGTCAGCATATCGTTGTGTGCGTCGATCAGGCGTCGGGCCAGCTCGATAGTCGGACAACACACGTGCCTCGTGATGGCGGCCGCGCCGATAAACTTGGCGAGGAGGGCCTTGCGTCCTGGCTTCTCCCGGTCCTTCGCTGCCCCTCAAGGAGTCCCGGGGTAGCCCAGGCTATGCCCAGAAGTACCCGAGACGCATCCTCCTTGCTTAGCTCCCGTCACTTGGAACACTCCTACGGGCCTTCCCAGCGTAGTATTTCCTCCAGCATTCAGCAAAAACCGTCTCCATCACGAGAGGGTTTCTCGGGAAGTGCTCGGATGTGATATCCGCCGCCGCAAGACGGGCCGAGCCCTCGAGGCCGCAAGCGCCGGTGAGCATCAGAGATTGGCACCCCGAGGAGCATCGTGCGTGCGCGGTATAAAAGGGCATGCGGGCGGGCATATTTGCTTCTGCGCCGCCCCTTCCCTTGCCTCGCGCTAGTCCCTCTTTCGTTAACCAGAATGCAGCGCGCTACGAGCGCCCTGTTAGCGCTTTCGCTCTTCGCGCCGTCCGCGCTGGCGGGTATCTGGCCTCTGCCACGTTCCCTGTCGAACGGCACGTCTTTCCTGCAACTCGCGTGCGACTTCGCCATTGAGGTTGCGGTGGACGGCGCGCCGGACGACCTGTATGCGGCAGTGGACCGCACGACGCAGGCGATCCAGGACACGCTCATCGAGCGCCTGACCGTAGGGCGCGGATCGCAGGACCAGGATGCCATAAACGCGGCCCCCGTGCTCTCGTCGGTGTCCCTCGTGCTCGAGGATGGTGCGGTGGTGCGCTCCATCTCTGAGGAGGCCGTGCAGCCGCTGGGCAACCGCTCGGAGGGTTACAGTCTCTATGTACCCGAAGATGGGTCGGAAGCTGTCATCTCGGCGAACAGCACTCTCGGTCTCCTTCGCGGCCTCACGTCCTTCGAGCAGCTCTGGTACGTCCTCGACGACGTGACGTACACGAATCTCGCGCCCGTGACCATCGAGAACGATGCTCCTGCCTACGTGCGTATTCTTCTCTCTTCTTCTTTCGGATGCGAATCCGCCATGAGGAGGCTGACTGACCATGTTCTTTCTTACTATAGCCGTACCGTGGGTTCATGCTGGACACGGCGCGGAACTAGTAAGTCGACCTCCCGCACGAACTGGGAATAGGGCGGCTCATCGGAATTCCGCGCAGCTTCCCGGTCGACGACATCAAGCGGACGCTGCTGGCGATGTCCTTCGTGAAGATGAGCATGTTTCACTGGCATGTTGTGGACAGCCAGAGCTTCCCGCTGGTGGTGGACGAGTTCCCGGAGCTGGCAGAGACGGGCGCGTATGCGGCGGACAAGGTGTATACGCCGGACGATGTGCAGGAGATCGTGCAGTATGCAGCTCAGGTGGGTGTGTTCGGCGTGCGAGGAAGGATATATTACTCACTCCCAGTTTCGCAGCTCGGCATTGATGTTCTGGTCGAAATTGACATGCCAGGTCACACGGACATCGTGAGCCTCTCGCACCCCGACTGGGTCGCCTGCAGCCAGGCGTCGCCGTGGTCGACGTACGCTGCCGAACCGCCTTCCGGGCAGCTGCGTTTCACCACGCCCGACGTCGTGGACTTCGCTTCGTCGCTCGTGAAGGCCGTCGCCAGCAAGCTCTCCTCATCGTACTTCAGCACGGGCGGCGACGAGATCAACACTGCGTGCTTCGAGCAGGACGAGCAGTTCCAGAAGGAGCTGAACGAGACGGGGAAGACCTTCGACACCGCGCTCGACGCGTTCATCCAGGACGTGCATGGGACGCTGCACGACATCAACAAGACACCGGTGGTCTGGGAGGAGATGGTCCTGGACCAGAATGTGACGCTGTCGAACGATACAATTGTCATCGTCTGGATCTCGTCCGAGAACGCGGCCAAGATCGCGGAGAAGAACTTCAAGATCGTGCACGGGCCGTCGGACTACTTCTACCTCGACTGCGGGAGCGGCGGGTGGATTGGCAACAACCCGACTGGGTATGCTGACCTTTTGAAGCAATGATTGAGACATGCCGCTGACAGCCTTACAGAAACAGCTGGTGCGACCCCTTCAAGGGCTGGCAGCACGCTTATACTTTCGACCCGCTCGCAAACCTGACGAGCGAGCAGGCAACCCTTGTCATGGGCGGTAAGTCCTCAAGCCTCTTCCACGCCTCGTAACTGACCTCTAACAACCTTGCAGGCCAACAACTCCTCTGGACTGAGCAGAACGGCCCCGAGAGCCTTGACTCGACTGTTTGGCCGCGCGCCGCCACGTCCGCGGAGACCTTCTGGACGGCGACGCAGCCCGACGGCAGCGCGCTCGACGTCAACACCGCGCTCCCGCGCCTGCACGAAGTGCGGTACCGCCTGTTGGAGAAGGGCATTGGCGCGAAGGCACTGCAACCGGAATGGTGCGCGCTGAGGCCGTTCTTGTGCAACATCGAGGCTTGAGAGAATGGGCATGCTCCTTGAGAGGACGTCTGCATATCTATCTAGTAGCATACTTTCTTGGTAATGATCACTATGTCACGGTTGAGCTCTTTCTAGCGGAGTGGCTTATGGAGAGGGCTTGAGTCGGTGCCATTGGCCAGTTTCGTCAAGGGTCATTGTAGACAATGAGAGGATTACTTAGAGATACAATCGTCAGTTTCCATTAGTAAGTACATATCATAAGCGGTGCATACATCAGTACAGAGTCATGGGCATAGGCAATCGTGAGTCGAACAATGAGAAGTGTTTATGGCCAACGATGAGTCAGTCGTCATGACAACCTCGGCTTGTCCGCATAGTGAGGGATAGGCGGCACATCCACCTCCGCCGTTTGCTCGACCTCTGGCTCTGAGTCTGAATCTGAGTCCGACCAATCCGCTGGCTCGAGCTGTGGTCTCCTGGCGAAGACGGGATGCGTGAACCACCGGTAGTTTGGGTACTCTTGCTTGACCACCGGCCGCGCTTGCGGTAGCGGGTGTACCCTGTACGTCTGCGGACCATACTGGGAAGGGTGCGGCAAGGGTACGGGTACGCGCGGGGGTGGTGGAGGTGGAGGTGGCGGGGATGGCGAACGCGACCCGGACGGATGGTGGGCGATGAAACCGTCGGTGCGCCTGGAAGGCGGTATCCAGCCGTGCTTCCGTTTACGATGCTTGTTTAGGCATGAGGGGTCGGCCGTGTTATAGGAACAAGACGGGCATTGGTGTTTGCGCTGATTAGTGCTGCGTGCGATGGAACACGTGAGCTTTGATTGACGGCAAAGAAAGGATTGAGTGGCACATACTGTCGGGCTCGGATGTGTATTCGGACTGTGTTCTTCTGAGGACAGCGAAGGGGACAGTATGGGCAGAGAAAAGGGCTATGAAAGAGGTCTCGCGGTTAGTAGACGCTGACAGGTGTGAAATTTGAATTAACAAAGCTTACCGCTCGGGATTGGATTTGTCGAGAATCGGTGATAGCTCTGCGTTGTCTGCTGTTCGCTTCTGCCCGCGAGGAGGCGACTTGCTGGAGTCGCTGGTCGACGCTTCTTGTGCAGGCTGCGCGGAGGGCTGTGCGTGGCCGATGAGTCAGTCACGAGGGCGCCGCAGGGCACTCAGTACATACCATCTAGGCGATGAGGCGTAGGATGCGCGGAATGAGGAGAGGGAGAGCGGGAAAAGCGCGCACTGCTTTGTGGCTCTTTGAGGTGGTGGTGGGGAGAAGCAGACAATCCACGCGGTCCCTTATATACTTCTCTCGCCGGTTTGATGGATTGATGGGCTTTGGTCATAAAGGACTTTTTGGCCAGGTGCGCGTGTCTTGTTTCCCACGATGGGCGATACACGGAATGTGACCTATGAATGGTCATGGCGTTGGCCAGAGCAAACACGTAGATTTTGAGGATGATATAAGATTTCTAAGAACCCTTTTGGCACCCAAGAGCCACTCTATGTACTGCGCAGAAGGCGCTCTGCTGAGCCAGACTCCATTCCATGAGGAAGGCGTCCCCCAAGTAAGCTAGTTACATTGATAGCAGTATCGAATGTACGGTCATGAGTCCTGCATACCTACATACAACGGAACCAGGCCAAGGCGGTCAGCAACAGGAATTATGGACTTGTCACCGGAGCTGTCACACGTAGTCACAGATCAATTACGCCCCTTTAGGAAGGTTTTGTTCTTGTCCCTCACCCTCACCCTCACCCGCCTTTCTGGCTGATTGTGTGCTATATGGCGCGACCTGCCTGATGAACACGACGAGGAGAGCTCCCACCCAAAGAAGAATTGCACTGGATTATTCCAGAGATTCGTACTTCTTGCATCTCATAGCCCCGATCGCAAGCCAGGACATAACCTTGACAAACCGTGTATGGAACAAGGCGCGAGGCAAGGAAACTCTTCTGGGGTACGAAGCGAGTGCATATATCCCCTTTTTTGACTCACAACACATAGCCAGCTCTTAGCCTGCACTTCGATTATGCCGGGCGCCAAATTCCACCGCAACAGCAGCAGCAACATCAGCCCCAGCCTGGCCCCCCACCCCCACCCCCGCTCAATCCCCGTAACATGAACACAGACGACATGATGCGCGCGCGACGCGCATCCGTACCCTCTACTTCTTTCACAGCCGACCCCTCCCCCGAATCCGTCCTCTCCCTGTTTAACCGCGTGCTCGACCGCGTTCGGGTCGAAGAGGACCTCTTAGAGCTTCGCGAGAAGGACCTTACGCGACGAGACCAGGACTCCGCGGTCTCTTCCATGCTCGGGCCTCTCGAAGCAGTGCGGCAGCGCTCCAAAGAGCTCGACGAGCGCGAGCGGCACCTGATCGAGTTCGAGGCGACGCTCGTGCAGCAGTCGTACAACCTGCGCGCGACGGAGCATGCGCTGAGGGACTGGGACACGCGCCTGGCGGCGGCGGAGAAGCGGTTTAGGGACGCGGAGTCGATTCTGGTGCAACGGGCGGACCAGTGGAAGAAGTACTCGCGCAAGGTGATGGCTATGCAAGAGCAGCAGTTGATGGAAGCGGGCCCGCCGCCCATGCAGGCAGGACCGTCGTCCACAACGGCAGGGCCGTCGTCCACGCCTGCAGGACCCTCGTCCACGCCAGCTGGACCCTCGTCTGCACCTTCGGTGCCCAACAGAAGTGCACCTGTATCCAACAGTGGTGAGTGGAACGCATATATGCGCTGAAAGGATACTCAATTCATGTCCTAGTCGTCCCAATGAAGCGACAGCGAACTCAGTCGGGTAACCAGGCCGGAAGCAAGCACGACGGGTTCAGGATCAGGATGCCCTCCATGCCCTTGACACCCAACTACATTGACCTCACCACGCCTCCGCAGAGTCCGCCAGTCCTTGCAATGTCTATGAGCGATGCGGGCGTCACGAGATCGCGAACGACGTCGGGGAGTGGCCCTTCACAGCTGAAGCAGACGATGTATGCGCCTCCTCCGCCACCTATGAACCCTCCTTCTCAACCGCCAACAATTGTTCCACCTCATCCACCTGTGAACGCTCCTCCTCAGCTACCCCCCAATCCCTCCCGCTCAATGTCCGCATCTCGACAGAACCAGCAAATGTCACCACCGGGCTCGACTGAACAGCTACCCACCAGTTCGAGTCAGCCGATGTCCCATATCGGGATACCTCACCCGACCTCCTGGAATATGCCCTCTCATCCTGGTACTATGATGCCGCATACGGGGAATGCAATGCCATACCCCAACAATGTTTCCCAGCCACCACGTCTGTCTCCTGCTACGGACCCGCCGCATTATATGCACCAGATACCAGGAGCACCTTCGTCCTCTTCCCCTTCTCAAGCCGGATATGGTGCACAAGGTCCTCTAGCGACCGCACCTGGCTCGACGCCGTCAAACATAACCTCGCGCAATGACGGCTCGCAAGCGTCAACCACAGGCGCAGAGGCGTCTACTCACACGAGCATGCAATCGTCTCCTTCCACGCAGGCGCCTCCACCAATGCAGTCGTCCCGTAGCGCGCCTGTGTTGTCTCGGGAGCACGCAAGACCGTCGGCTCTTGACCTTACAATCATGGCTCCCCGCGATGCTTCTGGACAGCCTATCCCATGGGCCGCTGCGCATATATCCGCGTCCCCTACGGCTTTAACACCTTCGTCAAGCTCGCCGGTGGTTGCGCGGGGTTCGCCATTGGTGGAGAGGAGTTCGCCGTTGGTGTCAGGGAGCTCTCCGGTACTGTCGAGGCATCTGGAACGAAGTCAGAGCAGCTTGCCGACGTCTGTCAGCGCGCCTGCTGCCGTCAATGCGCCTCCTACCGCTAGTGGGTTGTCACCTGCCGCGCATGTATCGCCCTCTACGCAGACGTTGCCGCCTGCGCATGTATCACCTCCCACGCAAACCTCGGCTGCCCCGCCTCCATCTTCGTCGCCTTCGACTTCCCGCCCTCCGCGCCCGAAGTCGCCTGCTAGCGCGATTGTCAAGCATGAGGAGGACGAGGTAGGATCGAGTAGGAGGGAGGGAGAGGCGGAGGGGACTAGAAAGGAGGTACAGGCGGTGGCGGAGGGTAAAGTCGAGGACGCACAGGTTCCTCGGAAGGAAGAAGATGCGAGCTCCGACATGGAGATAGACGAGCTGGAGGAGGAGGGCGAAATCGCAGGTGGTAGTCAGGTCGTTCGCGGGGATGAGGCTGCTCCGCAGCCGGCGGTCACGCCTGCGCCCTCGAAGAACCAGTCGTCGTCGCCGGTGTCCCCAACAGCGTCAAAGTCCCCGGCGACGTTGCAGCCTTCTGGCTCGCCAACGATGTCGAAGGTGGCGTCTCCTACAACATCAAAGGGTACCGGCTCACCTACGACGTCCAAGGCTGCCTCGACACCTTTCAAGATAGCTTTCCCGTTCAAGAAGAAGGATGCGCCGCCGCCTTCGCCGGCCTCTGCGTCGTGGGCTGCGAGCAACCCGTTTGAGGCGAGGTTGGGTCAGTCGACTTCGACGACTGGTGTGGATGCCAGTGGGAGTACGGGTACGACTGGCACGAGTGCTGCAGGCACGAGCGGGGTTGCGTCAGGGCCGGCGACGACAGCCAACCCATCCACGTCGCCTACAAGCGCGGTGGGACCTTCTTCGTCCCCTACGAGCGTGACGAGGCCACCTCTGCTTTCAAAGAAACCAACAACGATTGCTTTCCCGTTCAAGAAAATGAAGGAGCCTGCTCTAGTCCTTGATCAAGGATCCACGCCGGCTTCGATACGGGCAAGGCCGGCGAGCCCGTCCGCTCCACCGTCTTCTGCTGCAGCGAATGCTACACTCCAGCCCGCGGATTCTGGCCCACAGCCAACGAAGTTGACGTCCTCCGCTTCGTCGCCTGTCGTAACCACCCAGCCAGCGAAAGCCGCGGCGCTCTCTCCCTCTGCTACGCACCCAGCGATCCTGGCGGCCTCTGCGTCTGCAGATGCCCTGGCGACCTTTGCTACGCATCCAGCGGTGCTAGCAACCTCCCCTCCAGCGACCGCACCTGCGCCGGCGACCTCGACGTCTGTGGTTGCTTCAACGCATAAATCCGGCACCTACCCGTATATGCCTCGTACTGCGCCTGCGCCTGCACCACCGCCGAAGCCCCTGTTCACGCGGAAGAAGACGGCGACGGCAGCTGCATCCGCCGCGCCCGGCGCGAGCGCGTCCGCGTCAAGCTCCCAAACCGCGTCAACGGCCAGCACCTCGAACACGGCGCATCCTCCGCAAGCCCTGACGTTCAAGCACTTGCAGGTGGTGTACAAGCTGGAGAACGACGGGACGTGGACATGCAGGCTGTGCGCTGCGCTGTCGAAGACGAGGAAGTTTGGGAAGGATGCGTGAGTTCTGTTTGTTTCTCAGTCCTGCCTGTTTCTCTTCTTGTTCTCGCTGTGCTTGGGGTGGGACGGGGCATGTGGAATGGTTAGCGTCGGAGCGGGAAAGCTAATAAATACTTGCAGCAAACTACCGGAACTCGCGGACCATGTGAAGGATGTGCATCCGCTTGCAGCGAACGAGCTGTCGGGTGTGAGGAACTGGGAGCTGACGGAGATGAGGGGGAGGTTGGGGCTGGGGGTGGCGAGGAAGTGATGGGTTTCCAGGGATAAGTTCATGATATTTACATAGAGGTGTGGATATGCACATTGTACCACTTACTACTTCGCGCTGGTGTACCGAGTCTGTATGCTCATGATACCAAGTTTCTGTCACATTTAAATCTATATCTAGGTCTCTGTGGCTCCCTCTCAGTTTGAGCTTCGCGTTGGACGGCACAAACCTATCCTGTGGCCTCGCATTGCTTACCCCTGTTTGCACCAATAGGTCCACCGCGCATCGGCCCCGGCGGCCGAGATAAGATTAGATAAACCTAACCTCGCCTCTCCTTGTACTCCAACCACCACCATCACCACCACCACCACCACCATCATGCCCCCCGAGGCGCCCATCGAACCCTTCGTCCAGCCAGGGCAGCCGCTGAATGACTTTTTGCGCTCGTTCTGGCAGCGGCAGGTGGATGCGGCGGAACAGGAGACGCCGGATTATAGGCATCCGGCGCTGCCCCTGGCGCGGATTAAGAAGGTCATGAAGAGTGATCCGGATGTGAAGGTGAGTTGTTTGGTTGAGGGGAGGGGTGTGGGGGTTGTTTGTTTGAGGGGAGGGGTATGAGGGGAGGGGGAGGGGGGAGGGGGGGAGGGGACGGAGGAAAGAGGATAGAGGATAGAGGAAGGGAACTAATGAAGGCGAATTTTGTAGATGATAGCCGCGGATGGTACGCCGAATGTCTGGTCTTGTTGCCCGCCAGAGCCGTAACGAGCGTGCAGCACCGATATTGTTTTGTAAAGCGTGCGAGAGTGAGTAGACCTATCCTACCTATCCTCTTCGCGTACCATTGCCAAAATACTGACACGTCCCTCGAGTCTTCATTGCCGAGATCACCGCGCGCGCCTTCATCGTCGCGGACGCGAACAAGCGGCGGACGCTCTCGAGAGCGGACATCGCGAAGGCGCTGAGCAAGTCGGACCAGTTTGACTTTCTGATCGATATTGTGCCGAGGGACGATTTGCCCTACGCACCGGGTGGGGGGTCGGGAGGTGGGGGGAGCAAGCAGCAATTGAAGACGGAAGAGGTGCGTGGGTTGGGTGGCAAGGACTTTTCTTGGGGAGGAGTATGCAATGCAGGCTGAACTTCGGTCTTGGACCATAGGAAAACCGTAATGGAGGCGAGGGCGCGCAGGGTATGCAACCTGGGATGCAGCCAGGTCACGAGTCGGGCGTGTTGGAGGAGGTGAGCGGGAGCCTCGACGTGGCGTGTGATGCTGACAGCTATATACAGTTGGAGAGCCTACTCCACGACGTGGGTGTACCGCAGCAACGGACTGGAATGTAGTAGCGGGTTTGAATCTGTTCTTATGTGTCTTTTTTGCATTATGAACGCTCCTTGTTGTGCTCTTCTTTCCTTTCTTACTCGCTGTCGAATGCGCTCAAGAAAATCGCGGTCACGTGATACCACCGTCTTCCAAGTGCACTTCACTCTCGACTTGAACATGCACGCTCGCGACGGGCCTTGTACGCCACCTTGTATGAAACATAGCACACTCGCCTTGTATGGAAATATAGCACACTCGGAGGTACCCCGGACCTGCAGGATACCCACAACGTCGCGCGGTCGCGTGTACGATCCGTCTTATCTCGGCATCTGGTCTGCTATCGCGGGAGTCGGGACGCGTCTTGTTCTGAACTTCGAAGGACGTGTCCTGCTTCTTTTCTTTCTTCGTGTTTTTGCGCTGCTTGGGTCGTCTACTACTACTTGGGCTGTTTACTGCTAGCATGAAGGCGGCTAGCGTTCTGGTCGCACTCGCCTTGCTAGGCGAATCGCGGGGTCGCGCAGGTAGGCTTCGTCCATCTTTGTCATCCTGTCATGCTCCTTCCCATCCTGCCATACTCCTTCCCAGTCTGCCATACTCAAAAGCGTCATTGATTAACACTCGGCCAAGATACTCTCGACCTTGCCAACCACTTTGCGAACGCAGATGCGCCCCAACAACCGCTGACGGCCCTCCCGGCTCCTCCACAGATGGAGGTTCGACCTCTTATGGAGCACGGCCCGTCGGAGAATCGGGTCGACTTGATGTTCTTTTCGGATGGGTGTATGTGGTCCGACTCGTCTGCATTGGGTGCTACTCCCCATAATGCCACCTTATTGCCCCTTGTCTCATTTGATTCTTTCTCGTTGACTTACTCTTCAATTCTCTAGACCTCCCCACCGAAAAGGCACAATTCTTCGCCGACGCAGAAATGCTCGCCCAGGGACTCGTCGCGGGAAACAAGACGTACAACAGCGTCGCGCCGCTGCTGAATATGTGGGCCGCGTTCACGCCGAGCGGGGAGAGCGGGATTGGGTGGGGTGGCGTACCGAAGAAGTGAGTTCAGTTGTCTGGGATTGTTTGGGAGTATAACTTGGGGGATATTGAAGGTGGAGAGGGCGTTCGAGGTGATGAGGGCGTTTGAGGCGTCAGAAAATACGAGAGTGCTCGGCCCAAAACTCTCCAAAGCGCAAGAGGTGTGGCAAAAAGAACGAATGACTAACCCACCCCTTCCCAGCACGACCTACGGCCTGTACCGCGACGGCACCGAACTGCGCGCAGTGTACGTGGGCAAGCCGGAGGTGAATGTGGCGGCGTGCAAGTCGTTGGGCGCGCGTTGTGATTATCCGATTATTGTAGGCAACAGTCCGTTGTATGGAGGTGAGTCTGGTTTTAATGGACGCGAAAGGTGCCATGGCCAAGATGTGGAAGGATGAAGCTGATCTGTCCTGTGTAGGTTTGGAAAGTCGGCATAACGAGGGCGCGACGTGAGTTGTTGACCGTTTTGGGGCGTTATGCCACATTTTGAGGCGTTATGCCACCGCACGTCCGTTTACCTTGTTGCTTCCGTGCTTCTCTGTCATGCTGCTGCTTCCTGAGCTTGTCGGCTCCTGTCCCCATTCCATCGCCCTCTCCCTCTTCACCCTCTCCCCCTCGCCTTCCCTCCCTTCACCCAACCCCCACTCACCCCCTCCCCCCAGCACCATAACCAACTCCCCCGCGAACGGCGTCCTCGTCCTCCGCCACGAGCTCGGGCACTCGATCCCGGACGTGGGCGAGGAGTACGACGGCGGGGGCGATGACGGGTATTATGGGGCGAATACGCACGCGAAGGATGGGGGAGAGGTGACGTGGGCGCATTGGTTGGACGACTTGCATGACGGCTCCCTCGATGGTGGGGATTTGGACCTCGACCGCGCCGCCCTTGATCCTCAGCGCGCCGCCCTCCATCCCCAGCGCGCTTCCCTTCATCCTCAGCGCGCCGCCCTTCATCCCCAGCGCGCGACGATGCCCCTGCAGGCGTACCCGTGGACGCTCCTGAACACGGCCGCGCCCTGGTCTGCGACCTTCGTGTCTTCGGGCGCATACGCGCGCGCGCTCGTCAGGTTCTCGTTGTCTGGCATACCCGAGGTGAGTGCGCGGTTTGTTTGTGGGCCCTTGTTGGCTATTTCACAATGTGGGACCCGTTGGCTATTCCACAATGGCGCCGAGTCAAGACGGATAACAAGTCGAGACGGATAACGAAACGAGCCACGACGAATAACGACTCATCGACATTCCTCTAGGCCGCGGACGCGCGAGTCCTCCTGGACGGCAGGGACCTGGACTGGACGCCCGAAGCCGGCATCGGGAAGGACCGATGGCACTATGATCTGCATGTCGACGGCCTGGAGGGAGGCGAGCACTCGGTGTCGTTTGAGCTGCTCAGCCAGGGGCGGGAGGGCGAGGCGCAGCTGTGCAACGTGGAGGTGCTGGAGTTTGGGGACGAGGATGAGTGAGTGCTCCTGCCGATTCGTAACCCGTTTGGAGGGGCTGCGGATCGCGAGGATTGAGTGCAATGGTTAGGAGGCTCGGCTAACAAGCCCGCCAGATTCGACGCGCGGCCCGGCGTGTATGGGCTGTTCCCCACGTTCGGCTCCGACAACGTCACCCGCTACCGCCCCACGAACGAGGACTGCCTCATGCGGCTCGTCACCGCGCCCGGGTTCTGCAATGTCTGCCTCGAGTCGCTGTGGTTGACGCTGCTGGCGAGGGTGGATCTGATTGATGGGGTGGACGAGGTGTGCTCGACGCGTGCGACGGACGAAGCATGTTCGAGGAATGTCGCAGACGGACAGGACGCCGAGCAAAATACGCCGGAACGTAGCCAGCACACCCTGAGCGTGCGCTTGATCTCGCTGGGGCAGCTGCGCGGCGAGGATATTGGAGTCAAGGAGAGGTACTCGGTAGTCTGGTCAAAGGATGGTGTGCCCCTCAACGAGCTGACGGATGAGATGACGGTGGCGGTCGGGGAAGACGAGAGGTGGACGGTGAGTCAAAGGAGGTCTTCGGGAAGATATGCTGATACCGATTGGCATCCAGGTCGATGTCACCTACCTGACCGAGGAAGTACGCAAGGATGAGGATGGGCGAACTCAGGCGAGCAGGACGGTGAAGACATCAAGGTGTTCATGAGCAACATTACGAGGGAAAAGAGTACAGTAGCATACGACAACGGTGAGATATCTGGAAAAGTTCATTAGCAAACATGAAGAAGACGTTGCGATTGCACGATGAGGAGTCAGAAGGCTATAGAAAATGGATATCTGCATCTTTGGACAGCGGTGTCTAGTCGCTTCTAGGAAACACGGACCATAGCGTGGTGTTCATCACACGGAGAGGAAGAGAAACAGAAACCGACACTCACCATTGAGACCTGGAACAAGGAGAACATGGAGGTTGAGGACAAGGAGCCGACGCGTCTTTCCGAAATTTTGTAGGCGCCCACCCCACGTGGCCGCGATCACTGCCGATCGTCGAGCGCGCGCATCAAACTTTTTGGACGCATATTCCCCCTCCCCCTCATACCCCTTCCGAATGGCGGCCGACGAGCTCATCGACGGGCATGTGTCCCAAAAGCAGGCTGAGAAGGCATTGAACGCGCTGCTCGCGTACGCGACGAAGCGGGCAGAGAAGCAGGCGGAGACAGAGCTGCTGGGCGGGCGTGAACAGCACATCTGGCTGAACGTGGCGGAGAAGACGATCGTGCCGAATAGGAGATTGAAGCCGCAGAGGATGTGCGTGGAGAGCCACCTGTAACGGGGAAGATGAGGTCTAACACAAGGTCCCCCCTAGCCCGCTCGCCCACCCGATCATCGACCCGCGCGTGTCCTCGATCTGCCTGCTCACGAAGGACCCGCAGCGGCAGTACAAGGACCTGCTCGAGACGCACAAGATCCGGTTTATCAGCCGCGTCGTCGGCGTGGAGAAGCTGAAGGGCAAGTTCAAGCCGTTCGAGGCGCGGCGGGGGCTGCTGAAGGACCACGATATGTTCCTTGCGGACGAGCGCATCATCCCCCTCCTTCCGAAGCTGCTCGGGACGAAGTGGTTTAAGGCGAAGAAGTGTGTTCATGAAATGACATGATTGGGCGTGTGCTAACATGGCTCGCAGGCAGCCGATCCCGGTGTGCTTGACGCGCAAGGATCTTAAGGGCGAGCTTGAGCGCGCCGTCTCCTCGACCTACATGAGCCAGAACCAGGGCACGCAGACGTGAGTCCCGCGCCCTTCTTCCTCCCCCTTCCTTCTTCTTGATGCATCCCTCCTACTTGATGCTCTGCTTTGTTTGTACTGACTCCCACCCCCAGCTCCATCAAAATCGGCACCATCTCCCAAAAACCCGCGCACCTCCTCGACAACCTCCGCACCGCGCTCCCCGCGATCGTCGCCCGCATCAAGGGCGGCTGGGAGAACGTGCAGAACATCCACATCAAGACGAGCTCGAGCACGAGTTTGCCCGTCTGGTCGTGCGATCTGTCGGAAGACACGCTGGGGAGGTGGGGCGGGGCAGCGGACGGGGTGAAGGATGCGGACGTGAGTATGGACGACGCGAGCGAGGAGGAAGAAGGCGGAAGTGATGATGAGGACAAGGAGATGAACGAGGCACCTGTGACGCGCGCGAAGGGCAAGCGGCGCGCGGAGGCGGAGGCAGAGGAGGAGCCCGCGCAGCCCAAGAAGCGCGCGAAGACCAGCGACAAACCTACCTCAAAATCCACCGACGCCGCCGCCCCGAAGATGAAAAAGCCAAAGTCAAAGGCGGGCGTCACCGGCGCCACCGCGCCCCCTGCCACCACCAAGCCCTCTGCCGCCACCACCACCGACGCCGCGCCACAGGACGATGCCGCGCCCTCTGCGCCGCCGTCAAAGAAGCGCAAGGCGAAGAAGGGCGACGCCGCTGAGGAGGTGGCGGAGGACGTGAGCGCGCCGAGCACGAAGAAGGGCAAGAAGGACGGGAAGAAGGATGCGAAGGCGCCTGCGTCGGACGCCCCGGTCGCAGCGGAGAAGAAGAAGGGGAAGAAGGGGACGGAGGACGAGGCCTCGCCAGCGCCGAAGAAGTCCAAGGCAGCGAAGGCAGAGGCGCCTGCGAAGGAGGTGCAAGCGCTGGCGAAGGAGGTAGCGGCGCCTGTGAAGAAGTCCAAGGCGGCGAAGGAGTCCCCGAAGAAGGCGGAGGCGCCTGTGAAGGCCGCCGACGCTGAAGTGGACTTCAAGAAGAAGCGCGAGGGGAAGACGGGGGAGAGGAAGAAGGAGAAGGTCGCGAAGGCGCGCCCGGGTAAGCCATCCGCGAAGGAGGGTGTCCTGGGTAAGAAGGCGCTGAGGGCATGAGTAGGTATGAGCCCTTGTTCTTCCGCTGTATGTGCCCTTGTACGCGATGTACGTCTTGCGATGTTTGTTGTATTCGCTGGTTATCCTCATTTTGTCTGCTCGATGGGTCCGTGTGGGTGACTTTCACGTGATTTCCGGTAATTGCCGGAAATCGTTGCTATCAACCCCATGTTCACCTTGTGTTCTGCGGCCAACACGACAAGGGATCTCATTTATCTTTGCCCTCATCATGACCAGGCAATCCACATCCCTGCGAATACCGCATCCGCAAGACCGAGGTTGTTTCATTGCAGGTGTTCTAGAGCAGACTGAAGAACAGCCCACAACGGAAGGTCGCCCCATCGCTCTGGTGGGTCACATTGAAATGGCCTTTTTGGTGTGTACAACTCTCATTCTCACCCCTTCTCCGCCAAGATCTTGCACGGGACCGCTGGGTGAGTCTCCATCAGTGGCTCTGAGATAGACATCTAGGGCGAGCCCGTCCCACGGCCGTCCTTGAATTGTTAGGGTTCGCTCAGACGCGACGGCGCAACGCTGGGAGTTGCGGACCTCACTGGCGGTGACAGCGCCGCGAGAACTTACATTGAGAGGATGTATCTCCCCCTCAGTCGGTGGAATGATGCCCGACGCCGCTTGTCAAGTTGGCAGGAGCCTGGGCTCGTACTGGCAGAATGCGCAGCGGATGCATGCCGCGCAGAGTCCGTCGTGGGATTTCTGACAATGTATACCTAGGCACAAGGACTACCTCTACCAGAAGAGGCTGGCGCGTGAACTGCCCCTTGACTCGTTTCGGTTTGACTTCAGGTGAGCTTCAGCACGCTATGTACAAAGCGCCATCCCGACGTCTGTATGCCAAGGTATCGCCATTATTCCCTACCAATTTACTTTTCTCCGTATGGCCTTTGTTGGCCATGCTATCTTCGATTCGTCAACCTCTTGGCGAACTTTTCACTGATACAAAACTTCCGCAGAGGCAACCACGAGACCCCCGGAACATGGCGCGCAGGAGCCCTCGATGAAGACGTCGAGGACCTCGCTGCCGTCGTCGCTTTTCTCCGATCTCGCTATGGCTACCGCATAGCCTTTCTCGTCGGACACTCCCGCGGGTCGATCGTCGGCTTCCGCTGGATGTGCACCGCGGTCGAGGCCCAAGAGGTTGACGGCTTCGTCAACGTCTCGGGACGGTACCGGATGGAGGTGCGTGCGGGCCAGATACGCGGACCATCCTGACGTCGGCTCGCAGAAATTCCTCGGTGCGCAGACAGAGTGTCAGACCCGACCGCCGAGCGGGAGCCGCTGACCGCAAACGGCGCAGAATCCCCCGCGGTGCAGGCCTGGAAGGAGGAGATAGCAGAGAGGGGCTTCGCGGTGTGGCGGCCCGTGGTCGCGCGAAGGCAGCTCGCGCTGCGCGTGACGCCCTCCGACCTCGCCGCGTTCGTCGCGTTCGACACGAGCCTCGTGTGGAAGCGCTTCCCCGCGCGCGCGGACGTGCTGAGCGTGCACGGCCTCGCGGACGCGGCGGTCCCGCCGTGCGTACTTCCCTGTCCGCGGTTCGCGTGGGAGTCCCACACTCACGCGCACTGAAGGTATGACGCCGTGATCTATGCGCGCGCTTTGGGCGGGCGAACGCCTGGGACGCATACCCTGCACCTGATGGAGGGCGCCGGACACAATTTCGAGGGCCGGACGGAGGAGCTCGTGGGTGACATCGTTTGCTGGTGGAACCCGAGAACCAGGGGCGGCCTGCGTGATGGTGTCTGGGGTGGGCAGGGGAAGACTGATGTTGCATCGCGCCTGTAGCCCGATTTCTCAGCTTCGACTCAATCTGCAGATCACGCGAACCCGAGGTCAGGGGAAAGCCAGCGGTTTCTATTCTAACAGATCCAGGAAGAAGTCCGAGTACATAGGAATACTAGTGGTCGCGGGCGTAGTATAAGGCCGCTTATCAAGGTAAGGTAAGGAGAACAGAGCGAAGTTGAGGATAGTGGGGAACGTGCTACAGGTGGACGATACATAGGAAGTGCATGATGGGCGATCCTTCGAATAGATACATAGTCAGCGGGTGCGTAGAAGATGCGATGTGTCGATGGGTGATGGGGAACGATGATGAGTATCCTGCCGAAGCCGCGGCGCGCCCTGTCCTGCTTCTCCCCCTTCCCGGCGCGTCTTCGTCGGCTCTGCCCCTCGAGGGCATCTTGGGAGATTAGGCGACGATAGCGTATACGCGCATCGCGGCCGTCCGTGATAAATAGAAGGCGGTGGCGGTGGCGGCGAGGCGCGTCCTGGAAGAATAGGTGGCGAGTGTATTGTATGTTGGACGTGTGGAAGGGGAGGGCGCGTCGGAGGGGCCTGTGTGCTTAGAAGAACACGGCGCCTGTCGACGACGCGCCGCCCTTGACTGCGGACGAGCCAGAGCTCGAGCCCGAGCCCTTGGTACCGTTGGACTGGCCAGCCATTGCGATGGTTGTGTGCGAGGTGGGTGAGTGCGCGAAAAGACGATGCAAGAGCGAGGCGAGTCTGAGACTGCGAGTCGTGTGCGGATGTCTGAGCAACGGAGTGTGATGGGCTTGCGAGGCAAGTGGATGAGTGTCCGTTCCTCCCAGACGAGAGCGCCTTATATACCTATGTCGACTTCGCACGGGCGCCTGTAGGCTGTGAATCACTATGCGCCGTGACTGATGGTGACTCGCTGATGGTGTCGGGCGGCTTTCTACTTTGTCATTCCTCTGCGCGCCCGCGTCCGTCCCGACCACGGTGATGGTTTCATTGCGCGCGGAGATCGCGAGATCCTCGTCCATATAGGTGACATTGGCGTCGATGGACGGGTGCTGCGATGGCAGTCAGCGTCACGGTGGTCACAAAAACCGTCACATAATCTTGACTTTTCGGCAGCTCGCGTAGAGTTAATCGGTCGACGGCAAGTGAGGCCGCCTCCAGTGCCTCGGCTGTCCTCTGGGGAGGTACACGTTGACGACATAGGTTTTCGACACTGGATGGGAGGTGGAGATTGCAGCAGTTAACCCCAACTGCCCACGCGCGTTTCACTGCACGGCCACAAGTTATGTCCGGTCGGGCGAAATCAACCAGGGAATGCTGCCACGCTGGCGACTCAGCTGCCCTTGTTCGGAAACCCGCGGCTGTCCATGAGTATAAATCGACATAAACAGCGAAATATGCGGCAAAGCTTCGCGGCTGCGGCGCCGTGAACATGACAGGCGGCGTGTGGGAAGGCTGCTTAAGCGATGGAATCGGGGACTTTGGGTGGCAAGTCGGGCTGGGAGCGCCCCGTGCATATCGCGCCTGACAATGTTGGGATTAGCTAGCCAATTCACTGGATAGGGTAGCGAAACAAGGTACGGGACGCGCGCACGCGCTGGTTTGCGTGTCAGTACGCAGCGTATTGATCCCCGTGAAAGGGCTAAGTAAAGTTCGTGGGAGCGCACCTTCGGCGAAGCCTGGGGAAAGCAATACGTTCAACTGAGGTGCAAGACGGTGATTGCGACCCTGATCGTCAGAGGGCTCGGCGAGCTGAGATTGTGCGGACTTTGCGAGGCCACTGTACGTCTGCAGGTCCCTTGCTTCTGCAATTAATAGCATTCCGTGGAACAATTAACTGCAGTACCGCTTGCGCTGCTGTTGAAGTGGGCATTAAATCCATCGCGATAATCGGTTACGAGGACGCTACTGCCCTAGCGCATTCATCAGTAGATCGTGATAGGATACGGACACGACGTTCCGCACGCACTTGCCACCTCAGCCGCAGGCGAACATATTCGCCGAATCGGTCTCTCCGAGCAGCAACCCGGATAACACATAGAAGACTCGTCATGTCGACAGGCGCCTGCAGTGGTCCGGCGACCGAGGACTTGCGTTCCTGCGATGGGTCGCCCTGGGAATATCAGGTGAGGTCATGCAATTAACGGAGCGCTGCGAAGCACCAGAAGCACCAGTGACCTAATTCGGCATGAAAGCCAGCCCGATAGACCGCTCGATGGTGGAAGCTCATGCACACCGGACTACTATCGGGCAACGGAGCGAAGGTCCCCAGGATTACTGCTTCCGAAAGGTGCATTATGGCGAAGCCTTGGCTACACGAGGAATGCTAGGACGCAAGTGGCAGACCGTCGGAGGGAGGGTTATTTGCGAGGCCGATCCGAGGGCTTGAGTCAGGAGAGCTGATCTGTAGCGCAAATTCGTAAAGTGCGTCGCAGAACAGCCGTGGTCGCCGCGTCCTTGGCTGCAGGAGCTTAGCTCCGTCACCGCATGTGGACTATCGGTGTGGCGCCAGAAGTACGACGTACTATACAGTGCGCGCAGTCCAGAAAGATGGCGTTCCAAAACGCCTGCAAACTTAGTGAGTCGTTTTGCTAGCTGATCTCGGTCGTCTAGGTCGCAAGTGCATTATTGGCGTCTTCCTTCGCTATCTTGCCCGCCAGGTCGAGAAATACCGAGGCAGGTCCCACAGCGGGCCGGCAAAGGCTCACTGATCTGCGCCTGTGTGTCAATGGTATTGAAAGCGTACGAGAGCACGGGCAGAGTTACCTATCACGATTCAATTGCAAAGCCATAAACATAGATAAGAAAGGCCCAAAAACAACAGGAAGGACAGACTCACTTGTCAACTATTCACTTCTCAGACGCCCGCGCAGGAAAGCGCGGTCCCGACAACTGCGTATATTCAGTCCTGCGTGTCTTTCGCGGTGTCTCTCCGGCAGAGGCGTCCCTCGTGCGACGGGAGAGCGGAGGATGCTTCGTCAGCCTGACTCACCGCGAAGAGTCCGTGCCCGAGTCGGATGCCGAGGCGGGACAGCGGTTGACGTCCGCAAGCGCTTGGTCTCTCGTTGTAAGCGCTGCTTGCCTTCTCTAGCGCTTGTTCGCCCGAGGTGCACGGCTGCAGGGCATAGGGCAAGTCAGAAGCAGACCTCGAGACGCTGAGAAAGAGATACTCAGTTGGCCCCAGAATACGATGCGTGAGTGGAAGGGGAATGCCCAGAGAAATCAAAGCTGTGCACAGTAGACACAGGACGAAGGCTTTAGCGCTTGGTGGCGTCATTGACCTTCATCCCGATTAGGCAACGGGCGCTTCTGTGCTTTGCTTCCGCATCATCGAGCGCCGCATTCGTCGTATCGTCGTCCGTCCGCTCGCGTGTCCTCCGTCCGCCTGCGATGGTGGCGGCACCGCCTCCGATGATCATGAACCCATGCCGGTCGGTGATCATGAATTCAAGGCGGTGGTCATAAACCCGAGGCGGTAATCACGAACTCCATGGGCTCACCTAAAGCAGGGTCCCAGGGCTAGCGATCTCGTCGCACAGATCCGGGTGTGACCCTCGCTCCGATCCAGCGATCTCACCTCTCCGACGTGTAGATGGCGTCGGTCGGCTTCAGGAATCTGCGGTCGATTGTGCAGACCTCGGGCCAACGTCACAGATATCGGAGGTCAAGAGCATAGATATCGGAGGTCAATAGCACAAACCTCGAAGGTCAATAGAAGAGACCTCGTAGATCAAATGCAGGGACCTCGTCGGCCAGTTTCAAGCCCGCGCGCGAGGTGGGGTCGCCTTCCAGATAAGGGCTACCATATTGAGCTGTGCTTCTTGCCTCCGCCTTCATTTCGCATTTTGCATCGCAACGCATTGCCTCGCTTGACGCAGCACGCCCTCACGCATTGTCGTCTATAGAGTACATTATATTTTCTGCTGCGTCCTGTAGGCGCGTTAGCTCTTTGATGAATGAAAGATCAAAGAAAAGGCGACGAGGAGTGTAATGCCACGTCGAGCCGATGCGCCAACTGACCCGAAGTTCACAACTTCCCCCTTCCCGCCTCAGCTTCCTTTCTCTTGTCCCTCGGAGCGCATCCTCGCCCACATCTACCGAGATCCTTCCTCAGACCACCTCCACCACAATCTTCCCGCTGTTCGGGGAATTTCTGTCAGCAGAGGCAGTGAATGGATCTTATGATGCGACGCACATATTCTTGTCCGCCTCCATATCTTTGTGCGCCTCTTGGATCTGCGTCCATGGGAATACCTGGGTGACAAAAATCCAGTGAGATCTGGGGTTCATTCATGCAGATCCGCCGGTGTGTACACCGTGCGGATCTACAAGGATACACACCTGGTGTATCGTGGGCGAGATGGGGCCCTCTGCCTGCATCTTCGGCATGACTTCGTGGGCGAAGCTGGGGCGGTGGTTCAACAAAAGTGGTAGACCATGATGGTCGCATACATACCGCTGAATCAGCTCCGCTTGGTACTGCTTGCTGCGCGAGCGAAGCGTACTGCCCTGAATGCGCAGGCGCTTACCCAAAATCGGCGCGAGGTCAAAGTCGGGCACCTTCCCGCCGCTCAAGAGACCCTGCAAGCTGAGTCTTCCGTCCACGGCTAGCGACTTGATGTTCTTCTGCCAGTGGCTCTGCCCGACGAAGTCGAGGATCACGTCGACACCCCTGCCGCCTGTCTCGCGCTGGATTTCGGCGGCGAAGTCCTGCGTCTTGTAGTTCACGCCGTGGCTGGGGCCGGCGGGCATCGACTTGAGCGTGGCGAGCTTGTCGTCGGAGCCGGCGGTGACGAAGATGCGGTTGCTGGGGATGTGTCAGGGTGAGGGAGGTGGGTATATGCGCCCGAAAATGTACTCACGCGCCGTAGAGGTGCGATAGTTGGGTGGCGGCGATGCCGACGCCGGATGCGCCAGCGTGGATGAGAACGTCCTCACCCTTCTGCAGATTGTTAATGGTGATGAGGCTTTGGAAGGCTGCGAGTCGTGTCAGTGCCTTCGACGTGTCCATCGCACGCTCAGACTATGATCACCCACCCGTCAACCAGACCTCCGGGATCGCAGCGGCCTGCACCCAGGACAAGCCCTCCGGCTTGGGGAACAGATGCGTGGCGGTCACATTGATGAACTCGGCGTACGCGCCCTGAAACCGGATTAGGCGCCCATCCGCTCCGCGTGGCACGGCCCTGGACCTACACCGCCGACGAGCCCCATCACCTCCGCGCCCTCCTTCCACATCTCGACGCCCGATCCGATCTCGACGACCACGCCCGAGAACTCGACGCCCATGATGTCTGACGCGCCGGGGGGTGGCGGGTAGTTCCCCTGGCGTTGCAGGATGTCGAGGCGGTTCAAACCGAAGGCTTTGATCTGCGCCGATAGCGAGGTGGATTTGGGTTAGTGGATGGTGGGTTATGGAGGGGATTGTTGCGACACGATGGTGCGCGGGCGGGAGGGGGGTGGCGGGCATACCTGTACGAGGACCTCTCCTGCTGCGGGGGTCGGCTTTGGGGCCTCGCCGATGTATAGGTTTTCTGCGGGACCTTTGCCATCTTTGATGAGGACTGCGCGCATCGCTTTGTTTCTGCTGCGAGGGAATGGGATTTCCGATAGATGGAAGTTGAGAACAAAGAACAATGGCGCTCTTCAATACTTCTACAGCCGGTTATCAGGTGGGCCGAAGCTTCGTCAGGCTTCGTCATCGTATCCGCGCGTCATCGGGTGCGAGGGCTTCCTCATCGTTGAGCACAGCGGTCTCGAAGGGTCCAGCACACCAAGGATGTAGATCATTGCAGGAAAAGTACAAGGATAAGCAGGTGTTGGCGGAAATGGACAGCGGGCGCGCTGCCAAGGGAGATCAACAAGGTCATGTGATCCCATCAAACTGGACCCACAACCACCAGCAACATTGAACACAGGCGTCCGTCTACGACCGCGCCTCAGTCCTCCTCGTATATGTCATCGTACACCACGATCTTGTCTATATCTGCGACGAGACCTGAGGAAAATCATGCTTGTCAGCCTGATGCGACTCCTTCAGCCCGTAACCGGACGCACCGGAAATCCCGGCGATCGTCAGCGTGTTCTCCGACCCCGGTGCGAACGTGACGTTCAGCGGCTGGCTCAAGAGGATCCCAGAGCTACCGCTGAGCTGCCTGATCTGAGCCGGGTCCTGATCATTCACCGAAACGGTCGCGTTGCGCCACAGTATGAATATTTGGCCAGTACCGGAGCGGTTGTCGCCCCCTGCGGATGTGGTGTCAAATCAAATGATGCAAGGAAGCGCGAGAGATCGAGAGAATTCGGGATGGGAGTGATCAAAGGGGAAAGCTTACATAGACCATCGGGATTGTGGTAGTAGACCGAGACCCATTGCGGGTTTCCTGTGCCTGTAATGCCCGTGAAGGTGACTGAGGAGTTGGCGTCGACTGAGGAGGCTTGTGAGCAGGGAGGTCACGCATGAGGGAGAACGACTGACTTCCTGTCACGATCGCGTTATTTGCACAGGATGGCTGTAAAAACCTCGTCAGCAACCGTGAACAGGAGAGACGCAGGAGGACAACGGAGGAAATAACAAAAAATGAAGGCAAAAACTACTCACACAAGTCGTCACATATGCCGAGCCACTCAGCACTCCGTCCTCTGCTTCGTACACCGTGCCTTCCGGGTAGGTGACTTTGCCGGTCTGGGTGTCAATAGAGTACAGGTCGTGCCAGTCGATGGTGAAGGAGCTTATTGACTCGTCGATGGTTGCGGGGAGCCACATGTACCTAAGGGGCGCAGCGTCAGTCTATATGGTTGTATGGGTCTGGCAAGGAAGCAGGGCGAAGCAACAAGTAAAGATAAGTACTCACCGACTATCGTAGAGCGTCTTCGCGGTCGCCCACTGGTCGCCGCAGTAAAGATGCGTAGTGGTAGAAGAGCCGTCGACGGTGATCCCCATGGTGCTCTGCGAGTTAAAGGTACGGGTGCCGAGTCTGGAGTGCAGCGCGTTAGTCGTTGTCGACATGCCATCGTGGATGACCGCATAGGGCGAAGATAGCAAGCGATGACTTCCAGCCAAGACAACGACCACAACCAAAACTGGGAGCACAAGCTGAACACTCACGGCGCGATGAAACTCTGAATCGACCACGGGCCCGCGATCTTCTCCGCGGAGAAGACCACGACGTTGTTCGACCGATACCCCGACTTGTGCGACATGAGGATGTAGTAGTGGGTGCCGGTGTAAATTATGGCAGGCGCTTCCAGGTCGAAGTCTGGATGGGGTGGTCAGGAAGGGTCGGATCGAGAGGGAGAGGGGGGAGAAAAGAGGAGGATAGAAAGGGAGAGAGATGGAGAACACCCATACCAGGGAAAGTATACACGACTTCCTCAACATCGGTGAAGTTAGAGTTCATGCGGGCGATGATGTTGTCGTGGGCCTCGGTAGCGTCGCCGTTGCTGTACAGGGCGTAGGTCTGGCCTATCGGGCAGATGATTAAATGGAGAGTTTATCGAAGGAGAGACTCTACGCCTAACTTACCATCGACATCCTGGAAAAGCCCAAAGTCCTGGCTTGTCCCACCAAGCGGGTTGAAAGCGCGCTGGAAGGTATATGGACCAGTGATATTGGGACTCGTCGCAATCCCCTGCTGCAGCAGCCCATAGCTAGAGTTATCCGAGTGAAACCACAGGATCCACTCCTGCGTCTCCTCGCTGAACACGACCTTGGGACGCTCGGCAACGCGGGAGGCGTCGATATCGGTGCCGTTGACGGGGCTGAGGGCGCGTCCCTCGTTCTTCCAGTTGAGGAGGTCGGAGGAGGAGTAAACATTGAGGCCTGGTGAGGGGTGTAAGGCTTAGCAGTCGTCATGAGAAATGCAAGAGTAGAGCATACCCGAGAACAGGTTCTTGTCTTCCTCGCGCTCGTCCTGGCCAAACCAGTACCAGGTACCGTTGGTCTGTACAATCCCGCCCGCGTGCGCGCTCAAGACTGCGCCGTCGGTGTCGTACCACGTCGCGCCTGGCACGATGTACTTGTTCTTGCGCGCCTGGGCGAGGCAGGATGTGGCTAGGAGGTAAGCTAATGAGCGCATCTCGCCGTCTTCGTTGCAGATAGAAGCAGTCCGCTATGCAGGAGATGAAGGGCGCGGAGATGGTAAGAGGTAAGTCGTAGTTATAGGTAAGAAGCCAAGAGCTCCCGCCGAGCACAAATACGCGTGTATGAGCCGGAGAAACCAGTGATTCGCGTCATGTCGCGCGTTTAGGTACGGCATGTGAGGGCGAAGCTGGGTGGTGAGCGGGCCGGGGATGGTCATGCGCGAGATGAGCTTCGAATGCCCTCGTCGAAGAAGTCCGCATGCTTGTCGGTACGAATGCCTTCCACAACCTGAGCAGAGCTGTAGTGCTGCTATGTATATTTTCGAGAGATATCGTCCTGTACGTGACACTGTGCGCTTGACAAGTGGATTCAAGACGATGGTTGAGAGCAACTACGCCCGGGGATTGCCGAGTTCGAAGCGTCCGGGCCGAGCGGGGCGTCGGTCCTCGGACTTCGGGGATGGCACACGTGCGAGTTCCTTGACTTAAACCGTGACACTGACGGTTCATGAAGTTGCTGGCACGGTGTCCGACCCTCAAATTTTGAGCTAACACATCTGAAAATCTCTGTGCTTTTTCAGCTTGAGGGTCAGCTTGAGGGTCCTCAAAGTGAAGGCTCTGCGTCGGAGCTTATTCACCATCCTCGAGGCGATAACTCGCTGTTCCTATCTCAGGCATGTCGGCTTTCGCTGGGTGCACTACAGCGGCGTCACACGCTTCCTTCGCATCTTATCATATCTCTGAGGCCGCATTGCATCCTTTTCCTTTGACCACATCGCTCATCTGAGCGGCGATGGCAAGCTTGAAAGCACTACTCCTTTTCGCCTCACTGTGCACGACATGCGCGGCGCACGGGCTACATGGTGAGTTCAGCTGCTTTCAAATGGTATTTTTCTCACCAAAAAACGCTCAGCCCGCGATGATTACGCTCAGCAGCAGGTCTTCGCAAGCTATCAGCAGCAGCCTCTTCTACCTCACGCCGAATCTGGTGTCGAGCCGCCACCACTAGAGGTCGAGCCTCTGATGGTCTATGGCTCGTCTGACAATCGCGTGGATATGGTTTTCTTCTCTGATGGCTGTAGGCGTGCTCCTCTTTCACTGAGGATCAATCAGTCTCTTACGACGCGACAGACGTCCAAGACGAGAAGCAGCGCTTCATCAACGATGCATATGCCCTCGCTCTCGAGATCACGGGGAATCAGACCTTCAACACGGTCAAGCCGCTCTTGAACATCTGGGCGGCGTTCTCGCCCAGTGGTGAGGTATGCATGTTGTCGCTCCTACTCCCCTTGTCACACAACGATACTCGCAGAGCGGACTAGGGCAAGATGGGGTTCTGAAGGAGTAGGTGCTCAACTCTGATGGCTTGGGGCGCAATATTGACATGGATAGCACACCGTTCGGCCTGTACCGCAACGGGACTGAGCTGCGAGCTGTTTACTATGGTAAGCCGGAGGTGGCAGACGCTGCTTGCAAGTCTCTGGGAAGTCAATGTGACTATCCCATCTTGCTCGGTGAGGCCTTTCATTCGCATCTGTATCTCGACTGGCTGAAGTAACCACTCACCTCAGGCAACAGTCCCTTGTATGGAGGTGCGTTGCGGAGTTCCTACCAGGCCCTGGTCCCTCTGACGTACGCCAGGCCTTGGAGGGCGCTTCACGTACGTCGAGGCCTCCGCACAGCGCTCTCGATGCTCACTTCCGTAGCGTGATCACCAACTCGGTCGCCAACGGCCCCCTCATCCTCCGCCACGAACTCGGCCACTCCATCATCCCCGTCGGCGAAGAATACGACGGCGGCTTCGCCTACTTCGGCGTCAACGCGGCCGACGACGCCGACTCTATTGGCTGGACCCACTGGCTCACCAACTCCACCTCGCGCACAGAGCGCTTCACCACGCCGCGCATCGAGCGCTCCGTCATGCCCATGCAGACCTACCCGTGGACGTTGCTGAACACCACCACTCCTTGGTCCGTTACCTTCGACTCCGCCGGCGTATACTCGAAGTATCTCGTGCGGTTCTCGCTCTCGGGCCTGCCGGAGAGGGGCGATGCGAAGGTGCGGATTGACGGGAAGGATCTGGGGTGGGAGCCGAAGGTGGGGATTGGGATGGATCGGTGGCATTATGATTTTTTGGTGGGGGAGGGGTTGGCGGGTGGGAGCCATGAGTTGGCGTTTGAGCTGGTGAATGGGGAGAGGGAGGGGGAGGCGCAGCTGTGTAATGCGGAGGTGATTGAATATGGGGATGACGAGGAGTGAGTAGGGTTCGGATACGTTGAGGGAGAAGAGGAACTGATGAGTGAACAGGTTCGACATGACGCCGGGGACGATCAGCATTTATCCGACGTAGTGGTCTCCTTTGTGGCGTCGTTGGAATGCGTTGCTGATCAGCGTGTATAGGTACTCCGAGACGAACACCACGACCTACCGCCCCACGAACGAGGACTGTCTCATGCGCCTCGTCACTGCGTCCAGCTTCTGCAAGGTCTGCCTCGAAGGCCTTTGGCTCACGCTCCTCAAGGACGTCGACCTCATCGACGGCTTTGAGGAGAACTGTGGCATCGGTGGTGGCACACTCGCGCTGCAGCTCGTCCCCGTGGGCCAGTTCCGCGAGGCCGATGCTGGTATTGAGGAAGTGTACACGATTTCGTGGTTCAGGGATGGTAAGGAGCTGCCGGACTGGGCGAACCTGACAACGATCGAGGTCGGGGCGGGGGAGACGTACGACGTGGAGGTGTCGTTCTGGACGGAGGAGGTGCGGGTAGATAAGGAGGGGAGGTTGAAGACGAGTGCGAGTTATACGACGGGGGAATGTTGAAGGGGTTGACGTATGTAGTAGATCATCATTTGTAGCAAGCAGAAGAATACTGTCATTCGGATACATTCGATATGTTTGTTTACAAAGACCAAGCTCTAGCATGCGCAACATTCGGCGCATCTTCATATTCAACCCTGGATAGGACCCTTCTTTTTCTGCTCCTCCGTGACGAAAGGGTAGTCGATGTACCCTTTGGGCTCGCCTGGGACATAGAATAGGTCGCGGTTGTACGGCGTCAGCTTCCAGTCGTGCTTCCAGCGCTCCACTAAGTCAGGCTAAGACAGCGCCGTCAGCCAAGTCCCTGTAGACAGCGAACGAAGCGGACGGCCGTGAAGGCCTCGACACTCACATTCGACACAAAATACCTCCCCACCGCAATCAGATCCCCCTTCGTCTCCGCCACCTGCACCGCGAGCTCCTGCGAGTACGCGCCGCAGCTGATCAGCGGGCGCGGCGCCCACACCGCGCGGATGAAGTCGTTCGACCGCGAGGGGTCGAACTCCTCGGGCGGGACGGTCATGATGCCGTTCACGCGCGGCTCGACGACGTGGATGTAGGCGAGGGTTGGGTGGGCGGCGGCGATCTGCGAGACGAAGTGACGGAATTGGGGGACGGGGTCATTCATGCCCATACCTGGGGATGGGGTGTTAGTGGGGTTCGTGGAGGAGAGGGAAAGAGGGAGGAGGGGGAAGAAAGGACAGGACAGGACAGAACAGGACAGGACAGGACAAGAGAGGTGAAGCGTACCTTTGCCGGTGTCCCAGGGGCTGAGGCGGATGGCGGTGCGCTCCGCGCCGATGGTCTTGACGACCGCGTCGATGACCTCGAGGCCAAAGCGTGAACGGTTCTCGATGCTGCCGCCGTACTCGTCCGTGCGCTTGTTCGAGACGTCTTGGAGGAACTATTCGTCGACTCGTCAACAACAGCGTCCTCTCCCACTAGAAAGAAGCCGACTAACCCCGTCAATCAAAAACCCATTCGCGCAATGAATTTCCACGCCATCCAGACCAGCCTTGACGGCGTTGACCGCAGCCTGGGCGAACCACTCAATGTACTGCTTGATCTCGTCCTTGGTGATCTCGCGCGGTGTCTCCGGGCTATCCGGCGTGGCCTTGATGGCCGAGGGGGCGACGTAGTCGAAGCCGCCCTTCTTGAGGATGGAGGGCAGGGCGCCGCGGCCAGCGGCCCAGATCTGGGCGAAAATGAAGCTGCCCTTCGCGTGAACGGCGTCGGTGACCTATGAATTTACTTAGATCGTGTCGCTTGTCAGCCAAGATACATAGGACAAGTACTGACCACCTTCCACCCGGCAATCTGCGCGTCGTTCCAGAGACCAGGAACGCAGGGAATGCCACCGGCGGGAGGAGCAATCTGGGTGCTCTCCGCAATAAGGAGGGTCCCGGGAGTGCTGCCGCGCTGAGAGTAGTACTCCGCCGAAATGGGAAGGGGAATGCCGTCCGGGGTATTGCGCAGGCGACTCATAGGCGCCAGGACGACGCGATGCTGAAGGGTGAGATTGCCCACCTTGATGGGCTGGAAAAGCTTAGGAGCAGTCATGGCAACTGGAGCGGCTTGTATCAGGCGAGGAGAGATGTTGTAGAGAAGGGGAGAGCAGTGGATGTTGAACCATGGCTTTCTGCTTGGCTTTTATGGCCTAGGCGAGTGGGTATGACCTGCTACCTAAGTTGAACATCGAACACCTAAGGGAAATTACGCCTTGCATTGGAAGATGTGTAAGGTCAGGGGAAGCACCCGAATGTGCCCAAACCCAAAGATGGCGAGCTCGGGGGAAAGCCCGATTGTAGCGGGGAAGGAGCGATCGGCAGAACGTGGTTGGCTGCCCCGTCGGCAATTATTCTATAGACAGCACAATGGCATCCCGGTGCGTGCGGAGTACATTCTATAGATGTGGATACTTTTCCGTTTGCGTTGGTTGTATGATGCACAGGGCCGGGTGACGGCGAGAGGAAAGTTCAACACGCAAGTTGCCGAACCTGCACCGCCACCATGGCACGCCACGCGGCCACGTGATTGCGGAACGTAAACCGACGTTGGCACCGTCGAACCTGCTCCGGACCATCACGCCGACCGTCGAGCGCCATCCCTCGAAGCCCCTCCAACCGCAGCGATGGCCACAATTGGAGCAGTGACACGCCAAATAGCGGCGCTCGAGATCTCGTCCAAGAAGCCCGCCACCGCATCATCATCATCCTCGGCGAACCCTGTGCGCCCGGGACACTCCAAGCAGCCTTCGCAGGAGAAGGTGACAAAACTGCTGTCGAAATTCGCCGCGCCTGTGAACCCCAATGGGACCTCAAAGCTCGCGCCCTCGTCCTCCTTGCGGAAACAGATGAACGAGGCGAACCAGACACACGCCTCCGAGGCCGCCCCGCACAAGAAGGCGTCGCCCGCACCGCCAGAGAAGCCGATCGACATCGGCAAGTACGATGGGGGGCTGGAGAAGGAGAACGAGGAGCGCGGGGAGCAGGTGTACGGCGACGCCGCGAAGCAGCTCGCCCTCGACTCGAGCGTGGCAAAGTGCGTGTCCAACCTGCTGTGCACCTGCACGCATACTAACGCCCGTCAGCAGGCGCTACCCGACGCGCGAGTGGACGCTGCACGACTTTGACATCGGGCGGCCGCTGGGCAAGGGGAAGTTTGGGCGCGTGTACATGGTGCGCACGAAGGCGGAGCCCAAGTACATCCTCGCGCTCAAGACGCTGTACAAGTCCGAGATCGTGCAGTCCCGCGTCGAGAAGCAGATCCGGCGCGAGATCGAGATCCAGCAGAACCTGCGGCACCCGAACGTCCTGCGCCTGTACGGCTACTTCCACGACGAGAAGCGGATATTCTTGATGCTCGAGTTCGCGGGGAAGGGCGAGTTGTACAAGCAGCTCTCGAAGCATGGGTGCTTTTCGGAGAAGCGCTCGGCGAGGTACATCGACCAGATGGCGGACGCGCTCACGTACTTGCATGGCAAGCACGTTATCCACCGGGACATCAAGCCGGAAAACTTGTTGCTGGGGATTAACGGCGAATTGAAGATTGGCGACTTCGGTTGGAGCGTGCATGCGCCGGGCAACCGGAGAAAGACCATGTGCGGAACGCTGGACTACCTCCCGCCGGAGATGGTCGAGCAGAAGGAGCACAACGAGCGCGTCGACCACTGGGCACTGGGTGTCCTGACGTACGAATTCTTGATTGGCAACCCGCCTTTCGAAGATAGAGATAGCGTTAACAGTGGGTACACTCTGACCGCACCGCTGACATTGTCTCACGGCCATCCACAGATACATACCGTCGCATCGCAAGTGTCGACCTGAGATTCCCAAACCATATGTCGTCTGATGCGCGAGACCTTATCTCGAAGGTGAGTGCCCCGTCCGCTCTGACCTGGCATATCGCCGTACTTACGCGCACTCGCAGCTATTGAGACACGACCCGCAAGACCGCATCTCCCTTGCTGAGGTCATGAAGCACCCATGGATTGTCAAGTACCGTCCAAAGGGTCAGATCCGGCCCAGTCAGCTCGGCATGTAGATGGCCTGCGACACCCGCTCTTTCGTCTCGCCCTTCGCACATCGACTGCTATAGACCTCTTAGTTACGTACTGCATACCCAGTCGTCGACTGCGCCTCCGCTCTATGCACCATACATACGCGCTTGCATACCCTCAGCGTCACTCGCGATATTGGTTGGGTCTAGCGATTATGCCTGCTTTTCGTCCTGCCTGCTTTCCGTCCTCCTATGTAACACCAACACTATGTATCGCCTCCATTAGATAGCTAGCCTCGTTCCCCAAATGCTTTGTCGTCTCTTTCGGTCGTCTTCCAGTTATGTGTTTGACCGATGCGACGGACTGGTTTTTCTGGATACGAATCTGTTGAATATCCGTGCGACTCCTCAAAGGATGGCTTGCCTGGTATGTCTCCGCATTCTAGACGTTCCCCTGACAGAGAAGACAACAAAAGCACCCCTCCGACAAGTCCAACAAATGTCAAGTTGAACTTCAACAAAACGCGTCTCGACGCGTGACGTCATGGTCTAGGTAACGCGCCGCCAGCTCCCACGGGACCCGCACCTTGACGACGACGGTGGCAGGGTACAAATTGCAACCACCCTTTGCCCTCGACCGCCATCGACTCTTGTTTCTTCCGACCACCATCTCGCTTGCTCGCCACTCAGACTACTTTTCTCCCCCTGCTTTTTCCGCGCGTGCATTCTAGGCTCCAGCTCAGCGACACTCGACTCCAACGATATTCGACTCCCACGAACCTCTCTAGTTCCCCCTGCTCCGAATAAGGATGGCTGGTGAGTGGGGTGGCGGGTATGTGAGGGGGGATGGTTGGACTGAATGTGGCTTTTTTGCAGGTACCAAGCGCTCTGCTGAGGCCCCCGCGTCGCGCGCGTCCAAGGCGGCGAAGACTGACGCGAAGGACTCGCCCTCGAACGCGAAGAAGGGCGCGGCGAAGAAGAACGGCAAGGTGGTGAGTTGCTGATCGACGTTGCACGTTCCCCTCCCCCCTCCCCCTTGTTCCGACTGCGTGAAATGCTGGTTATCGGCCCCCTCGCCCGCGCTGTGTGCAACGAACGCGATCACTAACGCCCACCCAAGCCCCCCAAGTCCGCTGACTTCAAGGCGTCTGCGATGCCCCTCCACCTCAACATCACCCACACCCCGCCCGCCATCTCCGAGAAGCCGTCCTCTGGTGGCAAGCCCGCCTCCAAGGGCAAGCCGTCCTCCAAGGACGCAAAGGACAAGGAGGAGACCGTGAGCGTCGCCTCGACAGACCCGGGCTTCCTGGGCTCGATGACGCTCGTGCCGACGGTGTTCAACACGGGGAGCTACGGGTGGAAGGGGAACAAGCGCATCCAGGTCGAGATCATGAACTCGGAGACAGGCGTGAAGGAGAAGGTGCAGGTGCAGATGACGTGAGTGAGGTTTCTTTTGGATGAGGTGGCGCGCGTGGATGACCGGTCGCCGCTGGGCGGTTGGAAGATGGGTGTGCTGACGAGTGCTTACAGGTTCAACGCGACCGTGCTGGGCAGCAAGGATGCGGACAAGGAGGCCGCCGCCGACGCGGACAACGGCAAGGAGGAGGAAGAGGAGGCCGCCTCTGAGTAAGAGAGCTACGACCCTGGAGCTCTATTGCGGAGTGCTGGGAGAGAGGCCCTCGCCGCCGCTGCTGCTAGCGTCGAAGAGAAGGATAAGCGTGTTTGCCGCGCCCCAAGTGATATATGTGCACGACTATCTGACGACTATCTGTTATGACTTATCTTAGCCAGTTGTACATGGCTTGTAATATGGAACATAGGGTGTGCTTTGTCAGACTACGACTTGTTGTGCTTCGATGCTCGAGCTTGTCCCTCGCTCATTCTTGACTGGAACCTGTCCTTCGCCGAATCGAGTTCAGCGGTGCGCCCATGTGCCCACACGGACCTACAAGCGTAAACAAATGTCGTGATAGCACAACAAATGCACAGCCATGCTTCGCCTAGACCTGCTGTTCTCGACGACCCGATCAGCTTCCTGCCCTCAGCACCCACTGCACGCTTGCTAGGTATTCCTCGTTCATACTCACTCAGCTTGCTGAAGCTGACATCAAACCCTTTGTAGAACCCTTGACAGGACTCAGGCCTATAGCCATCCTGCCCGTACACCCACAACTGGCAACCCTCCGCCCATCACCAGCAGCTCATTCTCGCTATCCAGTTCACATAGCTGTCTTGCTCTCTATCTCGCTTTTATTACTGCTGTCCTCCTTGCTCTCTGAACACTTCAATGCCCGTTCCACTGCCAACTTCCAGCCTCCCGATCACCTTCCGCACCCCTGCACGGGGCCTATCCATCTCTCGCCAGACCCCCCTCCCCCTCAAAGACATCCAGCCCACTCCAATCAACACTTCTCAGCCCTCACACACATCTATGTCAACACACACAGTGAAGAAAACCCCTCATTACCACTTATCCCTCCCGGATGCCTACAATGCTGCTGCCTCCAATAATGCAGCACCCTCACCTCATGCAGGCATACATCCTGTGCCTATACCCAGGCCCTGTCCCTCTGGCAAGAGGTCCGGAGCACAGGAATCCTCTACGCCAACTGCACGGCCCTCCCAACATCCTGCTCCTTCTGATTGCCCTCCTCTGGTAGATGTTCAGAAGTGCAGGAGACTTACGGATTCCAAAGCTATTGCTGCTGCTCAAGCACAGCTGGCTTTGCATCTGTGGAAGACTCAAGATTGCACTCCTGCGGAAGCTGCTTATGCTTCTGGTTCTGCTTTGTATGCCATACGGGTCCCACCACCTAGGCAGGCCTTTCTGGGGGCTCTTGCACAAGCTGGCCTGGGGGTGGAGGAGGAAGGAGATGGTACAAGAACATCCCTGAAATCTGCTTCACCGGAAGATGATCCTGGTATACCAAATATGGAAATTGTGAGTTTGAAAGAAAAACATTACGTGAAGATTAACTAAACGATTTGGTGTGCAGGAAGCTAAAAGTCTCTCTTTGGAGAAAGCCTTGCATAAGCCGGGCTCCAGAGATTCCGACTTGGTTGGCCCATCTCAGAAAGCACTTGGGAAGCGGAAGCGCACTGGGAACGACCGGGGTTCGAACAATGATTCATAGGTACGTGACTAGTGTGCGACAAGTGTCACGCAACGCGCTGTTGCTCACGAAACCGCAAGGGTGCGTCGCGTGTTGGCCTAAACGGAGGGCCAGAATGTCTTCGAGGACGAGAATCGAGAGAGACAGTTGCATGGGGGGCCTGGAAGGAGATTTCGCCAAACAAAAGATTTCGCAGGACGAAAGGGGGGATTGAACTTGAAATGATGATGTGCGCAACGATTGCATTCTGAAGCGACCTCGATGCTTTGTGGTCAAGGCAAGGGCCAGAGCGGGCGCGAGCGGTGCGTAAGGTGGTCAACTGGGCGAAAAATTGTGGTATCCTATCGCTGGTGATGGCGGTCGAAGGCAAGACGCGACAACGCGAACCCCGGCCCGGAGACGCCGGGCCTCTTGTTCGGCCCCCGTTTGCATGTCCGTCTGGTCGGTGACGGCGCCGTTCTTGAACGATACCACCATCTTCATACGGAGCCAGTGCTTTCTGGGCGCGTATTTCCCCTCGTCGTAATTACATCCTTCATACCGTTGATGCAATGTGCCTTCAACGTCAGGGTTATCGCCTCATCAGCGTCTTGGCGTTCCCTTTCCGCCCGAAATATGCCCTGGTCTCTTCGGAGCGGAGTTGGTGTGAACTTCCGTCCGCGAAGTCTCTTCATTCTAGCTGATCAATCGTCTTCAGGACGGAAGACTTGAGGTCAACGCGCTTATGGACATCTCCCGTGTGAGCGGCTATCTGTTGCTTGTGTGAACTCAGACGCCGTCTGAACCTGTCAGTTCGCTTTTGCCGAATCAGCTCTCCTTCCCGACCACGAAGGTGCCCGCATTGATACAGCGTGCGGGAAGACACAGTGCACCTCTAAAAGTAGGCCTTTGGCCCACCTTCGCTAGTTGAGTTTCCCCTTCTCTGTTCTCGCTGTCTCTTCTCTTGCTCGTCTTTCCTCCCTCAGTCGTCGCGCCTCAATTGGACGCTGACCCCGCCCTCCACGTGTAACTCTCGGCCTCGGGTGCCTGACAACCCGCCTCGACGTCGGTATCATTGTACACTGCCACAATTCAGTAAGTCCGCCTCGCTGGTGCCTTCCAATCGGATCCCTTTGTCCTTCCGCCGTTTCGAGCGCGCCGTGCCAAGACGTGAGACGGATCCGCCCATGATTCCAGCCCATATTCCTCAGGTTTCCGACGCCGGGCGGCTCTGGGGCGGCTCAGAACGACGAGAGAGCGGCTAAACGTCGCACGTTATCATCATTTTTTTCATGTTCGGCACATCCGGCTACACGAGGGCAACCAGCGAAGATCCATCAGGTCCGCCACCAGAGCCATAAGAACTCGGGCGGCCGCTGGTAGGTTTCTCTCCCCTTGCTTCCCACCACGTCGCGCCCCGCGTTTCCCTCCTCCCTTATCTAGCTCGCTCCCGGTAGAGCCTGCGCCCTCCCCCTTTCGCTCCCTTGCACCCCTACGTTCGTTTCGTGGACGCGTACCGCTCTACCCACCCTCCGAGTCTATTACTCGCACCCGACACTCCCTTACGAACGGACCGCTCCGCAATCACGCGCCAAGATGACTACCTTCACGCTCCGTGCCACGGCTCTCTTCCTCCTCCATCTTCTTGCCTTCATCGCCATGGGCCCGTCGACCGTCTTTGCGCGCCCCATCGCCGCCGTCCACCGCCGCCTTGGCCGCCGCGCCCAGTGCTCCTCTGACCTCCCCGACTGGGGCTTCGGCCCCCACCACCGCGCTATCCGCACCCTCAACGTCGCTGGTGCCGACCGCCAGTACCGCGTGCACCTCCCCGAGGACTACCCCGCTGAGGGCGGCCACGCCGTCGTGCTCTCCTTCCACGGGAACGGCGGCACTTCGAAGCACCAGGAGACCGCGACGGAGCTATCGCACAGTGACGTGCGCATCAACGGCAAGGGCATCATCGCGGTATACCCGCAGGCCTCGATTGGCGTCGGCCGCAAGGGCGATGGCTCCGATGCCAAGGCCAGCTGGCAGGGTGCACCATACGCCGCTGCCGAACCTCACGATGTGCGTGTCACGCTAACACTTCCCTTCCTCCGCTAACCCACTCCCAGATCGAGTTCACGATGCAGATCCTCGACGACCTCGAGGCGAACCTGTGCGTGGACTCGTCGCGCATCTACGCCTCCGGCAAGTCCAATGGCGGCGGCTTCGTCAACCTCCTCGCGTGCACGCCCGAGGCGACCGCGCGCATCGCCGCCTTCGCCATGTCCTCGCCCGCGCTCTACCCGGGCACGCGCCCGGACACCTGCGCGCCCGACCGCCAGATCCCGATCCTCATCGCGCACGGCACGAGCGACGGGACGATCCCGTACGGCGGGCGCCGCTGGGGCACGCCGTACGAGGTGCCGAACATCGACGACTTTGCGAAGGGCTGGGCGAGCCGCAATGGACTCGTGGCGGATAACTTCGGCACGGCGGAGCCTTTTACGCGCACGGAGCTGTGGGCGTGGGGCGGGGAGGGGGCGCGGGATCGCGTCGAGCGCCTGAAGGTGGATGGGCTCGAGCACGTGTGGCCGAGTCTCAAGGGCTTGGACCAGCTGGGGAAGGTCGCGCCGTTCGAGTTCACGGCCAGCGCGATGATGCCGTTCTTTGACAAGTACTCCTTGTGAGGCGGCTGCACCACTATGGTTCTCACCTCTGCCCGCGTCATGCGAACAACTTCCGTTCCGTGAGACGGACATTCGACATGGGCCGTCTCACTGTGTCCTCTGACATGGGATTTTGTATGTATTTATTGGCTGGTTCCCTCTGCTTTGCTCTGTACTTACTCGCTTATACCTCACCTCGAGACTACGGCCTCAATTTGGTCTGTGGACAGACCTTCCCCCCTATGATGACTTCCAACCCGACTGCCATTGACTGTATCTACGCAGGACGTACTAGTAGATAGAATAGACAATGACGAGCCGTGCTCGCCCTTCACGAGTCTGATGTTACTTTCGCACATTATGAAAAGCACAATCACATTCCCAAGAGTCTTCATTGACCTTGCAGCGCCTTCTGCTGAGCGAGAAGAGTGGTTGACGCTGCTGGGCAGCCCTTTCCAGGACCTGCGAAGAGATTAGCTCCCGTTAAGCATTTGGTCCCGTTAGGCGTTAAGCTTCAGCTCCTGTCAAAGATCCTCCCCCCGAAAGCGACTTCGACATTGCCTTGACGAGTCGCCGGATTGTCCAAGCTGTAGCCGAGATGGCAGAAGAACGCCGGCGTTCTCTGATGGAATCAATAGATAAATAGTACTCACCGTCTAGGTTCTGTAGAGTGACCAGCGATGCCTGTATGCGCGCGATCTGGTCCTCTGCCGAGTCGCCTGTTGGGAACGCGCCAATCTTGACGTCGGGGTTGTTCACGGCGAAGCCGGCTGCGACGTTGGCGGAGAGGGACTGAGGAACGGACAGTGAGTGAAAGGCTCGAATTTATAACTTGAAGATGACGACTGGACACACCTGGATGAACGTATCCTTGTCCGGTGGGCACTGGCACGGAATCTTCACGGGCTTCCCATCCGCGCCCGCCACGCCGTCGCAGTCGCCAGTGCCAGTTGGGTTCGTCCCGGCCTGAATGCCAAAGTCGGGGACGAGGGCGGGGTCGATGTTGGCGGAGGTGCCGGATGCTGAAGAGGACGCCGCAGGTGCAGCTGACGATGCTGCGGCTGGGGAAGACGCGGCCGGTGCGGCGGCGGCAGCTGTAGCAGGTGGGGAGGAGGCCGGGGCGGACAATGCAGCGCTGCTCGCACTACCACCCGCTTGGATAGCCTTCTGCTGCGCCAACAACGTCGTGCTAGCCGCAGGGCACCCCTTCCCTGGCCCGTCTAGGTTCTGCAGCGTCACGAGCGAGGCTTGGATGCGCGCGAGCTGCGACTCGGTCGAGTCGTCCTCGGGGAAGGAGACCGCGACGGAGGGGTTGTTGACGGCTTTGCCGGCTGCGACGTTCGCATTGAGGGACTAGGGACGTGTAAGGGGGTGTACAAGGACCCATGTAGCCAGGTCGCCGAACTTACCTTCAGGAAAGTATCTTTATCCGGCGGGCATTGGCAAGGGATCTTCACTGAGTTGCCGTCTGCGCCTGCTATTCCGTCGCAGTCTCCAGTTCCTGTCGGGTTCGTCCCAGCCGTGACGCCGAAGTCAGGGACGAGAGAAGGATCGACGTCGCGGCGGACGGGGCGCGCGAGCGCCGTGCTGAAGGCCGTGGCGAGCAGGGTGAGGGAAAGGAGCTTCATGTCGAGGCGAATGTGGAGAAGTAGGCGATCGAAGATGTCGGGCAAGTGAAGAAAGACCGAGTCTCGGAGTAGGCCTGCCTGCAAAGATGAAAGGATAGAAGCGAGTGCGAGCTGAAGGAAAGTAATCGACAGGCCTGCCTGTGAGAAACGAAGGGTGAAGAGCGAGCGAGAGGCGGGGGGGAAGAAGGAAGGGAAGGAAGTGATCGCCAAATCGCCCGTGCGCGCGTTATATACGCGGGTCAGATGTAGGGAGTGCGCCCGTCATACTGTCATTGGTGGGTGGTGGTGTCCTTGACGACGTCGGGGCGGGATATGGCACCAGGGCATCGGTACCATTCATTCATTCAGTACGGTTATGGACAACTATACACGGTGTCCGACGAGCCTTATGAGAGCCATGAAATGCTTTCGAGAGGAGACATAGAGGAGGATTTGAGACTGCAAACCCAGCACGGAGATGAAGACGAGAGCAAGCTTCCGATAGCTTCGGATCTTCGGGCCGATGGTCTTCAGCACACCACAGGCCTGCACACGTCCGGGTCGTTGTATCGTTCCCATTCTATATATCCTGCCAGATACATCGACAAACACCGAGAATCCCTCAAACAACCACGCTCTATGCAGTAGAGCACCCAGGTATACAGACAACAGACGCGGAATAAGGAAAGAAGCAGAGAAAGGGATGACCTGTCCTTTACGCACAGGGCTGCTCGAGTGGACAGAGTCGCGCAATACTGTTCGTATGAACAAAGTTGCGCCATGCTCCTTGTATGGACAGCGTTGCACAATGCTGCGCATATGGACAGAGTCAGCACGGACTAGGATGCAATCCTAAGCCTGGGTCATGACGGGGTGGGCGTCCGTTCCGAGCGATCCTTGCCACCCGCAAACATGCCGATGAGTTTTGAGGCGACCTTGAGGGTCGCGAGGCCCGCGGAGCTGGCCATGGTGGGTGGTGGGCCACTGGAGGAGACTTCGTCAAAGCACAACCACCCTCGAGGACATTCGGCACTTACGGTACCGTCCCTTGCAGGAAGGGATGATCTCGGATTTTGAAGGTGGGGATCCGCGCTTGCGGGTCGTGGCACAACATGGCGCTGAGCAGGCTCTTCGCGTCGTCGGAGAGCACGCTCGGGAGAGCGAACTTTCCTCCTGTAGATCAGTCAGAACATGCCCCAAGCGACGAGAGCCCAGTCCACTCACGTTCTATCAATGCTAGCGTCTCCTGCAAGTCTTTCCCTTCAAACGGCAGCCTCCCGCATAACATGACATACAACACCACCCCCGCGCTCCACACATCGACCTCCGGCCCCCGATACGGCGCCCCCTTCACGATCTCGGGCGCCGCATACGTTGGGCTCCCGCAGCTGTCCGTCAGCGTCTTGCTCCCACCCGGCGCCATACTCCCGCTGGGGAACTTGGCGCTGAAGCCAAAGTCGACGAGCTTAATCTGGCGCGCGTCGTCGAGCATGATGTTCTCGGGCTTGATGTCGCGGTGGCAGAGGGTGCGGGCGTGGAGGTACTCGAGGGCGGACGTGAGCTGGGCGAGGAGCGCGCGGGCTTTGGGCTCGGGGAGGCGGCCGCGGGTGATGAGGTAGCGGAAGAGCTCGCCGCCTTCGAGGTATTCCATGACGAGGACGAGGTGCTTGGGGGTGTCGATGCAGCCGTACCTGGAGGGGGCGTTGAGTGGGGGGTGGTAGGGAGGGGAAAGGGGGAAAGGGAACGCACATGCGCGCGATGTGGGGATGTTTAAGGCGGTACGTGTTCTCCACTTCCTTCCACACTCTGTCTTGCTGTTTCTGGTCCCGCTTCCGGATGTACTTCAGCGCGACTTGGTCCCCCGTCTCTGAGTGCACGGCCACTAGGTATCCAAGCTTGTTAGCTCTTCAAGCTCGCAGCGATCGCCTCGGCCACGCACACTTCAGATGGGGATCGCTCGTCGGATTTGTGAGGTCCTGTAGCACAATGTACGTCGTCCCCAGCGCCGCGGCGGGGATCCCGCCTGCGTGTCCTGGCATCGTGGGGGTGTTCGTTCGTCAAGTTCTAGATGAGCTCTTGTTCGTGCGAGAATTGGGACTCGTGTTATGTCGTCGTTGGTGGTCAAAAGCAAGGCGCGTCCCTCCGCGTTTCGAGAGTAAATCACAAGGAAGAATCCAAGAAACCAGCCAGAGGCGAGTCGGGTCCGAGTCAACACGCCAGAGTCCTCATGTCCGTCCGTAGTAAAGGCGTTCCGTAAATGGCAATTCAGTCGGCGGCGTGGATACGCGGATCTCCGGGCCGAGTGCAAGATGCACGTGAAAGTCGCGTGCAGCGATGTTCGCACGGTTGGTTTCGTTCTACTTCGCGCCTTCAACGTCTCTTGTCCCTCTGATACTGCGAGCTCGAGATGCAGTCCCTGGGGTAGATACTGTATAGCTGTTTCCAATGACCAGAAGCGCTTCTACTTGATCTTATACGCGACCGCATCGGTCCGCACAATGGCTATATATCCGCGGAATATCTGTCCGTCAACAGCTCTCTCGGGAGCTCACCGTTGTGTTGAGGAGATCTGAAGCTTCTTTCTGTCCTCTCCGCTTACGGGCGGCGTTGAGCAGGGTCGTGGACGCTGAATAACGTGACCGCGAGACGGATGGCCATCGTGACCTGTCAATCTGAGACCATCGCGCTGCGTCTTTCGAGGCTTGCTCCTGACCACCGTGATGTCCTCGACAACGCCTTTTGAATCCAATGTCCCTCGTCCCCTCGCCATTCCCAAGTGAGGTCCTGCCTTTATGTGCCCAAAATTGGATTTGTGCAACACCCGACGAAGCGGATCGGCAAGTTCACACGCGACTGCGCAGCCGCCGTCGCTGGGGGGCGTCGCCGGTGATGTCAACCGAACTGCAGAACCCGCGCGCGAAGTGATGGCCAGTGGCGCGCGCACGCGAGGGGGCCGAGGGGGTATATAGCCTGCGCGCGCTGCGCCGCGAGGGTCCTTCCTCTCGCCCCCGCAGTTTTCCGCAGCCCAACAGAACGTCGCCCAGCGCGCCATTCTCGTCATCTTCATTTACCCGACCCCGAACGCTGTGCGGCCGGCTAACTTTGGATTCGCTTTTTATTCTGTCCTTTCTTCGCTACTCTCACGTCCGAACTGAAGCTCGGCTCTGAACCAAGCTTGCGAACTAACCTCTGTCCTTTCGACTGTTGAATATCTCTACGATCATCATCGCCTCTTCGCTTGCCAGAATGTCCGCCAACCTCATTGCAGCGGCTGCTGCGATCCTCCCCATGCTCGTGTCGCCCGCAGCGGCGACGACCTACGATCTCGTAAAGGAGTATTCGGGAGAGTCGTTCTTCGACGGGTGGTCCTTCTTTGGAAACTGTGCGTCCTCCACTACTCCTCCATCGCGCGCGCGCTCCTGACCTCGCCACACAGACGACAACCTGACCAATGGCGACGCCATGTAAGCCTTGCCTACATGATCTCCCCTGTTCCGTATGCCAATGCGTCCCCCAGCTTCCTCTCCGCGGATGAGAACAATGACGCGAAGCTCGCCTATGTCGACGAGACGACGGGCCGCGCGATCATCAAGGTCGACAACACCACAAATGTGCCGTACAATGAGAAGCGCAACACGATCAGAATCGCCAGCGAGGAGCGCTATGACATTGGCAGCGTCTTCGTCGCGGACTTCTACCATGTGCCGTACGGGGTGCGTCGATACTTCCTTACTTCCCAACCCTTCTTCCACCTCCCCTTCCACTGTCTCTTCTTCCCATCTTCCACGACTACCATTCCCGCCGTCATGGTCTGCCGTACGCCATCCTGACATCATCCCCCTCCAGTGCTCCGTATGGCCCGCCTGGTGGTCGCAGGCGCCCAACTGGCCCACGGGCGGCGAGATCGACACCTTCGAGGGCGTGAACATGGTGACGATGAACCAGATGGCGCTGCACACGGAGGACGGCTGCAAGCAGGTGTCTCCGAGCCAGTCGTCGACGCTGGTGAACTCGACGGACTGCAACAAGGACGTGAACGAGAACAGCGGGTGTGTGGTGACGGACCCGGAGACGGACTCGTATGGGGAGGCGTTTGCGAAGGCGGGCGGGGGCGTGTGGGTGACGGAGATGGCGAGCTCGGGGATTTCGTGAGTGTTTTGATCTTTCGGTTATGGTGTTTGGTGTTTGGTGATGGGGATCGGTGGTCGGGGGAGGAGTGTGGCGAGGTGGCAAGGATGGGACGAAATTACTGACACGAAACCCTCTTGCAGCATCTGGTTCTACTCGCGCAGCGAGGTCCCCGACGCGATCAAGAACAACGACTCGTCCATCGACACGTCCTCGCTCGGCACGCCGGTCGCGAACTGGCCGACGGGCGGCTGCGACATCGACACGTTCTTCCAGGCGCAGAACCTGATCTTCGACATCACGCTCTGCGGCGACTTTGCGGGCGCGGACAATGTGTTCTCGCAGACGTGCTCGGGGAAGTGCTATGAGGTGAGTGGCGGAGACTATCATCAATCTGGATTTTCCCCCGTTCTGGAGTGATCGTCTGCTTCGAGGCGACCGATCGTCCGTCCACAAGCGATCGTCTCACTCGCATAAATGATTGCTGATCCCACCCCCAGGACTACGTCGTCGGCAACGGCTCCGTCTACGCCACCGCTTACTTCGACATCGCCGCCGTGCGCGTGTTCGGCCAGAGCGGCACCAACGTCGTCGTCGACGGTGACTCGGGCGCGCTGCCAAACGCGAAGTGGGGCTTAGGCTCGCTCGTTGCGGCCGTGGGCTTCTTGTTTGGCGTTGCGCTTTGAGAGGCGCCCGTATCAATGAGCTCTGAAAGTTCACGGCGCCTCTAGCTAGCTGAGCTGCCTGCTCTGTGGCCAGTCCGCAGGTCATTGGCTAGTCCGCAGGCCATGGTAGCCCGACGCTTCACCCCGCCCTCGTAGACGACACAACGGACAAGATTTTAATGACTTGAACGCTGCGCTCGGTCGCAGCTACCTACATACTATGTTCTGTCTAGAAGTACTTATACCTGCACCTGCGGACAGTAATGGACCGTTTGTTACCCCATCTGTGTCGTGATATTTCGAGCCCTTCATCGCGATATCTCGGTTGCTGAGACGCAAGGGAGACGGCTTCTGAGCACGACGGTCCTTTGCCTGAGCGCAGCTTCCCATTCTTCCGGATGTACTGGGTTATGGATTGTGAGGCTTGTTTGGTTCGCCTACGACCTAGTGGGCAGATGGCTTCAAGGTCGTGCATACAGTACTACTAGCAAGGCGAATATATTACCGAAAAGAGAACAATGGCACGCATCTGCCTACTGACTCAATATGCTATGTGTTGTCACATGCCCGTAGTTCGAAGTCTTTCAGCTCTTCCCAGGCTGGAAGGCCGAAGAACGAAGGCAAGTTCTGCCAAGTCGCCTGTAATTCGGCCTCCCTTCTCTGGCGCACGAGCAGCAGGCATGCGTCGCATATGGACGGTCCCTGCGGACGTGGCAAGAATTTCGGCCAGTCCATCAGCAAAGCTATGTTCGTATCACTTTCAAAGCGAGCGAAAAGCTTTCCTTGTAGGAGCCGCCGACGGCGTCCACATGCCTGCGGGTCCGGGCAATTCGCGGGCTCAGGAGACGGGTCTGCAAGGGCAATCCGCATGCATTTCATGGATGCAGCAAGTACTTTCGCGCGTCCACCCAGCATAGTGCATCGACTTTGTATGCTGACGGGTCCCAGCCGTGGTGCGTTGGGTGCATCTGAGGCGAGCAAGTCCTGTAAATCGTGTCAATCAGTCAGTCAGCCTCAATTGGGCGGACTCCGTTGGAGCGTACCACATTCATGGTATCTGCGATACGAAAATACATGACGGCCATGATCCTGTGCAGGCCGACCGTTTGCAGGATATCGACGAGGTGTCGGAGCCGCTGCCATGCTTTGATATGGATCCGCGTGTAGGCATGTATAACCTCGCGTTTTTCGATGTATTGTTCGAGTGTATCAGGGAATTCGTAGCGAAGCCTGGCCACCGCGTCCTCCCAGAGCCCAGGTATGATGTACTTGTGGCTCATCCTCAGTGCTGATGCCACATCGGCGATGCAGGGCGTCAGCGTGGATGATTTACTACCCGCTACATCAGCTATATTCGGCGAGCCGAAGGGAAGACTTGACGCACGGCTCGAGAAGGAAACTCAGCATATATTCGACGTCTGCCGCTGTATCGGGCAGCCTCATGATTTGACATCCATCCACCGTATCCGTGTCCGAGTCGACCTGCGGTTGCGGGATTGCGAATGCGTCCCTGAAGAAGGGAGAATAGGTCGCCAGAAGGCCCTTGTAGAATTTGAACTGCGTATTCTCCGCCTGTAGAGCAATGTTCCCGTCGTCGAACCAGATCTTGGAACGGACAAGGGGCTCGTCGTGCGCCTCACCGCCCAGGTCGCCCCTCTTTCGCTTCGTCACTGGAGAGCGCTCGGCGGCGGTAACAGCGCTCATGTTGCACTTAGTGCGAGTTGTTGTCGATATACAGTAAGAGAGGTAGCAGATGAGCAGCGAGTAAAGTTTCCTTTTCTTCAGGCTTCGTCTGGCGGTCCTTTTCAGAGAAGATCGTATGTGGTTCAAGTCCTACTTTGGAAACTGTATTTGACCTTTATTGATCTCTCCGCACGTGAGTTGCCACAAATGAGTATCCGGCACTTGCCGGACTGCTTGGTTGAACTCGCGCTTTCCATTTGCACCTCCGATGGCCCGATTCACCAGCACGCGCCCGTCATTGTCCTATATCCTGCAAGTTGCATTATCCACTCTTCAATCTTAAATAGCTTCATTTGAGCGCGTGCATATCAAATAACGACCAATACAACGAATGCCGGACTGCCCAGACTGGTATGTACCATCTTCCTGCCACTTAGTCACCCTCTGCTATTGAGAAGTCCTTCAGCTCTCCCCAACTCGGCAGTCCGAAGAACGATGGCAACGAGTCCCAGATTACCTGTCGCTCTTCCTTCACCGTCCGGAGTATGGTTTCGGCGCACGCAACACAGCATTTGAGGTTCGGCGAGACCTGTAGACGTTCAGACCAGGGACAGAACAGGGCATATGATCTCTCCTTCTCAAGAGTTTCTAGGAGATAGTCGAACATGCGCCGTCGAGCTTCCCTGCACGCGTTACGGTCGGTACATTCCTGCGACGGAGGCTGAGGCTCCGAGAATGCGACTCGAATGAGTTTGACTTGGGCAGCAAGCGTCTTAATGCGCCCGCCTAGGAGGACATTGCGAGTATGCATGCTCATGACATCGGAGGTTATGTCATCGAGAAGCCCTTGGGTCAGATTTTCCTGCATGACGATATCCGTTTAGCACAGCTGACAATCCGAAAGAGCGCGCGGGGCTTACTATGCTGCTGCCCTCCGAGACTCTGAAGCACAGCGCTGGCATGATCGTCTGTAGACCCACGGAGCGTGCCGTGTCGAGGAGATGGGCCAACCAGAACGTGCGTCCTGGTTCTACGCAGAAGCGCGTGTAGCCTGGTTTTTCACGGCCCTCACGTCTCTCCTGGTACACCTCCAGCCGATCTGGGAACTCGTACCGCAGCCTCTCTACCGCATCGTCCCAGAGTGCCGCTATCAGGTATTTCTGCCCCATCTGCAGCCCCGCTATAACGTTCGCGACGCTCGGCGTCTGCTTGGACGACTTCCTGATGCGAGGTCGATCAGCGTGTACTGACACCCCTGGAAGGGGCTGATGCTCACGGTTCGAGGATGAAGTTCAGCATGTATTCGACGTCTGCTGCCGATTCCTGCAAGCGCATGACTGGACACCCCTCCACCGCATCCGCGCCATCTGCGGGCTGCGGGACCTCGAACACGTCCCTGAAGAACGGGGAGTACGTCGCGAGCAGGCCCTGGTAGAACCGGAACTGGACGCGCTGCGCCTGGAGCACGATGTTGCCGTCTTTGAACCAGACGCGCGACCGGACTATGGGTTCGTCGCACTCGTCCTCGGCGTCCACCCTCCGGCGTTTCGTCGATGAGGAGGATTCCGTTGCGCCAGCACTCATATCGAGGCAGAGATTTCGTCCAAAGGGATTACAAGAGAGGTTTCAGTCGATCTAGTTCTCGAGTTCTCTGCGCGCTTAAAACGAACAAGCGTTAGATGAACGACGAAGGCAAGCTTGTTGCGCCGCGTGTGAGCCACGCTCAAGCCGAAGCAAGGTGACCTCGAATCCCTCACCTTACAAGTGGAACAGCAACAAGTCGCTGGCAGCGTCCAAGTCCGAATCCCTCGCACAGCGAACAGGCGTCTACTGGTGTATACTTCCTTCTCCTATCCTTCCTTACACAAATTGAACTACACGTTATCTATACACATTTTTACATTCCTTTCCACATTTTATACAGCGACAAGAGCATCCTGAAGTAGCGCATCCACACCGTGCTCGTCCAATCAAGAGGTCGAAGTCGGTCAGTAATACGTAGGTCAGTCCAACGTCTGTGCACGCGTCTGCCGATTTCGACGATTGCACGTTAGGCGAGCCCAACGTCGATGCGTCAGTCGAAGATCCTCACGGTAACCAACCAAACCTAGGAAAGACTGGCCAACCCGTCCTTAATGTACTCCTCGTACAGGTGCTTGTAGTCCCGATGCCAGCGGCTGAGCGCGGGTCGTCCCTCTGCGACGTCGGCGGCGCCCCACATGATCCTGGGATGGTGAAGACAGTCAGAAGGTGAACGCAGGCCATCCTACCGAGAACCCGCGCACCGCAATTGGTCCACCTCCCGGCGCGTCTCGTTGTCCGGGCAGATGATGTAGAAGTCCCCGCTGCGGACCTTGTCGAGCATGTAGAGGACGGTCTCCGTCGCGCTCCACGCGCCGTCTGGCTTCGGCAGCTCTGGCGGCGCCTCCGAGGTCGGCGACGTTGGCGGGTTCGCGCCCGTCATTCCGGTGTGCGTCCAGCCGGGGCTATCCGTGGGAGGCAGCGTAGGTACGGGTGTAGGGATCCGGGGGGGAGCAGGAGGGTACGGGAATGCGCCATGGGGCAATCGAGCTATACGTCATGGATCGTGCGGCAGAGGTATAGAAAGGGGACGTACACGAATAAGTGGGCAGTGACATGGCTGCCCGGGAACTCGCGCAGCTCGTGCGAGAGGCTCTCGGTGAGCGACTTGACCGCGGCCTTGGACGCGTTGTACGCGGCGTTGCCACTGGGTGCGAGCGTGGTCAGCAGATGAGGAATAATAGAGGATAAGAGGAGGCCTAGATGCGGCTTAGGTAGGATTGAATGGGACTCACGGAGGGTTTGTGATTCCCTGCTTAGAGCCGGTGTTTATGATCACAGACGGGTTCTCTTGATGCAACATGAACTAGAACATGGGATTAGACTTGCGGATATACGGCGGCGATGCGCGAATGCTCACCGGCATAAAGGTCTGTTGGACGTTGACAATGCTGCGCAAGCAATCAGTCCACTGCCCGTCGCAGCCTGAGATCCTACCCACCCGAAAACATTGACATCGAAAGCCTTCCTCCAGTTGTCGATCCCACTCCATGACGTTCCCTTCGGCGCAACGCCAGCGTTGTTGATCAGGACCGCCACCTGCCCTCGCGTCAGAGGGCTTGCAGAGCAGGATGCGGCGGGCACGCACCTCTCCCCAGGTCTCATACACGCGCTCCTTCAGCCGGACGACCTGGTCGATCTGCGACACGTCCGTGGGCACGAAGATGACGTTCGTCGCGCCGTCTACGTTCGCGATCGCGCCAACTTCCTTCGCAGCGTGCGCCAGCCGGGCCTCGTCTACGTCGGCCATCGCGATCTTCAGACCAATCCTACACATCGGGGGTCAATGTACCACGCGAGGGGACGAGCTCCGCGCACGCACTTGGCCAACTCAATCGCTGCCGCCTTTCCGATCCCGCTCGCCGCGCCAGTGATGACCGCGACGCGCCCCGCGTGTATGACGGGGTGCACCTCGTCGGCGACGCTGAGGCCGTCCGGGCGGTACGAGGCCGTACTCGAGTAGCCAGGGCGCATCGGGGAGGGCCCGCGGCTGGAGTGGATGATGCTTTCCGATAGAGCTGGCATCGCGACACGTCAGACTCGCGCTGATTATAAGTGGACGTTCCGGCGCCGGCGATTGCGCGGGCGATGGGGGAAAAGGCGATGGTGATGGTGATGGGAAGAGCGGAAGAGGGACAGCGGCGTGTCAGTCCAGGACGGACGTTGATCAGCCTCTCATGCCCGTGCTCCGCCATCGCTATAAGGTCCTCCCGCGCCGGGCACGCCGCCGACGGCGTCAAATTCATGACGTAGAGGGTAAGGGACTCTGAATTAGACCTTCCCCTCCGGTGCGGACTTCCATCGCACGCTGATCCTCTTCTGCGCATGCTTGCGGACCTCAAGATACAAATATACCGTCGCCTGGACCAGGAGGATCCCTGAACTCAACGTAAAGGGACGCACGAAGATCCCTCCCGCGAGCGATGGCCAACGTTCGCCTGAGACCTACCCAGCGTCGTCTACCAAGTGTTTAAGCCTCCACGTTCACGACTGTTTCCTCCGACACGGCGCTTAATCGCTCTCGGCTGTCGCGCATGCGCATCCAGAAGAACCCAGGAAGCAGCAACCGCCGACCGACGTTCGGCCGCAGGCTATGGATCGCCAGATGACCGTCCACCCTAACGAACATGAGCTCACCTCGTAACACTCCTTCCACGTCTCATGAACGCCACAACCCGGCGTGGCAGGGGACCTCACGCCTCTAACGACGCCTCGGCGCTCTTCTACCACCTCAGTCGCGCGATTGGGCGTAATCCAGGCGACCCATCGTTCCAATTCAGTCGATACAAGGACGTGATACAACCCACTATTGACGGAGGTAGCGCTTCGACTTCGTGGAGCCTCAAGAACCACTTTCAACGTACTCGCGAGGGCCATAAAACGGTCTACTCTTACCCTACGTGCTATTTCGCAAAAAGCACGCAGCCTAAGAGACCGCGAACGTTGTCGCAATCGACCAGCAGGTCCCCAAGCACGCCCTTCCTACGACAAGCACGCCCTTCTTGCCGCAAACACGCCCTTCTGCCCGCAAGCACGCTCCTCCACTTACAACACCAGGCCCCTTCATCTTGGTCTCGTGTGCCTCAGTTCGTGCACACGCCCTCACCTTACCGGTCTCGTGTACGCATTGTCCCGGTCATACTTCCGGCAGCACGGCGGTAGAATCCGCCCCGAAAGATTCCGCCGCAACCATTTCTCCACTCTCCGCATTCAACGTCGCAGAAAACCAAGCGCCGGATCGTGCTGATCGCAAGGAAACACGCAGCGGAAGTTGAGCACGTGCCAAGTTCGTATTCCCGGGAAAAGCCGAACAACACACGTGACTGGACCCACAACTCGGCACCGACTCTTTCGTTCCCAGCAAGTCCAGCGATATGTTCGAGGAAGCCATTATTATAAGTACAGATGCTCTAATATACAAGAATACACATTTTGGATGACGACTGTCCGTGGGCTTCATGCGCCCTGCATCAGCTACCTACTGGTGCACTGCCAAATCCCGCGCAAAGTGGAAGAAGTCCACGCTCGACGCGTTCACGCCGTACTTGTAGATCTGCAGGACCAGGTCAGCAACTGCCTTCCTGTATTATCGCAGCAAGCCACTCACAAAGTGCGACGCCACCCAACTCGAGAACAGCGCGCGCTGGTAGCTCTCCGGCAGCCGCCTCATCAGCTCGTCCAGCCCCACCTTCTCTACGAGCGTCTTCGGGATCGCGCGCCCCAGCACGCCCCGCTTGCTCGGCTCGTCGTCGAACAGATCCGACGCCTCGAGCTCCGTTTGCAGGTTGTTCAGCGTCGTGCTCAGTTCGTCCGAGATCGTCGTGCGCGGCTTCGCCCCGCGCAGCCGCTGGTGCTCGCGCCAGATGCAAAGGAACTCCGCCGCGGCGTTCTCGGTGATCTTCTGCTGGATGTCCTTGACGTAGGACTGGTAGAAAGCCGAGGGTTGACCGTCCTTGAAGATCATGAGGTCGACGTACTCGTTCGTCGCGAGGGCGAGGCCGGCGAGGACTTCGAGGGAGGAGGAGGTGACGCCGCCCTTGTTGGCGCTGGAGTCCTTGAACAGGATGACCTTGTGCTTCTCGAGGTAGAGGCGGGCTTGTTGCGTGAGGAAGAGGTTCGCGCCCTCGACGATGTACTTGAAGTGCGGCTTGCCCTCCGAATCGACGAGCGCGGCGACGTTCGAGATGTTGACGGCTTCGGGACTAGGATCGATGATCAGCACCTCTTCATCGGGGCTTCATCGTGCCTACTCACCGACCACCACAAGGCACGAACAAGTCGGCCTTGAAGCGCAAGTGCGCGCCATTCCTGAAATCAGTGCCATCCACGACGACTTCGCCAGCTGGAAGGACCTGTCAGCCAAAGATACAAAGGTCAACTGAGTAGGTCACTCACAAGGCAACTTCACATCCTGATCTTCCACCTTGACAATGTAGCCGTCCTTCGACAACTTGCTCTTGTCAAAGTTGCCGATCGGAATGCGCGCCTTTGCCAGGCGGATGAGCTCTTCGCGGTTCAGCCCTGCCGGGTCCGCAGCTACACCGCTACCGTCGATGATGGCGACAGTCTTGTCGTTGCTGAGCAAAATCTCGTCTGTGATAAAATCAGTCAGTCGTGACTCCTCACACCTGAGGTTGGCCACATACTCGAACCAAGGTCACCGTCTACAACAGAGTTAGTAACATAATAATTGAGATAAGTAGATCCAACGTACCAGGACCACCCGTCTGCACCTTCGTGATATCCTTCTCCCTCAAGCCAAGTTGCTTGTAGATACCTAGCACGTACTGCCGGATCGACAGCGAGGTCATGCCGTACGTGTCGTGCGGTACGCCACCGAGCGTCTCTGCGCTCTTGCCAGTGGTGAAGGACTTCCACCATGCCTCTGCACCGCGGTCGCGAGCGTGTACTGGAGAGCATTCGGTAAGACGGGAGATCCGAAGGAAGAGGGAAATGACGTACATGCAGCCCAGTCCATCATGTCTGCTGTGCCCTCGTCTGGGCCGAAGAACAAGATCTCTGGCTGACCATAAAGGTCGACCAGGCGCTCCTTAATGCCAGGGCTCTGGCCCGGAATGAGAAGGTCGATGATGCTCTGTCCGCCTCGTCAGCAACCAATATCTCCGCGATGTACCATTGAGCACAACTCACATCAACATATTTCTCGAAGCACAGCCGAGGATTGGCCCCAATCGCTGGCAGGATCGTGCCCTTCGCGCCACCCTCCGGGATATCCTTGTTCTTCAGGTTCTGCGTCGACGCCAGCCCGTAGTTCTCATCGAAGAGCATGCGCTGGTTGATAGAGTAGTTTCTGTTTGGAGAAAATCAGCTCAAGGTCCGCTACGACACAAAGGGCAGGATACGCACTCCCTCGTCCTCGACATGACCAAACGAATGCCTCCACGAGCGACATCGCGGAAGCGGATGTGGAACCCTCTGAACTCGTTGCCGATGCTGAGAAAGATGCCGAAGGGCTTCTTCGGGTACTCGATCTCGGGCAGGAACTCTGGCGCGAGACGGAAGGACAGCGCGACCTTGGTCGGTTGGTAGAAGTTCGTTTTGAGCACGTTCCTGAGTGAGAATGTGAGATAACGCTCTGAGGATGACACCTCGTTCACTCACTTGTTGAAGATCAAGAAGCTCTCCAAGACCTGAAGCTCCTGCTTGTCGTGCACCGTACGACGAATGTGATCGTACAGCTCGACGTCGTTCAGAGGCTGCGCAGTCTGCAGCCGTTGGTACGACAGCGTCGGCCTATGCGCATCGTCAGAGTGGTGCCAACGTTGGAAAGTCGAAGACGTACATCAAGTTCTCCGCCTGGTCGGCAGATGTATTCGGATAGTGCACCATGGCGAAGTTGACGTACAGCATGCGAATCTAGGTCGACATGAGCTCGACGCACGTTGGCAAGGGCACCAAGAATACATACCAACTCGGGCCAGCGAAGGATGACCTGCAGGATAACCTCGCGCGTGAAGGTTTCGTCCCTGAAGCGGCGCTTGATGGTGTTCAGGACCTCCGCGTGTACGGGGTCTGATTCGGTGAGGAGATTCTTGAGCTGGAGGTAGGTCGCGCCGAGGCGGTTCGTAAAGTGCTGCGCGAAGATCCAGCCGCAGTCTGAGAAGCAGTCAGTACGGGGTACCTCCACAATCATGAAGGCGCCCACTTACAAGCGTAGGTCGCTTCCTGGACGGCATGCCCTGGGCCCTCTTCGCTCTCGGTGACGCCGAAAAAGGGGTTGTCCGGTAGACAGTAGAGCAGACTGGCCTCCTTCATGACCTGGAAGATCGAGTGCTCGATCGGTGGCGGACGCTTGTTGCCCTCGAGCTGATCCAGCGGTAGCGGGTTGAGGTAGATCGAGATGATTGTGACGCCATTGGCGAACTGCTCGACGTACTTGCGCGTCGAGTATAGCGAGTAGAAGTGGTAAAGATGGCTGAGCGCGCTGAAGTAGCTGCGCGTACCACCCATCTTGTACCCGATCACAAGCCGGTGCTCGCGCGAGCCCTCGACCTTGAACACCTCGATCACGGGACCGTAACGCGTCTCGACGTTGCGCATGACCTGCTGGTAGATCTCGAGCGTGTTGTCGGTCGCCTTCTCGAGGAAGCTCTTGTTCGACACGCTGCGGATGTCCGTCGAGCCATCCGCGTTCTTCTTCGCGGGGGTGTTTGGGAACTCGCAGCGAGTCACGAAGTAACAGCGCAGCTGCTGGCTCGCGGTCGCGCTGATCGCGCCCGCGGAGCGGAAGGTCTCGAGGCGGTAGGCGTTCTCTGGCGTGGACTTGTCCAGGAAGATCTCATCGATCCTGCGAGGGACGCGTTAGCATTCAGTCGATGATGGTTATCGCCGCCGTGAATATTCTCGACGCGTTCGTCGTGCATCGGACGTCATCGAGCGGGGAGAGAGGTGAAGGAAAGGGGGCACACCTTGCCTCACAGACGGACCCGGGGCCCTCCGTACTGGTAGTACCTGGCTTGCTGGTGTGGATGAAAGTAGCGCCCTTGCCAGAGTCGTCGATCCGCTCGAGGTCGATGACTAGCGCGCGCGGGTCGTGCTTTGTGTATGCCAGGACCTTGGCGCCGAAGAGAGCAATGATGTGATCGGCGATGACAGGGACGGCCTCGTTCGCGAAGTACGTGTCATCGATACCGAGCGAGGAGTAGAACCAGTTGACTTCGCCAGCAACGAGCGGGATGGGGATGAAGCCCTGGAAGGAGTAAGATCTCTGAGCGAAGATGACTGCGCATATACCCACCTTGGCAGCGACCTCCTTCTCTACGCGCGCACGTTGCTCGTCCTTGCCCTCGAAGACGGGCGTGGTGTAGCCTGGCTGGTTCTTGACGCGATGGACGGGCGCGTCGCCGGGAACACGGAGCGCGTCGGCGGCAGACATGGTGGTGGTTCGGGACAAGAGGAGGATGGTGAATGGAGAGAAAACAAGGCCATCGTGCACGTCAGGCAGTCTTTATATGCACGCGTCGTCACGACTTCTGGGGGTAATGTCGAGATGCTCAGCCTCACGTGCTGCGCGGAACTCGACATTTGCGCCCTTGCCGGTCCACGCGCCGACCCGCCGAGTCTTGTGACGCAAAGTTCAACTTGCCCTGGCGTACCAGTCCCGCACCCGCGCACCCCGTCGCCGCGCCCCGCAGTTGTTACCCATGCACCCTCGTATAGAAGAACCCTCAGAGGTGCTCCAATAAAATTCTCGAGCCTCACAAACGCTGCTGAACACCCACAGCCCTCCATACTGGTTGCCGAACGCCGGATCTACCTTCACGTCGCACGATTCAAGCGCGCGGCACGGAGCATAGGAGGCCCTGATGCAAGCACCGTCGACACCGCACAGCAAGGCAGTACCGGACGTGTCACCCACACCCCCGACGCCGCGAACTGAGGTCACCGGCAGCCCGCGAGGTAAGGACCTGCGCAATTCCTGGGGTAATTAGCCTGCCCCTCGCCTTCCTGGGCCTGTCGCAGCGTCCAACCCTGGGTCACTTGTCCTCCGTACCCATCTCCGTGACATTCGACAGCGCGCTGCCCTCATCATACGCCCAGTCGCGTTCATCATCCGGCGAGCTGCACTCATCATCCGACAAGGTACGTTCATAACACGCTGCGCCTTTGACCACCCTTCCACATGTAATATTGGTCTTGGTCCATGTCATGCGGTTCCTCCAAGGTGCGCTGCTTTCGCCCCATTGACCCCAATGTTACGTCCTACGCGGCGTAGACAGAGGGTCGCACTCTGGTGACGAATAGATGCACCCTTCGTGGTGACCAACGGAGTCTCCGTAGGGACGAAGAAACGCACCCTCTATGCGGCCGGACCCATTCTCGGTGGAGAAGAACGGGCATATCCTGCACCTCGAGTTCAGCACAAGTATGATATCGGACCCAATGTAGGTGCACATCACCGAGCCTCATCCCGCCATTAAATCGCGTCGTACCCCAAGCCTTCTCCGCCGCTACGTGTATCCTCGCTCGCTGCAGAAGGCTACGCGCATCCTCACCAATATCACCCATACCTTGAGCAACATGGCGAGCTTCCTTCCGACGCAGCCTGCCATACTGCCGACGACTCGCGCGAGCTTCTTGCGATGGAGCACGCTTGTAAAGGCCGCAAGAGTCAGTCGTCTTGATGAAGGCCGCAATCTTATGCAACCGCGCGGTGTCTTTCACTGTACTAGTATGCCTTGAAGTCGGCGTGGCTGCCTTGCATGAAAGTCGGAATCGTAGCTGTTTCTTCCCCGCCCGAGGATACTAAGCATAGTGCTCCGTAGCTAAGCTTAGGCTCCCCGCGCACCCAATTATGCTCGTGTAGAAGTAGGATGTCGTTATGCTCATGTAGAAGTAGGATGTCGGAAGGGCGGTGCTCCTCAGGTCGTCGAACGTATAAAGACCGCGTCGACTTCGCGCGGGACTGGTCTTGCTTCCCGGCAAACGCGTAGCTTCCCTACACATTGTCGCTCGCAGTACATCTTGAAGATGGATGCCTTCCTCAGTCTTTTTTGCGCACATGCGAAGCCCCTCTTGCGGATGCATGGTCCCCTCACATACGTGGAGCGCCCCTCGCGCAAACATAGCTTCCCTCGGAGAAAACACTAGTTAAGTATGAGCGAACATGCAGACATTGATTAACATGACATGGCCATTGTTCGTGGTATCGATATGAAAGCCTGGACGGGGGGTACAACACTTCGGGTGCAGCGTCGTACAATGTGACCTTGCGGACGAGCGCTGGGACCAGCACCTGGATCGAAGCAGACCTGTGTCTTCCCTCGCAGGCGCTCGGCCTCCCGGTGCGCCGGATGCAGCTCTTCGAGTAGCTCAGCACTGAGAAGAGGTGAGTGGACGAAGTCAGGGCCAAGAGTAGGCTACTCACGATACCCTTGAAGTCGGCCGCTTTGGTGTTCATGATGAGGGCCACGATGAGACCGTACAGACCCAAGACTTCGGCGAAAATGAGGATGAGAATCTACGGAGACGAAAAGGGTCAGTAAAATTCCTCTCTCGAGATTGCAAGCGGTGTATTCCGGCAATCAATGCGCCCGGGCACAAGCTATGCAAGCAAACAAACAACGTGACGTACCATGCCGACGAAGAGACGCGGCTGCTGTGCGGTGCCCCGGACGCCCGCGTCGCCGACGATACCGATAGCGAACCCAGCCGCGAGACCAGCGAGACCGACCGAGAGACCAGCGCCGAGCTGCACGAAGCCCATAGAGAGCGGCATCTGGTAGTCCACTGCGCATACAGACCGTCAGTTACGTCGTCCATTCTAAGTGTTGGAGAAGCAGGCGCGTAGACTTGCGCGCCGAAGTGGGAGGGAAGGACGCACAGTTTCCGGAGATCAAGACCGACACGACGAGACCGTAGATCTAGAATGACATGGAAGGTGAGGTTGGCGCGTCGCTGAGACGGTGGAGGGAAGGACGCACGGCGATGATACCAGCCATGATGACCGGGACGACACACTTCATCATGAGGTCTGGGCGGAGGACGGACATGGCGGAAATGCCGACACCAGACTTGGCCGTACCGTAACTGCGTGCGCTCATGAGTCTACGCGTTCAACACAGCACCGCATTACGACGAACCTTGCTCCTATGCCTGCAGGGCGCGCGCTCGAGCGTTAGCATTCCATACACCTTTCCCTTCCACCCACTGTCACGTACAAGTGAAGACAATAGCGCTCGTGCAGCCCTGCGGTCGCGCGCGTCAGTCTTCCTTCCAATTGCGTTTGTATCTCCACGTACCATGGCGCTGAAGAAGGGAGCGTAGACGGGGCAAAGGTCGGACATTTTCGCGGCAGGAGAATGGGTGGTGCTGGAGAGATGAGCGAGGGAGCAGACAGAGACGGCGACGACGGAATCAGCTGCAGAAGGCTGACGGCGCTGACAGGAGTGCTTCGAGGGCGGGGTTCGCCGTGGGAAGTCACGGTCACTTTGCTTGGTCCGGCGTGCAAAGGCGTCGTGTGACGGTGTGATGTTGAACATCGTGCTGGCCTCGTTCCTTCACTCCTGCTTCCATCCTCGGTCTGTCGTGCGCGCTCGCACTACGCGCCTGCTCTTCTGTGGAGAACGGTGTCTAAAGATTAACTTATGGAGGTAACAGCGTCATCTGTTTACCCGTCAAAGAACAATGAAGCGTCAAAGAGCTGCCATCTATGGCCTCGGCTATGACATATCGTCAATGATCAGCCTTGTGGCCACCGCTTTGTGTTCAGTATAAAGGTCGCCACCCGAATGATCTCTTCTGCGCATGCCCTCTGCTCTCTGCGTCTACCTTCTTCTCGTTTGCCTCGTCCTCCTCATCATGCAGACCCGGGCCCGTACCGTCAACCGCTCCCTTCGCGATCAACCAACCGCTGTCAATCGCCCTGCCGCCACCCAAAAGGCCGCTGTCGCAAAGCCAGCTGCCGCTCAAAAGACGGTAGCTGCGAAACCGGTCACTACTGAGGCTGCGAAGCCAGGTATCGTTGTACACAAGGTAGCGAAGCCTGCGTCGTCTGCTGCTCAGAAGGCCCCGAGACCGTCCGCTGTCCCGAAGCCTCCAGCTGCCGCGAAGCCCTCAGCCGCCCCGGCCGCTGCTGCTGCCCCTGCATCAACTGCTGGTGCTGGCACCTACGTTCGCGCACCCGTCCCCAAAGCCATCAAGCAGGTCGTCCCAAGAACGACCAAGAAACCTGCCCCTCCCAAGCGCTTCGTCGCACCCTATAACCCCTACGAAAACATGTCGAAAGACGGTTTCCACTGCGTGCGCTGCCACCGCGACATCAACGTCGGCGGCGAAAAGCACTACTTCTGTCTCATCCCCCACGTCTTCGACCGCAATGCGTGGGAGGCTGTTGCTGAAAAGTACGAGGGTCTGGGCGGCGATCGCGCGCTCAAGTTCGGCAAGATCAGGGAGATCCCGGTTACTGCACCAGCATGCTGCTCTGACGCGCAGCTCAATGCGCGCGGGCAGGTGGAGCTGGGAGGTGTGGATCTGCACAACATGGGCTTCCACACACCGTTCCCGGAGGAGGTTGAGCAAGAAATAAAGGACTTGCTTGCGCTGAAGCGACCCATGCCACAACTTTGCAAGTGCCTGGTCGTCGATGGCAAATGCACCAGGGAATGCCTCAGGCCGCGGTATCCTCACGCGATCTTCACAGACGAGATCTAGAGATCGCCTGCCGTTGTACTCGTATCAGACCGGTCTTCCACTAGCTGTATTTCTGCTTCAACTGACCTAACGCTACTTACCTACGCTCATATAATAGTGCTTGCCACGGACCAGCGCCATCACTACGTGCTTTGAGTATGCCACCCGAACCTTTGTTCCCGCTTTGGAAATGTGAGAGCCCATCAAAGGAAACCGGCAATTGCCGTCCATAACAAGGAGAAAAATTCCACGTGTGGTTGAGGTGCGACATGTCCTGAACCACAGCCTAACATAGACGCGTATTTTGTGAGCATGCTCGCTCGGCTCCGCAGCTCTTTGTTCACCCCCGCCATATCAGACATCCTACTAATTTATCCGACTCGCGAGATGGATTCCTCTAATCTGCCACCCTCTGCCACCGCGAGTCTCACCGCGAGCTCCTCCCACGGGCGACGTTCCACGCGTGAACAAGGCTCTTCCCTCCGACAAAGTTCTATTCGCGAACAAGAGTCAGCTCACGACGAATACGACGCGCCACATGAAGACAGCTATAGTATCCCCGACGAGGACTCATATCACGAGGACTCCTACCACGACGCGAGCGACCAAGAGCATATCGACACGCTTCTGCCGCCTATCATCATTCGTTCATCGCTATGGATCCCCGACGGCAACATCGTCCTCGAGGCCGAGCACACGCAGTTCAAATTCTACCGCGGCCTCCTCGCGCGCCACTCTACCTTCTTTCGCAACCTCTTCGACAGCATGTTTCCCCCGGGCTCGGATCCGCACATCGAGGACGACATCGAGCTCGTCGAGGGCTGCCCTGTCGTCTGCCTAGCGGACTCCGCAGACGACGTCGGCTACATGCTGCACTTCATCGTCGACACGTGAGTTTAATTCCAGCCTTGATGTCTGTCGTTAGGTGGCCTAAGGGAAGCGTTCAAAGACCTGACTTTACCGAATCCTAGCCGCGCCTTTGACTACATCCCGAGCATCGCGAACCTGAGGTCTGCGCTGCACATGGGGCACAAATACCTTATACCGTCGCTTTGGAACGACGCAATTCGGAGGCTGCGCCACGAATTCCCGTCTGCGCTGGAAGACTATCAGGACACGAGGAAATACGACGAACGGCATGGCTTTACCATAGATGAGGGGGAAACGCTGTCAGACCTTGTCAATGTCGCACAGGAAATGGGTATCCAATCTATTCTACCGGCGCTGTTGTGTCATCTCGTCAGCACGAGTTCACTGGTGAGCGAAGCATTGCTTTTCGCGGGCGCCTTTCTCCCCCAATCCTCGCTCAACCAAGATCTTAGGATTCCCTCTCCTCCGATTATTCCCCCCTCAGCCTCGATACGCGCATAGTGCTCTTGACGGGTCGGGCGAAACTGAAGTCCGCCGCTCTCCGCGCCCAATATACCTGTCGCACCGGGCGTTCCACGCACTGCATCCGCGCCAAATGCATCGAAGGGCATTCACGCTTGCAAGCTGCGCTGCTATGCCGCGTCGCCCTCAGCGACGGCGTTATCACCGGCTTCGAGGAATGGACGGACCGCGACGCGCGCCTGTATGGTCGGGAGCTGTGCGAGGAGTGCGTCCTGCAGGTGCAGATTCTGACCGAGGAGACGCAGAGGAGGTTGTGGGAGCGACTGCCTTCGTTCTTTGGTTTGCCGGATTGGGAGGACTTGGAGGATCCGACGGTGGTGGCGGAGATGGCTGACTCAGCGTAGGGCGGCCATGGATCTCGGCAGGGCGAGCAGGTATCTCGTTATACTGTATCACGTCGAAAGACACAATGACTGTAGCATAGCGTATAGAGCCGACGTACACAATTCGAGGACTCGGATAGCCGCAGCGACCGACACGGCAACCATCGAAAACGCGAGATTGCCGCTCGCTGAAGGCGAACACTACTAGCGACAAAAGAGCAAATGGCTGGATCAGGCATTCGTTCGACGTGCCACTCATGCTGCTCACCTAGTTCAGAGAGTAATCCTTCAGATCCTCCCACACGCCAAGGCCAAAGTACAAAGGCAGCTCCTGCCAGAACGACTCTTGATTGCCTTTGTAGACATCCTCCGCCTCATCTATGCAATCCTTGCACAGTCCATGCACCTTGAGCTTCGTTTGATCTTCCTGTGTCCGTCTCCGCAAAATTCTCAATGCCGGGTCGGAGCTCGTGCGTGGGGAACACTGACTCCAGGCCATAAGCTGGATGCGTTGCCGGGCTTCTTCACACTCCTCCTCCTGCTCACAATCGTCGGCCTCGGCAAGTCGTGTCCACCAATAGTCCATGATTCGGAATTCTGCGATTATCTGACCACGAGCGGTGAGAAGAACAACACGAGTGTCAAGGCTAGCGTGGGCGGGGTCGCAAGGTAATCCCGCCAGATTCCCAATGCCACCCTTGGATATTGTTTTCTGTGTAATAGCGTTCGTGTCAGTTTGTCAACACAAGAATGTATCTGGCAACCCACCAGGGGACACTCCAGCAGAGCACGGTAGTAGACCATAGGCAACAAGGTCTCGAGTCCGGCATCTCGTACAGCCTCAGAGAGTCGCAGAATGTCGTTTTGGTTGTCCTCGGAGTGAACAGCAGACCAGAATTTGTGGTCCTGATTATAGAATGCTTCCAGCGTTGTGGGGAACTCTGCGCGAAGCCGCTCCACAGAGTAGTCCCACAGTGGCACAACCATGTACTTGTGCCCCATGCGCAAGGCGGACAGGATGTGGGAGACAGTCGGCTTCAACGTGTACGACCGTCTGCAGAGGATTAGCTATTTGCGAGCGCCCAGGAACGATCCAACCTACGGGTCGAGAAGCCACAGCAACATAAAGCGCACGTCCTGCGCAGAGTCCGATAACGTGACCACGGTACAGCCTTCCACAGTATGCTCGTCGTTCTGTGGCTGCACCACGGCAATCATATCCGAGAAGATTTGAGAATGGCGCGCAAGGAGACCCTTGTAGAACTTGAACTGCGTATTGTCTGCCTGAAGGATGATGCTGCCGTCATCCAGCCAGATGTCGGAGCGGACAGCTTCGGCTGTCCTTTCGTCGTCTGTCCTCTTGCGCTTCGCGGACGGCTCAGACATGGTATGAGACTTCGTGGTACGAGAAGGCAGATGAAGGGTGGTAGCGTTTGGCGGGAAGAGCGAAGCTTGCCTTTACCATGTGGCACTTGAGTTCGAACTCCACCGCCGTGACAGAGGGTTCGATTCCCGTGCTCGTGACTGTACGCGACATGTAAATTGGGTGGTGCGACTGGAATCATTCACTGGATACTATTAACAAGACGGGGATGTATGAATGAAGATGCAACGCAAGAGATACCGATAGATTCAGTCACATAGCTCAGGAGAGCGGGATAAGTAGTAAGTGATAAGTAGTAATAATCATTAAGTCCAATCTAGACCATCCGGTCAGAACCAGCGCAAACTCAGGATGGCCGCAAATGATTGAGTTTACCTTGCTTGCAAGGTCTCTCCCCGTCCTTATTGAAGCCTGATTTTTCGCAGGGCACAATCAAAAGGTCGGTGGTGATCAATAAATGACCGAGTGCCCAGTGCTAGAGCCGCAAGCAAGGTCGAGAACCGGCGTAGCCGGAGCTTCCTCTAGTCAAAGAAAGTGATGCAGGAGATTGTGCTGGCTTCATGTCTAATGAGCGGGTGTCAGTGAATGATCTGCGCGTTGCCTGACGCACTGCGTCAGAAGCCATCTCACCTAAACAACAGAATAATCCCTGAGGTTTTCCCACACCGGCAACCCAAAGAACGTAGGGAGCTCTGCCCAGGTTGCCCGCTGATACTCTATGTAGACGTCTTCCATGGCCATCATACACCTGTCGCACGGGCAACGCAGCTTTGGGCGGATGGTCTTCCAAGGGTGGAATAGGTGTAAAGCGGCTTCATCCTCTGCGAAGTGCTTGGGCGACGGAGATTGTATGGTCCATGTTCGATTCTGAAAGTCCTTCGTGGCCTGCGCGCAATCCTTCGACTGAACACAGTCGTCGGCTTCCGTCCATGACCACGCCATGAAGTTCTGCCTGAACCTCGCAGTAATCTTCGCCCTGGCCTTGAGAAGCGTAATGCATGTGTGTGGACCGATCAACGACTGAGACTCTGAGGACGAGCCATCGTCCTCAAGAGTCGCACTGCCGTTGGGAATGGTATCCTGGATGACTGTCAATATTGAACATCAAAGGCCCTTCCCTTTTCTGATACTTACGATTGAGCAGGTCAGGATAATGCGATAGTACAGCATGGGCAGGATTGTATCCAGCCCTACGCCCCGCACGACGTCGGCTAGTCGGAGGACGGCGTCGTCACCGCCATCACAATGTATACTGGCCCAGCGCTGAGTCTGCGCGTAATACCCTTCTAGGGTCTTTGGAAACTCGAAGTGCAAGCGCTCGACGACATCCTCCCACAAGGGAACGACCATGTATTTATGGCCCATCCGCATAGCGGAAATGACGCTTGTTATGGTGGGCTTCGCTGTATACGAACGTCTAAGAGACAGTACATGAGTCTGTATCAAATGATATTTGGAAGGAGGATGAGGCACTCACGGCTCGAGTAGCCATAGTAGCATGAACCGCACGTCCTGCGCGGCGTCAGTCAACTCCACAACCGGGCAGCTTTCTGCAGAAGCCCCGTCGGAAGCCTCTTGACTGTGCGGCACCACGGCAAGCATGTCTGCAAAGACCTGGGAGTGACGCGCCAGCAGGCCCTTGTAGAACTTGAATTGAGTGCGCTCCGCCTGGAGAATGATGTTGCCATCATCGAGCCAGACGTCCGAGCGAGTGATAGCAGGCTCGGCGGCCTCTCGACCATCCTCAGTCCTCTTCCGCTTCGCAGCGGGCGCTGCGCCGGATGGTGTAGTGCAGGACATAGTAGTGGGAGACAAATTGCGCCTGGACGAACGTTAGGAATAAGAGTTCGAAACGCCCGCAACTCGGCACCACTTGAGTGACCGGAAGATGCCGATAGATCTCGTGAGCGTGACAGTGTGCGTTATGGTTCGAGTCTTGAAGGTCCTGCGTGGACCGCACTGCACCTGCAGAACGAGCAGAGCTGTTTGTGGGTATAGACACGGACTTCATTGGGCATACAGGTAAGCATGTGGTGATATGCGTACTGAAAAGCGGACTATAACGGCGGGTATTCGTATTTTCTGCGAGAACGAGGACACAAGCGGAGAGCATAGACAGGAATCATTAGGACGAGACATCGTATGTCAGAGATTACAGAGAGAGCGGGGGAAGTATTCGAACGTGCGAGCAATCAGTCGCATGTCCAGCCTTGAAGGTCCGCGCATGCCGACGCTCAAGCTGCGCTCGACGGCGCCGAGGGCGGACCCTCGATGCCCATTTTCTTCCGCACCACCTCGAACGTCTTGAGCATCTTCCTCCGCGCACCGAGCGCGGCGACGCCCTTCGCCTCCAGCGCCGCCTCGTCCATCACCACCATGTCCTGCCACTTCATCCCCTCGAAGTTCGGCGTGTACTTGTGCAGCCGCAGGCTGCGCAGCCAGCCGGGGATGTCCGTGAGCAGCGCCGGATCCACGTCCTCGTCGCTGTTCTGCTTCGGCGTGCTCGTGCCCGGGTTGCCCATGCTCTTGTTCGGCGTCGAGCGGTTGCTGGGCGGGCCCGGGCGCTGGCGCATGTTGTTCATGCCCTGCGCATTCAGCAGGGGGTTGCCCGACCAGTTCGCCTGCCCGAACGCGCCGCTTGCCGCCATCTGCGCCGCGAGCAGCTGCGCCTCGGGGGAGATGCCCATCGCGCTCAGCATATTGAGGTTGAAGGGCGTCATCGGGGACATGCCACCGAGCCCGGGCATGCCGTTCATCCCATTCATGCCCATCGTAGGGCTGCCGAGGCCCATGTTGAAGCCGTTAAGGCCGTTCATGCCGTTCATACCCGGCAGGCCGCCGTTCATCGCGTTCATCTGCATGCCGAGGTTGTTGAGGTTGGGGCTGGGTTCGTCGCCGCCGAACCTGCCCGAAGATGTGTTGGAGAGCGCCGGGCTCCGCGCACCGCCGGCCTGCCAGCTGCCGGCGCCGCCTCCTACTGGCCCGAGTCCGCCCTGGCTGACGTTGCGCATGCGCGCCGCACCGTTGCCGCCCTGAATGAGGTTGCCGTTCTCGTCGTATACCGCGCTGGTGTCCGAGCCCTGTCCGTTCGAGCTCTTCGCCGCGCGCTTGTGAATGGTCGGATCGCCCATGCGAGGGACGCCAGGAGCAGGGCTCTTCTGGCCGGACGACCACTCCTGAAGCTTGCTCGCAGCGCTGTCGAGCGACTGGCGGTGATCCTTCTGGAACATGGGCACTAGAGGAGTGTTAACCATGCTCGCCCAGTTGTCGTGCTGGGAGTTGTTCGCAAGCTGCTCGCCGCCGCCAATGCTAGCGCGCTGGCCACCGCTGAACTCGGTGCTCTTAGGGCGCGAGCTCGACTCCTGCGCAGGCGGGCTCGACTGATTGTTCTCCGAGACCTGACCGAGCGAAGCCGCCGCGCTGGCCCACGAAGCACCATTCGCACCGGTGCTGAGGACGGGGGCGGAGATTCTGTGCGCTGCGTTGCTGGCCTTGAGCTTGGCGCGCTGCTGAGCGAGCGTCGCCGCCGCCGAATCCTGTCCGACGCTCGTGTTCGCCGCGTCGGGCGACAGGAAGTTCGCGCCGTGCTCCAAGACAACGGACTGGCGGTTGCCAGCGCCGCCGCTGGGGCCAGTGTTGAAGCTGCGGGCAGTCGGGGACGAGGGGAAGGTGGACTTGAGGCCAGGAGACTTAAGGTTCATGCTCGCAAGCTTCGCTTCCATCTGGCTCTGCATAGATCCTGTCATGGGGCATGAGCGATGTACGACATGCCTAACAGCGGCACTTACCCATAGCAGGACTAAGGAGGGCGGACATGGGGTCGGACCGCGCCATCTGCTGGAGGACGGTGATGAAGAATCGGATCTGAACTTGGGTAGAGTGCTGTAGAAGACTGTAAAGAGCGGCTGTGCGCTCGGCTTCCGAAAGGACCTTGAACCCTACGAGTGATCGTTAGAAGTGGCAGGAGTGGCATGACGGCCGACGCACATTGCTCGATGGCGGAAAGCTCCTCTTTAAAGTTAACGTCCAGAGACGCCGCGGCCATCTCCTCCTGCGCAAAAATGAACATGTGGGATGGGGCGGCAACGGGCCACGTACGAGGGTCGCTTCGTAGTTCTGGAGATTTTCGAACCATTGGTCTAAAGCCTCCGCTAGAAGATCGTTAGGAGCTGGATTTGGGGCGTGCGGGATGCGCCATGCCTTCGGGGGTTTGGAACATGCCAGCGCTTCCAGCGCTCAGCAGCTCGCTTGTCGGTCGGGCACTGGGCCCACCGCCCGGACGGGGAGATGACGGAGCCAGGGTCGGCGTGCCTCTCGCAGAGGGGCCCATGGACTGCCGAACGTGGGCGTTCCTGCCGTTCTCTTGGGGCCCGGGGGACGGGCTGCGGCTGGCTGAGGAGGGAGGGCGGAGATTCATGTCGGACGCTGGCGCCGGTGAATGAAGTGCAATGTCAATGGAAAGCGGACGGTGTTAGAAACTGGCGCGCGCTGATCAGCCCCGCGGTGCGCAGCGCGATGGCGGGGAGGACGCACCGGTGGGCCACTGGAGGGCTTGTCGTGCAGGCTGAGCTGGGCTGATAATTTCTAGACGCGACCTGCGGGCCTGCCGGTCTAGCTCAGAGTCGGTGAAGAGCACAAGACTTCCAGCGCTGGGCTTCAACGAACAAGGGAAAACGCAGAGAAGACTGCCAGCGACAAGAACAATAACGGAACAAACACTCGCTGTCACGCCGACACCGGACCACCGTCACGTCACTCTCACACCCCGCTCTGGACCCACAACTGGCACCGTTTACGTGGACCGCAGCATGTATTCATAGTACTACGGCTAGGCTTTCGAATGCGCATAAGTCTCCTCCAACCGCTGCTTCACATAGTCGCCCGCCTTCATCACAGGGTACTTGGCCGGCATCTTCTCCGAGACGCAGGTCGGAATCGCCTGCCACAGAGTCAGCAAGCTCGGATACTCTCGCCCTCGCCTCACTCACCTCTAGCGGCACGTCATAGTCCACGCCAAAGAAGAGCGGCATCGAGTACCGCTCCTTCCCGGACGTGTTCAGCGCGCGATGCGGCGTCGACCTGAACACGTCGTTCGTCCATCTGGCAAGCTGGTCGCCGATGCTGTACAATCGTAAGTATCCTGCAGGGTGACCGAGCAAGTAAGGACGTACTTCACGACCAGAGAACCCTCGATGGGTACGGCATCTACCCATCGGCCTGCAGTATTCTGCACTTGCAGGCAAGTGATGCCGGTCTGCTGCCAGAGCAGTGTAAAGCACTCGTAGCTTTGAAAGGCGTGAGCAAGGCGAAAGTGGCTCAAACGGGAACGCTCACTCTGTATGCCTCCCAATCCCCATCTCGCCGTTCTTCTTTGATACAGGCGGCTGGTTCGGGTAGTGCAGCAATCGCAAAATCGCCGCGGGTTTCGTCGTCTGAGAGTCGACCGTGAGGCCCATCTCCCTCGCGAGAAGATTACCACACTGACCTTATCCGCGAAGAAGTCTTCGGGCATGTCCAGCGCCAGAGCGAAGAGTGGGAAGAGCGCCAGTCCGAGCTTGACCGTCGCATGGCTAGAATAGGAATCGTTAGCCATGTCCTCGCCTCGTCCACGGATGCGCCACTGACTAGTACTCCATCACCCCCTTCCTGAACCCAGGCATCATCTCCTCCGGCGGCCAAACATTCGCACCCGCCATCGCGCTGCCATTCGCATCTGTCTCCGCGCTCCCATTTCCTTCGTCCTCCCACCCCACGTCGAACCCTTCATGCCAGTCGCCGCGCCCTTCCGCCTCCGTGTCCGTCTTCTCTGCATGCATCGCCGTGTAGCCTTTGAAGTTGGCGCTCTTGTGGATGTCCCAGCCGGTTTTCGTCTCCTTGGGAAGGGCAAAGAAGGGCTTGGCGTGATTTTCGATGGTGGATTCCGGCAGGCCGGGCGGGAAGAGGGACGCGGGTGGACTGGTGAGGTAGAAGAAGCCGACTGAGGTGTAGATGAGGTGTCAATCGGACATTTGAGGAGGGGGGACGCAAGGAAGTAATGTGGTGAGGGAGAAGGTGATGCGTGGTCGTACAGAGTATAGTAGTTGGGGGTTAGAAGGAACAGTCTGGCACTCACCATTCACGCACGCATCCCGGATCTTCTCCGCGAGTTGCTGGCGCTTCGCCTTGTCCTCACTGATCATGTCCTGGAAGTCAATTACCGGGATCTGCTCAAATGTCGACTCCGTGCGCTTCGACCCAGCGAGGAAGGAGGGGAGTGGGGGAGACATGTCAGGCGGTAGGGGCTGAAGACCTTGGGGAGGAGTCGAGCGGTCGATGTGAACTGACTGAGCGGTCGTCGTGATGGACGGAGAAAAGGACGACTCGGACGGAGGAAAGGGCGCCTCGAATGTCGGAGAGGGGTTTATATTTTCGGGATACCGATACTCGAGGTGGTGATTATGGACCATAATGACTAGGGCGGGGAGCGATAAGGCGGGTAGCGCTGGGCGACCTGGGCAGTAGCGGAGGGCAGATAATTGCCGCTCGGACAATGGGATAGCCGGGGTCGGGGAGGATAGCGGGACCTTTTTGTCTGGGCTATCGGCCGCGGCGATGTCACAGTGATGGTTGAACTTGGGAGGTGCACGTGAGGGATCAGATCAGTTGTGATTGTTTGTGAGGACACGTGGCCAAGTCGAACCTGCACTAGCACTGTTCACCCACGGTGGAGTCATAGCTGCCTGTTTTGCGTGCTGCACATCCAAATTCAGCTACAGGGATACTTTTCTCTCATACCTGCTTCTTTTCTGAGACGTTGGCACGCTGTAGCGACCACTTTGAAGACATCAAGGGAAGCGCTTATTCGACATGGACGCGCCATTGGATCTGGTTGGACACTCCACCGAGACGGCATTCCACAGTAACGAACTCGCGATTGAACACGTAGAGCCTATATCTCGCTCGGACATCTGGTTCGACGATGGCAACATCGTACTCCAGGCGGAGAACGTGCAATTCAGATTCTTCCAGGGTATCCTCGCGGCGTATTCCCCTTTCTTCAAGGATGTGTTCTCGATACCGCAGCCTGCCGCTGGCGCGGATGTGGTAGAGGGATGTCCCGTAATGAGACTGCCGGAGAAGGCCGCTGATGTCAACTATATGTTGAGCTTTATTCTCGAGTCGTGCGTACCATCGATTCTGTCATGCTATGGCCTAGTCACTTATTCGTGTTTGCAGAAAATCGTCCAAGCTGACTCCGTCTGTTGCCGACATCGTCGCCGCACTCAAGATGGGGCACAAGTACCTCATAGCAATCCTTTGGGACGATGCGGTCGAGAGGCTGCGCTACGAATTCCCGGAGCGATTAGACGAGTATCAGGAACGCCGCGATAAATCCACCGTTTATACGCGCATCCGCTTTGACAAGGACTGCCCCGGGCGGCCCTTGCACCTTGTCGACGCGGTGAAGGATGCGGGCCTAGAAAGAATACTTCCTGCGCTTTGTCATCGGGTCGTAGAAAAATCTACTCTGGTTCGTTGGCTGTCGGTCCTTTGTGTCTCCAGGCTGAGCAGCGTGGTCTACATACAGGATACGCTCATGCATGGTCCGACCAGCGTGGCAAGACTGGAAGATCCTAGCTTGCAGACCCGCATAATGCTACTCGGTGCACGCGCAAAGAGGCCATCTATCAGGGCGCGACTTATGCGGCGCGCTTATTCCGAGCCTCGCACTGTACCGTCGGAATGTCTCAGTCCCCAACGATGCCAGGACATCCGACGAAGCAAGCTGATTAGATGCCTTCAGCGTATTGAGGAGGATGCGAAATCTGTCCTGTTCAGACCCTGGCCCACCGATGGTCAGACTAAGCAGAAGAGGCCGCTCTGCTGGTTATGTGTGCACGAAATGCAGGAAAAGCTGGCTGCCGAGCAGCAGGCAATTTGGGACGAGCTGCCGTCGTTGTTTGGTCTGCCGTCCTGGGCGGAGCTGAAAGACCATGTCCTGGAATGACGGCGGCGAGTGGAATATTGTCCAGTGACAGGCTTTTTTGTACTATATCGAGAAAGTCATGACCCCTGCACTTGTATTGATATATGTATGCAGGGTCGGTCGAAAGGGCTACTGCGGGGGACTGGTCGTGAGTGTTAATTGACCATTTGGATCCTGGGACTCAAAAGTCACATCGAGTCACAGTTCGAGTCCCTGCCACGCGATCGTGCAAAAGCAAAGATTTCCTCCAGTCAAAAGCCACAGAGCACCAGCTTCCTACATCGTGTAGGCGAGGAAGGGCTTTGGATGGACAAGTGCGCGTTTGAAGCACATCCTCGAAGGATATTTCGAACTATTCGGCGCAGAGTGCGCTCGTTCGATCGCAGGACACTCGTCCGAGTCGTTGTAATCCTTCATTGTGCGCGCTGCAGTGGAATGTCCTGGTGCCCGCGATGATGGAATCTACGTCTAGTATGTACATATATATTATTGATCTTCTCTCATGCCTCGTCACCGAGCTCTTCCTCCTCCGCGATCAGCTTCTCGACTTCGAGAGCCGCCATACAGCCGCTGCCAGCGCTGGTGATCGCCTGGCGGTAGCGCTTATCCTGCACGTCACCCGCCGCGTACACGCCCTTGACAGACGTCTGCGTCGTCCCCGGGACGGTGACGATGTACCCGTCCTCATCGGTCTGCACTTGCTGGCGGACGATGCCGGTAGCGGGCTCGTGGCCGATGGCGTAGAAAAGGCCGTTGACGGGGAGGTCCTTCTCCTCGCCGGTCTTGACGTTCTTGATGCGCAAGTTATTCAAGAGCTCGCCATCGCCCTGGCACTCGGTCGCAACCGTGTTCCAGAGAACGGTCTGCGGAGCGATGCGGCGTTAGCGATCTGGACGGAGGTGTGCGGGAGCACGCAAGCGATCTACTCACGATCTTGGGGTTGTTGAGGAGGCGCTTCTGCATGATCTTGGAAGCGCGAAGCTCATCTCGCCGGACGAGGACGTAGATGTGCGAGCCGTACTTGGTGAGGTAGGTCGCCTCCTCCGCGGCGGAGTCGCCGCCGCCGATGACCGCGAGCGGCTTGTTCCTGTGGGCAGATGAGACGGGTGATCGGGCCGGGATTGCGCGATTCGCACCTGAAGATGGGGACTGCGCCATCGCAGACGGCGCATGCGGAGATGCCGCTCTGCCAGTAGGTGTCCTCGCCCTTCAGGTTCAGGCGTTTTGCGCTGGCACCGGTCGCGATGATCAAGGTGTCGGCGGTCTCGGCCTCCTCGTCCTCCTGGCCCTCGCGCCAGTAACGGAAGGGGCGCTGGCTGAGATCGACCTTGGAGACCGTCTCGGTGATGATTTCAGTGCCGAAGCGCAGCGACTGTTCGCGGAACTTCTCCATCAGCTCTGAGCCGAGGATGCCGTTGGGGAAGCCGGGGAAGTTCTCGACTATTGGCCAGTCAGCGATTGGGAAGGTGGGGAAGGAAAAGGTGACTACGCACTGTCAGTGGTAGTGGTGAGCTGGCCGCCTGCTGCGAAGCCATTCGCCATGAAGCCCTCAAAGAGGACCGGGCTGAGGTTGGCACGCGCCAGGTAGATGGCGGCGGTGTGGCCAGCGGGACCGGACCCAATGATGACCTGGGCGGTGTCAGATGCGACGATGGCACGACGATGGGCGTACGCACCACTTTCGAATGCAGCTTCTTGCTCTTCTCGCCCTTCTTCTGTACGGGTGCGGGTGCCATGGTAGAGTGCTTGCGGGTGATGGGGAATGAGGAGAATATAGATACAGAGAGGCAGCGCCTGGCGGGGGAGGAGAGGTGGAATCTAAAGGCGAACGTCGTGGGCAGAATCGTGGCGGTTTAAAACCAAGAGAGGCGCTACCACATATCTTCCCGCAGGCGGACGGCATCACAAATGGATCACGTGGCGATCCATTTGAAAGCTCGAATCACGTGCGCGATTGTTCAATGCTCATTCGGAATCGTCGCGCATGCGCCGTTCTCGACGTTCATGTAGGCTCACCCAGTCTACAGCGGAATGAGCTAGCGCACTCGAGACACGATGCGCAAGATACCGTGAAGGTACGCGGTCTGTATCAATTTTCGTCACGCGGAGTGAGGACGCTCGCACGCTGGCAATAGCCGCTGACCTGGCATCGGTGCGGCCAGCGGGACTGGAGCGCAGTGAAACAGCTTTATACCGATACTGAGAGGAAGACAGGTCACTCTTGTCCTTACTCACGACCCACATCGCTGGGATCCGCCGGTCGTGCGCTGCACGAGCGACTCTGCCTTCCGGCTTGGTAATCCTGGCGCAAGCATCACTAATCCAGCGCTTCCCTTTACATCGTCACCACATATTGAAGCTTAAAAGGCTCTACCAGAAGGCATATGCATATGCATACGTTTCAATCGGTAGATCCATTGGCGCCTCGCAGTCCTGAACGCGCTCGGGCTCGCCTACTTCGCCCTCAGTATCCAACGCCAGCAACAGGATTGACGATACAACTCACCGACGGCGTTCGTCAGCGTCTTTCCATCTGCAGACACCGACACGTCGTCTTCCGCATGTGAACCCGTAGGCGACCGGCGAGCTCGCTGGAACAGCAGGTAAGAGATCACGACCAGATCTTGCATGTACATGGCGGCTGCAGAAAGCGCCAAGGTAGCGGGAACGCGCTGCTTGTATTCCTCCTTTTCTACTCGACTGCTTGAGCTTGGAATGTCATTGCGTAAGGTATGAAGAGTCGAAGTCGAGAGCCACGGTAGACTTGACACGGAAGGGCTGATGAGATCGCTGCCAGGAGGCGGAACGGAAACGTCTCTGGATCTCCTGTACGTCGCGAGCGGCTGATGTGAGCCGCCTGCTTCGTATAGCTGCGGACAGAAGGTAAGAACAGCGGCGCGATTACTGGGCGGACCTGCGGCTTACCGACATGTTTTGCGTTTGCTTATCCACCTTCCATTTGAGCTGCGCGCCAGAGCTGTCTTTGAAGGTGGCCGTACTGTAATGTGCCATGAGCAATTGGACTGTAGACAGTACGTAAATATACTGTTGAGAGGAAGATTCACTCGTTCAGCAAGTTTCTCTTCAACCAATCGCTCTCCGAGACGCTCGTACCGTCCGCGAGTGTCAACAAGTCGGACCGCAATGTGCGCGAGCGTAGACTGGCGATGCTTGTATCCTGGGCATTGACAATGTCCTGGAAAAACACAGTGTTCAGTCAGGCGTACCAACATGAGGTGATGATGGGGTACTTGGGATAAAACTGATGAGTGCACGCACAACGCACCATCTCGTACTTCATGTCTCCAGATCTTTCATCGCCGGTCGTAGTTACCCTGTATGCCATATGCGAGGTGCGATGGTCGAAGAGAATCGTCCGGCGAGGGTCGTCGCGAGAGAAAATGAGAATGACTTGGGTATCGGAGATTGAGAGCTCGGCCATGGTGGGCGACACGCAGGAGTACGGGAGCTACGAGTCCGACGGTAGAGCGCAATGTCGAAGATTGGAGCAACAGACAGGATACGCTTCAGCCAGCCAATGAAATTGAGGGGCCAAACAGAGAGGGAACTTGCTGTGGCGCTCGCAAGATAGGGCGCTATATACCGCATCAGCGAATGAGAGCACAGCTTCGGTCCAGTGCCACTGATATGCATGATGTCGATGAGCGCATGAGCTCCGTGGATCAGTCATATCGTGCCGTTTTCATCGGGGAAAGAATAGTACGCACTCCTACTCTGAACTCTGCGATCCAGCGCGTAGATGGGTCCCATAGTTGGCCGGTCCAAAATAATCACCTATATGCAGACTCGTCTGAGCTCATCCAACATCATTATCCCCGGCCTTGCGTTGGTGATGGCGATGGCGCAGGAAGTCGCGCTTGTATGCTTTCAGCGCAGGCAGCGGGACTAGCTCGGAGTAGGTTGTTGCACGGAATACACGGCTTGACAAGATGTCGTTCTACCCGTTGCGTTCGCCGGAGATGCAGCAGCTCATCGAGCTTGTTCGTAATGTCGCTCTAAGATGGACGTCGTCATACAGCGTCTTCTTCTCTCTCTCCGAACCCTCAACGGCTCCCGTGCGTCCGCCAGCGACTGTTCGGCGCGAACCTTGAATGTAGACATGTCGGGCGGGATTGCCCATACAAAAGTTAGAAGAGGCTTTTTGCTCAATATATGCTCAGCATATAGGGTGGAAGAAAGATGGGAGGACGAGGCATACAGAGACATAGACATAGAAAGGTCAAAGACTAACCTGAAATCTGTGCAAGTTCGACTCCAAGTCGAGACTTGCCACGTGACGGTCTGGTTACTAAGCTGTTCCGAAATGTTGCGGTCGTCACGGTAACAGTCACGCTCGAACGTTTTCCCGCGCACTCATCCGGGCACCGACTTAAACATCACAAAGCACTCGAGAGATCCCATTTCACCTTCGAATCTCTTGCCCATTAGACTTGAACCTTTCGACAACCTGTGGCCAGCTTCTGGACCACCTATCATTCACCTATAATCAACTATGGCTCAGTCATACTTCCCCGCTGCCAAGGTAGCATCCCCGGCGCAGGAGACGTTCGACCTGCTTGCTGGAGACAAGCAGCTGAGAGTGGAGGACGTGCAGGAGGCATATGTGGAGCAAAAGGACCGGTGAGCAGAGCAGCGCTGCACAGGGATCAGAAGTCTGACGCGCCACCAGCCTCGTCAATGCGATTGACTCGACGACGTCCATCCTTGGCGAGATCAAGAAGTTCAACAAGGAGGAGTGGGTCATCCGCTACCCGCAGCTGAGCGAGCAGCCCGCTGAGGAGGGCTCGTCGCGCAAGGTCCCGCGCCGCTCCCTGTCCTTCGCGGATGAGCCCCTCACGGAGACGGACGTTGTCATTCAGCGCCCCGCGCACGGCCGCTCGATCACCGTGTCCTCGGTAGCGGACGCCGCAGAGGCCACCTCTGCCCCGCTCGATGACAAGGCGTCGGAGTTCCAGATCCTGCGCCTAGACCTCAAGATTGGCGCCGCCAATTCCTCCCACCCCGCCGCGCTCGTCTCGCAGCTCGAGAAGGCGTCCATCGCCAACCTCATCGACGAGCGCATCACCGCCTCCATCTCGCACATGAGCAAGCTCCGCGCTCGTGTCGAGGACACTTCGTCGAAGGTGCTCGTGACGGGTGACCTGAACGCCGGCAAGTCGACGTTCGTCAACGCGCTGCTCCGCCGGGAGGTCATGCCTGTCGACCAGCAGCCGTGCACCACCGCGTTCTGCGAGGTCCACGACGCCGCTGAGAACGAGGGCAAGGAGGAGGTGCATGTCGTCAGAGAGGGCGCCTCGTATGACATCAGGGACGAGTCGACCTACAGGCGCGCTCCCATCAGCGACCTGGAGGAGATCGTCAACGAGTACGAGGACAGCGTCCACCAGGTGCTCATCAAGCTCTATCTCGCTGACACCCGTGCACCTGCGGAGTCCCTGCTCAACAACGGCGTTGTTGACATCTCGCTTATCGACGCCCCGGGTCTTAACCGCGACAGCCTCAAGACGACCGCTGTCTTCGCACGCCAGGAGGAGATCGATGTCGTCGTCTTTGTCGTCAGCGCGGAGAACCACTTCACGCTGTCCGCCAAGGAGTTCCTGCAGAACGCATCGAACGAGAAGGCGTACTTGTTCATCGTCGTCAACAAGTTCGACCAGATCAAGAACAAGGACAAGTGCAAGCGTCTTGTGCTTGACCAGATCCGCCAGCTTAGCCCGGGCACCTATGAGGATGCCGAGGACCTTGTGCACTTCGTCGACTCCGCGTCCGCTCTCCAGCCCTACACTGCGAACCCAGCATTCGACGACCTCGAGTCGGCGCTTCGCTCCTTCGTGCTCGTCAAGCGTTCGAAGAGCAAGCTCGGCCCGGTGCAGACCTACTTGTCGAACTTGCTCGGCGATATTGAGCTGCTCGCTGGCACCAACAAGATCCTTGCTGAGCAGGAGCTTAAGCAGGCTCAGGAGGAACTCGCGGCCAAGCGCCCGGTCGTGGAGAAGATGAAGGGCGGTCGCGACTCGCTGGAGGAGGGTCTCGAAGCCGTTGAGGAGGAGGGCGTCAGCAAGGCGACCAACAAGACGCGCACCCGTCTTACGGATGCGCTCGAGCGCGTCGGTCAGGGCAAGCTCGCCGTCGAGGAGGGCATGGTCAAGCTCCCGAGCTGGCCGGGTCTGCTTGGCGTGTGGGACTACGCGCGCGAGGTTCGCCGCGCGTTGCTCGAGTCTTTGGACGCTGCGGTCAAGCTGTCGGAGGACGAGGCTCGCGTCATCACTACTGCTGGCGTGACCAAGGTGAAGGACCTCGGCGAGGCGCATCTCCCGGAGGGCGTCGAGCGCAGCCGTCGTGTCTTCATGCCCGAGGCGATGTTTAGCACGCTCCGCCGTGGGGCTAAGGCCAGCAAGAGCCGTCGCTCGTCGACCCACGGTGCCGTCGTCGCCGGTGGTACTATCGGTCTCGGCATTGGTCTTTCCAACCGCCCGGATATGCTCGACACGACGTTCTTTGACATTTTCGACGTCTCGCACCAGTTCTGGGTTAGCTTTGGGGACAAGGAGGAGAACGAGAAGGAGGACGAGGGCGTCAGTGCGCTGAGCATCGTCAGCGTCGGCGCGGGTGCGCTTAGCTTGGTTGGCGGCAAGGCCATCGGCGCGCGCGGCCTCGTCGAGGGCATGATGCACGTGGCGGACCTTTTCGGCAACGAGGGCACGCGCAAGTGGATCGCCCCCGTCGTCGGTGCTTTCGCTATCGGTGCGACGGCGTACTTCGTGCTTGAGCTGCCCCAGTCCATTCCTCGCACCGTTGGGCGCCGCGTGCGCAACAGCGTCGTGCAGGACGGCCAGGCAGATGGCGGCGAGGGCTACGTCGAGGGCAACGCGAAGCGCATCGGCCGCGAGACGCGCAAGGTCTTGAGATTGGCGAGCTGGGATCTGAAGGAGCGCTTCCGCAGCGCGATGGAGGAGCGCGTCCGGGAGGTGAAGAGCATGGAGGAGATGGCGCGCAAGGCGAACCGGGCGATGGAGTGGTTCGAGCAGGTTGGCACGCGCAGCGACACGATCCGCGTCGAGGCGCGGTTGGGGGAGTTGTCCGCGTAAGCATTTAATGACCGTCTTGCTTTCGTTGGCTTCTTTCCTTTTGCTATCTGACCTGCTCGACTGCTATGTATTCCATTCCATTATTTTCCCTCCTTGTTCCGCTTTTGCATCGTGTGCCATATTTACGGCGTGAATGCGACGCCTCGTAACGCTCGTTGTTCATACTCTGTCTCTCCTCCGCCTTCTGCTCCTCGTCTCTTCGTATCTCACCACTCTTCTTTGCCTTACTCTAGTACATGACCCCTGCGGCTGGATATATGGTCGGCTGCATTTATGACCTCTACTTTACGATGGATGTATGCAATGTACTCTGCTGTAATCGACGTGAAAGTGCGAAGTTAGGACCCGGTGGAATTCAAGGTGAGATACGGTATGTGCCGAAGGTGGGTCGCAGGCCGCCGGACTTGCATTTGGTGTAGCCATGCAACGTGAGTCTCTTTTCACTCATTGACTTTTGCATGTGCTGAAGAGTACGCAGAGCTCTTCCACTGGAAAAGTACCTGGATAGGGGGCAACGGACCTGTTCCTCCGGCGCTAGAAGGCTTGCGAACGCGTGTGTGCTTGGTTTCAATCAGGTCCCGTCCTGGTCCCTTTGCACGCCGGTTCGGGGACTTCAAAGGCACTCGTCATCTTCGGGTCGGTGCGACAGCGATTGTCGTTCCCCTTTGCTTGTGCGTCCTTCGATTCCAGACTGAAGTCCTCACACCGGTAGCTGCAGAAGCACTGTGCTCGTCGAGTCTTGCGAGGTGAGAGAGGATCACCCCCCTTTTCCTGGTCATAGTAATGCATGCTTACGCGCATTCCAAGCGCTCAGGTACGCAGGGACGACGTCTGTTCGCCGACAAGCTATACACTCGTCGGACGACCTCAGCAGTCGTGCCGTCCGGCTCAAGTTCGTGCTGTGGCACCGGCAAGATCATTCAATACATCAACATGTTTGCAGGTCAGGCCCTCGTCTTCGTTCCTCGCAGACGCGTCAGCTTTATAATCTTTGGAGGCTCTCGGTGCCAGTATACGCAGTGGTCGTTTGCGTCGGTTGAATACCTTGGGTTTCCCACGTGAGCGTGCTCGCATCGCGAAGTCATCCTCAGCAATGTGATGTTGCAGCCCTTATCCTAGCGCTGTTCTCTTTCCCATCCTTCTCAAATCCTTCTTCTCCAGTCACAGGATTCTCAAGATCATGATCTCCACTTCGCGTTCCTCATGACATTCACCTCCTGATTGGCTTCTAAAAGCCGTTCTCGGAGCAGCGTCGGATTGTGAGCGCGCCTCCTTCTCGATCAGCTTCCGTCTCGTGCGTGCTTCCCCCTGTTTTCCCGATACTGAGCGGCCCGATTGGAGGTTTTTAAGGTCGGTTGTGAGTGGATGGTCGTCGAGCCTTCCTCCCCGTCCCCCTCCCACCGCTCCTCGCGCTCCTTCACCTTCCCTTTCCCCCACCCTCGTTTATCAACATGCTTCGCGCGGCATTGGTAGTCTCTGCTCTTGCGGCCGCTCGGTCGGCTCTTGGGCAAACCATTATCACGGGAGACGCGTCCGTAGCGGATGGGAAGGCTTTCGACTACGTGCGTGGTCGTCTTCCGCGTAGTCGTTGTGATCACTGAATAGGAATGCTTTAGATCATTGCCGGAGGCGGTCTTACAGGTCTTGTGGTCGCGAACAAGCTGTCGGCTGCAGGGAATTGTGAGTTGGGGCTGTTACAAAGATGCGGCTCGCCAACAGTCCAATAACAGCTGTACTCGTTGTCGAAGCCGGTCCTGATTCCAAGGACATTGAAGCGGTCAATGTAGCCGCTGACCGCAACAACATCACGCCCGAGGAGTGCAACTGGAAATGTGTGTATCCTCTCGACCACTTGCTTCTGCGATACTGACTCTTCTCGCAGATGAAGCGGTCGACGACAACGGCAACCCGCTCAGCTGGAAGATCGACAGTGGCGTATGTGATATCTCACTCGAGGGCGCAACTTCTGATGAGATCCTTAGCGCTGCATTGGCGGGAGCTCCTCCATCAACGGCATGGTGGTAAGTCCGCATTTGCCCTGTCCTGTTCCTCCAGCTAAGATATACCCACCAGTGGTACACCCCCACACAACCGGAGATGGACACCCTCGAAGCGCTCGGCTCACAGGGGTGGAACTGGTACCAGCTGCGGCCCTACATGAAGGCCGTGGAGAACTACCATCTCCCTGATGACCAGCAGAAGGCCGATGGCGCCTCAGTCAAGGAGGATCTCCATGGCTACAGCGGCCCGGTGAATGTCTCGTTCCCGATCCCTATGCGCATTCCCGAGGCGCAGGCTCTGTACAAGTCGGCGATGCCGTCTGTGTTCAACGGCCTCACCCTTCACGACGATTTGAGCGACCGCACCGGGTCAGTAATGGCGTCGACGTGAGTGACTGTTTGGCGCGCTGCGTAACATCCCTGACGATCTGGGTAGCTCGTGGACGTGCTGGAATGACCAGTCTTCGGGTTCCAATGTCATCAAGCGGTCTTCAGCAGCGCAAGCCTTCCTTTACGCCCCCGACCAGCAGCGCTCGACGCTGACGGTTCTCCACGACCACGTATGCGGCTCCATATATACAAGACACCAGCTCTGACATTGGAACGCTGTTCGCAGAAAGTCCTCAAGGTCAACTTCGACAGCAACATCAAGGCCACGGGCATTCAGTTCGGTCCTGCCGACGGCGGCGATATCCTCACTGCCACCGCCAACAAGGAGGTCCTTTTGGCTGCAGGTAGCTTGGCGGTACGCAACTCTTCACTATGCCAAAAGTTCCCATCTCTGATGAGTTGTAGACGCCCCCTATTCTGGAGCACTCCGGCGTCGGTGACAAGAGGTTTGCCTGATCTCGTTCTCGCTACAATCGTCCGACTCACCGAACTGTAGCATCCTCGAGAAGTTCGGCATCACGACTCTCGTTGACCTTCCTGCTGTCGGTCGCAACTTGCAGGACCAGCCCGGCACTGGGGCCAGCGCTCTCGTCCTCCCTACCAACGCTTCCAACAACAAGCTGATCGACAACGTCAACATGTTCGCGCCCGTCATCTCCCTTGTTGACATCGACCAGATCTTCGGCAACAGTGGGTTATTTGCGATTGATTTATACTCACCCAAATATTAATATATACTACAGGCTCCAACGCCAAGAAGGAGGCCTTGAGAACGGGTGTTCAAGCTCGCGCTCAGGCGGCCGTCGATGCTGGTGCCATGGTCAACCTCGACAGCGCTATGGCTATCTTCCAGGCGCAGACAAAGCTCATCATTGAGCAGAATATGCCTGTCGCTGAAGTTGGTGAGTAGCTGACCCAAACCTCCCGATGATAAGTGCTCACAGTATACGCAGTCGGCGAGAGCTACCCGTCCGTCATGACCTCCGTCTTCTGGCCCCTTCTCCCCTTCTCGCGCGGTCACATCCACATCAAGAGCGACGATGTGCGTGCTTTCTTCCGCTGTCATCTTCATCCTTCTGACGGTTCTCTATAGCTCTTCGCCGCTCCGGCCATCACGCCCCGCCTGCTCACCGACGAGTTCGATGTGCAAGTCGCCATCAACGTTGCGAGAAAGGCGCAGTCGATGTTCACCGTCTGGCCCTTCGATTCGATCATCAGCACGGCGTTCCTCGACGTCGCGCAGGGCGCCTCGGATGCGATTTGGGAGGCTTGGTACAAGAGCACTGCCTACGTACGCCCAGTGGGTCGATGTTCGGATTGCGCTAGCTGATGATTTGCGGCTGTAGGGTGCTTCGCACTGGGTCGGTAGCTCTTCCATGCTGCCCCGCGCTAAGGGTGGCGTCGTGAACAACAAGCTGCAGTACGCTTCCATTTTCTCCCTCAGCTTGCGATGACTGACATGTACCAGGGTGTACGGTACGACTGGCCTCCGTGTCATCGACGCGTCCATCCTGCCGCTTCCCATCACCTCGCACACCATGACCACAGCCTGTAAGTCGAAGTGCTATCCTGATTTGACCCCTTGATTGACTGGCCTTCGCAGATGCCATCGCGCACAAGGCCGCGGACATCATCCTCGGCAAGGACACGAGCGTCCTGTAAGCAGCGTGCGATTTCAGCATGCCACCACCTCCGAGGGCTCTTGCCTTGTCCTTTGTTCTTGCTTTCGGCGTGATTGTCGCGCTTCGTCCCTGTACGGGAACCGCTCTCCTTACACTTCTTTGCGCATCAGAATGGACTTTCCTTTACTGTAGATACTTACACCTGGTAAATAGTCTCTCGAATGTGTGTACTTCGTACTCGCACTGCGTAACTCGCACCACACGCTCTTTCCCTCCTCACGCACCGTAGTCGCTGTTGTAGATAATGGGTGGCACATGGACTTTTCGCTGTCGAGCATGTTGCTGCAATCAGCTGCTTCTATACGAAAGCTTCATGAAAAAAGGTCCAACCAACCGACCAGGAAGCCCGTGCACGGTGGCAACAGAAGGCAAACTCAAACTGTGTCACGAGGGCTAGATTCGTAAAATTCGATGTCTACGAAAACTATAGTCAATCTGGGACGCTCACGCCATCTCGAAGTTCTTCAGTTCTGCCCATACCGGCAGGCCGAAGAAGGACGGCAGCGCGTCCCAAATCACCTGCTGTGCCGCTCGTCTTTTCTGTAGCAAATCGTGCTCACAGGCCAGACACATGAATTTACCCAATTGACCTGCCAATATCTCATCCCAATCCTCGAAGATCGCCAGCCTGCCGCCATTTTCCAGCCGCGTCAGGAATACGTCGCGCAGGTTCCGTCGATCTTCTGAGCAGACGGAGGGTTGACTGCACCCCTCTGGCATACTGGCAGGCACAAATACATTGCGTGTTGCCGTCTGCGTTGAGGCCAGTGCTCTTGTGCGTCCGCCTAGCAGCATGAGACGCGTCTCCACACTGGGGCCATCTAGCCGTGGGGTGTCCGGGATGCCATCGATGAGCAAGTTCTGAGCAATGTGAGCGATTGCTCCTATGAGCCTTTGAACCGTCTCGCGACCGATATCACTCACTAGCAATTTACCGGAGTCCACGGCGGATAGACAGAGTATCGGCAGGATCCTCTGCAGTCCCGTGCTCCGCACGACGTCGACGAGATGCAGGAGGTGCTCTCGGGTTGTACTCAGATGCATGCGCGTAAAGCGAAGCGTTCCTTGAGCTACAGGCCGCTTCATATACTCGTCCAATGTGTCGGGGAATTCATAGCGCAGTCTTTCCACCGTATCCTCCCAAAGAGATGAGATGAGGTATTTATGTCCCATCTTCAGTGCTGCTATCATGTCTGCAATGCTCGGGGTTGCCGTCGACAGTTTCCTAGGGAGAAAAATCAGCGGCTGTTTGCTCGTATGAGGATAGACAGACACACGCACGGCTCGATGATATAGCTGAGCATGTATTCGGCATCAGCCGCGGTGTCTGGCAGCTTCATAACTTGACATCCCTCCACCATGTCCGCGTCGGAGATGGGTACTGGCTGCGGTACTGCGAACACATCCATGAAGAAAGGAGAGTACGTCGACAGAAGCCCCTTGTAGAACTTGAACTGCACGTTCTCCGCCTGGAGCACGATGTTGCCGTCCTCGAACCAGATTTTCGACCGAGTAGGGGGTTTGTCCATCTCTGCCTCCATGGCTGTCCTCTTTCTTTTGTGCGCCATATTACCTTCGACTTCGGTAGCACGCATGACGATGAGGGTAGCAGGCGAAATAAGCTCGTGAGTCGTGATTGTGGTTCCCGAGCGCTCGGCAATCACCGAGTAGCCACGAGCGTTTTACACGTGACACCAGAAGTTCAACATGCCATTGCCAATGCTCCTTTGATTTCAGCGGCCTTTTCTCTTGACGCGATGCCTCCGATACGGAGACATGTCCAAGGACCCTTGTTGTATGCAATCACTCCTGGGCATTGATGCTCCTGGTCTAGTGCGGTCCATTTCCGAACTACATACGCGATAGAACGGACAGACAGTCACGGTCGTATTCGAGGAGATCTTCAGGTACAAGGGCACCGAGGGGCTCTGAAGCAAGGCGAGATCTCCCACCTGCATGCACATTCAACGCCGTCGACGCGTCTGCGGCGAACAATGCGGACTACTTGCGGGACGGGCCTATCGGCGATCAGGATCCCACGTGAATTAGAGTTTCCTTACCCCCAAGACTCGATCTGGACTTCGACATCGCTGCCCTTGACGGTGCTCTACCCCTGAAAGAACCGACAGTCTATCCTCTCCAGGACTCCCCAGAAGGAAGGACTTGTCTCTCAGAAGCGCGCCTGCTCAGCTCCACTGGGTAGCTACGAAGCCGGGCATCAAGCCAACATCAAGTGAGGAGCGGGAGATCAACAGAGTCGGAGCGGCACCCTGATGTCGACGCTTCCCTCCCTCCCAGTCGTGCTCAGCGGGGCCCGGACTTCGCAAACATACCGCCGCGGCGCGGATGGCACGCTTCCGTCTGGCGATAGGAACGTAACGCGGTTTATTCAAAGTCTCACTGAACCATCACCACTGCGGGAGCCAGGCTGAGCGCGCGGCGTGGACCATCGACGGGCCGATACCAACCGCAACTATTGCTTATAAGGCGCTTGCGGCCGTGGCGCGCACACGCCCTTCCTTCCCTCCTCCCAAATTCTCCCCCCTTCCCTTGTACGATGCGTCGCTCGTTTATGGCCGTGCTATGCACGGCTCCCTTCATCGTTCATGCTCAAACCACTATAACGGGCGACTCCTCCGTGGCTGCTGACCAGGCCTTTGACTATGTGCGTGCTATCTTTCGCGGTGGAGACGGGAAACCTACCCAGTATGCAGATCATCGCCGGAGGAGGCTTGACCGGCTTGGTCGTCGCGAACAAGCTCTCGGCTGAGGGTCACTGTACGTCCGTTCCCCCACGTGCGCGTGCGCGCCACTGAATGCCGTTGCAGCCGTCCTTGTCTTAGAGGCTGGGCCCGACTCGCGCGGCGTCGAGCCCATCGACGTCGCGCCCGACCGCAACAACATCACGGCCGAGGAATGCAATTGGAAATGTGCGTTCCCCGCTGCAGCGATTACGCGCTCCACTGACACTCGGGCCAGACGACGCGCTCGCGGAGAATGGGACTGCGCTCAGCTGGAAGATTGACAGTGGCGTGCGTGAGGTTTGACAGACGGGTGTTGTGCGGAGGGGGCTGATGGGATGTGTAGCGCTGTGTGGGTGGCAGCACGTCGATCAATGGGATGGTGGTATGTTGATTTGACTTGTCGTATGCGAGCAGGGCTGATCGCTTGTTCAGTGGTTCCACCCTACCAAGCCCGAGCTGGACGCGCTTGAAGCTCTTGGTGCGAAGGGATGGAACTGCGAGACGTTGTACCCGTATGCCACCCTACTGAACGATTTCCTTCCACATTCCCTAACCCTCCCACAGATACATGACCGCCGTCGAGAACTACCACCTCCCGAACGCCGAGCAGGCCGCCGAGGGCGCGACCCTCAACCCCAGCCTCCACGGCTACGACGGCCCCGTGAATGTCTCCTTCCCGGATCCCATGCGCATCCCTGTCGGCCAGCAGCTCTACAAGGCAGCCATGTCGACGGTTTTCCAGGGCCTGTCGCTTTCCCTCGACCTCAGTGACAGAGATTACTCGGTCCTGGGCTCGACAGCGTGGACGGCGTGGAATGATAACTCGACGGGCACGAACGTGATCAGGCGGTCGTCGGCTGCGCATGCCTTTTTGTATGCGGAGGACCAGCAAAGGCCGTCGTTGACGGTGCTGCATGATCATGTACGTGCGGGGTTCTCAACGAGAGGGGTGATTACTGATGTGGGGCTCGTGTGTAGAAAGTTCTGAAGGTCAACTTCGACGGCGATGTGAAGGCGACTGGGGTTCAGTTCGGTCCTTCGACTGGCGGTCAGACGTTCACTGCGACTGCGAACAAGGAAGTGCTGCTCGCTGCGGGGAGCTTGGCTGTGAGTTCGGTTTTCGTATCAAGGGCATGAACTGCAAGTGACAAATTTGTAGACGCCACCCATCCTCGAGCACTCGGGTGTCGGCGACAAGGAGATTCTGTCGCAATTCGGCATCGAGACCCTTGTCGACCTCCCTGCTGTCGGTCGCAACCTCCAGGATCAGCCCGGCACCGGCGCCACCGCGCTCGTCAACGATGCGAATGCGACGAACACTGGTCTCATCGATAATGTGAACATGTTTGCGCCGGTCATCTCGCTGGTCAACATGGATGAGGTGTTCGGGTGGGGTAAGGGATCTTCAGATGTAGTTTGAGAGCCGACAACTAACGGATTCTTAGATGTCGCCCGCAAGTCTATGGAGCTTGGCTTTGGTTTGGTGCCGAAGGCGATTGAGGCTGTGAAGGCTGGCGCGATGGTCTCTATTGAGAGCGCGCTTGCGGTGTTCACGGCGCAATCGTATCTTGTTCTGAAGGAGAAGCTGCCGATTGCGGAAGTTGGTAAGCGCGGTTAGGCGTAGGAGTGAGGATGGTGGCTGACGAAGTGATGCAGTTGGCGAGAGCTACCCGGGCGTTTTGACCACAGTGTTCTGGCCCCTGATGCCTTTCTCCCGCGGCTATGTGCACATCAACAGCAGCGATGTATGTGCGACTTGTCGATGCAGGGATGATCAGTCGCTTATGAGCCTCTACAGCCGTTCGCCGAGCCCGCCATTACCCCTCGCTTGCTTTCCGATGACTTCGACCTCTCCGTAGCCGTCACCGTTGCCAAGAAGGCGCGCTCCATGTTCACGACGGCGCCGTTCCAGCAGGTCGTCAGCGACCCGTACGTCGACCTCCCGGAAGACGCTACGGACGACGACTGGGCCGAGTGGTACAGGTCGACTGCCTACGGCGCCTCGCACTGGCTGGGCAGCTCGTCCATGTTGCCACGCGCGCTCGGTGGTGTCGTGGATAACAAGTTACAGTGAGTAGGCTGCCAGCCGGAGTGCGGTGATAGCTAATATGGCATAGGGTCTACGGCACCAAGAACCTGCGTGTCATCGACGTCTCCATCCTCCCCATGCCCATTACGGCGCACACGATGCCCGCCGCTTGTAAGTCATCTCATCCGCCCTTGAAATACGCTAACGCCCTCCCCAGACGCCGTTGCGCAGAAGGCGGCCGACATTATCCTGGGCAAAGATACCACTGTCAACTGGTGACAGACCGGGGAGTGCGATTGACTTCTGAGGACATTGCTTGTTTACTAGTACGGTACATATATATCACTACTGTCATTATATGCTTGTACACGGAGGAAGACTGGCCTCTTGTACAAATCCGGATCGCTTTCCTTGCTTTCAATGGTTATGGACGGTGTTCTCTAGGTTGTAGGATGTAGATATGGCCCGGGTATGCTTGTACATACGGATTGAGCCGCCTTGAGCGCTCAAATATATTCATCTTGCTCTATTTGTGGCGTTGCGGGATGGCAAACAACGCGGGGACGTGAGCCAAACCAGGAACCAAACAGCGCGTCATTTGCAGCTTGTCCCGGACTTCCATCTTCTTGAACGCTCTCTTCCTTTCTCTTGAATATGCCGAGGCTCCCGGAGGAACTCTTGGACAGGGTGCTCGCGGACGTCCTCGACATTCCGGACTCGGAATTCTATGGCGACCCTAACCTGCGCCTCAATCCTGGTGCTCGCTGGCAACGATCTTTCGACAACAACTATTCGCGCGACGAGGATCGCCGGCCTCCTGCCCTCCTGCGTGTTTCTAAATCTTGGCGACGCATCGGTACCCCTCACCTGTATCGTTCAATCTTCATCCGAAGGGAAGGCCAGGCTACCGCTCTCGCCAATACGCTTACGAATCTCCGTCCCGATCTTGGCGCATATATCTGGCGTTTCCGTCCTTGTGCTGGCCGCGGACTGGTGATGCTTGGAATCCTCACAGCCACGACTCAGCTCCGCGTTCTCAGCCTTGTTCTCGTAGCGCGCTTCGACAACGACATCCAGGGACTCGCGGCTGGTCTCGCGCTATCTCACCTCAATCCCGCCGAGCTTCGCCTTCATTGCGACGAGAGTTACGCAGTGTCGAATCGAGAGGCCCTCATCAACATCCTTGCTCGCGTATTGCCAAATTGGACGAACCTGGTTCGTCTCGCGCTTAGTATACCTCAGCGGCTATATGAATTCCACTGCAGAAAGCCGCGCATATATCTTGGTCTCTTCCGTTTTGGGGCAGGCCGGGCGAAGAATTCGCAGGACTCATCAGGAAACTTGCTATTGCTCCATCCCTGGCGACTGTTCAGCTGCCCTACGAACTTCAGACTGTCCGCTTTATCCCGACGCTCGAAACCCTCGCCCGCAATCCCAGTCTTCGCAGTATAGATATGTCCCGACCACGCGACCACTACTGCTCCTTCGACCGAGCCATATTTCGGAATCCTCTTCTCGACCCCCTTTGCAAGTATCGTGCACGCGGGTATGCTTCTCTTAGCTCGTCTAATTCGAGTCGCAACCTGAATACCAGCTACAGAGCGAACGTACCGGACTATCCTTCTACTGAGTCAATCGAGATCCACCGACTTGTAGAGAAGGTCCAACAGCAAGAACAGGAATCGAGGGCCGTCTCCTTGCGCATAGCATCTACGCCGTCCAAGAACTCCATGGTTCAACAACATTTCGAGGTCCAGAAGCAAGTGTGGTCTCGCGTCCTCGACTTTGCAACGCCAGAATTTCGTTCAGTACGCCGTGACGGCGTCATCAATTTAATGATGGTCTGCAGGATGTGGAGGGTGAATCAGACGTCGATGTGTTCGACTTCGGCTCCCCACTGATCATTTCCAGTGGCTTTTGCTTCCAACGCTGTATTCCATCGCCATCACGGATAGCGGGATCAATACGTGCCGTCTCAGCCGCACGCTCCTCTCCAACCCCGCTCTTGGCCAGTACGTGCGGGAGCTGCGTCTGGCGAACCACCTGGCCAACAACCTCTTCGTTCCTTTGGGCTCTGTACTACGCGCTTCGCCCCACCTGCGCCGACTCGCTGCTACTGGCTGGCAGTCCGACCGCTACGGCAAGAATTTTCCCCTGCAACTCGAGTGGACGGAGTTCACCATTCTGGCGACATACGCGCCGGGGCTTGAACAGGTTTCTGCGGTCAAGATACTGAAGGCTGCGCCGAAGGCGGTCTCTGCTGTGCTCACTGATACGCCGACGATGGCATCGTGCCTTCACCAGTCGGTGCTGAAGTCGAAGACGGAGGATCTGTCTGTTCCGCTGGGTCTCCTTATGCCTTTTCGCTCGCTGCGATCTCTGCATCTCATAGTGCCTATTGCGCTGGAGTTCCGAGGCGCAACTGTGCGCTCGGATGTGTTTCCGGCGCTGGAAGTTCTGCGTCTAGAAGACTGCCATCCTTCGGTTCTCAGGTTGTTTGCCTTGTTTGAGTGCGTTTGTCAGTCGTCTCAGCGTTGGCGTACTGGCTGACATCGGACCAGCCTCCCCCGCCTTCGTCTTGTCGGGCTTCTCGGCGCATCGCATCGGGCCTCGGACGCGTCTCTCATTCTGTGGAGGCACGGCACGAAGATTGAGGAGCTGGAGCTGGAGTACTTCCCCACCAACGCGCTATTTGGGTTCTGTGGGCGCTTGAAGGTGCTGGAGATCCGGCAGCAAATGCCGGTGAGTAGTGGGGTGCGTTGACTGCGAGGGGCCAAGTGCTCATCGTTCACTCGCAGCTCCCGAACGACTCGGCGGCGGGCTGGCAGTCGGGTAGCTTGGAGACGCTGGTCTGCAATGGGATCAATGCGTGCGTACTCGGGCTGCTCTACAGCGTCTGGGAGAACACTAACGCGACATCAGCTACAGTAATGCGGCGATCGTGAAGCGTTGGGGTGAGGTCTTTGCGTCGATCAACTCGCAGCGGCTTCCGCGCCTGAAGGTGATACGCGGCTGGATGTCTCGGCCGACGGGAGTGTGAGTAGGGCTTCTGCATACTGGCGACATAGAACTGATAAGGTTTCAGGCTCGCGAATGTAGGCAGAATGTGGTTACCTCACGCGGAGGAGTTGAGGGCAAAAGGGATAGCACTTTGGTGCTAGTGGTGGGCTGCAGTGGATGACGAAGGCAGGTGCATGTGAGTGGGAGAATTGGATTTGAACGAAGGAGTAGACTGTATTATGGCTTCGCTATCTTCGATTGTCGCAGTGGGCGAAGTTGCAACGGAAGTGGTGAACTGGGTTTTCTGAGCTATTGTTTGGCTTACTTTGAAAAGGCTGCGCGTGCCAAACAGGCCATATGTGAGCGGTCGACACGCATCAGCATGGTCGTTGGTTCACATGCAGTCTCATAGGACCTACTTCTCTGACTACACGTCCTGGACTGGCCACTATCGAAGCGCCCGCGACCGAACGCCTGCTCTGCGCACCCACGGCAGACCACTACTGTCCACTATCTGGATCCCCTTATCCTGCAATTCCTCAGCATACGCCACCCAGACTGACTTCTTGATTGCTCGCCTATGGGAGCTGTTAGGCATACATCTACTGAAGCGGGCACAGTGCACGTACTCATGCGTCGGCCAATGTTTCTGCACCCGGATCTCCTTGAGCTGCGGCAAGCGCGCCGGGTCCAGCGACGACAAGAATGCTCCCCACTGCGCCAGGGTTGGTCCATGAGATCTGTCATGAACCGATAAGCGAAGGCATTGTCGGCAGCGGATGCGTACGCACGGCGGACGAGGCAACGAGATCACCGTCTCGAGCGACGTCGACGTCCATTCACTGGCCGAATAATTCTCGGGCTGTGACGGCGGGCCAAAAGCCCCATCAGCACGCTGTCGTTAAACATATACGAATGTGTACTGACCGGCCTATCAGCCTCGATACGCAAACGCTTCATGTGCATGCAGCTCTCGAAAATCACCTCCGTCGGGAAGTACGCGAGCTCGAGCTCCTCGATCTTCGGCCCATGATTCTCCAGAAAGTGCGCTGCGTGCTCCGCGGTCTGCGACCGGCCATGCAGCGCGAGACGCCGGAGGCGGGGAAGTCTGGATATCGATGACGTGTGAGCGGCGGACGGCGGTAGGATGCCCTCAACGCGCGGAAAGCAGAGGATATCGAGATAAGCACTCACTCCAAGATGGAGAACAACCGCAGAACTGACGTATGGCTCGGCTCGAACTCCAGGTCTTCGAGGACGGGGAAAATAGCCGGGTCTATGGCGCCATCCTTGAACTTGAGCTTCACCGACGCACCAAAGTGCAGTACACGCAGCGCGCGGAACGGTGTCAGGGACCCCACAGGGACCGAGACCTCTTTGAGCGCGCTGTGGCGCGCTTCGTCGGGCTGTTCGTCATGGCGCGCCGCGTCGGATGGTTCAGCGGTAGGCGCGGCTGGGTCTACAGCAGACGCAACGGGCGTGGTGGGCGCGTTGACCCTTGACCTCGTCGCTACGCCCTTCGTCGCACCGGGCTGCCGCTTCCCCACTTCTTTACCCACAAACTTCTTCCTAACCTGCACGCCCCCAATCACCTCCAAGCCCTCCGCGCTCTTCGCCAGCCCCGCAAACTCGCCCCACTCGATGAAGAGTGTTGGCGGCGTCGCAAACCGGCGGGGCGAATCCCGCCGCCATCCTTGGGACTTTATCTGTGAGAGGTTCGGCATGTTGTTGACGACCGCGTTGAGGGGCACGTAGAGGTCGCGCTCGACCTTGTTGCAGAGCTCGAGCGTGCGCACGTGCCGACCGAGCGATGGGTCGATTCTGCACGCGTCGCCCAGCAGGACCGCGCCGTACCAGTCCTGCGGTTTGGCGTTCGTGTACAGGCGAACGAAGAGCAAGCGCTGAGAAGGGTGATGGTTAGTTTTGTAATCCTGCCTAGTCAACGCGCCAACCTACCCTCCAAAGCCGACAGACGCCCATCAGCCGCTCTGCCGTGCACCTCCCCTCATACGACGAATGCATCTGCGCGAAATCAAACACCCTACACCACACGCGCTCCTGGACCTCCAGGGGCTGCTCCTGGATTGGTGTCCTTCCGCTCGCGGGAGGCGTCGCGGCTAGCGGCTCTGGCGTCGGCTCGCGCGGCGGCGGCGGGTTCATCGCACGCTCCCGAAACGCCCTCCGCAGCGCTATGAACGTGCTCGGTCGATACCTGCCGTAGGAGAGATGGTCGTCGTCAGCAGTCGCCCAGCTCTTCACGGCCAGACAGCCAACGTACGTCGCCGGATCTTCGTACTTGCACACCGCACGAAGTCGCGGGTCGGACGCGATGGCCTTGTCGAGGGCGTTTTTCTGCTGCGCATGGCGCGACATGTCGATGCAGCGTAGCGCGCGGTTAGTTGCGAGCGTCTTCAGTGCTGCGAAGAAGCGGTCGTGTTTCTGGACCTCCCGAGGTAGGACCACGATTTGCAGGGAGGGTGTGGTCGCCAGCCCTTCGAGCAGAGATATGAAATCTACAGTTCCCTGGCCATTGCGGCCATCCGTGATCCAGGGTATATGCGCCTTTTTCTGAAGGAAATGGGTGTCAGATGAACTGTGTAGTGACACTGTCGACCCTGCTTACCAAGTTGCTCCAGCCCTTGAAAGCCTCTGCGAGAGTTTGGACGAGCGTCTTCCGTTTCTTCAAATCGTGCTCATATTCGCAGATCAGCCGGATCTCAGCGGGGTTGACGGCAGGCAACGCAAGGCCGCGCACGAGTCCCGAGATGCTGTCATCCGAGCGCAAGGACAGTACAAGCACCAGTTCCGATACGCGGGTCGTTGCCTTCAGGATCTGAAGTACAACCCTCCCATATCCCCCTTCCAGCCGCAACCGTCTGACCGAGCTGCCGAGATCGGGCGCTAGTGTCGTCAGAGTCCTCGCCAGCACTTCGGCTTGTCCCTTGGACCGCAGGATGATCGTGCGGTACAGCAATGGCGTCCCGATGCGATTCCAAGCCTTGCAGACAAGCAGGAGAGCAGGCGGCCGGCGCTCTTCGGCACGCAGAGCTTCGTTCCCGTACCGCCATCGCGCACCGCTGTTCTCGTATGGAATGGATCGACAGCTGCGAAATTCCTGGTCTTCGGTCTCCGAGTCGATGACGGGTGCAAGGATATCGTGCAGGAGTTCTGCTGGAAGGGTCAACTTGAACGAAGACATTATGACCGTACTTCTGGATGGATGAGCGCAAGAGCCAGGTTGCTCGGTGCAATATTGGGCCTGACGCGTTCGCGTTATTTGCCAGATTGGTGCGCCACAAACAATGTGCTCATTCATCCTGAAGTCACATTTCACGCCGGCAGACGCCGGCGTGCTTGCCTTTTTCCCATCATCTGGCTCGCGCCTCGAGCCCACGCGTCTCTCCGCCCATGGCCGAGAGTCCAGCGGAACATCGTCCTCCGAAGCGCACGAGGACCGAAGATGCCAACGCAGGGCCTATCAGCCGCTCCAAGAAGATCTGGTTTGACGATGGCAACCTTATCGTGCAGGCCGAGCAGACACAATTTCGGGTTCACAAAGGCGTTTTGGCGAAACATTCTATATTCTTTCGGGACCTGAAGGACGTGCCTCAGCCGGATACAACTGACGCCCTGGTGGATGGGTGTCCTGTCGTAGTGCTGCAGGACGAGGCGGAAGCGGTCGAGTACATGTTGGTCGTGATCTATGACACGTGCGTGTCTTTTCGTGCCGTGTATCCTCTGAGACATCTGATAATGTGATACTTTGGTCGCAGGGCTTATGCGGGCCGTTTTCGTACTCTGAAAGAGCTTTCATGGGCTCTGCAAATGGGACACAAGTACCTTATCCCCGCGCTGTTCAACAATGCTGCGGAGCGCCTTCAGGTGTACTTTCCTTGTACGCTGAAGAACTGGCCCTCGGCAGTCGACCAGCTGGAACTCCGCGAGGATGAAGACCGCTTCGACTGCATCATCTACGAGTTATATAATATCGTCAAACGAGTCGGTCTTCATAGATCTCTTCCCGCGCTCTGCTTTCATTACACAGACTTGCGTACTTTGGTAAGTTTCTCTGCCAGATATTGTGTGCATTACCTGAATTTATACAGGAAGATATCGCAAGGCCAAAAGACTCGAAGGGACGCATGGCTCTCGAAGCAGAGGATCGCATAACCCTATTGCTGGGTCGCGCCAGGATCCTTCACGCACAGATGGACTATTCGCTGCAATGGCTGAGAAGTTCATGGGATAACCCCCAGTGCTCGACACGCAAGGTTTGCCGCCAGGCGCGCTGTGACGAGCTCGAGAAATGCCTTAAGTACGGGTCAATCGTTTTGGAAGAATGGAGTACCTTCTCGGGCGTCCGCAAACTCTGCTCGTCGTGCGAAGAGAAATCCAAGGCCGTCCACGACGACGGAAGACGTAGGTTCTGGGACGACTTGCCTGCCTTCTTTGACCTCAGGCCGTGGAACGAACTAACAGACTTCAAGATGGGGGACTGGTATGTACATGATCGATCCCGTGTTGGTCACCTCTCACGATGTGCCAGACCTCGGGCCCGCAGAAATCTAGATATCGCTGCCTGCTTGCCCGTCGAGGTGATGCTACAGCCGATACATATATTGTGATAGGCTAGAAGAAGCGTGTGCTGATGTATTCGCGCTCGTCTACCAAGCGTCGATGCACGATATTGCTGGTGAAGGATGACCACTGAGAGACGGGTTAGTCGTGCCCGCGGGAGGGATCAGGGACTCACGCCATTCCCGATGAACACGGCCGCGAGCCGCGCGAGCTCCATGTCGACGGCCATGCTGACCTCGAGCGTCTCCTGCGTGTAGTGCAGGTCCTTCGTCGTGATGACCGTGCCCCAGCCGTCCTGTGTGAGCGCAGCTTTGAGATCGTGGAGCCACGAATCCTTGTCGTTGGTGAGGATGTAGATGACGTCCAGGGCACGGGTCTCGTTCTTCCTGGCGCCCTCGGCGAGGTAATCGTGCCTGGCGTCGCGGGCCTTGCGCACGATGGCGTCGAGCGGGGGCAGGCAGCGCTCGAGATACAGCTCGGTGTTCTCCTTCGTGTTCCACCCCCAGCCGCCGCCGGCGTGCGCGGTGAAGCGGTCGGGGAGCGCGGGGAGGAGGTTCCAGCTGTAGAACGTGCTGTTCCACGCGGCGAGGCTGAGGCACGCGTTCTTGTAGTCCCCGCGCCGGACGTGCATCGCGAGCGTGCGCTCGAGGGGGCGGGGCGCGGCGCCCTTGGCACGCGGGCGAAACAAGTGCGTATTCCGCGCGACGGCGGCGGCGACGACGGGGGAGGTGGCGTGCAGCCGGGAGACGGGCGAGCGGAGGAAGGCGTCGGCGAGGGAGAGGATGCGGTCGGAGCCCCAGAGGAAGAGGTCGAAGACCTGCGGGAAGCCGTCCTTGTCGCGCGTCTCGGAGACAACCTCGACGCAGTGCTGGGGCGTGCGGAGGAGGAGGTCGCGCCAGGCGGCGAATATGGCGTCGCCGGAGTCCCAGTACATCTTTTCCTTGATCTCGCGCGTGTTGATGATGCGGCGGGAGGAAGGAGGGCAGACTTGCTCCCAGTAGGCCTCGGAGACGGAGCGTGGGGCGGCGTCGCCGAGTTCCCACTCGCCGCCAGCGGCAGGGCCGGAGATGAGGGCGTTGAGGGGAGTGCGGCGCGGTTTTCGCAGGTAGCGGCGCTGCTGCCATGGGTAGTACTCGCGCTTCCAGATGTAGTCCTGGAAGACGTAGGCGCGCTTGCTCGCGTATGCGAGGTGCGCGTTCATCAGTCTGGGAGCACATCAGGGGTCAGCGCGAGAGATTAGTAGGATAGGAATCAAAACGAACACTTCGTTAAGGACATTATTCCATCCGAGTTGCTCGGTCTGACATGAGAATTTGACGTAGCGGCCCGATGCACCCTCTGGGAAGGTGAGGTTGACATTGTGCTGGGGTAGAGCAGCCTCGTAGGCGCGTACTTCCGACCAGTCTGGAGGGCCGCCGAGCAAGGTGTGGCCGAAGAGGAAACTTCGTACAGCGAGGGCCAAGAGCGCGATGAAGACGAAACCGAGGACATACGAAAGTTGATGTGATCGGAATCGATTGCGAAGGTCTCTGAAGATTATGCGCGAGCGACGCGCAGCGTGATGCCTGAGTCGCATCCAGAGGGGGACACCCGCGTTGTTGGACGGCGCGTAGGTGAAGTAGTCTATGGCCATGGCTGAGATGGAGGGGGAGAGAAGAGTCCCGAATTATCATCGCATGTGTTGTGCGCGCGACGCGCTCAAACATTGATTTATCATACGAGGTGGTGTCAGACCGATGACTGATTCAGTCTGAGTCCACGGTGGGCGTCCCCGACCGGAAAGCAGTGCCCGTGTTGAGCTTCGGTCCCGTGCCGGATCGAGAGTAGTGAATGGGGAGCGGAGACCTCTTCGCCGGCCGCCATTGAATATTGAAGGGCAAAAGATGTTGGATAATACGCGGTTCAAGTCAAACATCACACGGCAAATGCCGTAATTACCGGATCTGGGTAACGACCAAACAAGAAGCCAAATAGCGTGACTTGAGCCGGACCATTTTGCTCGTCGCGCCATGAGCGCTGCAAATACGGACTCGCGTCCGGGAAAACGCGCAAGGACAGAGGAGGTGTTGACAGACCCTGCCATAGTGCGCTCTGATGCGCTTTGGTTCGACGATGGCAATCTCGTGCTTCAGGCAGGGCGCACGCAGTTCCGCGTTCACAAGAGCATCCTTGCCACGCGGTCTATCTTCTTCAGCGATATGAAGAACCTTCCTCAACCTTTGGGCGCTGAAGAAGCTCTGGTGGACGGCTGTCCCGTCGTCGAGCTGTCGGACGACACGGAGGCCGTGCAATACATGTTAGAGTGCATATACGATACGTATGCATGATGTCTTAAACTAACTCAAGCGAACTTCTGACGGTCAGACAGAGAGAAGCTGACAAAAGCTCCCTCGTACAAGCAGATCATATTTGCCTTGCGCATGGGCCACAAATATCTGGTCCCCAGCCTTTTCGAATCGGCAGCGGAGCGCGTGCGCCGCCAGTTGCCCTCTCAGTTTACGCCCTATTCTGCCTTGGGCACAACGGACGCCTTCAAATGGTTCGATCACAGCGACAATGCCTTCGAGCTGCTCACCGTCCTCCGAGAAGTGGGCCTAGAGAAGCCTGTACCGGCTCTCTGTCTTTTCTATATCATGGAATTTCCTGCTGTGAGTTGACCCGCCGGCAACAGCGTTTTCTTTCCGCTGAATAAATCGACTGACGCGCTACGGTAGGAAGACATTGCATATGGGTGGCCAAATCCTGGGCAGACAGCCAACCCGGACGACGTACTCAGGATGCTCCTCGCCCGCGACAAGATTATCACCACGCAGATGTCGTACGCACTGCTGTGGTCTTGGGACTGGAATCGCAGCGATCGTTGCAAGAAGTCTGATCAGTGCAATGCGGTGCGCTCAGAGTTTCGTACGCAGGCTCTGAGGCGGCTCGAGGTTTTGGGTGACGGTTTGGACGATAATGTCCTCTGTTTCAAAGACTGGGAATATGTCAAGTTGGGGCTCTGCACGCACTGTACCACACAAGCGAAACGGATGCACGAGGAAGGTCAACGCCGGTTCTGGACCGACATGCCCTCAGTTCTCGGTTGCAAACCTTGGGAACAGCTACAGGATTTCAAGATTGAAGCCTAGTACAATGATATCTCTGCGGGTACATATCAATCAGCATGTACACGTCCAAGCGCGATGCCATTCATTTCGACGACAACAAGTAAAATTATGAGTAACAGACCGTGACAAGGTGATAAGTTAGATGCAGGAGGGCAGTCCGAACAACAGTCGATGCAGCGGTAAGTACAGTCCAAGCGGTTCGTTCGTCAGAGGAGATGGACAATTCAACATCGACGTCCAAGCAATTACAATGCGCGTGCGACTTAAGCGAAATCGTCGTCGGGCTCGGCCGTTACGCCGTCTTCGTTCCAAATCTCGATGAACTGTAAGGCAGATGTAAGTACACAGCTTGAATACGAACGAAGGGCTCTCACTGTTGCCTTTTGTCGCTCGGCGTCCTCCATATTCAGGAGAGGCTGCGTCGCATATGGTAGCCTGTCCCAAGAGATCGGCCGCCCGTGCTTCCTCGTCACACCCTTGTCACCAATAGCGCTTTTCTTGCCGACGACGAACTTGGAGCACTTGCTGCAGACATAGTCAGTACTGCCATGCAAAGGATCAACAATGAAATCAGACTTACTCTTCGGATAGTCCATAGAGGGCCTTGAGATGCGCCTTGAGCAACATGATCATCGCGATGATGACTGACAAGCGTCGTTGGGGGAGGCAGTCGTCCGCAGTTGGCGCCACCTCCGAGCCCTCGGCGTCCACTTCCATTGCATCCGCCGGTCGAATGTGGCTTAGCAGGTGTGAAGGCGACAGCGCTTCCAATACCTGGGTACCCGTTGTAGCGAGGATGTTTGTGAGCGCTTTAATGACGGTCAAAACTTCCTCCTGCGTTTTGTAATCGAGCGCGGCGAAGTTCTCCGCCATGTAGCGTGAGAAGTCTACCTCATCCTGAGTGGCTGAGAGCGTGGACCCGTCGGGGAAGACCTTGACGAGGGCGCGAAGGAAGTCTTGTCGAGGTGCCCGCTTCTCACGCACGAGCGAGTACCACCTTTGGAATACAGCAGTCGCGGTCGGTTGCAAGCGGTACCCTACATCATGTAAGTCGTCGATGATAAGCCATGGTTTGGAATGCTCACCCTTTACACCGTCCTGGCACACTCGCCGCTGATAGTCATAGGACGCTCGTGCGCTCTGCACGTAGCGACCGTTCACAAGCGAGGCATGCTTGCTATGTAGGATAGCATGCAGTGCGCTCGCACGGTTGGCGACGGTCGGGTTCGGACTGGTCTCTAGCGCGACAATCACCGGGAAGGACTGCAGTGGATGAGCGAGACCTTGCTTCACAGTAAAGCTCAGCACGTCGATGGCGGGAGACTGGATGACCGGGTTCTGAGACAAGGCAGCGGTCAACACGTGGTCGAGATATCGTTGAACGACAGCCGAAGCAACCCTGCGTGCCTTATGAGCATCGGTGCAGTGATATACGATGGATCTCACGTACCCAGAGTCGGCGAACCCATCGGTGTTACCCACGAGCTCGTCCATGTTAACATCAGAAGCGCCGCCCGCCTTCTGCGATTCTACAATGCAGGTCAGAGGCGTACCCTATCGTAACCAGAGAAACGCGTCCTTACCCCTCTCCTGCATCGCATGCTTCTGCTCTTGGGACTGTAAGAACTCTTGCATGATTCGAAGTATCCGCGCCCGAGCCTCCTCATCGTCGCCGCTGAAGACCTTGTCCATGATCACGGCGGAGTCTTGCGTCGACATCAACGTAGGATAAGCACGGAACAGGAAGCCTGATGTAAGGTGGTTAGCCAAGCCGATGTTTGGCTCAGAGACTTTACGGACCCAAGCACTGGAGAACTCGTCCGCGGAAGGATACATTCTCGTTGCGTTCGTAGAGCTGCAGAAGCAGAGTGTACACACGATCTGTAACGGAGTCCTGCGAGGTTGACGTGAACATCGCACAAAGCGCTCTGTTCCATACACACCTGTGCGACTGAGTCAAGGTCAGCGACCCATGTTGCTTCGGGGTGCTCGATACGCAGGGCGTCAAAATTGCAGTGTTCGGCCAGGAGAGATACAATCAAGATGAGAACAGTCTGCGGGATGACCTGTTTGTCCGTAATCGCGCCGCCAGCCTTGAGCACACTTTGCAGTCGGTCTAAAGCCAATCAATAAATGAATACCACTGACACAAACGACGCTTACTGTGGCACGACTTCAGAAGGTTGACCAAACGGCCATAGTCGTGCGTGAGGTGCTTGACGACAGCACAAATACAAGCGATGGTCTCCTGCAGCGTGTTGAGGTTGCGCATGTTCGGCTTGATGACCATCGGCTGTAGCGTTGCTTGCAGGTCCTGACCGAACTTGACCGCCGTCTTGGGCATGTGCGGCACAGACGCGCGAAGGATCTTGAGGACGTGTTCGGATATCGCATACTCCTCTGCCTGCGATACGGTGAGCGGACAGGCTCAACAACATAGAATAACTACTTACACCAGTCGCGTTCTTGAGGTAAGGCAATAGCGTCGCCCCGTTATCCGCTGTCAGGATGGTAGGACAGGCGGAGGTGAAAAGGTAGATCGTCTTCACGCAGTTCAAGACCGTCTGAGGGCAATGTGAGGATGATTTCGTGCTATCAGTGAACAGAGAGAACGTACAAAGCCGGGCAAGTCCGAGTTGTCGACCAAGCCATCAATGAGCGTATGACAGACTTCGAGGTATTTCTCCCTGAAGAATTGCCCATCGCCCGATTCTCGCTCTGACGCGATCTTGTGTAGGACTTCTTCCAAAGGAGACTGACGGTCGTGGAACTGGCCCGCCACAGACATGATGACTGCGACCTTCGACAGCAAGGGTGCCCTGTCCTCGCCCGCGTCCTTGCCCTTTCTTCCGCGAGACGAAGGCACGGGGGACGGCGCGGCGAACCAGAGATCCTCAATAGTTTTGATAGCTAGGTCCTTGACTGTGTCATCCTCGTCGAGTTGTCGTAGAACAATGCGCTTTGCGATGTCGCTACGCTTCTCTTGATCGTCTGTAACCTGGTAAAAGGCCTTCAATAGCTTGATGACGCGCTTCCGGACGCCGAGACCGGTGTCCGCGATGCGGTCGGCAATCTTGGCGTAGTACTTGCCAGCCACCTCGGGCGACTCGACCATGTACTTGCCGATGAGCTCGACGGCGGCGTCGCGGACAGAGGGTGAGCTGTCGAGAAGATGACCCTCAATAGCTCGGCGGACGTCGTCCTATGGAGGGTAAGCAGACTGATTGAGGGGCTGCAGGATAGGGGCATACCAAGGAGAGAATGCTCGGATCGCTTGAGATGATCTGGGCCAGGGCTCGCAAAGCCTTCGTGCGTACAGTAGTTGCTGTCGCATTCAGGGCCTTGAGGACGACGTTCAAGATGGGTTGGAAGGACTTTGGCAAGTGCTGGATTGTCCCGATTTCCTCGGCGAGTCGATCGATTTGAGTGGCCTCGTCTTGCATCCTGCGGCGCGTCAGCTTCGGTGCAAAAGCTTTTTTGCGTAACTTACCCGATGTCGAAGACATCTGACGTCTGCTCCTGCCATAGCGAGCGCATGGCGGACTTCAGCTTGTTGCCGACGACTCGCAGACCATGGACGTCAAGATGGTCATTCTGGTCCGGATGATCGATCGCAGGTACTATGGAGTTCAGGCAGGCCGCAACCTCCTCGCCTAAGGTCGTCGCAGTGAGTTCTCGCGCGCTCTTCGGAAAGGTCAATGTCGAGCTGGTTAACGCGCGGGCATCCATGACTCACATCGTACGCCTGGTCATCCGACGATCGTTTGCTGAGGTGCGCCGCTACATCCACATGAGCCTGAAGCAGGACGTCCACACCCTTCTTGTCGGTGGATTTGACTAGCTCGCTCAATCTCTTGACACCAAGGTACGACGAGTCCGACTCTTGCACTTGCGACCGCACTTTCAACTCGACTGTGCGGATACGAGTTGCGATTGTGCCGAGGTGATCCAATGCAATGGCCTTCGCGGGAGCGCTGGTCGCTTCAGCCGACGAGTTGCTATCGTCAAATAGACGCAGCTACAACGCCGTGAGTGACTTTCAATATGTGCGGTGATATCAGCAAGACGTACCAGGTGCTTAGCGGCTGTGCTTAGTAGAACGCTTGCAGCTGGCCATTCTGGCAGGTAAAGGACTGCGAGCGCGTCGGAGATGAGCGTGTCGAAGATGTTCCTATACTCAGCCTCGTTGGAGTTCTTCGTGGCCTTATCTGGGTATGAAGTTGAGCAGGTGCACGGTGGATAGAATATCAGCACTTACTTGCACCAATCCGCCCGATCAAGAACCTAATGATGGTCTGCGTGGCTGAGTACGTGCTCTGGAGGCCGTTGCCGTACAGCTGCAATTCTTCCTTGTCAAACTCGTCCAGGAAGGGTGGAGGCTGCCCCTGCAATCCCATTTGGCTCTCCGAGATACTCTCTTGACGCTTCAGCGCATTCATCTCCTTCCGCCGGTGCTCGATATTACGAGCTTTGACGGCAACATCATGTGACGATGTCTGGATGAGCTGCAGCAGCAAAGCGGATACGGTCCGTATGGAGCGACCGTCGCGAAGGCTTGACAAGTCCTTTAGTCACCGAGCGACGTTGAGCTGCGACGAAGACTCACCGGAACTGCCCCGCCTTCTGCTTCGTATCCGACAACCTTGTCAGCGACGTCAAGATCTCCTCAATGATCCAATGCCTCTGATCCTGTCGGATCGCGAACACCGTCCGCAACAGAGTCAGCGCCTCCAACCTCAGCCCCTTCATCGAGCTCGGGCCGAAGCTTCTCATGGGGTCGTCCTCCTTTGCTTTGCCCTTGCCAGCCTTTCGAGGCGTCTTGGCTTCACGGGCGGTGGACTTGCCGTCCGTGCTGCTGTCGGCGACGAAAAAGGGTTCAACGGCAAGGTAGGCGGTCTGGATGATGACCTTGTCGCTCATGGCGAGGCTGGCGGTGGTGAGGAGCGTGTTGATGCGCGGGATGGAGGCAGAGATGGAGGTGTAGACTTCGGCGATGCGGTCTCTGTGAGGTCAATATTCAGCGACATGAGCGACAAGGAAAATTGGTTTACATGCCTATGCAGACTTGTTCTAGTCGTCGTCTTGATGAGAGCATTGATGGTGGGGACAGTGGATGTGGACGTGGCGATGGCCTCTATGAAAGGGTATATGATCTTGGTGAGGTGATTCTTGATAGTCTCGAGACAAGTCGTAATCAGTTCTTCAGAGTACATCTGGGACAGCATCAGCTCCTGGGCCCCGTGCGTATATGCGCTTCAACGATGCATATATGCGTCCCACTTACTTGCTTGGGAAGCCTATCACTGGCAAGCAGCGCCAGTGCACAATCGGCAGCCTCCACTGAGTCCCTTGCCAGCTCAAGCGATGAGAGCAGCCGGTCCAGTTCCTCGTCTGAGGCCATTGCTACGACCTTCGTTGCTTTCTTCTTCCCTTTCGTCGGCGACTTCGGTTCGGAACCAACCTCCGGCGTCTCCTCGTCCGCATCCTCCTCGTCAACATCCATTCCGTCCGCGTCCGGCTCCGCCCGCCGTTTCCCTAGCGTCTTCTTGCTTGGCGACTTGGGCTCAGCAGTGCCCGTGCGACCAGCAGCCTGCCCGAACGGATCCAACTCCTCGCCCATCCGCACGCTCCTTAGGAGTATTCGCAGCAGTCGCCCGAGCATCTGCATGTCGATGTCCCCGATGCGGCCCCCGGCGCGCTTCACGGGGCTCTCGCCCGCGCGCACCGACTTGCGCGGTCGCGCTACGCTGACGATCGCCTTGGACAGCTTGCCATGCATGAAGTGGTAGCTGAGTGCGGGGTGCCGTGACTCGCCGGGTGGGACGTAGGACGCGAAGATGTGGCTGGGGTAGTCGGATGAGATGTGGTTGGGGGAAGAGGCGTGGTGCGACGGGGAGGATGTGGGCGGCGCAAAGTCGGCGGGGAGCGCGTCCTCGGCCTCGAAGACGTCCTCGAGGAGGGCAGTGAACTTCTCGAGCGGCGCGCGCGAGTCGCGGTCGCCGGTCTTGCGAGGGCTGGTGTCGACGTTGGCGTTGAAGAGCTTCGTGCGCGTCGGGCTGAGCTGCTCGACGGGCGCATAGTCGTCGAGGGGGTCGGGGGAGTCGGAACGGGTATCAAGCTTGCTCTTTCCCTTGCCCTTCCCGGTGTTGAGGGCTTGTATGCGGTGTTTCGATTGCGGGGTAAGCCAGGCGGGGCGCTGGATTTCGACGCAGTCCATGACGCTGGAACCGGACTTGAGCAAGTGGGCGGTGAGGGCCTCGTTATGTTTGCTCTTCTTTGGAGTGACGGGTACTTGCGGCGTCGCTGGCAGAGCTGAGACGGATGCCATAGGAAGACCAGAAGGCTCTGCTTGTGATTGCATCCGCGACTTTGCAGTACGTTGGGAGGTTGGTGTCGACGGCACCTGTTCGCGAAGAGATTGGGAGCTCGAGACACGCTTGACGCTCGGACTTTCGAGCTGGAATAGTGATTTGCGCTTCTTAGGGGATGTTGTCGAAGACGAAAATGTGGCGGCCTTGGCCCGCGATATCAGATCTGCGCGCACGGTAGTCGTCTGGGATGGCGAGACAGTCAAAGCAAGAGGGTCTGGACTGTCGTTCAAGAGGGATGGCAACGACATGCGCGCATGTCGCGGAGTGCCGTTTGCCACGCCCTGGTTGGGCGTTTGGGCGGTAGCAGGGGCGCGGTTGACATTGAGTTGGCGGCTTTTCGCAGCAAGAAAGTCGTCGAAGAACTGGGGTGACTGCATGGGCTCTGCCGGGACCGGGGGTTGGGTGTAGCGATTGGGGCCAGGAGGGCCGCCACCGAGCGCGTACATGAGGCTGTTGACCGGTGGTGGTTTTAGCGGGCGGCTGGACTGGGGCGGAGGTGTGGGGTAGGCATTCACGGGTGTCATTTGCTGGAAGACAGAGGATGCGAGGGCAGTGGATGTATGCATGTAGTCCTGGTTTTGTGATCTGGGGAATGGGTAGGATCTGTGGTCAGGGGAGTGTTGGTGAGTATATGTGGGCGAGGAGAGCACTGGGAGACGCACGGGCCGGCTTCTGCACTGATAAAACGCGTCGCGTTCGTCCTGTTGACATCCCAATATCCTCCGCTCGTGTTGGGGGCGACAGGAGCGGCCATGTACTGTACGTCCGGCGCGTACTCAGAATACGGGGGCGGATTGCCCTGCGGCGCATACAGCTCGGGCTGCGCAAAAGAAGGCGGGTGCGCTGGACCCGTCAGGGTATTGATATGCCGCGCGACTGGGCTCATCAGCGAGGGGAACGCGCTCGACGGCAAGTACTTACCATGGTGAGTGGGCACGCCTGCGGCAATGGGGTAATGTGCATATATGCGCTGGGATTCGAGCACTGCGGGGGACGCATGTTGGTTAGACGCGTCGTGGCGGCCAGCGTACCACGGCTGGTTGCTGCTCATCGCGTCCGACGGCGAGCAGTGATGGTCCGCGTCAGGACAAGAGACGCCTTCTAATTAGCGCGTGGCGATTTCTCACGGGCCTCAATGATAGTCACGCGCTCGTCACGCACTCATCAACATCAACTCGACACCGAATCGTCATATTGTACACAGCATACAGTACATTCCTAGCAAGGTAACAGACAGCACGAACAACATTGCAGTAGAATCCCGAGAAAAATGAGAATAAACATGGAAAGCACGAATGTCTACTGAGCTTGCGCTTCCTGCAGCGGTGTAAGGCGTCGTATAACAAGGCCAAGACACGGAGGACTCACCTGGTCAACGAACTCCATGGCCTCCTCCCTCTTGATAGCCCGAATTGACGATACCTTCTGGTTGTTGAACAGCACGCCGTAGAATTTGTCCGCCGTGACCAACATCTCTGGCCTGAACGTCGTCGTGATGAACTGCGCCGTACCCGAGAGGGAGTGGATCATCGCTGTGAACGATGAGCAATCGAGCAAGCATAAGCTATACGTGTCAACATACCTGCAACTGCTGTCCGGTACTGGGCGTCCAGGTTCGCGTCGATCTCGTCGAACAGGTAGAATGGCGCAGGATCACACTTCTGGATGGCGAACACCGTCGCGAGCGCCACGAGTGACTTCTGCCCACCCGAAAGCTGCTGTATGCGAAGGCCCTCGTCCACCTTCGAGTTAAAGGATACCTAAAGCAAGACAATATTCGTTAATCACCACTCGGGAATATCGTATATCTCACATACCTTGATCGACACGCCCGTGTAGTTGTCGATCCCACCCTGACCTTCACCATCCTCGTCCTCATCGCCTTCTGCCTCATCGCGGTCGATCTTCCTCTGGATGATCAACCGCCCTCGCCCGGCTGGCACCAACCCCTCAAACACCTCTTCGAAGTTCTTCGCCACCTGCTTGAAGGTCCGCTCGATCGCCTCGTCCTTCCGCTGGTCGAGCACATCTACGAGCTCCTGAATGGATTCGGCGGACGTGTCTAGCTCCTTCCGGCGATCGCGAAGCTGGTCGCGTTGTTTGGTGAAGTTGGTGTATTGCTCGACGGCCTTCTTGTTAACGTGGGCGAACCCCCTGAGGGTTTCGCTGACAGCGTGCAGTTTCCTCACGAGCTGCAGAGTGTGAGGTCAGTTACAATACGGCCTTGACAGACGCGGGGACTCACCCTGTTCGGGTTCTCGTCCACGTATCTGACGAACGCCTCTTCCGGCAGCACACCCAGGTCTCTGATATTCCGCGCACACTCATCCTTGCGGTTCTGTAACATTTGGCGCTTCGCGAGATACCGCTCCGTTGTCTTCTGCTGCTTGCTCATCGCACGTGTGTCCTCCAGCAGCTGATTCTGAACCTTCTCTAACGCAGCGCGGTCCTTCTGCATCCGCTCGGTGACCCTGTCAATCTCGGCGTCGAGGGCCTGGAGCTTGGTATTGAGCGAGGCGATGCTTTGGTCGAGCGTAGCGAGCTCGCGCTGACGGGCGGCGAGGGTGAGGGTGGCGCCGGTGCCGTCGTCGGTGGTGTCGCCGAGGGACTCGAGCTTGCGCTTGACATGATCCCGCCGCCGGCGGAGGCTTTCATTGAGCTCGACTTCGAGGCGGTTCTTGTCGCTTTCGAGCTTTGAAGGTTGGTTAGCGCATGTATCATGTCTAAATTACCACAATGCTCACCGTATTCCTCTTCGATGTCAACTCCCTCAGCTGCTTAGAAGACTGTTCTGAGTCTTGGTTGAGCTGCGCGAGCTCCTGTTCCTCCGCGTCCGTCAGCCCCTTCGTCATGGGGCTCTCCAGCTCGCGAGTATACGAGTCCAGCCGGCTCTCAACACTGCGTAGCTCGCTTTCGAGTTCCTCCGCCTCGTGCTCGAGCTTCTCTATGCGCGCTTGTAGCCGCTCCTTCTCGCGCGACCGCGCAGTCCCATCAGCCAGTCCGCGCTCGCGAGCCTCGCGAATCTGCGCCTGCTGGGCAGCGAGGCGGGATATCTGGCCAGACACCCGCGTGATCTCCTGGTCGATCGTAGCAATTGCATTCTTGACCTCCTCGCTGCGCGCCATGGTGGCCCGGACCTTCTCCTGCCATGACGCCGCCGCACGCACTGCGTCGAGCCGCGAGCGGCGGGGGTCGTGGTAGCCGCCGGTGAGCGCGCCCTTGCGGTCGACCTTGTCGCCGTCGGTGGTGATGGTGTTGATGCCGTGCGACTTGACGTACGCGGTGGCGTCCTCGAGCGTGTGGCAGACGCAGGTCTTGCCGAAGACCTGCTGGAGCGCTTTGATGTGCGTCTCGTCGAACTCGAGCTGGTTGATGAGCGGGACGGCGTCGAGCGTGTCGGGCATGGGCGGGACATTGGGGTGGAGGCGGTTGAGGGGCATGAAGGTGACGCGCCCGATCCTGTCACGGATCATGATATCGAGGACTCTGGATGCGGTCTCGTCGGTGTCGACAACGACGTGGAAAAGGCTGGAGGGGTGTGAGGACTGGCTTAAGAGGAAATAAGCGACTGACCTGTTGCCGGCGGTGGTCTCCACAGCGATGTTGAAGGTTTCGTCCTTGATCTTGAAGAGGCGGTACAACGGTCCGTACACGCCTTCCAAGCTGTGGCGCTGCTTGATTTGGTCAACGGCGCGAAGACCATTGCCAGTATCCTGTGTCGAATTCAGTGCACGCGCCCTGAAATGATAGTAATACAACGCACCTTGTCCATCATGCCGGCGAGGGTGCGCTCCGCCTTCTTCAGCTCCTCGCTTTCACGAGCCAGATTGTTGTTCAGCTTGGCATCTTCCCTCCAGTACTCTTTCCGCTTCTCGTTGAGGTCGTTCGCCTTCTGATTGAGCTGCGCCGTCTGCTCCTGCAGATCACGGATCCTCTCGCGACCCTCCTCGATGTCCGTTTGCACGGTTGCGAGCTGCTCGTCGATCGACGTGCACGTCCTCTTCGCGTCCTCGATCTCCGCGCGCGTAGCCTCGAGGGCCTGAGATTGCGATGATTTGTAGCTCTGCAGGCTGCTGATCTCCTGCTTGAGGAATGCGTCGCGCTCGGCCTTGTTCCTGAATCGGTTCGCGCGCCCGCGCTTCGAATGCAGAGCTGTCAGCCGCGCCTGCATGTCTGCGAGCCTGTGCTTCTCCTGCATTTCGGATGCGCGGAGGGCTTCCCATTCCGGAAGGATGCGGTCGAGCTCAGCCTCCTTCGAGGTGATCTCGCTCTCGAGTTGCGCGAGCTCGGCCTGCAGCATCTGGCGCCGGCCGCCTTCGGACTCGCTGGTCGATTGCATGTCGTCGATAGAACATTTGATTTCGGTGCGCGTGCCGATGAAGTCGGTGAGTTCGGCCTGGACGTCGTCGCGTTCGGCGGTGAGAGCTTCGAGGGTATGCTTGTGCTCTTCGATGGACTTTTCATATGCCTAAAACTGGTTCAGTGTGTAGGCCTCATACGCAGATGAATTACGGACCTGGATCTCTCTGTCGCGTTGACTTAGATGGTCGCGTCGCTCGTTCGCAGTGTGAAGTTCGTTTCTGCGCTCTGCCTCAACTTCTTCAAGCGCTGCGGTGACATCTTGAAGCTCTCGTTGGTGCAGCGCGTACTCGAGGCAGCGTCGCTCCCGATCCTTGTCTTGGAACTGCCTTAGCTCTTCCTTCTCCTCCTCGAGTTCGGTGAGACGGGATTCAATGTAGTCCAGTAGCTCGTTGATCTTCCCGCGTTTAGTGTCAGTTTCCGCCATAATGCGCAGGGACTCGGTACGTCGTTGTTCGTAGACCTTGGTGCCCGCCACCTCCTTCAACAATGCTAGGCGTTCGTGGTCTTTTGCGTTCGTCAGGGCAGTTATCTGTAGCATGGTAAGAGGGGGTAGGCAATCGACGAATAAGTGACGCACGCGTCCTTGTGGCACGATGTAGTAGGGGTTGGACTTGCTGAAGCCAGCGCTCTCCAGCAGATTCATCACGTCGGCCTTACTCGCGCTCTTCTTATCAAGACTGTATTCGTCTTTCTTGAGGCCGATCGTTCGTCGTAAGATGACTTCATCGTGGCCTGTCGGAAATCTGTTATCGGAGTTGTCGAAGACGATCTCGACTAGTGTCGTTAGAGTGATTCGTGTGCAGAAGGCAGGTGGCGCGCACCGTATGCAGACAGTGTAGTAGTGGTAGATACCCCTTCGTGCAGCAGAGACTGGCGTTCCTCGCGGCTCATTGACGTGTAGGCATCTGACAATACGAAGCGAATGGCTGGGGGGCGGGTTAGGTGGAGACAGGGAACGAGCTGTGTGGTTTGCTGCGTACCGGCGAAGAAGTTACTCTTTCCCGAGCCATTTCTCCCGACAACCACATTATGCTTGGGCGAAAAGGGCTCAATCTGCGTTTGATCACGGTCTGCGCCAGAGTCATTGAAGGCCTACGCCACACGTATGCGAGCGACTCACAAGATTTGAAGCCTTGGATGGTGAGAGTCTTGATATACATGAGGGTTTCTCTCTTCGCGGCCTTGGCCACAGGAGACGCGTGAGAGGCCGGGTTAGGTCAGGTCAAGTCGCGTCACGGTCTCTGCTAACCAACACCGATTTGAGCGCGACTCATGTCACATCCCGTGGTCTGTGACACGTCGTGTCTGGGTCAAGAACTTTGCTTGATTTTCCGGCTGTCCCGCTCCATGATTGTACAATCATTCCTGGGCTACTTTTGAATTTCTACGTATGGTGCTCCATCTGTGTGGTCACAGCCTGGATGCACTTGTGCATAGCAGGCCGCCACTTCGCGTGGCATAAGGTGAGCTAGTGGGTCGAGCTTAAATGCGTGTTTACTCAAGTCTACTAGTAACGTGGCCCCAGGGGCATGTTACGAGATCTGCCTTGTTTGTACCACATTTGGCCACTACAAGAACATCTCACACGTGCCCTCAGACGCGTCGAATGCGCCGCGTGTCGCTGCCACCACCATTATAGCACTACAGGGCAGCTGTGGTCGTAAGGACCTTTAAAAGACCTCCGACAATTATCATTGAGGTATTTCAAAAGACGTCGTATGTCTTATCCACACAGCCACGGCCCCCCGGCAGGTAGCCGGGCAGGCTCCGGTCGACGCCCGATGTGGCAGGTGACCCCCCGGCCTCGCCGGTCGGGGTTTCCCGCAGCACGCGTCGCACGACGCGCGCGCTCCGCCGCCGCTTGCGCTGCCTCGTGCTCTGCGGCGGCTGATGCGCCGCCTGTGCGCCGCCGCCGTTGCTTGGTCAGCACGTCGGCGCGTCGCGCTCGCGCGCGCACCGCCGCCGCGGGTCGCGTTTTTGCACTACTTTGTATAGCAAATGAGTGATATATGTATTGTATTATATACAATGTACAAAGAAAGCGCTAGGAAACGCGGGAGGTAGAGAAAAAGAGTAAAAACGCGCCGACGAAAAATTTCGCCAGCGTGACACGTGTCATCGAGCCTGCGCAAGCGGGCACGACCGAGCACGCGTTAGGTAGGGGGTAGGGAAGGGTGTGGGCGAGTGGTATCCAACACCCCACCACGGCTCCGGCCGCAAGCCAAGGTGGGGGTGGGGATGGGGGAAGGGGGAGGTCGAGCGCGCTATATCTGCGCATGACGCGCAGGCGAGTATCATTGCCGTCCACGTGAGAGGGGTAAGGGAGGCGGTGCTGGAAAGGGCGACGCTTTTGAGGGGCGGGGGAATTGATGCCGCGCTTGGAAGCGCGCGCGGGTTGGGGGTCGCGGATGGGGCCCATGCCACCACCTTGAGATAGGGATAGTGCGTGTGGGGGGATGGTTGATGTCGCCAAGGCGATAGAGATGAGGGGGGAGGGTGTGGTGTGGGGCGAGGGTGGCGAGGTGGTGGTGAGAGGGAGGGAGCAGGCATCCGATCACGATGCCTGCGAGCGCGATTGTGAGCAACCACGTGTGCTGGAAATGGTGGAAAATGAAGGGGGAGAGGTGTCCGAGGTCGCTGGGAATGTTGTGGGGAAGTACCGGCGACACGCGCTCTGGAATAGCGCGCAGGGGGCGGTGGCCAGCCATGCCAGATTGGTCTCGATGTTCGGGACCGCTGAAATCCGTCTTGGGACTGCGCGGATGCCGGTCCGGACGTCCGAGGGTCCTCCTCGTCGACTTCGATGGCCCCGGGAGCACGCCGACGAGCGTTTATGGACGTAAAAATTCAATGGAGCGAAGGGGAATGGTATATAGAAATTGTATCTGAGGCTTGAACTGGAATACTGTCTCAGAATATGTGTCAGACATCGAATTACTCCAAATCTGCCCCTCAATACCTAGTATCTGTGTTCCTACACTATATCTAGGACACAGAATATTGTATAGCATACATGCCAAGTTGGAAAAAGAGTACCCCTACACATTACAGCTTGTTTGACGCTCATCTGCCAAGTTTTGAGCGAGATATCACCCAAAAGCTCCGTTTTCAAGGCTAAAGAAGGTGAGAACACTGGCTTGCATGAAGGGCATTGTAACTGAATCTCAAGTTCTGCAAGCCACAGACGCTCATATGCTACAAAAACTCATATATGCGGTCTACTACATGTACTCGACGCTAATCTTCCTTTACTTTACCGTCTCACATCCCTCGGCTTGCATCCGAGGCCGTCGAGTACGACGACGACGAAGCCCGGACATCGGACCGAGCTGCCGGCCCGGACATCCGCCGCGTCGTGGCGGCGCGTTCTTCACTCCCAACCACCACCTCCCTGCCCCCACGGCTGCCCCGCTCGCCCCCGCGCCCTCGCTCCCTCCTCTTCTCATCAAAAGGACGACATTACACGCGTTTTACGCGTTTCCCACGCGCCAAACGCGTGTCCGACGCGCGCAATGCTGGCTGGGCAAGCGACAGCCGGGGGTCGCCTGCGACGCGCGGCTACGCGTCGAAGCTTCAAAAGGCCGTCGGAGGAATAGGGGGGGATGCCCTTGCATCCCGCAGGTGCGTCACTGCGCTCTGCACACGATTTATACTAACATACTTTGCTCTCTATTCCCGGTTTTTTACAGTGCATCTCCCCGCGGCGCGTCCAGCGCTGCGGGGCGATTTTTCTAATCGGTAGTTCCTCAAGACCTCCCCCTCCCCCCCTCATCCCTTCTCCCTCCCTCTGTGCCGAAACGCGTCCCCGCGTCGAGCCTGGCCCGTTCGAGTACCCACCGCACCGGCGAATTCGCGGTGCTGGGCTCGGCGTGAGACGCGTAATTCGACACCTAGGTCATTTTGGCCTAGAGGGGGGCTGAGCGCTGCGAGTGCTAGCCCGCGCGCTTGTAATCGCGCAGGTGCTCGCTCGCCGGCTGGCGCGCGATCGCGTGACGGCGGTCACGCACCTCACCCTCAACCTCCACTACTACCAGCACCACCTGCGCCACCTCTCACGCACGCGGGCTATCGCCCCTGTCAAAAGTAGGGTATAGAGGGGCGAGTCTGCCTCCTCCCATGGGCGGACGGTTTGCCTCGCGTCCACGCTTTTGGTCCGCCTTCCTATTCGGGAAGAACTTTCCCACGCCGCTCCGGGGGCGTCCGTATTTATCCTTACTGTACATCTCTTTTCCCTCAGTCGCTATTCCACTAGCAGGAAGACTGAGGGTATGTTTCTCACTTACTATACTCATACTATTTACTGACTGTACTTTAGTCTTGCGCGTCCTGCGCTTCTTTAGGTATGAATTTCAGTCGCTATTCCACTAGCAGGAAGACTGAGGTCTTGCGCGTCCTGCGCTTCTTTAGCTCGTGAAAGCCCCTCCCTCTCTACACCGCTTTGAGCACGCGTGAGCGTGGTCATCCACTCTCGCGCGCTGCTTAGGGCACGTTGCGCCAGCGAAAAATTTTCGCTGGCGCTTTTGGCCTTTTTCTGCACAGTCCAGCGCTTTTTAGGTACATTGAGTGCATGTACTGTAGTGTAGATTCAAGTTCTTTTATTCTCTACATGACGCGACGTGAATAGCGGCGGCGGTGGTGGCAGCGCGCGCGCGCATGCGCGTGCGCGACGTCCTCCGCCGCGCTGACTAAGCAATCGCGACGCGCGCGCAAAGGCGGCGCATCAGCCCGCCGTAGGGCACGTGGCAACGGCGGTGGCGGCGCGCGCGCATCGCGCGACACGTGCTGCAGGAAACCCCGACCGACGAGGCCGGGGGGTCGCCTGCCGCATCGGGCGTCGACCGGAGCCTGCCCGGCGACCTGCCGGGGGGCTGTGGCTGTGTGGATAAGACATACGGCGTCTTTTGAACTACCTGAATGATAATAGTCGGAGGTCTTTTAAAACACCTTACGGCCACAGGTGTACAGGGTACTGCTTGGGTAGGGCACTTAGCATATAAGGGCCTGTTCGGGAAAAAGAAATATGTCGAAGTTACCTGACTTACCCGCCTTACAAGGCAGGTTAACAAAGATCAGCAAACTTTCAAACGGTCCAGGCCTGACTTACTTGCCTGCAAAGGCAGGTAAGTCACACAAGTTAGCTGACTATGACGTGTTTCTTTTTCCCGAACAGGCCCTAAAGATTTGTCCGATTAGTATGCTAAGAGCCTAAGACTTCCGACGCTTAAACACTTATTTTTGTTGAACATTTGGCCTAGTCACGACATGTCACGTTGCGCCACATGCACATCATATAACTCATATGGACACACATGGACACATATGTTGGACTTGTCACATGTACACTTTACTCAGCGTCTGCAGTCCTCTTGACTCATTGTATATTACTACATATGACATCGTTGCCTCTCTGTACATATATAAGGAGGCTCCTCTACCCCTGTAATAACAGGTCTTAACCTACTCTGCGCATAGCCTCTAGCTCAGCTCTCTCTTATATTCAGGTAAGCTGAGTGGTGTGCTTCCCAGCATGCTCAACAGGTTATGAGCCCCGGTGAGCTGTGTTCAGCGCCCCAGTGGCAGCGGCACAATGAGTAGCACCTCAGTGGCTGCAACTCATGTCATCTGCGTTCTTGCTGGCTGCGATGACGAGCAGCGCCTTGCTCGCTTGCCTGTTCGCTACTAGCTGCTCTAAGCGCTGGCAAAACCATGCCGGATCGTGCTGATCGCTCCTGATCTTTCATGATCGCTGCTGATCGCGCTTGATCAAGGTGCCCATCTCTAGCGGAGATGCTGGCCCTTCAGGGCGCATTGCTCTTTCGCTCATCGGCACAGTCCTTACCGACATGCTGCCTCTATGATGACATGCGAAACAATGCTGACGATCTTACCAGATCACAATGTCGAACACCCTCACCTCTACCGTGCCCGTCTTCAACGGCAAGGACTTCAAGTCCTACGCCAAGAAGATGAAGGCCTACCTCCAGTTCCAGGGCATTGACTATGTCCTGACTGAGGAGAAGCTGAGTCCAATCACTACCACTAAGGAAGTGAAGGGCAACGAGGAGGAGCTGAAGCAGTTCGATAGTGACAATCACAAAGCGCGTGGTGCTATCATCATGCGCATTGATGAGCGTTTCATGGACAACGTCCCTGACAAGGACGCAAAGACTGCTAAGAAGCTCTGGGAGTACCTGGAAACGACGTATGGCTCAGCGCAGCTGGCCGACATCTTTGGGTACCTGCAGACCGCTCTGAACGCTAAGTTCGACGAGCCTCAGCACCCAGATCCGCAGCTGAGCGTCATCCTCCAGCAGTTCACGCGTCTGAAGAACGAGAATGTCGCCATTCCCAAGTTCTTGCAGGCCATGATCTTGCTTGCGATCGCGCGGGTCAAGCCCATGACAACGAATCTCCTTCAGTCTCACTCGAAGACTACGCTCAAGGTCTCTACTGTTTGCGATGCGCTTCTAGCGCACTACTCGCAGCAGGGGATGAGCACGAGCGCCACTGCTCAGAAGTTCAACACCAAATGCAAGCACGATGATCCAAAGTATTCTAATCAGCAACAGGGCGGAAGCTCTGCGCCCAAGCAGGGCGACAATGCTGAGAAGAAGAAGAAGAAGAATTGCAGCAATCGCGCTGGTCAGAATTCTGGCAAGGGCAAGGGCGGCAACGCTCACGCTCATGGCGTCTCGGAAATGGCTGGGATGATCTCTTTGCTGCACGCTCCCGCTCCTCTCACACTGTCGGTGCCTGCCACCAAGACGTCCCACATCGCGCTCATCACGAAGGACGGTATTTCTGTCCGCACCGTGACTGAGAAGCCCCCCGTCAAAAACGAGGAGGCTGTTGCTGACAACGAACACTCCAAGAGCGCCCGAGCCGTCTTTGACTTTGGGAAGGAGTTGGACATCACAGTGACGCCCCAGGTGTTCCGTTGCCTCGACAAGATCGTCAACAACCATAGCATCCCCCGCGTCGACGACGAGGACGAGGAGATGGGTTCCCCCACTCCCAAGGCTTCTGGCTCAAATCTTCAGCTCGAAGATCTCGCTCCCCTGGCGAAGCGTGCCAAGATTGACTCAATCCCCGACGTCAAGATGGCCTCCGCGCAGCAGAACAACGAGAGTCAGCTGTTTGACGGAGAGAGTCGCCTCTTCTTCGGATTGTCTGGCAGCGATACCATCGATCTCGACTGGAGCGCCAGTCCCTTCAACTCCGCCGACGATCTCCTGCAGGCACAGGGCGAGGGGATCTCTGACGAAGCCCTGATGAAGTCGATCGTGGACAGCGTCAACAGCTTCATGCTGGAGTCCGTCGACGCGGCGACTGCCAAGACTGCCAAAAGGCAAGTACCCTTCTCTTCTGGACCACTGCGCAAATCTCACAGTGCCACACCTCAGCGCGTAATTACTGCTGCAGCAGGGACCGTACTACATCCGTTGATGACTGGATCTCATGAATTTTGTACGAATAAATTTTGTGTGCACTCCAATATTGCTGCGTGTCCGAGATGTAAGGGGAAATCCGCTGAGAATTTTGGTGACTTCCCACCTTTGTGGATGGCCGATTCTGGCGCCTTATTGCATGTGACTGCGGATGAGAGTGATCTTGCTGAGTACGAACCGATTGAGGATTCTGAACCCCTGCAGACAGCATTGGCTAGTGCGTCTTTACGCATAGTTGGTCGCGGGACAGCATTTGTGGATCACTACGTCACACGGCATGGACAAAGGAAAGTAATGACTTCCCAAATTTATCCGGTCTATCATGTACCTGGATTACACGGTCGTCTTCTTTCCTTGGGCACTCTATTGAAACAGAGTGGATTGCAAATGTGCGGAAACGCTGCTTGCATCAGCTTGCATCAAAGGAACTCTCCTCTTTCAATCATGGAGTTTACACCACTCCACCCTTTATCCACGATTTACTGGTTATGGTGCAGACCCTCTGTCACCAAAACATTGCAGAATGTCAGCCTCATCTATAAGGTGGACTACGACACGATGCACCGGCGATTTGCGCACCCGTCGAAAGATGTTCTACGTCAGGCGCACAACTACACTAAGGGCTTTCCCCAAGACCTTGAGTTTCCTGCCGACCCTCGTCCGTGCAGAAGATGCGCTGAAGGGAAGATGCACGCTCGCTCTTTTCCATCTTCGGAGCATCGCGTGATGAAACCATTTGAGTTAATCCACTCTGATCTCAAACAATTCCCAACAATATCTTATCACAAGTATCGTTACTTCATGAGCTTCTTTGACAAAGCGCTCTCCTATGGCTGGACAGTATGCCTCAAGCAGAAGTCCGACGCCAAACAGGCCATGCACAATTTTATTGCTATAGTCAAAAACCAGTTCGAGACCACGATTAAAAAGTGGCACATCGACAATGGGGGAGAGTTTCAGGGAATGGGTATGGAGGAATTTCTCGAGGAAAATGGGATCCTCGTGGAGGCGCACCCTATGCTCATCAGCAGAACGGTCGTGCCGAACGCTTCAACCGGACAATTATGGACAAGGCCGAGTCTATGCGTTTTACCGCATGCCTGCCTAATTCGTTCTGGGATTTCGCGATTTTACACGCGACTCGGGTCTACAACTGGACGCCTATCCGGCGTTTAAAGTGGAAGACACCGCACGAAGCTCTCTACAAGGACAAACCGGATATTTCTCATCCAGCTAATGCTGTAAGGGGGTTTTAAAACCAACCCGACAAGTTACATATCCCAGATTGCAAACCTACGGACAGCTTGTCGGGCACGGCAAATGCCGATTCTTGCCTGGCCGGATGCCCTGGGAGGTGCCCTAATAGGGCTCCGGCGCCGTGATGCGCTCTGCGCGCGCGGCGGGTGGCTTGCATGACGCATGTCACCAAGTTCTGAGCGTCACGTGCGCCTCCCGACGGGCGTCGGGGATGCGCCTCGTGCCGCCGCGGCACCGCGCATGGTGCGCGTGTACGTAGCAAATGAGTAGAATATGTATCTAACATATGGATACACATGAAAGAGGCATAGAAGGGGAAGGGGATGAGAAAAAGTGACAGAAAAGCGCGGGCAGGATTTTTTGCGCGTGATCGACACGTTCTGCGGCTTGCGCAGCGCGCGAGAGCGCATTGAGATGGGAGGAGAGTATGTAGGGGTATCCCTCCGAGCTACGAGAGCCCTTTTGTGCCGAGTAACGCGTCCGCGGCGGCTCGTAGCACGGTAGGGGGAGGGGGAGGGGGAGTGAGCATACACTGCCAAGCGTGATGCGCGCTGCATACGGGAGGTAGTGTGGCAGCCAGCAGGCCATCGACGCGCTGCTCAGGACGCACTACGCGTCCTGAGCGAAGTCCCTGTGCCCCAGAATGACGCTGATGGCATACATGGACTGGGCGGCAGGAATCAGATTTTCCATCCTGCCACCACACCTTTGCGCGTCCCGCGCGCTGTGACACGTTGGAGTATGGTCAGTAGAAGGTCTGTAAGGTAGGAGTAAGCACACACCTCTTTCCTCCTCCACTTTTGCGCCATGCTTCAGTGTACATTTTGCACGCGGACCACCAGCGCGATGATATGTTTCTCTAGGTACTTGGCTGTGATGGATGGAGGGTCCTGGTGGGCAGAGCAGGGCGAGGGGTTAGGGGCGGGTAAGGGGGTAGTCGGAGGTGCAGGTGGTAGTGGTTCAAAGCAAGGATTAGCGCGCAGAGTGATCGCGCACCGTGTTGTTCTTTGGGACTGCATATCTTGATCTTTGGGACCGCATGGGGGCCAGTCCGGTTATCCGAGAGGCCTTGGCGCTGTCTTGGATGGCCTCGGAAGCACCACCGAGGGACTTAGAATACCTGGAAAAGTGCACAGACCTATGCATATGAGTGTATAGCACGCATATCCCAAGAGTGGATTGGATCTGATTTGAGGAAGCTACTTAAATACGCCAAAACCACAACTTTGAGGACAAAGTAGCACTAGATTTGAATATATCATACCACCAAAGACGTGCAAAAGCTCCAATAGATCACTCAATGATCATGCTGACTTCCCCCTACACTTTTCAGTTTGTTCGAAGAAAATCCATCCAAATTCGCGTGAGGAGGGGGCGGAACAGGCCTGGATGCATGGGATCTCGATGGGATATGTGGGTCTTTGCAAGCGGAATAGTCCTTGTACGAGTTACAAAGGTATATCATGTCCACTATATACGAAACTTTCAGGATACTGTCAGCCAAGTATCTACTAATATATTCCAGTCATATCCCACCTCTAGATGGCCCTCGGCATGGGCCCGAGGTCGTTGAAGACGATGAGGACGAGGTCCGGAGGTTGGGCCGGACTTCCGACGCGTCAGGCCGCGCCACGTCGTGTCCTCAACCACCACCTCCCCGCCCTCATTGTCGCCCCTGCCACCTCCGGACACCCCTCCCCCACTCCTTTCCTTCCATTTCATCTCGAATATCTGTATCTATTTCGCTTGATGCGATGTCAGCCTCACACATAACAACAGAAAGCGCTAGATGACACTGACCGAGGCGTGGGCGGAGCGGGACTGCAGGTGCATGTATGTGCCCCGTCAATTAACGACTTACTTACGTTATGCCCAACTCGCGTATGGCGATGCGAGAACCGAGGCGTGGGCGGAGCGGGACTGCAGGTGCATGTATGCGCCCCGTCAATTAACGACTTACTTACGTTATGCCCAACTCGCGTATGGCGATGCGAGAACAGACGCGCGCTTAGCGCGAGGATGGGGAAAACGGGGCGCACAGCGCCCCGTTCCCCGCCATTCTCGCCCTCAAACCGGCGATGAGGGTGGAGGGGGCTCGCCTAGGGCGTATCACGCACCCTAGGAATCCTTTCGATGGCCTTTTGTGGCCGCTACACCCCCACCGACGTGCCCGATGCGTGCAGGTGGGGTACTGCACTACATCTTCCCCCTCCCCCCCTTCCCCTACACCGCAGTCACGTAGAATCGCCTTCGTGGTGATTTCACACGCCGCTGGCGATGCCCATTGCGCTACCGAGGCTCGCTCTCGGTGCGCCGCATCTGAGTGCAGTCGCAATTGGCTAAGCCAACCACGCGGGGCTGCTGCCAGCGGCATTACTCCCTCGATGCAGCTGTGGCCATAAGACATTTGCAAAAGACCCCGACAATTGTCTGCGGGTCAATTGCAAAAGACCCCAACAATTGTCTGCGGGTCAATTGCAAAAGATGCGAGGCGGTTGTCCGCACTGCCACAGGCCCCGGCCAGGTCGCCGGGATCCTGCCGGCTCGCACCCGATGCGGAAGGCGACCCCCCGGGCTTGCCGGTCGGCGTCGCCCGCCGCACGTGATGGGTGTCGCGCGCTCCGCCCCGCGCTCGGCATTGATGTGTGCGCGCGGCAGCTCTTGATGCACCGCCCGCGCGCACTGCGGTGGCTGTGCCGTCAACGTGCCGATGCCACTCTGCCCTTGCGCACGCTCGTACACACTCGTGATGATAGAAAATGAACTGTATATATATCAGAAAGACATTGTACCTAGAAAGGCACTGGAATGCGCGAAAGGGGGTAAAAAATGTGGAATAAGCAGCAGTGAAAAATCTCGTGGGCGCAATACGCGTTGAGCAGCCCATGTCAGCAGGCGCGACGGGTACGCGTATTGAATGGGGGAGGGGGTGTGGGGAGGACAGGCAACTGTGGCTGCCTGCGAGCCTCTCGCGCGCGTTGCTATGGGGTGGTTGTTAGGCTGGGAGGGGGGGAGTTGGATGTTGGGGACTGCCTTGCCTAGTGTTGCCACGGTTCGCCTTGGTGCGGCTCGGCTAGGTTTTTCCCGGTTTGATCACAAAACAGCTCGGCAAACGGCTCCAAGCCTACCGTTTTGGGGTGGCTCGGGTTCGAGACCGCTGGGAACTGAGCAAGCCGGCTCGAACCGAGGTCATTGATGCCAAAAGTGGCAACAACGCGTCTCCGCCGATGGTCGTGCCCTGCAGGCCATATAGTGGTAGGGAAAGGTCATCTATACAACAGAACATTCAATACTAGCAAAGAAAATCTGATATAATGATGCGCGAAGGGTTCAAATCGGTGTAGCGAAGGGAATATCCTCTAACTCGTTTAGGAGCTCGAGCTCCTCCTCTCGACTTGTCCCCGCAGTGAAACTCATGCCATGCCTGAGCGCAAACTTGAGTATCTGGAGCTCCTGCATGAGGTCAGGATTGATGCGGTTGCGACGGTCAGTCATCGTCTCCTTTGCAGACGAGAACACGCGTTCACAGGGTACAGCCGAAGCTTGAATCGGCAGTACATCCATGGCAGCGGCGAAGATGGTCGGCCAGCGCTCACGGTGCTCCTATTGATGATCAGAATGCGATATAGGAACACGTGAGGGACGCATACCTGCCAGAATACCAGCGGATCGGTGACAGGATGATCCGAAAGGCGATACTCCTCAAATTCTTGCAGAAGCGTGCGATGACGAGGCTGGGTGCTGGATCGTGCGAAGATATTGTCACCGAGAATACTATCTGCCCAGTCGCGAGTGACAGCAGGCCTGGCTGGGGTTGGCGGAGCGTTGCGATACTTTCGGAGCTATGGGCTCGTGAGTGCTCTTGTTCCCATGATGTAGCAAATACAACATACCTCCTTCAGGATCAAATCCTTCGCGTACGAGAGATTGTCGGTGTCGAACTCCTCAAAGAACTTGAGCTTGATGTTCGGGTGGACAACTACAAGATACGTCAGATGTAGATTGGAACGCAGGAAGGGGACCTTACACATAGCCATGACATAAGCAGGAACGACGTCGGTCTTGTCCCGGTATTCCTCCAACTTGTCCAAGCCTCGGTCAATGACGGAGGACATCCCGGGGAGCTCGGTCTTGAGCTGCTCCCAGCGGCGAGCCATCCTCTCGAAGGAGGGAATAGCGTTGCAGAGCGTTGGCGTCTTCTCGCCCGACAGTATCTGCTGGAATGCATGCGGCACCTGACAATCATGTGAGCCGATATTGATTTTCGCATATAGCAAAGCATACCTCAAGAACCTTCTGAAGCTGTTCCAGTTCCAGCCACTCGTGGGGTTGTAGACGATACTTGTTGAGTTCTGGCGTCTCTCGCATGATCTTGTCGATAGCCTACATATAGATGAGTAATCAGTATGACACGGCAAATAGATGTGTACCGCGCGCAAGAGGATGGCCCGTTCTACCATGAGCAGGGTGGATGACCAACGAGTCTCGACATCCCGCAGTAGTTGCATATTCTTCTGCTTCAAGGCAGCAATCACTTCTTCGAAATAAGCACGCCGAAGCGACGATGCTCGTATCTTACAATAGGTGAGCTCAACCAGACCTATTGCAACGACGTACTTACAGCACGAATTGCCGTCCGAACGATAGCAATCGCATCACGGTGGGTGGCAGTAGGGACGAAGGGACCAGCATTCGGTCGTGCGAAGTCGAGGTCAGTGATGGCAGCCAATACGGCCTTGCACGCGAGATTGACAACATGAGGGAAGCATCTATAAACAGATGAGAACGGAGGGAGCAGGAGAACCTCAGACACGTACCGTATCCGGCGCGTCACACCATCAAAGTCCTCCTTCTTATGTACCGTACGCATGACTGTTGTTAACGCAGCCACAAACGTGTCGTTGTTGGATGCATTATCCATCGTAACCCATCCAAGCTGAAGGAACCATTAGTAGGTGCTGCCAAAGCACTTGGGGATCGTACATACCTTATCAACGAGATTGAAACTCTCAATGACATCCATGAAGGCTGCACATAACGCGTCGCCGTCATGGTGTCCCGGGACATGCCGAAAGCCTATGAGCTCAGCACGCAACCGCAGGCACTCGCGCGGCCCAGCAATGGTCTGCTCCGTTACAGACTCGATCCAATGTGCCGTAATGGCCATGAAGGAGCGCATATTGGAGTCTGTCCATACGTCCATGGTCGTCGACACCTTCCCAACAGCAGCCTGATGAAGGGTTCAGATGAGAGATACTATACTGCTATAGGATAGGACATACCGCCATGTCCTTCTTTATCTTCTTCAAGTGCTCGTGGTACACCTCTTCAACTCGCTTTCGGATTGTCGTGCGATGGGGGATGTCACTGTCATTAAGCTCAGCACGCAGCAACAGGATGAGACGGCGGAGGCTTGGTGCCTCGACGATGTTGAGCGACTGAGCCGATGTCAGCGGTACATCACCAGCAGAAGGAAAGTGGGGCGCACCTGGTCCGTGTCGATAACAAACTCTGTGAGGGTATCCACCATCAACTCGGGCGAGAACTCGGGTCGAGCATCAGCAGAGGACGCCGTGTAGTGACTACCATTCTTGCGGCGGCGGTAAGCTTCGACGGTGGTGCGGACAAAGCTCTCCTTGGCGTGAACTGTGATGCCGAGGTCGTCGCAGGTGGCGATCCAGTCGTCGAGATGGTCGGTACACAGGTGCTTTCGCAGCGTCCCTGTCGAAGTCGTCCTGCCGTACGTCTTGATGTCTTCCTTCTCACGCTTGCCAGCACTGTGATCTAGGCTGTAGAGTATGTTAGCGATGATCCAGTCTGTCACTAGTGGTGACTTACTCGCAAAGCATGCACTGCCGATGGCCCTTCGAGTTCACCTTAAAGAACGTGTTGACATCCTTGCCGGCCTTCGAGCGGTTGCCTGCTGGGCCATGATCCGGGGATCCGTTCTCATCTCCTGCGCCGTCTCCCGAAGGTGCGGCACCAGACGTTAGGGGTGGGGAGGATGCCATGGGTGTGGATGGTGATGGAGATGAAGATGTGGTGGAAGGGAGAGGGGATGGAGACGGTTGGCGCTGCGTTGCGGGCTTTGAAGTCGAACTCTCCTCCCAGTCGCATGAGGGCCGCCACGAGGGCCGTGTCGTATCGGTGTCGCAACCCTGCCTGGAGACGTGCGTAGGGGAAGGAACTCGTCGGTGGCCGGATTCCAGATGCGTTGTTGAAAAGGGATATCATCGTGGGGCGTACTCGTCGACTCGGGCGAGAACGGGTTGTCGGGAGGGTCCTGTGGACAATCGTCTGATGGCTGAAGTCAGGACATGAAGCATGGCGCTGAACACGATACGACATACCTGGGTGCTGACTTGTCACGGTACCCTTTGAGGTCATTGCAGGAAAGGACGATGGTGCTGCTGATCGTCAATATGAAAGTGAGAAGGGAAAAAATGTGAACACTCACGTCCGGCGGAGAAGACGGTTTGCAGCGCGCCATTCGGCAGCTCCGTCACCTGCTCCGTCGTTGCTGCGCGTTGATCCGCTGCTTGCACCGTCTTTCTCTTCCCGGTTGTCTTCGTCGAGGAGCGTCCACGACGGGGCGGCGGTGTAGGAGAGTCAACAAGGTGAGTTTGACGACGTGTCATCACGACGTGGGCAAAGATGGGGAAAGTGTTGGCATTCGTCAACTACTCGAAGGGCTTATATTATGGAGGGAAGGGGAGGTGGTGAGGTACATCTTCTAGCCGGTACTCCTTGCTATCTAGGATGAGGGAGTCCACGAGTTCTGGGGTAGTAGCAACGAGGAGGGCCAGGACCTGCTCGTGGTGTTGAAGTCGTATGGATGACATGGCCTGCAGATAATGGTTATCATGATAAAGCTGATGGAGGTGGCTACCAGAACGCACCTCAAGACATCCGCAAACCCCGCCGGCGCCTGGCGCGCGCTCAACCCATCACACGCGGCCGTGAAAACTTCAACTGGATGACGTGTAATGCCTGCAAGCCCTTGAAAATCGAGCTCTGGCGCAAGGCTGAGACAGGTACGAGCAATTCAAGCATGTAATGGAGAGGAGACAATGTCAAGATAGGTGAGAGAACGGAGGACGCGCAGGACGAGTGCAAGGAAAGGAGGGATGCAGGCGGTTGCCATTTTCGATCGGCTGGCGGCGCTCACGCCGGTTCCGAGCCGTCTCAAGCCGTACGCCGAATATGTGGCGCCGGCCAGAGCCAGTGGCCCGACGGCGCGGCTCGGCGCGGCTCCGAAAGGGCTCGGCTTGACGGCTGGCGGCTTCGGAGCCGAACCGTGGCAACACTAGCCTTGCCGAGTGAGCACTTGTTGCCCTCCGAGGTGAGATGTTGCTCACGGCAGGTGGTGGCGGTAGTGAGGAAGGGAGGAGCGGTGGTGGGGGAGCGGCGCATGTGTGACAGGCCGCACTAGTAGAAGGAGGTAATATCATTTGGCTTCAGTGGCTGCAGCCATGGGCATTTGCCTCGGATTTCCTGCTACGGCTCGCGCTTGAGATCCGACCATCTCGCCCAGGCCGTGAGGGCCTGGTGATGTCAATTTGCGCACCCCGCGCCGAGCCCAGCACGGCAAATTTGCCGGTGCGGTGGGTACTCAAGCGGACTGTGCTTAGCACGGGGCGCGCATCTCAACGAGGGGAGGGGGATGCGAGAGGGTGGAGAGGGTACATGAAGAACGCGTTCAGCGGGGAACCCCACAGTGCTAGATACACGGTGGTGGCCTGTTAAGAGGCGGCTTGAGAAAAAAGCTTTAGGGATTGTCAGCATTTTCCGAGGCGCAGAACACAGCGACGCACCTGAGAACCTTCCTACGCGCAAGATATCATGTCTAACTCTGTTTTCGCGCGCGTTGGCGCATGCCGCTGGGCTTGGCGCGTTGAGGTTGTGGTGGATGGGCACGATCGACGTGGTTTGGGGCAAGCGGTGGACTGAAAAGCATAGAGTAATATAGAGCGGGTAGCGGGGGAGGATGGGGAGGGGCGAGGGACGCAGCGAGGCGGCTGGAAGGGAGGGGAAGTGTTGGTTGAAGACAAGGAATGCACAAATGGGCACGTCGGAAGGTCGGGCCGGAAACTCAGTCTGATGTCCGAGCATCGGGGTCGTCGACGTTGACAGCCTCGGATTCAAAATGGGGGATGCTGGGCAGAGCAATAAGGGCAGAATAGCAGAGTATATAGACTGATTGACCTACCTACCAACTTTGGAGGGGTACTGACGCGTACAGCTTTCAAAACTAGAGCTTTACTCTCAATGGGTTTTTGTGAAGAATCAGTCGTTTCCCTCTCAGTGCTGCCATCAACCACCTTTTGACGCACTCAACACGCAATTCTGCACGGATCTTCATCAAACAAACTGCGTTTTGTATGGGCTGACTAGCGCTATCTTGGCACGTAGAGCTCTGAATATTTTGCGCGTTAGATAGTACACAATAACAGGTATAGTACGAGATTTCGGTCAAATCTGGCATGTTTCCAGCATTACTCAATGTTTTATGCACAGATGACGCCCCAAACTTCTACTGAATATTGTATACACTCCCCCCCTCCCTTCTATGTCTTTGTCTCATCGGCGAACGCCTTTCCGCACGTTTCCGAGCTCGATCTCGACGCCGACGACGACTTTCGGACGTCCGGACCGACTTCCGTGGGGTCCCGAGGCACGAAATCGCGGCCCCGAATATCAAGACAACTGCCACCCGCCATCGCCCTACAGCCGAGCTGGCATATCCCGCCCCCTTGCCTTTCTTCCACTTGTATATGCATTCATCAACACTCCCCCACATTCTACCCACCTCCTTCGGCATCAAATTTGTGCTTATTGTCACCCCAAGCAGGCTACCATTGGAGACCTACACGTGCGCTTCCCAGCATGCTCAACAGGTTATGAGCCCCAGTGAGCAGTGTCTGCGCCCTTGCTGGCAGCGGCACAGTGTCTGCGCCTTATGTGGCTGCGACACAAGTCATTAGCGCCGTCACTGGCTGCAATGACGAGCACCCTCATTGCTTGCCGTCACCATGCCGCTCTAAGCGCAGGTGACACCATGCTGGATCGCGTTTACACGCTTGATCCAATGCACCCGTCTCTGAAGGAGACGATGGCCATCGGCATCATGCTCGTTTCGCTCATCGGCGCCGTCGATGGCTGCCACCTTGATGTTCGATCCGATGCTGACGATCTATTAAGATCATGTCGAACACCCTGTTTCAGGCCGTCTTTGTCTTCGAAGGCAACAACTACATCCAGTTGACTGACGGGATGGCGTCTTGGCTTGAGGCTAATGGTCTCGCCTACGTCATTGACGAGGATTGTCCCTCTCCCGTCACCAACGATGAAGGTGTGGTCTCCAACCAGGAGGCGATCAGCTTGTGGAAGCGCGATGACACCAAGGCGAAGGGCAGCATTAAATTGCGCCTAGCACCGTATGTCAAGAGCAGCATCCCGACTGCTGATCTCGCCACTGCCAAGTCGCTCATGGAATATCTTCATAAGCAGTATGGCAGCATTCAATGCGCCGATCTCTTTGGATATCTTGTCCGAGGTAGAATCGAGCCAGTGATCACACTAGAGCGACAGCAAACGAGTCAGATTCATAAGTAGCGAGATACAACGCATAACTACGCACCTAGAGCGACAGCAAACGAGTCAGGAAGAGAAAAGACTCGGATGCGCCGCTCTAGGCAGGAGGGACCGGCAAATGCCGAGGAAATATGTGGCGCTCGGCAATAAGGCGCGAGCGCACAAGTAAGACTGTAGGTAAGCGTACAGTACCAGGAAAAAGTCCATAAAATCGCAGAAAAATACCATAGGCGCTAGAGAGCGCGTAGACACCGATTCCAACATATCTCCAGACAGCGCTGAACGCCAAGTTCAATGGCAGTGAGCACCCTGATCCCCAGATCAACATCGTCACCAACGCGTTTGCGCGGGTCGCCCTTGAGGATGTTGAAATCCCCAAATTTCTTCAGGTGATGATCCTGCTGCATGTCGCAAAGATGAAGAGCATCACCGAGTCTATTCTTCAGCGATACGACAAGGATGAGCTCACTGTCGCTGTGGTTCAAGAAGCACTTTTTACACACTACTCCCACAACCAGTCGATGTCTGGCGCCAACGTCCAGAAGTTCTCGGACGTCAAGCGCAAGCGCAATGATCTGAAGTATTCTAATCAGCAATAGAGTGGAAACTCTGCGCCCAATGGTGGCGATAAGGCTGATAAGAAGAAGAAGGACAAACACGGCAAGCGCGGCGGGAAGAACCAGAAGGACAAGGGCAAGGGGAAGGAGCATGCGCATGCACACGCCACGATCTCTGAGGTCGTCAGATCCGCGCGCATCTCCGTGCTCACTCCTTCGGTTGAGGCTACGAAGACGTCCCACGTCGCCCTCATCACTCCCGCCGGGACTAAGGTCCGTCAGGTGGTTGAGAAGCCCGCTGTATCCGCCGACACCCCCATCGCGGAAGGTGTGAAGAACGTCTTCGCCACCGCCAAGGAGCTCGACATCCGCGTCACTCCTGAGGTCTACCGCGATCTCGACTCTGTCGTCAACGTTGGCGGCTTCCCAGCCAACATGGACTGTACCGACCATTTCCCCACTCCGCGCGCGTCTTCTTCAAAGATGCAGATCAATGACGAGCCGCCCGCCAAGCGTGCTCGCGCCAATGATCAGGCGCTCAGCTCGTTCCTCTTTGACGGGACGATCAATGAGCAGATCAGCTGGGATCTCTCTCCTCTGGAAGAGTACCTGCGCGAGGAGAACATGTTCGGGGACGTCGAGGTCAATGTCAATGATGCCATCGCCCAGGCTGCCGGCCTCACTGGCGCCGACAGGCAAGTACCCTCTCACGAGGATCTTCTGCGCAATACTGATTGCGGCACACAGCACTTGATCTTATCGCGCGATTCTGTACTATATTGTATGCTGACTGGCTCGCATCTTTTTTGTACGAATATATTTTGTGCCTGCAACGACATTGCTGCGTGTACTAAGTGTAAGGGAAAAGCACCTCTTCACGGAGACGACTTGGGTTTCCCGCCTTCTTGGCTCATCGACTCTGGTGCATCTCTCCACGTGACATCGGAAGAGAGTGATCTGGCTGGCTATGAGAAACTCTCTGAGCCAATTGTCGCGCAGACCGCATCCAAAGACACTACGCTTGCATTGGTTGGTCGCGGGACAGCCTTTGTTGATCACTGCGTCACGAGGCATGGGAGGAAAGTTGTCACGACTTCGCAGCTATATCCAGTGTACCACGTGCCTGGATTGCATGGTCGTTTACTTTCCTTGGGCTCCTTACTTCAAGGAGGATTATCTGTGCGTGGAAACAGCACGATGATCAGCTTACATCGGAAGAAGTCTCCTCTTTCGGTACTTGAGTTTTACAAGCTCAACAAAGTGCATACCCTGTACTTCCTCTGGTTGACGCCTTCCACGGCGAAGACTGTGCAGTCTGTGTCTACCGTATACAAGGTCGACTATGACATCATGCACTGGCGATTCACACATCCGTCAAAAGACGTTCTACGTCAGGCGAAGAAACACACCAAGGGCTTTCCCCAAGACCTTGTTTTTGTCCGAGGTAGAATCGAGCCAGTGATCACACTAGAGCGACAGCAAACGAGTCAGGAAGAGAAAAGACTCGGATGTGCCGCTCTAGGCAGGAGGGCACGGCAAATGCCGAGGAAATATGTGGCGCTCGGCAATAAGGCGCGAGCGCAGAGATAGGACTGTAGGAAAGCGTACAGTACCGGGAAAAAGTCCGTAAAATCGCAGAAAAATACCATAGGCACTAGAGAGCGCGTAGACACCGATTCCAACACACCCCCTTGATCGAGCACGTCCTAGCGCCCAACTCCAAGGCCAGAGAGCGTTGCCATGTGCTGCAGCTTGACCCGGCCCAAAGCCTTGGTCATCATGTCAGCCGGCATGTCCGCTGTCTGCAGATGGACGAGGCGGATGCTACCGCAATGCACCTCATCACGCAGCCAGTAGAAGCGCAGGTCGAGGTGCTTCATGCGCCCATGATGCTCCGGGTTCTTGGCCACCTGCAGCGCCGAGTTGTTGTCGATGTAGAGGGTGGAGGGCGCGCTCTTAACCGAAGTTGCGCATCCACAGGATCTCCTGGCCGGCAGAGCACGCCGCAACGTACTCTGCCTCGGTGGTCGAAAGCGCGACTATAGTCTGCAGCTTGGACGACCAGGAGACCGCTCCACCTGCCATCATGATGATCTGGCCGCTGGTGGACCGCCCATTGTCCGGGTTACCGCCGTGGTCCGCGTCGGTGTAGGTGTAGAAGAGCTCGGAGCGCGCGTTCACCGCCTTGCCGTCGTAGGTCAGCTTGTAGTCAAGCGTGCCCTTGAGATAGCGGAAGAGGTGCTTGAGCGCGTTCCAGTGCGGGCGGCCGGGGTTGCCGGTGAAGCGAGCGAGGACAGAGACCGGGTAGGCGAGGTCGGGACGAGTGGCGAGGGCGAGCCAGGCGATGGCGCCAACGGCAGAGGCGTACTCCTTAGCGCGGGTGGACATGAACTCAATGTCCTCCGGCGTGACAGGAGCATCGGCGGCGCTGAGCTTGTGCGAGGGGTCGAGCGGGGTGGTGACCGGGTGGCAGTCGGCCATGCCAAACCGCTCTA